GGTCTTAAGAACACTTTATTGCATGTAAATTTGACTGCAAGTCGTAAAATTGCATTCATGAATAATCTATAAACATGGCTTATATTTGGCTTCAAAAACCTTCACCATAAAACCATAAAAAAGTTTTAACAATTTTTTACACAAATATGCAGTTTACCGGTTAAAACGTACCTGTTAAAATACAGCCTTCATGTTGCCGACAAATATGGCGATACTTATTATTCCAATTTTTGAAAATGAAGGACGGGTCATATGAAAAATTGCTATGACTGATAACGTCTAGAATCTCACAAGGCAATTTTCTTTTCCTTCTATAAAACTCAAACAAACGATCTGTGCCAGGAGGAGCACTATCATCCTCTTTGGCCATTACTTCAGCAATACAAGACGCGTTCTTCGCACACGACGCCCAATTTGTTAAAAAGGAAAAGTGCCTAAATAAGCTGAATCCAACCACATTGACCACACATTGTCCTTCAGACAAGTGTCTCGACGTGCTCAAAAACATGTACCCTTCAAGATTCAATTTTTTTGAGATTGCGGCCAACAAAAATGACGGTTCGCTATGCGGTTCAATCCAAACAGCTTCGCCGTACATGTTTACCATTTGTGTTAGTACAATGGGTTTTATTGCCGCTATATGATACAACCTGATGTGAAGGGGATGATAATGGTAAGGAAAAGGAAAGACCTTCACGTTGAGTCGAGCTTGACGTGTCAAATACTCCGATTCACATTTACGGAGATTTAAAGTCCATATAATGAGCACCAATTCATCCATGTCTTCATTTTGAGCGAGAGCTGTGTCCATAAATTTCAACAGCCAGTCGAATTCATTGGAGGTTATAGCGGTTACAAAATGATAGTTGTCTTGTTTAATTCGATAGTCATTTGCATTAGCAATCAGCAAATCTTGATTATTGTGAAGCGACTGGATATAATAGAATAGGATAGTCACAGCCAACGCAACTGTAAAAACCTTATAGATCTTTCGTAACCTTAACATGACCTACACTTCATGTGTACAGATAATAGAAAGTCCGTATGAACGCCAGGAATTGCCAATAATCTGGAAGTTCCCAAATACAAAGGAACAATCAGTTCAGCCAGTCAGCATGATCTTTCTACATTTAAATGAAGCGAATGGAATAAACGCTTTTGTTGAATAAAATATAGAACAATTATTTTTGATTTTTTTAAATCGTACAAACAAATCATCTAGCAACGCTTATTATTCTTATACTCGCGTATTCTAAAAGCTAACTCACATCGACAATCATTAAGTGCTACATTTGTAGTAAAATACTTCAAATCAAGCTATAACTGGAGTGAAAATGCCCCTTATGAATAATTATGTGGTGATTTTGAAGACGCCCTCTGTTGTGATGGGTGAGCTTTTAGAATCCAGACGTTAGATGTTAAGTGGGGTTTGTTTTGCCGCTTTGCAGTTTTGCCAACTGCAAGGTGGTGGGTTCTCTCACTCATTCATATCAATAGAATTTTGCAAAGTCAGACTTCGAGTGATTGGATTGTACTGCAGTTTAATGTCCATGTTACGTATGTTTAGTACACGCAAAAACGCAAAACTGTTGAAAATTTTTCTTCTACTTATATTTTTAAAAACTACATGAGCACTTCATATATCAAATTTTTCAATCTTTCCAAATAATATTAAAAAAACACGTTTCAAAAACCAAGATAATGGGGTATAATTTAGTATCTGACAGCTCTGGCTATAATATATACAGATATATTCGTAGAATCATACTAAGATTGCAAATTGTTTCATTTTATTGGCCATACTCCTTAACCTTAATTTCAATAGGTAGTGAGTAGCAAAAATACAAGGATCGGATTCCATTCTTTTCCCCCAAGTTTCCCACGACATAAACTTGATTGTTTACGTGATTTCCATGAAGTGATATCGCTTCATAGAAATCTCTAGTTTGAACCTGAAATGACGTCACAACGGTTGCACAAGTTATTGGTCGACAGGTTCTATTCTTTCAGACAGCCTCCACAAGATGAGGAGAATTTGCCTATCCTGCAGGTGCATAAAGTATTGTAAGCTACGTATGTGGACACATTGCTACTTCTGTAGCTCATATAACGCACAAGTACAAATGCTTTTCTGCTACTGGGAATTTGACCTAAATTCTATCAGCAAAACATGGACAGTAATTCACCCGTAGGTTTAGCATATAGTGATCACGATTAAAATTTCACAATAGATTGATTTGTAAAACTAACAAATGAAAAAATAACAGGAAAGTATTTACACGCCTATGCCGGGCAAACCCAGGCTTGATATTTTTCGTTTTAAGGTTGCTTGCACTTTCAATGGTCAATTGTTAGCACTCTTTAGTCTTTACATCGATATCCTTTTTAGTAAGATAACGTACATGTATAAAGAGTGCTTTAGTGACCACGTGCATATTACCACAAGTGAGGATTCTTTTCGAAAAAATTGTTGAGAAGGTAAAGCATTTGAGGACATTTTGAAGGCGCAACGTGGAATATGAAATCTTCTTTAGTTGGAAATGAACAATCATCGTTGTCCTTGTCACGATAACCGCACAAAGTCTGCAACGCGTTCCTCTTTCTCTCGACTAGAGATTTTCCTTTCATGCTTCTCTAGAGATTTTCCTTCTCATGCTTCTTTAGTTCCATTCAGCTGATCGACAATGCCAGCTTGCTCAAAAGCTGATTTTGTACACCAGTTATATTTCCAAGTTCGACCAGATGTTACATTTATGAAAAACTCGCGCACGGTGGCAGTATTTCTCATAAGTAGAACGCCAGCGTTCAACATTCTGTCCTCGGGCGGCCAAGCAGCAAGAAGATCTAACTCATCAGAGTTCATAGCGTCCTTAAGAGATCTCTTCATATCAACAAACATTGCATCTGTATCGATCCAAAGTAACAGTTTGCAGTCAGGAAGATACTTAAAAATAGCGTGTACTTTATTCCAAACTTTGTGGCACGGTGCATCGCGATGGAACCCGTACGTCTCTTCCAGATAAGCGTAGCCGTGGTGCTCTGCATACTCTTGCTTGTTCTTACGTAGTCGAGGAAGGTTTGGATTAAGACAATCCAGAAAATATTTGTGGGCTCCTACGAATCAAAGGTTAAAATACGTCAATTTCGGTGAATGAATTGTTTTACCAGGAAAAAATCGAATGAAAAAGCACTTTAATTTTGAAATACATTCGTGTATTTCTGAAAATATGTATTCAGTGCAATTTTGTGTGCAGGCATGTGACAAATTATGCATGATTAGGATAATTTATGATGCAATATAAATTACGATACATAGATGCGAGTTTTGAATCATGATTCATGATGAAGCACGTTTGATGGCTATATTACATGTTACACTACGTAAACTTAATTTTGATAGATAGTTATCGATTTGATTGGAATCAATCGATTGAAAATGTTCATGTCGTACATGCAAATTGCAGAAGTTTGAATGAGACAGTAAATTCGCGTATAAAATCAAGGGAGAAATATGATGTCTAATTAGCAAACATAAAATAGTACCTCTTGCGAAAAGTTAACTCCCATAAGTTTAATTCAAAAACTAGAATAAGTTTTGATTTTAAATAACAGCTTAAAATCTTATAAATTTCACGCTCTAACTCCTGTTGCAATCGTCAAACATCGACGTGGCAATCGCTGTGCCACGTTCAAAAGCACAACATGAAGTCTAATAACACTTCATTGCATGTAAATTTGACTGTTAATAAATCATACATTGTGTCCCCGTACATAAATTTCTTTTTATAATGCCTGTATTGTTAGCTATATGGGATTTTGAAATACAACAATCAGACTTGAATAATGTATGCCTGGAAAATCAAAGATGACTAAAATAAACAGCTTTTTAAGTGGTCGGAAATTGTCATATTTCGCAGAATTACGACGAAATTCTTTCATACTCTGTCGGGGCCCGTCCACCAACAATAGCAATAACAATAACACTGTGGAATCTGAATAAGTTGTCAAAAAATCCAGGTCAGCCACGTTTTTGAACAAGAAGTGACGATGAGATTGACGATGTGCATTGTTACATGTTTGTAAATGTAGATCGTCCAGGTTGGTATAGTCCTGAGAAGGACTGTTTTTGAGAAGGACCGGGTTCAAACCATTTACTGATGTGCATTGTCATAGAGGGATTTAGCAAACACGACGTATCGTCTTAGATGGCGTCAAAATGGCGTAGATCCATATCTCCGTGTTTGCTAAATCTCTCTATTGATTAATTAAGAGCGTCTATGACACTTTATGACTTTCATCGTATTTTCTCGAACGTACAATGTTTCACCCATTGGTTTCACCTAACTTTGTAACAAATTTTCTTCACTTCGTGTAATTATCAACATGACTTACGGCATGCGTCATCTCAGCCTATGCAAACTGCTTAGAAAATGGGGATGGTATAATTGGTATTTACTCGTATGTTTATGTTGGCTTTGGACACACTCAGAAACCACTGGCGACGGCCTACGCGCGTGCCATTTTGAGTTATAAGCTGCCATTACTACTTAAAAATCCGTTTAAGAAAGAGCTTAACGCAATAAACAGTGAAAACATACACGCGAACGCACAAGCTAAACCTGGTGAATTTTTGAAATCTTAATAGTTAATAATTCATGGCAGCAACACTCACATAAATCGACATAATTGCAATTTGAAAAATGCATTTGATAACTTTTGTTAAGGCAAATTGCCCGCCATCATTAGCGAAAACCTTGTGAAATAAACTTTCAGAAGGTCCGATCGATAGTCCTTAAATCGACTTCACAAGAATTTCACGAGATCAAGATCTGCGAGTACATGCCAATAACTAATCGTCACGCGCTCAAACGTACAGAATTTTAAAAGACTTAAAACAGAAAACATTGTAAACTCAAGATTCGAATAAGATTTGAGTTACAAACAATAGACAAGTTTTCGACATCAACATTTCGACTCTATTTCAAAGTTATTATCGAGTAAGCTTGAAATGGAGTATGTTATCTCTTATAAATTTTCTTCATATTCTCATTTGTAGGCTCTTGGGTAATTGTTTAAAATACTTTATAAGACAATGTCATGGTGTTCAGAATCAGAGATTTTTGCCAACTTCATTAAGTTTAATCCATATAAAGATAAAGTGTTTAAACATCCGCTTTCATTTCGATGCATTTCACAAGAAAACTGCCATAACGAAACAGCGCAGGAATGTGCGGATTAACACAATAAATACAGCACCAATCGAATGTTAAAATACCACTGTTTTATTATTTTGGCGTACATTATACATCTTGTGAAATGGTACAAACACTATTTACGAAAATTGTTTCGAAGATCCAGAATTAAATCGTCGAACTTTCTTAAATTTTGCCGTGAATTTTGTGCGTGTTACAGCCTAAAGGTCATAAAAGACATGTCGCGTTGATCCAAATGAACAATAAATAACGCCATTTCCGTTACATTTTCCGCAACTTCGATAGGAAATTTATTAAGAAACACCCAAACCATGGTATATAAGCAAATAACAACTGATAAAAATCATTTGTCAATGGTGTTGTGTAAAGCAAAAGTTATCAACTAAACACATCTCAATAAAGGTCCACACAAAGGTAAAGTAGCAACGTACATAAACATAATTTCATCAACCAAATATAATTTCGTAACTTAGGCATTATATTTTATAAGTTATAAGTAATTGGAGGACACATTTTGCAAACAGTGTTTTTAACACTGAAATGTCCATTATACTCCGTAAAGATTAATTCTGTAATAATGATAATAATAAAATTCGTTTAAACAATCTTCAAAGGTATTTCATCATACATAGAACTGTATATAGTCCAAAATCTGCGACATGATTTATAAGTCAGGAAATTAAAACAAAAAAGTTGATGATTGTCGTGATGTATTTGTGCATATGTGGTGACTCATAGCGCATGACGGTGTAAAAATTGCCGTTGTTTTCTGACTGCTGGTTCTCATAAAACACTCGGACAACTATTTGAGGCTTGAAAAACAAAGTACGTGTTAATTGTAATGTCTGAGTTTTTTTGAACTTTGACCAAGTGTATAAATAAATTTGTCAGCGAGCTAACACAAAATTAGCTGCAAACGTTTTCATTATAGTTTTGGCTTGTTCGCCCTGCGGTCGTTTCATTTGATTCGAAGGCGTAGAAAGCTGTGTTCTTAACCATTTTTTGCGTTTTCAATTATGGGCGGAAAACAAAAAATGAAATTAACTGATCTACGAAAAAATCGCATTCAAGTAACGCGTTGATCATATCTTGTCTCCATGAAAGACATGGACTTTCTAAGGGTTTTTTTCGTTTCGTTTGTTCATCTGCGGCCATTATTAAGACTTTGTCTCCGTATGGCAACATCAATGAAACTATCCAAAAGTCAAAGGACCAGAAAACTTGGGAAATAGTTAGAAGAAGGTTTAAGGTGCATGCTCATGTCTGAGGACTGTTTGCAAGAGACAGAAGACTGAACTCAAAACGGACTGTTTTCGTTTTGATAATGATATCAAATCACTTATGCAGCGTGTTTAGAAAGGTGAGAACGTCAAAACGAAAAAAAAATTGTGATAAATAATACGAACCAAATTGATTAGAATAATCCGCATCTTATTCATAAGACTAATGTCAAAAAAAGATCAAAGATTTGAGACACTTGGTTCAAAAGATTAAAAAATGCTTTACATCAACCCTTATAGTCACGATTTTAAAGAAAAAATGCACTAATCTATGGCATAAACAATTGAAAAAATCGACAACATATTGCAGTCTAAAGTCTAAGCTCTATAACTAAACAACTCAACCAACCAGATGTATAAGGGACATGTTGAACGATAGGAATTTCGATGATTTCGATTGTAAATAGAACAGCCATGTTGAAAAACATTTAATGCACAGTCACAGAAACAATGAACAATAAAACGGAAAGGATGGTCAACACAATACAAGTGAAACAAACACAACACAAGCAAAGACAAAAGATTAAACAACGACAATCAACAAAACATTTGACTTCAAAACCAGCTACCAAAGACTTCGCCATAAAAGAAGGTTGAACAGAAAAATCCGATGTATTATGTCTTTGTAGCTATGGGTGTAGTAAGATCGATAATTTTTACTATGGGTGTAGCTATGCTATATATGTTGAATGCCGTGCCTGAAATATTGTTCGACTGATTATTCATGCATAATATATGAATATGCCCCCCCGAAAACCAAATTATCAATATTCCTACACCAATGTTTGTATAGCTCACTGAACTATAATAGATAATGTATAACGACAATCGTGTCTTTTGCTCTAAAGGTTTAGCTATACCATTGAACTAAAATGTTATACATTATCTATAATAGTTCAGTGAGCTATACAACCATTGGTGTAGGAATATTGATAATTGGGTTTTCGGGGGGGGCATATTCATGTATTATGCATGAATAATCAGTCGAAAACAATGGTTTCAAAGATACGGCAATATCAAGCATATATGATTGTGAGCCCTCCCTTTGATGAGAAAAGTTCAGCCTTTATTTCTCGTCAAAAAACATCATGGTCGCCGAAGGCTTCGCGACGAACAGTCATTGACCTGTCAGCGGTTAGCTAAATAGGCGAAGTTCAACAGTTTTGGTGCATGTTTGAAAATTTCGCTGTTTTGTGAATTGCTATATACTTTTGACACTAGCCATACAACTTAACCTAAAATATTTGACCACCTTTATAAGTAATAAACATTTAAAATAAACGACAATTTTTTTACGATAAACATATTTCGACTTACATTACGTCATCTTAAGGATGAGAATGACTCGAAACATGTTTATCACAAAAAATTTTGTCGTCTATTTTAAATGCTTAATCAATCTGGTGTTTCTCAGATCATACGGAAATATAAGTAATTATTATACACAGCAGCTGACGTCGAAGACGTAAACGACGTATAAAAATTTGTTGAACTGACATGGGAATCGTGTAACGAACTTTTTCCGGTTTTATTTGCCCATAGATAAAAATCAATAACAATTTTACACTGACTTTGTCATTTTCATATCATGCTATGTAACTCTGTTTCTTGCTGCTCCCCATTATAACGGATACACGCTGACATCCATTTTACTGGTGCCATCAAATGATTTTGTCAACATTAACGCCTGTATTCTAAAAGGTCGCTCACTGTCACACCCACTGAGAGAGGCTTCAAAAATACCTCAATAATGACCTCATATCTGTTCGAAGACAGGTACTCAGCTAATTGCTTGGTTTGAAATATTTTACCAAAAATCTTGCCATCAATGGAGAAATGAGTTTTCGTTTCATTACAAGAAGCGAGCGCGAATTTTGTGTCGCGCTCAGCTCGTGTGGGTTTTGATGTTAAGTCATCTTTCGAGTTGACAGCTACGTCCAGCTAACATCTTAAAAAAAATTCCTCACATCGACGCCTTTTCACGATTATCATGGTACGAACAATATACGAGAAAATAGAAAATAAATCCTACTTCACATCTACCTAAGATATTATAGCTTTAATTAGTAAAATGAATTTTGATTATTTGTGGACGTAGACCCTCTTGAGAGACACTTCCCACAATCAGCAGATGTTAGTCTGATATCGTGCGAAAGTTATTACATATCATATCGCTTCCAAATCTGTACACACCTGCTGAGTAACGTAAAAAGTAAAGATGTTATTTCATTAAGACAACACCTACACAATGAAGTTACGTGAATAACAGCGTGTAAAATAATCGAACGGCGATACGTTGCAGAGAAGAATCGAGATGCTTCGAACGAAATTTCCAACATCCAGCCTTTAACAGGGAGGAATGATCATTTAAGGAACGTTCTTTGAAGATTGTTATTCACTTTAAGAATAATCAATTTGAAGGAAAGAGTTCAGATTATGTACAGTAAGTTATTTGGACATTCTTAATCACCTACGCCTGTACCTCTAGGAACTCACTCGCACTCAATGCGACACAAAAATGTCGCTCCTGTCAACAATCGCAAAGTCATTAGGGAGCTTAAGCAAAGACTACGAGTACGACTACGAGTACGAATTACGTCATTTTGGCGCGGAAACATTGTTGCGACAACAACAACAAGTATAGCCGTCATCAATGTGAGTACGATGTTTTGTAAAAAATTCGTAGTCGCGACTACGATGTCTTTCTAAGCAAATAAAGTAGGTATATTTCTTTGCTATAACATTTCAAATCAATTAATCAGTATAGAAAAATAGACTCATTCGAAAAGTTTTGAGGTCATTTTAAAGTCCATCTCAGGCAAGCTTTTAGAATACAGACGCCAGACTCGAACCCAATTATCGACATCAGAGAGACGATCTCATGATTTTGAAAAATTTCAGGGAAACTTCAGCAACTCATTACATCATTCTGGTGATAATTTGGAGTATAATGAGTCAAAGTAGTTATTTCGCATTACTCATTGCACGACATGAGCAAAACGACGTTTTTTGCCTTGAAGCGAAATATATCATGATGCGCGGGATTGTAGAATTGAAGCGTCTACCTGGTTAGTTACTGTTACGAAGGATAAATTGTAATTTTTTTGGCTAGTTTCCATAACCTGAGAAAATTAGCCACTTCTCCATATCTTAAATACTGATATCTTGCAGCAGATCGATGATAACTTTTGCTGGCTTATCAAACGCTACGAAAAAATTCGCTGCTTGTTACAACCTTTCGTAAGTCTGGATTGATAGATCGCACAAATTTTGCACCAGCCAGGTTGCAAGACCTCAGTTTATGATGACTATATCTACTTCGCAATTTATTCATCACTTAATTTGTAGTGTGTATATATTTGTGCATCCAGCAAGTAATGTCTCTGCAAAGTCTGGATAATTGTATGCGTTTTTTTTCAGTCTCCCCTCTGGTGTTGTTATTCGCTATGATTTTTCTTGCCTTCGGTTTAAAAGAACAAGACCTTTAATTTACTGCTCATTACATTCGAATATTTGATTATATCAATACAGATGCGGTCAGATGATTATCTGCCATCTACATTACAAAATGCATTATGCAAAAGAACAAATTTGATAGCGTAAAGCGAAATTTATGCGCAAATGTCGACGAGTAAATTGCTGCTAATCTAAAGTAATTATATCTTGCAGGTGCATAAATAACTCGGCGGGATGGCAATGGATAACGAGAACATAACGGGGCTTGGAAATGAAACTGGGTCCCATGGCGATCCTGATCTTACCCCATACCTATTGGGTCTTTTCATTGCGTTCTCCTCGGTCATTCTAAACGGCTTTCTTCTCCTCGTTTTGGCTAGGGAGCGCAAATCTTTTCTGCACATGCGCGTCACGTACTACATTATCAATTTGGGTGTCGCAGATTTGCTCACGGGCGCTCTCATATTTTTTCTCGTTATGACACGAGTATTTTATATTGACGTGTCACCTTTCTTCGAAACCATCATGGTGATTTTGAACTGGACAACACTGCAGTGTTCGTTTTACACGCTACTTATGATGTCGTTCGATCGACTGGTCCTCGTGCTGTACTCGCTCAGCTGGTCCCGTATTCTTACCATACCGCGTACAGTCTCGAGTATCGTGGCCTGCTGGCTCGTCTCCATCGTCGGAGGCATCTGCATGTATTTCTATTCAGTCGAGACTCGGTTAGCGATCCTCGGCTTCGTCGAAGTATCAATCCTTATTTTCGTATGCAACACTTTGTTCATCTATCCAGTGTTAAAGAAACGCGAGAAAGCTCGTTGCGTGACGACCGTCAGTCAGACGCAATCGGACGTATCAATACAGATAAGGCGAGTCTCTAATCCGATACGTTACGATCACATGTCGAGAGTCGTGATCACGTTGATCGTCCTACTCATCGTTACGCAGTTGCCTTTCATCATTTGCATGCAACTGAAGCTGGTTCATGAACTGTCTGGGTGTAGATACGCACAGATTGTCCTCACTGATTCCTTCGAAAAGGCATTTACGTACACACAAGCCTTCGCCGGCTTGAACTTTGCCATCAACCCTATTATTTATGGCTGGAGAGTAAAGAAATATCGTGAGGCGTTTTCCAATACACTTTGCTGAATTCTACTCGAGGTCTTGCCTAAATAGCGATACATTTTCTTACAAAAAACATGATTGAGAGTAGACATTTTCTTAGCGATCATCAATCTTGCATGGTGACGCAATCACGGTGAACTTCACCCTAGAACATCGCCGACTTCGATGCTTTCGTGACATTAATGGCTTTCTTGGAAAATTTTCGAGTTTTTACAAATACAACCTGGTCTCTGATTGAGAGTAGACCATTGACGGACTCGATTTTGGCAACTATTCTACAGCTTGTGATATTTAAAGTGGGTGGTGACATAATCAGACATTGAATCAGGATGGTGCAGCAGTAAGAGCAAGACGACTATAATAAAACAGTTCGATAGACCGTATAAATTGCGCCACCTGATTTTTCGGCTGACACCAGAGCCAGCAACACGTAATTCATGTGAAATGTGCAGAGCCAAATAATAATTTAAATTTATAGAAAAACAACTTGAAACTCTTGTGCTCTTATCACAACTAAAACAACTAGATGTATATATGTTGAATGAAAGCCATTGCGATTGTGAAAACGAATTGTAAATATAAGGTTAAGTAGTGGGAATGTAATTAAAAAAAAAGAATGATACCATAATGCTCTATCCAACAACTGCAAACAATAACGACCTTATCTAAGGCTCTCTGCTTTTGTGTGGACTTGTCTCGTTTACAAGTAAAGAGTGGAAGGTTAGTTTCTCAAATGTTGTTAAATAAGGTCGTTATTGTTTGTAGTTGTTGGATAGAGCATTATGCTATTTTTCTTTTAATTGTAAATATATAGTTGATATTTTTCTAAGAAATTATTTAAGACTATGTTGACAATGATCAAAACCGTGACACCAGCCATAGTCATACGACGTCATACAATTGATGCAAAAGTTCAGGTTTTCTGCTACTTCATTTCTCGTCACAAAACATTATGCTCGCCGAATGCTTCACAATGATGAGCTCAGCAATAAATTAGACGAAATTCAACAGTTTGCTGTTTTAAAATTTCGCTGTTTTGTGAGTTACTCATACTTTGATATTAGCTTAACCAGTAACTCACACGCAACAAAATACACACGGTAATATCCTCTATTTCGTAGTAACTAAATGATGCAAGAACTATAAGTTCTTCACCATTTTGTTGCATCTAATGGCTAATTATATTCTTTTGAATCGGATCACACACTACAGGGGAGAAGGGGTTGCACAGGGGTTGCCCTCTCCCTCTAATATCTTACGAGTATATTGTATATTGAGTTAAATTTTAGTCAGTTTTGATCACAGCACCTGCTTCAAACACATAATATGCAAATGGTTTTTATTGTGATCTAAAAATTCATTAAACTGATAGATGAACTTAATTTTTGATAAAACGTCCATAAAAAGTTTCTTATCCCCTTACCTAGACAGAAACGAACATCATTAAATCGACGTTTTGATCTTTAGAAAATACCCAAAATCAAGGACTTGTTCGTATCACGAAAAGAAAGCTTCTATTGAATGTACACTAATTAACGTATGTACCTCCTTGTAGAGTGAAAAATATGTCTTCAACTTATTTTTCGGGCTCTTTTTACCTCGAGGATTGATAAACTATCCAACATGTTCCGCCACACTCATCATGAAATTTATTTAATGCCGCCATTAAGGAGATGTCGCCATTAAGGAGATGTCGCCATAGCTGAATGAAGTATTTCATGAGCGTAGAAAGATAGATACTCGAAAAGGATCACACACAATTATGCATTACATGCAGTCCTAAGTTCGTTTTAAATCCCTTGTTTTCAACGGATTATAACATTCATATATGATTTGTGCCCCCACCCCACCCCCAATTATCGATTTGTCCACGCCCACGCAGTACTTGATAGTGAAGATATTGAGGGTTTTAAAGCACTCTGCAATTGGCGAAAGACATCTAAACGTTCTATAATAAAATATGCCACGTATCATGTAGGCGAAACTAACAAATATACAAAATTGCACGATCGCTACACCAAATATATTTATAAATTTTCATTCATCGAAGACGTTTCCTATCGTCGTTAATCAACAAAACATGCATGGGCCGCCAACATGCACAGCATTTAAATACTTGCATAGAAAGATTCTTGTGTGTTTCCCCTTTTTGACAAAAGACATAAATTTTCGTGATGTAATAATACATACATACGTTAAAATGTTGATTTCATGATGGGAATTGGCGTAATCTACTCTGGTAAAATAAAGTTTGAAGGGTCTCTCGAGCCCAACTATGATCATTTTGGTTCACACGATTTCATACTTGTCAACGGAGAACATAACTTGACTAGAGAACTTCACTGGCATCCCGTCTTCGACGATGTTCACGTCCTTAATCTGAGTTGGAAAAAAAAGATAAGAAAAGTTTATGAATCAGGACTTGTTTACACGAGGCCGGAACGAAATCAAATCGGAATGAAAACCGGAATTTTTTCGTTTACATTCCTACAGGTTTCAATTCATGCCGCTCTGACCTCAGTCGGATCGGTTTAGCAGAAATGAGCTGGTAATGTTTTGTCTTCGTTTCTGTTTCATGTGAACAGGGCCTTTTTCAGACCACGTATGTCATAAAATTCTATCTTTGTGTAGATTTAACGGAACACAGTCAAAACGGTTAAGAAAATATATCGAAATCCGGTGATAAACGGAACATATCAAATGATCATGACCGATACCAAAGTTTCCAAATGAAAATAAGAGAAATTGAAATGACAATTTTATCTACTAAATTAATTAAATATTACCTTAAGATCGCAAAAGGATTTGGACGATCCAAATGAGACATTTATAGGGAAAAAATCATCTGGATGGCCAGGCATCGTAAATTCCACGGATCCAGATTTATTTGACTCGTCAATGACAGGCAGCTGCCACTCCAAAAGGGATCGCTTGTGGTCGTAATGATAGTCGCCTTCGATATCGCCCACGACAGGAGCGCCAACACCATGTCTGCAAACGAATGTAAAGGCTGTTAACGCGATTGACTTTTGATAAGAGTTATGTTGTTTGAATATACCGCACGTCGTTCCTCTTTTTAAGCCCCACGAGAGGGGGAAGGAAAAGGTTATATTTTGCTACCTTTCAATTCTCATGCTTCATTATCATCAGTTCTATTTACTGCTGTATTATTCAGCAGCCAGCCTCAGTTTAGACAGCTGCCCTACTTGTAAGGTAGCCTAAAAAGACAACCCTCGCCTTCTACCTAACTCTCACTCTCAGTAAATTAAAAAGCAATCGGAAAGTCAATCCCTCGATCAAATCGCGACAAACGATTTGATTTAAACGTTTCTTCGTTTGTACTAATGTAAAAATAAAAATAGTCACTTGCTGCGTGTCAAAATTTCAGACGAAAACGCAGTCATGTATTTGGTTATTTCTTTTCAAAATGCACTCGTGAAAGTTCTGGACTGGGTACTTCAATAAGTAGAAACTAATATTGAAGCACATTTTGTGTGAACTAGCATGTGCAGCAATTTCGCAAAAAAATACTCCAAACCCCAAGCTTCTTTTTAGTCCCCCAGTTTCGTATCACAAAATGTATTACTGTTTCTATTCAAGTGTTTTTAAAACAAAAATATGAATGCTCTCAGTTTTTACGGGTTTAAACAAGTAGACTGTCCATCTACATCTACAAACATGTAACGATACTCCCACGGGTTCAAATCATTCACTTTATCACACTTATTTTTCTTGCCCATCTATATAACTGACGAGGCCGAAAGGGTTTGTTTTATTATATATTATTATATGGCAAGCGTCACTTCTGGCTAAATGGCGCGCTTTGATTGGCTTAGAAACATTTTTGCCTGTTCATTATTTTCCGTAATGGACCACAGTCCAAAACGCGTGACTTTACAGTTAAATGAAATCAAACTTCGTAAAGCAAACAGCAAAAAGCAAGAAAAACGAAACAAAAAACCATTTACGACTGTGAGTCGAAGGAAAACATTCGGAAAACAGTTCAATTATCCAGACGATAACAATTTGAAACGATTTATTTTTTATGGATGAAAACTAGAAAAGTGAAAGCCAACCGGTAAAAAACAGCCAGGACGAGAAAGAAAGCAAGCTTCGTTTCAGGTCAAATAATTCCATATAATAAACCTTTTAATAACCTCGCCTTCTCGGTTTTTACTGAGAAATATCGTCTTAATACAAACCTCGCCCTACCGGCTCGGTCTGTGCATAAAGACCTCGTTCCGATATTTCTCCGTAAAGACCTCGCGCTCAGTTATTAAGGGCTTAATTATTACACAATATTGATGCAATCTCGATTGTGATTGGCTAAACGCCTAGAGATAATTCTCAATATCTTGCCCCCCCTAAAAAATATTGAAAATTATCTGTACGTGATGTAATTGCTCATATGAAAATTGTAAACAAAAAAGTATAATGATGGAATGTTGCTGGAGGTTTGCAAGCGTTTAACAAACTAATTTTAATGGAATTAAGTATGAAGACTTAAAATACATGGAAAGGGTTGGTTTGACTTTCAGTGGAAATACTTCATGTTAATCATCGGCAAACATACCGAGAATAACGACAGACACTTGGACAGATAATTTGTGTGCAAACGCATCGAGAAAATTACGGTAAAACCACAAGGTACATATTACATGCATTTGAACCTTTCCTCGTTAAATATAACTTCATCCTACTTGCCAGTTAACTGTAGTAAAAAAGACAGACGAATACATAGAGGTCGTTACTTACGGTAAAGGAATCGATATTGTTACATCTTTTAACTCCATTTCCTCTAGTTGCAATTCGTACTCGATATTAACGTCGCATTGCCCGTCGTTTTCAGATGGCCAACAGTTGACTAGAAACGACAAAAAAAATGACAACGTACTGATTACAATTTTCCACATTTGTTAGTCTCCTTCCCAGCTTAAGAATAAATAAACGGCAAAGAGCAACCAGAATGAGTGGGCTTAAGATTTAATTATCAATAAGTTAGATGTTGGTAGATGTAGATCGTCCAGGTTAGTAGAGTCCTAAGAAGGAACGTTGGTGTTGATGTTCACTGAAGTCTCGACATCCTTAGCGATAATGATTAGCGGAAGTTGAAACGTCAGTCAACATCAACACCAACATTCTTCCGGGCTCTATAAACCTGGACGACCTAATCTACAAACATCTAACGATACTCCCGGGTTCAAACCATTCACTTTAATAAAGAAGTATGTTAATTGAAAATCTGACTAAGACTAACGACGTTTGAAAAGTACACACAAGGGGTTGGTAAGAGAAAAAAAGAGGAAACGTGCAGAAATGGAAAAGTTTAAATCCTTCGGAGGTCGATGGTGAAGAGGTCTCTCCGGTTCTTACTTGTCAATGGCATTAAAGATTCGTCCTTCGTTTGAAGACGCCATTTCAGCACGCCGATATCGGCGTTTAATGGAAATGCTTTTCCAGATTGTTTCAGGCCAAGGACAGAATCTTGATTGAACAATTTCTTGTCCACATTTGGATGCGTCTAAAGTGGAAAAGATTTTATCAACATTCAAAAAGAAAGTACATATTGCATAGCAGCAAAGGGATGGATTAAGGGGAGGGATGCGTAACAGGTAGCCACCGAACTAATCCAAACTAGTCTAGCATGGTCTAAAAACCACACTGCAGTACTTTATGTTATTTTTCTCAATTCAAAATCCTTAACAACACACAAACACCAATGCACTCAAAGACTACGGTACTATGTGCTAGCTACGTTTTCCTTCAAAATGTCTTTCCATGAAATTGCTGCATAACAAACCATAAATGTTAGCTTTAGCGCTGCGAAGCTTATTTCATTTTTCCGATTTTGAATGCGCTTAAGTGAGAAAAAGAGTTGACAAAATCTTGCGTTTTAGTAAAACAATATATAACTCGATGAAAATAATGTCACATAGGCGCAGAAAAAGCTTGTCGTTTATACTAAATGTCGCTTCTCCCTCGGAAATTCCAAAGGCAAGTTGTTCCTTCCAAAACCTAAACCAGATTATTTAAAGCGTTCTTTCTCATATAGTGGAGCTTAACTTTAGAACAACTTGCCAGAGTCACTTAGGTTGAAGTCCGAACTAACAGCGTTTAAAAGTATGCTAGACTCTCTATATTTAAAAGAAAACGAGTTCCACACGGCAACCTGGTAGAACAGTACTTTTCTTTTATTTTACTAGTTTAATAACTTTTACTTTATTATTTATTTTTATCTCCGTATAGTTGTACATATTTTTAACCTTTCATTATAGTGTAGTCTAATGTACTAATGGTTTTCAATCGGTGTTTAAATAAAGTCAAAAATAATAATGATTATTTTAATAAAGTCAAATAATAATAATAATATTATTATTACATTGCTTTGATGTTATTTGCGGTAGACGAAGTGTGATAAATCTGACGATATTCAGAATTTAATCATTCTATCTGAGGATGACTTTGAAATAAAGTGGAAAATTTACAGTTAACTTCTCGTCGTGTTCTGATTCATATTTTTTAATCTCAGGATGTCTTGTTTCTTCGGAATTTGTTTTTTACTATATTTTTTTAAATTGTCGGCTGGACATGGTTTCTGCACATGCATCTTAAAATTATATGTACCTGAAGTTGAAAGCCCAACTGATCGTCATTCTCGACGGCGATCGTAATGCGACCGTATTCTGCATCAGATATCCTTAAGAGAATCAATCCACGGACTTCCATGTTCTGCAAACCGCCATCCCTGCCGGCAGTCAACGATATCTTCTCATCGACACTGATGTGTACTCTAAAGAGTATCATACAAGCTGATAATGAGTATTTCTGTGCTTTCGACGTACAGAGATAAACATGGTTGATAATTTCACTTAATAAATGGATTTCTCACCCAGACGTGGGAACGGCAGTTTGAGCGGGTTTCAATGCAGTTTCCCGTTTTCCTGACGACGAAACGATGTCTATGGAATAACCACACTGCATGTTAACATTGACATGGCTCATTCTAACTTGCGCAAAAAGTTACACTTAGCTATAGTAGTGGAAAAATAAGGGATCGGGGAGGACAGCAAACAACACGACACATCGGCTACATCACGCAGGAATTGCAGACTCGGAAGCGAATTCTCAATGGAACTAACTGAACGTACACATCATACAGCTTTATGGGTATTGATATTATGTTCGATGCCGGTAAAACCATGTAATTTTTTATTAAGGTTATGAATAATGAATCGCAGCATAATTTATATGCCGAAATTCTTAAAGTGACATTCTCAAATTAGCTAATCAGCAGGAGGAGCGCCTTCGTTTATTTAAGTTGTTTCAATGACTCAGTTGAATTATCTGAACGACAAGAACAAAAAAAGAACAAACAATTTTATTGGTTATATTCGCTCTTTTTCTTCAAAAAAATATATAAATTTTCCACTTCAACATTACAAGCATGAAGAAATCAATCCGTTTCATGACACTTCGAGAAATACAAGAAGAACTGTCTCACCTGTGCCTTCCGAGATCAATTTGTCTACAAAATGATCGATATCTTTTCCTTTACTTCCTAGTTTCATGGCTTTGTTGCTGCCAAGTGGTCTGTAAAAAGTCAACGAAATTGCTTTAATATACATTTAGTAGTTTGAATCATCAGCACTTCGACATTAATCCGATCATACGAATCAAAACAAAGCTTAGTAATAAGAAAGTGATTCCAAATGATTTAAATCTTCTTCAACATCACACAACATCTACATTTAAGATGAGCAGTATCGTAATATGTGATATTTTTCAGCTCCAAGCATACGTTCCAACCGCTGGTCACAAAAAATGATAAGGTATGTTTATATTTTGAGACGTGATGAAAGCATACACTTGTAGACAGGTATGAAAAGTATCATTATTAAATGCAAACTGGGGGTAGGAGGGGGGTTGGTGTGTTGTGCACACCTCCAAGTACTGGCCAGAGACGGTGTGAGAAGGGCTATAATTTAACAGCGAAATATTAATATACCAACACATTAAACAAACGCAATAGAGATTAGTGTTTCATGGAGACATTGCCAAAAAAATCTCTCAGTCACAATATAAGAGCAATAGAATATTTAACAAAACAAGACATGGCGACACCCCCAAAGTAACCATAAAAATTTAATCCAAAATAGAGCATCCCCCCGTAACAAATTATCTGAATTCAATGATGTGAATACACGATGAATGCTCCATTCTATACATCGTGTATACATCGTTACCAGCCAGCAAGTTTGGTCATGCTATGGAAATGTCAGATCATTAGAAATATACAAAACACAACCAAACTAGCAAGATGGCTACGCCACTGTGTAAAACTACAAAGAACAACCAAACTAGCAAGATGGCTACGCCAACCAATGTGTAAAACTACAAAGCACAACCGAACTAGCAAGATGGCTACGCCACTGTGTAAAACTGCAAAGCACAACCAAACTACCAAGATGGCTACGCCACTGTGTAAAACTACAAAGCACAACCAAACTAGCAAGATGGCTACGCCACTGTGTAAATGCACAAAGAACAACCAAGCTAGCAAGATGGCTACGCCACTGTGTAAAACTACAAAAGATTTTCCTGGCTGAAAGTACATTCAAACATTCTTAGCCATTAAATTTGGCTTCGATAGAACACAGTTTGGCAATTCCACACTAACAGCGGTTGCAAGTTTTGACGGTAAGGTTTAGTTAGCAACGGTCATAATCTAAAATTTACGTACAAACTTTATTCATACGCACCTAGCTGGTTTCGATGATTTAGGCGCGACTGGCTCAATGGGCGTAACCTCGACGAAACTACTCGTGTCGCTCGATTTTCCACTGCCTCCAAAACCGGTCATCGATTGACGCCCCATGAATTTACCCTTGGCCGCGGCCATTCGCGCTGCCTGGAGTTCTTTCGCTTTTCTCTTCATCAATTCCTTTGCTTCCCGTTGCTGTGTCTACATGCCACAAAATAAAACGTCATTTTGACAATGCTATGTACGAAGACCGCATACCGCAAAGTCTCGACTTTCAGGGGTCGTTTAGTTGTTTTTTTTGGGGGGGAGGCAATTAGTTTTGAGTTGCTATTTTCAGCATTAACTAACTTCAATGGTTAACTCTTAATCCAAGCTACTGTACATAAACCGTATTTTTCAATGCTTTTAAAGTTGCGTAAGGTTGTGGTAGTTGACATATTTGTACGTGAACCTTTTATTTGGAAATGTGTAAATATTGTGAAGCTCTCAAAAAAGAAGGCAGTTTCTTTCGAGAGGGTGGTCACTTTCGCAACTCTATAGTGTTAAAAAGGGCGGCTACTGTCGGGGGCGGCGGTTACTTTCAAGGGGGATTATTTTCGAGACTCAGCGGTATTTCAAAAATATTCAACATCCAACTAAATCCAGTGTAGAACAATTCGAAAGACTTGATCTCGTTAAGAGATTTTTTCAACTCTTGAAAAAATTGAACTAGCGATCCAAGGATAGTGCAAAGTTGCATTGAAACTTCCTATGATATTTTACGAGTTCTGTTTAAACTGCATTTCAATTTCACCAGTTTTGTTTGCTACAATGAATAGACAAAAGTCACTGTAAAAATGCTAAAAGTAGCTTTGTAAAGAATGTAAAGTACACTAAAATCAAGCGCAATATTTGTTATGAAACAACTGCACATTTAAAGTCTAAATGTCATTTTTTAAGCTCACTGGTGCAAACCATATTTCACTCAATTTGCTGATCATTCATAAGGAAATCTGAGGATTTTTTTAGAAGAATGCAAGTTGAAAAAATATCTACTGCAAAGACACTAGAAATTTTCTCGGTTTTGAAGGTTTTCACAGAAAAATCCAAATACCTCAAGGACTGCTTGGAAGACCTTTTCTTCATGACTATCCATTTCCGTGAACGTACGAATCTGAGCAAGATTCACGTTCTCCCTGTATCCAAGTGCAACAATTTCGTCGAAGGCAAAAATAAGCTCGAACGATCTTTCGACAACTTCGGCTTCATCTACAGATTTGCAATATTCGGGAATCTAAAGTCAACGAACAAGTAGCCAGTTTACAAAGTTTGCAATGGCAATCAAATAATGCCTATGGACCGATCTCGGCATCAGGCCTAACGTGGTTGAAAGATGTCTAGATGAGCGCCTGGGAACGAGGCTATCTATGGACCATAAGATTGAAATTCGATTTTCAAACGACAAAATCTACTGACATAATAATACAGTTGGAAATTACGTCCTGCAATCATTGGAATTGCAGAGTTTTTCGCGCAAACATTCGATGATGCCAAAAACAGTCAAAAAGTTCTGACCAATTTTGTTTTCGTGCACAAAATTCTTTCAGCCATGGAAATAAGCGCGACCACAAACAGAAACGTAGCAAGAACGTTAATTGGGAGGTTTATTCATACGCACATTCAGTTGAAAGTGATTTGGTATTTTAAAGAAATCGGCGGGCACAACTGAACATGTGAATATCTTCTTTCGCCAGACCGCACCCCCTCCCCCCACCCCTCCCAATCGCTAACCAAAGATAAAAATCAAATGTGTACAACCAATTCCACAAAAATCGGGCTGCTCCATTCAACTTCACAGATAAATTTACGAATTTCATCGTTTTTAGTGTAAGGATAAAAAATTGTCATTCCACTAACCACTCTTGAAAAAAGTCGCAGTGTCTCCAAATCCTCCAAGATGTTGCTGGCTTTGGTGGTGATGAGGAGCATGTAAAGCTTATCCAATGGCTGATAAACATAGCGAACGCTTTCAGTTTCGACGAATGTGTGCTGTTTTCCTGTGTTCATCAGCTTTGGAAAAGCACCAAGCAAACCCTCTACTCGTGACCTACTCATCTCGACAAATTGTCTTGAAACGATCGCTATAGAAACAGAGAAAAATAACTGCAGCTATGTCGACAGCTCAAACATGAATTTACCCAGTGGTAATGAGAACTGTGCCGCTTGCCAAAAACTTTTGTCATGTACAAACAGCATAAACCGGGGTCGTAAGTTTTTTTGGAAACAGTTTCAACTTTAGATAGATGCTCAAAATTGGGACGAGTTATCAGCAAAACTTACAAAAAAAAAATGTGAATCGTTGACGCAACAAGGTCACACTAAACATTTGTAACTGGTTAGTGGTTACCAAACTACTTTCTATAAATTACTTTTCATTCACTTAGCTTTTCCTAGCTGAGTTAAATATTACTAGTGATATTTTTCATAAATAACTCGGTGTAAATGTACAATAAAGTTGCTGTGAAAAGTAGCAATTAATGGTAACTTTGTCACTTGTAAAAAAGCTATTGGCGACAATGATAAAAACATGTGCAAATGACCAGGGTTGGACTTAGGGGAGGCATGCAAATGTGTGAGAACCTCTCTGAGTCTTGGCTAAAAGGGAAGGAGGAAAGGGTGGTAGTGATTTTCCTATGAAATAGTTAAAAATACATATAAAGCAAACAATAAAGCAAACAATAAAGCAAACAATAAAGCAAAAGCAAGTGTGATCAGTCTTTAATGAAGAACATGTTCAAAAATATCTTCCAATCATGGTACAAGAGCAATTTACAACACAATACAAATTACATTTTTACAACACAATACAAATTAGCCATAGGTGATATTTAAAGTATGTATCTGGCAGTGATCGTCATTTGCCAGCTTCTGATAAAAACATTTGAACAGCAGAAATTCAACAATACCTTTTCCAGCTTTGGTGCATATGGCAGCTGCAAGCAAAACCTATAGCATAGAACATGGTAAATCAACATTCTGTCAAAGATGCATATATAAGATATAATTCACAATAGTCAACAGGTCAAAACAAATTTTTGCAATGAGATTATTAATAAATAAAACTGGCTTCAGTAGGTTTCACTGTCAAGGTGTAAAATTTTAAATGTCTGCTTTGCTCAGCAAAGAATCATTGTAGTTTATATAAAGTGATTTTTTATTCATATAGTTTTTAAATAAAATTTTACACAATTCCAATTTTAAAAGCTTGAATAATTTTTGCACTGGCTATGATTGGTGATGATTTGTGAGCAATGTTGATTCCTGATTTGATCTAAAGGCAAGACTTGATCTCATATCTTAGCAGATGTTTTAAAATGACCAGATTTAATTTATTGAAAATTTCCTTTAGACCTCCATGATTTAGAGTTAACAGAATACAATCTCTTGGAAATTTTCCCTTGCAATTTCGTTCATCTCATAAATCACAATATAAATCACTGGGAACACCTTCAATTTCAACAATTACAATTGATAATGGCTCTCTTTGTTCTAAGATGTTATATTTTACTATAAATAGTTTTCCATGCTATTCACTAGAAGTAAAATGTTGAAAAATTTCCCCCGAAAAACCACTATGAAAACTAAATTCGAAAAGCATTTGTGTGGATTTAAATTCAATTCGCAAGCGTTGGAAATTGAAGAAACATGCACAGTTCCTGAATTAACACAAACAAATCGTCGCTTGTTCTAAAAAAATATTGGCCGCTCTTCGAAATTTCGATCAAAATCTTAATCTTACCATTTTGAAGACAATACTCCGCTAACGTTTCCAATGATAAATGCTCTTTTTATGCCTCGAAATCGCAAAATTTCACAAGTAAAAAGTTTAAGTTGCCTGCCATTTATGTCCACGTCTGCATGAGTGGATTAACTTTAGTTACCAGTCCACGTCGTTCTATGTTGTTTCTTCGTGGACGTCATGTAAGACTTCTCGTGTTCTAGTACAGTGGAGTCTTCAATCAGTATTTTCCTTTCGTTGGCTCTGCACGGTATGAAATGCTTGAGTTTTTTTACTTTTTACATCCACTCTATCTGAGAGAACACTAGAAGTCAAGCAATGTGCGTAGTGAGGAAATTTAGTAATACACTTATTGTTTCGATTTGCCTAACAAAATTTTGTGCTTAACTTGATCATATCGTGACTTTGTCAAATTGCTATCTGGAAGTGTGTCTTCCAAGATTTTATTTTGCTCTAAAGTTAACTTTTATATTTTATGCCATGTAGGGCTTTAGCTGTCTGCTGTTCTTACAGGTAATTTGACGTAGTTTAATTATAACCGTGTTACGACGACAATGTTCATTCATTTTTTTTAATACAATTTACGACGAATCTATGTTTTTTTATAGAGCATTCTTCTGTTAATGTTAACATTATCAAGAAGTGCTACCTTGACTAAAACGCAAGTATTTTGACATTGTTTCGCTTCTTGTAGTCTTTTCATCATTTTCTTCAAGAGAATGAGCTGTTCGTGTGTTTCATTGATGCAACTACAACTAGTTGTAGCATTTAAAGAGAATTAAAGAAATTTTTATCAACATTGAATCAACCAAAAATGCCAGTACAAAATCCATGATATGTCAGATTTTCCCAACCAGATCATGAAGTAGAAAATACAATTTGTTTGACAGGAAAAAAATTCGACAAATATAAAATAACCATCTTAACATGGATATGCATCAAATAATTCTTATGAATTTTCATTTAAATTGAAGTAATTTTGATAAATACATAATCTATAAACATTTTTCCACTAAATTATTCATTTTTCTTCGCGATAACACTAATTTGTAAAATTCTTTCATTACATAGGAGACTCTGAAGCTGTCGCCAAAATCAAATTAATTTACTTGCAAAATTTAGTGACAATTTTATTGGTGTTATTTAATAGTTTTAAACTCGGGGTGATTTCTAACACTTCTCCATTGCAAAATAAGTTTTTAGCCAATTTGGTCGAATCCGTTTCAAGTGGGCTGTTTCATGGCTGTTTGAAGTGGACAAAAATGCTCTTCTTGATGGTCCTTGGCCGTCGTGAAAAGTGTTGAACGACCTGCGTTACCCAATCTATTGAAAGCCAACTCTAAATCTCATGGTTGTTAAAAGAAGATTTCATCAACGCCAATAAACTTTTTTGCTGGTATAGATATTTAAAAGATAACTGTCACAAAAGACATATTACATGTTATTTATTGTAAATTTGAACAGTGTACATTGGTCCTCATCAAAAAAGTGTGGGATGACCAAGGCGATCCAGACTTCATGCCACCACAGAAAAGTTCCATGGAAAGGCAACTTTAAATCTCAGTTGTTAAAGGAAGATTTCACCAAATTGAAAAATTCTATAACCGATAACGTTAGAAATTGCGTCAAAATTTACTACCGGTATAGGTATTTTAAAGATAACTGTCACAAAAGACGTTTTACATTTTATTTAATGTTAATTTGAACATCGTGCATTAGTAGACATTTTTGTGATAACCGCGCAGTAAGACATTTTTAACTGGCGGAGTGTCTGGTTCAGTTTCCCAAGTAGCCAAAGATTTAATATCTCTGTTTTGCATGAAATTGAAACTTATCAAACCAATATAACTGTTGAGAAATTTTGTAAATAAGAACATCTTATGCTGATTTTTAACATAATTAAATTCAAACATTTATTTTGAGTGGGGGATCGTTCATTTCAGACTATAGCTTTATACATAAATCGTACATCATAAATATGGGATAACTCAGACAGGAGTGCCTTCCATGGTGTTTTCCCGTCGATAGTGAAATTATGACGTTTATATCGTCAGTGGTCAGTGGTCACCACCAATGAAAGTGCGACCGTTGGCCTGACGTCGACCATAAAAGCGCGCGACTTTATTTTTTTACTATTTTATTTTATTGACTTATTACTTTGGAAAAACGATTACTTCAATTATTTATGTTGTTACAAACTAACTTTCTTTGACAATTGCCATTTGGCATATAAAAAAAATTATCGACTGTCTGAATATAATGGAAAATAGCGTGTTAAAGTTTTATAGTTGACTCATTGTTGCCGGAGGCGAATGTTCTGTTTTCATATTCGGCGAATGCAGCTTAATCTCACGGAGGTAAGCCTTTTTGAATTATTTAAATCATCGAATGAGTTTGTACTATTGTATTGTCACTCATTTGCACGGTAGTAAATCGAACGTCGATTGAGGGGGGCCAATGCTGACCATATTCATGTTGATTTCTTTTGAATGTGTGATTATTTTCAAAAGAAATTAGCCAGACGTACAGTCATCGCGTACATTCAGAAGTAAAATAGAGAGTTTGTCGTGGTGATCAGTATCTTTGCAAAATTGACATTATAAATATCGATTGAATTTATTTTCTCGTTTTGCAGACTTTCTACTGATAAGTAGTCAGCCGAAATGCTTGCATCGTGTCTGTCTTAGTTTTTAATATAGTTATTTAAACTATTTCGGCCACTGCAATTGCTATTTTAAAAAATTTTCAAATTCTGAGATCCATTAATCTGAAATGATCGCATTCTCCAAATGGAGGCTGGATATAGCCTTTTGCCCCCCCCCCTCCCCACGCGCACACACCCTTTTGAGGTGCTTGTCATCTTTTATGAAGCCACTGAAACGAATATGACCACAGGTATAGTGAATACACGGTAGAGCCACTCCACTTATATCTCATTACGCTTGTGATCACCATCGTGGAAGTCAGCAGGTTGGTGAGCTTTTCGCATACCAAAAGTCAAATTACTGTTCGAAAAAAGGCAAATTCGACAAAATCAAGCCAAAGAGCATTTTTACTGGAGAAGGCAGAAAAAAGCCCAATTTAACCAGCATTTTCATTGCTATATTCAAACAGCCTCTATCCCAGTTTGTTCATATTGACCAAACGGAAAAAAGTTAAATTTTTCACTGATTGCAAAGTTTAACTACGAATTACAAATCACAATGACATAAATTAAAAACTGGCATGTTATCTCATTTATGGATACGTTCACACAGTCCATTGATGATCCATTATGTCATCATCAATTATCATTAGTTGACTTGGTTTAGCTTTAGCAACGAACATTACAGTCGAGGGGAAAAAGCCAAAGGCCACACAAGTTTTTGGATGCCAAACGAGAAAAATAAAAGACAAAAAGGTTTTTAGTACATTTACACTCCTGTCAAAAACATAAATTCAAGCCATGTCATTATCGCTATAATCAAGGGCATGCTCTTACGTCATTATTATTATTTATTAATGCGATTGAGTGGTAATAATAGAAAATGTTAGATAATTCTAAAAAATCTGCAGTTAAAACAGGAACTTGCCCAACTTTAAAAAAATCGCTTGCATAGAAAAATTGAAAATGAAACAAATTTTCGTTCACAAGCATTCTCAATGAAAATATCGTGCTTATATCACAGGATCCAAGGTTACGAACAGGGGGGTGTTACCCATTAAGCACTTATGGAAAACGTAAATTTCATGACACAAAGCTAAGCAAACCAAACATAGATCAAATTGCAAAAATATTTGCATAAGCTTGAATTTGGTTGTCTTCGTAAATTTTGACAAACAGATATTTCAAAAACACACAAGATTCTCCAGAAGTCTAAGTCTGCATCAAAAGGAAACGTTTTTCTAAATTCTGTTCATGCTGCACTTTGACACAAAAAATTGGCACTATCACTATGCAGAAGAAAGTAGACAGTTTGAGACTTCCAATCTGAAGAACACTTATATAATGTATTCTTTGACAAAGACTTACATACTTTTCGGCGTCGTACCATTACTAAGTTAAGTGGAAAAGACAACTCTCTGAGAACACAGGTGTGGGAAATACCATTTTTAATTTTGCCGTAAGTGTGCACTAGAAAAATTATATTGGCTGGTCGAGACACGAGTAGAAATATTACTTTGAAAAAAACAATATATTGACACAGAATGTCGCTTTTCTTTTTACACGGGGATTGGGAGCGCGTAAAATCTGGAAAACATCGTATACGATACACATTTTCTCAAAAAATAAAGTAAAAAGATGGTGACTATGCAATGGTTGTACCCAACCATGTTTAATTATTTCGTTGAGTGGATTCACTGACAGTATTGAGAACTGATTTATAAAATTTTCCATTTCGATTTTCATGAAGTGTTTGCACTAGAAATTTGACATTGAATGCCAAGATGGTTTTGTCCTGTCGATCATGATAAAGATCCTTCTTCCGTCGTAGCTGAAACACAACTATGGAGAGTGTAGTAATGGGTGTATTGCATGAAAGAGAGTTGCTTTCAATTGTCAACAGTAAAGAGAAAAAATGAGTAAAACTTCATGTAAAGTTCAACAACTACTGACGAACCAATTTCTCACTGCTTACCAATTACTTGCTTTGTATACAATGGGTAAGAGATTTATTTGCATTTTATCAACAATCGACATAATTTTTGTTTCATTCTTCTGTGTATCACGCAATACTACAGTTAGCGATATAATGGAATAGTTTTACTTGTATTGCTATTTGGGCCTTATAAATAAGACTGTGTAATTTGCAAGGATGCATAAGGCAAAAAACTTAACTGGAACTGGATGTAAAGTGAAATCTTGCATTATAGCTATCGGTCGGATAAACTTTCTGTCGTGTGAAAGGATTGGAACTAGTTAAATTGCTGGAAGGGAAGTGGCCTTCCAGGCATATTCACTTCGATGGTATGATGTCATTCCTGCCTGGCAGATTCTATATACAGTACACAAACCATTGAAAACACCCAAAGGAAACATTATGGAATTCCTACTCCTAGTAAGCATGTCTGCTGAAGATGAAAAAAAAGTGTAGAAATGACGGCCTAACAACTAATTAGCAGCATTGTAATTCAACAGTTTCGTGTATTAATTAAGTGTAATTTCTCGAGAAAAAATATTAAAAGTATAATAATCACAACTAACCCAGATTTGCTCGCATGAGCGTAAAGTAAGGCTTTGTCTATTTTTCTTTGTTACTTTCATTTGTCGAGGCCTGTTTCTCAAACGTTTGCAAAACCATTTCGAAAAGAAGAGTTGACGGAAAAAAGAAGAATCTGAACTACTGATGTACCCTGCAACAAATCCCATAGGCGCATTAGGCGGGGGTGGGTGGGGGTAGCTCCCTCAAACTGCTGGGCAGAATAGGCCAGTCAAGCAATATCTGGAAAGTCAGATAAAATAGGTCATTGAAGATTGAAAATGTGCCGACCACCCCCCTAAAAAAATTAACCAGTACGCCCATGTCAATTCAAATATCTTCCAAACTGGGCAAAAAGCAATTTTTTCAAGAAACTGATGCTTTTCAAACTGAGCTATTGCAAATATCAAGGAAACAATTTGTAATTGAATGAAAAGACGTGCCTTCTTGAAAGAAATAAACGCCATTAAAGAGAAATTATTCATGTCCAGAAGTACAATCAACAATCCATCAGCAGCCGGTGTGCCATAGTTTGGGAGCATTTACTGTAAGATGATAAAATGATAATCGCTTTTCTGAATGTCTCTTTTATTCAGTGGCATTACAAAATCTTCGTCTAAGTTCGGACTTACGTCAATGACGTAATGAACGCATGTATTGAAAAGGTAAAAAACCAGGGGGGGCGAGCCCTCTTCGATTAAAAAGGTTCCAAGCCCTGCTCGAGCCTTCTTATAGCTTTAGCCTATAAAGCTTTCTCTTCGATAATGCTGATCTTCTAGCACGAAAAAACGAAGATATTCGTCTCTGATATGGGCGACGCAAAAATATGTGAAAAATTTCATATTAACACAAGTAGGGAACTGGAAGCACAGAGTGCACGCGGTGCTAGCTTTGATTGTTCTCTGTTTTTGGTTTAGCGTAATCAATGAGTCGACCCGCGAGTCATTGTAATAGGAATACGTCATTCCCTCGAAATAATTAGGTATATCACATGTCGCCGGGTTGCATTTACATAGCATGTAGCTTGTCAAGTAAATCCAGTAAAAAGTGCCAAACTTCTTTCGTGTAACAAGTTGTGAATCTCGTTTGATGAATGTTGAACAGGTGCGATGAAGAATGAGCAAAAGTGGTGAGTTGCCTGCTGCATTAAAAATACAAAACGATCACGTTTGTTTCACTAAAATTAGTCCAATATAATCATACACTGTTGATTGTGGGCAAAAAAGTGTTGGAAGGATCTTACTTAATGTTACTCGTTTCTTTTTGAGTTTCATAAAAAAATTGTGAAAAAAAATGATAATAGAATCCTTAAAAGTGTTAATTGAAATCATTTTCACGCCGAATGGCTATTAATGGCTATTAACATGAAGAGAATTTCATAATATTTTACACGTTTCCTGTTTTCTTGTATTTAACAGTAGTTCGTTCTAGTGTGCCTAAATAGTTTTTTCGCATTATTTCAAACACAGATTGCGGAACTTACTAACAAGTAATTTTAGAAAAATCTATTCAACGCGTAAATCATTAAGTGCACGAGAAAATACAATCCAAGTTGCCGAGCAATCAGTGCGCAAAAATTTGCTTAGGTTTGCAAATCTGTAATTGGGGAAAGAATCGCAAAGAATGATAGTTTGAAGTTCAGATAATAAATTTTATTCAACGTACGAGGGTAACTACTTTTCTGCGTCACGTCTAAGTTAGTGACATTTTTAAACCGAATAGGTTTTCCGAAACAAATATTTTATGAAAACGTCAAGAATGCGCGCTTGTGCTTATCGGATTACACAAAATAGAGCGATTGTATAATGCTTCAAAGCAAGACTGACGAAAGTATATGCTATTAAACGAAAATAACCTTGAGGTGACTTAAATTCACGGTGTTTACTCGTTCGTGGGCGCATCGTGGCAAGCACCATTGGGCATTTTAACGAGTCAATGGCTCACATGCATCTTTTTAAACGGCTGTTAAACTGAATAAACAAAAAGAGGTCAAATGTTGAGCGTTTCATTTTATATGTTTAGCCATTTTTCTTTAAGTTAAAACACAAATTACCATAATATCGAATAAAATATGTTCATTCACACAGACTACTTGTGTGCGTGAGTAAGTGGTTGTCATTTGTGACTTGAAGATTTGAAGCTTTGCATATATGATAAAGCACTTATATTGATTCCTACATTAATACATCTAAAGAATGAATGTAATGGGTATTAACGCTATCAAACAAGCTATAAACAGAGCCTCTCGCAAAAGAAGTCGAGATTTTCTTAATAATTCCGTTATAAATAAAAAAGTCTGAAATATCCCGGCATTTGCCCCTGTTTATCCAAAGATGTGGCTATTGCGTGTTTTAAACACAACTGGAGCAACAGAAAATAGACTTAAAATATTATTTCACAATGCGTTTTGTTTAACAAGTGCAAAATATTTCGACGCAGGTAATAACGTGATGCCCAAAACAAAAACAACCGAGATATTATTTTAAGATAACTCACTCCAGTCGTATGCAATGAAATTGAATATCAAGCTATTACTCGTCTTGAACATGTCGCAAACTTTTCGTGGCATATTAAAGCTGCTAGATTATGTTGATGAAATCGATGTGTTTATGTAGTCGTATAGTGGTCGGTTGCTGGAAGAGAGGTTTATGTTATCTCCTTGCTCATATCACTGATGCATGAAGACATGAGAATTGAAAAAACCTCGAAAATAGTAAAGCTAAGCATGAATTAAATTTCCCATATAGGTCTTTTTTTTCATGGACATAAATGGCACGATGGCAGTGCTGAACGTTTATTGTAATGTACGCTATTAAAGTAGTTCTATGACGCCATACAAATGTTTCAGTACGAAAGGAGAAGATTTTCATAACCTGATTATTTCCTATAAGAGAAACATCACTATATTATATGATTCTAAAAAACAAAAATGCAGCGGTTAGACGGACGGTATATATTTTGCGTAAAATATGCATAGATGAAGCCTGACGACATCCTTGCTTTCAAGTGTCAGGTTATGTAAAAATGTTTATATTTTCAATCGAGAATTTAAGTGTTTACGAAAGGAAATTTTGCCACGATGCTTTCTGATTGCATTGCAAAGAGTATTTAATAACTTCTTCCATTGAATTGTGTCAGTTTGAATAAAACGCCGATACATGAATTTGTCAAAAGAAGATTTTTTACAGCAAATGCACGCCGAGGACAATCAGATTAGGGGCGGTATTTTTTTAATCACTTTGCCGACGAAGTTAATGATATCCTGACAAAGCTTCTTTACATGTAAGGACAAAATGCTTTTCTTGATAGCAGGAATTAAAATGAGAAATTTGTACAAGGATCACGTCTCAAAGCCTTTATTTTTTCAACGAGTTTGTTTTGGCTTCGCTATTGTTCTGCAATTGTCACACCACAGACTTGCAGCTCTTTCGGTGCAGACATTCTTCCTTATCTTTCTGCTTTCAAGCATTTCCATGTGAATGATCGAATCATAATGATTTTGAATATTTTTCAGCCTAAAGAAGTCGCTCCATTTTCAGTACAAATCAGAGGATTTTTTGCGTAAATCAAATGACAAAACCAATACTGCCACTATATTTTAAAAACAGAATATATTTTGATTCTTCTTACTGAATGCGCTGAACACACATATTTTCATTTGTTAGCCCATGCACATTTCTGATTTACAAAGGCACAAAGTGTGATTAAAAAACACGCTTGATTTTATTTGAACGCCTGCTTGATAACATAAATTAAAAATTACTGACTGCTTTTGTTCAAGAAACCGACCGCCATTTATTTCGTAGAAATTTACGGATCATTTTTCAGCACACTACACACGCTCAATACGTCCCTGGTTTTACGACAAACAGACATAGCTATATGTGTGTGGTAAGTCCAAGGCATACAGTGGACTACTATAATCAGAAGTGAAAAAGCAATGTCCTTCAAGCACATCCAAAGGAAATTTTCACTCGATACTCAAGCTGTAAATTAAACATGCAGTAATTGAGCATATTTACACAAAACACTCGTTTCTAGCAATTTTTCGCGGTTTTTCAAATTTGAACATGAAAACTGAAGTCAAGAACATCCAAGGCAATTGAACTCGAATCGCTAAAGAGATAATTGAAGTATCTTAAAAACAATGGAATCCAAGTTCATGAATTAGCAAAAGACCGTCATTTTCAAGTGTCTACCTAACTGGCGAAGGAGAAAAACAGTGGCGGATCTAGGGTGCGTCAAAATAAAATACTGCGAAACATTTTGGAATATATAAATATACATTTTTAGCACCATTTCTTATATTCTTTAGAAATTCAAAGCTAACAGTGTTTGTCTGAAAGTACTTTGAGAAATTGAAATTGGAAAGCTTTAATTTATTTTGACGAACGCTGGATCCGCTTCTGAGAAAAATCATGAAAATACTTATGAGTTCTTATTGATATTGCACGTGGAAAAGAGGAAAAGTTCCAAGGTACAGTCGGCATTTTTGCTCTCATGTTGTTGGCGGCCCACGGTTGTGTAAACAAGAGCGATAGAATTCACGCTGGTTCGTCTGCGTTGACCGAAGTTTGTGGTGATTGACAAGCGTGGGCGCGGCAAAGGAAGGCCTAGTAGGCAAACAAACTTAAATACTGCCATATAAAGAGCGTATTTGCCATGGTAAATGACAACCACACCTTCGGTAGTTCTGAAAAGAAATGCTATGACTAAAAATTAAAGTAAACTAAATTCAGCGAATCAAACTTATAGTTATTAAAAGCTGTATTTCTGATACTTGTAAATTATAGTAATCTTAATCATAATCTTAATCATAATCTTAGTCATAATCACCATTTGCAACTTCAAAGTTCAATTCATATATTCATTCTACGGGTGATATAGCATCGGCTGTATACAAGAATATGAGAAAAGTTAGCTCTGCCTCGTTTATTGGCAGTACTTTGCTATATTCCATTGTCACTAGGCGTCTGGTCTTGAAGCTAAGAATTAATTCCCTGGCCACAACCAGACAACTTGTTAGCGTCATCCTTATGATTCATGGACAGTACGTCAGAAACTATTGAAATGAATGCACCGCAATCAAGCATGAAAGAAAGTATTTGGACTATTCGCTGCTTTTGGCTTCGAGATTGTGATTCTCTCACTTAACCTGCAATGAAAACAATAACAGGCAAAAGAGAACAAAAAAAGATAGGAAACTTAAATGAATAATTGCGCATGCTCTAAAGTTTTTCAGGGTGAAAACGCATTGACGAAACCATTTGTAAACCAAGGTAAATTTGTGCAAAAAAGAATTTGAAATCACTTAGCTTGACAAAGTCCCATAGAAACCTCGACGACCAGACACTAGCTAACTGAGATGTGTTTACAGATCATCTCCAAACAATATATAATGAAGTTGTGCACTTCAAAAGGCGACGTCCCACACTAACCACAGCAAGATCGCCTTGAATGCAATCATTTCAGCTGAGCTCACTTCTCTTGTCTAAAACTGTTCTTGGTTGGAAAGAATAGATCACCTGCAAGTGAGCAAAACACTGTTGCAAACAAGACATCACCAAATTTTCTTTTTCATGGATGTCACTCAAACACAATAAAAAAGCCACATGAAGATTCAAAGGTAAATGTGACTCTAATGTGAAGTGTGAAGGCAAAAACAATGGAATGCTATGCAATGAGGATTGTGAAATCCGAATAGAAAAAGAATTCAGCAGCGAATAAAGCTATGTCTGCTTTGTGCGTGAAATTGTTCTATTTACTTTCACTAAAAATATTGCAAACAGCCTAGTGATTTCATTTATTTCTTATTTGAAGAGTGTGCTGGGGCGTCGGAGGCGGGCACCGCCCAATGCCGAATGCCCACTCATTTTGAATAGATTTTTATACTCACACGTCAGCAGAAAATCTCAACATGATGAGAATTTATAACATGCAGTAAATGATTTCGCCACTATTATGAGAAAAAGTAAAAATGGGCTGTCTTACCCTTAGAGTCGTCGTTTGTCTCAGCAGGTAATGTTAATAACAATTTAGACTGACGTAGAAGGTTCCAAATATTTCACTATTTGCTTTTGGGTCTAGCATACTCTTTCACAACATATGAGATGCGGTATGTATGACGTTCTACAATCTTTGCACTTCGAATTTTCGATTGTATACAATGCATATACCTGCAGAAAACTTAATCGGTGCTTATAATTTCTGTGATGTGCCTGCGCACATTTATTGTTCTCCTGACGCCATTCATTGTGTATATATGGTGTTTCATTTGAAGAAAACGTAGAAGATAAACACATGAAGGAATTTGCCTCTCATTATTTTCCCCATAATTCTATCTGGAATCGAGAGAAAAATTCTGGAGCAACTTCCGAAGGCAAGAAGTCGACACACTTTGTGTAACCACGTGTTAAAATACTCATGATTTGTATTCACACAAACATTTGCTGCCGTAATTTTCAATGGTGGTTTAGCCGTGCACTTTCTGTTTCATGGACAGTGTCAATTTCGCCTCAGTTTGATTCAGTGCGAAAAGCTAAACAAGATGCATAATTTTAACAACGCGTTCGTGTTCAGAGTAACTTTTTTGATCCATTATACGATTGCCTTCGCAATTCAATCAGAAACTGCGTGATAAAATTTTGTGTCATAACATAAAGGTAGCTTTATAGTTTAATTTTAGACAGACTCTTCTCGTATTACTGTTTGTTGTAATTCAGGAGATGATATAATTCTAATGCCAAAACCAAATGCGACATCTCATCGCCGATTTTTGACGAAACTCGCTCGCGTAAGTTTTGAATGAAAAGCTTCATGAATGGCGAGGCTCGGTGGAAGAAATTGCATCAAAGAATTTGTTCTTGTATGCACATGTCGCGTGAAAAGTGACGATGCTATTTACCGATAGGCGTTCCTATATGAATTTCATATGTTAGCAAGTGTCGAAGTGTATGAAGTCGAACAAAGTACGACAACAAAGCCCGTTCCCATGGTTTGTTGTAAACAAGAATTATAACCATATGGAAAGTATATTTAAACGTTGACATGTCACACACTTGACTTGCAATTTACAAAGGTTTACTCAAATTCTTCCAATCTATTTAATTTTCCACTAATTTACATCTAATTTTCATTTTCATTTAAATTCCGCTAATTTAATTCTAATTCTAATTTTAATTTTTGATTTTAAATTCAACTCATTTATTTCTAGTCTTGATTTTGATTCAATCTGATATTTACGCTCTATTTATTCTTCCACTCTATTAATCCTCCTAGGCCTTATTCAGATACAAACATTAAGTCTTCCGAGACATCGAAAGCCCAATTCAGAGTTCGAAAATCCAGTGAATCTTTTAAGGTATTGCAAGAATGATTTATGCGCATAATTTAAAAATAATACAGGTATTCAGTGCAGATTCGTAGGCAATGTTTGATCAGTAAAATCCACTGTAATCGCACGCCTGTAAAACAGCTATAATTAAACGATGCAAATATGGCAAAAATTTTGTCAGTCCATACGTATACAGTATACTTATTAGCACTTATTCACGGAATGCAATGTCTAACGTACCGGCCACTAATACGACAGAGGTTAAAAAGGCTTTACCGTGAAAATCGACTGGTGCGTTAATGAGTAGTTTATAATGTGAAATTAAGGTATTTAAAGATTAAACTGTTCACGACTGATTGTAATCGGCTAAAGCAATTCAAACGAAAAATACCGCGTACGACAATGGCAACAAAGTTAAATAAACCGGCTTCGCTGCTTTTTGCTGATAATTTCAAAAGTTTTGCCCCCTCCCCTCCCCAGCTACCAATTTTTTAAATTTCTTCGAAAGTTATTGGTTATTTCGAACGACCGTTGAAAATTAGCGCAATAAATTTAAAACAGATTTGTATTGACAGATGTGTAAACATCGCGCAACTATCACTGATATTGATAATGATAATATTTCAATAAAATTCGAATGCAGATATCATTGCTCTTTTACAAAAAGAAAACTGACGTTTGCAAAGCGAAAGAAGTCAAAACCACAATAAACATGGTGTGCAAAAGCGTAACTAAAGACCCCCACGTGCTCACCTAACTTCCAATGGCGATACACAATGTTTATATGCCCATACACATTTAGGGGCTCACAGCATATAGCCCTTTAATAGAGCAAGCGCGTAATATCCCTTTCTTCATTCTTATACATATCGCTGTTTGCAGTTGCACGGATGCATGATAGAAGGAATAGGAAATTCGATTGTTTTACTTAACACCTTGTCAAGTCGTTTGTGAATCGTTATCTCTGGGCAAGATTAAACACGTTTCAGGCAATTTAGTGTGGCTATTTAAGCGTATGTAGTTTGATTCCGCAATCAAAGGATCAAAAACCTCGAAGAGAAAGGTTGAATGGTATTTTAAAGGCAAAGGAATACAAAAAGTGGAATCCGTTGACCGTATACATCAGGTATTTCATACATAGCTCTAATTGATTTCTGCATGTCAACGAATTTTCATCGGATGTACTAGAAATCCATTTAAAAGTAACTGTGTAGAATTTTTGTAGCTCTCTATTAAATGAATGCTCTGTCCTAAGGTCAACTTACTAAATTATACCATATGTATCCCTACATTTCAAAATATCCATGTTGCTCTGTGTGAATCGCATCTCTAAATTATCTTCAACCAGAACATTGCCTTATGGAATAAGTCGCCATTTAATTCACATAAGCCCAGTGCACACGAAACAAAGTAGGGTGGTTGCACAAGTTTGAGCACTATGATTATATAATTTTTGAACCAAGCGTACGTTGTCTTTGAAATAGAACGTAGTAACAATAGTTATCGATAAAAAATGTTTAGCTTCGACAAGCCTGTTACTGAAATTCGGTGCACAATCATTCCCGTTGCCAAACGTGGGCGGTGTACAGAAATATACATCATTCCATACTGAAAAATGCGTAAAATTTGTTTTTGCTCTCTATTCGATGAATGCACTAGCCAAAGGTCAACTTACTCTATTTTACTATACCATCATACGTTTTAAAATGTCTTTATTACTTCATGTGTGCATCTCTAAAATATCTTGAAAAATATCAATGGTATTTTGTACAACGTCATATAAACATTCAATATATTGCCAATTGTTAGTTCATTCTATTTTACTATGCTTCCCCACGTTTTAAAATGTCCGCGTTGTTCTCTGCTTGTGTATAGCAACTCTGTGAAATATTTTCAATGGAAACATTTGGTCCTTATACAGCTAATTCGTACAACGCGTTCGATGAATGCATTTGCGAATTGTCAAAACTTATCCTAGTTTACTATTAGCTCATGTCTGGCGAATTCAACGAGAAAGAGAGCGATAAGACCCAAAGCAGGTACAACAATATTTGAATCTTTCATAAGGAGGCAACAAAGGCCAGCTACGGCTATTCATTCGTGGAATGTGGGTAGCGGGTTTCATTGTCAGAACAGAAGCAATCGCGTTTTTGTTTATGAAAAAAATTAAGCCACCTATCTATCCCCTGTAGCGACATTTCATTCATTTCTATACTAGTATAGTATTCATGAATAGATAACGAGTTCATATGCAATTGGTTATAGTTTATAATTAAATCGTGAATGTTTGGCATTTATCGCTCGCAGCAACGCAGCCTTTTGCAATTAGCGCATTTCGGGTGCTTTGGCCATATCATGATTACCTTTTTGTGCATTATCCAGCATACTGAATCTACGTCAGGAAGATTAACGTATGAGGTATTCAAAAAAGGTCTCTCATCAAGTTCACTGATTGATGTAACTTTTCCGATAAAGTGAGAGTTTGATTCATCACAGCGCTCGTATCTCCCCAGACCCCAGCAAAGCCGAAGCCTGATTTTTTATCAACTTCGCAATTGTGACTGGCACATGTCGAATGCACAATAACAATACGTTACGCTTTCGGAGCAAACGTAATGAGTGATGTCAATGGAGCTAAAATCCTGCTGTTAAAAATGACGTCTGTGCATTTGTTAGCGAGTGCGAGCAAAATTCCGTTCAAGAGCATAAATATAATAAAAATATAGGACACAAACAAACATCTTAGATATCATCGATATCGTTTACGACTGCTTATATACACATAGATATATGTATATTGAATGATCATTTTCGGGTTAAAAACGAGAACACATAGCTCAATTGAGGGACAGCACTTAAATATTGCACGCCTACACGAAATAAATACATTCATGTGCTTAATCTAACAATAAAGTTGCAACTTTGTCCGTCATAAATGTACATTAATAAACATTAACCAAGTAATTTAATAATTGTACACCGTAAGAGCAAGAAAAGAAGGATCACTGAATTGAAAAGAAAGGAGGTTAGATTAAAAAAGAGTTGCTCCATTAAAGCTTTAACGACATAAGTTTTTGCATTAAGATTTGTAATCTTGAAATGCTACTTTGCATGTATTGGATAGAACAGTGAAGTGTTGTATTTCTGTCAACAACAGGATTACTAGTCTTCAGCCATTTATTGCGTCAGTTCATTCGTAAAGCCTACATTTCTTAACGAAAGACTGACGTCCATTAAGTCTACTTGCGAGAAATGTTATTTTGCAATTGAATTTCACTGATGCATGTTAAAGCATCAAAATACTAGATTCTATGCAGTTCACATTTCACAAACCATATTTTTAGGCGATTGGTATACTGAAATACGAATAAGTACGCAACCAAGTTTATTTGCCATATATGTTTGAAATATAGATCGAATTACCCAGCAAAATTCGTGAAAGGACACATAATGGTCAATCCGCGAAAACAATGTCTTTTTTTTCGAAGATATTGCGCGCAACGATCAAGTGCATGCATCACGAAGGTTTGAAAAACAACGTTTCCTTCATGGAAGAAACGTTATAAGGACAATCTACATGCCAAGTCCTCTTTTGCACAACAGCCCTCCCCTCCCCCCAAAAAGAATAATTAGGCCATTTAAAATCCACTGATAGACATGTAACCCAATGCGTTGGTGTGTAAAAGTATGGTGCACAACTATTATTAATAAACGACTACGCCGTAGGCGACAGTTGTAGCTTTTGTGACAGCGAATTTCGAACTATTTTGGATATATTTACAGCTGAAAGTATTTTTCGAAATTTCTATGTGGGTGGGTTGCTGGTACTAGAAGGGTAATTAAAAACAAAGGCATAACAGCTTGCCGACAACTAAAATCCATACTGTCGCGACGATTGCAGTTAGCTCTCAAGAAGTGTTATTAATTCCCAACTTTCGCACGCCTATCTCGATGGTGCAACGTCCTTGTATGTGTGTACAACACAATCTCATTCTTCTTTATTGATCGTCTTAAAACGTCTTTCTTTCACAAAATGAACGCAGGAACAGAGCTCGGAAAATTACAAGTCGGCCCATAAGCCCAACTTAACTTCAATTGGCCTTCATTGTTAAATATTATGTTAAAGTTTTCACTGTTAAACGTCCGACACAATGGACGTTGATCGTTCTGCAAAGCGACATATTATTAGCTCAATATGCCCCCTTATAGTTGTGATTGTTTCTGCCTACTTCAATTAAAGCAACTTTGTCTGTATTGACAAGCCTGCGACGCATAATCGTCTCGTCGGTACACAAAAGCATTGGCCTTTGACTTCGTCTTTTTTGCAACAATTACAAAACTGACCAAACTTCAAGTAATTGGTAATTACTGATCGCCTGTTCCGCCTCTAATGCGAGGGTCACGATGGACCAATCGTGTGGTCGCAATTGTTTAGCGCACAAACGTGTTCGGGCAAGCTTACAGCCATTGTCATATGAAAATATAGACGTATTTGTTTATTAAACTCGTTTACAACGAAAGCATTCACCTAGTGTTCGTGCCGAGTGAGCAATTGAACGTACAGTTACCAGACATTTAGATGTAATGTCCCAGAAAATGTAGTAACTGCCAAATGAGCTTAAGTCAAAATGATGTCGAAACATCATCGTGCGATGAGGTAATCTCGACATCTATGGACTGGAACGAAAACTTCATGAGGTAACAAGATGATAGGCGCTGTATTACTTTAACATATACGTGTCTTGGCTGGCTTAAGACCTTGAGATTTCGAGGTAAGAAATTTATTGTAAACGATTCCTTACAGATTTTGATTTAAGCCGTCGACATTTATGTTAGAGCCACGTTGAAACTTTACGAATAATCAATACTGTACTGCACTCACGTACAGGAAGGTCGATCATTTTGTTATAAAACTAACCCAAGTATACTATACAGCTGGCTTCGTGTTACTGTGAACGCGCTTTAAACATATTCACAAGTGAACGAGTTAAAGGTACACGAACCGAGTCGGTATTTTCATTGTTATAATATAAACATTAGGAAGGCAACATTATTAGAAAGGAACTGTGTGCGTAAGTAGAACACAGCAGGAGTTTAAAGACTTTCAAACAAAAGCTCATGAGCAAGTACCGTAGAGAAATAAACATAAGATTTATGAGAGCAGGTACGTTGTTAAGATGTGTACGGTGTTGACACAGCATTCGTTGCGCATTCTGGAACAACAATCTATTTCAAATGAAAGTATACATACATACATCATATGTATGTTTCATGCTAAAAAATTTAAAACGATCGTAAGAGCCTAACATGGCAGACAAGAAAATAGACACGATATAGAGTAGGTTGTTTAAATTCTAACAAGTAATGTATTGGTCGTTATATTCTGTACTCGTGAACTAATCTGACTTCGTACAATTATCGGATTCATACGTGTAAATTCCCGTACATTAAACTTTGATTTTATGCATAGGAGTAAAGAAGACACATCAAAATTTCGTAGGTGTTTGAAATATTTTCTCTTAAGTACACTAATATTCATGAAAGGAATAGTAAAGCTTAGTTCCTATTTGTATCGCGCAAACTATTTGAAAGAATAGCAAATCAAGGTTAAATTTCCACGGTATAAGTTGAAAGATATTTTATGTTCGACGGTGTATTTTACCAACGGTCTAGAATGACCATAGTTATATAAATGGCACTACTTTTTAAAAATTATGTACATCCAGCAAGCATACTTGGCTGTAAAATTCATCCAGTCAGGAAACTTGTTTTAAAAAATGTGGAAACCGCGTTCGAGACTTTATTTCATGATATACAACGCCTTGTTTACATATATCTTGGTAAATCGGTATAAATTAATGCAAAAATTTACATGCCTAGAAATTTTAATGGTTAGTTTCTACAAGAAAATCATGTACATATACTGTGTAGTATACAACAAGCACACTCGGGTTTATAATCTATGCATAACTGTTTAAAATGAACAGAATTTGTTAAATGAGGAACCATGTACATTCATCTAAAAATTAATTAGTCATCTCTCTTTGTTATTCAAAAGAAAGAAAATCGATTAGCTTGTACGTCTTGGCCTATTATCTATTGACCAGTTTTAGGCTTTGAGCTGCACAGGCAATCTTTGTGAAGATATATGAGAGCAATTGCGCTGCACTGGAAATCACGATCCACAATTTTTCAATAATTGTAACATTTCAGTTAACTATATGCCCTGTTCCTCAATTGATAATACAACATACCAAACGACTTGCCTATAGCTATAGGGTGTAAAGTCTAAATGCCTACAACGATTTATTATTTTCCGTTGTTGACAAATGAGAAATAACTCGAGAATTACACAAGGTAGCTCAAGGTTCACAAAGTGGGAAATCGTGCATAGCAGTTGACGCGTTTTTGAAGGGCAATAAAGTCTTATTCAAGTTGATTTTTTAAGTTAGAGAATGCATCAAGCCACGTCATGGCGAGGAGCATACAAGGAAACAGGTGATCTGTTTACCCATGCAACGGTGTTTCAAATTCACATGACACTCACAAGATAGGGCCAGTACACGAACTCTATGTAAACAATGCGCTATTTAAATCTTACTGATGTTTTACAACGTGATCAACATGAATGTTAATTGCGATTTTTTAAAGGTTGGACCGATGCTATTCATCTGCATCATAAGATTTTTCTCGAGCGTTACAAAGTACATTGCTATTTATAACCATGCATACAAGGCCAAGGGGATGCGATCCTTGCAGACTATTGATCACAATCACGAGCACAAAGAAAAACACGTTCAAAACAAATAAGACAAATGTAAAATCCTAAAAAAAATTACAAGTAAACAGAAACGAAACGATAATTCACTCGTCCATAGATCCGCATGGACTTCAGCACCTTTCCGCTAGTTTAAGTGCAAGAAAGTGGGCGGCTTTGTTTAGGGAGATGTTCAGAGATTGACCTGCAATACGTACTGACTCTAACATATGCAATTTTTATAAAGCTAATCAACAAAAAAGGTTAGCATTTTTTCACAAAAGTTGTGTACATGTGTTGGAAAATCAGGTTTCACACCTGCCAAACGCTTAGAGTCGATTTGACGTTGAACGTCGAGAAAATATTATAAATGGTATAAATATAACATGTTTAGATTAGAACTCAGCCGCCCAGGGTGACAACTATGCCCAAAAAAATGACGTACTTACATGGAGAACAAACATGCGTCAAAGTTATAGCCACTGGTTATAGCGGAAATGCGCGTGATCAACATAAGGCATGGTGTGATTATTTCTCACGCAGTTAATCTTAATCTTACATCTTAAACTATAATATTAAACCACCAGAAAGGTAGATTGAATACGGGATTTATTTAGTGAAACCTAATATATTAAACCTAAGCTTTATTGAACAAAATCAAACTTCCCATTGAAACATCTCTCTCGCTTTTCATTGCGTCTAAGATCCGTTAAAGTGAAATATAGTCTATCTCGTTACGAATGTGAAATAACATTATTCAAGAAATAAAGTTGTTTTTATTGTGTTTTCACAGGCTTATGCAAACTGAGGAGATCTTTGGAAGAACTCGAGAGCTGATCAGTGCAAAACCGAGATCGAAGGTCGAGGATTGCACATGCTCGAGAGTTCTCACAAACGTCTCCGAGGTTTGCATAAGCCATGTGCAATTTTGCAAGGCATCTTTTATTTCTTATATGGAATAACAATAACGCAAAAAAGATAAATTTAAAACAAGCGTTTTGATCTTCCTTCTAAGATACATTCATGATTGATTTGCAAATTCTCTTTCATTGAGTCAATTGATATAGCTATGAAGAGATCGGCTAGCACAGGCTAATGCAAACTCAGCTATAGACCTGACCTATCACCAAACGGGTTTTGTTGTTTTTATTTTAAAAATATGTAGAAAGACCACATCGCTGTGCAACTCGGTGCTGTATATTTAGTTAGATTACTGACTGTGGTCAGTTTTTTTATCATTCCTACTTGTCAAAAATTAAATTTACTGATTGTCATTGCACGTGACATACGTGGTACAAAAATCTCGGTAGTTAGTTATGCGGGCATGCGCGTTAAAGTAGTGTATCGCGAAGTATTCTAATGATGGATTTGGTTATTAGCAAAGTTAGAACACTGAACTTTGCATTGAGTCCATCTAAATATGATGGAACGATACATTGAAGTAAAAAGGGAACAGATTTGATGCTTGTGCCTACGAAGCTACTTTTCGTAAACAAAATTGCAGAACTAAAATATTATCTTCGATAAACACATGCTATATATAGAAAATTCGGGCGACAGAAATAGAATAAACCATTCCCAATTGACAATAGACCCCATATAGGTAATTGCAATCAAAGAAAATTGGCCGCGTATGTTTTTAGTTGTCGACGCAGGCTTTCGAGCTTTCATACCGCAACATAAAACAATAAAAATGATCGTTTTTGAATTAATCTCTCAAAATGAAATTTGATTAACGATTACGTTCTCGTATAGTGTTGAACGAATTCACTTTTTTTAAGTAATCATTTAGGAACATCCAATAATCACACAAGATTATGACCTATCGTGCCATAAACAATTTATGCTTTAAAATCTGCGTAATGAATAGATTATCTAATAAGCCCGCATGACAACTTAGTAAGCATTAGGATGACTAAGTTTCCTGAGTGTGAGGATCACTTATAGGATGGTAATGAATCGCCACTGCAGCTGGTCTAAAATTGCTGAATACTTTCCAGCATCTCGACGGAATGGAGTGGATTTTTAAAACCACACAAACCATCGTATGAAATATAGTTTCATAATAGCCCATCATAAAACGATTTCACAATTTACTTGATTTGCGTTCAGTCTAAAAAGCACGAAAGTTTACCTTTTCCACGCGTTTTTTAAGGAGCAATAATCATTTACAGGTCAGTCAGAGTTTGAAAATCTTTTTCGTCCCTGCCATTAACAATCTTGACAGAGCTTTAAAATCTGTGAGAATTGACCGCTCCTAGAAAATCCAGTACAGAACCTTAGTGAATGTGTTCAATCGAATGCGTCAGAACAACACTCATTAATCATTTAGCAGACATAAATTGGGGTAGAGGAGAAAGATGTGGCCCTTAAGCATATTTGGTTTGCGTGACTGTGTTGGGAGAAGGGGGAACTATTGACTGTCGTTATTGTTTGACTGGGGTGATGACTGGGAAAGCCAAAAATTTTCATGTTTATTTTCGAAGTTGCGTGTATTTCTTGTACTTCTTTCTAATTTATGAATTTGCTTTATGAAAATGTCGACACATGTAATTGAACCTGTATTTATTCTTCATCGTTCGTACATTAATAACATCACTACGGCGACAATCGTAGCCAGCCTGCATTTTGAAACTGCTATGCAAATTTTGGTGTCAATGTTTAGTGATTTTTGCATTTTGCATTGATTTTCATTGATGTATGTTTTCAATAAATTATGACATATGCTGAATTTGGGACTGCTTGGCCTTGACCGATGCCCAACCCCCCTCCCCCCCCCCCAACAACCCACGGCCTTTAGGTCTTAAACTAAAGTTGCTGGACTAAATGAGCGCTGCGCCTCTACAGGAATAGGCACTGCACCCCTAACTTTGTTCCATCGGTAAAAAGTACAATACTGACGGAGAACGACCTGAAAGGGTATTCATTTTTTAAAAAATTATATTTCAGCTGGGTAAGGCATTTTGGGATTAAATAAATGATGATCATTGAAATCCATCATCCTTTTGATACAGTTAAAACTATCAACCATTTTTAAGTTCCGATGCAACAAGTTCTGAGTTTTCCAAACTTAGTGATCTAGCATGTAATGGTACATATTTAATGTTAGCTAATTGAGCGTCCAAAGGACCCCAAGTGTGTTTTGGACTTTTAGTATTAGTCAGGTGGCGGTGCTTATAGACTGAATTGTGACATGTTGGTACACATTTAAGTAAAATCCCGATAAACCATTTTTCGAGTTTGCATTGCAGACAGATGAATAGCTAGATGTACGTATGTACTATTATTGAATTATTATTATAAAATAAAAACAATAAAACGCGTGCGCTGATTGGTCAATAGCTGAGTTTCCATTAGCCTGTGCAAACCGATTTGAGCTAAATCAATTAAATCAATCCAAGAGAACATGCAAATCAATCGTGAATACATGTTTCAGAAAAATTAAAACAATCGTTTTAAATTTATCTGTTTTGCCTTATAGTTATTTTATAAAAAAAGCAAAAGATGTTTGCACTGATCTGAGCTCTCGCAGTCAACATCTTTTGTAATAAACGAAACTTGAACTCTTGCGGTAATCTATGGAGTTTACTATCATAAAAGGATAAATCACATGCTGTTATTTTAAATTGCAAACGACTGTGAATAACATGGCAGTGGTGTTAATTAATTACAAAGGTCTCTACAAGCTAACAGTGGGCGAAAGTACTTCGGTAAAAAACAACAAAACATATCAATGCATAAGAGACATCTTAACCTCTCTATATTGTGTGTTTCCATGCAAAAATATGTTCACTGAATCACGTGTGCAAGGCGATACGTCCACAACCTTGGGGTTACTTTCGGGGTACTTGTTTGTACATTGAACCAATGAAGTGTAATGCTGTACATGTTGGAAAAATAAAGTAGAAATGATTACTTTCCAAGTCGCACAAATCAATAAGGATAGAACTTTTGTCCATATGGATGATCACAAGAGGATCGGTATTTACTAACTGTCTAACTTTTCCACCAGCTTTTTCACATTTCAGGCAAAAATTAACGAACATACAATCTAGCTGAAAGCTACAGAGATATGGCAGAAATCCAGCTTTATCTTTGATAATATCGACATTGAAACGTTTGTCAAGAAATGGGGAAGCCAGCCAACAATCACTATAGATTCATTTTCAATCGAAATTTTCATTCTTAATTTTTTAATAATTATGCAACGTGGTCCATTGTGGTGCTTTCAATGACTGTTTATAAACAAGGTTACAAGGTTGATTTCGGCACTACTTTCATCAGGAGAGCACCCTAAGGTACAACACAATGAGTCTCTTGCAATTTCTATTGTGATTCGCTACTAAGTCGATTACCGTCAGGCGATAAAGTCGATTGTCGAAAATATCTTCACGATTTGACGGGCCTAACAAACGATAAAAATGCACGAGCTGAACTTGACCAATTGCTTACAAGCTCGAGTTTACCAGATGTATAAAAGTCCCACCAAATGAAACATGCAAAATGCAAACGAGACAATAGCTATTTAGCATAAGTGTGCGCTAACAACGAACAACACAATGCAATCTGTCTGTTTTCAGCACCATACCTACTTCATAAAGATAAGCTAAGCAATTGAATATAGTTGGCTATTCTATCCAAAACCACGGGGAGCGAGTTGGCATGCTGATAAAGTATTTGTCGAAAAACCATTTGCTTTCACTGCAATCGCCATATTTACACTGCAAACAAGCTGTTTGGAAATTTTTGCTCAATTCACATCATTCGTACTTCGGTTTGTTTTTCAACGGAAAAATCGTATCGCAAACCTTCGTTTGTCGAATACCGCATAGTTCTGCTTTTCAATTTTAGCGCTGCATTGGAAACAGTAGCTTTGAGACATTTCTATTGTTATTCGTGCTTTGGAGTTCTGATTGTGATTTAAATTTTTCTCGACGGTGTGTAAGCGCGTAGTATAATTGCCTTTGATATGAATGACCCTCGATTTCGACCGCAGTATAATATCGCTGGGCACTTGAAGCCGGAAAAAACAGAGCACGAGATTTGAGAGAACATTTTGTCTTCGACCTTGAAACTGGTCCATTTAAAGAGGATTTTTTAAGTCATTCCATGGACTTGCGTGATCCGAGCGACAAGAGTTTACCAGACATTGCTTTTCGCGTTGATGCCGCCATCCTACGAAGTCCACAGCAAAAGTTTAGGTAAAGTCTAACGTATTCTAGAGCACATGTCGTTTATTCGGATGCACGCAGGTAAATGGGAGGGTTATGTAAGCGATGGAAGCGTGCTAACTGCCGGAGTTTAGTTAACGTGCGTCTAACGCGTCGAAAACTCCAAGTATGTAAATATGACATATTTCGAATACTTTACAACAATTATTTACGAAAACCTCTAAGTATATGTTTTATCTTCGTTGCTACAAAACCACATTCCCTAAGTGGAATCTCTCGAGTGTATATGTTCGATTGGTAACACCGGAAGATACTGTGCACTGTTCAATATATAATCTCATTATCCGAGGACAAAGTGGCGTTAGCTTTTCTGAAGTACAAACGTTATCATGTTCTAGTAAACTGAAGCGTTGAATTCGAAAGTAAAAGAAGTTTCATTTTGTTCTGTTCTCCTCAATGGGTACTTCGGTGAGTCATAAAGCGTCTAGTAAAACGACTGAATGAAAATATTTCATGCCTTACTATAAATCATCATCAAATGTGAAGAACGTGTCTTGTAATTATTTTGAATACAATTATGTCATACTGGTCTTCACAAGGTTTTCACTATAGATAAGTCATGACGAGGCTAATGTCGAATACATGTACACAGTATGACAGCTTGAAAATATAGTGACGTTCCAAATATATCATTCGGTGCTTCACTCTTATTTAAGAACTGCCTTGGTTCGTGATTTAAATCTTGCTCTTATATCAGATCAATTAAAACTTTCTTTGTATCATGTTTTTCGCTAGTTATGTTTTAGTTGAGGTATGAATAAATTTCAGTCATGTTTTCCTTAGTTGGGGTTATTTGTGGACTCGTTCAATATTACTGTTATGCTGCCATGTAGAGAACTCGACAGGACCAGACTAAAATGTATTTTTAGCAGAACCAAACAAATTTCATTCATAAAAGAAAATAGCGCGAATTCCACTGCTTATCATAGTTTCTTGTGTAGGATGGAGAACCTAGAAGTCACCAGATTAACTTATGCAAATTCAAAACATATTTCAATGGTTAGTTTCTATTTAAACTTAGTCGAATAACTTAGTCATCTCAATAGTAAGTTTCTCCGTTTTACGATCCTCTCGGATCGATCAGCAGGCGATCCACGTCGTACGATTATTTTTGGTGTTAAACAACGAAGACGATAAATACATTGTTCAAAATAATTATAAAAAATAAATACAAGTATCATTGAAACGCCATAATCCGATGTATCTCAAAGCAAATATAAACTAATATCAATGCAAAATATATCTAAGTTTTCTAATACATTATGTACACATAACACATACATAACTTATATAATATTCATCATGTTGATAGTCATGACTGATTAATCTTCCTTAATGTTTGATTATACAAAACATTGTAAATTTTCAATGAATATGTACGTGCTTCATACGCAGATAGTGCAATGGTACTGTCTAAGACGTTGTTTTGAAAAACGACAATGAAAAAGTCAAGTGTATAGTTTCAATAATACATTCATAATAGCCTAAGCTTGTTATGCAATGTTCCTAAATAATAAAATCATGTTGAACAAAATAGCTCTCCTGCACAAAACACTCGAATCAATATGGAAATGATCGTTTCTTCTCGGAATTTTCTTGAAATCGGTAAAACATACAACACTGAATGAATGATGAAGACGTTAAAGAGAGTTCGATCTCGACCAGTTCGATATATAGCATGCAAGTATTCGACATATGTCCTACTTTGTCTCGAATGTTGTTTCAAATTGTTTCGTTACAGTTGCATGCACTTGTGAATAGCAATGTACAAAGTAGGTGAAATGGACTTTTTGCATTAGTCAAACGCAAGGCATTCGCTTCGATTTCCATAAGCGAGTTTAACCTATAAACAAACCAATACAATACATTTTTGACTTTACATGCGATGAAACTTTACAAAAGCGTCTCGCAACATCATATGGCAACATAAGTCATGATATTGTATAGGACACCCGTATACCCCAGTATTTCACAAAATTGGCGGTTAAACGCGTGCTGGCATGATGGCTTGCAGTACCACATAAGTATTATAATAGATGTGCAAACATACACTTAACTTTTAAAAAGGTACTGGAGAAAGTAGGCGGTCTGGCACACCCAAATACGTATGTATGTAATAGTCGCTACAATATCGTGCGTTTGTTCATTCATAACTTGACGTTATAATCTACCACAAGTTTTCGTGCGCTCGAGCGTCGGTTGTCATATTCTGCAGCAGAGCGTAGTTTACATAGCCTAACAGACATCGTCGCCAAATATTGCGAGCCTAGACAGAGGCACTTGTCAATTTAGTACTATTCCTGATTGCACGGTATTGGTTTTCCTGTTCAATTTTTCTTCGATCGCTTCTACACGCGAGCTTATAATACCGAAGTCCTGACATCAAATTCAGCAGCGCAGAGGTCCAAAAATCATTTGCTATGTATCTCTCGCTGCCAGTTAGTTATATTTACGAAACATTTATATGAGAATAACGTTTGTCAAAGAGACTTAAACGACAGGATCAGTTAATGTAAGAAAAAGACTTTGATTAGGATTGTATATTAATTTCAAGGTCTTTTCATCCAACATCATCAAAATACAACGATTATGCAGTTACTCGAAAAAAATTAACGTTTCTCTGGTTCTGTCGAATGGGAAATTAGATTAATTATTATCGAAAATGCATTTCTGGTAATGATAGGTGCTAATTTTTCTCCATCCCATATCTTACAAATTATTTTTCTTTTTAGTTACACCTAACGAAAATGACAAACACGAAGAGGATAATCATAAATCTTGTGGTGAGCATAATACACCTTTCACTTCATGCGTTTTGGTAATTTGCTGCAATGTACGTCTTCTGTGACATATGAGGCTATGAGCATAGTTTACAGCTAATAGTACACGGTGGAATTGAAGCTCTTCAAACGAACGTCGAAATAAGTTTGTATTCCCGAGTTGATAATATCTTTTGAACTAATCGAATACGTCGTTTTTTAAAACAAAGAAAGTCCTTGTCGTAGTTCGGATGTCTTTCGACAGTCGAAAGTATTTGAGCAATTTTTTTCTAACATGAGAGAGCCTATATATATAGGGGGTTTATTTCATTCAAAAAACGACCAAAATAAAATAAAGGAGGAAGACCAGCAATATATCTTAATTCGTGAAATTCCGTTATAAAACAGATTTGAACGGGGCTGTATTCGTACATGCACTTAGTAATCCATGTTGAGTTCAAATATCTCAAAATAGGTGCAAGTATAAATAACCCTTCCCCCTCTCAATTATAAAGCTGGCAAGTCCTTACAGTAAATGTAATCTGGAAATAAAAGTGACGTCATATGCCATTCACCCTATATGACCCACTAATCAGAACAATTCCACGCCGATGCACTTTCAAAACCAAAAATTTTGGAACGTAAATGATCAGCTATATTTCAAAACGATAAGCTAACGAGTAAAATCTTTAAATCTTCAGGTCATTCTGTGCGGTATCGGTTTTGCCACAGCGTGTGGAAAGTTGGAATACCTTCACGATAACAGATGTTGTGAAATGTGTAAGCCCGGGCAATATGTGTCGCAACATTGCACTGACAAACAGAGGACGAAATGCAATACGTGCCAGGTAATATAAGCCATCATCATTTCAATGGCCTTCACTCCTTCCAATGCATACTGTAGTATGAAATAAATAAAATCTATGAAAAGACTTGATCGATCTCATAAAGAGTAGGCCCATCTGTTTAAGTTGCAAAATTAAAACAATAAAACGCGCGCGCTGATTGCTCTATATCCGAGTTTGCATTAGCCTGTGCAAACCGAAATGTGCTGTAAAACAAATAAATCAATTAAAGAGAATTTGCAAATCAGTCAGAAATACATTTTAGAGGAAAAATAAAAAGTTTGTTTTTAATTTATCTGTTTCGCATTATATTTATTTTACATAAGAAAGATGCATTTCGTGTTTGCATTGGCTTATGCAAACCTCGGAGACGTTTGGGAGAACTCTCGAACGCAGCACTCGTCCTTCGGTCTCGGGCTTGCACTGATCTGCTCTCGAGGTCTTCCAAACGTCTGCTCGGTATGCATAAGCCTGTTCCAGCACAATATTGTTTTAACCCATGACGATTCATCATGCAACCAGGAAGCGACATGTCGTGTCATCACACGCGAGACTACACGCAGTTAAAAAAAACTAAGATGGTGGGCAAATTTATACTACATAAACCAGGAATAACATGTATTTTCGTTGTTTTTGTAGTTTGGGAAAACAACAAAGACATATAACAACGCAACGGATTGCAATTGCGGAAAAAATAAATACTTCAGCAACAGCTATACGTTTTGTATGGAATGCAGCGCGTGCACTGAAGGCTTCTTTCCAATTGAGAAATGTGGACTCGAAGAAAACACCAGGTGCCTAAAGTGTCCAGAGGTACGTACACGCACAGAAAGAATACATACGCGCTCAAACGCCGGCGCACGCGCAGTTTTATTGGGGCATACACTAATGCCGGTACTAAAAAAGCATTGTCATTCACACTCACTATGTGCGACAGAAAAATTACGCTCTCTCTAATCAATGACAAAGTCATTTGGGCATCGATGGCAAGATATTCTTTAAAATATTTCAAATCGAGCAATCAGTGGAGTGAAAATACCGTCTTCGAGTAATTATGAGATGACTTTGAAGCCGCACTCAGTGAGTGTGAGTGTGCTTTTTATATTGATGGTTAGATTCTAACTGGACTTTGATATTAAGTGCTGAATACATAAGCCGAGTTGAAAACAAAATAAAAAGGGGAAATAAGTTTAAGTCGTAAGCATTTCAGCCCAGCTGGTGGGGACAACTCGCTTCATATCCCTTAAAAATCAACACACGTATTTTGCAATCTTTTCGCAGGAACAGTATACTACGACATCGCAGCTTGCATGGTACTAAAAACAATTTCGAACGAATAAAGATAGTTGATTTATTTACTTATGAAATTTTGAAAAAACAAATTGCTTTCATTGATTTTCTGTGTTCTTGACCATTGATTTATTTGTCTTCGATGAAAAGCGTCACTTTCGGTGAGTGAAGTAATTCACGTCGACAGACCATTTTTGAAAGTCCATTTTCTTTGTGTTATTTATTAGCTTAAAATATCTTCTAATATAGTTAAGCTTGTGTTTTTTATTTAAATAATTGAATCGATTGATTGCTTTTGATTATAGAATCATTTCTCCAATTTAACAAAAAATTTCAACTCTCCATGCGTTCCATGCACAAAATGCCAGCATTACGTAAGGGAGTGTAAACCAGAGAACGACTCCATTTGCAAGGATGAAGTGACACAACGTCAAACAACGCTAAGCCCAACAACAATCAGCACACAAAATACCAATAAATTACTATTGTACGTTCCAGGTGAGTTACAAACAAGGTGACAAACACGCGCAATTGAGCACGATTTCCAAACCCCCTCCAAACTTCAAATTGAGCACGATTTCCAAAATATCGAGATGAAAATCATCTCCCTTGCTTGTGTAATCCCCAGTCTTTCCGTCTAGGAGGTCTAAGTATGAAGTTAAAAACTCTTGCGTCCATATTGGCACTTGGTTTAAAGTTGCAAATGGCAAATCTTTTTTCTATAACGAAAAATTCATTTATCCCGCCATTGAAAAAAACTTGACTCGGGCATCAGAAACAACGAGCCTTGCCGGGACAACTCGATTGTTGTAGACTGATGTAGCCATGCCCTTACAAGTAAAATCTATCTTCGTCGTTATACAGATCCTCCCATCTTCAAATTGCGCATTATGTTTACACGTAAAATATATCTTTACCATTGTGTAGAAAATGCGACGGCAAGAACAATGGTGTCAAACGATAGCAACAACGCGGTTATTTTGCTCGCCGTGTTAGGAGTTCTGTGTTTCTTACTCCTTGCATTGCTCGTATTTATTGTAATGAAAGCTCGTCAGAAAAAACGAGGGGGTGTGTGGCTGACAAAACACCAAAGCTCGGAATTCGTGCCACTTTCCACAGGTAAAATATACGAACTTCGTGAGTCGGGGGGGTGGGTAGGTGGTGGTGGGTACTTTGTGAATGTAGATCGACAATGTTACAATTGGTATCAGTATTGACTGACGCATTGACATCCTCAACATAGTCATATTCAAAGCCAACGCCAAAGCCCCGAGCAAACTTTCTCAACATCTCGAGAGCATTTGCACACCCTGTTGAGGGGTGTTGAGGAGCATTTAACGGTGTTAGGGTTGTTGTGAGAAGTTTGAACTTACTGAAACTTTCCATTCAACAGCGCTGAACATTTTCGTTGTTCCGCGGTCACTACTGCGTGCTTCATACTGTTTAGCGCGTTTGCAAACAGCACACTCAAGACTCAACGATGATGTTGAGCTGCCAGATGTGCATTGTTCATGCTGAACTCACTGATCTATATATGTGTATAGCTGTATATACGCAGATGATGGACATTGTGGAACATCTTATTCCATGATCCTATGTTTCATCATCTTTAAGACTCAACATGTTAAAAGCGTTTGCACACATCACTTAACATCATTCAACAAGCGCACGACAATGTTGAGCGCAGGTTGAGTCAACATATTTTAGAGAAAGGACTTAAGGATATCGAAGTGGATACTAGTCCGCGAAGATGCGAGTTCAAATCTCGTCCAAATCACGCGTTTTCCATGCGCATGTTTCTCTGATGATGGTTTGGAATAATTAAACATAAGCGCGCAAAGCATTACCGTTATTTTTCTTTAAAGTTCACACGATGTTTTGTCTGCAGGCGACTTCTAGGGTATAGCATAAAATGAGTTCGACCATAGCTGAGTTTTTTACTGCAACGCACCGTAGTCTCAAGGACAAACAAGTAGATAAAGCTAAAATCTCAAACATTTAATCAATTCATTGACTAAGGATTCGCCTTTGTTTTAGGTATACTCCTGCGCAGTCAACCCGCTTCATTTTTACTGAAACTCAAAGATATGTTGACGGCAGAGGGACGGCCCAACTGGAGGCAACTCGCCGGGGAACTGCAGTTTACTTACGATCAAATTTGCAATTTAGCCGTAAACAAAGAAACGGCGGCGGAGAACATGTTGTGGACGTGGCAAACGTCGAATGAAGCGACGATGGACCGACTCTATGAGGCGTTATATACCATTAAAAGGGAGGACATAGCAAGTTTTGTACAAGAATACGCGTTGGAAGGCGTTGCGTCCGTTTGAAAGTCCCTTTCCACTTTGAATTCTTCTGCCGCTCGAGGAAGAAAGGTCAAGAGTGGGATAAATTACTTAATATTGCCATTATACCATTCGATTCATCGAATGCTCAACGATAAGTATATATTTATATGACATAGGAGCACCGAGGTAAATTATTTTAGTTAATGTCGGAAAAATATTTATCGACAGTTTATAACCGTCTTTATGATACGAGGCAGAACGACGTACAGATATGTGATGTGTTCAAGGGACAAGAATGGGCAAATCCGATGAAATTCCGCAAGTGTGCTGAACGAAAAAATGTGTTCAAAATAAAACTCTGAAATCGGAACTCGTGCAGCCGTGGTGGGTACATGGTTAGATAAAATGAATCGTAGCCGACCTGTTTGGATTTCAAATACCTTTATAACAATGACATTTGCTATGAGTCTCCAAGGAAGATGTAACCACGCATCAGGCTGTTCTGATTTATTTTGCCCAATGCTAGATCCACTGGAACACAGACATCAAATATCTGTACTTCTTCAGCAAGTTGATTCTTAAAAAATAGGTTAGTTCAGTCGGGTTGATTATAAGCAAACAAGCGCACACCATCGGAAAGATAACGCTAAACGAACATTTAATTCAATTTCATGCCTAAGATCGACAAAACGCAAGCCTCGACAGAAACTTAACCCAGGAAGGAATAACTGCTTTTTTTGTCGTTCCTGAGTCAATCTCCATGAGATCCTAAAGTTATTCGAGGATATCCTTCCTCTGCAGGGTCATTCAATCAAGTACTTTAAAAGTATTTCCGTATTACCTATAGGTAATATTGCCACAATTTATATTTAGCTGCTAAAAATTCAGGATGCCTTAAACAAACATTCTCAGTCCTTAAGCAACGAACTTTGTGAGAGTGAGGCTTAGGGCCATTTGCGAGACAAAGTGCAGGCGAGAGGTAGGGTTGGGTTGGGAGGCGAAATTAGCGGCAGGGTCGATTAAGCTAGTATAAACTTTATAATAGTCTAAAATTCAAATCAATCAGGGAATTGCTTGCATTATCAGATTGATTGAAATTGCACACAATAATTGTAAAATGTCAATAATGGTTAGATTCTCCTCAACAGTAAAATTTTTAACTATAGTCACGATGCATGAAGTGCCTTGATGAAGATTCAGCTTTTTGCATAAATTTATACGGCATCACAATAGGAATTTCATCTCTCAAAATTTGAGTGCGAAGTCTTTTAATGCATTTGCACGCAGACGCCTAAACGTCAAAACACTTGATTGTCTCTGTCGTTGAACTCGAGTTACTGGTTGCGCGATGAAAATTCTAACAGCAATACTCGTGGTTCGCGGCAATTGTATAAAACAAACACAATTTGCAAAATTTTTTGAACGAAAAATTTGTAAGTGAGATTGAAAAACGATTTTTTTTGCTAGAGAAAAAATAAGTCATTCGTAAAAAAAGCAAAAACAAATGGCTTCTGATGATACAATCTATAAAACTCGTTAAATTTTCTTAGCTTGCTGTGGTATTCGAGTGGGCATTTGTGGCAAATTACACATTTAGAGAATTTATTAGAAAATCGGAAATGTTTAGGGCAGGGAGGGGGTGTTGATTCTGCTCGATTTATTATTACTTTTTGTATTCGGTAGAAACCATACGATATGTGTATTTTGTAAAAATTAGATTAAATGTGATTTTTGGTGAGTTAAAATGTTTGCATGATGTTAATTATTTTCAAAATATGGAATAAAATTGTAAATTAACGTAGAAAAGCACAATTTTGTGTACAATTTTTTTGCGAAGGATTTTGCGATTATTTTTATAATCCAGTGCTGATTTGTTACTTGAAGACACCAATCGAAAAACTGCTATTTTTTAATTCGAAAATCTCTAAACTTGTATGAAGTTGAACGTACCATATAATTTTGTAAATAGCTTTATGAAATCATACGAAAGTATTTTCGTATGAATAAATTATCATATCAAACAAATGAATTAATTATTTTTTCAATTTTTTTTTCATTTAACGAGAAAGGCAAGTGCGTATCAATTTTTGTATACAGTTCTGTCATCCAAACATTGGCCGAATCAACTACTCGAGGGACCTGGTGCCCACTTCGTGTGAGGCCTTTTTTGCCTGAAGTTATATTCTTTAGAAAATCGCAATTGTATTTAGGAAATAAAAGATGTTTACTGTGTTTGCACAGGCATATGCAAACCAAGGAGACCCTTATTGGGAGAACTCGAGAAAAGATCAGTGCAAACCTGAGACCAAAGGTCGAAGGTTGCACCTGCTCGAGAGTTCTCAATAACGTCTTCGAGATTAGCATAAGCCTGTACAAACACGAAAAACATCTTTTATTTTTTTTATAAAATAACAATAATGGAAACAGAAAAATTTAAAACAAACGTTTTAATTTTTCGTCTAAATTGTACTCATGACGGATCTGCAAATTCTCTTTGATTGTTTTGATTGATTTGATAGCTTCAGCTTAGATCTGTTTTGCACAGGCTAATGGTGCGGTACCCCCCTAATGTTGGGCATAAAAGGCCAGTCGGGCAACATTTGCTGGAAAATAGGGTAAATTCGGTCATTCAAGATTGAAAATCTACCTACCGCACCCTCCCCCCTGTATAAAAATGTTCGCCTGTACGGTATTTGTCATCTACATAGTAAACAATAAATACATAAATTCATCATTTACATGCTGCTAACGGTAGGTCACAACCGAAACCTACACAACGTTTGCATAGCCCCCCCCCCCGAATACTGAACACTTGAAGGGTTATACGGACACGATCACGCAAGCTTGCTCGTCGATAAAAACGCATTATACAGGGTGTATCACAAAAACTGCTCAACTCTGAAATCAGCCAACGTTTAGAATTTGCACGATGCATGAGTAATTGATCCCCCAAAGACCTGTTCAAATGAATTTTTATGTTTGAAATTTGCAATGTCGTACGGTATAGCCGCAATTGGTACGTATTTATTGTATTCATTTGCATTTACAGGTCTTTGGGGATCAATTATTGCTAAATCATGCAAATTCTAAACGTCGGCTTATTTTAAAATCAACAGTTTTTGGGTGCACCCTGTATGAAAATATTTATTTTGAACTTAAAGTGAACTTTATATTTATCTATTTATCTATTTACACCTTGAAATTCTGGAAATGCCCAATTTACTAAACCTGTGACGTCACAGGGCATGATTTTCAATTTTCAGTACAGCGTGCAGGCAACATTCGTGTATGCATGTTATGATTCATAAATGTGAGTAATTTCAAAGGAACTTAAAACCTGCATGTACGTATGAATATCCTCCCCGCCAATTATCGAGTTGGACAGTGCTCTGATCAAGACATTCATTTTGTCGACATCAAATTTGCAAGAAAAATCCATATTTACTAATTAGTTACAACACGAATTGAGCAAATAGCAAGAGTTTAGAGGAAAACAAAGATCCTCACATCAGTTGTGCTAACTATGGCTCCGCAATTCTACATGAATGCTATTAACATGTTACCTGATGTGTCGTGACTGATTATTCCCTTCCACTGGCTCTTTTGAGCTGCAGCAGCGCTTTCGTTAGTGCATTGGAAACTTGAAGAGCCATGGAGGCATCGTCGTTAGTTTTTATCAAATCGGACTGAAATGATGTTAAACCCATAAAAAATACACAGCTCATTAAAGATTCGGTACATTTTCAGTTAGCAGATCACTTACCAAGTCTCCAAGAGCATTCGCGAGACACGGGGATTTCTAAATTGAAAAGGGCACAGCATCAACTCAAACTATTCGGTTTCGTGCTTATTTATTTAGTTACGCACTGTTGAAGCCGTTAAGGAGTTATTTCCCACGCGAATAATAGTTTTATTGCTTTCGGGGTGAAGTTTTTTATTCGTATCATGCCTTTGGTGGTTTTAGCGATACTTCATATGACGCAAATAGGTTTTTACAGGAAATAGTTGATACATTCTGCATAATTCCAATCACGCATACATGCACGGGGCATGTTGTAGTTATGTATAAAGATGAAGAACAAGTCACACCAAGGCCCAGGTCTCTCAAAGGATCATCCACCCCCTCCATCCTTCATCACGTCATGAAACATTTACATTTTCTTATGAACAGTTGCAGGACTTATCACTGACATGCATTTGGAGTGGGTGTTTTTATCCCCCAACTTTTCTGTGAAAATAATTATTCAAGCATTCTTACGTTAAATTCAACTCCTTAAATTTGTAAAAATTAATAAATCATAACTCAGCATGCGCTCTACGCGCATGGCCATTTATTTGACAAACTGTAAGTGGTTTGTTATTTATACCCTTAGAAAACGGAGCTCAACATGATTGGTGGAACGGCGGAATAATGGGTTGATTTATAAATTTGTTAATAATGGCGAAGGAAGCGATAAAAGCGTATAAATATTAATGTTCAAAGACATGAGAAACTGGCTATTTTCATCATTACTAAAATTCAACTTACTTTTACAAAGACTTCCGCTTTAGAATGCGACAGGATATGGGGAGGGGCAGGTGAAATCGGTAAGTAACCTTGATTCGAAGACGGTGCGATAAGGTTTGTATACGTCTGTCCGTATTGAGAGCTAGAAAAAGAACATCGATATTAAAAGTAATGTACAGTCTAACGTTTAATGTAATGAAATGCAGGGTAATGTAGTACGACATAATTCTTAAAAGTTCACGGTTGATAAACTGTCGCGATGAATGCAATCTGTTTTTCTCATCACACAAGATAACTGCAATCTCACACAAGATGACTGCAATCTGTTTTTCTCACAACAAATGACTGCAACCTGTTTTTCTCACACAAGATGACTGCAACCTGTTTTTCTCACAACAAATGACTGCAGCCTGTTTTTCTCACACAAGATGACTGAAACCTGTTTTTCTCACAACAAATGACTGCAGCCTGTTTCTCACACAAGATGACTGCAATCTGTTTTTCTCACACAAGATGACTGCAACCTGTTTTTCTCACACAAGATGACTGAAACCTGTTTTTCTCACAACAAATGACTGCAACCTGTTTTTCTCACAACAAATGACTGCAACCTGTTTTTCTCACACAAGATGACTGCAACCTGTTTTTCTCACACAAGATGACTGCAATCTGTTTTTCTCACAACAAATGACTGCAACCTGTTTTTCTCACACAAGATGACTGCAACCTGTTTTTCTCACAACAAAGGACTGCAACCTGTTTTTCTCACACAAGATGACTGCAACCTGTTTTTCTCACAACAAATGACTGCAACCTGTTTTTCTCACACAAGATGACTGCAATCTGTTTTTCTCACAACAAATGACTGCAGTCTGTTTTGCTCACACAAGATGACTGCAATCTGTTTTTCTCACAACAAATGACTGCAGCCTGTTTTTCTCACACAAGATGACTGAAACCTGTTTTTCTCACAACAAATGACTGCAGCCTGTTTTTCTCACACAAGATGACTGAAACCTGTTTTCTCACAACAAATGACTGCAGCCTGTTTTTCTCACACAAGATGACTGCAATCTGTTTTTCACACAAGATGACTGCAACCTGTTTTTCTCACACAAGATGACTGAAACCTGTTTTTCTCACAACAAATGACTGCAACCTGTTTTTCTCACAACAAATGACTGCAACCTGTTTTTCTCACACAAGATGACTGCAACCTGTTTTTCTCACACAAGATGACTGCAATCTGTTTTTCTCACAACAAATGACTGCAACCTGTTTTTCTCACACAAGATGACTGCAACCTGTTTTTCTCACAACAAAGGACTGCAACCTGTTTTTCTCACACAAGATGACTGCAACCTGTTTTTCTCACACAAGATGACTGCAACCTGTTTTTCTCACACAAGATGACTGCAACCTATTTTCTCACACAAGATGACTGCAATCTGTTTTCTCACACAAGATGACTGCAACCTGTTTTGCTCACACAAGATGACTGCAATCTGTTTTTCTCATAACAAATGACTGCAACCTATTTTTCTCACACAAGATGACTGCAACCTGTTTTTCTCACAACAAATGACTGCAACCTGTTTTCTCACAACAAATGACTGCAACCTGTTTTTCTCACACAAGATGACTGCAATCTGTTTTCTCACAACAAATGACTGCAGTCTGTTTTGCTCACACAAGATGACTGCAATCTGTTTTTCTCACAACAAATGACTGCAGCCTGTTTTTCTCACACAAGATGACTGAAACCTGTTTTTCTCATAACAAATGACTGCAGCCTGTTTTTCTCACACAAGATGACTGAAACCTGTTTTTCTCACAACAAATGACTGCAGCCTGTTTTTCTCACACAAGATGACTGCAATCTGTTTTTCTCACACAAGATGACTGCAACCTGTTTTTCTACACAAGATGACTGAAACCTGTTTTTCTCACAACAAATGACTGCAACCTGTTTTCTCACACAAGATGACTGCAACCTGTTTTTCTCACAACAAAGGACTGCAACCTGTTTTTCTCACAAGATGACTGCAACCTGTTTTTCACACAAGATGACTGCAATCTGTTTTTCTCACACAAGATGACTGCAATCTGTTTTTCTCACACAAGATAATTGCAATCTGTTTTTCTCACACAAGATGACTGCAACCTGTTTTTTCACACAAGATGACTGCAATCTGTTTTCTCACACAAGATGACTGCAAACTGTTTTTCTCACACAAGATGACTGCAATCTGTTTTTCTCACAACAAATGACTGCAACCTGTTTTTCTCACAACAAATGACTGCAACCTGTTTTTCTCACACAAGATGACTTCAATCTGTTTTTCTCACAACAAATGACTGCAGTCTGTTTTGCTCACACAAGATGACTGCAATCTGTTTTTCTCACAACAAATGACTGCAGCCTGTTTTTCTCACACAAGATGACTGCAACCTGTTCTTCTCACAACAAATGACTGCAGTTTGTTTTGCTCACACAAGATGACTGCAATCTGTTTTTCTCACAACAAATGACTGCAGTCTGTTTTGCTCACACAAGATGACTGCAATCTGTTTTTCTCACAACAAATGACTGCAGCCTGTTTTTCTCACACAAGATGACTGAAACCTGTTTTTCTCACAACAAATGACTGCAGCCTGTTTTTCTCACACAAGATGACTGAAACCTGTTTTTCTCACAACAAATGACTGCAGCCTGTTTTTCACACAAGATGACTGCAATCTGTTTTTCTCACACAAGATGACTGCAACCTGTTTTTCTCACACAAGATGACTGAAACCTGTTTTTCTCACAACAAATGACTGCAACCTGTTTTCTCACAACAAATGACTGCAACCTGTTTTTCACACAAGATGACTGCAACCTGTTTTTCTCACACAAGATGACTGCAATCTGTTTTTCTCACAACAAATGACTGCAACCTGTTTTTCTCACACAAGATGACTGCAACCTGTTTTCTCACAACAAAGGACTGCAACCTGTTTTTCTCACACAAGATGACTGCAACCTGTTTTTCTCACACAAGATGACTGCAACCTGTTTTTCTCACACAAGATGACTGCAACCTATTTTCTCACACAAGATGACTGCAATCTGTTTTTCTCACACAAGATGACTGCAACCTGTTTTGCTCACACAAGATGACTGCAATCTGTTTTCTCATAACAAATGACTGCAACCTATTTTTCTCACACAAGATGACTGCAACCTGTTTTTCTCACAACAAATGACTGCAACCTGTTTTTCTCACAACAAATGACTGCAACCTGTTTTTCTCACACAAGATGACTGCAATCTGTTTTTCTCACAACAAATGACTGCAGTCTGTTTTGCTCACACAAGATGACTGCAATCTGTTTTTCTCACAACAAATGACTGCAGCCTGTTTTTCTCACACAAGATGACTGAAACCTGTTTTTCTCATAACAAATGACTGCAGCCTGTTTTTCTCACACAAGATGACTGAAACCTGTTTTTCTCACAACAAATGACTGCAGCCTGTTTTTCTCACACAAGATGACTGCAATCTGTTTTTCTCACACAAGATGACTGCAACCTGTTTTCTCACACAAGATGACTGAAACCTGTTTTTCTCACAACAAATGACTGCAACCTGTTTTTCTCACACAAGATGACTGCAACCTGTTTTCTCACAACAAAGGACTGCAACCTGTTTTTCTCACACAAGATGACTGCAACCTGTTTTTCTCACACAAGATGACTGCAATCTGTTTTCTCACACAAGATGACTGCAATCTGTTTTTCTCACACAAGATAATTGCAATCTGTTTTTCTCACACAAGATGACTGAAACCTGTTTTTCTCACAACAAATGACTGCAACCTGTTTTTCTCACACAAGATGACTGCAACCTGTTTTTCTCACAACAAAGGACTGCAACCTGTTTTTCTCACACAAGATGACTGCAACCTGTTTTCTCACACAAGATGACTGCAATCTGTTTTTCTCACACAAGATGACTGCAATCTGTTTTTCTCACACAAGATAATTGCAATCTGTTTTTCTCACACAAGATGACTGCAACCTGTTTTTCTCACACAAGATGACTGCAATCTGTTTTTCTCACACAAGATGACTGCAAACTGTTTTTCTCACACAAGATGACTGCAATCTGTTTTTCTCACAACAAATGACTGCAACCTGTTTTTCTCACAACAAATGACTGCAACCTGTTTTTCTCACACAAGATGACTTCAATCTGTTTTTCTCACAACAAATGACTGCAGTCTGTTTTGCTCACACAAGATGACTGCAATCTGTTTTTCTCACAACAAATGACTGCAGCCTGTTTTTCTCACACAAGATGACTGCAACCTGTTCTTCTCACAACAAATGACTGCAGTTTGTTTTGCTCACACAAGATGACTGCAATCTGTTTTTCTCACAAAAAATGACTGCAATCTCACACAAGATGACTGCAACCTATTTTTCTCACACAAGATGACTGCAACCTGTTTTTCTCACAACAAATGACTGCATCCTGTTTTGTTCACACAAGATGATTGCAACCTGTCATGCTCAAAGACAAAACGACTGCAACTTTCAAGTCGTAAAACTTCGTCTACCTTTGCCAACATGCAACATTCCTTTGGAATAACAAGATAGTACAAACGTTTGTGGTGCAATTCTCTCAAGTACTTTTCATGAAAAATAGCACTCCGCTCAACGAATCTGATTACAGTAGTCTTGCTATGTAAATCATAAATCCTATTACTAAACCAACCTTTGTCCAGAATCGCCACCATAGTTAGCAGCACGGTAGCTCTCACTGAAAGACATTTGACGAAACGTCGAAGTATGGGCGTTGTTGTAATTTTCGTAAGAAAGACTTGGTGAAAAAGATGCACTTTCATAAGACCCGCGGAAATTGAATGCGCTTCTTTGCGATGGCAAATTTTGTGGTCTAATGTTCGAGACGCCCCTGTTCACATTTCCTTTTCCTCGCACATTTTTGGCAGGCGAGCTCCCATCGCGTATTCCACGAGCTAAACACGCAAAGATTTTGGAAAGTTTAATTAAGACATGATAATCGAGGAACTCTCACTCTGAGTGATATAAGTAGGGTAATGGACAAAAATTTTCCTTGCTTTCGAATATCATGTGAAACTCGTCCTTTCTCTAATATTAGGCTGACGTAAACACTAACACGCGCCGTCGACGTTAGGGAAAGGTTTTTCAATAGACTTTACAAATAACAACAATACAACATGTGCGGTGATTAGTCTATAACTGAGGAGGCATCAGCGTATGCAAACTAATCGGAGCTCAATCAATCAAATCCATGGTAGACCTCGAGCAGGTCGACCAGTAGGGTAGCCAGTATCAATAATTGAGGGGCAGTATTCATATATGTCTGTGATAACCCGTAGAAAACAATCGATTTCAAAGGAGCTTAATAAGGCAGAACATGATTATATCAAAATTGGCTACGCCCCTGCCTTGACCTTCTGTCCCGGGCATGCACAGATCTGCTCTCGAGTTCTTTCAAAGGTCTCCTTGGTTTGCATAAGCCTGTACCAACACAGTAAACATCTTTTCTTTTTTAAATCATAGCTCATAAATCTCTACGAGTCTTAAAAAAATGTAAAAAATTAAAATACATTACAGTTTTAAGCATTATTCAAATAAGAAAACAAGAAACGAATTCTATTTCATAAGCACTTTGACATACGCAGATACCAAAATTTAAAAAGAAAGACGCAAAAATAAGTACTCAAATAGCAATGCATTCACGAGGTAAGTCAGGAAAAAATGTCGATGGACACTAGTGCGCGTGGTCGCCAAGCACTTAAGAATAGGTTTTCCTTTCTGTGGCAGTCAAGTAAGTTGCTGATTAATCCAGCTAGAAATATTGGTCGATACGTCGAGACACATTAGCATGTTGTTAAAATGAATATACCTTTAACTGTTTGCTGATTGCCAACGGGCAACTTCTCGACCTTAACTTTTATTTCTTGCCGTCCTTCTTCCATTTCCAAAGCCATCGCTTCTTTAAGGCATTCAGTTGAAATTTCAGCCGAGCGCTTTTTACCACCGCTGTTCAACTGTTTCGCAAACTCAGGCCGCTTTATTTTCTAAACAATAAAAAACGCAGCGTTGTCGTCACGACACATGCATGGTACCAATTTTCTTTAACATATAAATCCCTATTTCAATCTAAGTATGCTTTCAGGCAACAGAGGCTCCAAATCCTATACTTATATAATTACAGAGAACGGCATAGAATGCGTCAATCGACCGCACTTCCACGAGCCATTGACGAAAAGTGTTTTGAAAATCTACGCGTAATGCTAGATCAACAGAAACATCTAAAATGGCTAAAATTCGTCCTGTCTTGTCGCCTGAACACTGTGCCAACAGTGAAACCACGACAAATACAAGAGCACGTAAGATTTAAGAAGGGGGAAAGTCGCTAAGGACGTGTCTAAAAAAGCAACTTATACAGCTGTCAATTTCAAATTGCCATGAAAGGGTTCAACTGCCCCATTTTACCCTCCAGGCTACGCCCCTAAAGTACATAGACCGACAACAAATAATTTTGGTCGACTCAGATTCAACATATTGACCATGAGAGACCATATTTGTCCTCGGTTTCAACTTTCAACTACCCGCATGGTTTTGCATATGTACATGGTTCCAGAGTATTTTTCAAAACAGATCATACATGTAGAGGTGAAAATGAGAAGTCCCCACTTACCAACACATTCAAACGATGTTTTTGTCCGACCAGGTGAAGAAATTTAACACCATTGTCAAATTTCATTTTACACGCAGAGCACTCGTATTTAACCACATTTTCAGGAGCCTGGATTTCCGTAACGTACTCCAGGCCTGTTGGTGAGTGTTAAAACAAGTGCCATTAAAAGCGTACTCCCGGTGTCATTCGCGCATCATGTTATCATATGAAATAGTCGAGTGTACATATGCATAACAATTAATGCTGTCGTTTAACGGCACCAGTCGCGGCGATATTGCGTCCGAAACTTTCCCTCCGCTCAATACGTAGGAAACTTTTGTAGCAATCATACAATCAGTAACCCAGCAAACTCGATATTTGGGGAGGGGCGGCAAACACACGTTCACATATGCACGTTCTAACGTATTATGCCCCTTGGAAATCAATTTTTTGTACAACAAGGAAACCATATGTGAATTTGTGCCACCCTTCCCCCTTTAACAAGTTTGCTACGCCACTATGACGTAAAGAGGAACACGAGTGGAGACATTATGCAATTTCAAAACGCATATGCACCAGAAGCAATGGCGGGCACTAGCGACTGCTGTAGTCCCCCAAAATATTTTCGAAATACATGCTACATGTTGAGATATTTTTAGTCAGTTTTTAAACTTGAGTTATTGAAATAAAAAATCATCCCATGAGCCCCTCATGAGTTTGAAATTTTAATCTATTAATTGACGGATTTTGCCACTTCTCCCTCCCTAAATATTTCCTCAATTGTCCACCACAAACAGCGATATAGCTTCGACGGTTTCGTAGTCCACCGTTTAAAGAACTTGTGTCAACCAAGATGCATTGCGCGCACTTGTTTATGTTTACATCGTTACTTTTTGAGCTTGCGGCACACTGAATTCAATTTCGTCACAACATGATCCAATTTATATGAAAAGTTAGCGAAAAAACATTGATTAAAAACTCTAGTTCACATTATTATCCTTTGCCTAAGTTGCACGAACTACAATAACAAAATCCGCTATTTTCTCGACCCACAAAATGGGCGTCACGCTGTGATTAACACGCAATGCATCTTGGTTGAAACACATTCTTTAAGTTTTCGATAAGAATAGGTACGCGCAGCGTACGTGTACGTAGCCTATATCCGCATTCTTTGCCATGTAGAGCAATTTAATACGAAAGACTCCCTCATAAAACAAGCATCGCTACTAATTTACAAAATATATTTTACACTTTACAACGCGAGCAGATAACAGACACTTAACATGAAACAATCGCAAGCATCGTTTGTAACTTCACTCCATTGGTTACAGACACTTAACATGAAACAGTCGAGAGCATCGTTTGTAGCTTCACTTCAATGGTCACAAACAAATTTGCGTCAGAATAAGCACGTGCTCAAGACAGAAACATGTTCAAAAACCTTTTAAAAAGAATGAAGCAGCAGCTTGAAGAGAAAGCACAAGGTCGGTGAATATATGAATAAACGGATGTTTCGGTCATCGACAGGATGTACATTCACATCGAACTATCGTTTTATAACATTTTATAAACGAAAGGAAAATTGTACGAACACAAACCATATACAGTGTCAGGAAATAACCTCTCGCAAAATTTTTTCACCCTAATAAATACATTTTACACAAGTTATACATTTTCTCGCACAGAGGTAACGAAAACGGAAGAAATAATTCGGGAAAAACACTAGAATCTCGATTTATTTGCAAAAAGTTTAGTACTGTGGATCCTTGTTCATACGTAGGAGTAAGACATGGCAATTTCTATCCAGGATAAAAGATCTAAAATATGCTAAGCCTTCCGCCTTCAAGGGATTGGTTAATCGCTAGTTTCATGATTCGTCGGTCTGGAATCATCGAATATCTAGACCATATACTCTTAACAAAATGCAGGAGAAAAAGTTAATACAAAAATAACACGTCCCTATGTACATTTTTGTAATATTGTAAAGTCAGTAGTTAGTGTCTATATATGCGAAGGATATGATATGATTTGTTCATCGATCAACTTCATTTTAGAGCCATGTATTTGTTTTGAGGGTTACGCACATGTACGCAATGCGAACCTGTTTTTCGAATATTTTTTCAGTGTTTATATTTTCAATAAGCAACGTGATGTTCGATATATTTTGTATTATGGCCAAGCAATATATTTTAATACATATCGCACATATTCCTTTTCAAAGACTTAACTTCCATCTCATAAATACCGTTCGAAGAAATGCTTTTCTAAAACAGTCGTCCACGTGGCTATTCATACACGAAAATATGAACAGTGAAAACTCTACTAACGGTTACCTTTTTTAGCTGACACCGTCAGTAAGCGGACACAAAGTCTTGGTCTCTAGAGTGCGCGCATACAAGAGATTTGACTATACTTAACAATTTCCACAAAAATGCAAAAACCAAGAAGACAAGTCGCAATGCTTAAAATAACATTATTCGTGCCCGCGTCTATTTGACATATTGAAATCAATGACATAGTCTTGGCACCGAAAGATGGATGCATCGCATAGTAATGTACGAATAAGATTTCAATATACCTATTAAAGGCTGGGGATGGTTTGCGAATTGTGTGGTGGGCGATGCAACAGCTTTAGTCTTCGCCTTTGGTTTTGCAGGTCTGTCGTAAGGTTTTTTCGAATTCGCCAAAATGCTAGTCACCATTTTGCCTAAAATAAATAAACATCGCGTCATACAGAGTATAAAATTTACATTTGTATCATAAAGGGTTGGGCGATATTTCAATAAATCGATTTATCGCGATAGTTTTATTAGGCGGTTATCGTACCGAAGGAGGAAACTAGAGTAACGATTTATCGAAGTTATCGTCATGCGTGATGACTATCATGATATTGTTTTCATTTTGTGTACATTTATAAAACCTGAAATGATTCTTTTTATTCCGAAAAAATGTTTCTCGAATACGAATTTACCAAAATAATACAACAAAATGTATATAAGCTAGAATTAATCACAGATATTTATGTATTGATCCGCTAAACAATGAAATTGCAGGCTTCGCTTGCGGTGCGTGCCAACGGCATTCGTATCATCCGGTAACTGTTATTGAATATTGAGTAACTATCATAAAATCTTTGTTGTTTTAGTTCATTTTGTTGATCAAAATTTAAAAATTAGGTGGTGCTTTTTTTATTGTATTTATCACGATATTATCGAATATCGTGATAATTTCCTCAAAAATAATCATGAGCTGATTTTTTGATTATTGCCCAACCGTAGTATCATATGATGTTTACCTTTTATGATACAAGTTACACGAGAAGTAAAAAATTCCAAGATACGACAACACGAATACAGTTATGTGATAACTTTAGTTGTCCCACGTATTTCTTTTAACACTTTCATGCATTAAGGTACACAAAGTTTAAGCCTGAAATTGATAAAAGAAACATATGGGACAACTAGATTTATCAAATAACTGTATTCGTGTAAGTTGAAGTTAAAATTTAATTTAGTAGTTAGCAACGATAGATTTGCTAGGGTGCGCAACGCCCCACCCCCCCCCACTCCTCCCCCGCTTTCTAGCCTGGGCAAGACGGGGTGAAGCAGGAGTGACAATTTCTATGGAAAAATATCAATATATCAAACAAAGAAAAAACAATTTTGATATATGTTTAATGGAGCACATATTCAAATCATAAATAAGCCTTTGAAATTAATTTCAACCCCCTCCCCCCGTCTACTAAACAATCCTGGATCCATCCCTGGTTTTTAGTTAAAGAAAAACGTAATGATTAGTTCTTAAGCACATACAACCAAACGCTCTTGAAAAAGCTGCTATCCAAATGGATAGCGCTATCCGAATGGCCCCAACAAAATAGACGATCATGCGTGACTGAAATTCTATCGTAACACGCATTACTCCAAAGTCTAAGCGAGAGCATGGCTCATGTCATTTTGGCAATCAAATACATAGCAATCAAATCCGTAGCAATCAAATCCATAGCAATCAAATCCATAGCAATGATCATATTTGGAAATTACAAGGAATGATGCAAGAGCATCGTCACTCAACCTGTTTTACTTTTACTTTCCTCCTGAGCGACTTGTTGTAACAGGTTCTGCAACATGATACAAAATGAGGGAGATTTTGTTGTTGTTAGGATAATAAATAGACAGCATATTTCCTATCCGGGGGTGGGTGGCGCACAAACTCCCAAAAATTGTGGGGGTCGAGGACTTTTGTAGTATCTTTATTCGGCAAAGATTTTTTTGGTATCTTTATTCGATAGAAAAACTCCAAATTTTTGCCGGACGAAATTTTTTCGTCCACGGTAAGAGTTTCAAGAACGACTTTGTAAACATATTACAAAGAATGCTGGGGGACGTCACATCCCCATAGCACATTGTGTGCCCCAGTGTATGGTCAGGTCCACTAGCAAAGATAGCCCAATTTTTGACATATAATATACAAATACAATTCCACTATTTCTTTTTACATTTTTATGAAAACAGAGCATGGCTTTGACCTCGCGATACAGTCTTTCCCAGAAACACAACAGAAATACGACAATCAAGCCATCAGGTTCGCTATCAAATGAGCGTTTCTCTGGTAACAGCAAGTAAAGTAGACACAAACTGGTCCATAATTGTAGCTCGTAATTCGTAAATGCAATTTTTTCTTCAAAAATCGGTGAATTACACGTCTGATTATGGCCGTCGTGTCAAACTTTTCTAAATACACATATTTTACAATTCCAAAATTCAACCTTCGTGCATTTTCTGCAGCTGAATGTCGGTTATTATTTGCTTGACCGTGAAATTAGAAAAACTATGAGAAAAACTTTATCTCAGATCAGACGTCACATATCGGGAACACGCTTTAAGAAAATGCTGTATTCTACACATTAACTCCTAACTAGCATAGCTATTTTGTCGGATTAAACACGTGCATGGCAACTTGTGTCGTGGATGATAAAAAACGTCCAGTTTTAAGCAAAATACAACAGACGAATTCCCGATATGACGTCAAAAATGACATTAGTTACCAGCTTTTTTATACTGGCGGTCAGACACGTGCACGGCAAATTGTGTCATGGATGTTAAAAAACGTCCAGTTTTAAGCAAAATACAACAGACGAATTCCCGATATGACGTCAAAAATGACATTAGTTACCAGCTTTTTTATACTGGCGGTCAGACAATGAAAATGATCAATTTTTCAAATTGGAGTGCGAAAATATCCAGCAAAATGATTCTTTCGAACTATAAAATATGTCACACAAGTTTTTAAAGTAACCTGATGTATCTAAATGGCAGAAATGCAAAAACATGATGTAGGTACTTTGAAGATTTGATGTAAATTACTGTTGTTATGCATGACATCATACAATGGCTGTCAAAACGAACTGATCGTGAATAAAATTCACCATAGCCAGACATACCAACCAAAAGAAACAGCAGATAATTTCGATCGTTAATTGACACCCGTCCACATTTAATCACGGCGTTTAATATTATGCACATGCATACCAAAAATTGTAGGGACCCCAGAATTTTTGGGGCCCAAACGTTTTATTTTGACAATGAGTTTAATTTGACAATATAATACGAAAACAAATGCTGTTTGCGATATTTACTCGCCATAGCAAAGAATATATTGTTTTCATGAGGTAAAATCTTTACGCCATCCAATGCAGTTTGATAGTATTTCATTAATGAAAAGTCATTGGTGTCACATCACTTACATGCTTCAATTGTATGAAAGTCTAAATCTGCATGCGTTGGGCATTCTCAACTATCGAAAAATGCAACTTCAAATGCCGGGAGAATATGGACCAAGAATAATATCTGCTAGCGTACAATAACGATGCGGGGGGGGGGCAAACTCACTAAGTGCAGAGGGGCTAAGAAAACCTTACTGCAGCCCTGAAACTTTACCACAAACGTGATCAGTTCTTTTCGACCGCCAGTGTATACACCACATATAGCAATGAAGTAGAAGCACAACATAATATTTGAACATCGCCAGCTATAAATAATGAGTTTCAGTTTTCAGAGTTTTCAGAATTTCAGATTCTCAACCAGGTTAATAAATAACAGCGAGTTTTATACATGAAAAACGTCCCATGAAACAACCGCAAGCATTTTCAATGTATATACCCACCTCATTACAAATATATTACCTTTACATGTCTTCCTCCGGTCATATGATCGTGGAAACTTGTTGGCCCTTGACAGGTGACCTTACACAACTAAAAAACATTCGAAATACCAGCTAAACAAAAGTATAATTAGTGGCAAAAGCAAGGTTTGCTTTTTGAAGGAGTTTTGGGAGGCAAAACCTTTAAACATGTTTTTCTCCTTTTTTGCACTAAACGCATTTTTCAACAATGCAACTACCGCGGCATTCATCACAGTAGAACCTGAGCTAGCAACAGTGATGAACTTTGATTTCCAGGTAGAATAGCGCCTATTGTCACTGTGAAGGATAGGTTTTTGGTAAGTAGTTCTAAGATATAGGTTTGATAATAGGTTCCTTAAAATATTTAGCCAGCTGTATCACAGACTTTAAAAGGTTACTCTTGCCAATCAAAATTCCTTAAAAAGGCATCGATTGCATTGTACAAATGAAGACTATAGTGAAGTCATAAAAATATTGTTAAAGAGGGAGAGAAATTGCGGACACAGAAAATGAGTATAATCCATTCAGGGGGCAATGATAAAAATCTTGTGCCGAGACATATAGCAACAAAACTAAATTTTAAAATTACAAAAATCATGAGAATCTTGTAGATCAAATAGAATTCCATAACAGATACTTCATGTAGGACGAAAAACAACAGACACAAACTTACTTCACATGTAAAGCAGGTCATTTGATCCTTGGTTAATCTTATGTTAAAGGCTTCGGCAACTCTCTTTATGTGTTTTGTGGTGAAAACGTGTCTGCTAAATTGCTGGCAATAAAAAATTTGTGGATTGAATTCACACATGTTTGAAAACTGCACAATGTTTTGTCATAAAAATTTAATTTTTTGAACACATAATTAATCCATGAAACACAAATATGACAAAACATGCAATACACCCCCAGTACGACACAGACTCTGAATCATGAAATATTCAAAACTCCACAATATGAGCAAAATTTAATGTTTTAATAGTTTCGATTGGTGATATAGTGGTCAACAATCATTATTCACAATGGACAAGGTCAAAAGTGCAATATCTTATTGTTTGTGTCCTTGCATGCATGTTCCATTCATCATCACTTCTTTCATCTTCAACAAGTGGTGAATATGTAACCTCCACTCAATGCAATAGGTCATCAGCATGAACCAAAGTTTTTTTCCTACCAGCAGCTTTGTGACTTTTGTGTTTGGATGGGAATTAATTGAGTAATGAAGCATGCTGTACTTGTTATTGGGCTGTCTTGCAAGATATGTGGTAAACCTGGCTTTACTTGTTTTGTTTTAAGTGTATGAGTTGCTTAAAACCGTTATGGTTACTGATAATCTGATACTATTGATCGATTTGTGTTCACCATCACACCATAAAATTTGAATTTCACACCAGCACACTAAAATGACATACTTACAGTACCAGATGGGTATATGAAATTGCAGCCAGCAAGTTTGTTCATGATAAGAAAATTTGTAATATTCGTGTTCACTCAAACTTAAAAACACTAAATTTCTAAAGGAAAGAACAATGGTAACGAAATTTATATGAGATGAACAAACTTGCAGGCCAGCTACGCGACTGACGTATCACCGTTAGCACCTGGGCTTTGGCTGGGCATTGTTTAATAAAATAATTTGCAATGCATGCTATTATTTCAAAAAGTTTCATTAAAGGTTTCCACACAACCATTATTCACTAGGAAAAATAACAACCGTTTTCCATCACTTATTTTGAGCATGAATGGCGAATGAGAATACAAAATGACTGAATTCTTACAATCTTACCGGCCAATCTTCTGCTTGATAGGAACAATATCTACATTCTCTGAGTTCTTTCTCTGTTTTATTACGAGGTTTATTATGCGCTGGTAACGATTCAGTTACCAACGTTGGCTCGAAAGCGTCTTCGAGCGCGTTTTCTTCTGTTTTGTTCTGCACATTTGGCTCATTTTCCCTGTTGTCTTCACAAATCCTGGGATTGGGTTCATCACTATCAGTTTCGTGTTCAACAACTTGCTCAACAGATATATTAGGATCTTCAAATGAAGTCCATTGTAAACCTTGTGATTGCACGTCACTCATGGTTTATCGTAGCTGTGAATTTTGTATCTTAGAAAACAAAATAAAGTTTAAGCTTTGCACCACTTTTTAAAATCCGCCATTTCGGTGTATTTTGTTATGTTGTTGTTACATGACGTTTCGCTGAATTTGTAACAATTTTCTTCTGAACTCTCCCCTCCCCCTCACTCCGTTTGCCGAAATTCAGAAAACTCGAGCAATTTGGGGGTGTTCGCAACAAATATCATTCATAGTTGATAACAGCTTTATTCATCGAGAGATTACGGTGAATAACCATAAAAATGTTGCTTCATACAGTTGAAAACTGAGAGCTTTAGATCTCTATTGCTGTAACTTGGGGGCAGCGAGACCATTGTAAATCTGGTGAGTTTCTTAAAAAGTTTGGATTATCAGATCAAACATGACGGATTATCTGGAGCTGCGGAAGATTCGTAACTGAGGCCCATTTTCATATACTCATAAGTTTTAATTCATAATTGCAATTGTTTTATATTGAATTTGATCACTTAAGGCCTGCGTATGTATAATCATATGTTTAAAAATTGATAATCCAAAAATCCACAAAGAAAACAACCCGCTTTGACCTATCGTATCGCTTCCAGGATCACCTACGTATGAACTTTCAAAATATCTTTGTAAACATTCTCTATCCATTAATTAAAAATTCACCTCACACCATCAGAAATGCCACCACCTTCCTCGCCAGTATTGAAAACATTAAATTACGACCAGACGAAATCATGATATCCTACGACGTGACATCACTCTTCACATCCATGCCACCAGACATAGCCAAACAAATTACAAACGAACTACTAATAAACGACAAAACTTGGCCAGCTACAACACAACTAGACAAAAATGACATCCTGGACTTACTCAACCTTTGCTTCTCCACTGAATTCTTCTTCCAAAACACATACTACAGACAAATTTCAGGCACACCAATGGGGTCACCACTATCCACTTTCCTCGCAGAAGACGTCATGCAACACCTCAAAACACAATCAGTCACAAACAACACAAACATCAGACTATGGAAAAGATATGTCGACGACATCTTTGCCATAGTCAAGAAAGACAAAACTGAACAAATCCTACACATCATAAACAATACCGCAAAGAACATAACCTTCACTGAAGACGAAGAGCACAACAAACAACTTACTTTCCTCGACATCCTACTAACCAGAACAGATGACGGTACACTAAACACACAAGTATACCGCAAAACCACCCACACAGACCAAATACTCGATTTCAACAGCAATCACCCAACACAACACAAAATAAGCTGCATTCGAACACTTTTTTAACAGGATAAATACTCATTGTAACACCAAAGAAGCCAAGAAAACAGAACGCAACTACTTATACTTCACATTTATTAAAAACAATTACCCTAGAAACTTCATAAACAAAACTATAAAAAAAATACAAAACAAAACACAAACCGACAAATGCAACAAGAAACCGGACGAAACAGTAAAAATCGTCACATTACCATACATTAACGGAACATCAGAAATGACTGCCAGACTTCTTCGACCATTCAATATTAACGTCGCCCACAAACCTACACAAAAACTCAAATCATATTTTACCATATATAAAGACAAAACAACAATCCATGATACAACCGACGTGAACTACATGATACCATGCAAAGATTACTCAAAACAATACACAGGACAAACATCAAAGAAAATCGAAACAAGACTCACAGAACACAAAAAACGCCATAAAACGACGTGACCCAAACTCACTACGGGCAGAACATACCCACGCAAATAATCACACATTCGACTGGACAGAAACTAAAGTACTCGGACGCTCACAAACAAAACACGCACGCGAATTCAAAGAAGCATGGTACAGTAAAGACAACGACACATTAAACAGACATATCGACATACCCATCATATATTCCCAACTTAAGAAAAAGAAAAACGAATTACAAACAATACCAAGACTACAACAACACACTCTGATAATATCAACACCAATCACATCCACAATACACCAAAACCCATGGCAACGCATTTCACCCCATCCAATCACATTAATCCACCCCCAAATCCAATTAGACGCTTTAATCGTCTACAACTACAAGCTAAAAGCAACTGTAAATAATAACTTCTTCATTCTGATGAAGGCTCGAAGCACGAGTCGAAAGCTCAATAAAATTATTTATAAAATCTGGAGAAACTTTTTTTTTAAACAATATATAATCATATATAAATATAGCCACCGCCTCCCAAATCAGCAATTTTCTGAGGTCCCTTATTATTTATTTTTGCGTAATTTAGAAACATATAAAACGCTGTCAAGAGTCGACAAACTGTTTAAAACAAACTGTATAAAACATGAGATAATCGTTTTGCCAATGATGATGCTTGCCCCTCTCCTAGAACTTTAAAATTTATTGAAAGCTTCAGCCGTTTATTAAATCATTTTCGGCAATTAAGTAATTATGAAAAAGATAGTGCTTATCTATTTGACATAGTTAACATATGCGATCTGTGTTGAACACTATAAGGTTATATATTTATATCAGTTTATTATAAATAATACATAAAAGCTATATGAGATTATTTTTGCGACTTGTTGTGCAACTTACGTAACAATCATTGCTATAAATACCAAAATATTTCTCCGTGAAAATCGATTGTCGTTCGTTGTTTTCTGCGTTAAGTCTTAAATTTGTTTTATCTAAGTCCGCTGTACGTCTCAGTTGTGTTATTGCACATTCGAATCACAGTTGCTTGGTAGCACGTAATGTCTTTAAGTATTTTTAACAACGAAAGGTGTGTAAAAAATATTTTTCCTATTGCACCTAATCATTAACGAAATTTTATGCATTCGTCACTCCTAGAAAATAAACGAAAGAGTGACACGTATAATGTATATATAGACACAAGTTGGCATTATTATCTGCATAACCATTAAAGTCGAGAGTCCCATACATCTTTTGTAGACTCCGCTATGTAAACCGTGTAAGGACTGCCGGATATATCTTCGCCTAACCACGTGACGCTTATGTCGTATTGACCAGCCTGAGATGGGCTATACTCCACTGCAACGTTGCGGTCTTTCAGCTTTTTTTTAATACATTTCAAATCGAAAGCTTTGGGGCCGCGAATTTTTATCTTAAGGGCGCCGGCCCCAGCGCCTTTAGTGTCGATCACGAATTTCCCTTCGAAATCTTTGATGACGCCGTTCTCGACACCTGGACCAACGGCGACAATATTTGTGGCATTTGGACGGTCTACCACGTTCACTTCGAACGGGCTTCCCTGGACGGGTTGTCCTCCCCATTCAATGTGTATCGAGTGAAGTCCTAAATTTTTACATGAGAAAAAGTATTCCAAATATTAGACAATGAACAATAAACATACCTGCAAATCATTATCATAGTACCATAGAACATACCACTCTCCGTCGGATGAATTATTAACGTATAAGTGCCATTATGATTGTCTTGAGCATTTGCATCGCAGTCTTTACTAGGCCCGTCACAACGTACAGCTAAAACACCAGTGTCCGAGGATCCTGTAATAACGGTTAATTTGATGGGTTCATCAACAAAGCCACCAGTGGTGAGAGCTTTGCCTTCAACGGTGCACTGTGATAATTCTGGCTCACCAACGATCTCCACTGTGAAAGGACTTCCCGGGACATTGTCACCATCAAAGAGCACATGTAGGGCATAAGTACCCGGGATAGAAGCGACATATCGACAATCGTATGTGCCATTCCCATTATCTTCTACTTTCACATACATAGTAGTATATTGCACTCCTTGCAGTGTGGATGTAATAAGCCCTTCACCAGCATCGCGGCAATCGACTGTGAATTCCCCCGGCTTATTCACATCACCTACAAGTAAAAGGAAATCATAGTGAAGAGTTAATGCAATCATTATTTTATTATTGTCACAAGAACTTGAGGGCGTAGAGACACTGAACTCAAGAATGGATTTACTGGAGGGGTATACATCCTTCGTAGCTTTGATTGAGGGGATGTTAATTTCTCAACAAAATTCTAATACACCAAACAACTATGCAAAATTGACTGTGATTAAGTTAAATGATAGCAAGCTTTATAAAATGACCCAATCACGATAAAAAGGTAGCATCTACTATAACAAAAAAGTCTGACATTGCAAGTCAACAGGTACCCCTCGAATTTAAATCTGAACAATCAAAGTTCCATTTATATGAAGAAAGTATAGCAATCTGAAAAAATCAGACCCTTGCGCAACCGACCCTAGATTTCCAGAATCACATGTAAGTGGGTTTCAGTAGTGAAAATACGCATGGATTTGAGGGAGGTTGTTAAGGTGTGTGCACCTCTCCTAAATTTGCGGAGGTGAGCACACCTCTCTAGCCTTGGATAAAAGGGGTACAGGAGACATGCCAAGCTCCCTACATACAAAAATGATACTAAAAAAGCACACAACTAGGCAACATCAATTGTGATTAGTTTTTAATAGAGGCAGATTTATCATAATAATGTCCCAATCATAAAAAAGGAAACAGAATTTACAAAATAATTCTGACACGCTACGGCAGCAAGTAGCCACCAAAATCTATTTGAAACTCCCCTCCCAATAAGAAATCGTGATGGGTCCATCCCTGAGTGGAAAAGACTTACATTCTTTTAATCCATCTCCGTAAACAATACATTTGGAAGCATCTGGAGAGATGTACAGTTCTGTGACGTCCACTTTCATGGGTTGACCTGGAACCAAGCCGCCGCCGAAGAGAATTTTGATTTCATACTCTCCAGGCACCGTAGGTACAAACCTTAAATGATACAAGTTGTCCATTCGTTGAACAAAGCTGGATTCGACGGTGACGTTTCCTGGTGCGAGAATTTCCGCCTCGAGTTCACCTTCACCCGCTTCTTCTAGAACTTCCAAAGGTATAATCACTTCATTTCCAACCGTCATCTCATCCTCACTAAGATTTTGCACCAGAACCTTGCTGGGATCTGCAACTTTTACAACGAACGGACTACCGCGAACGTTCACGCCGGCAAATTTGACGAAGATCTTGTGATCGCCTATTTCTTGTGGAGTGTAGTAGATGACGTACGTGTCTGCTTCGCTTTCCAATGGTTTTATTTGCACGGGGACCGTTTCTCCAAACGGAGAAACAGCCGTTATTGCAAGTTGGCCCTTTCCTGCACCATGCAGGCTAACCAAAAATTCCACTTGCTCATGAAGTCGCACCTGATAGAGACCTAAAACAGTACCCAGTGTCATGCTATTTAAATTCATAGTATCAACTTTTTAAAACGCCAAAAACATTTTGATATATTAAAAGTATCTTTTAAAGTGAAAGCTGAGTCACAAACTCGCTTTATGAAGCGAAACCTGAAGTGAAAACAAAGTGAAACCTGAAATACAAACTTGCTTTATGACCTTCGTTCATACTCCGAGATAGTTTTAAAATTTATGAATTCAAATGTAATTTTCGGCTAAATTATCGTAGAACATGATACAACGTTGCATATTTTGTTTATTTTCAATTGAAATCCATCAGAATATACCTTCACCGTGGGCTACAGCCTTCCCGGGATCTGCAACGGTTGATCCTGGTAAGCTTGCTCCAATTTCTTTTCCATTGAAGAAGAGCTTAATGATGTACTCAACAGGCTCCGCAGGTACAAACCTCAAATGATGCAAGTTTTCCTTTCGTTCAACAAAGCTGGATTCGACGACGACGTTTCCAGGTGCGATGATTTCCGCCTCAAGTTCGCCTTCACCCGCTTCTTCTAGAACTTTCAAAGGAATAATCACTTCGTTTCCTACCCTTATCTCTTCCTTGCTAAGACTTTCCACCAAAATATTCCTGGGATTAGCAATTTTCACAAGGAACGTGCTACTGCGAGCGTTCAAGCCGGCAAGCTTTATGTAAGGTTTTTCACTATCAGTTTCTTGTAAACCAAATGTCTCATCAGAAATACCAAAATCTTCCATTGTAGTCCTCTGTAAGCCTTCGGATTGTACGTCACTAATAAACTTATGGTAACAGCGAATTGTTTTTATTAGAAAACAAAGCCAACGCACAACTTTATTACATTCGCCATTTCGGTGTTGCTTTATATAAATATTATTATGACCGGCGGCATCATTTACATACGTTTCGATTCGATGGATTCGATCAATAGACATGTTAACAATTAGTCTGCCGCTGATTTTCGTCGTGCTTTAAATGCTTTTAATTCAACAAACATCTTAATTCCTTTATAAACTCTTGCACTAACCTTCATGGACTTGAATGTCTAAAAAACCTGGCAAAGTCCAATTTCTGTGTGGTTTCCGGGCAAACGAAGTGGAAAGTCAGGTGGTTCCCTTGTTGCGTTTATACAACATCAAAATGCAGCATTGGCCTTACTTTTATTATTTTAGGAAAGATAAACGTATAAATTACACAGATTTAGTGAAAAATTGATAAATTCAGCACCGTCGAAGGATTTTTTCCAAGCGCTTTATCATAAAGTAAACTCTACCTTCCTGAATGTAATAAGTCTTGTATTTAACGCCCAAACTTACACAAGTACAGGTTCTTATATACATTACTCATGCATAATAAATAAGGAATTAACTACGTCATTACAGCATATAAATATAATTAGGCATGCAATGTCACATCTCTTTTTCTTCGGTTTTTTTTTAAATAATGTCACACTATAAATGATTTTTTAACTTATTTTTTTTTTCTAATAAGAATATCTATTAGGTTTTTTGATTAGACGTCCATACCGAGTTCGTATATTACTGTTGTTAGTACTTTCATTACGATTTTTATAAGATCTATTGTTCTCACTATAAGACTTATCTGTATCTTGACTTCTCGATTCTTCATTAATCTTTAATAAATGATTTCTATTCCTTCTATAGTAGGTACCATCAGACGTAACCAAATACGATCTTGGCTCAAGTAACGATTTTTCCACGATTCCTTTCTTTTGGAAGCCTTTTTCTGTTTTTATACGTACCTTATCTCCTTCTTTTAATGGTGGAAGTGTTTTTGCATTTCGATCATAAAACTTTTTTTGTTTCTTGTGATACATTTCCAATTTTTCTTGAACATTAACAGGGTTTAATGGTTGAAATTCAAGTAACTTCTCTGATATTGGTAGTAATGTCCTAGTTCTTCGTCCCATTAGTCGTTGAGCTGGACTGCCAACAATTTCATCTCTAGGTGTATTTCTATAATTAAGGAGTCCTAAATAAGGATCGGTGTTATCATATTTTGCTTTCTTTATGATTGCTTTTGCTGTCTGCACAGCACGTTCTGACATGCCGTTACTTTTTGGATATCCTGGTGAACTTGTTGTATGTTTAAATCCATACTGTAATGAGAATGCACGAAATTCTTTACTCCTGAATTGTGGACCATTATCTGTTATAAGATCTTCGAAAATTCCATATCTCGCAATTTGAGATTTCATCTTTGTGATAACTGTTTTTGATGTTGTATTTAACAAGTAATCAATTTCAAAGAATCCACTGTAGTAATCTACCATAAGAAGATAGCTTCTACCATTCAATTCAAACAGGTCTGCTCCAACTTTACTCCACGGTCGATGTGGTACAGTATGTGATTGTAGAGGCTCCTTTTGTTGATGACTCTTATGGGCATTGCAGATTTCACACTTTCTAACTTCTGCTTCTATTTCTAAGCTCATCTTTGGCCAATATAAACACTCTCGAGCCCTACGTTTGCATGATTCAGATCCAAAATGTCCTTGATGTATAGCTTTCAACATATCAGTTCTTAATGACTTAGGAATTATTACTCGATCTCCTTTAAACAGTAGGTCATCTTGTACTGAAAGAGTCTCTTTAAAGTCCCAGTAATTTAAAACATCCAAATCAACTTTACTGCGTAGATCTGGCCATCCATTTTCTACGTACTGTCGTAGCATTTTCATTACTTTATCTTTCTTTGTCTCTTCCTTTAATTGTTTCATTTTCTCTTCACTTACTGGCAAGACAACATTTATCTCAAAATCTTCTAAGTGATCATCTGATTCTTCTTGGATATACGCTCGACTTAATTGATCCGCGAAATAAAGTTCTGCTCCTTTCTTAAACGAGACTTTCAAACTGTACTTTTGAAGTTTCAGCAGCATTTTCTGGAGTCTCAATGGAGATTGATGAAGGGGCTTCTTGAAAATCTGCTCTAAGGGATTATGATCTGTTTCAACATTGACATCTCTGCCATAGATGTAATCATGGAATTTTTCACATCCAAATACAATTGCAAGTAATTCTTTTTCAATTTGTGCATATTTCTTTTGGCATTCAGTTAAAGCTCTCGATGCATAAGCAACTGGTTTGCCATTTTGAAGACAAACTGCTCCTAAACCTGACATACTTGCATCTACGGACAATGTCACATCTTTTGATACATCGTAGAATTGCAATACAGGATGCTCTCCACAGGATTTCTTGATTCTGTCATACACTATTTGATGTTGATCTAACCAGCACCAATCATTTTCCTTCTTTAACATATCTCTAAGGGGACTTGCCATTTCTGAAAGATAAGGAATAAACTTGGCCAAATATTGAACCATTCCAAGAAATCTTTGAAGATCTTTCTTATCTTTAGGAATTGGCATGTTTAATATTGCTTTAATCTTTTCAGGATCGGATTGAAGACCGTCTGACGTTATTTTGTGTCCCATGTAATCTACATTTGTTACTTTAACTTTTGTTTTTTCTTTCTTTAATTTGAGATTGATTTCACGAGCTCTATTCAGCACTTTGATAATTCTTTCATCATGCTCTTTCTCTGTTGTTCCCCATACTAAGATATCATCCATTATAATTTCACAACCGTCTATTCTGTCAAACAGCTGGTGCATAGCTTTTTGGAACACTTCAGGTGCTGAGGATATACCAAATGGGAGACGATTGAATTTGTATCTGCCAAAAGGCGTATTGAATGTTGTAAGATAACTGGAATCTTTATCTAGAGGTATCTGCCAAAATCCAGAGGCTGCATCGAATACGGAGAAAATTTTAGCTCCAGGTAGTCTTGATACGACTTCTTCTATTGTTAAGAGAGGGTAATGTTCTCGCTGAATGGCTTCATTAAGATGTCCAGGATCAATACATATTCGTAACTTGTTTGGTTTTTCCACTGTTACCATTGACGAAACCCATTCCGTAGGTTTTTCTACAGGATCGATGACACCCATCTGTTGCATTCGTTCTAACTCTTCTTTAATTTTCGTTCTCATAGCTACTGGAACGCGTCGAGGAGGATGAATTGTAGATTTTACATTTGGATTGACACTGATATGATGTTTAATGGGTAAACATCCTAGTTTGCCATCGAAGAGATCTGCATATTCATTGAGAATATCGTCGCTAGTGAAAATAGGTTTGACATCTTTAATTCTTTTCACCATACCCAAACGCTCCCAATCAGGTAAACCAAGAATAGGCTTTACATCGTGTGTCGCTATATAGAAAAGAAGATTGTATCGTTTGTCTTTGTAAGAACACGTCATCACTGCTTGTCCCAAGGTTTGAACTGAATCTCCACTATACGACATTAGCTTTGTATTTGTTTTGGTAACTTGTTGCTCAGCTTCTGTGACTTTGTCGAACAATTTTTTAGAAAGCACATTACATTTTGCGCCTGTATCCACCTTCACGTTCACCAAATGTCTGCCAAACTTGAGTTCAGAATACCACTCGTCTTTGCTTTTTTCTACAGCTTCAATATTCATTCGATAGTCGACTTTTGAGCTTGTGCGTTGTTGCGTAGGTTTGATTGCATTAACAGCACCAATAAACAATTTTTCATCACTAACTTCATGAACTGTTCTTTGTGACCTTTGTGTAGACGTTAGACATACCCGAGCAAAGTGGTTTTTCTTATGACATTTGTGGCATATTTTTCCAAAAGCTGGGCATTGCTTTGGAAGATGTTTTCCTCCACAGTTTCTGCAATTGTTCTTTAATACGAATCTTTGTCCTCGATGTTTATCTTCTTTTGTTTGACGTAAGTTTGTGTAACTTCCTCTTGAGGTTTTCGAATTCTTCCTAGCCTTCAGTTCATCGACATCTTGATAATTAGTAAGATCTTTTACTCGTTGTTCCGACAGTTCGTTTGCACTGCATATGTTTAGAGCTTTGTCTAAAGTTAAACTTGTTTCGCGAAGGAGAATCTTTCTTACTGCATCACTGTTAATCCCACACACAATACGATCTTTAATAAGTTCGCTCTCGAGGTCACCAAACTCGCACTTTCGAGCAATGTTTTTCAAATCTGTAACAAAGGAACTAATCGACTCTGACGGACTTTGCTTCCTTGTATGAAATAAATGTCTTTCGAATGTTAAATTCTTAAGCGGCATACAAATTTCTTCAAATTTCTTCGCTAGAATTTCTGGATCGTCTTTGTCTTCCTCTTCGTTGTAGGTAAAAGAATTATATCTTTCAACCGCATCTTCGCCAGCTAGATTTAAGAGGATGCATGACTTTTCTTTCTTTGATTTCCGACTATGTCCTGCAGCAACAATGTATATTTCATAGTTCTGTTTGAAGCGACGCCAATTCTCAGCCACGTTGCCTTCAAACGAGAGTCGTGTTGGCCTAGAAAATCCTTCTGCCATTCGATAAGAACAAACTTTTCCTAATCGCTGCCACCATGTAATAAGTCTTGTATTTAACGCCCAAACTTACACAAGTACAGGTTCTTATATACATTACTCATGCATAATAAATAAGGAATTAACTACGTCATTACAGCATATAAATATAATTAGGCATGCAATGTCACACTGAAGGACAGTTTGAACTAATATTCTACATGTACAAAGTTACGAAAGTGATTAAACATATTCTTACCAGTCATTGACCAACAGTAAGAGGCGTGAAACCGGCTAACATGATCTGCAAATGGGAAATAGCAAATGTAGAACACTAATCTGTGAATAGCTCTCATGAAAGAGTGAAGCAATTATTGTCAATTAATGGAAAGATAAAAAATGAAAATGAGCACTATGAACTGGAATGAAAGTTTTCGCTGAAATTTAGCAATAGCATAAAAAATAAACCATTAGTTGAATATTATTCGAACAATGACAGTCTTTTCGGATATTACATTGGTCTTAGCTACAAGATTGTCATTTCACATTTTAACTTATATAGAAATTTAAAATCTTCCTCGATGGCTTTATGTTATTATGCAGCCTGAAAATCTATCGTAATATGAGAGTGACACAGATGGGGAGGACTAAATTCATGGAGCTTAAATTAAAGCATGTTTAGCTCAGTCTTGGCTGTCAAGGATTTTAGTGAATGGATCTTAGTCATGGATAGCTTTTCGTCACAGATTTTGCAACACTTCAATGAAAGCTTTGATTCCTATTGTATATTGCTGATTTTGAATATAAACTATCGCATTATTTAATAATCTCTATGTTTCTTAGCTACGTCTTGTGCATGTTTCTATTGGCAACAATTTTCTTCTACACCTCCCCCCATCCACCAAAATGAAAAAAATCAAGCAATTTTGGGAAAAAACAAGAAAGACTCCGACGATGTTATGCAAATATTGCGAAAATTTGGATATAATTATTCCAAAAAAGTTGGTATAAATAATTGCAATTTCTTCCCTTAATTTTCCATAGGCCCGTACGCTGCACATATCGTTCATAGCTCATAACAATCTTGTTGATCGACTTATGAAATGTTGCTTTGACAAATGACAACTTTAAATCCATACTATTTCCATAGGCCCGTACGCTGCACATATCGTTCATAGCTCATAACAATCTTGTTGATCGACTTATGAAATGTTGCTTTGACAAATGAGAACTTTAAATCCATACTATTTCCATAGGCCCGTACGCTGCACATATCGTTCATAGCTCATAACAATCTTGTTGATCGACCACATGAAATGTTGCTTTGACAAATGAGAACTTCAAATCCATACTGCCGTATCGTGGGGCAGCGCAGTCTCCGTAAGTCCGGGGAGTCTAATAAAAAGTTTGAATAATCATATAATTTTGCTGGATTACCAGCAGCTGCGGAAGATTTATAATTAATAAAGGGCCATTTTCACGTGTTTATAAGTTTTAATTCATAATTACAATTGTTTTCAATAGAAACTGCGATAACGTAGAGCACGCACGTTTATAATAAATACCTCAGGCCTGTTTCAAACATTAAACTCTACATGCCCCGAACGCATTAAAAACAAAAGAAAATGAGATGAACTTCCTCATTATCTTTTGTTTTAAATGCGTTTGGTTCATGTAAAGTTCGGCGTTTGAACTAGGCCTAACACTAATTACTAATCCCTCTCCCTGTCCAAATCATCAATCTTCTATGGTCCCTGATTGTTTATTTTTCCGAAATTTAAAAACACATTTTTTTGTACAAGTTTTCTAAAGTAATAGATTTCCATCCATTTAATACTCAAAAATATCTCTTAAAAAAGCTGTCAAGAGTGAACTACTTTTTTCTGCCATTTAGCAACTTCTCCGCCAACAGTTCTGCTAAAGTTGTAGCTTGTACCTCTATAGTCTCATCATTGATACATCTTATTGATCGTTTTTTTTAATAAATCTGTTCCGACCTTGCCATATTTTGCGACGCTTTTTCATGAACAATGAGCTGCAATTTTTTTGAATGAAATTTAATTTATCTTTAAGCTTATAGTATCTTGCAATTTCGCAAAGATGAAAAGTCTTGCGAATAACGTTCGACTCATTGCTCCCTTAGCTCGATAAGCACAAAACAGAGGAAACAGTGGAGTCAAACATTTGTGGCTTTTAAGGAAATTTTTTTCGAGTTTGTTACTATCAATTCATAACTTACTTAAACGTCGAACGTTGGTTATTGGTTCATCTTACACAGTAAACAAATGTACTTCAATTCAAAAGGACATATCAATAATGATTTAAAATAGGTACGTGCGTACATATATTTGCACTCACGTATAATGTGTTCATGTTCGTTAATGCAGAATTATAAATTAGCTATATAGTATTTTATAGTTAATGTGAGTCATTGAGTCCCGACTTTCTTCGATGAACTTATTTGGATTGTACTTTGTTTTTGAAAATTGAAATATGTGTTGTACTATGTTTGGCTTAAACAACTACTTACAAGACGTTTCAAGACCAAGACTAAAAGAGTTTTTTTTCTGGAAATGTGATATGAATTGTCATATCAGAATATGCTAAAAAGATATTTAATTGTGACTATGTCGCTTATTAGCTGTTAAAGGAACTTTCCATGAAACCATTTCCTCCAACTGTCACGATATTGAATACTAACTTATAATTGTAAAAAAAATTAAAAAAGTAATTGCTATGTGCTGCATTTAGCTGTTCTGTAATAAGATTTGAATACTTACGATATTGCTTTCTTTAATACATTTGGTAGCCAATAACAACACTGCAATGAGAATAGAACTGTAACGAACTAAAGGCTGATTTCCATTCAGAGCAAATTGTCGCGCGATCGACTTTTTGCGATCACTTTCTTTTGAATTGTGTGCAGCAGTGTGAAGTTGTTCCGGTCGAGAGCTTATAATTGAAAAGAAAGTGTTCGGAAAAAGTCGATCGCGCGACAATTTGCACTGAATGGAAATCACCTTTAATAATTGTGACATCTGACAAAACCGTCTAAACATAGAACTTACCTATTGAGAAATATGTCTTGTTGACAAATTGCAAAAATTTGTTAATCAAGCACGTTGACTGGAAACGGGTGTTTGTCTCACAACAAAATACAACTATAGTATAGATTACCCTAAATGACCCACTGAACTTCCCAATCAAAAAACGTCTCGTATCTAATTAACCCCAACCTCACCCTTCTTAGAGCGCGGATTTCTCCCTGGGTCTAAGACCACCCACCGGCCTTAGAAATGCTGGAGTTCAATAAACGTCTCAGGCGTTTATAGAATCATTTACGACAATAAAATAATTTTGAATAAGTTAGGGCTTACGGTCAACATCACAATTTAAGAACTACGTTGAACATTATAAGGTTATTTATTTTAATCTGTTATAAACCATTTGAAAAAACTATATAAGCTTATCTTTACAACTAATGGTGCAATGTACGTAGCTGTCATTGTGATCGTAAAACGTGGTATGAAGAATTCGACGCGTAGAAGAGCAGTCCCGTAATACAACGCTCTGTGTTCAATAAACGACTACATGAAACCAAAATATTTTTACGTGAAAATCTTTTCTAAGTAACTAAAAATTGAATTTAAATTATTTAATATATATAAGTGTATGTATATGTGAACGTAGGATGCGTAAGTATATTTAACAACGAATGGTTTGTAAAAAATATTTTCCTGCCTTATCTAATTTTAACAAAATTCTATGCATTTGTCGCTCCTGGAAAATAAACGAAGAAATGACGCGTATAATGTATGTATAGACACAAGTTGACATCAGTAGGTATCGCCAGTTCCATTTATCTTTTGCAGATCATTATCATTTTCCGCCAAGAAAACCGTGTAAGGACTGCCGGATATATCTTCGCCTAACCACGTGACGCTTATGTCGTATCGACCAGCCTGAGATGGGCTATACTTCACTGCAACGTTGCGGTCTTTCAGCTGTTTTTTAATACATTTCAAATCGAAACAATCTTTGGGGCCGTGAATTTTTATCTTAAGGGTGCCGGCTCCAGCGCCTTTAGTGTCGATCACGAATTTCCCTTCGAAATCGTCGATGACGCCGTTCTCGACACCTGGACCAACGGCGACAATATTTGTGGCATTTGGACGGTCTACCACGTTCACTTCGAACGGGCTTCCCTGGACGGGTTGTCCTCCCCATTCAATGTGTATCGAGTGAAGTCCTAAATTTTTACATAAGAAAAAATATTCCAATTATAAGACTACGAACCAAAAAGAATAATGGCAAATCAAAGTCCCATAGAACATACCACTCTCCGTCGGATGAATTATTAACGTATAAGTGCCATTACGGTTGTCATTAGCATTTGCATCGCAGTCTTTACTAGGCCCGTCACAACGTACAGCTAAAGCACCAGTGTCCGAGGATCCTGTTATCACGGTTAGTTTAATGGGTTCATCAACAAAGCCACCAGTGGTGAGAGCTTTGCCTTCAACGGTGCACTGTGATAATTCTGGCTCACCAACGATCTCCACTGTGAAAGGACTTCCCGGGACATTGTCACCATCAAAGAGCACATGTAGGGCATAAGTACCCGGGATAGAAGCGACATATCGACAATCGTATGTGCCATTCCCATTATCTTCAACTTCCACATCTGTAGAAGTATATTGCACTCCTTGCAGTGTGGATGTGATGATACCTTCACCAGCATCGCTACAATCGACTGTGAACTCGCCCAGCTTATTCACATCACCTACAAGTAAAAGGAAATCATAGTGAAGAGTTAATGCAATCATTATTTTATTATTGTCACAAGAACTTGAGGGCGTAGAGACACTAAACTCAAGAATGGATCGCGTAGCTTTGGTTAGAGTAGAGTGCCAATTTCCCAACAAAATGCAAAATATACCAAAAAACTAAGAAAAATCGATTGTGATCAGCGTCAAATGACAGCAAATTTTAAAAAGTGATCCAATCACCATAAAAAGGCAGCATAATTCAGCAGAAGTCTGACATGCTACGACAACAGGTAGCCACCGAATTAAACTCTGAATTATGGCACCACCCCCAAAAAACCATTACAGATCCATTCCTGAAAAACTGGTGCCAGGTTGCGCGAAACGTGCTAAGAGGTTTTCGATTGTTTCAAAAATGTCTTTAAGTTAAAAAGTTACGATTTGAACCGGATACAAAATAAAATAAAATGTAACTTCCCAGATAACGAAGTTTCATTTACATGAAGAAAATATGGCCATTCCAAAACCACCCCTCCCCCTCCCAATAAGAAACCATCATGGGTCCATCCCTGAGTGAAAAGGACTTACATTCTTTCAATCCGCCTCCATAAACAATACATTTGGAAGCATCTGGAGAGATATGCGGTTCTGTGACATCCACTTTCATCGGTTGATCCGCTATCAAGCCGCCACCGAAGAGAATTTTGATTTCATACTCTCCAGGCACCGTAGGCACAAACCTCAAATGATACAAGTTGTCCGTTCGTTGAACAAAGCTGGATTCGACGCTGACGTTTCCTGGTGCGAGAATTTCCGCCTCGAGTTCACCTTCACCCGCTTCTTCTAGAACTTCCAAAGGTATAATCACTTCATTTCCAACCGTCATCTCATCCTCACTAAGATTTTGCACCAGAACCTTGCTGGGATCTGCAACTTTTACAACGAACGGACTACCGCGAACGTTCACGCCGGCAAATTTGACGAAGATCTTGTGATCGCCTATTTCGTGTGGTGTGTAGTGAACGACGTACGTGTCCGATTCGCTTTGCGATTGTTCTATATGTACGGGAACCGATTCTCCAAACGGAGAAACAGCCGTTATTGCAAGCTGGCCCTTTCCTGCACCATGCAGGCTAACCAAAAATTCCTCTTGCTCATGAAGTCGCACCTGATAGAGACCTAAAACAGTACCCAGTGTCATGCTCTTTAAATTCATAGTATCAACTTTTTAAAATGCCTATAGCATTTATAGATATATTAAAAGTATCATTCAAAATATGAGACACAAACTCGCTTCATGACGTGATATCTTAAGTGAAAACGAAAGCGAAACCGGAGTGAAATCTGAGTGGAAACAAAGTGAAACCTGAAACACAAACTCGCTTTTCTGACGTTCGGTCTCATTCCGAGAGGATTTCAAATTCTTTGTAATAAAACTTATTTTAAAAACTTTTCAAAATAAAAAGTTATTTTTTGCCAAACAATCGCAGTACAAGATGCAGCGTTTCACAATTTATCCTTTTTAATTAAAAATCATCGGAATATACCTTCACCGTGAGCTACAGCCTTCCCAGGATCTGCAACGACTGTTCCAAGAGGGCTGCCTCCAATTTCTTTTCCATTGAAGAAGAGCTTAATAATGTACTCTCCGGGTTCAACTGGGACGAACGAAATTCTGTAGAGGCTATTTCCCAGTTCCCGAACGTCGACATTCACTTCTCCCTTTGGTCCATGACCAGTGGCAGTAAGCACGCCACCACCAGCGGCCTCTGTGTTCACGTTAAACTCAACTGCCTTGTTAAGCAGACCTGTTTCGACACTCTCTAGGATATAAAAAATCCCTGGTACATATCTGCGTACAAATATTACTTGCAAAGTGTAAAAACAATAGCTAAAATGAAACTGAAATTCCATCTACTCGCCCATGTTTCATTTTGCAATTTTGACCTTCGCGTCAAATATACATTTACTGTAAGAGTAGTCAAAAAAATTGGCTCAACTTTCGGCAATTGTTTTTTGCATGAAGTGTTGATGTAACAAAATTGTACCATGCATTCTTAGTTAGTAGCATAGTTTCCAAATGTGGCTTTTCTCTGTAGAAGGTCAATCTTCACAAAGCAACTCATGACATGTATTAATTTTCATTGTCTTAAATATGCTCATAAAATACACACCGTTAAAATTTGGCATACTAAGTGGTAATTTTGGATACCACTAGATTTTCTGACGCTGGAAAAAAATTCGAGTTCTGTGCGAGAGCTTGTTCGAGATTGAGGGGAGGGCAGAACATGATGTAAAGAGAATCTATGTTGGGAACCTGACTTTAACCTATTAATTTATTGACGAGTCCATTTTGTCCATAAAAAATGACGGGAAGGCATGCCTCGTTGCTGTGTAAAGGAGTTTATATTCAAAGTTAATTTCACGCAACGCAACTCAATTTTGTTACAAAGTAAATGAGACGTAATGATGAAAAATGTCGTTTAAAACATGACTACGAGTAAACAGTTAAAATAAATTCTTACCTCTGTCTGAAATAACCACACGCTTCGGATCACCGACCATCACTTTCAAAGGACTACCAGGAATAGGTGTATCTCCAAATCGAATATCCACATTATGTTCGCCAACTTCGACAGGTATGAAGGACACCTCATAGTTGCCGCTTGTTTCAAAGATTTCCGACGGAATGGTTGACGTTGGGCCGTCAACAACGACTGCTAGAGGCGTCGCATGCGAGCGAGATGAGGATACAAGTAAGTCGAACTTGTCATTGTAGACTGCGTACTACAGTAAACGATAATATAGGTTAGTGAAAGACTTCTGATTCGTACATTAAATGCAGCTTTTGGAAGCTGTTACTACCTTGATACTGGGACCTGAAACAGTCACGCCATTTACATCCTCTCGAACTTTCGTGTGAAATGGACTTGAGGGTATTTCGCTGTCAAGGTGACTGACACTAACAACGTGGGTCCCACTCTCCATCGGTACGTATGCGCAGTGCAGCTCATTACCAGTTTCCTCAAATTTCACTGGAATTCTATGACCACTTGGACTTTCTACGGACACTTGAAGATTTTCAAAAGTCATATTGTTGTTCGCAATGACGTCGAACTCGACCTCTTTGCCCACGACGCCATTTCTCAAAGTTGAAGCATCGACTTTGAACTCGCCAGATTTGTCTTCCACTTTCAAGCCACGGAACTGCAGGAGATACGCCATGACACTGAGTTCATCGATATTTCCGCCGACGACATCCTTGGCTTGCATCGTTGGCTTTATGTTCAAGTTTTTTTCCACAGCCTCGAAGCACATCTCGACATTTTCCACAGGAGACTGAGACGCGAGCACTTGCTCATGATTTGGGATGAGGCCAGGACACACGCTGTCCGTGAAACGAACTAAGTTGACGCCGTTCGACCAATCAGTATTGAAGTTGGAAACGCGAATTCTCGGTGAGTAATCGTTGACGAATTTCAATGTTGCCTTCTCGCCGGGCGAACCAAGTTGTGTATAATATGACAAGTACGTCATCATACTTAGCTCGTCTTTAGCAGGACTGACGATATATGATGGCGAAACAACCTGGGGAATGCCGTGATTCGTCTCCGCCATTTCCATACATTCGGTTACTATTTCTAAATTATCCTCTGGTCGAAGATCTTTGTAATTTGGATACGATCCGGGTTCTAAAAATTCCATCAAGCCCGCCATGGCGCGACCATCGTTCCAGTCTGAAGTCAGGTTTTTTATTTGGACGTCGGGAATGGCTGCTTGTAGCCACGTGATCAGCAAGAGCTTTCCCGAGACGTTGGAGCTGGTACTAATTTGATAATGAAGAATCATGCGCCAAATGAGACCCAGAATCAATTTGTGGTTACCGCTGTGGACATCCTCTGGCCCTGAATGTAAAAAGGTTATTATTGGGGTGATTAAGATGTCATCTGAAAGGTTGGTTCTCTTGTTGTCGTCCGTGTCGCTTGAGTATGAATTGAGTCGGAGTGAGCAATAGAGCTCTGTCCTATCGCGTTGCGTTCAAGAGACGACTGAGACGAGTAAAACAACTTTCACAACAATTTGAAAACCAGGCTAAACAAGGGGCGCTGGTTTTTCAGAACTGGAATCCGCGTGATTCTGACTAGTAAAAAGTCTCTTTTACTTTCCACAGTTAAAAAGGTAAAAGTTCGAATAGTTTAATTTTACAAAAACTTATTTGTGTAACATCATCCCACTTCGTAAATTTGCGGTCGTTTATGTTCGAAGTAGAAATTCATTACTGTTGTAAAATGGACTCAGTACGTGGCACATTCATTCGGGAAAAAAAAAATATTTAAAAACAGGCCCCGTTTTCAACATGTCGAATTGCTGTGGGAGCATTTTAAATTTTCTGTTTGTAAAATCATACTGTTATTCTATTGCAAAGCTTTAATTTGATTGGCTGCTCTACTCGTTATCTATTTTCACGGTTTTCAATAGATGGCGATGGCGAGTAGCGAAAAACAACATTGCTGCCCACCCTGCTGTCTAGTGTTTTACTTAGGTTTCTGACGACGAGCTTCATTGTTTACTTCAAAAAACAATTCTAGAGAAGACAAGAATTGTTTCACCTCATCAACCATCACCTCAAAGAAACTCGAGCTCGTAATCTAATTGTTAAAAAGACAGTGAAGGACAAGCAAACGAAGTAAATCTTTCAAATAAATAAGCATTTGCTCCGATAAGGGAAATAATATTGAGGGGTATCACCACAGCCCTTCCCCATCGCATTTGGAAATTGCATGATCAGTTTGAAGAAGGTACGTTTGGAATGTCTGCGAAAATTCTCCATTGCCTAGAAAGGCCATAGATAAATCTCGTCAATTTATCATCAGGAATTCTCATCAATTCCGAAGTGTTTTGTTATATCCATAGGAGAAGAAATCGATTGAGTATAAATAAGGGTTTTTGATTGATTCGACGCGTTATTTGTTGAAACTCAGTCGACAAAGACCCAGACCAAGAGACACTCCTTTGAGTGGCCAAAAGCGGCCGAAAACTTCAAAGGTATGTCTTTTCTTGTTTGTTACCAATGGTTTCCGATAAAGAACTCTTGTGTTATAAGCATACATCCTACGGTTTCTATGGTAAATAGAATCTAAAATACTAAATATTTTAGTACATTTGAGGTTGTTCGCGAATTCTATTCGAGTATGTTGATACATTCCGAAGACAAAACAATCAAAACCATCGACGATGCTGAATCTTGCAGGTTTTATGACAGCAAATCAGTTTTTATTGCACAAGAGCATAAAACGTTCAATAAATTGAAAGACTTTTCAACAATGCCAAAATTGGCGAATCGTATGAATGGCATGCCAGAGTGCTTGCGAACCGGATTTATAATAAAAAGATTTAACGTGCAGTTCAGATAAATAATAACAGTACAGATTCAATAAATAAGATGAAAATCTAAATAGATTATATGAAAAACGTGCCAAGCAGTTCTTGGTGTTACCATTGAAATATTTTAACAATTTATCATTAGAAACATATTTTGGTAACGATACAGAATTTATGAAATTCGGTTAGCAGTACGGTACATAAACTCAAACTTCATGAGCAAATTTGACAGCATAGTGAGCATACGTGTAACTCATTAGCATATCACAACATTCCTGATTTAATCAATAAACAAATGTGATTTAAATAAAAATTAAATGTTTCGATAAAATTCTGTAAAACGGCCTCAATCATGACCACATGAAGACAAGAACATACTTGTGCGATATATTAATAGATAACATATCCTTCTCTAAACTTTGCAATTCTTTATATATTGCCATTAACGCCAATGGGGCTCAAATTACATCGCAAATAATTCAACAGTCTACTCACAAACAAAATGCAGCTGAACAGCACAAAACTACATGCTGTATAAAAGATTGCTTGATATTTACCTATATTCACCAATTTTATTCCGTCGTCGGTTAGCATGTCCAATGCCAGTTTGATATTGTCTAGTTTCTGTGAGAATATCCTCGGTTTTTTACAGTATTTGTTGACCTTTTTACCTGATATCACTTCGACAAGTTTTATCAAACATACGCCATCTTCGAAGGCTGTTGTCAAATCATCGATCGACTCGATCGAATGGGCCTTTTTGATATTCTCGCGAGCCCAATTCGTGAAAGTTGTCGTTTGAAATGCCACCCAATCGTCTTGATTTGGCCCGTCCGCAACGCTTAAGTGCATGGAGCCTCGAGAGTTGCTTTTTCTCATTCTGGCCTCGCTGTAGGGATGTGATTCGTAGCCTCGTTCAAAATTGTCTCTGGTATCACAAACGGTGAAATATGCGAATGTTAGAATGTAGTATATTCCAGACGAATTCCAAACGAATGTGGCGAATGAATGATTTGTGCTTTACTTAACTTCACCGACCGACCACAAGTAAATTCAATGCATTCTTGTTACACATGAGTGGGTAAAATTTGAAAGACAAAAATGAAAATTGCTAATTGCTTGAAGGAAACTTTAAATTGGAAATGTTTGTTTAGCTAGTTATAATAAATATGAGGCCAGTGCGTCATCAGTTTTCGCGCACAGTCGTCTTTGACGTAATCGGCCAATACAAAATGACCCAAATTTCACCCCACATCACTGAATAACTGACAGCCCTGAATGGCAATGTGAATCCGTGTCTTTTTTCATTTTTGTTTCTACGGCTGAAGCATCGACCGTATCGCATCAAGGAAAAAATCCAATAGATACATTGGGGTATTGAAAAGGAACGCAGGAGGACGCGACACGAAAGAAGACGCGTTCACTGGTTTAATGATTAACTAACTTTTCATAAGTATCTGCAAATACGAACGGGTTTTCCGATTGAGTCAATCACAGAATAGCGATGAACATCAATTATTTGTTCTTTCTATTTATCATTTCTGTAATGTATTGTCTTTCATTGTAGTTCAAACCAACCATAAACTCTGATCAAATATGCAGACACCGACCCAAATTATCAAGTAAAACCATCAATGTATGATGCCATATAAATATACATCATGTAGGAGAATATTGGCTTTGGATAACTCACAGCGGTGTTGCACTTAGGTTGCAATCCTACAATTATAATGTCATTGTTATGTCAATTAGTCTTTGGAGTTTAAGTAAGCAGCACATTAAAAATATATAAATAACAAGAAATTAAAAGATTTCAACGTTTTGTGACTCTAGTTATAATGGTGAACATGAAGGTCACCTTCGCTCGATCTGTTCTTCACATCATTCAATGTCGTGCTTAGCCGGTGATAGATAAAAGTCTTCTTTTCCTCGCTATATATGACTTAATTGTCTTGTTTAAGTTTTGCTGAAAGGCAGATTTGGTCTAGCCCTTTTGGACAACACTAGCAGAAGTGGTTAACCTCTCTTAGATAAAATTGCCTGCCAACAAAACGTAAACAAGGCAAATTATTTATATCATTTTCTTCACTTTTCGTTTCGCATGTTTTTATGAAAAGTTTGTCACTTTTTTCCTTGCAGTAACTCTCCTGATTTCTTTGTAAGGTATGTAAGCATTTTTTGTTTCAAAACATGCGAGCTCGTGTAAATTCAATAGTAATTCAGTTCTCAAGACTGTAATAATTGACTTAACTGAAACGTTCCATCTATTTATTTATTCACCTACCTAGCTGAATTGGATTTGGTAACTCTGTTTGTGAATGTCGTTTCACAATTGAATTTTACTATAATACTCTGCAATTAAAGTTTTTCAAAAGCGAAATCACGTTTCTTGTATAGGTTGCATGCATTTCACTGATTTCAGAGTTAGAAATCAGAAACTAATCTTCAATTTCTTTTTTACTGTTGTGTTCATATGAAGCGTTCCTATGCGCATGCGCAAAATTAATTTTACTTTTCCTATTTATCTGTTTCACCAAACATGAATTTCGCAAAAGTGAATGGAGTGCTGACTTTCAAAAATAGATATCGGTGCATTGCACAAAATCTCGCTCATGTCATGATTCATGAAAAAAAAAAAGTATTTCTAAAATCACCACAAGCACTTGTTGTCTTGTCAGCATTTAAATTACGCTGGTTTGACTGTCATCGTTGCCTTAAACTAATGAGTAAGGAAAATAACGATCTGGGTGACGCCGGATCCACGCTCAGTATTGCGTAAGAATTTCTGTAGGGTAGAGGTCGCCCTTGGTTCACCGCTTACTTTTGCGAGTGTTCCTTGTTGAAGCGATCTCCGTTATTACGAAAAACATGGAATATTAACTTGAGAAAATGCAGTACATGCTAGTCGCAGATAAATATACATCGTTACTATATTTAGGAAATTACATTATTATCTACAAAAGTAGTTTTCGTAACTTGCGTGACAATCTGCAGCTCAGGAAAGCAGGAAGACAAATCATGTGTGAAAGTAAAAGAAGCAAATGCTAAACAAAGGTGTACGATGAAATGTGCCGATCGGTTTGACAAGGGAAAGGTTTTGATTAACACTGGAAGTGTGAAGATGAAAATAGTATTTCCTAGGATGGATGAACAAAAGAAATGAGGAAGAGCCGAGTAGAAAAGGAAACAGCTACAGATGACGATGTGTCAGCGAGTGCAATAAAACAATAAGCAGTGGTGAGGCAATCGGTTTTGATAATATACATGTGGAAGTGTGGAATTGTCTACGTGAGGTTGAGTTTTCAACTAAGTAATTAACTAATATCGTAGAAAGAAAAAGGAGACGTGCCAAGTTATAACATCTATCGACTGATCGAATACGGTTGAGTCATGAAATGAAGTTATGTGAAAAATAAATAGAAGCTAGACCACGAGCTAACGTGGGCATTTGTGAGCAGCAGTAAGAGTACAGATGCAATTAGGCAACTGATTAAGAAGTACGGGGAATGTGGAAAAAAGATGCATTGTGAATTGTCAAATTGTAGGTAGCATAAGACAGGGAGTCGAGAGAGAAACGGTGGTATTGTATGAGGAAGTCTGGAATATCAATGAAGTGTCATGTATGACAGCTGTAAAACAATCGAAGATGAGCTTTTCGCAAGACAAAGCTCAATATCAAAGAAGAGGTTGCTTCAACGAACGGCTCTGAGGCCTTGTTGTGGTGATGAAGTGATAGGCGGAGGAGATTAGGCAGGAATCGCATGCACTATGATGTTTGCAAAATTTTTTATCTGTAGTGGGAATAGGGAGTGAGTAGAGGTTACTCTAGTCTTTAGCGTGATGGAGGCTTGCCTTATAAAAAGTCGGAGGAATAAAGATTAGCCAAAAGAAGACAGAATACATGTGTTTGAATTCAAGAGACACGAGAAGATCAGTGTGGCTAAATGAAGTAAAGATAAAGACAGTAGAGCGTTTAAAAACTTTGGATTAAGAGTCGGGAGCAAAGGAGAATATTGGAAAAAAGCGTGTGCAGGCAGGGTGTATTATGTGATGTGGTCCTGTGGAGAAAAGTTTCGGGCTTGTCATGTTACAAAAGTATAGGTATAAATGAATGAAAGAGTTTACAAGACAGTAATGAGACCAGCAATGTTGTGTGGTTTAGAGAGAGTAGCACTGAGAAAGACATGTGGCTGTATTTTGCAGATATGAGGATGTTAAGGCTCTCTATAGATGTGATGCAGTGAGAAGGAGTCAGAAACGAGTGTATCAAAGGTAAAGCAAATGTAAGACTAGTTAGAAACAAAGCTAAAAATGCTAAGCAAAGAAGGTTTGGATGTGTTCATAGTTTTATTAAAAGTATTTAGAGGCTCTTGTGATTAAAAAAAATTACCTCGATGTACTCAATGTAAATCTAAATAGACTTTTTTTGAGAGCCTATGATCATTTCCTAGCATACCGTTTATTTGCATTTCTTCTCGCCCATACGAAACAAATTTATTTTATTTAATTTACGTGATCAAATTTCATGACAAGTAAGAATCAAAGACTTTTGACAAAACTCAAACAGGTTTGTAGCTAAGCGACGAAGCAAACATAATTTTCCCATACGTAAATAATATGGAAATGACCGAATACGAATTCTCCAATTTACAAAAGCTTTGTTTTTGTCCAAGAACTATAAGCATGCAAACATTAATGTTAAAGGGAAGACACATGTTTTAAAAACGTCCTAGTTAAAGAGCGCGAGGCATTCATATACACTTCTTTACAAAATTCGAAAACTTGCTTGAAATTCTGGTAAAAAGATAAGAATAGCTTCACCCACAGTTACATTAAAAACAAAGAATAAGGTATATATATATATAAAGACTCAATGACGTGTAGCTGAAACACGAGCGGTATTTCTTTATGATTTTATATTTATATTTAAAAAGAAGTCACCACAATTTGTGTTTCTCAAAAGAATTACAGTAATACAAGTTTATTGACTTTCTTCTTTCGCTTAACCCTGGAAAAGTTTGCGATATCTCGACAGCGATTATTTGGATGTGGGTGGCAGTGACGTTTTCAAAAAAGAACAAATTGCTTTATTTGGGGGCGAAAAACAACTGCGTGATTATTTCCTTTATCATTTGAGCTTGCACATTCAAGGAAGTGCAACGAACATTTATTGATTTTTACCACTAAAACACATCGATGCTCGTATGCTAAAACCTCACTCATATTCACACTTACCGAGAGATTAACATAAAAATCAGAGGAAAAGTCAGTTCTCCAGATATAGCAAGATTTTTGTTAAGAAAGCCTAAGATATAACAAATAAAGCAATCAGTTGAGTGAAAATGCCGTCTTTGAAGAATTAGGAGGTGGTGATTTTGAAGCCCCACGGCAATGGGGACATTTTGCGTCATATAGCTTATTTTCACACCAATTGATCTGTTGTCCGACAATAAGCGGTGCATAGAATCCTGGGGTCGGATGTATCAAAGTTGGATAAATGTCCTATCCAGTGGATAGCTATTTGCTGGATAGGACATTTGCATAAAATTGCGTTGTATGAACCACGGATAGTAAGGTGAATAGCTATCCACGGATAACAGACCGGTTTGAATACCATGAAAATCATGTCCACGTATCAAATGGTATAAATTAAATTTAAGTGCGTATTTAGGTTGAGGAGATTAAGCTATTAAACCCGTATTGTAAACAATTGCACTATCTGGCAGTCTCGAATAATGACACTCTTGACTCTTTTGATAAACCAATTACATGTGAAGAAGTATGTATACTTTCTATGAAATTAAAAAACAAAAAAGCTAGCGCATGTCTCAAAAGTAAACTACATTTGCTCCGTATTCTCACTACATATATATCTATATTATTTGTTTTCTACTGTGACCATGGCGATTCGTGTCTAACTTCTTCTAATAGCCTGGCCATCATCATAGCGAATACAGAGCCTGTACATTGAAATCCTTTGTCATTCGATTAAAACATCTTTCACTGTTTTACAGATGTCATGCTTGTCTTGTATCACTCTTAAATACATTACATACACTCAAAACTTCCTCACACAATATCATATCGCTCCTCTCTCGGCACACTTTCTTATTCTTTGCCCAAATTAACTAACACACAAAGCAGCCTTTTCTCATATTTTCATTATTTCCCATTCAGTAGCCCTGAATAGACTTCTTTTTTATTTGCTTTAAGAACTGGCTCAACTGTCTTCTTCTATCTATACACTTACAACTTTTCACGTCTCTATTGTTCTTAAAAATTTAAAGCAGCACGATTTTCCTCCATTCCTCCGGCATTTTCTTACTTTTTAGTACATTGTTGATCAATAAGCTTGGTCAAAAACTTAACAGACAACTCAAATAGACACTTTTCACTCATCCACAGGTATCATGAAGACCAGCTGCCTTATCACTCTTAATCCTTTCAGGACACACCAACGACCTAGAACCCAATCTACTAGATATCTGACTCCATCGGCATTGTATAGTAATATAGTAATGAGTGAAGGAAACGCCATCTTGAAGGGTGGCAAAACTGACGATATATACAACTAATATCTGCTTTTGCTGAGTTAATATACAGTCGCAAATTTGATGGTCAAGAATGCTCAAATATTCGTTAAAAAATACGTTTTTAAACTTTGTTTTACCTTACTTTTCATTTTGAGTTTTTCTTTTTGCCGCCTTTCAAGATGGCGTCGTCATCTATAGCTGTTATCTTTTCTACTCTTTGCTCTCTCTCATTCCTCTCATCAACCCTTGAAAGTATTCTTTTCGCCTTCACCAGTTACAATCAATACCTTTCCCCCTGCCAAACCGATCGGTACATGTCATCGTACACCTTTGTTTAGCATTTGCTTCTTTTACTTTCACACATTATTTGTCTTCCTGCTTTCCTGAGCTGCAGATTGTCACGCAAGTTACGAAAACTACTTTTGTAGATAATAATGTAATTTCCTAAATATAGTAACGATGTATATTTATCTGCGACTAGCATTTACTGCATTTTCTCAAGTTAATTTTCGATGTTTTTCGTAATAACGGAGATCGCTTCAACAAGGAACACTCGCAAAAGTAAGCGGTGAACCAAGGGCGACCTCTACCCTACAGAAATTCTTACGCAATACTGAGCGTGGATCCGGCGTCACCCAGATCGTTATTTTCCTTACTCATTAGTTTAAGGCAACGATGAAAGTCAAACCAGCGTAATTTAAATATTGACAAGAAAGCAAGTGCTTGTGGTGATTTTTAGAAATATTTTTCTTTTTTTTCATGACATAAGAGAGAATTTTCTCAACACACAATTATGTATCGCTTCTGAAACTGAAGATACAATCAATCAGAAAGAAAAATTTTGTTCAGTGAACGAGAATTAGTTGGATATACTCTTGCGCACGCGCATCAACAGCATCCGAAAAGCTCATCTGCCGAAATGCATTATGGTTTTCATCGAAGAGTTTTATAATACTTTTTTGAAGTTTGAAAAGCACTTCAGAAATTCACTCTGAATCACTCAACTCACCATGGTATCTATGACGTTAAAAGTGCAGTTTTAATTAAATTACTCATAATCAATGCGCTCAAATGTGAAATGATCATTCATCACACATGGATAAGCTTGTTATAAACTTGACGTAACCAAACCTGCCAACCTTGAAAGACCTAAAAGATCTCTCTCTAGAGGAAAAGCTAAGATAAGACTCTGGAATGCAGGAAGCCATCGTTCCCATTGTAAATATCTTAATTTCAATACAGAGTGAATATATACCAAACTCTCAAGTCATATCACACAAATGACACATTACAACCGTACTAGTCAACAGGAGACAGTTAAAATTAAATAGAGAAAGACAGCATCAAATAAGTTGTGTAATCTTCACATGTCTGGTTTTACAAAAGTCCGACTTCGGACTCGGAAGTCTCCAGCTTCGTGTTGAACGAAAAAGTCATGAAATAAGTTAAACTTGAACAAAGATATGGCAAAGTATTCGGATTTCTGATACTTTCCCGTACAACATGATGGAAAGATGTGCTTTAAAGTAAACTTAATTGAAAAATCTAGTTGAATCACAGCTGGAATTTAGTCATGAGTTTGAATTGTGGGCCACTCGGCTTACAAAACAACGTCGTATTAAGCTGTGTTTATCATTTTATGTATAATTTTTTTTATCTTGAATATATTGCACTCTCGTGTGTACCACACAGCAAAACGCGTGTGTGTTGGCTATTCTGCGTAACATAAAAGGATACTATTATGCTATTTTGGGACAAATCGTCACTTAGTGTGTTGGTAATCAGATGACCTCTCTATTATCTAATGGGGGTAAGATATAGTTTGTATCAAGTTACTTCACATCGATCGTTTATTTACTTTATTTGGCTCTGAAGATGAGATTTGTCGAAACATGTTGTTTTAAGCTATCGATTGTTTTTTTGGGACTAACTAACTTTTCTTACTGAGAAACTACAACGATTAGGATTTGGGATCACAGTTCGGTGACGTGCCTCTTATTGTTTCAAGCAAATCACAAAAAGAAAAACAAAACAAACATGCTTCCTGAATCGAATTGTAGTGCAACCATATTATGTCGTTATGGGAGAAGATACGACATATGACCATTGAAAATGACTGAAACTGAATTGAACAATGAAGAAAGGAATTTAAATAGTATTAGTATCAAAGGCTCATGCGGCATGCCCCTTTAAGATGCTTCCATGCTCTTTTCAAAAATATCAGACAACGATACTGCACTTTTGAACAGAGTGCAGTTGAAAATTAAATAGAGAAAGACATAAAATAAATTGTGTATTCTATCATTTAACAATTCTGGTTCGGCAATGTTGGTAATCATATGACCTCTCCATTATCTAATGGGTGTAAGTCATAGTTTGTATTAAGTTACTTCACATCGATCGTTTATTTACTTTATTTGGCTCTGAAGATGAGATTTGTCGAAACATGTTGTTTTAAGCTATCGATCGTTTTTTTTGGGACTTACTAACTTTTTCTTACTGAGAAACTACAACGATTAGGATTTGGGATCACAGTTCGGTGACGTGCCTCTTATTGTTTCAAGCAAAATCACAAAAAGAAAAACAAAACAAACATGCTTCCTGAATCGAATAGTAGTGCAACCATATTATGTCGTTATGGGAGAAGATACGACATATGACCATTGAAAATGACTGAAACTGAATTGAACAATGAAGAAAGGAATTTAAATAGTATTAGTATCAAAGGCTCATGCGACATGCCCCTTTAAGATGCTTCGATGCTCTTTTAAAAAATATCAGACAACGATACTCACTTTTGAACAGAGTGCAGTTGAAAACTAAATAGAGAAAGACATAAAATAAATTGTGTATTCTATCTTTTAACAATTCTGGTTCGGCAAAATGAAATTTGTTAAGCCAGAACAATTATGGCAAAGCATTCTGATAACATGCGATGTTGAACTTGCAAAAGAATATGCAAGTCCTTCTCTCCATGATGGTTAAGTTTGCCAAAGTATCTCAGTCGAATTTTAGCACGAACACAAAAGACAGGTTTACGAAATATTTTACTCATTACGAAGATTTAAAAATAGCTTCATTTTTTTAAGCATTAAATTATTCATTATCTTGATTTTGTTCGTAAAATTTATTTCATGCTATATTATGCTTATTTTATGCTGTAAATATAAGCGTAATTAAGCCTATTTTCAGCAATATTTTTATGAAATAAACCATCTATCAATACTCAAATGCTGCAGTTCTTGATTTGTGTATTCTTGTTGTAGTAGTTCTAAATAACCCCTGCTTCTTCGTCGCCATGGTTAATTCCCAGCATTTATCATTTTCTAACAAAACCCGCATTCATGTACGAGCGCAGTAAGTCGCGCAGGGACGCAGTCGCCCACGAAAGTCGATTACTAAATCAACAATTTCGAAATCATCCGCCACCTCTTTTCATATTTAAATTTTTTAATTGCTTTAAATTAGGTATTCTTTTCTGAACGAAGATTGAATTAATACACACAGGAAGCGCAATTCGAGTGTGCTACTTTGCGAATTTTATTAATTCGATTACCTTTTAGCAATGCGTCGTAAATGGGACAAGATTTAAATTGCCAAGTTCCGAAATACAATTTCTAAACGGAGACGTTATTCTGGAGAACAGGTGCCGATACAGCTGTACATATATGTTTATTTTCGTCGAGTCGCCGAGAGAAAATCGACTTAAATGAAATTCGCTAGTGTCAATTTAATTCGTTCGACGAGAGTGTCGTCAGTCGCCCAAAATTGTCAACAATTATTTAAAGTAAGACGTAACTCGCCGCACTCGGTTTGACATTTTTAGAGAGTTGTTATTGATGATATAAAAAACATGATTCGCCGTAAACTGGGTCTGGAATCCGGCTTACAAAAGATTACGGAGCAGCAAAGCTACGATATAAGGTATTTTGGTAGTTCAGTGTTGGTGGAACCAGATGTTAAAAGAATACGAGAAGCAATTCGCCATTTGGTTGGTGATGTTATAGTTAAAGGCAAGGAGCGTTCTCTGCCTAAGGTCACATTACGTGTGCTCAGAGACGGCGTCCATTTCAAGGAGAAATCGAAAAAATCGGTGGAACAAATTATTCCTATACGCAAACTTTCTTACGATACATTCTTGAGCTCCAATATCGAACTGCTTGCGTTGAACCATCACATGGACACCACTCCGGTAAAGATGGAATGTTTTGTCGTTTGGTGTGAAACGGATGATATACTTAAACAGGTGGGAATGGAAATTTACAGTGCGCTCAGAGAGCAACATTTTCGAAGGGTTCGCGAACAACGCAAAGAAAGTAGGCCCAATGTTTTGGAAGCAAGTAGAAACGGTGTTGTTCCGTCTGATCACGAGGTGGCACGCGTGCGGAGCGATAACAACGTCAGCTCGTTTATAAGCATTAGCGAATTTCATTTAATTCGAAATCGAAAAAATCGGTGAAATCGAAAAAATCGGTGGAACAAATTATTCCTATACGCAAACTTTCTTACGATACATTCTTGAGCTCCAATATCGAACTGCTTGCGTTGAACCATCACATGGCGGTAAAGATGGAATGTTTTGTCGTTTGGTGTGAAACGGATGATATACTTAAACAGGTGGGAATGGAAATTTACAGTGCGCTCAGAGAGCAACATTTTCGAAGGGTTCGCGAACAACGCAAAGAAAGTAGGCCCAATGTTTTGGAAGCAAGTAGAAACGGTGTTGTTCCGTCTGATCACGAGGTGGCACGCGTGCGGAGCGATAACAACGTCAGCTCGTTTATAAGCAATTTCAGTCTAATGAATTTCGAGCTCCAAAACAACGAAGAGCAGTTTTTGTCTCCTTCCGATCTCTCGGACGATGCGTATGAGTCCGATTTGCATTCTGCGCTAGAGGACATGTTGAAAATCGTCGAGGAAGAGGAAATAAAGAATGGTTTGAATGTTGAAATGAAAAATGACCCATCTTGAGCACGAAATACAGGACTGATTAAAAAATCAAGTACAAATCAACCAAAGACTGATATAATCAAAATGATTTTTCCACACAGCATACAAAAAGAAAATTTCCCCTAAGGTTAATGAAATTCCCCTTGCAATTTGAATGATTCGTCATAGTTATGATTGTACTATTAAAAGTTTTGCTTTGCAAGCTACAAAGCAAAAATAATTACTGACAATGACAATCTGCTCAAGAGACCATTCGCATAACTGCAAACGGCACAAATTCACCAGACCACGTTACAAGACAAACAAATAAACTTCCAAATTTGGGATCTTTGGCGTCGTGAATGTGAGATTGACTGATTGTTGGAATTTGCACATTGTGACATTCATTGAGACAACAGTTTCACGTTGCTGCAGAACTTAAGGGGGTGTTTACATGAATCCGGAATGACTTTCAATCCCGATCGAAACGTGATGTCAATCCGTGTTTACATGGGAAATCAACACAAGGATTGACATTTTGCGGGAATTTTGAAATTTGAAGATGGAGAACATAAACATTGTAGCAACCCTTTTTTTTCTGTTATTCCTTCGTTAATACAGCTTAACACTTGCATGAAACTAATTGTTGTTTTTCTTCGCACTCATTTTAGCCCATTTAGCCTCTTTATTTGCTTACGAGCTTCAATTTGCCAGAAGACAATACCCATGGCACATGCGTGCTTTGTCATTAATCACAATATCATTCCAGAATGAAACTCAATTCGCGTTTACATGAGATTAAAAGTAAATTTCGATCCGGAATGAAAATAGGAATGAACTCGATCCGGGGTTCTTTTAAAGTGGAATGAGTTCATTTCGGATCGAAACTCATTCCGGTTCATGTAAACACCCCCTAAGTAATGATTTGCTGGTGTATCATGTATGTAAAAATATCAGACGATTTACCCTGAACCAAAACAGATAGCATCTAGCAATAGAAGGAAGGGTACAGGTTTATAACTGGAAAAGTGCCGATGTAGAAGTAGACGTTGCCAGTTTGCGAGTTATTTGTAAAATGACGTTATTTTTAAATCAATAAAATCAATCATGCGAGAACACAACTGAAACGTAAGTTGATAAACTATGCCCGACACACTACTTGATACTCTTCAGGTATCACCATAGGCGGCCCAAAAATCTGTTTTTATTTTTTATGCAATCGATATATGTAGTATTAATATTCCTTGATTTATATGCAATGTTTGTCACGCGCGCTATCTCGCGTGAGTTACACGTATGTATGGTCTTATAGGTAAGGCCTTATATTTTGAACTTTAAAACCATACATACGTGTATATAGAGAGTCCCACAGCTAGACCATTAAACGTGACGTACTTGACAATGTACTTAGCCGAAAGATATCGATATTTTTGCAGGTATATAATATTGTTTTCGTTCGTGAGTTACACGTATGTATGGTCTTATAGGTAAGGTCTTATATTTTGAACTTTAAAACCATACATACGTGTATATAGAGAGTCCCACAGCTAGACCATTAAACGTGACGTACTTGACAATGTACTTAGCCGAAAGATATCGATATTTTTGCAGGTATATAATATTGTTTTTCGTTCGTGAGTTACACGTATGTATGGTCTTATAGGTAAGGTCTTATATTTTGAACTTTAAAACCATACATACGTGTATATAGAGAGTCCCACAGCTAGACCATTAAACGTGACGTACTTGACAATGTACTTAGCCGAAAGATATCGATATTTTGCAGGTATATAATATTGTTTTCGTTCGTGAGTTACACGTATGTATGGTCTTATAGGTAAGGTCTTATATTTTGAACTTTAAAACCATACATACGTTATAGAGAGTCCCACAGCTAGACCATTAAACGTGACATACTTGACAATGTACTTAGCCGAAAGATATCGATATTTTGCAGGTATATAATATTGTTTTCGTTCGTGAGTTACACGTATGTATGGTCTTATAGGTAAGGTCTTATATTTTGAACTTTAAAACCATACATACGTGTATATAGAGAGTCCCACAGCTAGACCATTAAACGTGACATACTTGACAATGTACTTAGCCGAAAGATATCGATATTTTTGCAGGTATATAATATTGTTTTTCGTTCGTACGATGCTTCCACACTACGGTTTTGATTCTTTTAAGTCCGGAGATTTTTCTTAGTTTACTTTTATTTGTATTCATGATTGTTACACTTTTGTCACAACCGGGATTTAAAATCAGTAAAGATGTCGAAGATGCAGCCACTTCATAGAGGCATATTTATAGGAACAAAAATGGCAAAAGAATTTGCCGATAAATCACTTTGGTAAAACCAAAACTTTTTTTTTAATTACCGCTTGTTCGCTTTGAAATATTGGCTTTGATTCAATGAAGTGTAGATAACGAAAAACATTTCTTAATTCATACACCCGCAAAAGAAACCCTTGACAATAGGAACACAAGACATTTTTTTTACAAATATGAATAGTTGAAACTGAAACTGCGTGCATTTTAAAATTACAATATATATATTTGCTCAGCTTCGTACGAATAGTTTCGACCCGTGTAGACTGGACAGTAATTGTAAATCAAGGCATTTTGTTCAGTTGTCTCAGATTCGAAAGAATGATCATTTAACTTTGCTTCATTGACCATAAACTTCGAAATAAAGTAGTTGAATTCGATAGTCGTTGCATCGTGCGGGATTTTTTTCCCGGGATTCCACTCGAATGCAGACTTTTCGGGATGCCATTGCATCGAATAGAAAGGATACCGTTTTGCTTCCATTGTTGACACGAATTCCATACCTTCGTCGTCAATATTTGTGCTCAACACTCTGAAAAAATTTGTCAGCCTTTCACTGGCTAGAAATTTTTGCAACGAACAAGAGAAGTCATGAGCGTGATATGTTGCAATTGTCGGATTTGACTTTAACAATGGCGTAGGAATACTTCCTATCATTTTGCTTCCTCGACAACACCCTGAAGATAAATTTAGTGGCCTCACTGAATCTTGCATTTTCATCGCAGTTATGCACCTGTCCCGAACTCCGCTTATCCAGAGAGTCAAAACTTGATGCCCCAGACATATTCCTAAGACAGGAAAATAACCACCTCCATCATTTGTTTGCACAGCCAGTTCTAGCAATGTCTTTGATGCATTGTAATAACTGGAAGCTTTCGTCTGGCGGCCACCAGGTAAGAGGAGACCGTTGATGGATCTGTACAACTTTGTCAACTCCTCTTCCCCCACATCGGTTCTTATAGGAACAACTCGAGCACCAGATGACTCAAGAAATTTCACATAAGACGCCACAATGTGCAACGAGTCTTTGCCGAATGATTCATAATAGCTTTCTCGAGTAGACTGAGATAGAATTCCTATGATCGGTCGACTGGTTTTTACGGTCCGATGTTTCTCTGCAGCAAACAAAAATTTCAAACAGCACAGGAAGAATGAAATTGAAACGATTGTTGATATTCTCATAATTCACCAAGTTAAAAAAATATTTAACGCGACGGCCTATCGTGTAACCAGTAACGACTTGTTTTTTAATGCTCTTCAATTCAAGCGTGAATGTGACATATCAACTGAGAAATGATCATGCTCTCATATTATTAGATCATTTAGTAGCATCCCTGGTATGTACATAATGCAGTACAATACTTTTGAAAATGTGCTGTGGCTAAACTGCGTTTCAAATGGTTAATGTATGCCATCAGTATTTAATTCGCTGAGGCAGCAGAGACAGAAGTTAGCTCGATCATTTGGAAGTTTTTTTGGTGCTATATCATTTATATTTACATTTACAGTAAGCATACGCATTCAGGTCGGACGACTATTTGTGGAAAAAAAGGCAAAGGTTCGCAAAATTGAATTTAGCTCTTGAGAAACAATGAAACAACGATAAAACAGCAATACAGATTTTAATTAACTTAGCGACAGTTAAGTTTTTTTAAGAATCGCAAATACAAAATTCGACTTTTATAGCTACATAATTTATGAAAAGGGACAATTATGGGCGTGCATATGCTATAGTAATGTATATGGTATTCGTAAATCATAAACACGCTCTATCTACATGAGTATGAAAAAATGTCAAAACTAGACTGTGTAACAACACCAACAATCGCTTAAATGGACGATGTGTTTCTTCCAAGAGTTCCCGTCTTAAGCTCAATTGTCCCGCCATTCAGTATTACGGAAGATCTCTGTTTGCTTTGTAATAACTTGTCGTCCTTTACGATAATAAGCAAAGCGAGACTTGACAGAATGAATGCATCCACAGCACATGAGATAGCGAGCCAATAGACCCACATCATCTTACACTCACCAAGTTTGTATGAATCTGCACGTTCACTGCAGACCGTCCGCACTTCTTTGGCTTCGAGACCGGCCGGGTAGATCAATATCGCCGCGAGAAATAGTATTCCTACGGAAAATGAAAAGTGTACACAGGCAGTCAAAAGAACTGCTCAGGCACTGGCATAAGAATAGTTTAAAAGGTAGCAATGAGACTATTTGCACAAACTTTAATAGTGATAGTTTGCTTTTGTAAAGCTTGCATTCGTTACGAATGTTGTGTACAATGTTAACCGATCTTTGTCGTGAATGATAATGATTGCTAAATGAAGATGATCATAAATGATTTGAGAGGGTAAAAATAAAAGAAAGTCGTGGGTTGTATTAAAAAAATTCGTCCTAACTTTCACCATGTTTGAAAATTTATAAACTGCAAAGCTTCCAAAAACATTGGTAAAATTAGTTTTTTGTCGGTTTTAAACGGAAAAATTTGTGAGATTGTATAATTTTTAAATGGCAGATCTTGACGAAAGAAAACTAAGTTGCATGTATGCAACTGAGAATAGGGACTAATGAAGAACCAGGCTATCTTTGTAATACCTTTGTGTTTGATGTATCTTAAAATAACTCTGAAGCCTGAAGGAGCTATAGTATTTATTGTCAACATACCATGTGAATGTATGATCGAAAATTTTCGTATACATTGGTCAACAGAATGGGAAAAATTTTAATTTGATTCGTTAATATGCTTATGAGCTGCGATTATGAATCGCAAACAGAATCACCATATAATCAATGATACCTGCTGTGAACAAAAGCAGACTGCAAATGCGAAATCCAAAACGAGCACGATCCACAAAACATAAGCAGAACATTGTCCAAACGAAGACGGCCAAGAAACACGTGGTAGTGGCAAGCAACACTAGCACGGAGGCAGATTTCCACGCCAAAGATGGGATGTGGGAGAACTCATCCATGCTGCCTTCGCAGTTACCGGTTCGAACCCACGAACATATTCGATAAAGACCAAAACTAGCTCTCACACCAAGGCGATCACGTCCGATCCATTGTGGTTGAAGTAATGTTATGGTCATCATAATGCCAAGGCAAATGGTTAACATGAGCCAAGCAACACAAAGTATGCTTAGCAACCGAGATTTGTACCATGGCTTTTTGTTATAAGTCGTATTTAAGTATAATTCCGAGTCGACATTCTCCCCACATCCGCCGAAATCAAAGAAGTTGTTGCTTCTTGCTCGAACTACAGACATTACTTCAGTTTTTCTTGCGTTCAGTTTCAACCAAACACACTGACGATCATCTCAAACAATGTTCATGGTGTGTATAGTTACGTAAAAATCGAATGGCGAAAATAGACGTATTATGGAAATCGAGATGTAAAAAAAGCGCAAACATATTAATCTCCGAGCTTTACTCCCCGTCGCTAAGAATGTCAAACAATTTTGTGGTGATCACACACACCGATTTTTTTCCATTTCCCCGCTGAAGCAAAAATAACAGCATTGTACAATTCAACCACGTTGAGGATGAATAAGAAAAGATAGGAGGACTTTTGTAATGTAAAACAATAATATGATAAGAAACGATGATAAATCACATGTTTGCATTTCAGTGTTTGCATAGTATGCTCACATGCTATCTTGTCAGTTGTCACGATTCAATAAATCTCTGTCCATGGCGTTTGACTTACTATGACGTCATAGTCATGGTTTTAGAGTTCCAGACGTCGACCTTCACTCTCCTTGTCCGGCAATGTTTGTCCAAGTTTTGTGTTTTATACATATCATCAAAAAATCTTCGTGTATTCGATGCTCACCGAAATTTGAAACGGGACAACTATAATATTGTCAAGTAATATCAAATGCAATTCCAATGTAGAATAGGGGAAAAGTATTTGAAACGACAAGATATGAAAACACGGATTAAAAATAACAAAGTTTTTATAAATGAGTCCGAACATGTAAGAAACACGAAATTTTTGTCATATCCCAACTAAACTCTCGATGCTTGCTACTTCATTAGTTGGCGGCACGAAAAATTTGATTTTTCCCTAACTTTTTCACCGAAACTTCTCTTCGACACAACGAGCTTTAAACCATGTCCCTGCTTCCTCTATTTGAAATATTATTAAACTACTATAAGTACTTACTTCCAAGCTAGCAACACCAACTAGTTGAAAACTAAATTGATCGAGGAGCAAAAATTTTCCTCTCTTTATCTCCTTTGTTCTTCCACGATGTTGGGTGAAGAATGAATTAAAATATTGACCCAAGGAACAGACCAAGAGCCTATACCACCCCTGTGTCGCACCAGGGAACACCTAAGCATCCATAAAATAAGTTGAGAAACTTTTTTCTTTTAACTTACCCTTACGCTCACTCCCGAACAATTCATGGCTATTTGGTAGATGGAATTTATGAAGTTCTGTTACACGTGGTTTATACTTCAAGATGGCGAAAGAAAACAGTGGAGAAAGCCAACACAAACCTGGTCCTTTGAAACAGCAAAATAAAACCCACAAGCATGGACGACACAAAACAAAAGGAATGCTGAATTCTATAAACAAAGGTTTGTAACTATGTTATGTTTTTTTTCAAAGTCGTAAATCGTAAAGTTGTAGTGTTTTTGTTTTTGTCGTTAATCAATGTTCCATTTCCTTAATCATTACTAATGTTTGAAACATTAGTTGCTTGCCAAACTAACTTCATAGCATTGCAAGATATTCTTTCTTCAACGACTTTGCCATGGTCATGGGGCTACTGGCTCTGGTGGCTCTCTGTTAATAACTTATAGATCAGGCCACGAAAAAATTTTGCATGTGAAATGCTGAACAGTTGAAGATCCACTTCTTACTTCTAAATCTTAATCATCTCATCGAAAACTGCGCCCTTGAAGTTTTCGGTGTTACGAAATGGAAATTTCAATCTATTTCTCTGCTCTTATTTCATTTGATGTCGTATTACCTTGCGCTGCCCTAAGGTGTGCTTTATCTTTACAGAGTTTACTAGATAATCTTCTAAATCTTCTTAAAGATTGATATTAGTTGAAGAAAGTAAACTTCAAGGCGTTTGTACGGATTAAAAATTCACGTATTCCAATCTTGTAATTCGAAAAATTTAAACATGAAAAATATGAATGTTTTACACTCACTTGTCAATAGGATGGAATTTAGCATTTTGGCCATCATAAATGCATAAATTTTGACATTCACTGTTTTTCTTCAAATTTTGATTACTGCAAATATCCATGTGTGAAAAAATTGTGGAAACAGACAGATTGTTAAGAGGCTTCTAGTTGACAAGCATAGTATTGACAATATTATTTGTCTTATGGGTGGGTGAGTGGTGTAACTACAGTCAAATCTAAGATATCCTTGAGACCATGAAGTGGTGGCTGCTTATAGGAAGTGTCTGCTTATGAAAAGTTATGAGAGGTATCTGCTTATATTGGTAATGATCCACGAGCAATGATTGCTTATGAAAGGTGTCTGCTTGCTAGTGGTGTTTGTAAATAAAAGTTCATCTGTACTTTTGTTGTCATTTGTATAGGTCGAGTAAGTGTAAAAATGTTGAGAAAAAACGGCAGCAAGATGGCTGGAAAACTAGACAGGCGAAACCATGTGAGTATTTGTGATTGGTTTTTGTGTACTCCGAGGGCTTTAGTTGCAGTGTATGTGCATGTGTGTTTGTGTTAGTTTTTTGGGTGCAAATACAATGCAAATGGTATCAATTCAACAAAAGACAATTGTGAAAAACACAATTGCTCCAAATGAACCATTTGCCCACTTTGATATGCATATTTTTTGCATCATTATTCATTTATCCTATTTTATGCTTGAAACAATGTGTCAATAGGTTATCAGTATGACAGATTACCTTACTGGTATCATTTGGTTTTTTCCAATTTTTTGTGTGCTGTATGTGGGGTGAAAGGCTGAAGTTTCCTAATTCATTGTTACCTATACATACATCTAATAGATTGCTTTAAAATGTGTTGTTTTTCAGGCAAAGCAGCTTCGAGCCAATAAACGCGAAGAAGTCTTGCGAGAAAAAAGGAAAATAGGAAAGCTCGATGGTCCACCTCAAGTGGTGGTAAATGTTACATGTTCTAGATCGAGAGTTACAAAACAATTGTAGTAAAACAAGGCTATAAAATTTTGCTCATGAACCACAAACCACAAACTTTACAACTTGCTACCCAAAATGTGTTTTATGATAGTACAGTTGAACCCCTGTAGACGGACACCTATGAGCAAGGACCCAAAAGCAGTGTCTGCTTCCGAGAAGTGTCCTAAAGCAGTTGTTAGATTTTAAATTGGATATCAAGGTCATGTTGTTGGAAAGTGCCCCTCCACAGTGTGATCATAAATGCAAATTTTTTACTACATTCTTCACCTTAAACACCCCCTGCTCTGAATTTTTCAACCTTTTAAAGCAGGGGAGAGTATCTAAGCTCGTCAGACCCAATCTATTTACAAAATTGCATTTATGGCCCCACTTTTGTTACCATATCCTGATCTGAATAATGAGTTTTTCGGATATGCTTTTCTTCATTCTCCATTTTTACTAACCCATGCGATTTTGCAACATTTCACCAAATTTTGGGACGCTTCAAAATCGTCCAATTTTCTCAAACACTCTGTTTCACAATTTATAAGCAGAATATACATGTTTTAAGCATTTTCTGTTGTCATATTGTAGTGTCTAATTCCCTTGTCTGCATCGTGCAACGTGGATAAATTTTTAGAAAATCTTTACCAAGGAAACGAGGAAAATGAAATAGTCACGACGGCCAAATATAAAATGTTAAGGTATGCTTCTATAATATGATGGCTTCAAAAGTCTTGAAGCAAAACTCGTATCGCCAGTTGATGTTTTACGTGATATTTTAATGTTCACCGACCTCTGTTCATTTCATGGGTACTTTTAGTCCAATACCTACCGCTGGTTATAAACGAGTCCTGTGTTTGGAAAAGATTTTTACGTGGAAAGATTTTTTAATCGGAAAAGATTTTTACGTGGCTTTCTTTAACACTGCGTTAAAACCTGTCTTGTTTGTTTCTAAAATGTTGAGTTGAAAATGAATTTTTTGTTCGGAGTATGTTTCTTATTATACTTCAGAAAATTGTCGGTTGGTAATGGACTTCTTGTGTGTATTTATGCACATATGTCTGATTCCTCGCGGAAGATGAATGCATTGTACTGATGTCGAGCGTCAAGGATGCTACTGTATTATGTCTTTGTGACTGTGTGTTTGAAATCATTTGTCTAAAGAAATCACTTGTTTTGTATATTTCTGAATAAGACAATATGTTTTCAAAATATACATTACACATGTCTACAAAATGTTGGCATGCACAAACATGCTAAGAAAACATTAGTAATTATCGTTGTAGACATTATAGCCATCGACTTGAATACAAAGCTAGAAACAATATTTGCAAACTTAGATCGCCATTACGTTATTTGAAAAACATTTAGCTATGTAGCTAGCATTTATTTAACAACTGTATAAGCCCTTTATCACACGCTTTGTTGATTTTACTTGCCGTTGATACAGCATCGTATAACTGCTAGTAGAAAACAAGCAAATGAAATTTTCGTTTGCCTCGAAACATCTTATTTATTGTTTGGAAACTTTTTTCAACCTACAACATTGATAAATTGATTTTTCAGGTAGGCAAAATCTTTGATTTGTTTTTTTTCACGATGTAGTTGTCCTCAAATGAAACAATGGTTTTCATTTTGTCTTCTTAAATATGGCGAACTTTATGAAATTCTTGATGCTGCAAAGGTGAGAAGAACATTATTTTCTTCGCTCTTTGTTGTTGTTGTGTTTTTTTACTGTGTGAGTTGCTCTCCCATCTCGTGTGTAGCATTCCCCGTAATTGTAAGGTTATTCCTGGCTATAATTAAGACTTTGCAAAGTATAAAATATCTATTGTGTCTTAGGGCAAGTTTATATAAAAACAATAAACATATGCTGCTATTTCGGTTTTCACTATCCTTCTCAGAGTTACAAACCGAGAAAAATAGAAGTTTTCCAAGTCCTCTTAACAAGTGCCACTCTTTGTGAACCTTGACACAGCAAATGATGAAAAATACGTACCTATGTGGTACATCCAATGATTCTGATTTAGTCATAATTCGACATACGATTATTACCCATTACATATGATAAAAACAATTTTGAACCATTACTGTGCAGGCTCTACGGCAGAGAACTGCCCAGATACTTGTTTTCCGTGTTTTGAGCACACTAAATATAATGCATGTATAATTTATCATCACATGTTGTATGTTTTTGTAATATAGCTACTGCATGTTCCTTGCGGTATTTGGCGTATTCTCTTGCGTACTGGTGTGGATGTGACAGTGTGCTACATTTGCTTTCGAAACCTCTTGTGTTGAAGACTTTCTTTTTATATCATTTACTTTGGATTATGCGAAATTGCTAAAATCTTAACTAACCTCATGTATGTGAAAATGAATGGTTTGAACTCGGAAGTATGAAAAGACTGTTGGTGTTGATGTTGACTGGAATTTCGACAATCTTAGCGGTAGTCAACTTCAAGTGTTAAGTGATGATGACCAACACTGAAGGTGACTACTGCTAAGGCAGTGGAAACGTCAGTGAACATCAACACCAATTGTCCTTCTCAGGACTCTACTAATCTGGGTGATCTACATCCACAAACTGATTTATGGTGTTAGATGGCAGGGCTAATGGACGATTGATAAGTGGGGGTGGTGGGGACTCATATTGATTAATGCGAATAATCCGTAGAAAACGATGGATTTCACGGGGACTTAGTACAGCATATCATGCACATATGGATATGAGCTCCTAGCCCTCTGCTCCCTCTCCCTCCTTCATTTAGTGATCTTCCTACGGCCCTCTCAGATGGCATGCTGTTAACATTTTTTTCGCCATTTGAATAAATTCTTATCACAATTTTTCTGCAATTTTTCTGTTAGGCAGCTGATGTTATTGTATTCCTTATGGAGGCCAACCATGCTCCTGATCAGTTTGGAGAGACTTGTTTATCGTGTGTCGTTGCCCAAGGAATCCCTTCATGTTTTCATGTTGTCCAAGTAAAATAAGACAGAGCGTCAGATTTGACTACGAGTACGACTACCGCAGAAAAATTTGACCGAGAGAGATCTTGGTTCTATAAATAAGCTGTCGTACTCGTAGTGAAGTCCGAAGCTTTCTAATGTTATCCACAGGGGCTAGCCATCCCAAACGTTTTAGTCGTGCCATGTATACTTCAGTACATTACCTTTATTCGTTTCTTTACAAATCTGCATATGTCATCCATATACTTTCTTTCGTACGAACCTCATGTCGTTTCACGATTGATTTTTGTAGGGATTACGAGATGTGCCTCCAAAAAAACAAAATGTCGTCAAGAAGAGCTTTAGTAAACTTGTGGAACACAGGTTTGTGTCTTAGTCCATCGCCATTTGTCATGTTTGTGTTTCAGTATTCGGTGCATACGAAAGCAGGGATACTGGGATGGATCGAGGTGATTATGTAGCGGGGGTGCTTTACTTTGAATAAAATTATAGTGATTAATTTAGGGTGTGGTTTTGCCTTGTTTTGTTGAATTCTCTCACTTTTATATAATGTTTTTCGGAAGTGTGCTCCATAACACAAAAATTACAATTGCTTTAGCTTGATTGCTTGGTATGTTGATAATTCGTAGAGAAATTCTCACTTCTCTTGCACCCCCTTACACCAAGAGCCGTAGGGGTGCGCTCTCTCCCCCCTCCCGGTAAATCTGCTCGTATTGAAGGCAAAACAATTTTTCTTTAACGCAAATTTAAGATTTCCTAAAGAGAAAGTGTATGCTGTGGACACGACAGATGTAAGTTTTGTTATAATGTTCGAAAGTGAGTACACCAGTGCCATTCTACAGTCCTGTTTGACTTTCACACTTAAATTGTGTTCTTTTTTTTGGCTTCCATCGTGGACACTAATTAAGACCTTACAAAATATGGGATATTTATGGTGTCTATCTGGGGCTAACTTTATCTGAAAACTCATGCTGTTATCGCTTTTCACCATCCTTCTCAGAGTTAGTAAGGAAAATGTGCTACGTAACGTGTGTGACTCAGAAAAGTTGACGTGTGCCGAGTTCTTTAAACAAGTGCCGCTCTCTTTAAACTCTGAGATGGCAAAGCAATGAAATATCCTGTAACCTTAGTTTAAGGAGAAAAAGACTTATCAACATACATATTATAACACATTATACAAATAGTTTTGAAAATTCACTATGCAATCTTTTCTTAAAAGAAATGCCAACCAAATTCAATGTTACACACAACTCTTGACGTCATTGCTACATGAGCGATTTGCCGTGTTTGATTCAGGGAACATGAATGATCCTTGCCATTTTTCAAGACAAATTTGCTTTGCGTGTACAAAACTCATTGTTTTTTTTTCTCTTTAAAGGAAGGCAGTCAGCTGTTGCGAATCTTGGCTCACCATCATCACAAAACTGTTGTTTACAAAGATGTGCGATCGCATATTTCGGCATATGACGTTGTTTATGAACCTTCAGACACTCACCAGGTACACTAGGGATTATGTCTTCCGCGCGCATAAAAACAATAATGGCGGAAAGTGAAAGGAGAAATATACAGGGAAAATCCGTGCCCTTCTTCACAACATTATTCAGGCTTCGAACCATCAATGAAAGAGACATATTTTGCGTAATAATTCCACGCCCAAAATTCTCGAATATTACTCGTCGAGTCCTTTTCAACCCTGGACAAGGGAAAACGCACTGAACAAATTTTCCTTTCATTTTTATTCCCCAATCACAGAAAACAACGATAAAGTACTAAAAATAGTAGGTACTAAAATGAAATAGCTACATCTAGAAACCCACGTCTTTTTTTGAAAAGTTATTTTAAACCCTTGTCATGCAGACGTTTTCTTTACGTTAAAGTTTCATGCTAGTGCTCTCCGCGGAACAAAGGAAAAATTCAAAATTGTTGGCAACCACCAAACGTGTTCAAAGCTGAGAAAACATTCGTGTTTATCATTACATACTGTCATCGACCTGAATTCCGAACTGTAAACATTATTTGCAAATTTAGGTCGTCTTTACGTTGCTTTGAAAAAGCTTTGGCTTTATAGCTACGTAAAATTTGTATAACAACCGCGTAAACCCCTCTCTTTATCATACGCTTTGTCGATTTTACAAATTTTGATCGTCATAACATTGCTTTGTCGATTTTACTTGCCAAGAAAAAGTGCTTTGATTAATAATTACATTAGAAATATGACGTGCCTTGATAAAACTAACCCGTGCGTGTTTGTTGCCCAGCTTGCACCCGTGACCATACAAAATGGCCGTACCTACACACGCAGCTCTTAAACTTGTGTCATTACGTATATGTATTTTTTAGGATGTGGGCACGCTTAAAGTCTCCGGTTATGTCAGGAATCGTTCATTATCAGCCAACCAACTTGTGCATATTCCTGGCTTTGGAAATTATCAGCTGACCCAGGTAATTGCATTTTGTTATTCTTGGAATGAAGTTCCTTGAAAATGTCTCTTCGTTGAAATTTATCATAAATTAAAATCATGTTTTGATCAAGTAAAACTTCAAAAATGATTTCCCGTATTCATGGCATATTGGACCACGAGTAAACACCGGCAGTTGAGAAATGATTTGGTTAAATAAGCTTTGCGTGACAAAACTGCAATGCTGACTAAAGGCCAGAAGAAATCACTGTAGGATTGTTAGAGCACTTGATTTTCTCCATTTATGGCGTTTACTTTAAGTCGGTGAATACCGGGACAAGTTATACTAAGTCGTGTACTGATTATTGAGTAGATTCCAGCAATGGCATGATTATTGAGTGAAAAGAGTGTTATAATGTTGAAATGCACCGCAAAAAAAAAACAATGTGAGATTGCCTGCGCATTTTATTTGTGAACTCTACATTGTAAACTATTCGTGCTTAGATTGACTCGTGTCGAGATCCTTGCCCTGGAAAGAAAGTGAAAAGAAAAGCAAATTCCATGAATGTGGTGGGTGCTGTATTCAACAAAATACTTACGAACTGCACAAAACTGGAATCTCGGCCATTTTTCACTCCCTATAGTTAAGATTTTTAACTTTTATTTTCATCCGTATGCACATTGGAGTATTTCTCTGAATTCCTCTCCTAGAAGCTACATTATCTGTTTTGCACTTAATCTACTTTATTAACTTTGTAATTGCTTCGAATCGTTTTCATTTCATCCACGAGTCGGCCAGATTCTCTATTGTACATTCCCATTAATAAAGTGTAAAAAGTAGGAAAAGTAAAAATTTCGTCAAATTGTTTAAGTAAGATATTTCCCACTGTTCCATTTTCTCGTAAGTAGATTAACTGCATGACAATATATGAGATGCAATGTGTTGAGAAATGGCTGGAATTTATATGCGTAAAATAAAATTGATGTATAGATATATGTTGAAAAGAATCAATTTGACCATTCATAGGATGACAACGATGTTGAAGAGGATGGTAGGGTTCTTCAGACGGCCGATCCTGTTCAGCAAGAAACGCTTGTGTCAGAAGTCGTTCCCAATCCAATGGACGGAGAGCAAACATGGCCAACAGAGGAAGAGCTGAAAGACGCCGGTAAATATTCGTCCGTTACACATGCGTTAAGTGCAAGCATTGGCTCTTTTCAATTTTAGATGTAATCTATGACTTTAACAATAACTTACAATCGGATCTCTAGCTTCGCTCGGATGTTTTTCAAGCATAGATGTTGCAAACGTGATTGCGTGCTAGAATTAGGTGAAGTGCTCATTAAAAGATTTTCATTTTATCCTGAATTCAATGCTGAAAGTATTAAGTCATAAAAAAGAAGTCAGTAACAAGATCAAGGTTTTAAATGAATTTAGCATAATTTTATTAAGTAATTTTTTTATGAAAAACACAAAACATAGCTTCTTTTATTATGAAAAACTCAACCTCATTTGGTCTAAAGCTGTTTTTAGCGCAGCTTGACACATATTGCAGGTCAACGCGATTAAAACGCATCTGTTAAAATTGAGTTTAATGCAAGAAACGGGAATTTGTTGGAGCCGAAAGGAAACATTTTTCTTGACTTTCAGCTCAATATAGATCAGACACCTCTGTATTTTTAACAGAAGCGACAGACCGAAGGACTCACACAGTGAAAAAAGTTCCTAAAGGCACATCTGAATATCAGTCTTCCTGGATCGTGGAAAACGACGACAGTTCTGATAATGGCGACGTCAGTGGTTCGGAAAGCGACGATACCAACAAGGAAACGATGGATCATGATATTACCATGGAGATGACGTATGGGGATGCTAGTGACGTGGTATTGTTAACATATACATAAACACCACACAAAAAGTCACCCCGGCCTCATATATATTGTAGTTAATTCTATATGAATGAATTCCAGATAACCTAACACGGCACTGCTTAGAGTAGAGTTAAGATAATTTGCTAACTGCAATGTTGAGAATGAGGTCACTCGTGCTTTAGAAAAAGACCTATCGTCTCTTGAATACAAAAATACCCTACATGTTAAAATTAGCATTAAAAAGGTTAACCCTAACCCTATTCCTAACATTATTAGTTTCGCTCACTATTCAACAACATGATCGGCTGATACAGTCATCGTGTAAAGCAGTTCAAAGATTGCCTGGATTGTCGTATTTAAACAGGGCATTCGCATTTGGGCTTTTAGAGACTGGATGAGATTCATTCATGTAGCACTTGTGATGGTTCATCTCGGGGAGGGGACTTTCTTATTGTGTGCGGTTTCCTTGCAAGGTATTGCAGTATTTATTCACTTTTTTGATTTAGGAGGGCGAATTACCCGAGAAGGAAGATTTAGAATTGGAAGAATATGAAACGGTATGTTGACGTCCCCTTTTTACAAGTGTTAATCTTTATCGATCTTTCCTAAATCTGTACGCAGCGATTTTGCATTCCATTCTATGTAAGTAACATGCTTAACCAATCAATTCGATCCAAATCATATCATTTCTATTTAGCTCTACAGCTTGCTTAGAAACATGAATGTCCCATAAACCATAGGAGTCCGGCTTGTTTCCATCCAGGCTGTGGAGCAGCATTTGTATGCTTCGCCTGTTTCATTCCAAAATATTCAACGCGACATTTTCGCCTGTAGCTAATTAACACGTAGGGTAATTTTATCTAAAAAACATTTGCTGTCGAAGTTTTTTCGCTTCTCGTCTTGGCAAATATGCCGCGTCACGTGTGTGACATTCACACCGTAATTATATTGTTATTTCTGGCTTCAAGCGTAGACAATATTTAAATTCTTACTAAGCATAAGGTATTTATTGCGTCTCATGGTAACTTTATCTGAAAATTAGTGATACGAAAACAAATGTGCTTTGTCACATGTGTGACGAAAATGGACTATGCTATTTCAAAATAAATAAATTAATGCATATATGAATATAAGCGCCCCTCTCTCTCTCCCTGCCCAATTATAGATCTTCCTAACACCAAGCGGTTGCACGTTATATTGTTTTCAATACGTCTGAGTTATCGAAGTTTACATCCAACATTTACATTTAAGTCCATTTAAAAAAACTGTGTGTTTTGTGTAGATAAGCGTCAATACAGACACTCAGGATAGCAGATACGACGAGAAATATCCCGATGATGATTATTCTGAGTAAGAAAGCCCAGAGCGTCGATTTAAATACTGCTGATGACGTCATTTAATATGAACACGTGATCGCATCCATCTATTTGCGTAGATTGGAAAAGAAGAGGGCCGAACGTGAAAACGAATTGTTTCCAGATGAAATTGATACACCTTTAAACGTACCTGCTCGAATACGATTTCAAAAGTGAGGAATTTTACAGCTTCATCGCTGAAATAATTGAATGCCGATTCGTAGTCGTAAGAGACCGATTTTGTTGTTGACATTTTGATCTATCAAGAGTTTGGCTCGTGTAGCATAAAATTCATTTCAGTTTTATGTGAAAATACTCAACAGTACAATTAAATTGTTCTTGCGCTTTATGTCTCAAATTTATATCTTTAATATTCAGATACAGAGGACTTAAAAGCTTTCGAACATCTCCATGGGATCCGAAGGAAAATCTACCTTCAGATTATGCCAGGTTTGTTTCTTTCATTACGAAGCTTGAACATACAATTTGCATATAGTTTTATAGTGCACGTTTTAATTGCATTTTCTTCAAGGATTTTCCAATTTGAAAACTTTGATCGCACTAAAAGACGCATTTTAAAAAAGAAGGACGACGAAGGAGCCTTGGTAGGTTATTGTATCACACATTGGCGGATTATAACTTCCATACATAAATATTGCCCTCCCCCAGTTATCCATGCTTGCTACGCTTCTGCACTGAGGGAGACACGGGTGAGGGTGTTGACCTCCAATAATTTTTAAGGATTAAAAATCTTACACCAAATTGCACCCTTATAACGTAGCTGCCATATTAAATTATGACTGTTTCACAGACTTCTGTAGTGTACTCATCCCTGCACAGTGATTAAATCTCGATTTTTTATTTGTGGATAGGATTATTTAAAAAAGTTTCTGGAGATGCAAATTTTAGTATTGAGATGAAAAAAAGTATTGCAATAGGTATGCCCCTGGACCTCCCTAGAAACTCGCGCTTTAAGGAGGTGTCGTCTCAATGTTTCATAAAGTGTTCGCTGCTGTCATTGAATAAAATTGGTTTTGGTTTTTTATGGGAACGGGGAGTTTGCAATTTCCTCATATGCCTTTAATTAATGAAAGGTTGAACTGTAAAGTTCATTTTCTATTTAATAATATAATTGTTATTTTAAGATTGGGAAAATGAATGTATGTTTTCAGTAAATAACTTTTTCATTCGTGTGTCTTTACCTGTGTGTTTTGTTGTTATTTCAAAACTAAAGACCATGTTGCAAATGCTGAACGATAAAAGCGCAAAGCATGGGTATTTCATCTTCCCAAATATTTTTGCATCTTCCTTCCAATAAATTACCAAAGGCTGTCGTGCAAACGCCCTGTGAAATGAAATCTATATTCTCTAGCATGCGTCATCGTTTCATACGATTAGCACATTCATTGTACTGATATTGTCGTCGTTTCTTTTCCTTAAAGCCTGGTTGGTTTGTTACGATCCACGTGAAAGATGTACCAAAGCGTGTTGCAGGTGATATTTGTTCACGTGATTCTTTGTAATTGCTATGTATAGTAGAGCTATTGTTGTGGAGCTTGCTGTTCGCTTTCATTGTTACGTTGTAAGAGAAAATTGTTTTAATTTGCGTAGAATATTTTTGGGGTTCGAGACCGCTGACATTGTTTGGGCTTTTACCCCACGAACAGAAGGTATATTGACGTTTAAATATAATTTCCACTCGATAATCGTTATTCTCTATGTTTGCATGTAGCTATTATTTGAAAGTCACCCGCATTCAATCTCCGTGGATAGAGAAACGCATGTCGACTCATGCTATGAGACAAATATATACATTATGGATGTATAAGAAAATGAAGAAGTCTATAGTTATAAGTTTAATGCAGTCAGGGTGTAACTTGGGAGCGAAGACTTAATTTTCCAGACAATAGGGCGTTGTGTTTAATTTGCTTGAGAAAAGGGCATGGTATAATTTGTATCACTAATAATATAATTACTTTTTTATTAGATTTTTCAAAAATCTCATAAAGTAGTATTATGCACAAAATGATATGCCGAGCGTTGTTTTGTTCATACTGCAACCAGGAATTGACCAAAAAAAGACTACAATTTTTTATTAGTGTATATATTGAAAAGTATATAATATATAGTAATATACTACATAATTTTTTTATGAAAACTTTAATATTCCATTGAATTTCTCTAAAAAACTTTAATTTTACCCCGAAAAAACTACTTACTGAACTTCTTGAGGGGTACCCCCAACTCCCCAAGGTTTATGCTCTCTATTACAATAATTATATCATCACGACGGGTTTTAGTTTGTACAATCTTTTTATGGACCGCGTGAATGTTATTATTTCAGATATCTGTGCTTCATTTTATACTGAAGCGTCATCCTAGTTATACGGATACAATCAAAGCAAAGGTATTTTTTTTCGCATTTAGTGCGTATCATGTTCTTTTTAGTTTATGTAATCATCTTATTTATGTGGCTTTTTGTCATAGAATGCTTATTTCATTGCACTGTATGCAATGATTTAGAACCCAATCCTCTAGATGTCTGACCGCCATGTCAAGCGCCATCTTGAAAGGTGGCAAAAAGCAAATCTGGCAGTCAAAAATAAATCAAAAGACATTTTAAAAAGTCAACGTAGACTATCAACTCTGCAACTGTATAACGAAGCAGAATGAGCAGATTTTAGTGGTATCCATATCGTCAGTTCTGCTACCTTTTGACTTTGCGCCTTGCCTCATTCGGAATTATGGAATTTGGCGGATTCAGATATCTAGTAGGTAGGATTCGAGTTCATTCATTGCACGACGAAGCAGAGGCTTGTTTCTAAAAGCAAAGGAACGGCAAAAGCTGCGAAAAATTGACGATAAGAAATTGCGGCTACTTTCTTTCGCAGGAGGAACTGATTTTTCAATGCGGATACAAAAGGTTTTCTGCCTCTCCGATATTTTCTCAACATTGTCCTGGAAATAAATTTAAAGTGAGTATTGTCGTTGTGTGGGGCAAAAAATTGTAGAATTGATTGAAAAAATCATGCTGAAATTTATGTACTAGCTTATGCGATTGCAGCTCTCATTAGATTTTTTACTACGTTTTAGATGGAACGTTTTCTTCCTAAGGAAGGTGTGGTTGTCGCCACTGTGTATGCATCCATCACATTTCCACCTTCGCCAACTTTGGTATTCAAACGTGATCAAAAAACTGGTATTCTTAAACTTGTTGCGACCGGGTCACTGTATCAAGTAAATCCTGACAGAATTGTGACAAAGAAGATCGTTCTGAGCGGTTTGCCTTTTAAGATCAATAAGAAATCTGCCGTCGTTCGGCATATGTTTTTCAACCGAGGTAGAGTTGTGTATGTTTTCTATTTCAGTCATCGATTCGGGATGATAATCTTCGTTTCTTTCTCTTTCATAGATGACATTGCGTGGTTCAAGCCTGTTGAGCTGTGGACTAAATATGGTAGAAGAGGACACATAAAGGAACCCATGGGTGATTATGCTTACGCTTTATGAAATATTTTGGGTGAGTGGGTGGGTGGTAGTCCACAAGACACGAGGTTTTACATAGCATCCTACCCAGAACAAAAAGTCAAGCATGTTTGTGTAGGGACTTGTACAGTACAAAAGTCTATCATATAGTCGTCAGTCAAATGACAGTTCCGTATATAGATGGGACTTGTGCTTTTACCCTAAGATTATTAGTCTTTCAACGTTGTCAGGGGGACCGCCCCTGCAACTCCCCCCCCCCCAGTGGCCGCCACTGCCCATTACTGCTTTTGGGGTAAATGTGACAAATAGCAATACTCTGTTTTTCTTTGACGATGCAGGGACGCATGGTCACATGAAATGTCTTTTCGACGGATTGATAAAAGCACAAGATACCGTGTGCATGAATCTATACAAACGTATCTTTCCGAAGTGGACTTTTTCCGACGGTTCGAGCAATGTGGGAGCGATGGAAGAAGAGGCGATGGAAGAAGAGGCCATGGATCCCAACTAAGTTTCACAGTTTTTGGAATTTTTAGCAAATTTATGTGATGTTGAGGTAAAGTAAATGTGTGTTTTGTTTAGTTTATGATGCAGTATCGCGATACATTCAGACTAGAAATGTTCTCTGGGTCCACTTTACAGCTGTTATTTATTACAGGGGGTGAAATTTATTGACGATAATCGACGTGTTTGTGGTTTGAGGCTAAGAATCAAGAAAGCAGTGTATGTTATATATAAGACAGCGTGTATCATGCTCCCTTGTCGAACGTATTTGAACGTGGAAGTTTTAGAAATGTTTTTTGAAATAGCAATTCTTATAAATGACATATGAACTAGCAAGTCATAAAAATCAAATTATAAGGAATCAAAAAGATTTTGGATTCAAAAAACATGCATACAAGAAATAAAGTTTGTCAGAAAAGTAAAGTTTGTCAGTTTTGTTGTTTAGTGGAAAATACCAATTCCTATCTTTTACCCATATATGCCCCTTGCAAGCCGTTTTTAATAATTTTGCACTACGATAGTTTAGTATTTTTGCACTTTACAATAATAAATTTTGCTATAGAGCTTACTACGGCAATAATAGTAAGTAAAATTGTGGGAGCTCCTGTAGCAGCTGTTTGCGTATAATATCCAATAAACTCACTCAACAGTTTGATTGGAATCTTTGCTACAGACTCTCAGAACATTTTTTGTTATAAAAATTGTGCGCACGGGCCACACGCTTTAGCGCACGTGCGTATGCACGACATAACGCTTGGTTGTCAAGCTTCGGAATATAAATATAAGGTTGTGTGTGTGGGGTAGTTACCTTCAACCATTTTCTAGCGAGAGGATCCAAGTATGGGAAAAACCATAATTTTGCAATATTATTATATAAGTGTAGATGCAATGGTATGTTGTCCAGTGTAGATATTTTGTATGCCAAAGTCGTATTTTATTCTGTGTTGATAATGGCGGAGAGAAAAAATGGCCGAGTCATTGCTGTGCATTATTGTCGATTATTATAGTTGAATATTGCTGTAGTTGAGGTGAAAAATTCCTGCTTTCAAACGAAGAGAGAGTCTCCAGCTATAGTTTTTACCCAATACATCTTGGAGGAGGCTTTTCATATGTACGTGTATCCGAACCATGTTTAAAGACTATAAATCTTTGGAGGTAGTTTTTTGGTGAAAATGTTCAGTGCAGTCCAATTGTACCTATTAATTTCTGAAGTCCAAGATCGCAACTGTACTCATTCAACTGATGTAAAGTGTAAACCTATATCCCCAAGTCCTGTTGGATCCTCAAGTCCTGTTGGATCCTCAAGTCCGGTTGGATCCTCAAGTCCTGTTGGATCTTCAAGTCCTGTTGGATCCTCGAGTCCTGTTGGATCCTCAGGTCCTGTTGGATCCTCAATATTCTTTTGAATCAGACCACCAACAGGGCTGAATTGCAAGTCAAGAATACAGCAGAAGGTTATTGACCTGCACAGCACATCGTTCTTCATCGTGATCGTGACATAAAAAGAATCTTCGATATGGTTTTCTAACAGTATTTTTCAAGACGAGAGAAACGAATGTATTCCGTAAAGAATATTTTATTAATGCTATTGTGGGCGAGCCACATTGTTGGAAAATTTCCTTGAGGTTGGTTGCAACCCAAGAATAGGCCCACCAGCTGTCGAAACCAACATGTAATCTTCCACGTTCTTTTTCGTCTTGAGGATTAGGGAAAATTAGCCCATTTGTGGATCATGGATGCAGTTAAAATGTTTTGCTATCGCATTGTGACTTTTAATTAATAATTAATGTTCTTCACTCATTTACATCTTCAAAACAAAGCGCAGCTGTATGGAACCGTAGAGTTGCTTTGAACCAGAAATCATGAACGTTCAGAAGAAATCCAATTCCTCTCAAGGCTTTCCTTCCGTAGTTTCGTTAAATGTGGGAGGAATGATTTACGCCGCTTCGCTTGCAACTCTCACGAGATATTCAAAATCTATGCTTGCTGCAATGTTCAGTGGTCGTGTGCCAATCGAAACCGATGCGAATGGCAACTATTTCATTGACAGAGATGGCAAGTTGTTTCGGCATGTTTTGAATTTTCTGCGATCGGGTCACCTGCACTTGCCAAAGGGATTTGGCGAATTCGAACTTTTGAAACAAGAAGTGGACTTCTATCAGTTGAAGGACATGATGGCTCATTTGAGCAAAGCTGCGGCGTTTGGCATCAGTCGTTTGTCGTCTAAGGTTGGTGATACGTCGACCATTGAAAGTCGCTGTTATGAACATGTCGAATTAGTTTGCCGTCCGCGTTCAGTTGAAGTGTTCGGGAAAAAGGCCACGATGGAAGAGTGTTTTCAGAAGTCCATGTTTTCGGCTTTTGTTGCTGTCGATTGCACAATCACCACGGAAGGCTCCGCAAATCTTGAAGTGAAAATAACAAATCGTCGCGGTGATTTTGTCGGCAACGAACCGAAAACGTCAATATTAGAGGCGTTGGGTAATAAAGGGTTTCATGTTGTTTCGGCCGGATATTTGCAGGATCAGAAAAGTCCCGTAATAAGGGAGGTTCTTGTGTTGTCCCGCGTTTTGTCATGAATAAAGTTAGTATCCGAAGAAAACTCAAGTTGACATTTATCCTGTTGGGTTGTATAGGAAATGAAGACTTGAATTATTGAAACTTAACTGACAACTTTTCGTCTAATGTTAACTTGGAGCCATATTGCGCAATCGAAAATCATGAATTTTGTAAAAAAATCCAGGTATTTAAAAACGCTATTCCCAGTTCAGAGGTTACGGGGAAATAACTTGATTGAGTAAATAGTTGTCTTTCTTTATTTATACAACAATAAGGAAAGTTTGATTCTCTCGTTTTATCATTATCAACATCCCGAGTTGGTGAAATTGCAGCTCACGTCCTTCGAAAAGATAGCATGAAGTTGTTGGTGTCTTAGTTGTTTTCTCACTCTCTTTCGACAAAGTCACGGTTTCATCGTCAAGCAATGAATTGTCCTAACCGAGCAAGTACTATGACTCATTAATACAAAACAAGACTTCGGTAGAATGTCTTGGATGCTGAGAAACTCGTAGTTTTCTGTCAAATACAATATTTTAGTTACCTCAAGCAACCCTTTCATCAAACTAAATGGTTGATCAACCAAGGCGTTTTTACATATATGCGAAGCGTCTTTTCTTTAGAAGTGAAGCGTCTTTTCTTTTAAAGCGAAGCGTCTTTTCTGCTGTTTTCTCATGATCTCATCACAAGTGTTAAGCAATCAAAGGCTTGTCACGCAGGCGACACTGATATCTTAGATATTCTTTGTGCAGGATTGCAAACATATGTTTCAAACGATGCCATAAAGGTTTGTTTGGAGCACATCTTGAGACGATTCTAATCAACACGCTCGTGGAATGTCACGATGTGTATGAATATTTAGAGATACGAGTATCAGAACCCCCAAAAAAAAACTTGTTGCATATTATGAATATTCTTGCATAGAGGAATTCTACACAATGTTTGAAGTGTTCATTCCATAACCCTTCTCGGTTTTTCGTTATAGCATAAAAACATATATTTTCAGAGAATCCAACCAATCAGTCTGAATACTGCCATGGACTTGTTTTCTCTTAATGTAGTATAAGATTTATAAACTCTAAAGAATAAAATATTTCAAGATACAAATAATGCAATAATACATAGATTTAAAAGATGATTATATGTGTCTAAATATCTAAAAAGCAATATGTTGTCTTATTTGCTGGTTAAGGAGCTGATTCCATGAGCCCGGGTAGCCGGAAGTCAGTCAAGCGATAAAGTTTTTGGCATAAAATAGTGATTATAATCAGATAAATGTTCCCGAGCAATTTCACAATATTCTGATTTAATAACTACGCAAAACATTTAAAATTAAAACAACTAATTTGGCCTAATTTGAGAATTTCAACAGGAATGACTTGTCGCGCTTAACAAACAGTTGTAGTATTTACGCTTGAAGTTTTGCCTCCTTTCAATGCCTCGAAATTATTTCAAGGCTATAATTTGTTTTTCCTATAACACTGGACCTGCTCTATTGGCAGCATCTTAAACTTTTTATAAGTGTCGTTAGTACTTCAATGTTTAGGCAATTATAAATCTTTGCAACTGAAATCAAAATGATTTTTTGGTATTTTCAAAGTTTATCCTTAAAAAGTTTGACCAGAATTCAATTGTTACGAGTTTTTTCACAGTGACTGTTGAAAATCGCTGTATTTCAAAACGGATTAATAGATAATAAAGCGAAAATTAGAAATGGATAATTGTAGAACAGATTAGTAGAAAAGATAATTACAAAGAAATGATTGATAATAGAAAATAGATAGAAAAGCAAATCTTGTTGTTTTTATAACAATTGACAAACCTCCCAGTTAAAAAACCTTTTCCGGTATCACTTTGCGTGTCTTTCTATTAATGTAACTTATGCAAGTCTCATTACATGAGCACAGAATAGATACGTATATAATCGTATAATCGAAGATTATAAAGGATCTCAATCATTCCTTTCAAATGGCATACCAAAATCGCGGCTAAACGTCAAGTAAACAATCTCTACAGTATGGGCGTATAGGAATATTAGTAATTTTTCGCGGGGGGAGTCTTATTCTTATATGCATGTTATAATCATTGAGTTCTATAAGACCTGGAGGGAACAAGGGCCTTGACCCGGTTGTCAAAAGCATGGCGGTAATGATATCCGTTGAGAATAATGAAAAGGTTCTGCTCAAATGATAATTATATGTAAATTATGAATGTAGCTGACGATACGTTATCTATGGGCTTAGCACAGCAATAGGTATTGAAATAATGAGATTATCGCTTACGTCATTTTCTAAAGGTCTTTTTTCGATACACCCTGTATAAAGTTAGTCTCCTGTAAATGATCAAGAGACGACTATAAATATGTAAACGATCGAATATAAATATCAACAAAACTATCGGACTTTCACCGTCTGAACAAGCAACCAAAAGGCGGAACCGAAACAATCGGATCCGACAAGCAGGATAGTGTGAACGGGCCTTTAGTTTCATTGCTTTTTTTTAATTTTTAATTGTTTTGTTTGTTAGGTAATTTTTGATGACGTAAGGACGACATTTGGCAGCAGAATTTACCAACCATTAAAAAATTGTGGGTTCTTAATTATTTTTTAACACTTTCATGGAACTGATGCTTGTAGTTTAGCATATTATCCCTGTTCAAATGGCGTGTTTTTTGAGAAACTTTTCACTTTGCAGTTGTCCTTGTGCTTTTCCTTGTAAACGTAAACATTTCCCAAGACGAGGTATTAAAGTGTTTCGGAATTTTTTTGGCAACCGGCCGCTTGCTAATAATACATAGTAATCTGGATGACATGCTCCCTCTAGTCCACAGTAAAGAGAACATACAGTAGGGCCACTCCATGGAATTTTTTCGTGCCACGCATATCTTATTACGCATGTGATTACCATATTGGCAGCCAGTAAATTGCATTGTGTGGCCAATAGGATTGACGATATGGCAAACGGCAGCCAGTAAACTAATTAAATATACAGCAGCCAGTTGCCCAGCAAAGTGGCCTTACTGTATATTCCTATACTGTGCTCCAGTCTTACCAGAACTCAAAGGCAGTGACTGAATAAGTGGGACCATAAATTCACAATTAACATGAATCACGACGTTAGGAAAGAACCATCGTTTACATTTTACAGTAAGTACTATGACAATCGAAGCAAAGTGGAGAAGAAAGGCCTACAAAAGTAACCAAATTCCTTTGGAGTTACGTGGTAAAGTTCAGCACAGTTGCGATTGGGAGCTTTTCGTCCTTACCGTCATGCATTTCGAGCACAGTTATATAGTCATTGATTTGTTATTGTGATGTGCTCGTGTCTAAATCCCAAACATCTAACCACTTCTAATGCGGTTAATTCGAAAATCGATTGTAGAAATCATGGCAAAAATAGAGAACGAAACTAAGAAATTCACACGGATCCCCGCAAAGTAAGCTTTGGGTATTTTCATGTTGCAATCACGTAGTAGTGTTTCTCATTTGAACTTTCATCATGAGTGATGCATTAAGTACCAATTTCCAAGAAAAGTTACAGTGCTTTTTAATTGTGAAAGTGAACTGCGTTTGTCAAAAAGCAACGAATTTCAATGAGGACGATGATATATATGTATTTATATAAATTCTGCATTACTTTTTAAGCAACATCTACTTTTTCGTACCACATTCAAGTTAATATGATAGGTTATTGTAGATAATGAAAGTAAAATTATCTTACGATATGCTTACTTTACCGCCATGCAGCATAACTTCTGTTCTATTTGTAATAACTTATGGTGTACTGTTTTTTTTCTGAAATTTCCACATTGACGCCATTGAATTTGAAAGATGAAAGATAAGAGTGCCAAACATAAATTTGTAATCATATTAAAACTGATGCATTATTTATTGTTTAGCTAGCTCATAATGGAACTTGCAGCAGCCCTTGTCTTGTTTTTTGATAAGCATACGTATGATAGTAGCCAAAGTTTCATTGGTGCATTATGTTTTTTTAGCAGTAGTACTTGTATGTTTACATGTAATTCAATTGTTTTTTCCCCTAAATATAGATGGCTTGATTACACTAGATGTGGAAAGGTCATTCCTGGTGAACGACTAGCTTCATTTAAAACTCCATTATCAGAGGTTTGTTATGCAATTAGTTCTTTGTGATTCACCTTTACGACCTGTTTCTAAGGAAATGTTGTCTTGACTCTGGTCTTCATATGTACAACCAAAATATAATTAAGTATATAATGTACAAGTCTTTTTTAAGTTGATCAGTGTGGTGTGTTATTTGGGTTTTAAATTTTCGTCTAACTAGTAACTACTCTTAAAAAAAATTCCTTTTAAATATCAATTATACTGTTTTAATGGTCAACAAATCTTTACAGAATTACCACTGCACTGGAAATGAACGCAATGCTGAAGATTGTTTGCAAAAGGACAATGAGTATGCTCCAGGCCTTTATATTTATGAATATACTGTCATCGTGGTCTGAATAATTGCTGACAGCTTGTATTTCAGACATTCAATTTCATTGTGACCATTGATGACATTGGAGTGAATGTCTGAATTTTTAATCACCAATCATTCTTGAAGTTGCTTTTTTGTCTTTGCCATGCAAAGAGTGTGGAACTTTGTGTTAATTTGAGCATTCATTTCACCGGAAATGTTTTCAAGTTATTTGTTTTTATGTAAAATTGTTTCTAAGTGCACATCATTTTGCTTTAGTTATTGATTTCATGTTTATCATAGTTGTTTATGGAGAGAAGCTTGACAATGAGAGCCTTTGTTTAACATACATCTCTCTTAAGTGGATAGTTGTTTGCACCTTAAGGGTATGCTTATGTACATGAAGAGAATTTAATTTATTTTCAGATTTACACCGAAGGATCTTTGTGACATTTTTCGGGATAGAGGATTGACGTTAGGACTTGTTGTTGATTTGACAAATACCAAACGCTACTATCAACCATGGGTAATTTCTGGTACTTAGCAGTGTGATAATACATTATACAATATAGCAATTATAACTCTTGTAATTCTTGAGAGCTTTTTCCCATAGGATCTTTCATTTTGGAAAGTTGAATACAAGAAAATCAAATGTGAAGGAAAGGTCGTTCCATCTGATGAAGTTGTCAATAGGTACTCAGATGTAATGGCAATGTTTGCATCATAACATGTAACTAGTTGTTTTCTTTGATACTTTTGGCTATTTGCTTGAGTTAATAGATTCAAACTTTTGATTATGACTTAACTCGTATTCTTTGAATTTAATAAAGATTTAAGGCAACAGTCTTGGCATTTCTAAGGAAGTTTCCCAATACAGGTCAGGTTCTCGCTGACATTCAGCATTATTTTAATAACAAGTCACAAGTGGTCAAGATTTTTTGATTATATGATAGAATTATTTGTGTAGGCACTACTGTCATTGGAGTTCATTGCACTCATGGCCTAAACCGCTCGGGTTATGTTGTTTGTAGGTAAGTAGACATTTTTGCTTTTGGAAGCAAGTATTTGTGTGAAAACACGAGAATTAAGAACGGTTTTGTCGCAGGTACCTGATTGAATGCCGCGGATATTCACCTCAAGAAGCCATAGAAGGTTTGGAACAAATAAAAATTGAGGTCGTATTGGGAACATATACTACTACAAGGGATGCTTTCTCCTTCTGCCCTCCCCCAATAAATGAAAGACGCGGCAATCAATTGAATCTATCGTATCTAAATAAACTAAATATATAAAATGAACGTATCTATCTGACGTACCCCCCCCCTCTCCCCTCCGTTTTTATGCTCCGGGCGCTTATTAGGTAATTTACGGATTCGATTTTATGTTACGTTGTCATCTAAATAATATTTAAAGCATACATTAAGTTTGCGATTGAACTGGTGAATTTTTTATCCACCCAAAATGACGCTCGTTTCTTAATCAAGCTCTATGTTACTTTTACAATATTGAAAAGCTTACTTTTGCGCGTTTTGCCGACCATACGATTACATACTTACCTATACAAATATATGCAGCTATACAAAGTGGACACAAAGAGTATACTTGTATTTGTTCTAGTATCATTCTTTATTTTTCGTTTGCAAATCTTTGATTAAGATTATGATGCAATTACTCCATGAGTTATATGCCATGAAAGATATATCACATATATTATCTTTTTGGTCAGTTTTCAATAAAGCTCGTGGTCATTCAATGGAAAGAGACAACTATCTGAATGATCTTAAGGGACGGAAACCAAAGACGTATGTCTGTTGCACACTTTTATTATACTTTAAATGCATTTGTTTGTGTTGAGTTTTTCGAAAGGCGGTAAATTTATCGCAGTTTTCAATTATTGCCCCTCTCATCAAATAAACGTTTTATTTGTTTTTTTAGATTGTCAAAGAGAGAAATTGATTATTTAATAGAATCGTGGAGCGACGGCTTTTTGAACGATGAAAAACCGCGCTATAATCAGCACTTTGATAAATGCCTCCCCGCGCAACGCCGTGAGGGTTTCCCTAATCAGCCAAGACGTCATTTCCATGGAAACAACAGTGGCACAAAGAGGTATATTTCCCTTTCTTTGAAGTCTTACATTTCTAACTCCGGGGTTCGTGCAAAACTTGATTATAGAACTTGGTGTCCTCGAATGTTCTTGAATACGTAAGTCTAAGACGCCAAGGACTTAAAAATTCCTTGAATTTAAAAAGATGTGCTTAAAAGTCCTCGAATTCTAATTTTTTAATTCTAACATGTCAGTTAGCGCAATCGATGTCTTTTCCTCGGAAATGGAGATAAAAATTCGGTGAAATTGTAATCTTGATGTCGTAATTGCCAACTAACCTACCTACGCGTCACTTATCATAAAAACAAAGTCAGTGCATCCCTTCTGCGCATAATAATCATTCGGCAGTTGCCGGAAACTGTTCGTATAATGTAATCTGTGACTGTATTGACATAAAATTTGCAACTACTTACGAAGCAGGTATGCAAAGGATATTTAGCGATGAAGGCGACCTTACAAGAGCATTTTTTAAAATTTATCTTAAATACCACTGTAGTGTCCTTTGTATTCCAAATTGAACGATATGCGGTGTTAAATCGCTGTATTCTGTTCTTTATGGATTGTTTTAGAACATCCCATCCCTAACACATCTTTTCCTTTATTCGGATTACAAAATCTACCATTATAAATCATGTTGTTGTACTGAACACAGTAATATACGTAAATAATAGAACGAAATGTTGCCGCCATATTTGATTTGCTAACTTGAAAAAATACAAGTGTGGAATTTCAAGTTCGCGATGGGCAGCAGGGGTGCGCATAATATGACACTGCTCCTATTTATCATGCACTACGTTCATGCATGCCTTAAAAATCTGGAAAAGTGCTTGCCTTTTCTTAGTCTCTACATTGTAAGAACCCTGTAACCCTCTGCTGCTACTTCGTACACTACCTATCGTAGCTGATAGACATGGTGTGTAAAAAAAGTTTGAAGTTGGGGAAACGTTGCTTAACTAACCAAGAGGAACCTGTTGCAAAGCTCTTAAAAGTTCTATAAAAAGGGCGGTACTTTCGAGAGGGTCGCTACTTTCGTGGGGACGGTTACTAGCTGTCGCGATTCTTTAAAAAAGGCACAAGGCGGTTAATTTCAGGTGGAGGCTACTTTCGAAACTCTACGGTAGCTTGCTCCAGAAAGAAAGTGCAATTTGAACATACGTACAGAGCTAAAATATAGTATGTGTCGTTCATTTAAGCAAGCTAGTGTAGTTTCAGTAAATTCACATAAAAACTACGGTGGCTCACAAGGGACACCACACAAAATAATAAGAATTATACAAAATAAAGATACTAATACAAACACCAAATACACCACACACCTACAAAATTAAAATACAAACACAAAATACATTATACACACACAAAATAAAAATATACACACAAAATAAAAAACACACACAAAATACATTATATACACACAAAATAAAAATACAAACAAAATAAAAATACACACACAAAATAAAAATACACACACAAAATATGATCGCGTTTTCATTTTTTTTCATCGCGGGCGCTTGCAGTGTCGGATAGCTGACAACTATCAGTTTATTATAAGTTTATTATAACCTACGTTTACGGCTCGTTTGACTATGAAGATGACTACCGCTAAGGTTGTCGAAACGTCAGTCAACAACAACAAAAGCAGTCCTTCTCAGGACTATACCAACCTGGACGATCTACATTTACAAACATGTAACGATACTCCCGTGTTCAAACCATTTACTTTAGTTTATTATAAGGTTGTAACCAGATATGTGTAATTGTGAATTTAACATGTGGTCAACTAGTACTTGTAGTCGTATTTAACAGTTTTAACTCCGAAATAATTTAAATGACATTTGGAAAGGAATCGAAAGCAAGGTCTTGCGATACTGAAGCGAAAAACAAATAAGAGAAATAATAAGCAATTATTGGATGAGGTTGAGCACGATATCAATAATTATTCAGACCGAGGTCAATGTTATTTTCCTCAGCCTCGCTTCTTCCGATAACATTGTTACAAAAATATTTCGCAGTTAAAACTGTTAAATACGACGACAAGTACTATTCGACCACATTTTAAATTCACAATTATACATATCTGATTACAACCTTATAACAAACTGATAGTAGTCAGCTATCCGACACTGCAAGCGCCCGCGATCATATTTTGTGTGTGTATTTTTATTTTGTGTGTGTATTTTATTTTGTGTGTGTATTTTTATTTTGTGTGTGTATTTTAATTTTGTGTGTGCATAATGTATTTTGTGTGTGTATAATGTATTTTGTGTGTGTGTAATGTATTTTGTGTGTGTGTAATGTATTTTGTGTATGTATTGATATCTTTATTTTGTATAATTCTTATTATTTTGTGTGGTGTCCCTTGTGAGCCACCGTAAAAAACACACTAGATAAAGTGTTTATTTAAAATCGGCTGCCAGCCAAACGGAAACGGCCGAATTGCATGGTTTACATATATATATATATATAATGGGATTTTGTGATAGAAACTATCGCAAACAAAATCGCACGGATAGAGTGCTCAATGCCACGAGAGCTCTCCTGACGAGTGTGGCAAGTTAAACAACTGCCATACGAAACAGTTCTGTAGGGAATAAATTTCGATGAAGTAATTCGTGGTTTATTTTATTTTCAATTATATATATATATATATGTTATTTACCGGGTGGAAGGTCCACACGGAAAAAATATTTTCACGAGGTCTCAAAAGCGGCCCGAGTTCCGCCATTTACGAGGTAGCAATTTATAAAGTTGGTGGTTCTCATTCTCACTTAACCTCTACCTCTTTATGCACTCTGCATGTATAGTGTGAAGTTTAATTACTTGTATAGTTTTTCTGAGGTTTTCGCGCTTCCCTCAATAAACCGATGGGTCGCAGTTAAACTTAGCATGTATTATTTCATGTTGTAGGTGTGATGATACACGTAGTACTCGGAGACCCTCCCATGATGACCCGCGCCTCCACCGTTTTCACGTAGATAAATTTCCGGATCACATTGGATTTCGTTGCCATGAAAGAATACCTCAATTGAGATACGCCGATTCCTATGAGGTTAATTATTTGAACAACCGCGTTTATCCCGAGGATGTTTATCCCGATAGAAGACGAATTGAGCGAAGAGACTACGGTCCTCATGGAAGAAGGGCTACAGGTGCGTTTAGGGATAGAGGTGGATACCATTGGGAAGCTCGAGATCCTGATCACGTGGAAGCTCGAAGAAGACAACCAATTAGGATGGTTCAGAGACATGATGTTACCTATAGCTCTGATGAACATTACTGCAGAGAGAGGGATGGAAGGGACTCGCGACGACGAAGATGAGGCAAGTCAATTTCATCAATAATGTAGCTAGATTATATTTAACAGGTTTTACATCTACTTGGTTTTTAACAGTCATCATAGTTGCTTTTAAAAAAGCATATTAACAACGGTCGATGTTTTTAGTTGAATTAGTTTGCACCTGAACTCTTTAAAATTGCTCTAGAAAGTGGGTTACACAAACATCAAAGATTCCGACACGAGTGGACCTTCTGTTAAGATATCTATTCTGTGGTAATTGCACGCGAACACTAGTTGAATGAACTTGAAAGTTTCTCTGATTTTTTTACATTGTTTTTTTCAATCAATATACTGTTCAATTTATGGTTGAATATTGAATACACACTTGAAATTTATAACAATATATCTCGGGGGGGGACTTTCTTTTTGTGTCGTGTTTGGTTCAATGACCATATTTTACAATTTCGTCATGTATAATTCCATGTATTTTATCAACAGCATGTTGAGCTAGAGCGATGCTTACGAGAAAAAAATGCACTTTTCATATACTTTTTTTGAAAAATTTAAGAACGAGGAAGACCTCGAGTTGTACACAAAGCACAACTAGAATAAGAAATCTTTAAAAAACATCAAAATTAAAACAAAAGAACATAAATGGAAAGCTGATATGTTGGTTACTTTAAAGTTCTGACATTAAATCCTTTAGCCCAAGAGATACTTTTTTGTGCAATAAAAGGTTAAGATACAATTTCAACTTCACTTTTAAAAAGAAGCAGCGTCCTACAAAAATTCGATCATAATTTTGAATTCAAGCACTTTCCAGGACGTATTAAATTCAAGTATTTTTGAGGCCTTGAATTTTTCAGTTAAATTCAAGGACATTCAAGTTTTGTACGAACCAAGTTGACCAAGTGATAGCAAGCTAAAATAGCTGGACTAAGGATGGTCGAGTTTAAGAAATTTTTGATACAACTCAGTTTGAATCAATTCATTTTTTAATTTTTTTCTTGGCGCAAACAAAAGTTTGACATGAAAATGTTTCTTGGCGCAAACAAAAGTTTGCTATAAATGGTAGCTATACTTATGATTATTATAACCAGATTTACGCAGATATACCTTTACAAAAGTTGAAAATTTTTCCTTCTCTTTTTCAACTTTCATTTCCATTGTGTAACTTTTATCATGCAAGCAAAATTTCGCTTATGTTTATAGCATTGCTTAGAGGTACAGTTTCCAAAATGGCAATCGTAGGGTTTAGTATTCCGGTATATGCATCGATAATTATATAAATTCAGCTGTTGGTTTTGTCAAAATTTTCAAACTTCAACAGAAAGACTTAGTCGATATCTTTACACGTAAGCCTCACATCCCCCGCCAAATCAACTCGTTGATCATCGGTGCAGAGAGAACTAGGTGGCTCTGTGCGTTCCTTGAAGCTATCTTCATATGTTGTAAGATGACCCATCTCCTGCAAGCCCCACACTTCCACACGGACACATTCAAATTCACCGTCGCTTCCACTTGACAGTGGCTCGTTCTCAAAAGTGTCACATTTTTGACTTCTTCCGCGTGTAAGATCACTTTCGATGCTCAATCCCCAACCATTTCTGAAATCAACATGCTCTTAAAATCACGCCAAAACTAATCAAGGCTGGAATGGTCGGGGTTGCGTAATATATTTAACAGTAGAACCCTGATAACTTGAACACTTAGGGGGAAAGAAAACTTTTTATCATGCGGTGTTTAGAGTTAGGGTTAGCGAGAATGATGTTACTTCGTATATTTCGGTCAATACTTCAGCTATAGTAGTTTTACTGTTCTTTACAATAGTGAGCTGCAATTAGCACTGAGATGATTCAAATAGAAAGTGCATCATATATATAGTTACGACCTGCATATGCTAGATTGGTAACATTGGTTATATCAAGGTTGTAACCCTGCTCAGGAAAAGTGCTCATTACGAACTTTTAAAACTATGTATAAATGGAATAATTCCTTCTCGTTCAAATCGAATTTAGACTTTCGACTTACAAAATTTAAGCCATCTGGTTTTATTTACCCTTTGGCGTTTCGCGGATTAAAGTTCGAGTTATCCAAGGAAATTTGACCAAGGAAAAATGAAATTTATTCGAGTTAGCGTGGAAGCTAGCACGAGTTAACCATGGAGTTAACCTGAGCAAAGTACTATGAAATGTGCAATCATATCCTGATAAAGTCAACGGGCAGCTCGACTTATGTATATCTTACCCTCCACCGACGACAATTCTTTGAGAATCAGCTAGCATGAAAAAGGCTGGTGTGTTTACAGCTTTCTTCCTGAGACCGCACCACGTATATCTTATGAAATGCGGGTAGAAACGAAACAAAAATGTTTCGCCATTTCCAAAGAAACTGTTGCTGTGATTAAATCGTTCGTTCCACGGCGTTGATAGAAATGCCCCAAAAATCTGAAAAAGATTTTTGATCTTAGCGGGCCAGTAAAACGAAATTTTGACAGTGGACTTTCTAAATTTTTTGTCTGTTTTTATTATTGAGATTTCGAAGTTTTTGTAATCTCCGATCTAGCAACTGCTATCACATTACATAGTGAATCGCTGCAAATTTATGAAAATCCTTCAGTTTCTTGTCAACTGTTGGACGAAATACTAAAACAGAATTTTTATACCATAATATCAGCAAATATTTCTGATTAATCCATTTGTCAATGGTTATCTAAATCGGATATTAGCATAGAAAAAATGGAAAGACATGTGACCAGTGTGACCATGTATGAATAATTTATTATGAAAAATTCGTTGATCTGAGCTGATTGCTTCCTCCTGTTTTAGATGTTGCAATTATGTAAATCAGGTGGGATTGTCTAAGCTCAACAGAGCAGATCTGGTAATAAAAATTACCCAATCTGGCCACATTGGATGTGACTAAACTTTAGAAAATCCACTGTCATATTAATAGTTCTTTTCATTGAGAAAACACAATTTAAATGGGCAAAATTTTTTTTCATTGCCCCTTTTTTCACCGATTATCTTCATCAAACTAACGGCTAGAGCTTCGCTCGAGCTGCGCACCAACCTCTTGTTTGGACGTTTTGACGATAAGAACAGTGCATGGAGTTGCTTCTGATTTTCGATAAAAGGATGTCAAACTAAAAACGAATCAATTGCAGTGACCACCGATCAATGAAAACAAAGCGAAAGCGAATCAATTGCACGGACAACTGCAAATAGGAGAAATGAAAAGGATTGAATAATTTTATCATCATTGATGAATGAACACTTAATTTGATATGGAACGAGTCCGGCCTTAGTAAATTATTAACCCTATTGTTTTTAAGGCTTTAAACTGGGAGTAATGTCTTGGCCCTTATGGCCCACTATGAGTAAGTGCCAGAACATTTTGAAATTATAGTTTCATTTAAAAGAACTCAGTTTAGTCGTTTTCGTTCTTAATGAGCTTTTCGTGTCGCTTTACACAGCCAGTGACGTCACATCGCTGCAAATTTATTAAAATATTCCTTAATTTCTTACCAACTTTCGGATGAAATACATAGGCAGAATTTCATACCGTTAGCACTTCACAACGACAGGAACTATATCCTGTTAATCTAACATATTATCCTTAATAATTCCAATTCTCATACCAATGACGTCACTCTGTTAAAATCGAACATCACGAAACTTTAATATCTTGAGAAGTAAAAAAGATATGACTCAACTATTTTAGAATGTCCGTTATCATTCCAAAAGTTCTCTTCAATGAAAATATGTTTTAAACAGAAAAATTTTCTTTTTACAGACCCTTTAAAATTTTTGCGGACTTCGAGAATATAATTGAAAATTTCCGCAAGACATTTTTCTGGACAAACGTAAATTTTCAGCTTTTGATAATTCATTTATGGTGTTACCATTTGCTTTACGTTGAGAAGCGCGCTTCGGTTTAGTTATAAAGCAGATAATTCAGGAAATCTAAATCATGGATTTCTCTTAAATATGGTTATGGAAAGTCTTGGATTTAGGCCCTCACTAACTTTTGTTTTAAATGCATTCGGCACATGTAAAATGCGACGTTTGAAACAGGCCTTAATGTGAGAACTGTGTATGAACCAACGAACCCTGTGGGTCAGTTGTTTGGAAAAATATACCTGGTTCCGTCGACCTCCGTAGAAAATACACACGTTAGTTTGCAGAGCTGTCGTACTCTTCTAGGACATGCGGCAAACAGATCCTGCACCTGATATTGAAAGTATTGAACTATTGACGAGTAGACAGACTCAGAAGATGAAAAATTTCCTTTGATGTATCTGGTATAATATGGTATGATAAACAATGAAGAAGGGTAATAATGGAATTTTGCATGAAATTCTTCACCTGATCTGAGGAGAGTAAATCAGAACCTTTCACGACACCACGAAATAGCGTTTCAGTTTCTATCTCGGGAAGCTTGATCAATCCAGATTTTTCGTAAATGATATTTTTCTGTCTCAATTCTGCAAGTATTTTTCTTGACACCCCAGGGATTTTTAGAGCTCTCTATAATAAACGCCAGGAGCAGATGCGTGTTGAAGAAAGTACAGTATATTCTCACAGCCTCATTTTCAGCATTCCATAATCGTCCCTCAAAAGGTTGAAAAAACAAACGCTCGCCCTCTATATATCCCCCACTCTCAGTAAACTAAAAAATTGACGGGAACTCAATCTCATAACATGAAATCATAAGAAACTTACGAATGCTCATCGAACGTCATTCGTTGTTATAAGCATTCATTCGTTTGAAATTTGCTACTTTAAAAATTTAAGTAGTCACTTCGAGTCAAAATTTCAACCAAAATCATAGTTATGTGTTTTCGCTCTTCTTTTTTTCAAAATTCTTTTTGCACTTACTGGATTGGGTATTTTAACTAATGAAATTCAGTATTGAAGCATGGTTGTATAAATTAGTACGCGCTAGCACTTTTGTATGAAAATATATTTACCCCCCTCTTCTAATAATCCCCCATTCAAAAGGTTGCAAAGAAATAAGCCCCTTCTCCCTTACCAGGCTAATTACGGGAAATACGGTAAGGTATTTTGGGAAATCATGTCCATATGTTTTAGAATAAAACCATCGACTTAAACATAGACAAACATACATTGATAAGATCCGACGATTTCCCGAACCTTGTCGATACAACTTCACTAAATAATGTTTCCATTTCTTCATCCTCGAGTTTTCCTGGAAAAAAAGAAACGGCTTGATTCAAGGAAATTTCGAATAGCATTACTAGTTAAAAGTGCTCTCCATTCAAAGAAAATTGACCATTCATTTTGTCGGCAACTCAAAACACAAATCATAAAACTTGGCATCAGAAGAGCATCCCTAATATAGCTAATCGGTTGTCTTTATAAAACATGTTTGCTTGAAGTGGACTCTGCAACATAGAAAAAGGAATATACAGAAGGTCCACTTCATGTGAAACTTGGTGCTATATGTTTAATTAAATTACTGGCTGCAGTTAGCTATAAATTTCGTGATTCCTACAGATGACTTGCCTTAATTGTTTTCGTTTGTCTGGCAGGTAATCTTAAGAGAGGTTAACTATTGTTGCTAGTGTTGTCTAAAAACACTCGACCAAATCTGCCTGCCAGCAAAACGTAAACAAGGGATGTCATCTATAGGTCAAAAAAGACAATTCACTGGTTACCATGATAGTCATCACTCGCGTAAGAAAATATGCCCTGCACGAAAAATTTCAAAGGAGTGGCCCCTCTGAATATTTCTTATTCCACCCACCGGGTGTTCCCCAAAAAGACGCAACACAAGACCGAGAGCGACGCAATGGCATTCACATCAGCCACTGATCGGTATGAAGCGCGTTTCACTTAAGAATCAAGGTTTTCAGATGGAAATCCACTTAAACCAGGAGAAGCATTATAAAAGTATTTCAGATGACATCAAACTCTATAAAATATTCACCTCGTTTTTTGCACTCGTTATAGACTTGCTCAAACGTAACCAGGCCGACTCGATAAAATATTTTCTCACCATCAAGTAGGTAGTTGTCAAGAATGTGGACCTGTGTTGCAAGAATGCCAAATTTAGCAATTACGTCAACACATAAATAATAACTACGAGAGAGCATATCAAACCAACAACTTTTTTTCCTTTAAAAGAAATGTATCATATTGCCTTGGTAATGACTTAAAAATAAAGTCGTCTTGTCTCTTGCTAATACAACTCGACTCTTGAGTTAACAAGATGATGTTTTTTGGAGTGTGGTTTATCTTATATTCCTTCAAATTGTCGGCTGGAAAATATTTTTCTTATTACAAAGACAGGGTGCTGTCTATTTAGAACAAAATATTCCGAATTTTAATCACACGCCTCCCTTGTAAACACAAATGTACAATTTGACTACCTTTCTCCCGTTCACAAATGTACATTGGATAAAAATACTTTGACAAATTAAAATTTCTGCTTCCCTACTACAAATTAGTATAACGTAAACCTTCGCCCATTATCCCTGGGCTAAAGAAGCCGTAACTCCTTAGTGTGCGCGAATATACGCACGGATTATACACCTTACCCGTCTAATTCTTTGCTCACCGTAAATGATTCAATAAACGCCCTCCTTATCAAATGAACGCGTCTTGTCAAATATACACCCTTTCCTGAAACTTTGAAGCGTGAGTTTGTATGTAACGTCTCATAAATGTCCTATAAACGCCTCCCATGAGTGCGATAATATTATTATCACAGTGGGTCATCGATTGGGCTCAGAACCGTACATTTAGTCTTAGTTTTGTTCTCATTTGCTTGCGCTATGGTGAAATTAGACAGTATTAAACGCTTCCTAGATTTTGTTAACGCCCAGGGCGTTTAGGTCATGTACGCTAAGTACAAATGGGATGACCAAGTGCCAATAAATTGTTGGGGAAAAATTGAAGAAAAACACGTCAACATATAAAACGCATTTTACTCGATTTAAAGTCATCAATAATGCAAAACAAGAATTGCAAACATGTCGACTAGACCATAGTATTCTGTATACAAACCAATGTCCAGAAGTCAAGGTATTTGAAGATCCATTGAAGCCAATGCACGAAGAATATTTCTCTTTTCGTTTTAATGTCATGGTTTTCTTTTAACATCAATTTAAACCATGCATACACAGGTTTCTAGGTGCAAAAAAGAGGCCAGTAGTAATTAAAAAGGATAGAACAGAGCATTCACACTGACCATGGTGGCATTGTCATTGTGAGCATTTTATTATCATATGGGTATGAATTACTGAACCAAACAAAAGTCAGTTACAACAAAATCCATCACAAAGTGCTTCGGACCTACTTCCAGTGATGCGAGGACTGAGGACACGGGAAGATGCTGGCTGATTCAAAGCTTCCCCATCACTTTCCCAAATGAAAAATTCTACTTTGATCTTGCAACAATAATTTAGAACTCCCAACCATTTAATATAAGTTTGCATGCATGCAGTTGCAAATTAAAACATACAATGACATTTTTCTTTTTACAGACATTTAAGACATCTAAATTCATTTGACAAACTAAGGTAATGGATGCCACAATGGTTGGAAGGAGAGGACTAATCTACTAGCTAATAATAGGGAAAGTTACTATCAGTGTCTTAAGTGCTTGTACCTTCCATGTCTTCAGAGCATCTTGAAATGTTTTAGCTGTCAAGCAGTAAGCTGTAGCTGATTTGTCCAATCCATGTTTCTTTGAAGAAAATATGTAGTCCATACATGCAAAACAATCTTCTTTGCCCATAAAGTGCATGAAAATGCAAACAAGATGCTGAAGAATTGGGCAAAACATTACATCACAATTCAATTTAGAAAGCACAGCAAGAACCTCCTGACAATTTTTCCAGCCATCTTCAGTTAGGAAATGTTTGCGAATGAAACCTGCATTGAAATACTGACCACTTCCCGTGAATAAGGCATATTCTAAATAAAATTCACTTTGTTTGAAACTTAATCTGTGGAGGACAGATTACTCTCAATGAGTTTCATAATGTGTTGAAAAGTTGCAGATTATATCAGGAGATACGGGGACACTGTAAAACATTGTGATGCAATTATTCCAAGTATGATTGTACCAAATGCCACTTTGCCAAATTTATTCAACACATTATCCTTCAAAATTGGGTTTTAAATATCACCAAAGTAAATGCACAAATAATTCCAAAAATATGTTGAGCCATGAGCAAGATGAGCAATTAACCTGTTAGCATTTGTGTTGCTTATGGTCAGTTGTCGACACAAATCTCCCCCCTATTAACATTCACTATATATGCATATGGGGATGTGGAACATCAAGTTCATGTTGGGGGGTGGGGGACCTGGAACATATGGATATCTAGATGAGGTACTTACCAAAATCCTGTTGAATGTCATTGAAAAGACCTGGTGTACTTTCTACCACTTTTTTAGAATTACACAGTGTCCTCCATGTGTTCGGACGTAATACAGCCGGTAAACCTTTCCTAATATATTCGCGCAGTTTAGCGTAACTCGAAGATTTCGACGATTTGTCAAACGATTCTCCGCATTTTAAAATTTCTTCCACGATCGGGACCATCGATGAAATGTCATTTTCTTTGTCGCACGCAAGGTGATCTTCCGTAATGGAACTATCAACCCATGCGACATGAGTAAAGCCGGCCATTCTTTGGCCGAACTTATTTCAAATTTTCACTTAAAAACTGACAGTCAGGTGACTCGTTAGGACATGATGTGACTCATTAGGAATAACATTTCCACCGAAATCAATTTACCACAGTATTTTGTACAAATTCAAATGATTCACCCATACAGTCATGAAAATGTCTTGTTTACAATTTACATGATGTGAAATGGAATATGTGCCGGAAAAAGAATGTCGAAAGTCGATTATTGCGATATATTCAAGAAATAATTACAGTATACATGTCTTGTGGTGTGTGCAATGCCTCAGGGGCATGGTTCGGTTTGCCCTTTGAAAAAATCACTTGGTAACTTATTAAAATGGATCCTTCTGGCTTCTCTTTCAAATAATGCATTTGGACGAGAGTTGCAAAGTGGTCATGCCTCGCCTCCACTTTTTTCACCTCCACTTTTCCACTTTTTGCAATCGGGTGGGGCAACTGGTTACAAACTCTAATACCTGATTTATTCTCTCATCATCAATCAAATTTTCGATCTCGAAACTTTTGTGAAAGATTCACGCATAAAAGGATATGCACTTTGAATTACCATTACCTCATTCCACGGATCCATGCAGACGACGGAAAAAAGGCAAGGAAAGGGTGGAATCACTTCGTGGTTCAGTTACTATCAAATAAAACTGAAAGTGTCAAAATGTACATTGGGTACAAAAGTTGAGCAAAATGCGAAACAGATCAGTTTGGAAGATCTCTCTATATACATCTTCCCTAGCTTATACTACAAACAATCACAACTTTTTGCCCAACCAGTGGCCCAACAGCATCGTCAACGGATGGCACAAAGCCAGAAATACTTTGAAAATTGAAATGCACAAGAAACAATTCAAACGTTTCAAGAACCAATCAAAATTCACCGCGCGTCAACGTACTGCACAGCCGGTCCATTCCCCCCACAAATACTCGTGACCGCTTTCACATCAGTCTTTGTAAACGAGAGCACCTTGTTGTTCATGCTCTTTCTGGATTATTGGATAAATTATTATGAAATTTGCACATTTTGTCATGTATCTTTGTTTGTTTCTTCTGTGCACTGTATGGTCCGACCAATATGTCCTGGCTGACGACAGCGATTCTGGGGAAGATGTTGCAGTAAGTTTTTGGCCTTCAACGTACTGTCTATATCAATGCTATATAGCCGTTTGGACTTTCATTTGAATAATTTTTGTACAGTAAGTTGCACCATAAATGTGAGCAGTTAAGTCGACCGATTTTAGTTTTATTTATAAGGACGTGTTCAAAATGTTGAAGTTTTAAGATCAGTTTGTTGGTCGAAGCCCATCTACTTACAAGTTTGAATTTGTGGTCATTGAGAAACAGACGGTTTCTGGTTCGAGCCTAATATTTCTCCTTCATTTATAATTTTGTCTATTTCTTTTACCATTGTCCGCCACATTTGACATTTGAACCTATGCAAACTTGAAAATACGTGAATGTACGCGCTTTGTGTCATACTTACTTTGAATTGTATATACGTTTGTATGGAACAGGTGTTCATCAACGTAACCATATGGAAAAATAAATTTGTACATTGTAGTTATAGCAAGTATTGAAAGCATCATACATTGCACATGAAATGGTACTATGAGTTGCATTTGCATTGGGCACACAATGACAACTATCCAACGTTTTATACTTTCATGGTGGCAACTATATCTCTGCCTTAGCATATTCATGAGAATGGTTCTTTCTTAATGGACTCCAAGGAGTCCAAGCTTTCTGTGGTTGTTTATTTCAAAAACTAATTGAATTTTTAACTTGAATGCTCTCGGACTTGAATGTTTGAATTTCAAGGAACAGGAAATATTCAATTCTAACAATAATAAAAAACATCTCGACTTAATGTTGATGTGAGTAAGAGCTTTCAAATAAAAAAAAATGGTCCCTCATTATTTTTCTTGAAAAAAGTTCATTCTATGCTGGTCATGCCACATTTACCAACTATGTTTTCCTGAATATAGGTACAATACAAACTACCTGAAGTGGCTAGTGCTTATTTATTTGATCCGTTTGAATCAGAAGAAGAGTTCAAAAAGAGGTAGTGTATTGCTCTACGACACTATCTGTCTTGCTAATAACAAGTTTATTCACATAAAGATCTCCTTTGTTAAACATTTGTATGTTGTGTACTATTTCCAGCTTGACTGCAGTAGTGTTGTGTATTATTATCAGAGCATGTCTAGAAGTTTTAATAAATATCCTGGGCTTTGTACTATGCAGAGATCGGTTGCATGAAGTCTGGATAGTGTTATCCATTGGATAGGAATGGGAATTATCCCAGAGCAAAAATGTCTAGAAGTTTTAATAAATATCCAAGTTTGAGAATTTTACTATCCAATGGATGAGGTTGCATGAAGTCTGGATAGTGTTATCCATTGGATAGCAAATTTTTTTGAATGTTAAAACGTTCTTGCAACATCCATTACTTTCAATGGCAATTACTTTCTTGCCTAACTCCATTGCTCTCACTTCTAACATGCCCGATTATATTGCTCTCATAATTGACATGTCTCACTGCATTGCTTTCCATAATGTCTTGCTGTGCTTTATGTGAGAGTGTTTGTTATTTTCACCTGGATTGATACCTTGGAGAAACAAACTGATAAAAGAAAAACTGCTATCCAACCTTTCAACAACCATTTTTTCTCACCCAGCTATTGTATGATGTTGATTTTCATTTCAACCTAGCCAATAAAAGAATTATATTTACCAAGCCGGGGTAATAGTTAACTAAGCCATTTCTCTTTGGTGTCAACATAAAAATAATGAACACTCACTTTCACTTTATGTTGACTTGTGGTATTAATTATTTTGATGATAGAATTGCCATACATGCTTTTGTTAATTGCAAAAGGGAAACCTGCAGTGTTTAACTCGAATGTCATTTATGTGTAGATGGATTGTATCCGAGGCAAAGAAAGATGGAGTTGATAGCGAGATATCAAAATATGACGGTACGTACATATAAATATTAAATGTTCAACATGAAATTCTTAAGTGTTATATATACGTGCTCTTCATCGAGATTTTATATCATGAGGGGAAAATAAGCTGCGTTTTCCATCAATTTTATCAGGAATATGGGCAGTTGAAGAATCCTCAGAGAAACTTCTTCCTGGTGATCTTGGACTTGTATTGAAGGTATAATTTGCGAGTTTCATTGCTTCCTTGCTAACGCTTTTCTTTCTATAAGAGAAAATGTTTATGCCAGTACGATTTCCTTACTATGTGGGGCATATGAATGATACGATTAAACGATTGCGACGATTTTCCTGATGAATAGCATGTTCTTTTGCATTAATTAGTTTTTTCTTCGTTTTTTAGTCTAAGGCCAAACATCATGCAATTGCGCTTCAACTTAACGAGGATTTTGAGTTCGACGAATCGCCTTTAATAGTACAGTAAGTTGCTTCTTTCCTGCTTGTCATTGGCAGGAATTGAAAACTATGCTCCTATTTGCTGCTTCAGAATAATGTACTGCATCTCGCGTCATCTATGAGATTTAGTAATGACCGACATACCACCCGATACAATATAATCTCAAAGGTCGAATCTGAGCAATATTGAACTGTAAATGGTATAATAACGTACATCACCTATGGAAATACTTACATAAATATTAGGAAGTAATGCGCGTGAATACGAGAATAGTATGTTACGTGTGTTGAAGGTATGAAGTGCAATTTCAAGTTCCTCTGGAATGTGGTGGAGCTTACCTCAAGTTGATCAGCAAGGCAGACAATCTCGAGTTGGTAAGCTGATGCAGTACGTAGCTATCTTATGATAAATTGCAATCATCAGTAGCAGACAGTAGCGGGAAAAATTTCTTCCACAATTATTTCAAAGCAAATATTTTTAACAAAAGTATACACACCCAATGACTTCTTTAGTTAACGTATGTTGGACCCGTAATACTTGTTTCGTCGCCGCCGCTCCCCCCAGTTAATATATCGTCAAGTATATGCCACTGCCAATGTCCACCAAGTATATTTGTCTGCTCTACAACTACCATATTTCCTCCCCCCCCCAATTCTAATAATCTACTTGAAACGTAGCAAAAAAATAACCCATCGCCCTTTATTCATCCCCCACTCTAATACGTATACTAAAAAGTCCTTTGGAAGTTAATCTCGCGATGAAATCATTACTAAGTACGGTTAGTGATTAAGCTTGATTCATTGTTATAAGCGTTTATTTGTTTGAAAGTTACGCTTTTCTCTTTTTCAAATGCACCTACGTACTGTCACTTGATTAAGTGTTTTAAAATATAGATTTTGGTTATCGAATCACGTGTCTGTGCATGACTATGCGCTAGCAAATTTGAGTGAAGATTTATTTAGCCTACAGCCTCTTTTCAGCTCCCATTTTTATAATCCCCATCAAGGTAGGGCTACACAGCGTAAGTAGTTCATGAGTACGAATGTTTTAATTACGCAGAAAGAAAGGCAAAATCGTCTCGCATTCTGTTGTTTTTATGCCAAAATGTTTTCGCGAGTGTTTCGCTTTCTTTTCCAGAGCCAATTTCAGGACAAAACACCTTACACCATCATGTTTGGTCCCGATAAATGTGGCTTGGAAAAAAAGGTAGATTCGAAGAATTAATTAAAAAAAATCCCATCTCATCTTTTTCCTGTCGTTTTTCGCCATTATTGTGTTCCTCATATATTGAGTCGCAAAGTATTCTGTATCAAATTCTACATTTCATTTTGTGCAGCTCCATTTCATTTTTCGACACAAGAACCCAAACACTGGTGCATTCGAAGAGAAGCATGCAAAGATTCCTAGTGACAAGTTTGATAGCATATTCGACGATAAGAAATCGCATTTGCTTCGCTTGGTCGTGCAGTCCGATAACAGCTTTGAAATATTCCTGGATAGCAGCAGTATTTTCTCCGGGAGTCTACTAAAGGATGTCGAACCTCCGGTCAATCCGCCAGCCGAGATCGACGATCCTAATGATTCAAAGCCGGAGAATTGGGACGAGCGCGAGAAAATTCCAGATCCGGATGCGGAGAAACCCGATGACTGGGATGAGGAGGCTCCCGCCACAATTCCTGATCCTGATGCAAAGGTGTGTTTGATGATTATCTTTGTACACGCATTTGTATATGTATGTAACATGTCGAATTTACTGGAAGAAGATGTGATCAACTTTGTTGAATTATGTTAATATTTGCGTATTCTTGTGAAGTCTGTATATTTTACTACTAAAGTTTTTGCCTTCTCTAAACATAAAGAAGTTTAGAAGATTTTGTTCTTTTGCTGAAACGGTTTTTCTGTCTTGAATATCTATCGTGAAAAAATGCATATCAAACAAGATTGATTAGTTTCGAACTTGGTAAGTTATGACGGTCTCCAACGTGTCTCGCCCGAATGTTTTAAATACATCGCTACATAACTTGTTAAATGCATATATGTTAAATGCTACACGTCAATTTCTTGAATTCATCGCTTCTATCATCGCATCCAATCTCTATATTTGAGTTTTTCTTATAGAAACCCGAGGGATGGTTGGACGACGAACCGCAATATATTCCCGATCCTAAAGCTGTCAAACCCGATGACTGGGATAATGAGGAAGATGGGGAGTGGGAACCTCCTCAAATTGGTGATTATGACATCTTTTTATGTTCACAATCATGCATGCTATTACTTTGTCCTGTAATGCTCTTTGGCTGGAGAGTATCACAAAAAATTATGCTGCAGGAAGTTGTATCTACTTGATACTTTCTTGCTGAAGCATGGAACAAACTTTGTTTTAGTTTTGCTCTGTCTTATTTTGATTCGTTTGCAAAACTATACGTCATGATTGAAAGGGGATCACTTAACGATTTAGTTTTGCAAACTCCCGATGGATTGTTACCTTTTAAATGTAATAAATTTTCTCGTGCAATATGAAACCCTGAGGGTACTGGTTGTTTGGTATATCAACGCTGTTTATTATTTTGAACATCATTTTCTTTTCAGCGAATCCGAAATGCGAGAAAGTTGGCTGTGGAGAATGGGAGCGACCAACTATTGACAACCCTGACTTTAAGGGCAAGTGGAGTGCTCCGTTGATAACAAACCCTAGTTACCAGGTACGTCGAAGGAAATGAATGTGAAACACACGTAATATATGTGTGTCAGCCTTTATTCTCTAGTTAACCAATCATTCGTTAAATTTAGAAATCTTCCATTTGAGATGTGCTGTACTACAGTATGCGAATTTCGTTTGTAGGGTATATGGAAGCCTAGGAGAATACCAAATCCAGATTTCTTTGAAGACAAAGAACCTTTCCGTATGACACCCATTGTAAGTACATTATATCTTATTTTTGGGCAATTAGGGTTTAGTTTATAATCTCAGTTTTTTTAAGTGGTGGTTGATTTTTTCCTTTCTACGTTCGTAAGTAGAACTATATTTCGCAACGTCAAATAAACACAGTGTTTAATGAACTTGCTGTTTTAGAATCTATAATCAACAGCTTATATTAATGTCGTTTCCAGTGACAAAAATAACTTTTCCCCTCTATATATGAAAGTGAAAAATGCATATTTTTTATGCTTCATTTTATATTTTATTTCCATATCAGGCTGCTGTTGGTTTTGAGCTGTGGTCAATGACCGAAAACATTCTTTTCGATAACTTGTTGATCACGGACGATCTTACGGTTGCCGATAAACTAGCAGAGGACAGGTGTGGTTAATGTTGCGAATAGATCCCACAATAACAGTACATATTTGTACTCGTTTGTAAGAACTTCATGTTAGAGCTTAACGAAAAACGTTTTTCAAATATTTTTTTGAATAGCTGGGCTCTTAAAGCTACTAAAGATGGCATAATGTCTGGCGAGGTAAGCTTTTTCAACTGTGTATGATGCAAGCCAAGAATGGGGTTTTATGTATGTGCCAAAAATATCCCTGGCGCTGAAGATAATCTAATTAAAACCTATAAATGGGAAAAGGACATACTTTAGTCGCGCACTTAATCGGAACAGTATAAATATATTCTTGTTGGATCTCTTAATTTCGATTTGCTTTTAATAATTACCTTGAATGTTCGATTGAATGTACGATTATTAAAATACAACTAAAATATTCGGCAAATATTTCAAAATTCACTTTTAATCTTCGTGCTGCACGACTTGACGTCTCTTTCTAACAATCAATCTTAGTTTTAACCTATATCAAGCTATTTTTCAAAAAAGAACGAACTTCGGCACTTACTGATAAATCCTCGATAAGTTGAAATCCGTAGTAAGACTTTAAGATGGCGCAAGAAGAATATATTTTTAAACGTTAAAAATTGAACATAACTTATTTATTCAACTGTCTGTAATCTTTATGTCATTTCATTCCTACGGTAACGATCTGTGTATGTGTTTTTAAAGGGCAGCGTTGTGAGTAATCTTATGGAAGCCACGAAGGAGAGGCCATGGCTGTGGTTGCTGTACGCTGTCGTAGTCATAGTCCCTTTCATCTTGATAGCTGCATGCTGTTTCCCGAGTTCAAAGGTATACGTACAACCAAACATATTCAGGGACTTGGGTTTGATCGTGAGACAGGCAACGTGATCTTGGCCCTGATAAACGTTTCGTTATTTGCTGCATGAAAAGCAGTATTATGAATTTGATATCTTTGTGCGAGTAGTTCTTTTTCGTGGGCTTACTCGCAAGTCATAACAGTAACTACTGATAACATTAAAAGTTGTTTTACCTTAAGGTTTAACACTTTGGCTTTTGTGTAAGTGAAGAATACATGGAATTGTTTTTTAGTAGATTTTTGATCTTCGATTGATTTGTTGGCAATTCCAACGATTGATTGTGAAATTTCAACCTGATGTCACTACTAGATAGCACTGAAATTCACGTTGTTGTTTTTTTCTTTCTTTACATGAATTTGTTTCTCTCCGCCACGCAAATTTATTTTAAAATGCTCCTTGTTTGTTCATGGCATATATTTACAGGTGGACGAGGCTGCATTGAAGAAAAAAACCGATGAACCTACGGAGGATGTAAAAGATGACGATGAAAATGGCAGTCAAGAAAAGAAGGAAGAAACTGAAGTTGATGACGAGGAAAATAAAAAGGAAGAAAGCAACGAACAGGTATCAATCTTAAAATATCGTTCAATTACATGTGTTGTTGCTGGGTTTTTTTTCGTATGAATTTCACAATTACACGACGAGTCTCCGGTTTCCACAACCCTGTGGGATTAGAGCATCGTACGTTTCTCGTCATTGAAGGCTTTTTTACAAGACTTTTCAGAAGATTCGACGCACTGCGACTTAACATTATTTTATCGTTTTTGCTTACAGAATGATGAAGACGATTCGAAAGAGAAAGAAGTATCCAGGTACAAAATAGCATTTTTATAAAATGCATAAATTCTTATAGAAGAATACTAAACGTCTCTTTCCTCTTTTTTTCAAATGGAGCGTCACTATATGTTAATTGTGACCGTGTTGCAAGGCAACATGCACTGGCATAACCAACCAAGTTTTTGTCTTGCTATGAAGATTTTTGGTTCCGGTTGCACGAAATCTAGATAGCGTAATCCATTAAATAGTAAAATTTTCAAACCTGTTAAAATAGGTGCTGATATATTCTCCTTACGAGAAAGAAATGTTGAAATCCTAGAAGTAATATTTTACTTCAGCTGATTGCTCTCTTAAAATCGTATATTTTTCCTAAGAGATTTTTTAAACATTCAAAAATATGCTATCCAGTGGAAAGCGCTTTTCGGTCATCGTGCAACTGACCCCAGAGTATTATCATTATTCGTCCTCTTTAGAAATCTATTGTTTCCACAGTGAGTAAACAGACTGAAAATTTACGCTTCAGGACTAAGTAGGCTGGGCTGGCTACGCCACACGCTCCATAAAATCAATACGTCAGCAGCCTTTAGGCTTTGTCAGCTCATTACCAACTGTTACCAATATGCAATTTGTTTCTTTGTCCTGTAGCGAAGAGACGGCTGAAAGTTAAGTGTCAAAAGATCGAAGTTCGGCAAGACTGCGAACAATTCGTGCCCAAATGCAGCACGGGTGTTTCTACGATGTATTTCGTCGTAATCTGTGAACGTACTGTTTTGAAGCGCTTGATTGTTTCGGTATAAATCAGTTGAGAGTTTGCAGTATTATGTGTTGGTTTTTTTTTCTTTATTGCGCATTTGGTTGTCGCCTTTTTAAGACATCAATCTTTAATTTTATTATTTGCTGAGTTGCTCGTCGAAATTGTTTGATGTATTTTTTCTATCAAGAACAAACCGTCCCCTTCAGGTTTTAGATGGCATTTTTATTTATTTATTTGCGATTACAATGAATCAATTAAACGTTACCAACTGTCAATGTTTCATCTTATTGTGCAAATGATTTAATTTGTCGGAGTTGAAACTGCTCATGCGTGAGAAGATTTCTTACCTAAAAATACGGCATCCGCTGACAGCAATCGAGCATTCCACCGCTGACTTAGCATACGGACTGCTCAAGAATATTGATAACACTGGTCAACAAAAAGAAACTTTTTAAAAGGTGTCTCATATTTTTTGACTGATTTACTATATTTTTAAATGAAAATATGATCTTCGCACTTTGCTGGACAATCTAAGCAATTGTCTCATGAACCTGAAAAATTCAGGTGACTCATCCCATTGAGTCACCTGAATTTTTCAGGTTCATGAGACAATTGCTTAAATTGTCCAGCAAAGTGCGAAGATCATATCTTCATTTAATATGAAACACCGCACTGCATATAACAATCTTTCATATTACTATATTTTTGCTATGCTAAATCTAGAAATACCATTCATTTTGCTCTCGAAGGTCAAATTTTTTTGCAAATTTGAATTTAAAATTATGCGACTTTAGTTATATTTTTTTAAAACAATGTTTTCAAGATTTACTAATGATGTTTCAAAACAAAATGTCAGTTTTTATGATAAAATTGCAGTATTCTAACAAAGAATCATGTACAGTACATGTAACTAAAAATGAAAACTTATTGTTTGCATTATTACGGTCTAAATTTTCGTTTTTTTGATTGTCGCGAATGTTTTGGTGCTTGCACAGCTCTTTTTAAATTCCAATAGTAGTCCGCCATCATCACCATCTCCCACCTTCCCTGGTAGCGTGATTCCATTTCTCTTAAGTCCTGGTGAAAGCGCTCTCCTTGCTCATCGTTTAAAGAGACAAGATTTTCGGGAAAGCGGTCCATGTGCGAGAACAGGTAGTGCATTTTTATGCCCTTGTTGCAGCCAAGGTTCGTAAAGGCCAATAACATGTTTGCTACTAGATCTATATTTCTCTGCTTTTGTGTTGCCTTGGAAATTCATCACGACCTGAACAAAGCAATTCCACGCTTGTTGCTCAACAGGATTCATGGTCTCCTCAAACGCGGGAGAGTTTTTGATCAGCTGCCTAATTTGAGGACCATCAAAAATACCAGCTTTTAATTTTTCAGTTGACAAATTGGGGAAGGTTTTACACAGAAACTGAAAACACCGTCCATCTTTATCCAAAGCTTTTGTGAATTGCTTTATCAAACCGAGCTTTATGTGCAGTGGAGGAAATAAAATACGTCCCCTGTCAACTAGAGGCTTGTTTATCACATTTTTTGCTCTACAAATTGCAAGCTCTTCACGTACTGGCCATTATTTTTTCACGTAATGATGAGTACCATCCCTACTATCCCAGAGGCATAAAAAGCATGGGTATTTGGTAAATCCAGACTGTTGACCAAGCAAGAAGTTGACCATTTTTAAGTTGCAAACGCAAATCAGCCATTTATGTTGGTCATAAGAAATTTTTTCTAGGACGTACTTAATTGCTTCATGCTGTTCTTTTAATGTTGTCGAATGTGCCAATGGCACAGATGCAAATTGATTTCCATTGTGTAACAACACACATTTCAAAGACCTTTTGCTGCTGTCGATAAAAAGTCGCCAGTCCTCTGATTTGTATTCAGGTACGCCGAGATGTTTCAGTAGCTCTACTATGTCATGGCAATAGACTAATTATTTTTCTTGAGCAAAATATCTTAAAAATTCCTGGTGCCTGGTACGGAAGAAACTTACCTTAACTTTGCCATTTAGCATGTTCTTGTCCTTTAAACGAGATGAAAGAAGTTCGGCAGAGTCTTTTGGCAAATTTATATCGCGAACAAGATCGTTTAGTTCGTTTTGGGAAGACAATTTTGGCTGCTCATCATTGTCATCGGGAAAGGATGCATCATCGGTGGTGGCAATGCTTTAAGTTTCATCCTGGCTACTACTGCTTTCTTCAATACTTGTATCTTCAAATACAGGTACGGTAATTTCTTCACTATGAGGAGTAGGGCGCATAGCTGACGGCAGATTGGGATACTCCAGTGTTGTGCGATTTTTTCTGTTAATTCCCATGACATTGATAGCACAAAAGTCGCAATCGGTTGCATGATTTGAAGGCTCTCGCCAAATCATGGGGATGCCAAAGTTCATGGACTTTCGCGTGCCTTTGCTCCATTGACGGAGATGCTCTGTGCATCTTTTGCAAACCATGTGAGGTGTCCAACTTTTGTCTTGCTCGCCGAGCTTCATGCCAAAATATGCATAGTAAACGCGCTTGATAAAGGTGGTGACAGTATTGCGATTTAATGCAAGTGTGTATTCACCACAAACATAGCAAAAAACATATGGCTTATTTACACACATTCTTCGAGTCGCCATTGTATACCTGAAAAAAATAAAAATTAGATTTGTGTACGTTGTCTCCATGAAATTTAAAGTCTGTATCAAAAAAATTCGGCACAATTATATCTATGTCCTGCGAACAGTTTTAATTGCGCAGTAATGAAATAATTTGACTTTGAAAACACAGATAAAAAATTTACAATCTACATTTCATCTGGACAGATGGATACCTAACCAATACGTAAGAGTTACCTTCTGCGACTTCTCGTCTGCTTTTAATAACATGAAATAATTGTCACTTTGTTTTTATTATTTATTACTTACATTAATATGTTGGTGTGTTTTAACAACAAGTTTTACCATTGAATTCCAGTATGGGCCAAATAAAGCCTTATTTTATCTTTAAATATCGCATAATAATCGCAAAACGTAGACTCCCTAATTACAATTCAATCAAAAATTGTTTATTCAAATGCTTTCTTCTTTGTATTGCTAGTGCTAAAAAATTTTAATTCGTTCAAGTAATAGAACTTTAAACGGTAAATGGTTAATACTTCTGTTGTACCTTTCTCGAGTATTTAAAAGTTAAAAAATAGAAAATTAACGATAGCTTAAAATGTCGACCTGACCCAGCAAAAACAGTGTTATTTTTGGATTCAGCACATCAAAATTGTCCAAAATCAGTTTACAAAACTGAGACACCAAATTTGCTGTTGACCAGTGTAACGGTGGCTCAAATTCATATGTCCACGTTATGATAGTTTGAAAACGATTGATTTCAAAAAAACTTAACACTGGATATCATCAATATTGAATATGTGAACACACTCCCCTCCAACCCCCATGCCATGGAGAAAATTGTGCGAATCAAATTTTGAACTAATGGTAGCTATATGGTTTTGTATGAGTATTATCGTTAACATAAAACTCGGCAAGAGCCTTACCCTGGTTTTCCCATGAACCATGATATGAACTGACTCTTTTTAAAGTACTTATGATTGGATTGTGATTGATCAGATAGTATTTTAATTTATACATTAAAGTTATTTTGATAGTAGTTCTAGTCAACGTCTTAGCCCAATTAGATTGATGATAAAAGCTTTGTTATGTATTTGTTTACTTATTCAAAAACAGTTCACTGGTCCGTCTCGGCGTAGGTCATGTTGTAGGGGAAGAAACGTTCTAGGGAGGAGTAGGGGAAAATGAAATTTTAGTAGAGGAAATGTGCTTTCACACAGTGGCAGCACTGGAAAAGAGACATTGAAACCATTGAGTTCTATAATAACTGGAGCGGCTATCTTTACTGGGGCGAGGTCGCCAAAAAAATGGCGGCCAACGGACGTATTTCCGCTGAAATGATCGCTTTGCAGAAAAATAATATTCTCGACCTCCCCCTGGTGTCTATAGTAAATTATAAAGAATTTTTCAAAAACAAACACGATATCACAGAATATGGATATCGTTAGTTCCATATTCTGTGACGATTCTTTTTTGGCATTTCTTTTATAATGCCAACACTTCAATCGTTCAATTGTTGGATGTCGTAGTTTCCACAAAAAGGTACATATCGCTTCTCACAGGTGAGGTAGTTGTTTGTTTTGTTAGTCCGTCAACGATTGAAAAGCAATTATACATGCACTTGAAAAGCCATAAAATACATATTAAAGATCGTATTTTTTAAGACTGACTTGAACGCCAAATATACTGATGTTTTCCTGTTTTTGTTTATAAAATTCTGCATACTTTTCCATTCTGCATCCAATAGCTTTATAATTTCTAGAAAGCTTTTAAGCTTCTAGCATAAAAGTACACTATAGGTATTTAATTCATTTGGTTTTATTGCCTTGTTATGACATACCATATGCATTTCATCATTCATGTTTGAAGAAAACACCAAATGTGGATACTCAGAGAACAAAATGCAATACCAACTGCTTATGAAATTTATTATTAAAGTGAAAACTGTGTTAATCATTCAAATTGTGCACTTATATTGAAAATATAGGAAAAACAAAACAAAGTGAAAAAGAAGGGTAGAAGTATTAAAACTAAAAATGAATTATAAACACCATTGGAAGCATAAGTGTTTTGATGATTATTTGCATTTTGCCCAATTTATATATCAATACAACAAAATCAAAATGTGCTACAACTTTACAAGTATTTGATGCAGTTGCACTTCAGAACATCACAAAAAGGTTACTTAAAGTAATTTCTATACAATATTGTTTGTTTTCATTTACCAAACCTATGCAGACTTGAGTCTTTTTGAAATTTAATATGAAACTCAATTACAGAAAATACGTAAATATCCAGAGATTTAATATTTACTTTTAAAGAAACAAGTAAAAGAAGCAAAATAGCAGTGATAACAAATAAGCTAATCTCTCGTGAACCACTGTGGAGATGAACTATGATACTTTTTGTACAGACTAAAGAGTTTAATCGATCAAACAAGTTTGACGCTGGTAAGAAAACGACGCATATCTGCATTCATAGATGTGTAGCCGACATATAGCTCTTTCGTCGATAGTTATAAATACATCCTCGTAGGAGCCGATAACTGAAAGCTAGGTTGACTCGCTGTTACGAATTGTAGGTTTTATCGTGATTTTCATCAAAATTGCTTGCCAAATCCCAAATACACACATACATTTTCCTCACTTTTTCCTCAGGAGGGAGTGGGAAATTGTGAAATTTTCGGAAAAGCGGTCAATTTCGGTAAATCTCAGCGGCAACGGACGAAATCCGCCATCTTTTTGGCGTCATCAGATATCTAAGGCCGCGCTTGAGATAGCCGCTCCAGTTATTATAGAACTCAATGATTGAAACAATTGACAATATTTTGAACTTTAGTCCGCGGTAATGGACAATGAATTTATGAATCAGCATAACCGACAAACTAGAGATGTTTTGAAAGGCTCGAAAGAGGAACTTGATCATGAAGTATACATAGAAGCTCCTATTGGTATGTAACATAATGTTGTATAGAGCTCTTCAAGGGAATCTGTGTGGCAAATTCCAGCTGCCCAGTGCCGGCCGACTCAGATTTCACTTTATAATGTAGTCGAGACCGGCTTTATAAAATTTGGTATTATCGTGAATGATTTACATGATATCTTTAAACGTAAATTTACGATTGAAGATATCTGCTCAACTTATATCTACCAAGAAAGTTGAAGGCCATAGAAGCTTACGGAAAGCGATTCGCCTAGAAAATCCTCTCTGATTATTGATCGTTGATCTATAACGCAATTGGCCCTCAAACACGCTTCAACAAGATATATTTGTATGGAGTTGTTGTGCAATGTATAACATACACTGTGGATGACATCATGACCGGGCACATTTCCTTCCTGCCATTTTTCTTTCATCCTAATTCTTTTTTAATTTGACCACACTAAAATAATTACATCAAGTGCGAGGAAAGGGGCTACAAAAGACTGTTATAAAAAACATAGATAATGATATTTTCATATCTTCTCGATCATACAGACTTGTAAGAACTTAATGTTTTATTTGTTTTTCTTGACTTGTTACTTTACATCATTGGTGTTCTTGTGAATTGTTTGAACTTGGGAGTATCATGTTTTTCTGTGTAGAGGAAATGTGTGAGTGTGGATGGTGCATTGCGTATTAGTCTCAAGATATTTGCTCAATTGCTTGTTTGTTTGAGGCTGTAAATAAGTCGTTTGTAAGGTTCCGTTAATTGTTGTGATCTGTTATGTGGGTTTTGTAAGTGTTGTCTGTGGTCAGTGATGAAGTAAAGCATTTTGTGGAGTCTCAGTCAATTTTGTGTTTTGTCAGTTGGTGATGCCTGGCAATATAGTTGGTTTTGTCTTCTTTATTTATTGCTTGTTTGTGTTCAGTAAGTCACATGTTTTGTATGGTTTTCAGCCAAGGGTGGATAGCTGTTATAGGAAAAATAATTTAATACAGCCCATCAATTGGTTAATTTTCATACTTGATAACCAATGGCATTGTTTTATGGGTATTTTGAATTTAAAATTAACTGTTATAATTTATTTTTCCAAACATGGATCGCAACTCTACAACAAACTATCATGCTACATATTGGAAACTACATGGTAGTGAAGGATGCTTTTCTATTGCCCAACTTGCATTTTTTGCTGCTTGACATATTAGTACATTTTTGATGACATTTGCAAAGTGTTGAACCATCAAAGCTGTTCATGCTATGTTGATATTTAAGTGTTTGCTCAATGTAGAAACAATAGATTTCTAAATAAATAAATAATGCTAATGTTGAAAAATTTACGTAGCATGAACAAATTAGCAGGCTGGCAACGCCATTGAGTATGAGAGTTCAGTGAAACATGAGTTTTGCGACCACATGCCATTAATGACCACTTTTTCTGGCACTGATAGGATCTACATATGTGGGTTGCTGATATATTTATAAGACACTACTAGTATGCTTTTGATTACATCTTGTAGATAAACTTGGACCAATTGGTCGATGGATTCGACATCGGTTGCTATTTAGTTCCTTATATGGAACACCATTGTTGTGTGCTATTCAGGTATGACTCTTGAAAAAAATACTTTAACTGTGATGATAATGATTAAATACACTACATGCCCAAAGTCAAAGGCCACCTTCACCAATTAGACGAACAACAACAAAGAAATGTTTGTGTTTACACAAGACACGCAATAATAACCACAAATGATGGTAGATGTAACGCAGAGGACAGTTAAATGACTGTACGAAACAAATGTTTAATGAACATAGTTTTAACAGCACTCTACTTTCATCTAATGAAATTGTCTTTTCGTTTTACAAATGAACGCGCAAATTTGCGCTTTCAGTTTGAAGGTTTTTGAAAGAATGTACTATCCTCAACTGCCTAACGTGATTTGTTGGTACTGTGGATATGTCTAGCGATGTGGCATAACGTAGAGTCTTGAAGGTAGCATCCTGAAAGTAACCGCCCCTTTGAAAGTAGCCGCTTTTTTAACACTTACTGAACGATCGCGAATGTAACCGCCCTCTCGAAAGTGACTGCACTCTTTGTACTACTTTAAGAGCTTTACAATATTTATACTTCAAAATTCATGATTCAAATAATGCGTTCATGTTCATTTGTGTAAACTACCAACAACCTTACACAAATTTAAACACGTTGAAAAATACCCGGTTTATAAAGCTTGGATTAAGAGTTAACCATTGAAGTCAACCGGTTTATACAGCTTGGATTAAGAGTTAACCATTGAAGTCGACCGAAGCTGAAAATTACAACTCAAGTGAAACTAAGCGCCCCCCCCCCAAAAAAAAATTAGCAGTCTCTTAAGGCCAGTAATGTCGAAAGTAGCCATGGCAGTTGCTTAACGCCACTTGCTTGGTGCCGCGCTAATGCTTACCCTATTGCGTTTTGCATTAGTCATGTCTGTTTATTAAAAAGCAATACTGAAAGTGGCGTTAAACTTTTGGTCTGTTGTGTGTACATTCAATTTCGCAATTAGCTACGGTGAAGTAGTATCGCTGGAAAACAAACTCTAATTTATAAATTACCATTGAAAGATATAGCATTTAAGAGACCCTTGAATTTAAAGCTTGCAAAGAAGCGCGTGTTTCCAAAATTGTAATATTGACGTTTTGAACATCCTAGAGTCAGTGCGTATGCGGACACTTTTGGTGAGGCATACTTTCGACTGGTGAAGGTGCGCGCCTTCCTGGGGAGCTGCGAAATTTCTATATCTAGAGTCCCTCAATAGCGATTTCTCGTGTTTCCGGGGTTTCATTTTGCCTAATTTGCTGAAAGTTATTTGCTACCAGAACATGATTACAAAGTAAATAATCACGAAAGTCGGTATTTCTCAAGAAAATTTAGTATCTCAAACAGATATAGCATTTAAGAGACCCTTGAATTTAAAGCTTGCGAACAAAATTGTAATATTGACGTTTTGAACATCCTAGAGTCTATGCGGACACTTTGGTGAGGCATACTTTGACTGGTGAAGGTGCGCGCCTTCCTTGCGAAATTTCTATATCTAGAGTCCCTCAATAGCGATTTCTCGTGTTTCCGGGGTTTCATTTTGCCTAATTTGCTGAAAGTTATTTGCTACCAGAACATGATTACAAAGTAAATAATCACGAAAGTCGGTATTTCTGAAGAAAATTTAGTATCTCAAACAGTAAAACAACGAACAGTATCTCTAATACACACGGTATTGTCCTGTAAACACATTCTTGGTGACATGTCCACAAAATGTGTTTTTCAATGTCTGTATCTTTACCATTCTTTCAGATGACGTAAACATAAGACTTTGCAGCCTTTTCCTGGTTCATAAGCAATCGTATTACTTTATGTAGTGAGAATATTTTCATTGACACAAAAAAGCACACTGATACGCAAGTAAATATTCAAGTCAAAGTGCGCTTCGTAGCCACTGTAGACATTATTGTTCTGCTGTTGAAACATGAATTTGCTCATTATAAAAATGGAGGATAGAGAGTAGTGGGCTGGCTATACTACTTCATATACAGCGATGATTATATTTGCAGCGCCACCGAACACCATTATGGACGAGAATAATGAAGTTTACAAGTTTTTTTGGGACAGAAGAATTTTATATTATTCTGATATGTTTTCTCAAATGGTAAGGAGAAATAATTACATACATACTTACATATAAGAGAATAATCTCTTTAAACAAACGTCTTTACACAATCTAACCGTTCCTAACAATATTAAACCGTTGCACTTTGCTGCTCCCTGAAATGCCTTTGTAGCTTTGCATTGTAAAGTGAATTTAAAATTACTTAACAGCTTCTTTAATAGAACTGTGTTAATTTGTTTCTTTATGGAGGTATGTAACTTTTCTTTAAAAGGCAAATGACATCGCTGTGACGTCACATTTCATTTTTAGCATTAGAAAAATACTGTGTTTGTCGACAGTTAGCATTAAAGTATCGAACTTTTGCATCTTTAGAAATATTCATCAACACATGTATTCATTAAACTGCTGTATATGTGCATAAAACGTTATAGTAAAGTGGAAAATTGGTGAGCTTTAAAATGTCATTTGCCTAATGAATAAAGTCAAATATCTCTAGAAGAAAATGTAATTAGTCAATTCTATTGAAGAGTTTATTTAAGTCATTTTACATGTTCTATCCAATACAATGAACACAATTTGTGATTAAATTTCGTGTCACAAACATATTAATTTACATTTGTTACTACATTCTTGTATGTGGCATTTTGTGCAGGATAATCGATGCTCGACTTGGTCGTCTTTTATGTGTTCTGATGGGCATAGGATTCTTCGTTTCAAATTTTCTAAAGGTTTGTGTATAAACTTGCATTTATTCCTCACATTTACCAACGAAAATATGGTTATCATCTTCATCTTGCGATGGCGTAAAATATTTTGTCTTGTCTCATTTTTCATCGCTGTTGAAGTGAGTTTTAAAGAAAGTCTCAAAGTAAGCAGAGTGATTTAATTTTTTGTATGTAATATCACGCAGTTAGTACGTTTTGGGAAATCATCCTTTCTTTGGGTTATTATTAACTTGATTTCTGGCTGTACAAATCTAGTTGCCATTCTATCAATTATCATAAAATGATAAGGGTAAGACATACGAAGTGTTTTCCAGTTATGGTTGTCTAACGATGCGGATCTCATAAGGCTCTATATTTTTCAGTCCGTAAAGAAAACATTTATTTTACCGTAAAATTATTTCTTGACTGCTTCCCGCTTTCGTTTTGTCTGTAACGGGAAATCTTCTACAAATAAGATTATCAATGCTTTGGTGTTTCCTTTTAAGGATTGCCTTTGTCTACCACGTCCTCCGTCGCCACCCGTTGTACCCCTTGAGAAAGCTAGTGAAACATGGTTGGTATATTTTCTAACGTGAAAAGTAACGCTGTTATTTATGTACAGTGCACCTTGTATTTAACTGCTACTCAGAAAACTATTTAACGGCTACTCAGAAAACTATCAAATGCTACTTTTGGATGCTTCTGAATGCTATTCTTAAAACTATTTAACTGCTACCACCAAACTGTTTTATGCTGACTTTTGCTTTGAATGACGTTATTCCGGTTTTATTAATACTAGCACTTCAACGTAGTGTTTTCATGTGACGTCAAGGCGGCCATGTTGGTGTATACGTCATTGTATTTTTACCATTAATACTAGCACTTTAACATAGTGTTTTCATGTGACGTCAAGGCGGCCATGTTGGTAGGTTACGTCATTGTATTTTTACCATTAATACTAGCACTTTAACGTAGTGTTTTCATGTGACGTCCAGGCAGCCATGTTGGTAGGTTACGTCATTGTATTTTTACCATTAATACTAGCACTTTAACGTTGTGTTTTCATGTGACGTCCAGGCGGCCATGTTGGTAGGTTACGTCATTGTATTTTTACCATTAATACTAGCACTTAAACGTAGTGTTTTCATGTGACGTCAAGGCGGCCATGTTTGTAGGTTACGTCGTAGTGCCGATGCTCTCGACAGAGCATGAAATAATTATAAGTTCTTTTCACTATTTGGGATTTTCTGCCAGGATGACGAAAATGATGCACCATATATATGGACCATAAGAAATCAAATGTCAACAAGTTTTGATTTGCTATTAACCTCCAGGGTCGGCCATTGACTGTTAGTGTTAATCATCCGTGTGTATTTTTTTGCTTTTTAGGTACATTTGGTTTTACTGCATGATTCATTTTAACTTTACCTACATCGGACAATCGTTGCTCTTTACAGCCATTACAACATGTATGTACGTTATTAGTAGCCAGCTATATATATCTCATCTTCACAATATGTTTACCGTAAATTGTATAATAAACGCCTGGGGCGTTTATTAGATTATGGTGTTAAATTGATATGAGGCGTGCAATAGAGGCGTTTTGTTTTATTTCTATTACCTTGTAGTGTGGTAGTGTGCACAGTATACAAAAATGCAATAGTCTCACTCCGCTGTGCAACTTGGTGCTCTATATTTACTTAGATTACTGGCTGCGGCTAACCATCTCTGCACTCCTATTGGCCAAAAAAGCAATTGACTGGCTGCCACTATGCTAATCACATGCGTAATAAGATATGCGCTTCACAAAAAATTTCAATAGAGTGGGAGTACTGTTTGTGTCTATACTGTGGTATTGTTTAAAAATGAAAAGAAAATTAAGAATAATTGTACAGTTTCCGAGCCCAATTGACGACCCACTATAATAACGTTATCATAATGGTAATGTGGCGGAGGGCGTCTATTGGAGACTGGGCGTTTGTTAGATCATTTACGGTATATATGTTATTATTTAATCCTGAATGAATTATTTTTTTCTTCTCATGAAATTTCGCATCGTTCACATCGAGCTTGCATGTTTGTGAACATTTTGCCATTTGAGATAGTCTCTTCAGCAAGAAATATCTTTCTTGGCGTCTTGGACTAAAGCAATGGCGAAGCCAGTCTGCGAGATTTTAATTTTTGTGCTATGTAAATATGTCGGTGTCCAACCACATTTAAGACAATACATTTCTAATAAATTAGATAATGCTAATGATCTGAAATTCACTTTTTACTGCCAAGCGTGCGAGCTGGCTGCACCACTGGACTAAATTGAAATGATAACGAGAAAATAAGCCAATTTTTTTCCCATGTAAAACTCTTTTTCGTTGAAGTTGCTGGTTTGTTATGTAGGTTGAATTCTTCGCCGTATTATCTTATATTTATTATCAATAGGGGATCCTGTGGGAATACTAGGGGAACTGAACTGATATTGGCATTTTTACTTACGTATTTCAGGGAGCGTGTCTGTACTTCTGTGTCGTGTTTATCTCGGTGTACACAGTCCTGCTGATGTCGTCTCGGGCAGTATATGTGGCTGCCTTATTTTAGCTTTATATATGAAAGTCGACAACTATCTGGATCACTACATGAGCTTTGGAAGCAATGGTGAGTTACGTGATTTTAATTTTTACACATATTTTAATATTGCTTATTTGCTAACAACGCGACTTTTGTTCTCTGCATGCCATCATAAGGAGGAATCTGTTGTGATAACGGTGCTCTGAAGTCTGAACATACAAAATTTTCCATAGTTAATTTATTGAAGGTTAACAATCCAAGATGTTTATGCAGTGAGACTTAAGCCTCGTTTACACTGTACCAGAATGCTATCGAAGCAGGCTAAATTTTCTCACGAGTGAAATAAGCATCAACGAAAAGACATTTGTTTCTTTTGCACTTAGGCTTGCTTAAACCCATGACATTGGATTTTTTTAATCTTTTGTTGTTCTTCTTTCAGTTTATGCTAATCTCTAATGTCACGTGCTTCGTTGAATGTCTTTGTTTGATCCTTCATCTTTGCTTGTGTTTACCTTTATTTTACTTGTGTGGACCAGGTTTAAGTCTAATCACTATGTTGGGCATATTTCTTGCAAACAAGGGCCCTATCTAGAAGTTGATTTTAGTAACCATTTCAATGGTTGAAAAGTAAGAGATACTGACGTTTTCTCTTCGATTATATTACAGTGATCATGCAATCACTCATTTATACGATTGCATTGTTGTTTTTACATCCTCGTCCCAGGCTTCGAACCGGATCCTTTCAAGAAACTGTAAGTAATTAGCTTTTCATTTTTTGTTTGTTGTGGTGGGATTTTTTAGTTGAAGTTAGACGTAACTGTTGTTAGATTTTAGCGCAATTTGAAAACGAACCATGTCGAAGATTCATCTTGCGTACTCTGGCTCTGCTCATAACTGCGCATTCTTATGATTACTCCCGTGTTTCATTTTTCAAAAATTTTTTTGCAACTACAGAACTGAAAGTTTATATTGATACTTTAAAGAGGCATTAAAATGCTTTGTTTAAGTGTTTAAGCTTTTTTGCATTTATATGTAACACAGCTTCATAATTTATAAAATAAACTGTAGAAAGTTGTAGAGCATTGAACCAAATTAGAATGGATTGTTAAGTTCATCGTGAGATTTAAAACTTATTCTCGGCGATTTGAAATTGAATTCACTTTTATAAGCAATCGCTTGTAAGTTAACTTGGGCAAATAAGAAGTAGCTTTTGTAATGTTTGAACGGGGCTACTTTTTTGTCTATCCTTTGTAATTTATAATGAAGCAATTCTCAGTGGAAAACTAATTTCCGTGTGAAATAATTCTGCCTGCGTCGAATTAATAACTTTTTAAATTTAAAGTGCGGATGGATATTTTGGAAAGAGTGTTTGTCTTCACACAATTGATGGCTATTCTCATTGCGTACAGGTTTGTATGCTGGGAACAGTCGTCGGTTTCATTATAGCGAGGTCCACATGGACAGCAAGAAAACCTCCGTTGACAAAAACCATTATGCGAGAAATGTCAGGTATGGAAATAAGATCCTTGATTTTCAATTGAATTGCGAATGATAAATTGTACATTTTTACTTAGGTTCAACATCATCTTTTGAAGTTGTTGCCTTTTCTATTGCTCGCCTTCTTGTTGGTACGTGAAATATCCATTTGTTTTGAAAATTTATCTTTAAATTTCTACTATACAAATCAAAGCAGTTTGCATACACAACACATGTTCAGGGCGTACCCTGACTTTAAGTTTAAGTGGGGAGTTATCAAGGGGCGTTCGGTTATTAAAAATTAGGCTCGCACCCTCCCTGCCCTCGTGTTTCTTACGACTATGCATAATATATAATGTGATTGTTGCTCTAGGTTTTGCTATCGTGTTGATAACTAGATCCTTGGGAAAGATTATATTTCGTAGTATCGTTTCGAACACGTACTATCTTATTGGCGCTAAAGCCGTGATTCGTGGCAAAGGCCATTACTTCAACACAACGTATAACGAAGCTTTCAAAATCCCGCCTGTTTTTAACACGGTAAGACTGTCGTAGGCCTTTCGTTCATTTTGTCGACAAAATATCGCGTTTACATTTTGAAAAACTTGAATATCTCAAGAAGTAAGCATGCCGACATTGTAATGTTGGAAGTTTACTACAGTTTTAGGAGATGTTTCATTCAAGACAGTAAAAAGTTTCGTGTTAAGTACAAGTCTCCACAAAAGCTGTGGCTGTTACATCTTCATAAATGAGAAAACACACTCCAAATATAATCAACTTGTAAACTCAAGATTCGAGTTATAACAGCAAGAGACAATCATTCATGAGCATGAGTTACGGGCTTTAGTTTTTTCGTAACAGATTAGCACTTACCGGACTGCGTGCAGCACTTCGGCCGAACAACTTAACGATCTTTTTGTCGAAACTCTTTTTTACCCACCCACAATGGAAAGTGGGGTTTTAAATTTGTTGGCCATCAGCGTAACAATTTTTTTTAAAACTGCCCGTTCTTACAATTGTTCAAAACGAGCTTCATAACAACCAGTTCTTCATTTCGCAGGGAGAAAAATCGAAGAAGGTATCAGTGAAATCGAGCAACGACAAATCGGAGGACGCCTGGGAGATAGACTTTGTTGCAAAGTATCTCACTTACATATTTGTTGGCTGCGCCGGCTCTTATCTTGCCCCACACACGTTTTATATTCTGGGTCTTAACGTTACAAACTAACTATGTGTATAAAATTATATGAAAAGATTGTCATCTGAAGATTTATTTGTATAGTACAATGATATAGCGAGTTGTGCATTTAATTGATTTATTAAATCTGTTTGTTCTTTTCATCTCATCTGTATTCTTTCTGAGATCCGTACGCCTAGCAGCTGGGTAAGGCTTTTAGCTGCGGTAAGTTACAGCTGTTGCCATTGACTGCTATCTTCAAACCAACTGTGCGATGGCTGCCATTACGGCCTAAGTCGAAAATAATTGTACTTTTTTTTCACCGTTTCTCTGATTTCATCATCGAATTTGTACCAAAACGAAATAAAACTTCAATTTGCTCCTCGTCCTTTCATAAGAAAATTCTATGGGAGAGAGGGGGGGAGTGTGGAAAAATGAAATTACTTAAATTAGCACGTTTATTCGTGCTAAAAGTAAACTTTCATTACGCCCATTTTACTCTGGGATTCAGAATTTAGGGTCTGTTCATACGAGCACGGTGAACGAGATATTTCGACTGCCTATAATCTTGCTTTGCTGTCAATTTACTATCAATATTTACTTCATGTTCATATGAGAAAGCGGGGTGGCGTTTGCCGAGATCTCGGCTGTGGAAGATGAGATCATACATTTACGTGATCGATGGATAATTTTCCAAATGAATTCGCCCGTCCGCTTCGGAGATGAAATTATGATATTAAAATCATGGCGACCAACGGAGTAGGAGTGTAATGCAAGCCAAAATAAAACAATTGCGCTGGAATACAATGGCATGATTTAAAGTTTGATTCATTATTTGAATATAAAAGTATTCAATACAAAGAATTTCGATCTATGCTGCGCTATATTGATTTGCAACTCGCGGCATTTGGGAAAATGTTGTTCACCTTTTTTTGCCTCGGCATGCAGGATTAAATTTGTCATATGAAAGCGAGGTAATATTTGGCTTGGTCGGTAGGATGTCTCCTTACCAGGCTTGTACGAGCGTACCCAAGCATTCGACAGAAGGTCACAAGGGCGTAAATCCCATAGGATACTAGTAATCGTGCTGTAAACGTCTTAGAACATGGCAAAAGCAACGAGTGTCAATTTTCAATCATTTTTTACTTGTAACAGAATGTATGTAAGAAATGTGAACTTTAGAATTAACCTATTGTGAAATTTCAATTAAGAAATAAAGGTATTTATTGCGTTTGCACAGGCTTATGCAAACCGAGAAGACCTTTCGGAGAACTCAAGAGCAGATCAGTGGAAGCCCGAGACCAAAGGTCGAGGGTTGCACCTGTTCGAGAGTTTTCACAAACGTCTCCAAGGTTTGCATAAAACAGTACAAACACGAAAAACATCTTTTCTTTCTTTCATCAAATAACAATAATGCGAAACAGATAAATTCAAAACAAACATTTCAATGTTTCTTCTCTATAAAGCCATGATGGATTCGCAAATTCTCTTTGATTGATTTATTGATTTATTTGATTTGTTGAGCTCAGATTGGTTCGCACAGGCCAACGCATTACGGCTATCGACCAATCATCTGACGCGTTTTATTGTGTTTATTTTATAACACCTGATCATGATGCTAATCCTACTGGTGCATTACTGTGCGTGTTTTGCTGCTAGAAGTTATGTTAAATTCCCAGGAATAGAGAAACTTAAGTACTTGTGACAAAGATGTGTTCTTTATGCACGTAGCTGACAATATTTTATGCATCCGTTGGCTTATTTGCATAAGTAACAATTATCATACAGGTAGAGGGTGTAATAAATTGACGTACTGTGATAATTTTAATGCCTGTCACAATGCTCAGGCTACAGGTGCATAAAGTATTGTTGGCAGCGTGGACATATTACATATCAGCTTATTACAAGCAGAGAAGCTTTTCCCTACCTGGGAATATGACAAAACATGCGCAGCAATGCAGCTGTGAAATTAGCATAGTGGTCAGATAATGAAAATTTTTAATTATACACACTTTAGGAAACTGAAAGCCCGAAACAGTCGACATGTTTCACATCTATTGAATTACGCATGCTTAGTAAATACATACCGACAATGTGCGTGACAGCTAACATCGACGTGAAACAAAAGAGATATTCTGAAAGGGGCGTACCCAGCAAGGCCCTGCGAAAGTAGAATTAACATGTGCAATCATCACGAATGAACAAGAGAGAGGATTTTACTTGTTTTTGAACTTGAATAAACACGTATGTCGTTTTACAAAAGTTTAGAATTTCGTTGAATTTTATCTTGTCAGTTATTCAGGTATTCGCTGTAGAATTACTCCATTCATCGGTATTCTTTAACCTCGCTAGTATACTCGATCTCCACTATGTTTGTATAAGCCTGTGCAAAAACAGTACTCATCTTTTATTTCGAATGAAAGAAATTAACAATATGATACATTACCTAAATTAGATTTATTGAGCTGTTGTATTTCATTGTTTTTGTTTTAACCCCGCAATTTCTCTAAGCTTTCCCAAGCCTATACCACTTGATGGAAGTAAGACTCGATAAGATTTAAATACTTGACGCTGATTGGCCGAGTGACTGTGGTCATGTTTAAAGAATAGTATTGCTCAATGATTTCCTAACTTTTATGACAAAGTCGCAGCAAATTAACAAAAGCAAATTATTAAATGTCCTCGTTTTCGACATGGTCTGCCAAAAACACTATTGAGATGAAAATTATCCTTAATGATCCTCTTTAAGCAGTTGAAAATTAAAATTTTTTTTCGGACCAAACTCACCTTCGTCTACCAATTCAAATCCTAACGCTGACGTACCACGAGCAGAGTTAGTTTAAAGCCTTCAAATATTGTTTGATTTAATTGATGAGGCGAAAAGGATAGAAAGTTCAAAACATCTCATAAAATCTTTAGATATACTGGTAAAGTTGCCTTTGAGTGGGCTTGATCCACAGGGCAATGCAATTAAATTACAGCTATTATACTGAATCGTGGCCAGAGATTTGCCAGGCGGAAAGCGAATTTTCAATATGAACATAATATCCCAACATAAGATTTTTAAAAAAGGCATCATAACAATAAAATACGAAAGAAAGATAAAAGGTTTTTTTAATAATTGACGAAACGTAATTATTAAAAAAACATTTTATCTTTTTTCCGTATTTTATTGTAGTGATGGCTTTTTTAAAAGTCTTATGTTGGGCTATTATGTTCATATTGGAAAAAAGCTATTATACTGTTTGTATTTTATTGGCATGTGTCCTCAGTCAAACTGTCCAATCACACGAGGTAGCTTTTTAGTGATCTCTTTCGCCTGTCGAAGAATAACAGGTTGGGCCAGAGATTATTTGCTATCTGTAGCGTCCAGGTCCCGCGCACCCATTCAATATTTGCAACAGACACACTTGATAAAGTAATATGACCCTCTCAACTTTCAAAAAATACATACTGACTTAGCTCATGTGTTCATTTTCTTTACATTGTCCATCTGAATTTTTGTCAACCGCTTTTTGGAGTGTTAACTCTTGGGATAACAACGACACGAGCTTGTTTTTTGAACTTTATCCGACAGCAGTATCGGCTTGCAAATGTAACAGAAGAGGGAGACAATAGAGATTGTCATTCGATATTTGTTGATCTGTAAGGGTGCACTTCTTCGTTCATTTCCATCGGTTGCAAATTGAGGGTAGCTTTCGTTTGGATGAGTTGGACGATACTGTGGCAAGCGATCGGAGTTCTGTTTGAGTCAGACCAAACTGCACATTTTTCTCCAAGCGTAGAATGAATTTGATTCGTCGATTATCCGGTGATGTGTCTGGCATTTACAAGCTTGATGAAGGCAATCCTGAATTCACTGTTCGCTACAACGGAGTCGTCTACTTGCGCGGTGAGACGTTCAGGAAAGACATAGCCAAGTATCTTTGTAATGCAGCCGTAGAGAAACTCTTCGAAGATTCGACTAAGAGAGCCAAGCGCATAACTTTGACCGTCTCATGTGACATGAACAAGGGAATTACGATAGTGGACGCGAGTACGCAGGCGAAACTGGCGTTCGACTTGCAGAGCATAGCGTTCAGCTGCGTTGATTTAAATAGACCTAAAGTGTTCTCGTTCCTTGCTGATATCGACGGCTGCCTTCAATGCCATGTTTTTGTGGCGGAGCGCGAGGACAAGGCAAGGCTCATCACGCTCACGATGAAAAATACATTTGAAGAAGCATTCAGCAAATGTGACAGGAGCTTACAAAAAGAAGAGAGAATCAAAAGGAGGAAAACCAGTGTCAAATCAACTGGCTATGAAACTTTAGAAGAGCTGGATGAAGTCGGCTGGGGTTAAGTCACTTTTAGGACTACATGCTTAAAAAATGGAGAGAAATATTATGTGAGAAATAATAGTGTTAGTGGAAGCTGAGTTCACAGATATTTTTGTTGCGCGTGATGTAGAAAAAAGTCGGCTTTTTCGTGAAAGAACACTTCCTTCTTGATTTACCTTTGGTGTGCGCAAGTTTTTTGTTAATTACCAGATGCGTTAATCGTGCGTTATGTGAAAATTTGTCAAACGGTCAAAATCGTTTTTACTGAGAATATTCAGCAAAACACACCCACTACTGCAAGCACGGATGTCGCCCAAGAAAGAGATAATTTGACATAATATAAATCATCAATTGGATTCGATAATGACGTTATTCGGACAAAATCTAGTTTGTCCTGCTAGTGGAGTGCAAGAATGTTAACGTTTTGCGCATTTTATGCTAATTTCTTTTGTTTTCTGTAGCAACAGACCGTCAGGTGAATTTATGTGCATGTGCGGGTTGCAAGATGTAATGTTCTTATGTGTGATTAATTATAAGCCTAATAACCAAGTTCCTGTGTTAAAAGGTAGCTTGGAAAAATTGCACTTGATTTGCCAAAAGAAAGCATTTAGTTCTTCGATAAAACGAAAGCCGTGTTTCCCATTTTTAGTAGGGTGTTCATTCCCCGTCGAATTTTACCGTCGTGTGTCAGACATCTATTGTTTTTTCAATTACCCTGTCATTTTCTGTGTCAACTGACAAGCGAACAGCGTGGGACAAACAATTTTGACGTGCTTGCGTAAAAGCGTCAGAATTCCTATGAGTGAATGCCGAGTGCATGCATCTTGCGTTGCAGTGCGGGGGCAAAGGTCCAGTCGTGCGTCTTATAATTCAAACTTTTTTTTCATGATTGTGATATTTGTTTATTTCAGCGCTCCCACGATGTTGACGTTTTTTTAAAAGTTGTACCATTTTGCGGGAGAATGAACTTTATGTCATCTTTTTGTTCAAGGATTGAAAATAAAATGGAAGCGCTTTAAAAACATTAATGATTATAAATGGTTCTTTAATTTAAAATTATATTTGCAAGAAAAGTCGAATTGCTGATGCTGAAGCTGTATTCTTCGTACGATGCCACTTCATAAAATTGTACGTTTTCCTTGCACGAGATGTTGCCCCATTTGAAATCAAAAACGAGTGCTCTTGACGAGTTTTGACAAAAAAGAATTGACTTTGTCACTTTTTTTTTGTCATTTTTGTTTGTCACAATGTGTTTTTGTACATCGATCACGCCACCTGCTGGGATGCATTCCAAGATTCACCTTTTTCAGTGTTTATTAGGGACTGTAAGCCTGTCAGAGCATGCCATTCAAGGTGTTTTTAGCAAAAGTAAGCATTTCTAAAAAGTGATTTTCCTTTGTTAAATGACACGTTTCTTGTGGACGCCAATAAGGATGAGGATTTGAAATAAGAGCGCTCTAAGGAATTACCATCTCAATGACTGTTTTTGTTTCTTCACACGCCATTAAAACATGCAAAGAAATCAGCGAATTAGGGCTTGTTTACATGGAAGTACAGTCATCTTTGCAAAAGTTTACCCCTACAAGCGATTGACCTTTTTCAATGTGCTTATAAGATGCGTTTTTTCGACTATTGACCAACTGACCAGCGAGTTGCTGTTCCGAGGTCAGGAGGTGAAGCCTATTGTCTGATTTAATTGAAGGGATTGTTGGAAAACTTTGAGCGCTGAAAAGAAATTGCACAGCACGATACTGTTAGTGTTTCGTAATCATTGCGTCTTTCCTGTTGTGTCATTTGGTAATCTCGATTTGTTGACCAAAGACGAACCGACTAACAATTTGCATATAAACATAAATAGTTAGATCGACAGATAGATAAATTTTATTTAAACTCGCCTCGTCAACTTACGCTGATTTCCCAGAGGAGCGTATGATATGAAAATTTACAGTAGAGATAAAAAGAAAATTAAAGCTATTTAAAACATTACATGTTAAAAATATATACTATTTTAGGATATGACAAAGTGTATATAGGATTAATAATCTCCAAACTTGAATTTTCAGCTTGTGTTTCTAGACAGTTTACGTAATGGAGGAAAAGTAATAATTCTATCGATTGTAATAGTTTTCCCCAGGTCCATCTAATTAGTAATTATACGATCTGCAACGCAGAAGCTGGCAGGCAGAAGTGCGCTGTTACAGTTGCGCTTAATATTTAACAGTATTGAGTTCAGATTTTATGATACACATTTGATAAACCTCAGATTTTATGATGGACTTTTTTGTTCAGGAAAATTTATAAATTAAAGAAAAAATAAAGCATCTGTATCAGCATAATTTCTTAATGCGAATGTGACCAACATTAGAGGGTATAGAATATGTTATAATGAGCAACATTTTCGTACGAATATTGCCTAGCCCCCTACAATGCTTCCAGCTAATTAGAAATGTTTTCCTTCTGTTTAGTTTACAGGATTAAGAAATAAACACGAGCTCTACTGAGTTTCGTGCGCGTGTCGTGTCAACCGCGTTCAGAACAGAGAGTGCTTGCTTTTAATCGATCACAACCTCTACAGAGACAAGGATTTCGCTTTCTACGTGAAAATAGTTTTCAGTTCGTTTCCGTTGCAGTCATTTTACGAAGCAAAATTTAGTTGCATCTTTATACGGTTGTCGAATGAGTTTTCAAAATTTGTCCGTAATTACTTTTATTTTTTTATTCCTATCAGCAGGGGCACGATCCAGCCTTTCCTGCAATCTGATTGACTGTAGCAGCGGGCGGAATTCTACTTTTAAAAGAGCAATTATCAGCCAACATTTGATTGCAATGATCTATTTTAAGTGTACTTTTTTCAATTCAGTTTCAAAGTAAAATGAACAGCAAAATTTTGGTTGTTTACTTTGCCACCATTGTTGAATCTGACTGCACAATCTAATAAGACTGCCGCCTTTAGCAAAAAAATAAATACCAAACGTCCATTAGCTTGCTACCTCAGGCTCTTTTCGAGACATCGGGAGAATATTGTGCAATGGCGCAAAAAGTGAATGATAATGAATCATCGAAGTCCCAGAACTGCTTATTTCAAGTGTCGACAACAAGTGTTGCCTCAAACCCTCCACCGTTTTTGTCAGGGCGTCGAAAGCGGGTGGACAGGTGGGCTAAGGCTATCTCACACTCCTTGAAAGAGGGTAGCGCACCCCGCCTCTGCATTAAAGTAACTAAATTGCTATGAAAGAGAATTCTTACAACAGGTTTGCTTCAAAAACAAAAGATACGTATGCAAAGTGCATCCGAGTGAGCTCATAAAAAATCATGCATTATCCATATATTTATGTGTGCCCGACGAATTTCTTTTGAACATGATTGCTTAATATCATGTGCGAAACTAGAACCTTTAGTGGGGGGAGGGGGATGTATATTCAGGTTTGCCCAGTTGATTTCTTTTTAAATTATAATCGTTAACAAACCAAATCAGTCTAGCAGAGCTGAATATGTGAATATTTAACCCCACTCTCCCACTTGACGTTTTAGTTTCGCCACTGCTTATTATCTTCAGGAAATTGCAATCAAAAGAAGTCAGTTTTTGGCATCTGAATATATAAATAAAACACTCCCACCCAATTAGCAATTTAGGGATAGCCCTGGTTTCTGATCATTACAGGCACCGCGGAGGATCGATAATTGCGGGGCTCATAATCATATATTCATGTTATAGTCCTTAGAAAACAATGGATTTCAAAAGAACTTTATCCTGCATATCATAAATATATGAATATGAGTCCTCCCCAATTATCGATCCTCCGCAGTGCCTGCATCAGGCTTGTTATTTGTATCAAGATCGTTTGCCAAACGATCATTTGCCTTAAATGGATTTGTCAAATATTGCTCAAATATTTTTAATTGCAAACAAAACAATGCATGTTGACGTTTTTGAGGGAGATTTTGGCTCCTGCCGCGCTATGTCAAAATTGGGGATGCCAGTAGCAAGCTTCAGCCCACTAGACCCGGGAGGTGGTACCGTGGTATGCAAGTAGCGTGCTCTCGCGACCTACGTCTGGACACCTTAGACACAGCATGTTTCTGCCTTTTTTCTAATTCAAATTAACTATAGATTGTTCTAATTATAAGTTGATGAGTGAGGATTACAACAGAGCATTGTAAATTCGAATTACATTAGCAACAATTCTGATGGTTCAAAATTTCTAAAGAAGTCAAAGATTTATCAACAGGATTGTTTACAAGAAAGTTTGAATTTTAAATACAAATTTTTTAATGTATTCAATTGCTGAATTACCCTAGATCCGCAACTGGATGTATAAATTAACAAATTTGATCGTTGAATTTAGGAGCACAGGGAGGAAGAGGGCACAAATGGCTGATTGAAGGTGACCCTCAACGCTGGCATAACGCTCATAATTTTTTCTTTTTTTTATTTCAGCAAAAAATCACCAAACTCTTTCATTTTGAAAAATCAGCAAAAATTTTATTGAGATTTTTATTTAACTTGATTTCTACCAAAATTGTGGAAAATATTTAAACGAAATGTAAAAAAGTTCACTAAACTCATGGTTAGTTCATAATTACTTCATGTAAGTCATTACAATCGTAAATCGTCATTCGACTCAGGATTTGTATCATGGCGAACGCAGCCGACCAAGAAAACGAAGCAACAAATTTTCATCAAAATGGTGAGATATTTTATGCATGTTGTGAAATCATTTTAAACCGGTAGAAATGACGCGTCTTTCTCTTACCATGTGAGTGCCGGCAATATTGTTCGAGATTTAAATGATAAAAAAACACACTACGGATGCTTGCCATTGCCAAGTTTCCAACGAGCCAGAGTTGACATTTTGGTGGAAATCATATTATTAGTATTACAAGTGATGGTGTGCAAACGATAAGCAGTGCGGCATTTAATATTTAGTAGATCAAGTACCAACCGCTAGTCCGGTATGTACTTGACTTATTACTTATTACTCATACTTCTGCAATGTATTTTATGTCCACATGCTCATGTATCATACCATTTCTAAAGATTAGTTTGGATTTCATGAACCGTAGGTTTTGTTGGTTCGACCTGTTTGTTAGTACACCAATAAGATTTAAATACGTGGATTGCAACTAAAAGTTGCTTATTCCAACTAAAAGTTGCTTATTCCAACTAAAAGTTGCTTATTCCAACTAAAAATTGCTTATTCCAACTAACATTAACCCATTTGTTTGCTTGAAAGACTTGTGATTGATTTATGAGAAAATTTTTGTGCATAGAGTAAGAATGGCTGACAAAATCAAACATGGTTCATTTAAAAATAGTTTTGATTTAAAGATTACCTAATGAGTTACGCTCTATCCAACAATCTTAAAAAATATGTTTCCTCTCAGCCAGTCAATTTGTACTAAGAGTGTCCAGTAGCAATTAATGGTATATGACGTAGTCTACATTAAAAGGTTGATTCCGTAAATAAAGCTTGTATAATATGATTCAAAACTAAATGTGCAAACTCATATGATATGTTATGATATGTTATTTTTAGTATTTCAGTTTAAATTAGGATTACTGGATGCCATATTTCATTTTTTGTTTAATTACTTTGCCATATAAAAGTTGATAGAGCATGGCATTTGTCAAGAGAACATAGCTAACATTTTTGTTTCACAAAACATGGCATTTGTCTAGAGATCTTAGCTAACTTCTTTTTTTGTCTGGATGTACATGATGTAGCACAGTTGCCTTTGTATTTATGAGAAGGATACAATAGATATCAGATACAATACACAATAAATATCCTATACTTTGTAAGGTCTTAAATATAATCTATGCTTGGACCCAGGAATAAAAGAACAATTGCAGTGGAAATGCCACACATGTGGCGAGAGAATTGCTTTAGACCTTTCATGCATGTTTAATGCCACTAATCTGTAGTTTTTATGCACCAATTTTTTAATTGTAGTAATGTATAAACAGCATGCATTGCTGCTTATGTTACAAATCAAGAAACATCATGTAGAGTTGCTTTTTGTGAGTTAAAACCAACACTTCATGTACTGTACTGTACAGTTCATAAACCTTTCCCTATTAATAGTAAATATGTTGCAATTTTGTGTTACCATGTTTAAATCAGTGGTAGATTTATAGGAGGAGGGGAGAGGGTGCTCAGAGGTGCTCACCTCTGTAGGCAAGAGTCAACAGGGTTGCATAGAGGGGTGCAAATTACAAAAAAGAAAATTAAATCCATCCTATCTTTAATGGAAAAAGCCTTTATTTGTTATATCATTAAAATTTATTGACTGTCAATGATATTTGTTTTGATTAAAAGGCCTCAATGATATTGTTAATAAGTAGTTGGTTTCTAACCTCTGAGCTTTAGCTGATCACTGCCCACTAAACCAAGCACCCCCCTGAAAAATTTTTGCTGGATCCACGACTGGTTTGAGTACATGCTGTTACTCTGTAATTGTAAATCATGGAAAACACATGTAAATTTTCTTTTTCGCTTGTAGGAGAAGAGAAAGAAATAAAAGTAGAGGAAAGGTTAGTAGGTTTTAAACCCACGTTACCCAACACATTCAAGCATGCTTGCTTTAGAAAAGTTCATTGTGAGTTTCATTTTTTAAATTCTGCCAATCTACTCAAAGTTAAGCTAAAACATGTAACTTTTACCACCCCAGCTGCCTGCGCTGTTTTCGCAAAGGGGAAGTTTATAAGTGTAATATTTACATCAATGGACATGTACGTCTTTCACAAGAATCGAAAAGATTTGGAACCCTGATTTAGCTTGGTTTGAATTAATTCAAGCCAGCTCTTCAAACTAAGGTTGACATTTACATTTGCCCATTCTAAATGCAGACCTACAAACGATGTTCGGAAATTTACGTCAGCAAAGATTCGGGTGATCATTGGCGGCAGAATATTGACTATTGGGAGGAGGGAGTCATATTCAGTGCTGTAGAACTAAATTTATCAGAGGGGGGGGCTCTCTTGACGAAGCTGAAGTCATGAAATTATGAAAAATTACCCATTTCAAAGTAGAATGGGGGCTCTTCGCCCAAGCGCCCCACACTTCTACAGCACTGGTCATATTCATATAGCTATTCATATTATATCTTATGGGTTCTTATTTACCAGTAAACTGTCGGCGGATGCACCCGAGTTTCAACCTGAAGTCCTGAAGAAGAAAGAAGAAGCGAAGAAAAGCGAACAGGTAGCTGGTAGGAATATATATTATGCAAGAATCTTACTTTTAAGTTCGAAAGCACGTTGCATAATTTCGTTTGTAGCGTTCATTTTATTTTATTAATGCAGCTTTGATAGAGAATAAATCATTATACAGCCGTGTTTGGTCACGTGGGATTTTTTGTCTAAAAGAAAGGAAAAAAACATAATTGTTTAGTGTCGCAATTATGTGATAAAACGAGAAATTGTTTGGAGATGATCCGTGGATAGACAAAAAATTGCAAAATTAGGTGTATATTTTCAGTGAATGGATTTTCATGGCACTAAAGGGCACCGTTTGGCGTATTTCTGAGCAGAGCATTTAGACAGCATTTCTCTTACCATCGATGATTATCAAATAACGTCAAACTCGATGACAGAGTAGTTTTTTGAAAAGAAAGTATTTTTAAAACACTCAAAAAGTTCGATTGTTTTTGAAAAGCCTACTCAAGAGATATTCACACGGTGGTTACCACTGCCTGGTGCGTTTGTGCCTTGTCTATTTTAGTACACTGTTGCGAAGTGCTCGATTACGTATGAATGCTAGGTGCACGGTTGCTTGTTGTAGGTGCACGGTTGCATATTATTGGTACAAGGTTACGAATGCCAGGTGTACGGTTACTAATTCTAAGTGCAAGGTTACGAATGCCAGGTGTACGGTTACTAATTCTAAGTGTAAGGTTACGAATGTTAGGTGTACGGTTGCAGAGGCCTGATACGCTGTCTTTACCTTATTTTTGGTTCTTTTGCTTTCCATCGTTGTTTTAAATTCGTAAATGTTTTTTCAGTTGTTTCTGTTTCACGAACAATGTTCGCATCGAGATCATAATCTGAATTCAGATTATGAATTGTTCTGTTCCATTGATTGTAAATATTTATAAAAATATCAACCCGTCTTTAGAACGAAAGCTTTGCCAACCGATTTAACGTCTATACTATTTTGTGCTCAAACTAACTGTAAATTTAAGCGCAATTGGCTTGACTGCGAGAACGACTACTTTTCTCTTGAATCCCGACCCCTACTCATCGAATACGATAGCACTAAGTCATATTCCGTAGTCCAGTTTATTGAAAGCTGTCTAATATTTTATATTCACGTGGCAGAGCAATGACGATGAGGAGGATGACGAAGACGATGACGACGACGATGATGACGAAGATGACGATGAAGATGACGATGACGTAAAGATTATTATCGGGGATGTGAACGCGGATCCTAACTCGTATGACTTTCTTACATATATATATTTATTTATATTTCAAGAATTGGATTATAGCTACATGTATCATGTTATTTTGCCATCCAGTAACTGCTATCGTGGCGAGAATCTCTCGTCCATACGTAGTTTTAAAGTGATTTGACTCGTCTCCAATCCCTGTGGGCTTGGTAGCTGAACAGGTAGAGCGGCGGACTAGTACCCGAAGGTGCGAGTTCAAATCTCGTCCAAGTAACATGTTTTTCATGTGCATATTAAAAACCGTGTTAGGATTAATATATTATGTATATACTCTGATGATGGCTTTGGAATAAAGTCGAAACACGGTGCCATCCAGTAAACTGCTATCGTGGCGAGAATCTCTCGTCCATACGTAGTTTTAAAGAGATTTGACTCGTCTCCAATCCCTGTGGGCTTGGTAGCTCTACAGGTAGAGCGGCGGGCTAATTCCCGAAGGTGAGAGTTCAAATCTCTTCCAAGTCACATGTTTTTCATGTGCATATAAAAACCGTGTTAGGATTTATAGTATGTATAATGTTATTTATATTATGTATAATGTTATTTGCTGAAATTAAAAACAAAGACCTTTGTGGTTTTACTAGCACTCATTTTCCTATTGAAAATTTTATACTCGAGTGAAAAGGTTATACTCTGGAAAGATTTATCGTCCTGAAGTCCCCATGGCTTTAGACAAACTAATGAAATAAATCCAGTGTTCATTTCTCGAACAACTTCGTTTCTGTTCTGTCATTTTCGATTTGCTAAATTTGTGCCTTGTTATAACCTTTGAGTTTGACCGACATTGGCTTGTTGTTTCGTTTACTTTCTAGTGCGTTGTACGGTAATCCAGTCAATTGGAATTTTAAGTCCAGTTCAGGAGCGACAACTGCAAAACCAACCACACCTGGAGGTATTTTTAATCGACGTATTAACAGAACTTTCTTAAGTGTGGTTTTCTGCTTAAAGAGGCAAAGTGAATTCTATAGCATAAAATTCTTTTTTACAGTATTCAGGTAGGAGGCGGAGGAAGATTGATAATTGGGAAGAGGGTGAACACTTATGTTGTAGTGTATGATACGTAATCGCAATGGATTTCAATGGAAGTTAATACTAATACACTACAACATGCATATATGAATATATCCATCCCGATTATCAATTTTTCGTCGCCCTTAGATCTATTCAAGTTTAATGATGTCGTGTTTTGCTGTTGCAGCTCCAGCTAAGGGTGTTAACGTCGATGGCGTTGGGACTGTAAATGGTGTAAATATTTACGAATATGATTTGGACACAGGATCTGAAGATAAACCTTGGAGAAAACCAGGTAAGATGGTGTTCCACTCAATCGTACTGTCACGTGTAAGTACTTTGGGCATGCGCAGTTGATGCAAATAGTTTGAAATGATTATCGAGTTATATGTACTTTTTGGGGCGGTTGTACGGAAGGCCACTGAATATACGGGTCTCTTGCATGACGTCACAAAAGTTAGTCGTTGCAGACATTTCGGGCGAAGGACGAAGTCCATCGAAAAGAGCATTTTTGTCAACTTTAAACCACCATAAAAATGGCACGATTGACCAAATTAATTTTTTTTACTGATGCATCAGAAATCACACTTAAATTCGATATCGCTTTAAAATGTTCTGATGACAGGTGCACGTTAAGCGGTTATTGTTATCCTATTTCATTGCTTCTACAATCATGATCATCACCTCTCGCATAATTGGCAATTTCTAAGTCGGTAAACCAATCCGGGCTGTTCACGTGCGACAGGTGAGGTGCAGTGTTGGTTGCGCAATTTTTTCCACCAGCTTTATATGATTGCAAAGCTCACAACAGGGAAGTGTTCAAGCTCATCCGTCCGATTATGGTGAAAAAATTTGCAGCTATATGGTCACACGGGTGATGTGGCAACTTTAATCGTAGTCTCCATAAACCTTCGCCGGTATTCGTTGCCATTTACTTCCGATGTCATACTGTTACTTGATAAGCATCCGTTGTTCTTTCCAGAAGAAATTCAATATTCATTGCACATTTTCCAAAATATTTTCATGGTTCGATGATGATTTTCAGGTGCGGACATTACCGATTATTTTAATTACGGTTTTACCGAAGACACGTGGCGTCAGTATTGCGAAAAACAAAGGCGTATACGTATGGAGCTCACGATGTCCAAGAAAACATATGTGGTACGTGTTTTTTGTAATACTTTGTGTTATAGCACGTTATAGCCTTCACAAGTTATCGTCACATTTTTATTGCTTGTAAATATGTACATATTTTCGCGTAAATGTTTCGTCATTATACATATTATGGTAAAATATTCAATGACATAACGCTCACAGGTACCAACGGGAATTCCTACATTTGCTGCACCACCGCCGGACACCATTGTCTTGCCTGATGGCACTGGTATGATGACGTATTCTGCCTTCTGTTTTAATCCAATGGTTAATTAGGCGTTATAGAATAACAATACAACGTGATTGGTCTATGGCTGAGTTTGCATTAGCCTGTGCCAACCGAGCAAATTCTCTTTAATTAGTTTAATTTATTTAGCTATGTGAGCTCATTAAATCAAACCAATTAAAGAGAATTTGAAAGTCAATCATCAATACATGTTATAGGAAAAATTTAAACATTTCTTTTAAATTTATCTGTTTCTCATTATTGTCATTTTTTAAAAGTAAAAGATGTTTTTTCGTGTTTGCTCTGGCTTATGCAAACCTAGAAGAGGTTTGTGAGAACTCTCGACCTTCACCCAAACATCTCCTCGGTTTCCATAAGCCTGTGAACTTTATTTCTGAACTAAAATGCGGCAGCGATTTTTCGCGAAATATTTCGTCGTTGTTTAATTTTACTTTGATTATTTGGAAATGGACGAGTTTCGTGCGAGAGGATCTTTTCCATTGCCTTGGCTTATTTTGCAGTGAAAAAAAGAGCCGGACCTCCTCCTGAAAGGAAGCCCGAAGGTAGCATCGACGTCATTGGCGGAGAGAACTCACGAGGTCAGTGATTCGCTGACTGTTTTGTTTCCTGCTTGCGTATACTAAATTCACTCAATTTCAAATTTTTCCAGTTGAAAGTCGGCGTCGACCAAACGAGGATGAAATTACTCACCCAGTACAAGAGGGAATTCCGTCACAACAAAGAATTTTACCTCAAGGTTCATCCTCAAAACTGTTTTTCAAAAAAGTTTCATGGCTAAGGAGCATTTGTTATTCTCTTTTCAGCCCACACTGCGCCACCTACGATACATCCACCTATACCGGAGCCCGGGACACACTTCATACGTCCCCCTGAAAATCCTCCCTCGTCTCATCCCCCCAATGTGAATCCCATTCCGACGGGCATCTCTCGCATTCCCACCATGAGACCTCCCTTCATTCACGACGGTACGTCATGTAGATATGTGGTTTTTGGGTAAACGCTGTACGCCACTTGCCAGTCATCCAATTTAAGAAACAGAGGCCATTCCCCTCCAGGATAGTTCCAGCTTGCAATCTTCTGTCTTCAATTTTGAATGTATCCAGGAGGGGGTTGCCTTTGTTTCCGGGCGGATAGCGTCGTGCAACTGGCCCCAGAATACAAACATGCAGCTAAGGAACTCCATCCATTGAATGGTAAAATTTTCGCTCAAAAAACCTTTAAAAAGGGAAAAATATGCTATTTGAACTGAGCAACAACTGAAATAAAATATTGCTTCGAAGATTACAAAATATTTTTGTTGCAACGAAAATATAAACACCTTTTTTACAAGTTAAAAAATTTTTACTATCCATTGGATAACGCTATCCAAACTTCTTGCAACCTTCCCCAGATGTTAATGGTGTTTCCGATAACACTCTAGTTTTCATATTTCTTAGGAAATAAGCAAACATTTTCTATGCTCTATCTGCTTATGTGCACCATGTGATTATAGCGTCTGTCCATTGTTAGACGTTTTTTCTGGATAAGAATTAATGAAGATAGACTATGAAATTATGTAAAGTGTTTTATTTCAAATATTCAACATGAAGTATCCCGTGGTTGGAACATCCTGTATAAAATCACAAGGAGCGGCAGTTGTTGATGTTTAGTAAACATTTACGAAAAGCCAATTTCTCGCAATCAAATTCTTTGCGCAAAAAGTTGGCGAGTCATTAAGACATCGAATGATCATTTGTGTTTATCATGATGTCAACAAACAGGATAAAATATCTGGTTGATTTCGTTATGTACAGGCGATGAGATATAGTTAAATATATGCTGAGTTGATACTAGAATTTTATTTAGTGTTCAATAATCCGATGAATTTTTTAAAACATTTTTTTATTCTGTACTGCACATATCGATGCATCTGCGCAGGCGCCATCCTTCGCTGCAACATATATCAGAAAATCAATCTTATGTTATGAGATTGACCTGCGTGAAGAAGGGACTACAATGAAGAACAATAGTAATGTCTCTGTCCGACAATCCTATAGCGCCCTGAAGATAATATGTGCTTGATTATGATTTACATATAATAATTGTATTGATGTAGGCACTCGTCCTCCGCACAGTTTCCCACATGGTATACCGAGAATGCATCCACCACCAGGCTTTCATCGTGAGATGATGATCCCACACGAGGGCATGATGCCCGCCTTTGATATGGGTAAGATTTTGGCATTGAAACAAGCGCCTGTGTAGTAATTGGGAACTCAATCAGGAGCGTAGCGAGGGGGAAGGGGGCAATTGCAGGGGCTTTCTCAACAATTTTAAATTGACAGTCGTTTAAGTTGCTTTTTTCGGCACGTCCTAAGTGACTTGCCACCAACTCTGCCTACGTCTCTGTTAATCGTTATATTGTTATGTAATTTATCTTGCTCGTGCCGCATATTTTTGAATATCTCTAAAGATCCCTTTTTATTCCTGTGTTCGCATCATGATGCATTTCCAGCACTGTAACTACCGCAATTAGTCACCAACTGCCTGCAAGTGTTCACGAAACGAAATGTTTACCGCCAGGATTTTCGATTTCATGGCAGAGAATTTACCCTATCAGTTCGTCAGTTGGGTTGTGTTTGTCTTTAAGATAACCGAATTGATTGCAGTGAAACCTGTTTTAAGTGGCCCTGTACAAAGCTTACACTTCGTGGAGTCTCGAATTCAATCTCGCATAGCGAACTCTTTACAATGAAATCTCTATATAGGAAACATTTTTAATACAGGTTTGACTGCATTTCAGGTCGAGGTCGCGGTAGGGGATTCGCTATTCATCCGGGAAAGATACCGATGATTCACCCTATGGATTTTCCAATGGATGACAGGTGAAGCCGTAAAGGATTTGTTTAATTAAATGCTGTCGTTTAATGTTCAAATTGTTGACGGCTATGCTCTTGAATTTCAAGGCTTCAAGTTCCAATGATGGACGAAAATGGAATGTTTCCAGGTTGGTTGTGATATTGTTGATCACTTGTTTCCTTTCATGTTATTCAATCGACTCTTGTTTACGTTATCAATTTTGCTGCATCGTGCTTCACCTCGTCCTTATTGCTATCCACCCTGTAATTTCGTACTCTTCTCCTTTCAAATGGTTGTTCAACTTGTATAATTCACGTTTTCTTGTTGAATTAAAACGATCCTAGCCTTTGGCTGAATTTAGGCAAAAGAGCTTTATATTGAAGTTAGAATTACAATTTTGTTTGTTCTTCTTCATAAAACTCTTTTGGGCAATATTTCCTAGAATTTTTTTTAGTTTCTTTTATCTTTCACGTAAATGTTGATTACATGCTGATGGCTAGTTTCTTATCTTTTGATTTTTATTCTTTCGCATTGCTTGTCATCATTTGCATTCTTTTCGTTCACATTTGTACAAATTGTACAGTGTGTGGCCAAAAAAGTAATCGAGTCTTTATAGGCAATCGTGTTTTGCGCTTGCATTTGAGTACAGCCAGATAGAGGAGCTCTTTAACTTTCCGATGGTAATTTTATTATTGCACAACAAACAGAAGTGATCGAGTACACTTAAAATAGAAATTGTAAGTCGAAATTGCATTTTTCTACCAATGAAAATTCATACAATTTTTGAAGATTCTCTCGCGTATGATACAGCATAGGGGGAAACCCGCTATTTCATTGCTTTTGTTTGAATTGGCAATTAAACTTCATCAACCGCACACAAGAAATGCAGTTTCAAGAGTACTCGATCATCTCTGATTGTTCTGAAATGAAAAACATATCCCTGGAATTTGGAAAGCCGAAAGCTATTTCTATTGCAATAAAAAAATATAGATATTGAACACAATGTCAAATTCAAGATAGTATATTGATATTTGATTCGCTTTTTTTGTGCAAACTTTATAGTTGGATTACCTCCTGCTATGTCATATGATCCCATGATGATTCGTTCATTCCCTCCGCAACACGTTCCGCCTGTGGAGCAACGTGACACGCGTGAGCAACGCGATACGCGAGATCAGAGAGACTCACGAGGGGAACGGGAAGCGCGCGAGAAACGTGAGGGCGAGGCGGATGACGATAAACGCAGCGAGGATGACAGTGAAGATAGCGAGGAAACAAGCAGTCGTACGCGAAAACGACGCGACAGAGACCGACATCGAGACAGAGATAGGGATACTGAAAGACGTGACAGGTGCGAAATTCGGGTTAATTTCCTTGCTTTTGTAGTCCTGGGCCGGTTGCACGAAGCTTGAATGGCGTTATCCATTGGATAGTAAAAATTTTTCAAACTTGAAGAAAGGTGTTTATATTTTAGTTGCAAGAAAAATTTTTGTAATCTTAGAAGAAATATTTTATTTCAGTGGTTGCTCAATTCAAATCGCATATTTTTCCCTTTAAAAGATGTTTTGACTTTTGTAATATGCAAATGAGTTGTTTTATGGAACGTCGGGGTGTGCGAAACCTTCAGAAATTTTGACGTATTTCTGATCATTTCAATACCTATCACTATGCAAAGACCACGGATGTATGGAGCATTGTCAGCTACGTGCGTTTATTTAAATATCTTTATTACAAGTACAAAAAATTTCTGCAGCTGGGAGTTTGATAAAACTTCTAGCGGCAAAACATGCACGGTAATGGAAGAGTAGGATTCGCAAAATGATGGAAGGCAATGAAATTTCACTTGTTGTGCAGGTTAACTACTTACACCATGCACAAGGTGCATCAAAAACTGCAAATGCTGTAGTATGTTTGCAGGAAATAATGCGCACGTTAGAATTTCAATGGCTGTGCAGCAATTACGCTTCTTGGATTAAAAAAGGCGTTTGAGCCATACGCTGAGCTGTATGAGGAAGTCACTTATATGTGTGTTTATTTCGATACTATACTGCACCACAGTATAGAAACAAACTGTAGTTCCACTCTATTTTTGTGTAGTGCATATCTTATTACGCATGTGATTAGCATAGTGGCAGCCAGTCAATTGCTTTTTTTTGGCCAATAGGAGGGCAGAGATGGCTAGCCGTAGGCCGTAGCCAGTAATCTAATTAAATATACAGCACTGAGTTGCAGAGTGGAGTGAGACTACTGTATGTTTCTACTCTGTGCCTGCATGTGAAAGTGTGTTTTCATATCCCAGAAGACTAATTTTTCGCACAGCCTTGAAATTCTAATGGTTATCTCGTCCGTACAAACTATGGTATTTGAAGATTTTTTAAACACTCTTTTTTTCAAAATAGACACTTCCCATTTTTGCTTGACTGAAGACAAAATGAATCTGTCTTTCATGTCTACTGTGAAGATATTGCTACCAGTCCCGAGATGCAGTGGCGCAGCTAGTCTCGTTATTTGGGTGGGTTGCGGGGAGGGGGGGCATTTTTTATATATGCATCTTATAATCCCCCCCCCCCCGAAAAGAAAATACATTTCGAAGGAATTTAATACGTCAAAACATATCCACTTGAATGTCATCTTGCCCCAATTATTGATAGAAGTGTACCATAATGTAACTCGTTTGAATATCATGCAAAGACACAGTCTTAGACCCATTTCGAACGGCTAACTTTACATGTGGCGAATACATCTAAAACAAAAGTTGATGAGGAATTTCGTCTCATTTTTGTTGTCTTATGCGTTCGGCACATGTAAAGTTCGACGTTTGAAACGGGCCTTAAACAAACGCGATATCTTACTGGAACGTGTTCAGCAATAATAATTGTTCATTTTTTGGTCGTGTTTCGTTTCCAATAGAGATCGAAAACGTGATCGCGATAAGGACCGAGATCGTCGAGATCGTGTGAACGTGAACGTGATCGCGATCGTGACAGAGACCGTGATAAGGATCGCGACAAGGAAAGAAGGCATCGGGATAAAGACAAAGATAAGTCATCGAGAAGAGACGTAAGTCCATGCATTCATGATTTTATGGGCTGTTTACATGAGCCCAAGCTATCCTCGGATTCAGGGAGATGTGAGATGATTTTTAGGCATTGAAAGTAGCCGTCACAGTATACTGAGTATAGGAAACAAACAGTATTCTCACTTTGCCGTGCAACTGGCTGCTGTGTATTTAATTTGTATACTGGCCGCGGTTAGCCAGCTCACCGCTCCTATTGGTCAAAAAATGCAATTTACTGGTTGGCACTATAAGAGGAAAGCCCCCCTCCACTCTTCGAGATATAATGTTATAAATAATTAAACACAGTACGAATTAGACGTAAGATAATTTGCCAACTGCCATGTGGAGAATGATGTCACTCGTGCTTTAGAAAAAGACGTATCGTCTCTTGAATACAAAAATATCCTATATTTCAATATTAGCATTAAAAAGAAGTATCATTAGTTTCACTCACTACTCAACAACATTCGTTGGTACCCACTATGGCGCATATTATCGTATGACAATAAGGCTATTGCGATTGTCTTTACCTATTGGGGGATGGGGGGGGGGGCGTCCTTTTGTATGGTATTAGGTGGAATTTAGAGTTTGGATGGATCTTAAGGGTTTTTTTTACTTGAGCCGAGCTATCCGGGATTCAGAGAGTGGTGCGATAATTTTGAGACATGAAAAGCAGTGGTTACTTAAGCCGTAAAATTTCAAACCCTTCATTAGACCATGTGCAGTGGGTGAAATTAAGAGTTTAGATAATAAAGAAGTAAAATAAGATGTATTAACTTTCAGGATCGTGAAAGGTCAAGCCGTAAGGATCGCGATAGGTCACGCGAACGAAGAGATAAGGACAAGTCAGTTAAAAATATTTATATTATAACTTTTCATAATTGTGTTGTATACGTTTGCGGAAAGATTCGCGCATGCGAGTTTGCTAGAATGTTAGCCGGAAAGAATACGAATCCTTGAGGTGGTTATACAAGCCTGTAAAACGTTCAATTAAGAAATAAAAGATGTTTACTGTGTTAGCACAGGCTTATGCAAACCGAGGAGACCTTTGGGAGAAGTCGAGAGCAGATCAGTGCAAGCCCGAGACAGAAGGTCGAGGGTTGCACATGCTCGAGACCTGCACATTCTCGAGACCAATCAGCGCACGCGTTTCATTGTGTTTATTTTATAATTGCTTTTCATGACTAGTCCTTGCGTGACTGAGTTTTGCAAAGTTATTGTAAGTAACATCATGGTAGTGTGGTTTATTCCCTGTGAAAGTTTTAGTACATGTTTTTATTTAACCTCCAAGCAGTCCCAAAATTTTTAACCGTGTTAATTTCTGTAAACAATTCAATAATATGTAAGATTTATTCAAATTTTGGGAAATGAAAGACGTTTACTGCGTTTTCACAGGCTTATGCAAACCGAAGAGATCTTTGGGAGAACTCGAGAGCCGGTCAGACCGAAGCTCGAGGGTTGCACCCAATAACCTAGAACTCAATCTACTAGATATCTGACTCCGCCGAAATTGTATAGTAATGAGTGAGGCAAGCCGCCATTTTGAAAGGTGGCATAACTGACGATATTTACGACTAACATCTGCTTTTGCTGAGTTGATATACAGTTGCAAAATTGATAACCTAGGTTTGCTCCTTAAAATTTTTTTATAGGATGGGTTTTTTAAACTTTGTTTTGACTTTTCATTTTGAGTTTTGTTTTTTGCCACCTTTCAAGATGGCGTCCTTGCTTCACCTTGACACGGTAGCTAGGCATCTAGAGGATTGGGTTCTAAATCATTGGTCGCACCTGCTAGAGTGTTCTCACAAACGTCTCCAAGTGCCAACACGAAAAACATCTTTTATTTCTTTCTTATTTCTTCTTACAAAATAAGAATAATGCAAAACATACAATACCTTTCATGATTGATTTGCAAATTCTCTGATTGACTGATTGATTTGATTAGTTGATCTCAGATCGTTTTGCACAGGCTAATGCAAACACAGCTATAGACAAATAACCGCACGCGTTTTATTGTTTGTATATTATAATAGGTAATAATATGGATTTTCTCACGGTTGGAGTACGTAAACTTTCTTAGTTTTAGCAACACACTCGCTCACGTTTTGTTTTCCTAAGTTGCTTTATCTTCGAAATTCTGCGAGCCAATAAGAGTTCTCAAAGACTAGTTTTCAGCATAGAGTTAAAGCTGAGAGTATAGAGTATTGTTTCTCATTGTGTTGTACTCTCCTATTTTTAGAAAACGACACACCCGAAATGATGAGAGTCAAGACGAAGGTGGCGAGGAGAGCGAACTGCCGAAAAAGAAAAAGAGTCGACGAACACGCGAAGCTGATTCTGATGAACACGAGAATGGTGACAGTAAAAAGGCAGACGATTGAAGGATTCTTGATTTATTAAGTCATGAAACTGTCGTCGTCCCATTAGATTATATGCATACTTAGTACATTATAAAATTAGTTGTGTGTATTGTATGCACACGAACTATCCTACATGCACACGCGTGTCCCCGGGGGATACCATTCAACGACAAATATACATAGACATCATCGCGATGTTTCATGAGGAAATAACTGGATGAAAAGTAATTGCAGACTGTCAGTTTATTTTATATTGCGATTTTGTCACTTTATTGTGATTTCACACTGTGCACTATAGCGACTGATCACGTGTAATCTATAAGTGTGACGCCGTCAATATATTGCGCCATAAAGACAGATCGCGCGAAGCCTTAATTGTAATGTAATACGCCATAATGAGCAATTGCTCAAGTGATTAGCGCTCAGTTCAATCTGAGATGTAAATTGGATGTCAATTATGAAAGTGTTTTTTGATAGTTTTAGAACAGTGTGTGTTTTTTCTTATGTTTTCATAGTGCTTTTTAAAATTCTGTTAAAGTAGCGACGCCAGCCCGTTTTTTCTTCCGCCATGCAAATAATTTTGTTTTTATCCATTGGAAAAACAATGAACGAAATGCATGAAATTGCCGAGAAAGAGAATGCGTAAAAATTCGAGCTGGCCTCTGTAATCAAACATAGCCAAAACGAAATTGCGAATTTCCCTGATACTTCGTTGAAATTTGAAATATGTTTCTCCGCAATGAAAAAAGTTTCAATTGCATCTGGAACCCGCAGACATACGTAGCAACCTTTCGCAGTTGTTATACTCGTTGACGTTGTGTGCTTCTCAAATGTTCTTTTCAGAATCGCGTCCTAAATGCCTGGAACTACACGCCGTGAGACATTCATGAAAACAGACCACAAAAGGTATGTGAGATAATCTTTAAGTTTTTATTCAAAATTGTCAAAAAGCACATAGACTATAAATAAAACTAAGTGGCCATCAAGCCGTGTACATGTTAACGTGAAAAGAATGCACGAGTATTTAACTTAGCGCGCGCTTTGAGCTTTGCATTAAATTTACATATTCAGCGGGAACAACAACACGTGTGGGGATCGTAGCATGTTTATATATTTCTATAGTTACTTCAATATTTAGATGATTGATGAATTTTACTTTCTTCTTTTCTCTTTCTGGGTTTGTGCCATGAGGGTGGCTTGCTTTTTACGTTGTTCAAAAAGATTCACTTCTTCGTCCTAAAAGCCAAATGACGTTCATTATAGCTAACACGTAATGCAAAAAGCACCATTACTTCGACAATAGGAAAATTAGCTATAAGTGAAATCATCACAAATACATACCAGCTGCTGTTGTTTTTGTTGAAGCGACTTTTTCTCGTCCGCTTGTACTTTCTTAAGTTGTTCGAACTTGGCATAAAGCTAAGAAGAAATTCACAAAACAAGGGATTAGTATGAGAAACACCCCGAACGACACACAATTAAAATTTCAACCTTGACAAACGTTCCATACTTCAAAATTACCAGCATTACAATCTACAATCTTCGCAAAAAGATTGTAGCATGTTTGTATAAATGTGGATCGTCCAGATTAATAAAGTCCTGAGAAGAACTGTCGATGTTGATATTGACTGACGTTTCGACAACCTCAACGGTAGTCACCTTCAGAGTCAAGTGAGGAGTTAAAAGTCAGGTTCACCGTATTTGTTGACTGAACAGTCAGCATCAACATGAACAGTCCTTCTCAGCACTTAACTAACCTGGACGACCTACATCTAAAAACACGTAACGATACTCCCGGTTTCAAACCATTTACTTTAAAAGACTATAAATTGTAATGTTGCCATCCGCAGTGGCCGATGACAAAATGAAACACAATAAAGCACCTCTTGTTCCTCTTGTTTCAGTTCCGCTTCTTTTTCTTTAACTTTCTTTATAAAATTGCTTCTCATTTCATCTTCGCGTTTTTGAAGCTCGCCCATGTAGTCTTTACGACGCTGTTCGTAGGTCTCTTGTAAACTGAAACACAAAATTTATTACACTATACGTTTTAGGAAATGATAAGAAAGCAAAAACAACTTCAAAGAAGCAAAATCCAAAAGGAAATCCGGTGGTCGGGTAAATGTGAAAAATCAACATCAGAAAAGATAAGAAATCAAGTGTTTCGGACCAGTTAGAGGTAAACTAGTTTTTCTATTGTAGATGAATTTCAGTGTACATTTCTATCGTTCGTATTATCTACATTAACATAGAAATATATTTATGCCATATGCTAAACTAGATCCGTCGGTGTTAAAGAATTTTCAGTTTATTACGTGTAATGGACATGTAATCGTTCATCTGTTCCTCTGTCCATGACTTTATTATAGTCAGTCAGATTATAGGCCCTGCCTGTTGCATCAGACTGACGGAGGGCTGATATTGCCACACCGGAGGCAAATATAGCTCATTGAGAAAAGTTTCGGTTAAAATACTGCGCTTTATGAGCATAGAAATCTTTACAAAGAATTGATATCTTTTGTCAGCAATCCTAACATAGCTTTTGTACGTGTGTATGATGCTCATTTCAGAGAAAAGAGAAAACGCTCTGTAGTTTGAAGAGCATTACTTTGGCGAGCGTGAACACACACCAAAGTTTCACTATATTGATAAAATATTGTAATTATGAAGCGATTGTTAAAGGCATTCACCTCAAAGGCTGGCTTTCAGAGTCGGTGTCAGTGAAGCCCATGTCGGTCAGTTTGTTCTTGCGGTAAAGCTCGTAATGTTTCTCGTGAGTTTTTTCGATCAAGTCGGCCATGTTTGTCCTTTCAAAGAAAAAAAGGACCATTAACATGATAAAAATCCAATGTTAACTCGGCATTTTTTTCTTTCGTGTGCTCAACTAGAGACAATAGTCTCATGGTGGAATCTTTATTCATGGTAGAATCTTTATTCATGGTGGAATCTTTATTCATGGTGGAATCTTCACTCATGGTGGAATATTTATTCATGGTGGAATATTTATTCATGGTGGAATATTTATTCATGGTGGAATATTTATTCATGATGGAATATTTATTCATGGTGGAATATTTATTCATGGTGGAATATTCCACAAACTCATTTACCTGAGGAGCATCTCTCGTAACTTGACAAAATCGCAGTGATTTTCGTTTTCAACTATGAAGAACACAACACGAGAGTATTTTAGAGGAAATCGTAGAAGATTTGCTTAACTGGGAAATAGTGTTGTTTGACGAACCTACAACGGTTCCCCAAGGATATTGTCTTGCTCGAACTTTTTCTTTACCAACAGTAACTTCCTCGCGACTGCCGACAACTGCGAAAGGCACTTGCTCCTGCAAGGGAACGCGAGATTCAGTAAAAATTGTTTATTTCACGATTGCTTATTGCCTGTTTTACGGAATTGTGGACAGCGCAATCCACCTGATGCGGACTATTGAACCCCCCAAAAATTAATGGCTTGATCTCTGGAGTATTGTTGCATGTTTGTACGTAGATGTATATCGTCCAGGTTAGTGCAGACTTGTGGAGAATTGTTGGTGTTGTTGCTGACTGACTTTGACATGATTAGCGATAGTCTTTTTCGAATGAAGACTAAATGCAAGGTTTGCATTTTGCCATGTTTGTTTTATTTGGTTAATAAGTCACATAGGTGTTTTTGAACAAATGCGTCGATGTGCGGGTGCTATTGTGTGTTGTGATTTTTGCTGTCTGTATAATTCATGAATTAGTTCAAAGTGATACGCTTATTGTTTGTTCGTTTGTTTGAGGTCATGAATAAGTTGTAAAATTGTGAATAATAAATTTGTAAGTCGAAGATGTAGACAATTAACGTCAGTCAACACAAACACTAACAGTCCTCAGGACTGGATTAACCTTCACGATCACCATTTACAGTCAAAATACTCGCAACACAAACATAAAATTTCGAACCCCCACCGCTCAAACAAAAACAAGGATGACAATCGTAACGTCGACACAATAAAGAGCATATTTCAACTGACGTTTGAAAATATCATTATAAAACCTTCGTCATTACAACGGTCCCAGGCTCCTAAATCAGCTTGCGCTTTGCCATACTCACATTCATCGATGCATTGATTTCGGCTTCTTTTTCATCATCAACGGGAAACTTGTAAATTTGAACATCGCCAGAGTTTAATTCGTCCATGATCTAAACGAATAAAAGTTATTGTTTGAAACAACGTACGTATTTGCGTCATTTTTCATTTTTTTCCGAAACAAGAAAACAAGACAATCACGAAAGTAACCTTAGTTTTGAATTCCTTCAGTTCGGATGGCGAGATTGTGTCAGCTTTGGCAATGATAGGTATAACGTTCACCTTTCGAGGAGCAACAAAAAATCGTCAATTGACATGCGCAGTTTCTTGCACAAAAGTTTCAATTATAAAGAATTGCAGTCAAATTTTCATTTCTCGTTTGAAAATTACAATGGTGGATGGTTGAATCCGGAAGTATCATTACAAGTTTGTAGGTGTAGATCGTCGTGGTTGGTGGAATCCTGAGAAGAACTGTTGGTGTTGGTGTTGGTGTTGTTGTTGACGTTTCGACAACCTTTGTGGTAACCTTCAAAAACCTTCAGAGTCAAGTCATGCGCAGTTCGTTTTACTAAAGTGTCAATTAGAAATCATGGCAGTGGAAACAGACTTGACTTGACTCTGAAAATGACTACCGCTAAGGATGTCGAAACATCATCAGTCAATACCAACACCTACAATCGTTTTAAGGACCCCCCACTAACCAGGATGATCTACGTATACAAACATGTTACAATATCCTTGTCATTGTCGTACCTTTTTGTCTAATTGTTTCATACAAACAAGATCCAACGATTTCAATCTGAGAAAATAAAACAACATAAAAAGGCTGTTGTTAGCTAGCGGGGGCCACAAATCTCCAGGTTGACGTTTTAGAAGAACCCTTTGATAGAGTTTGGAATAGTGAGTCGTGATCAAATAGTTAACTCTAAAACATTGTTCCCAGTGCAAGCTTATCTTTACCCTGTCGAGATGTTTTCTGAGATATTCCATAGCAGCAATGTGTTCATTCCTGCTGTGTTAAGAGCACTTTAGCAGATATCACAAGTAGGGCAGACTGCACCCCCAATAATTTATTAAAACGTTTGGGAAAATTTTACATGCCCACTTTTTCCAGATTCCTTTAAATCCAGGTATTTTCACTTCCCCTATAATAATTTGCTTCCAAAAGCCCTGTATCAATGACATGTACTTACGAGTGGCCAGTAGGCGAAATGAAATAAAGGCAGGCGTGAACTCTTGTATCATGGTAAGTAGTCAACGATCTCTTGATTTTCAACTCTTCATGAAGATATGCATCAAATTGCTGGTCGATGTACTCAATTACTTTCTCATAGCTGTAAAATGACAATCACAGAAGTTGATGTAAAACCAAAAGTAAAACAGGTGTTTTCTTTCATTAGCAAGTAAAATTTTTGAATACTTGGAAAAAACAAACAAATTTGAAAACTAATCTTATATTGTTATTGTACACATTTCTTATTGTGTCAAATAAGGTTAGAAAACATACCATATTCAAGTGAATCTAACACTTAAAAGCCAATAGACTATAATTTTGATTAATTATTAATCTATGATTTATCAATAAATAATTAAATTTGTTAATAATTAACATTTATTATTACCATTAATGATTCATAATTATTACCATTATTACATATTAGTATTAATCATTGCAATCACCATTTATTTTATCAATTCGTATTACCTGTCACTTTTATCAACTTGATCACCATATCCAACTGTATCAACAATGGTCAATTTAAGATTTACATTGCGCTCTCGTATTTCTACAATTCAGAACATCAATGGTGATGTCAGACTACATTCTGTCTAACATCCTAAATGGTAATAATTGATTTGATACATAAATATAACGTTAAAAGTCAATTGCATCTGCAAGGCATAATGACCACAGTCGCAACATAGTCACAACAATGTTGCTTTAAAATATACATACCATAAAGATGACTTTCAATGCTAACGTCTGATGAATGATGAGAGTGAGGTACGCCTATAATTCAAATACACCTACATTTACAAAACTACATTTACATAAAGCACACATCACAATGAACAGACAACTATGTATATTTTACAAACTAATAAAATAAAAAATTATAAACTACCGGCAACATGCATGAAGGCAAGCATAGGTTTGGGTATGACTTTCACAGAATCCCTTGATGTGATATAACCATTTTCACAATAAACACTTACTGTCAAACATAGTCTTAAAAAGACAGTCCATGAGTGTGGACTTTCCAATACCTGTTTCACCTACAAAAATAATTTCCTTATAAATTAACTTATAAAATAACTAATGTATACCTATGTATAACTACAATAGATCACAAATTAGTAAACGTGAAAAACATTTCAGTAGAACATCATGATCTATTGTCACACAGTCTTGACTTAAATTGAGAATATTTGTGGATTATTGAATGATGAAGACTCTAGATTATAAAAATCTCCAGAAGATTGCACCTTTGGGCATTATAGTTTTTATAACTGGATAAGTCAGAGTTAGTCAAAGTGAAAAGATTAAACCAAGACAATCAATCACGCTTTCCAAATAACTTTTTAAGTATTTCATAACGTTTTCGCACCTTATCTTTAGTTGCTTTGAAAACAAAATTAAGTTACATAAAGATGGCATTTATTTATTTCACAACAAAACTCAAAATGCGAAAAATGTGGTCAATACATCATTCGACAGGAAATAAGATGCGAATCGTTCGCGTAATCGAATTTGCTACAAATTATAACATTTATACAATTGTCTCATATTCTTGATACATCCTATTAATTACTATTCAATACTACCGCGTACCTACGCATAGTATATTGAAGTAAAATCCATGATTCACTCGTTTGTTGACAAGTTGATCAGGCAAGCTGACAAAACCGACATTACCAGCCAACTTGAGACTTCGTCCGTCCTCGCCCTTAGCAAGATATCAAAGTTAATTATAACGATTTTGCCAAATTATATGAAACTCATATTTCGATAAAATATTAGCAACTTGATATTTACCAATTTTCTACATATATCCACAGCAGACATTTCGAATTTAATGAAGCCCCCGCTTAATTTAGTCAAATCTTTCAAATCACAACTGTATGCTAAAGAACATTTAATAATTATTCCACGAACACGAAACACGCAAGATTGCTCACGTGCTGGCGTGCTTCCATGAAGTAATGAAACTTTCATCTTATTGCCGACACTCCTTTGGTATTTTCCTTTAATGCCTTATATATTCTCATAATAAGACAGTGATTTGGTAGTTATAATAAACTGATGAACCATTCCTCACATCAAATTATGGACTGCAATACATTCTTTGTTAAACGGTTTACCAGAGATCAAATCAAATATCTTTCTTTTGTATCATTAGCAAAATTCGCGGACTACCGCGCGAGATGCGGCGTAATTTAAAGCAACAACTGGACTAACAAAGGGGGTGGGGTGGGGTCGTAAGAATGTCAACAATCAAAATGTCGCATGCTTTCTGCAGAAAAACAGTATTAAGTTTGGCTCTTTTCAAGAGATCGTATCGCGTCAAACAACTAGAAAACGCTTTAACTCAAAATTACCATGGAAGAGCTAACATTTCTAAAGGGTATTTCTTTTCTTCCCGTCAAAAATCGTTTACTATTACGGGGACATTTATTGTAGGAGCAACGGCATATTACTTGTTGTCAAAGCAAAAACAGTCAAAGACGCCCTCGTTCAGGGCTGCATTTGTTTTATCTGCAGCCACAGACGAAAACGATGCGCCAGATGTTGAAATGGCATTGAAAAAGTTAAAGTTTGAGGAGTATGCTTCGTACGAATATGGAGGGAAGAGTCTGATGACACCGCAAGACTTTCTTAATTCTTTGGTCGACAACAAGAAAGGTTGCCATTTGTATTTTGGTTTGATTTCATTGACTATTGTTCTGTGAAATGCGATGTGTTTCTCACTGAATTATTAGCAGCACAATTAGAGTTTCCAACTGTATACTATTCACCACACATTTACCAATAACACCACCAGACGTTTTACTTTCACGACAGTTTAAGGTTATTACTACAGCTACCCTTGCTTTCTACGATGAATAACCCTCGGCTGAGGTTAGTTTTTGATGAATTCCATGGGATGATTGATACCTTTTTTCATTAATTCACTGCTAATGAGATATTACAAGTTTTCAACTAAAGCTTATACAAATAAATAGAAGGCCCTATTATCTAAACAAATAGGACAACATCAAGTGATTGCCATTCTATAGAAGACGTGCTTTGTTTATGTTTTGTTAGCAGGCAGATTTGGTCAAGTAGTTACAGACAACACTAGCAACAATTCTTAACCTCTCTTGGAATTGATCTGCCTGCCAGCAAAATATAAACCAGTCCATTTTCAATCAATCGGAAATGTAGAATTGGGAGTGCTTTAATTCCTAGAAATAAACTTAAAGTGAAATTGTAAGTCTGATCGTGTGGTTTTGAGGAAATAAGCCTCTTTGCTCTCTTTTCCTAGAAAATTTAGAAAGAAGGAAAAAAAAGCTGACAACCCAGGTTAGTGTTTTTCATTCATTACAGAATAGTATTGCTTGAATAATATGGTACTTTCTTACATGAATACATACATTTGTATTACTAGGATGTTGAAAAAATTTTGAAATATGTTCATCGGCTATCTGCAGACCAGGAGGATCTTTTTGCAAACATGGGCGAAAATGGTAATGATGTTTTTGTACCTCATAAAGTAAATCAAAGTTTGCATCATATTGAGCATGTCTCCTAAATCATTTTACTGCTATGTACATTCCTTAGATACATAGGCTTTTACTACATAGAAACTCTATGATACTGAGCATAAATACCATTGGCTTTAATTAGCAATTTGATTGCCATCCAGTTTCCCCATCTGTTCTGTAATAAGATGTAAATCGGTCATGCTTGGTAATTGCACAAAAACTTGGCGCTTTTTCCCCTTGTATTTTGGTCGTCGTATACATTCGTCAATGGCTATGACACATTTCTTCCATATGTCGGGTTTTGAGACATCTGGCACAGAATAAATATAATAAACAGCTTCTTTGACAATAGACAATCTTGATGGATCAAGTGGCAGTTTGCCTAGTTTTCCATTGCAGTTTCGTCCCATGAGCTCATCAGGACGAAACATGATATTGACAAGCTTCACAGAAAAATTTCCAATCGAGGAGGACTTCCTTGACAAGACATACAAATCATCTGTGTTCATGTTGTAGATGTTTGCCAGTATGCTAAAGCTGTCTGGAGCAACAGAGGCCTCGTCATTGCCACTTGTGTTTAGCAAATTCGAGGAGTCACTTGTTGATGGTAGAGCCGGCATCAGCTGTGCCATGTTACTTGCACAAGGTGTATGATGTTGTACACCCATTGTTGATGTGGTGTTGACGGCGCAAGACTGATTCAAATGGCTTGCAATTGTTGATGAACTTGTTATGTTAACTGGATGGGTCATGTTTGAGCTGGTTGGAAACAGTGGATACGTATTGGGGAATTGTTGGAGAAGCACAAACCTGTTTTCAATTCGATCCAACTTTTGACTAAGGACCTGTTGTTGCTCGGTGATAAGAGTGAGGCAGGCTATAATTGCAGCATGGTCCTGGCATGGTCCTACTTGTACCTTGATGTTCCTTGGCCCAGTTCTCACCCAACCAAGTTTCTTCCTTGCTTTCTTGATAGCTACAGTTGATACCTCCAGATTAAACTGCTCCTGTAGCATTTCTTGAAGATCTACATAACATGAGAAAAGTTACCAATCAGGTCATGTTCTGTGGCAATAATAGTCACTTAGAAGAGATTTTGCTGCTATAGTTTAAGTAAATTGTTAAATTTGGCTTAAATTGCACATTTCAACCTATGTAAAATCAATGGAGATTTTTGGCTTAGAATTTAACCTTTTGACAACATTGTGCAAATTTCTTGTGCATTGGAAAACGTTATTAAGAGTCGTAACTTGGATTTTTCGGATGAAATGCACAAGATGCAGTTCTTGTAAGTGCCAGCAAATGAATTGAAATATAGAAGCAAAGCTGAACGACTAAATTTTTGGGGAAGACATGCAATCCTATTGTACCCGAAATTAAATTCTAGCTAAATTCACACAAAACATTTGAAAGAGGAAAAACATCAAACATCACAACGCAAAAACAAAACTTATTCGATTAATTCGAATGATTGTGAAGTTTGATACCTTGTAATGGAAGCACGTTTATATTGCAGCAACACATCATTATGATACTAAACTCGAAGCTCGAAGTCGAATTGCCTTCGAAATAGCTTACCTTGAACACTAAGCTTTTGATCTTTTTCTATTTCGGTGTTGATATAATCCAAGTGTTCTTTTTTAAGCTTCGTCTTTGGTCTTGGCTCGTCCGTCGCCGCTGTGTTCAAGCGCGTTTTTGTCGCTTTACTCGAAACTCGAAGAAACCTAGAGACCGTTTGACGTGTGGTATCGATGCCTTCCTCGTTTAGTTTTGAGACAATATCGCTTATATTAGCGTAATGCGAACTCAGCGAAAGAACGCGGTCTTGAGCATGACGAGATAGTTTCCCCATGTTAGTAGTTTAAATGTTATATTTGCGAGTGAAATCAGCGATTGCTATATCGAAGAAAATATATTTGCGTCATGGAAGACAACACCTTTCTTTAACTCGATACTCGAAGCACGTGACTCGAAGAACGCGCGATAATGCGCGGGACATACATTTTCCACGTTTCGTTTTTAGGTTAGAACACGAGAGTACCCACCCACCCCCGCATTTATTTTGGATTGTGCGCCATTGCATATAGTTTTAACACATGCGCAGGCTTCTTGTATACGTCCGTTCAGGTTGCAGCGAGGATTTATTTGCTACAAACTATTGAAGTGCATTTTTAACGTCTTACCCACCCTAACCACAATATTATGTTTTCAGCTAAACGATTATAAAACTCTGTTTTTCTAGGAATCATTACTTACCCGGAGTATTTGTTTCTGTTGACTTTGCTTACCAGTAAGTGGATGTTTTGTTCTTTTCTCGTCCAAAAAAATGATCGAGTTTTCCTGTCCAAGTCATGTATTGCCATCACCATACTGTTCTCGTATTCTTCTGTCTGCACTTTAGAATCGAGTCGCGGCCTGGACGTCGCTTTCCGGATGCTCGATTTGGATGGTAATGCGACTCTGGGAAAAGCTGAATTTCAAGAGGTGGATACATAAAGTTTTTCTATAATTTGTTGTAATATAGTCTATTACTGTTTTATAAAATTAGTGGGTATGCTTTAACCACGTTACTTACAGTGATCCAACTATAATACACTGAATTAGTACACCTAAATTCAGTGCATATGAAATCCGATGCTCCTTAAATTATCTTAAAAAATCACGTACTGCAGTCATAACTGGTGAGCACTGTGTGTGTGTGTCGTACACACTACTAGTAATACAGTCCTATTTCAACTAATGATATCGCCGCCGATATAGTTAAATAGATGCGATTGCATTAAATTTTTTGTCACAAATTACCGAACAACTTCTTTGCTGGTGTGGAGGTAGCTGTCAGCATCCTTTATAATCAAGTAGAAACTTGGATTATATGATGTTTCTAAAGCATGCGAAACCACTAACTAGGCTGAGGGCTCGATGGATGGAAGGATTATGTTGTGGGGTTTTATGATTGAAGATGAATATGCCGGTCCGTTCACGATTACAAAGAAGTGAAGTTGAGTAAGCAGTCATGTTAGCCTATACTTCTATGGAGTACATAGAAAGTAGAGAAAACTGTTCGAATTCCAGATTGTGATTCCCAGAACGACTGATTATTCTAACTGTGAAATTTGAATTGCTTCTAAAGATAGACACTAGTGTTGAGAAAATAAGGTTGAAGTCCCGTTGTTTAATTGATATTTTTGCTATGCGTGACTTTTGCAGTTTTCTGAAACAAAAAACATTTCAAATTGGATGACACTTTTGAAAGAACTGCTCACCGGTGAAAACAATTTAATGGGATAACATATACTCCACAACAAAAGATAATTTATCGCTTATTATTTAACAACTAGCGGATTTTCCTCTTCCTTTGGTTGCAGCTCTGCATCGGTTAGACACGTAAGAGGGATCATTTTTCGAATAGAAAAGATCGATAATTTTAAAGATTTTAAAAACACAACTTTGAATAATTATTGAAAACTTACTATAACTTTCTCGTCCCTTTTTCATTGTACCGTAAAAAATGAAGGGAAAATGCTAGTCTTATCCCATGCACTTGGCATTCAATAGGTCATTTTAAAACATACAGACATTGCCTCCTACAACTGTTTTGTTTTCTACGTGGGTTGAATGGCTATAAGCTCTTTCCCGTTCATGATTATCGAGAACCTCCCCTCCTCCGTCCATTGCTGTCCTTCGGAATGCCTGAATTTATGAATGTTTTGTCAATTTGTAGCTCGAGAAAATGCTCAATCGAAAAACGAGGCATTCTTTGGTGAGTCTGTTTGTAGATTGTCTGCTTTATCGTTGTGTCATATTAATGAGTTCATCGAAATGGAAGCACACTCTTTATGATGAGCAAATTTCCCTTTAAAAGAATTTGCTTGCAATTTTCACACCTCTTTACGTAGGACGAGACTGACGTGGCTTTGCAAAACACAAGCTTATTGCTATATTTCTTTGGCAAATCTGGAAAGGGACAGTTGACATTTTCTGACATGCTAAGGTAATGTTGGATTCTTGAGTTTTAAAGAAACATATGAAAAAGCCTGAAAAGGGATTGCATTTATACTGCTTGAAAGGAATTGAAGAACTATTTTTTGTCATTTTTTTGAGTATAGGTACTAGTTATCTGTTGAACTGCATTCTTGCACAAAATAATAAATTCAGTCTTATTTATTTACCCAAAACTATAAGGAGTACAACCTTACGTGCCTATTATTAAGTGTATTTGAATTTTTGCCATTGGACCAATGGTCTTTGTCGGCAAATTATTTTGAGACGACGATTTGATGCGTGGTCATGAAGTTGTTAAATGTTCATTTATCATTCCGCTAACAGACGATTTCAGCATAGAAATTTATGGACATGTTCATGTTTCTTTTTTCTATCCTACAATCAGGTTTACTAGAAACTTACAAAGAGAATTTTGGAGACTTGAAGTATCCTTTCTTTGTGTCACACATTTAGTGGTCAATCGATTCTCTTTAGACGTTTTTTTTTTGTAATGCTTGTAAATTGATTGGGGAGGGGGGTTGTCACTTCTAAAATTACGAATCGCCTCCAGCCAAAGCTGATAGGAGTACGCAATCCCCTCCTCCCAGTAAATACCTTTCTGTTTACATATGTATAGCCAGCAACTATCCATCAACGGGCTGTTTAAAAGAATGCGTGTCAACCAAGATGCATTGCGCGTTAATCACAGCGTGACGGCCATTTTTTTGGGGTTTAGAAAATGGCGGATTTTGTTATTGTAGTCAGTACAACTTGGACGATAATAATTAATTCATAACAGAGTTTTTAATCAGGGATTTTTTGCTAAATTTTCTTGAAAATTAGACGACGTGGGGACGAAATTGAATTCAGTGTGCCTCAAAAGCGTAAAAAAGTAACGATGTAAACATAAACAAAAGCGTGCAATGCATCTTGGTCGACACATAATCTTTGATATATTTTCACGTACGCCCACTGCAAATCGGCCATCACAAAACATCTTCTCTCTGAATGTCGAATGAAATTCCTTACAGTCGCTTATAGTTTCGCCTCTTTTCCAAAAATCACGATGTCATGAATAGCGAGCAATTTGCTGAACTTCTTCTACAATCCACCCGTCTCGACGACAGCGATGTTCAAGAATATTTACAACGTCTCAAATCTCGGCGTCAACAGGATATCGTAAGTGATCAGGATTGTTACTTTGTGAATAAAATGATGTTGGGTGGGGGAGGGGGTTCAGAGACATTTCATCCACTATCCCCAACTATCGTATAGTGTACCGTATCATTTTCAGTCCATACTGTCCTATAGTGTGCCGTTTCATTATCCATACCCTGCGTATGTATACCGTATTATCATCTGCCTTTCTTGTGTATGATGTACTTCATCGTTGTCCATACCTGACTATCCTTAAGTGTTCCTTATCATCATTCATACTGTTTTATCCTTTTGTGTACCATTGGAGAATTACTCGAAAGAGAATTTTTGGATTCGAACATAATTACATCTTTTCATTTTACGAGTAGGATTTGCGGACAATTCATCACTTTTCTTATCTTTTATTGTGTATAGGAAGTTCATCTGACGGACTACATAAAATTTGGTGAATTTCTCAACAACCTGCAGGAATTTTCTATTGCTTTGAAGATTTACAATGTTGCAAACCAGCCAGTTACTCAAGGTAAATATACCGGAGCTTCTTTTTCTTAATGTGCATCAATTTTTTCACCAACCCAAATGATATGTTCTTGACAAAGTTCTGCTTTACAAATCAAATATGTCACTGCATTCATGATTCATGCATGGAAGTATCTGGCTCCATATTGGGGGCCTTTCAATTTCAACTTTAGGGGGGGGTGCTAAAAACTATCACCACAAAACTTGGAATTTTAGACTTGATTTACAATATAAAACATAGAACGATTCATATTGTCATAAACAACACTTTACACAAAATACATTTCATAACAAGTACAGTTTTCAAAGCTTTTGCTAACTGAGTAAGATAGTTGAGTGTTTTGAGAGGGAGAAGTGTTTTCGTTTTTGATAACTTTGACGCTGGTCCAAAATGCTTACACATTCCTGCAGGGGCGAAACTTGAACGTTAAGTGTGTGTGTGTTGGGGGAGGGTTGATTATTCATATATTCAGCTCTGCCCTGTTGATTTCTTTTGAACTTATAATCGCTAACAAAGAAATCAGTCAAGAAAAGCTGAATATTTTAATTTCACTTCCACCCCTCTCCCCACTTAAGTTTCCAGTTTCGTCCCTGCGTTCCTGGAACCTATTTTCGCTTCATATATTGTTTTTTATTTCTCGTTTGCCTGCATTAAATTTCTTTCACTACTTTCCTTAGTTACCACTCATTTCAAAAGTTCGGAAATTAAATGATTCCTTCAATTCCAGTCTTATTTGATATTTTATAGGTATGCGTGATTAGGGACCCACTTTGATCGCCCAGCAGGACACCATGTGCCACGACACAATGGCACATAGGCCAATCCAAACCTGATTACTTACTTTTCTCTATGGTGTATTTTCATTTAACGTCAGGGCGGCCATGTTTGTGGGTTTATTAAAAGTGCATGACCATTGAACTAAAATACATGGAACGCTACCTGAAGCAAATAATTGAAGCCAAATCTTACACCCAGACACGCGTGTGTAGTGTTTCGAGATTCTGAAAATTGATTCACTGTGTAATCTCGCGTGTCTGGGTGTAAAATTTAGCTTCAAGAATTTATTAGACTTTTCTATTACAGGATTTTCATCAACATGGCGGGAAAATGTATACTGTTTTCACACTGTATACTTATAACTTCCATTTATCGTTTCATTTTATAGAAGAGTTTAAGAGAGCTGTTTTGATAGCGACGGGTAATGCTCTTGGCGACCATATCGTCAACACCGTGTTTCAACTCTTCGATATTGATGGTGAGTTGCATGTTGGTTGTATAATGTATAGATGTAAAAAATCAATCTGCTGTTTGAGGAAATAATAGCATTTTATTGGTCAATTGGTGATCTGTGGAACAGATTGAGGAATGTCAATAAACATATAAACGCTTCAGACATCGAGCTCCCTCTCAAATTACGAGAACTGGAACACTTTTGGAGTTTCGGTCATACAATACTACTCATGGACCTCAAAATATCGAACGATTTGTATTTGTTTCACTGGTCCTCAGTATTTCGCTGCAGCAATACTTTGTCTATGTACTTCACTCTAAGTATAATGATATTTTTTTAGGTGATGGAAAATTGAGCCAGAAAGAGTTTCTCGGCTTGATGAAGGATAGAGTCAGCAAACGTTTTGCCGTAAGTGCAGACTGTAGATTTATTCATCTCAAATTTATTTATTTTACTTTGCAGCCGTACAAGCTGAATTATGTATAGCATAAATACAAAAATCTAAAATGAAATTAGTCGTCACATTAGAACAACAGGCAATGTTATGACTTAATATACAAGGAATTTAAAAAACTAAACTCGTACTCTATATGTTCCAGATTTTTTTATAATTTAAGTGTTTTTAAATCCTTTCGTCTGACGTATAGGAGAATAAAACCTAAAGCTATTTCTTAACAGTACACCATGGCTCAATGGCCGTAAAAATTTATGTACTTTGTGATTTTTATCATTAACATATATACCAGTGATTGTCTACGATTGTATACAGATAGAATATTTAACTTCTCCATAGCTTCTGTGTAATTTATGTCCGGACAGATAATTCGAAATGCACGTTGAACTTGCACATGAACTTGACCATTAATGGCTTTATAGACTCCGTTATCGTTTTGTGCTCCAATATGCGGAATCCGCGTTTTATCCCCATTTGCGGTTCTGCTTCCGCCATTCCGTCCTGCATCTCGTTCCGCTTTTTATCCTCACCCAATTACAGTAACTTGTTGTGAAAGGCAAAACGCAAATATTGTCTGTGTTAACGTGAAAATGACAATAAAACATGATGCGAGTCAAATTATGATGAGGAAACTTGTAACGTGGGTGGCCTTTGCTTTCAAAGATGAATCATTATTTGCACAAAATCGTCGGAAATGTAGTTATACGAATTGTGTATGTGTAAATGTACATGTTATAAGCGTGCTGATTTATCTTTTCAGTGAACAACTTACACACGTCAGACAACTGTTTTGACACAGAAGTTTATAACGATATGAAAATAAAAAATAAAAATGTATTTGTCGTAATAGAATTTGTGAGAAATCTTATGGACACTTCACGATTTAAGCACAGTCACGTGACTTGCAATCTATGTAAGGGCGTTCGGCGAATACATAAAGAGTTGCAAAATTACCGCGTCATTTCGTTAAACAGAGAGCACAAAACACATTTATCAATTTCAAGAAAGTTTTTTTCTGCAACAGTCACCATTGCACTATGGTGATAGCCGAGAGGACACATTGTTATACACTATGTATGATGTTATTTCAACTATATTTTATTAAATCTACTTATGGTCAGAGGTTTCACCGGCTAGGGAGCCCACATGTGCGTAATCGTGTACCTATTTTTCGTTTTGCTGTCGAACAACGTTTGACGTTTTACCCTAGCCTAGATGCACGAAAGTCTCGTTTTATTCACCAAAATTTTCTCAAAAGGGGCAATCCTGGTACCGAGCAGTTGACGAATGAGTAAAAATAAAAATGTCCAACTGCACGCTTGCTACAATATGTTGACCCTACCTAATGATTCAATCTTTATATTTTAGGCAAAAAACGAGACAAGTGGTATATGGGATGAATTTATTAGCTGCGTAAAGAGCGAGGTCGTGGATTAAAGTATCGTAACTCATGTCTTCTGTAAATTCTTAGCCGTATTTTCAGTTTCTGTAAATTCTTAGCCGTATTTTCAGTTTCAGTTTTTACCCACGCATATTTACAATTTAGAACTCACTTTGCAACGATTCATGCTTAATAACTTTTTCTCAATCTTAACGGTCTTCCACTATTTCCTCAAAATTGCCAACGACGTGGTATGCTAGACCACTTGCGTCGCGAATTCAATAATTGAGTGGTGGGAGAGGGAATATTTATATGTGCGTTTAGCAATCTCTAAGAAAGGATTGATTTCAAAGAAATTGAATATGGCAAGACAAGCATAATTGAAATGACTCCCTCTCTTCTCAATTATCCAGCTGATGGCGGCCCTTGTACAACACTATATTATGTTTTAGTTTTCCTGGGGGTCAGAGCTTTAATCTGATTAGCAAGTACTATAAATCATTATGCTTAACATAAATGATTATTTGTGAAGTGGGTCATTTTTTGACTATATCTTACCGAAAACCTCATAATTATTAAGCATGTCTAGCTTTTCTATTAATATGTTTGTGTAGTATTTCTTAGCTCGTAGCAGCCGTATTTTATAACTGCGATAGATCAATGAAACTTGCATGATCATAGCTATAAACGTGATGCACATACTGCTTGTGGCTCTAAATAACTCCCGAACGTCGGTCGTTATCAGTCGTGATCAGTCGTGATCAGTCGTGATAAATATAGCTATGCGAACGATAGTCCTCGTGCATCCAAACTTATTTTTTGGTTTTGCTTATCGCGTGGTGTACCCATGTTAGAGGAAAATGTTTTGCATCCTGCAAAGCATTTCTATACGATGCATGCAATGATGTAAATTCTTTTCAGTTTTGCCTGTTTTTATTCCCTTATTGGCCTGAGTGTAGGTGCACGAAAATAGGTCATTCACTCGACTGTTTCATTGTTTGAATGATATGATACGTTGCTGTGTATGTGCCAGCAAGGCAACCCAATACTCCAAAGACAAATATGAAAATATTTTTGGCATGTACTATCCACGACAGTTTGTCATAAAATGTTATTGAGTGGATTGCAACCGGAAACACGAAACCAAGTAGGGACATGCTCAGTGCACCAACCAAGGAGATGATGTTGTGTAGCTGGGGAACCGCCCCTGCCAGGCCACCTAGAAGATATAAATAGACTTCGGATGGATCGGGAGTACTTGCGTTCAACAGCGAAAATTACGTATTTGCAGTGTACTTACATGTGAAAAGGACTAAGATGATTCGAATTGTTATGTCAAATATTAGAACTCTGTTTTCCGGAATCTTTTCTAAAGTAGATTGCTCGATGATCTTCAATGGAACGTACGCTTGTATAAAGTAGGAGAAGAACACCGAAATTGCTACGGCCAGTTTTACGATCGAGAAAAACCTAAAACAGACAACAGGAAATGATTTTAACTATCTTATATGTTTGCTCATGCCTAGAAAGTTTATGTGTTTTGTGTGAAAATTGACGACACGTTTTTTTATATTCAATGCACTTTGCTCAACGCATAGGCCTATTTGGCGAGGGCGTAGGAGGGGCAGCCTCTAACTCCAAGAAAAGATTGAGCGGACAAAGCCAGTCGTGTAATACTTGTAAATGAGGTCGTTCAAGATTTTGTTATATTCAATGCACTTTGCTCAACCTATAGGCCTATTTGGCAAGGGCGCAGGAGGGGCAGTCTCTAACTTGAAGAAAAGATTGAGCAGACAAAGCCAGTCGTGTAATACTTGTAAATGAGATCATGCACGATTGAAACTGTGCCGACTCCCTCCCCCCCATAAAGAATGTTGGCCTGTATCCCCATGTCATACATTCAGTACTCACCTGTCCAATCAACGTGTTTACATGATTGTACCACTTGTGTACATAACTTCGTAGCAATTTCATGCTGTAGCATAGCGTGTATCTTTGTGTTAATAACTTTTAATTATTAGTTGGCTAAGCTTTACTGCAACTACTTCAGCTCTCATAAACGACCTGACTGCACTGTGCGAAATTTACAGCGTCAATTACTTAAGTTTCCATTATTTGGCTTCACTTTTCATGTAAGAAGATCTTCGGGGTATATGATTGTTTGCGACAAAATCATTCTGCTAAATGCACGAGTTACAGTGAAGCCTCGTATTCAAATATCTCCTTTCCAAATATCACACTCATAAAAATGCTTATTTTACACAATGCACGCGTAGAAACGTTCCAATTATTTTTTTGTTGTTTTTCAACAATCGAAACTGTGCTTCAAAACTTTTTTGTAGGGAGGGCAGCACATTGAGGGGTAATCTACGTTCTGTACCGACTTCATGCACATTCTTTAAAAGATTAAGGTCTCGCGCGCTCCTAATTTGCGCCCTTTCTTTTATGCAATGGCATTTTGAAAATCATGTTTTATTGAATGTTGCAGAGAACATTTAGGAGAACAACCTTAACTTATTGTCGAAGAACACAATGGTATTTTGATAAAAAATTGCCAACATAAAAAGGTCTCTTTCGGAATTCACCATGCATTCAGTTTACTCTTCTACAATGCAATTATTTTGTGTTCAATCACTGGCAAAACAATGAATGGAATTAATTTTCCTAAAGAAATGAATCATAAATTTGCTGAAAATTTTGAATTGTACGAGTAAAAGATTCTGTACTGGCTTCGCCACTGCATGCATTTTAACAACAAAACAAAGCCTTCATATTTGGTAACTTATGACAATTGTAACGACTTTTTTACATACGCTGTTCCAGGTAGATTTAGGGTGATGCTTCCTTCGCAATGATCAGTGCAAGTTAGATAACCGAATGTTCCCATGGATATGTAGACAATCATCACTATTGTCATTCCAAACATGACAACTGATGAAAAGTGCTTCGGTTCTCTCATTTCATTTTCAAGCGGAAGAATCTAAACGAAAAATAGATCATGGAACCGTGCCTGTACTTAAATCGCGTCGTGTTAGTGCCAATCGGAAATATTTCCTTGTAAATGAAAACACGTGTGCTTTAGAAAATGAATTAAAATATATTTTATTTTTATCACATAATATGGCAGTAATGCAGTTGTCGTTTGATTTTGGCAACAATTCCTCCCATTTGTTCTGAAAATAGAGCGAATCCTCTGCTGAACATTTTGAAAGTCCTCTTCATTCGATCGTTTACATAGAATGCTCGAAAGCAGAAAGATAAGGAAGAATGACTGCATGCGAAAGATCTGCACGTTAATGGTGTGACACTGGTATGACAAATGTGGAATAATAAGGAAGCCAACTCAACTCATTGAAAAAAAATTTATAGGAGGTTAGAATGTGTCCCTGTAAAAATTTCTTATTTTGATGCATAATAATGCTCCTTTCTTATGTGCGTTCGAAAATTGTATTCGCTCCCGAACGTCAAACGACGTTTGATGCAGACCTGGTCACTAATAATATGTAGAAGATGCAAATCGGATTGGTACACCAACATAGCCGCTATGACGTCATATGAAAACGCTCTTTCTCTATATCAGCGTGTTTCCTCTACTTATCTGGGAGTTTATTTCTTTTTACTACAAGGCTCAGGGGGCTAGCACACACCAGTTCACACGACACGAGCTTGAATATCAATTTCTACTTATTAAAATACCCAATCCAGTACACATGCATATTAGTTTTTTAAAAAACTACATCAACACCATTTGCTCATCATTAGAGCTCATAGAACATTCATTTCAGTACACGCTTTCACTTAATGTCGGACGCCATCGAAAACAATCAAGAATTTTGATAAAGCAAACATTCAAACAAGCATACATATACTTTCAGCAACAGAGAAGTACGGTGTTCTTCGACAACTAAATTAGTTACTACATTGTGTGACTCTATCGTATTTTGTTGTTATCGAACAGACGTAAATGCTATTTGAATGTTCCTTATTGTTATGCAGTAAAAATAATGCTATTGATTGTCGACTGGTGCTCTTGATAGGTGGTTTGCATGTTTAATGAATATTCTACATTTCTTTGGTGAAAGCGTGTAATTTTGTAAAGCGTAGAATGGTTTCTAATGATGAGCAAATGGTGTAATAGTAGGATATAGAAAAGGGGGTTAACAGAGAGCGAGGAATAAATAGAGGTGGGATTTTTTGCTGCCTATCAAGGATGGGGTAGCCAAATAAAGAAAATGGTCCTAAAGGTTTCTGTCTTTAAGTTTTTAAAAACGTGGCGTTAAAACTAGAAAAATACACGCTTCGACTTCTTTGTAGTTCGTATCATCGCTAATGTCGGTAAGCGTTTTTCTTCAACACTTTAACGAAGTTTTCTACCTGCTACGTGTTGTAAATCATTCCCATGAGGTCACTTTGCATGACTCCTTTGTTTTTTGTTGGTACTTACGATTGGTATTGCTTCAAATGCAAACACTGCCACCCCGAAAAACAGAGGGAAGACTGACCAACCGGCAAACGTTGGTAGTTTGCTTGGATTCCCGGAGTTTGGTATCAAATGGACGAATATGGAGAGAACTGCAAAGGTCATCAGAATGTTTGCGCTTGTCGATAACCATGCCAGCGACGATAGATTACGAATCATAATGAATAATATCAGAAACGGACACAATATTAGAATCCACGTTGTCACGGAGAAGTTTGCGATATGAAGTTGCCTGAGCACCTGTACGGCAAAAGAGAAGGCATGCTCTTCAACAACAGAAAATTTTCATACTCATGACAATGATGGCGCTACGCAACGTAAATAATGGTATGTGCGACATTTTAACCTATAGTAGGGTTGAAGAGGTTAGCAATGGGTGATAATGAACTAATTGTGCAATCAATCTATCGGTTTGTCGTTTTTGAATCATCTAATGTTCAAATATCGCGTTCTTCCTTACCGGCATGTTTAAAAGTTTTGATCGATTTCATTCCTAAAATTGCTTTTAAACTTGAAGTTTTAAATTGTTAGAAATATGAACGGAAGTTAAATAACTTGTTACAAAGGTCATTTCAAGCGTACTACTCGCTTCGCCTATATTTTCAGCGAATGACTTTTTCGAGATTTATTTCATTCATTGTGCATACTAAGAAATAAAGAAATGTGATCTTGGCAAATACAGTCGCACTTTAATTTCATCTGCTTTCATACTACCTGTTAAAAACGGGCATTTGATGGAAGCAATTTTCTCAAGCAGTTATAATAGACTGCTTTCAATACTAGTGTCGATGTAGATTTCGGCGCATTATCAAATAAATTGGCCTGATTAATTACGGACTGCTCCTATGAAATATAGTAAATTACGGTTACTAAACCTGCTCAATGTTCTTTGCCACGAATAGTACATAAACTGTGCAAACACCAATTTGCGTTACGCACAGCACAATATTGACGATGTACCTAAAACAATTTCAATAAAATCTATGCTACGAAACTCTTCACGCAATCATGGGAAAAATGGAGAAATTATCTGGTGAACGCAAAAGGGTGTGTAGGACGCGTTCACATATCACATAGACCCTGTGTGTAGTTACTGCGCTAACTCACACCCTGTGTATAGAAACTCACACCACGTGTAGTAACTTACACCGCGTGTAGTAAATCAACCTGTGTGTATTAACACACCCTGTGTAGTTACTGCACTAACTCACACCCTGTGTATAGTAACTCACACCGCGTGTAGTAAATCAATCTGTGTGTATTAACACACCCTGTGTAGTTACTGCACCAACTCACACCCTGTGTATAGTAACTCACACCACGTGTAGTAACTCAACCTGTGTGTATTAACACACCCTGTGTATAGTAGCTCACATCACGTGTAGTAACTCAACCTGTGTGTATTAACACACTCTGTGTGTAGTTACTGCACTATCTCACACCCTGTGTGCAGTAACTCACACCGCGTGTAGTAACTCAACCTGTGTGCGTTGTGTGTTAGTACACAACGTGTGTGTAGTGTTTTCGACTAGCTGTTGAAAATTTCGAAAAAGCAAACCCCTAGATTGCTGCTTGCTAAAACAAAACCTCATCGGAAAAATGATTCGGTTAACGTGAAAGATTTTCAGCTTTATTTCTCTCATTACCTTCCAGCTTTTGCGTACGATGGAGTCACCAGACGAAAACATTCCTCAGCAGTGTCCCCATAATCTAATGGCTTGCGTTTACTTCTAGTTAATGGAAAAGTGTATTAACTCGATATTATATCATGTATAACTTTTAAAGATAAAGATATGTTATCTTTTCGATAAGTACAGATAATCATTATCTCAAACAAAAAAGCTTTGTGTTTGTGACTAGAACTACGTTTTTGAGGGTATTGGGGAATTTGCTAAACGATTATCCATAGAATTTTGCTAACAACAAGTCAAAAGGAATTTATCCATCCTTAAACTTTGTCAGCTTGTTCTTCCTCCCAAAACCACGGATGTCCGAACTGCATGAACAATTACCGAAAAGAGTAAAAGCTTGTTGATGTTTGACGTGATGGTATGCCTGCATCCGGGATATGGATGTATCTTACTAAACCAAAATTTCTTTATGTTGAACAAATTTGCCATTTTACAATTGGGACATCGGAGTTTATGAAAATGAAGGCGTTTTAGTTCCACAACTGTCAGTGTTATGTTTAAATGTTCCGTTTGGTTTTCGTGTAATTCTTTAGATTAGTCGTAATGCACTTTGATTTTCTTTAGTTAAAAAAAGTAAATGGTTTGAATCCGGGCGTATCGCTACACGTTTGTCGATGTAGATCGTCCTGGTTAGTTTTGACGCTTACTCCTCAGTTTATTCTGAAAACGTTTGAGTGTCGACACCTACACCAGCAGTCTTTTTCATGCACTAACAAAATCTATTTCTACAAATATGATTTGTAGTCAAGTGAAGGTTTGATAGCATTATATTCGCAGGGAGGACAGAAAATTTTAAGTCACTTAAACCATCTATAATATGACTACAACAGTACAACTGCATACAAGCGACACACTTTGCTACATTATTACAGGTGGCAAGCTCTTCGGCTGAGCTGTGAAGTGTAAAAACCATACATGGTAGAAGATTGCATTCACCGGAGACTGCACATCGATGTATCTTTGAAATTCACTTACTCTTTACTAAGCTGTCTTGCACTGTCCACCAATATTAGCATACAATGGGTAGTGATGATTGCCACGATGAATAGAGACAAGGGACCAACCTTTAATGAAAAAAAAACAAAGCCATGTAAACGAAGTTTTGTTTCAGTGGCATGTATACAAGCAGTCAAAGAAAGCTCGAACGAGGAACAGATAATCTTATCAAACTTATAACACCATCTTTCTAGGTTAAGTGGGTCATTCTGCAATTTTGCTTAAGGTGCGGATGATGTCTGACGCTCAAGAATTTAGAATACTTTTTTGATAAATTTCTGTACCATGCACAGTTATAATTATTATTCTTTTAGATGTGTTTTGTCCTGATTGAACGAATATTGATCTTTTTGGCTCTTTGTAGTGATACAATTATGGTTTATGATTTTAAAAATGCCGTGGATGTCTTTCTTACACATCTAGCTATAAAATTTTACCGGTTATAGTTTCAGATACTTAAGCATCGGTTTGATTGGAAGGTTTTTATCAGAACATACTGACGTAATTTCAGATACTTAAGCATCGGTTTGATTGGAAGGTTTATCAGAACATACTGACGTAATTTCAGATACTTAAGCATTGGTTTGATTGGAAGGCTTTTATCAGAAGGCATTTTTAATTACTTGCTGTAACTAAAATTGTAAACGATGCTTTTCTGCCAATTTTTCTGCTTCATTGCTTTGCTTGTTTTTTTTTTAAATCATGATGTATATCATGTATTAGTTAACAAGCGCAATAGACTTTGCATGAGAGAGTTACGGTACGGCACAGTAAGTTCTGTTTTTTCTTGAAGTATTTTATTTGTTGTTTTTTTACTAATTGTCAGACAAGCTTCTTAAAGGGCAAGTCGATTTCTTTAGGAAACATTAGCTACTTTCTCTATCGCAATTTACGTTATCATCGTTTGACTTGGCCAAATGAAAATATAGTTTGCGCTCAACATTCAGAAACTTTTTTAATATTGGAGTGTCAAAATCATGAAAAATTTTTAAAATCGAAAGACTAGATTGCTGAAAACGGACAATTTGATAGTAACCCTTTATTCAGCAAATTTTTTGTTCAACTGAGTTTCGATTCGTTGTTATTTTATACTTTTACGATCGCTATTTCAAAAAGCCATCATTTAAAAGGAGGATTGACTCATCTCAAAAGTTTTAACTTTTTCAGAGTCGTCATTTCGTATGAATCAAATCGAAAAGTCGTCAATTTGAAGTTGATCATCTTTATCTTTTAGGGAGCCTTTTCGTTTTGTACAGGTTATACGTTTTGTATACAAGCATAATTCTTAGAATGAAAAAGATTATTTCGCAATGGAGTCCCGTAAAGCGCAAATTGAGGTTGCAATGGTATAAACGAAGACAGCTTTGGTTGCAAAGCGCAATTGGTGCGAAATGCCTTAATATTTGATTTTCTTGAGTTCAGTAAGTCTCTAACAGTAGACTTTCTAATTATTTAAAGAAAAAACTCTGTCGGATAATTAGATAAAGAAGACTTAGAACAGACTGCAAGTACAATGTTGCATTCACCACTTACAACAATCCCAGCATTCATCACTGCAACAGGTAGGCCAAGAATTCCTGTTCCAATGCTTACTTTCAAGAGATGCATTAAACTCTGGAAGTTTCTATGGAATAAGTAGAATACAAAAGTGTAACGTTTCCTAATTTTGCATGGTGTGGACAATTTTCGGAAAAAACTCGCACGAATAAATGTAAACTACAACATTTCATTCGCTACAAAAGTAATTCGTAGTTTGACAGAAAGTAGGTCAAGAAAAAACGTCAAAAGTATAAGGATCGCATTGCAATGAAAATTAAGACGTAATGGCAAACCAAGCTGTAAGGTAGCGAGTCTGCAACTCTGCTCGTGCTATGTAAATATTTTGTTGTACTCTCATCGTAAAAACAATAGATTTCTAAAGCAATAGATAAAGTTAATAATATGAAATTCGCATAGCATTACCGGACCTTCAGTTTGCCTAGCGCTACTGCGCGGATAGCAATACTTTAAAAACTTCAAAACATTTTAATTTTATCAAAAAATTTAGCTGTCAATAACACGTTTATACACCTGGGTATAGTTACTAAAAGCTGCCTGGCTGAGAATGAAAATGGTAACACTTACGATGTCTTTTGAGACTTTTCGTGCAAGTCGCTTGTGCTGCCTTCAATGAGATTTTTCTTTTCACCATTCATGGTGAATAGATCTTCATCCTCCGACATTTTGTCTGATCTTTTGTGGTTTCACTCAAATTTCTTTTGTTTTTGTCAGTGTAGTGCTTTTTTTTTATCACCTTTTGTTTCTGTTAGTGTAGTGCTCTGTTTTACCACCTTTTCATAAAACTATCTTTTGGTACGGATCCACCTTCAGTTTTCCATGGACTGACGGGAATTCGGTTTTCTCTGATGTTGACCGTTGACACTAATACAAAAGTATTTCATTCATTAATATGAGCCTGCGTATCTATTTGTGTCCGTGTCTTGAAATACTTCAATCTTTTCATACGTACGTACGATGGTAACTTCTATTGGCTTAATAAGAAAAGATGCAGTAGTGTTGACCTTAGGTCGCGACCCTTAATTCTCTCTGAAATCACTGGTAGTGGAAATGATGCAAATTTATGTTATGAAAACAATGCATTTAAATTAAACTCCACGAAAAAGACCACCCTCCTCCCTAAGATAAATTATTACAAATGCTAAATGAATGAATTCCAGCCAGCCTGTAAAAGACCAATTGCCACATCGCCCTGTTGTGATACAATAATCTGTGCATTCTTCAAACTACTTAACAGATGACGGTTGTACCAAAGAATAATGTACCTCAAAAGTCACCGTTTTTTACCTGATTTTAAAATTTTATAATGCTAATTTATAAACTGTGTGTTTTCGAATTCAAGAGAAGATACGTCCTGTTTTAAAGAAGGAGTTTTTTACCTTATTCTTCACATGGAAGAAAGCAAATTAACAATCAAGTTTCATTAGCTGTGTGTTTAATTATACATGGGATTAATTCATTAAGAATTTATAACAAAGTATCTCGGGAGAACTTTTTGGGTCGTGTATTTATATTAAATTTTTCCAATTATTATAGCCGACATGCAGATGGTAATCCCAAATTTTACACTCAGACAACCAAAATGAAATACAGCAAGATATGGAGACAATCAATGAACATGCATCATGGCATGAAAAAACACCTTCAAAATGGGGCTTCCTCATGCAAGACATAATGCGGGAATGGTTATATGCCTTCTTTACTCAAAACACACCCACGTGTTCTTCATGCTTTGATTTTTAAAATTGGAAATCAACACAAATGTGTACTAAAACTGTTCATACCAAAAGCTCACTCAAACTCGCAATCATTGATTGGCTCTTAAAAATCATTGCATTCTTTTTACATGGAGCTTCAAAAGTTTTATGATTCGTCAAATGTTGGTATTCTAACTATGAACTCCAAATTTTCATTTCATATAGAGTCTCGACATTCGACCAAAACTGGAAAACACGCCTGCAGGTGCTTTTCATAAATGACAAAAAGCTTGTTGAATGGTAACTAAATGTACCTTTATAAGTAATTAGCTAATTCATTTTGATATTTTGTTGATATTTTCGAATTACAAACTGGCGCAAATGAAAATCGAGTTTAGAACATTGTGGAGCGCACTTTGCAAAGCGATCGACATGAAAAAGCTTTTTACTGATTTTGCTATTATGTGATTTCGCATGAGCAATCTTCGTCAATCTCTCCTATCCAATAGATATGCGCCGCTATTCAATAATATAGGGACTTTCTATATAGCGGGCTTAAGGAAAAGTTCGTTAATTTTATGAAACTGTAACAATATACAATCGGTATTTGAGAAAACACATTGTTTCATTCTTCTCAAATTCAACTGGTATATTTATAAACCTTTTTGTGTGTTTTTAAAAATACTCGACGTGCGTAGGATAGCAAAAGCGGTAAGGTTTTTTTCTTCATCAGAAGTGTCATTGTGTGCACAGCCAACTTCGATGGTTGACTTTGTGATTGAAGACATCATGCGGTTATATACATTTATTTTCCTTATTTTGGAAGAAAATTATTACAAATATATGCTGTGATTCTTCAACATTTTATTAATGATATGCTTTTTTTTTGGTTTTCATATCTATAAGTTAGCGCGTCTCATTAATTCTTAGATGTATAGATTCCTGTAATAGCATATTGTTCATCGGAAGTCAATTATACGGCAACGTGTGCAATAAGATAAATGTTTATTTTTTTCTCGCTTTCCCACAAATCACAATGCTTTGATTCCTCTCATTCTTTGGGAACGAAATGTGCTTCAGTGTCATTTTCATTTCGCGATTACTTCTATAAATGATCGACATAATCGCCAGCAGAAATAATTTAATATAATTCGAAAATTCAATTTATTTTATGGCAATGAAGCTCACCCAGACATTTCCTGTTTCCAATCAGTTTTCTCGCAAGAGAACTAACTACAAACTCAATATGGCAAACAGTTTGGCAATACTTACGAGCCTTTGCCTCGAATGTTCAACTTTATGAAATTCACTCCATATTTGGGATCTTTTTAATTTCACGATTGAATGAAGCTTGCGGATTTAATTAACCCTGAAACAGTTGCCACTAAATAAGGCGAAATCTTTGTGACGTACTCGTTAATTTCGTCTCGAGATATATAAGGCGCAGAAATATATTCTAACCGGCTACAACCTGCCACTGTCAGTGCTGATTATATTTGTTTATATTTTGCTTTTATCCGCAAAACCGAAGATAATTTGCATTATTTCGTGAAGGGCATTTACATATGAAACTTTTGCTTATTTCACAGCTGTCTTTGCACAAACGCCTACTTAAATATCTTAACCTGCGCATTTTTGACAAAAATACGAATCTCCATGAACATAAGAAAAAATTTTCTCGTTGTATTTGCTATACACCAATGGCCAGTTACTTCGCACTATAACTTTGGTCGCCAATTTTCTATTCGGAATACTGCAACGTTTTCCTATTCCTTTCGTCCCAAGCTTTTTATTTCGTTACTATAAAGTGCACAATATTACATCCAACCTGCTCCTATTGAGCATGATAAAATCGTCCAAGCTAAATAACTTCGCGATTATATGTTACCTAGCTATGTTTTTTGAGGTTTTGTAGTTAATGCAAAACACAGCATAACAGCGTCGGACGTCGGGTCTCAGCGAGAGATTATACAAACAAAGAAAATGCGCAAGATTGCTTCCTGCTGTTGCAGCGTTGCAAGTGCGTGCTTTCCTTTCCTTTTATATCAGTTTTTTAATAGTTTGCCGAGGAAATTGTTTTATTTCCAAAATTTTTTATCAAAGCTTCATCCCAATAAATTAAATGGTACCATTTGATGAAATTCAAAACGATTCTAGTTCGCATGTCAATCAAATATTGCCGACGCTTACCATAGAAATAAGGTCTTTTTGCTGAACACGGTACCTGAATTTGGTAGGCGCATGGTTGATAAATAGCTACTTAAGGTGTGCCTTGCACAAAAGGGAAAATTTAACAAAGATTAGAACAATCAGTCAAGGTAAAAGGGATAATTTATAAAAGTGTGGTTGGACCAGCAATAATGTATGGCATGGAACGATGGTCCCTACACCATTGGAAATGCTAGAAGTAGTTGAGAATGGTCAAGTGGATACCTGGAGTGAATCAGAAATGAAAGCAGTCGAGGCACTATAAAGATCACGAGGATTGAAAAAACTTAAAAGATGCGAGCTGAAGTCCGGGTTTGAACATGTAACAAGCAGAGAAGAGTTATGTCGGGAGACTGGTGTTAGGGAGCATTAGCAAAGACTACGAGTACGACTGCGAGTACAAAATACGTCATTTTGGTGCGAAAGCATTGTTGCGACAAGAGCAACACGTATAGCCGTCTTCAATCTGAGTACGATGCTTTGTAAAAAAATCGTAGTCGCGACTACGATGTTTTTTAAAGCGAAGAAAGTAGGTATATTTTTTTTGTGTAAGAAATTAGTTAAAGTGCTACCGTGCAATTTAGGAGATGAATCACCATGAATGTATGTTGTGAGGGAAAATAGGGAGCTTTAGCAAACCCTACGAGTACGACTACGAGTACGAATTACGTCATTTTGGCGCGAAAACATTGTTGCGACAACAAAAACACGTAGCTGTCATCAATCTGAGTACAATGTTTTGTAAAAAATTCGTAGTCGCGACTACTATGTCTTTTTAAGCAAAGAAAGTAGGTATATTTCTTCATTTTGTAAGAAATTAGTTTACAGTACTATTTTCGAGCATCCAGGCTTTAATTTAGAACTCTTTTTGAGCGCAGATGTACATTAATATGACCTGCAAAACTTTCATGTATTTCGTACGCAAAGTGAAAGGTAAATAAACAATAAAATAGTACAAATATATCGTACATAAAACTTAAAATAGTGAAGATTTTTCAGTCTAAAGAGTATTCTCGCAAAACCAGTATTACCGATTCATTGATATCATTATTGACAAATAGGGCCGTAGCTGCTTCGCAAACGTCGGTGTTTTACACAATAAAAAGGCTCGTTCTGTTGTTTACAACTAAAACAAAATTTTGGCGAAGCGACAACGACAACAAACTTCCTCGTGCCATTCTCTTACACGGTCAAACTTCGTACTCGTTGTCGTAGTCGTACTCTTGCTAAAGCTCCCTAATATCTTAAGTTTACTCAGTACGACCAAACGTGCAGACTGGCTATGCCAATGTTTACAGTTTAACTTACCAGGTGTTATTTTAGTTCTTAAATTTTCATTCAAAATTTTTCACACGCAGCGTTGTTGTTATAGTAATTTAAAAGAAAGCAACATAAACACTCTGAACTACGTATATACACTGGATTCACAACTTGATTTACTATATGGTTTTCTGAGCCAGATTCAGGGCTGGACCCAGAGGACAGGGATCCTGGCTCACTTACCAAAAGGAACCAAGAGAAGATATCCAGTCAACTGATAATAAAAGCGACGACCACAGAACAAACGCTAATATTAAATATGGGCTAACGATGTTGAATAACAACCAGTTCCAAACGTTAATGGCATTGGACTGGGGCCATTCATAATCTCAAGTGAAATAAATGACGACTGCCTTTTTAAATGTGAAAAGAATGCTCATTTTTTGCATGCAGAAAACATTTAAACACAAAACTTATCATTCCAGCATGCAAATATTTGGCTCTAGCCGATGACCTCAATAGGTTTGACCGTATTGTTGAATTCGGACGAATATATATCTAAAAAATGGAGCACAAAAGCCAGAAGAAAATTGTTCAAATCATATGCTGGCCGCTTGTATATGCAATTTTAACTATACTCTAAGATTTTAATGGTCTTGCGATCTTAAATTGTAAACACATTTTATTATTGCTTACTGACCTTGTAAACTATCAGCAGCTTCGACAAATGATATTGTAAAGGATATTCAACAACTGATTGCAAATTAATTCTTATCGTGCTCATAATAAGTACACTCAGAAATAAAAAAATACAGTCTTCAAAACATGTTTCAAATAACTGATTTTTGATGGTTTGAGTGACTTATGATATGATTTTTACATTCTACTGCACTCTATTTGTATTCAATCTCAATGTAAATAATCTATTAGAGCACAGGTACCTGTTTTTAACGAGTAACCGCTCAGAATGGAAAATATCAATCGATTATTTTGAACTGAATGGATTCCAGCAACTAATTACTATGTCAATCAAGCAACCTGCACACATCTGTTTATGTCGTTGATCGTTCTCGTTTGTTTACAAATAACTAACAGTTAGAAATTTTGCTTTCCTTTCCATGCGCTATAGAATGCTCTGCAAAAAAGCTCATCTTGCTTGTCATAGCGATATAGTAAAAAATATTCTGAACTTCGATATTTTTGAAAACTTGGATTATTAAACTTGGTTTTTCTAAATTTTACAAAACCTTAACTCAAATATGCTTTGGATTCTTGTCTGCGACTCAGAGGTGTTTTGAGGAGCTACCGCACCGGCTATCAACAATCGATTTCAGAGTCATATCTCAGAGACGTCTTCCAACTTGCACTCAATGATTTCATTCTTTTAAAGAGGCTTTGTACTTTCGAGCTTTGTTCCCACACTGTAATAATGAAACAAAGTAGATTCCAGCTCTTATAAAGTTGGTAGGTGAATTTAATCTTCCCTCATACACTCTTATAAGGAGGCCTAGTGCATTTGTACCGGCACTCTACATTTCTACACTGCCTCCTTTCCCCTTGGGAACGCTGCTGTTTGTGAATAGCATGCTGCCGATTTTAATCAACACGAAAAGCTTATTAATTTAAAGCCTTTTTTTAACGTGATACCATTTTTTTTGGTGTTCACTAAATTCATGCAAGTTTGATCGTGATTATATGATTTGAAAAATACGAAGCTTTGATCTCTCATCTTAACAATAAGAAGCTGCCAATCTATATACAAGAAAAGGATCAAGTAAAGATACAGGCTCAGACACTGTTGAATGTTTTTAAGTATTTATTCTCTCTTTCGGAAACAAAAATAAATTTATTAATCGGCACCATGTTACTGATGTTAGTGATTTCTTTGACATATGCAAGAGTAGTCACGCTATGAATGTTTCAGAAAATTATGGTTTATACATTACCTGAGTACCAAGCGAAAGAGCAGGGTATGCCACTGGCTACACCTATTCCTAGAGCTAGCACGTGATTGGAGTTTTCATTCCATCATGTTATCATACCCTTTGATCTTCAACATCATCAGCAGGTCGCTCGGAAGAAGGTAAGATTGAAGAGGAACTGAGATGTTAAGTATGGGAATACATGATTTATGAAGAAAATAGAGCACATGAAGAGTTCGTGCTTATGAAAAGTTAGTGAGAAAACAATATACCTGTGACGTTACAACTGAAAAATTTTACTAGCAACAGTAAATAATTAGCAAAGCACAACGCTGTTCAATTCAGTTTTATGAACAAGTTGCATATCCAGTGTCGTGTTCTTCTTAGTAAGTTTCTCGTGCAGTTGCGGATCCAGCGTTAGTAAAAATAAATTATGGCTCCTTAATTTTGATTTCAAACTACTTTCAGAAAAACACTATTGGTTTTGAATTTCTAAAGAATATAATTTCCCCTATGGATGTGCTTCAAAGGGCTTAAAAATGTAAATATATGCTAAATTTGCCGCAGTAATTTATTTTGACTAACCCTTGATCCGCCACTGGAGAAAGTAGGCTACTTTCCCAAATACAAGAATCGAGAGCCATTCAATGCAGGCATTTATAGTCAAATGCAGGTTTACATGTTGTAAATCAATTGGTCGAGTAAACTATCATCCTTTCATGCACGTAGCCAGTGGTTTTGAAGTGATTTGGTTGAGAACACTTTGAGTAACAAAATAAAATAAAAAAAGAGCCAATAATCGATAAATAGCTTTTTGTACGAAGTCTTAAACCACCATCCTTTTAATGCGTTCTAATCTTTATTATTTGCCTTTCCCATAAAGACAACCTCTTCTCAACGATGGGGAGAGGGTTGGGGTGCTCGTTCGTACGTCTACGACAATAACCTTTTCCCAGGATGTGATTTTTGATGGTTTGTTATGACGTATTTTGGGATCAAACAAATGTCCAGGTAGCGGATGGAAATCATTTATTGAAAATGTATTAAAGTCGTATCATAATTATGCCATAATTAATTTGCTATGATGGCAATATGGCGGACGTGGAGGACGCTGAGAAAATTGTCACTGAAACTACTACAACTACCACTGAAAACAAGGACGATGTCGAAAAATCCACTGCTGACGAAAACATCGAACAAGATACATCTTCTTTACCGAAATCAAGTGAATCAAGCAGCAATCCTGCCTCAGATGCGCGAGCTTTGCTCGCAAATCTAATATCCCTTGTACAAAGTATTGAAACGGAGACTGGCGAACCAGATCATAAGAAAGTCGTGTACGAAGTCTTTGGCACGGTATGTGTACAAAATTTACGTGTGTACATTACGTGATGCCTTGACAAAAGTTGCTCAAAATTAGCGATTTCCCTTCCTGATATTAAGGAACAACTCATTGTTTCACTTGTGTTAAAATTAAGATGTAATTGTTACATTTATGGTTTATGACATATATATTTTTATAGCTTGTCGGTGGAAGCTTTGATTTGGAAATCAATTTCACCATAAACAATTCGCCCAATCTACTGATACTTTTGGAACTGCTTCAATACTGTAGCGCATCCTTGTCCGTAAGTATTAAGTATTATGTATGCATGATTGGTTATAGATGTGATATTGCTCGTCGAAGTATGTTTTTTTCGCCTCAAACGAATATTTGATTTAGTATTAGTTGCCGAAGGTAATGAAAAATAGATAATATTATTAATCACGTGAGATTTCGTCCTTGAAGCCCTCCAAAAGCAGCTATTTGGCAATTAGTTCTTGATTTCTTGACATACCCTGAAAACAAAGATTCTTTTTGCTGTGGAAAAGGCACTTCCGTTAGCATTTTTCCAAATTCTCCAAATTTATGTTTTATTTATGTTCTATTGTTGTTATATCAATTTGGAAGTTCAATAAAAAGTCAGCAGGTGTTTTTGTTGACACAAAGGATTCTTCATTCAAGCATACTTTCTGGCTATTTTAATTTATGAGAAATGTGATATATATTTGAGATGTATCTTATTAATGGGTGCTTCTGTCTTACATTAAGTGAAAGCCATTTTAAGCCATGTGAATTGAGTGATAATTTATGGTTCTTGCTCTTTTCTTGATGCTCCTATTGTGTGTGAGAATGCTTACTTGAGCCTTCCAAAAGTATTGTGCTTCTACTCTAAACTGCAGTTTGCCTTTATGCTTCATATGAATCTTTGAGAAGAAAAGTGGGATTGTTGTAATGATTTGCAATCATAGTTTAAGTTTCATTCAAATAACAAAATTACAGACATCTTTCTTTTGTTGCATTGCTATTGCCTGACATTAGTATTCAAATTTGAAAATGCCCTATTATCATTTGATTGGATAGTACGTGACTTTTATATTTATTCAATCTTGAAATGGGGTCTCACTTTCACACACTTTTAACATAATTAATCATGCACTTCTATTGTCCAAACACTTTATCAAAGAAATATGTTGTTGATTTCAATGTGTATATGTTGGCTTGCATCCTTATAGTAAGGTCTTTCCAATTAGGTTGAAATCCTTGGATTTCTCATCTCCATTCTCAAACGAAGCATAACCAACCTACAAATATGTACAAGCATTGGATTAATTGAGCGTATTCTGCAACGATTGCCTAATGAAATTGATGTTGTTGCAGGTTTGTAACCATACAATTGCATATACTTGTCAAAATCCTTTATTTCCAGGCATCATTAGTGTAGCCAGCCTGTAAGTTTGGTCAAGCTTTGAAAGATCAAGATTATTATTTCTTTATAAATCTGTTGTTTTCGTAGTGAGACATAAATCTGTTGTTTCATAGTGGTTTGCTTGCATTTTCTACTTTTTCGCCTCTTGGCAATTTTTCCTAAACTAATTTTCTCGAAAGGCTCGACTTATATGTTTTATTTTATTCCTTAGACAAATTCATTGAGCTGTTGGGTGTTCTTGCCGCGTATAGTATAACTGTTAAGGAGTTGAAAACACTATTTGCCGCTTTGCATGGGAAACAGGGACGATGGGTAAGTCTTATCGCTATTGTGTTATGGATTCTACTGTTTTTGACGAAAATAGAAGTTGCGCACAGTCGTTACGAACGTGGTAAAACAATAAAGTTATTGTATGCGACACTTGATAATTTCCAATGGTTATTGAAATTGTTACATTTTGAGTAACAATTGAAGTTGACTCGAACCTAAGCCTCCGTTCGTCTAACCCTTATCAATTTCAATGTTTTATACATAGCAAAAACAATATTGGTTACAACGTAGTGGTCAGGCGTTGTGCAACGTATCTGTTTCTACGCATACGTATTATCTGGCCAGCGGTGCTGGTATACTGACATGCTCAGTACGAGAAATATTGTTGGGATAAAAGACAGTTAAATTTTCAACAGTAGCTACATTTCAGGAAGCTAAATCGCAGCAAAGTTTAGTTGTGTATTTACAATCGAAACAACTGGATCTCATCTCGTGATTTACTGTCTTTCAGAGCTGTTTGTGATGACTATGCTTGTAACGATGTCGTGAAACTTTAGTGTCCATTCTGTGCAAAAATATATGCAACGCCGGATTAGCAGATCGCAGCATGAAACATCGTTGAAACATTTTAAGGAAATTTACTCGCCCTGATAATGATCGGGTGTTGTTTGACCGGTTTCTATAATACAATGAGTCATATTAGTATTAAGAAAGAATTTTAATTAAGTAAGCCATAACTTTGCACAAGAGAGACACAATTATTTTCTTACGTATTCAAGTGTCTTTAATACCATCAATTTAATCGCATGAAAAATATCTAAGTGGCTATGCCACCGAAACTCGCTGGTTCTTTGTCGAAGGATTTTTTCAAACTGCATATTCAATGCTGTGTCATGCACTTTCGTTTTTCTAGCCAAAGCATGCTGCAAGACTGTTGAAGGTGTTAAGGGTGCTGCCAGAACGTCGCGGACCTGACGTCTACTTTGATTTCACTGGAAATCAAGGAGCAGTAAGTAGATGCTTCATTTAAAAATACTATATTGTTCTGTCCAGTCTCTGGACATGTATACACAGTTTTCATGAAGTACTTGCTATATTCAGTCGTTTCGTTTCAAGAGCTTGATCGATTACTAGTGATAGAAAATTAGCAAATTGGTAAGGTACGAGGTATTTTTCTGTACAAGTTCTACAGTACAAGACAGTTCTTGTGATCAAACTTCATGCTTTTGGTGAGAGAAAAGTTTATAAAGAAAGTTGTCATAAAATGACCATCTATAAAAGATGCCTTGCTTAAATTAAAATGACTGTGATATTAAATGAATTGAATGAAGGTGTATTTAAAACATGTAAATTTTTTCACGTTTGTCTGCACGATTCAATTTTTCTACCAAAGATCATTACGTAATCCCCGGTAACCATTTTTGTTGGAAAAATTACAATAAGCCCTAAGCCTTTTTCCATGGGGGGACGGTTTACAATCGTTGAGGTTAATGTGTGGACTATGTTAGGATGCAATGATCTGTTAACACTTCACTGTTAAATATACGCGGGTGGGTCTTATACGCCGTGGGAGGGGGGAGGGAGGCTTTTATGTGGAGTTAGGTGTCACGATTGTATTTGACCAATGACCTAGAACACAATCTACTAGATATCCGACTCTGTCAAAATTCTATTGTTACGGGTTAGGCAAGCCGCCATCTTGAAAGGTGGCCTAACTGACAATATTTACGATTAATATCTGCTTTTCCCGAGTTGATATGCAGTTACAAAGTTGATAAGTTGATAGTCTGGCTGGGTTTTTGAACTGTTTTTTAGCTTATTTTTATTTTGAGTTTTGCTTTTTCCACCTTTAAAGATGGCGTAGTTGCCTTACCTTGACACGGTAGAGGATTGGGTTCTAAATCATTGTGGTAAACGTATTCAAAAAAGGCATTATGCACGGGGCTGTTATCGGCGGAGGTTTACGTTATTCTATGTCACCGATTGGATCTTGCTTTTCAATGTATCACAGTCATAGCAAGACCTCGAAGTCTTTAGGTTAAGTTTTTTGTTTAAGGTATTGTACGTTTTAGGCCATTACTGTACCACCTATTGCTAAGTGGCCTCACCAACCTGGCTTTACATTTTCAACATGGGTGTGTCTGGATGGTTCGGTTATTACGAACGCCGAGAAATGTCGACCTTACTTATATTGGTAAGTAGTGTTTGTGCGGTGTATTTGAATGTGATTCTCATGTCGGTTAAAACACCTTAACTCTTTTCAAAAACTCTTTGTACTGGTGTGCCATAGCTGATGCTCTCACGTAGATATAATTTTGCACTGAGTATTTCAAGCAATTGTGTATTGCAATAGATTTGGCAACAGTTTGAAGAAAATTAAATTTTCTACCTTTGGATGTATGCAATGCAACAACCAAGGACAGGTCCGTAAATAGAACCTTAATTGGGGAGAGTTATTCATAAATTCAGAAATCATTCGGGTACATATAAATATATGAATAACTTCTCTCCTCCCTCGTACATTTGACGCTCTAGTTACGGCCATGAAGGGATCAACTATACTTTGTCGCTCTGTAATTTAAAAAAATGAGCTAACTGGGTATGCTCGGTCCTCTGGAATCCAGATTTAAGTGCGTGGGAATCATTTTCTAGATAGGTTTGTAAATTCGTCAATTTTTCCTTTTAGCTTTCGCACTGGAAAAGGAGTTGGTTATTCAGCGCATTTTTCTGGTCCGATGCTGGTGATCGAGTCCGCTGTTCGTCAAAGCAAACGTGAAATACGCTACGTTCGCCATCTTGTCGGTCATCAGTTTTATCCTCAAAAGGTGAATTTGTCTAACCTCCATTCCTCCATTTTGTACTTTGAAAAACGTCCGTCAATGATCGTTGGTCGTACATTTATGATGTCATTATCAATATGTATAAATAAGGCAGCATTAACTATTCACCAATGTCCCCCTTATTTGTAGTATATAATTGACATTTTGCCCGCCCGAGATTCGAGTAGACTCGTAATCTTAAATAGCTATATAGCGTATTCAAAGGTATTCAACTAAAATAATTTTATTCACGATTTGTTTTACAAGGAAACGAGAGTACCCAGCCTATTTCGGGACTATTATTTTTCTATGTAGGCCGTTTCGCTCTACACAGATTGAATATAAGCCATGTTGAATTTCCACGGGGGTGAAAATCTTTTGTGTAATTATGCATCTTAAAACATCAAGTGGTATTTTTATACACTTAGAAAATTCTACTCAATAGTTTTCCATTTTTCCTAATGTGCCCACCGACCGTTGTTGTTTTCTTTTCTCATTTTACGTTTTGTCAGCTATATAAATTAAATTAAAACACTAAATTGTCTTGTTGGAGTATGGTATTTTCGAGCTTTCTTCCAGATTTTATTCGAAAGTTTGCTTGTATGACAACAAGGCTAAGTATCTTTCACGTTATTTTGACCATGTACATAAAATAATTTCTTATAGCAAGGACTTCCTCTAGAATTTTTCTTTATTTTAATACATCATATCCCATGATGCATTAGATGGATCATGTGATCTTTTGGATATGTTCTGGAATGTTAAGTTACTTCTTAGTTTTATAAGCTCAAAGAAGGCAAACGTTGCTGTCTTGCTCGTTATTCTATGTTTGAATAAAATTTTTGACATTTAGCACCTTTTTATTCATCGCAAGTACAGATGCTTTTCAAACGTCGGTCACTGTCGAGTGGGAACTTGGAACTGGGCGCATTTAACGTTTGTGTCATCTTTTTTCTTTTAGTGGTTCATGTTAACCATCGTCCATACCTACAGTCGTTTTCGTTCGAGCGAAGTGAAATGTTATGTTAACGGTGAACTTGTTTCTGGCGGTGACCTGACGATGGCTCAAACCAACGAGGTAAATTCTTTGCAATGTTTTAGAAATGCATGTAAACTACGTATGTATTTCTATTATTCGTCGCTCAATATTCACACACAAACACGTTCAACTACGAAGCCACATTACAAATTCAGAAGTCGAAGCATAACACGAATTGCAAACGTCCCATCACATCTAAAGCAATATTATATAATTCCGAAAAACTCGTAACTGATTTTTCCGTGTTTTTTGTTTGCTCACTAAAGGAGTCTGTTGATGAATAAGCATTGATTCCATTTTAGTGTTCGTGTGAGTTGTGTCTGTACGTTTAAATGAAAGAGAATCGTCCTCGTTAATGTTTCGGAAAAATGCCATACTATCTTCATAGTTCAACCAGTCGGACCTAATAGTATTTTATGCTTTCTAAGGACTGTGTTGGGGGTAATAGAGGATAATCTTGTGCAACATGATTGATTATATCAATCGTTGCATTTTATATAAAACGTATATACCGAAAATTTTCATTATGTGAATCAAGCATTTTGTCAAATGTATCAAATCTGAATCGTAATAAGGAAGAAATTTTCCTCATATAGTCCAAATCATTTTGTCCAAATCGTAGACTAAAATGGATCCGTGAGTCGTCTTTATTTTTGAACCTCTGTACATATTTCACATTTTATTGCAATTCTTTAAGCCTCTGGACAAATGCTATATTGGCAGTTCACCGAGTGCGGACGAAAAGAGCGTGTTTCGTGGGCAGTTGGGCGCTGTTTATCTTTTTACTGATGCGCTGTCATGGCCTGTTATTCAGGCAGTTTATCATCTCGGACCTGGCTATAAGGTGTGTCATCTATCAATGGGTTTACTTTCGTATTTATTTTTTCATGTTTGTGCAATCATGTATTCAAATATGCTACGATTTATGACAAAAAGCGGGAGTGTTTCTTTGGCAAGGACAGTCAAAATTAGATCGTGTGGTTTTATTTTGTGTGTGTGTTTCGGGGGTGGGGAGGCATTGGGGCGGTGTTGTGTGTACTTTTTGTTCTTTTTAATATTTACAAATGGTTACACATGGAAAATTCGATTTTTTCTGGGCAGCACTGTGCAAATGGGGAATAAAATCTTTATTAAGCTCGCTAGCACAGTTTTTTTTATCAGATACAGTAAAATCCATGCAATTACTTGATTACAACGTAGCAGGAGATGAGCGATACAACTCAGATGATTTCTTGCTTTTTTAATGTAGATTTTTCACTTTTTTTCTGATTTTTTACACTCTTCAAACAGATATGTGCTCGGTTGCAGATTTTTACACTGCTGTATTAGGCATTAAATACGCTGAAACCCACCAATCACAGCCGTTAATTTCGCGGTATAGTGCTAAGTCGTCATAAGGAAAGCAGAAAATTTCTTCACTGGTATTTCGTATATCTGAAACATGAATGAAATATATGCCAAAACGAGTTTTCGAACCATAATAGACATAAACAGGACGCTTTATACAAATAAGAAACACACAGCATACAAAATTAAAATGAATATTTCATATGATTTATCACTTCAAATGATTGAAACATTGTATAGGAATATTTTGGATATTATAGTGAAATCATAAAATAGTGAAGTAGTTTTTTTTTATTGCATTATGGAAAACATATTTCGACATTTGTATTATCGCTGAGGTGTATTTGCTCGATAAAAATTAGAAAAGAATCCCTTATGATACTTTATGTTATTCTATTGAACTCGTGGTTGGAAGGATTTTTCTTTACCTTCAAGAGATTATCAAGCGTTCATTTTTTGTAGAACAAATTCAAATTTGAGTATGAAGTCGACACGCCATTGAATGAACTAGACAGAAAGGTACAGACTGCCATTTTACCGTCATGTGGTCTGTGAAAATGTGGTAAAAACTGACTATTGATTTACTTGTCAACAAGTCAAACTAAGAAATATACATGTTTGTTTATTGAGATCGTTCGTTTTACGATTTAGCTACGATTGCTGTGTTTCCGTCATTGCAATAATGATTTGGAAGAATTTTTTAGAGTTAATGTTTTTGCGTTTGAAACAGTTTATAACATGCAACGTGGTGTGTAATTTTTTTGTCACTGTCTTGCTTTGGTGAGCTGAGTCACATTAAACGTATGTTAATGATTTAATCTAGGCTCTGTACGATGGTAAACTGGCCTCGTCTATCATGTTCACATACAACCCGAAAGCCTGTGACGGGCAGTTATGTGTTGAATCGTCGCCTGTTACGAACGCTTCTTATTTTTGCGAGTCTCCTCATGCGTTGATGTTAGAAGTATGTTGTTAATATAATGCATATTGTATCATTGAGTCACGTAATAACACAACTTTACTGTGTATAATGCGTTATCTTTCCGCCATGTTCCTATCAAGCGGGAGGGAGTGTAGCATATACTATCAACTCTGTTGCTTTTAAAGTGCTCCTGTCAGCAAAATGTTTTATTTGCGATATTAAATTTAAATGTGAGATGTAACTTATTAGAGACAAAAATTTTTAGTTTTGTTTTTGATGGACCTTGTCCGTCGTCAAAAAAGTCTGGAACGAATTACTTTTGTAAGTCTGGAACGAATTACTTTTGTAATTACTTTTTTACGTCATGTATGGGACTCGTTAATATTAAATAGACATAAACCGAACTACCTTGGATGACATCAGAATTTCGTTGTATCCAGGCTTTATACCACGACGGACAAGGTTCATTGAAAGGCAACTTAAAACCGCCATAACAAGATGAAGATTTGATCGAATTTAAAATTTTTTCACCTATATGTTAACATCACACCTAGTTTTAATAACTCTAGAAAAAGTTTTTTCTGGCAGGGCACTTTAATAGAGCCTTGCAATCAGGTTTTCTTATCTAATTAAAGCTGAGTATACCGGTGAAAAAAGTACAATGCATACATGAATTGATAAAATATTCACAGTCCTCCATTTTTGTTATATTTTGTTGAACAATGAGGAGACAAAAATGCATATTTTGTCCACAATGTATGCTTACGAGTGATAATGTAGTGTTTTCTTACACTGTACCTCCCTTTTCATACACTGAACGTCCTCTTACACTGTACGTCCCTCTCCATACACTGTACCTCCTTCCTTCTCTTACACTGTACCTCCCTCTTCAAACATTATACCCTCCTTCATATATCGTACCTCCTTCTCCAAACACAATACCCTCCTTCATACACTGTAACTCGATCTCCATACGCTGCACCTGCTTCTTATACACTGCACCTCGTTACTTATACACTGTACTTTCCCCATCTCCATCCTCATCCTCCCTGTTTATCCCCAAACTACAAGACAAACGAGGTAATTATAGCTATCTTACTTATATATTTTAGGGAGTTCAAGCCGTTGTCACCCAAACTCTTCAAACAAGCTTACATTCACTTGGCGGTGTGCAGGTAGACTATGATATGACCGAGTTTATGTTCACTCCGCGATATATTAATATACAAGCGATTTTACGGTCACTTCACTATGAGCAGATAGACCACCATATGACTTAGCTTTTAGTCTCTTGACTGTGTTCAGGTGACCACTCACTATGAGTAAACTGCGATTTATAAAATAAAATCAGCAAAGCGCGTGCTCTGATTGGTTGATGCCCGTGTTTGGATCAGGCCATCCAAATACGGCCAAATTGAAAGTGTTGTCTTCAGTATGCTGTCGTGAGAATTTTCAACGTACCTGAAAACAAAGACGATAGTTTGCTTAAATTTACTTGGAGTGCATTTCTAGCCTATTAAAGGCAAACTTAGATAAAGATTCATGATTTTCCCAAACTTTCAAAGTCAGTAACCTCGCTGTAATTCAACGTTTTCGTGGTTTTGATTTCGTTGTGTACTAAATTTAACGGCTTCGTTCACTTGGAACTGTTGGGAAAATGTAGCTTTCATATTTCCGTTCACTGAAATAAAGCTTACAACACTACCCTCTGGTTGTTATTTTATAAAACAATTACTAAACGGTTTATAGTGTTTAGATGGCTTGATCCAAACATTTGGGAATGTTGCTCACTCGCCGAGTAAAGAAAAACGGTGCAAGACACTCACCTTCGGCTTTAAATATATTTGGCTTTGTATAGTTTTACCATAAAGTTGCCGTGATTTTAATTTCACTGGTGCTCTTCATATTTATTTGGGGAATGTGTTTGCAACACACACGTCATTTTACTTTATGAAGTCAATCACATATTTTGTTTCGATAGATTAAAGTGATTAATGTGTACCAGTGAGACTTTAGAATACACAAACCTAGCGATGAATCGTCCTCGTAAAACAGCATGAATTTTTTTGTAGATGCTGTTTCCTCTGTTCGCTCAACTGGATTATATTCATGCAGAAAAGAGGGAGGACCGTGAAGCCGATAGAGACATATGGTAATTTCTGAGTATTTGATTTATCGTTGTAACAATGGAAATGAAGCAGTGGCGGGGTGGGTGGGGTGGTGTCGCAGGGGGTGGTGGTGAGAGTGAACTGTGCGCACATAGTATTGTTGAAGATTTCCTGGCTTGTATGTATTGCGTTGGTGTTTTGAACTCCTGATTTTACTTAAAATTCATTCTATGATGAAATGCATTGTCACTCGAGCTCCTAATCCTACTAGATTTTGGAACCAAAGTTGAAATCCTTTTCTTTATGCAGGAGTAACCTTAAAATTTTCATGGGTGAAATATTACACCATTTGTTCATCATTAGAGAACATAGAATTTAATTGAATGCCCGATGTTTTTTTAACGATGAGCAACTGGTGTGCAGATTATACTGATCTTTATAAAATCATATTTGCAACCCATTTTAATCCGAACCATTAATCGCCACCATTCTCTACGTCATTCTCTACTTCAATTTTCTTTCTAGCACGCTGCTTCTTTCCCTCCTTTGCGACTTCTTGAAGAACTCGGAGACAAGTCAGCAGCAAATGATTCAAGGAAGAGGATTCAACGTTGTCAGTTTCTTATTGGAGAAGGTACTTTTGCATGATGTATGTAACGTGCTGTTACTTTGTATTTGCTTCACTTAGAAGCTTGCTGCTGTTGCTTCCCATCGCCAAAGTACGGATACTTAAAAATATGTTCACCTCAAATGCCGTACTAAGTCTGTAGAGCCTCCATTGTGGGAAAAAAAAACACAGAAAAACTAAATGCATTAACTGATTATAAAGTCAGTTTTCATGACATCTTAATGTCATCTTTTAGTGCGCTGATGTTGCCATACTTACAGAAGAAGCCTCGGATTATTTACTGTCATTAACAAGGTATAACATACTTCACAACAATATTATTTTAGTGCACGAAAGCACGAAACTTGGAGACGTCCACTCTTTCATTGTGTCGATTTCGTTCAGTCTTCAAAAGTAACGATACGTGTTATTTTCTTAAGGTTTTTACTTTTGCAACCGAGAAAAAGCCCACTGATTGGCACATTGCTTACCAATGTAATATTCAATGCTAGATTGTGGATAAACACACCGTTTAAGGTATAACGTAAAGACCGTTAATGTAATATATGATTTAATTGATTCACATCGACTAAACTTTGTTTTACCTACCTTCACTCCGTTTTACCAGCATTCGCTCCGTTTGAGAAGTTGTTCATTTTCATTATAGGTTCAGCTTCACTTGTTCAGTGTATTTGCTACGGATCTCATCACCAATCCTGGTTGTCCAGATCTGATGCGTCGGGAGGTCGGAGTGAATATGTTCATCGACATGTTGCGCACGCACTACTGGGTGGTTCCACCTGAAAACATCCCGATACCAGGTTAACTTTATGATGCGTTTACTCGTGTGTACCTTCAAATTCACACGAATAGAGCCTTGTCATCTTTGGTCCCCTGTTATACATAAAATAATATAATTTGAGATATTTCTGTACCCTGATTGGTTGATTGCAGTGCAGTTTATCTGTAATTGTACTGTGAAATGTGTAATTGCAGTGTTGAAAAACTGAAATTGCACTGTAAATACTGTAACCTGATTGGCTGAAAAACAGCGAAAGCCAAACAAACTCCTTTTCAGTTCAAAAAAAAAAAACAAAAAAAAATGTATACATGGCGGCCGTTGTAAGAAAACAAAGATTTCCACAATTGTAATCGTTTGAAATTCAAGGACTACGCAAAAGAATGCAAAAAATAAAAACGAAACAGCAAGTAATGTTTTTAACAGTTAGGCTGCGTAACGAGGCTTTTGTGAAACGATAGAGAGTAGCGAAGCGAGACAGAGTTAGACCGGACAGTCAAGAAATGTCTCAAAGTATATCATTATTAGTACTATCATTTTTAAACTCACTCATGCATGTTTATCCGTTATTGCACTCTGAAAATATACTTTATCACATTTACAAATTGAATGTTACTCGGCTTTAGTTACAGATGATTTCATTGTTTGTAATAACCTTATTATTGTTTCACTAACCTAAGAATTGTTGAACTAACTAAGCTACTGATTGTTTCATTAGGCTAATAATTGTTTCACTGACATAATTGTTTCACTGACATAGTTGTTTCGTTAACTTAATTATTGTTTCATTAACCTAATGATTTTTATTGATGTAATGAGTGTTTCATTAACCTAGTGATTGTTTCATTAACCTAATTATGGTTTCACAAACCTAAGAACTTTGAACTAACCTACTGATTTCTTCATTAACTTAATAATTGTTTCACTGACATAATTGTTTCGTTAACTTAATTATTGTTTCATTAACCTAATGATTTTTTTTGATGTAATAAGTTTTTCATTAACCTAGTGATTGTTTCAATAACCTAATTATTGTTTCACAAACCTAAGAATTTTGAACTAACCTACTGATTGCTTCATTAACCTAATAATTGTTTCGCTGACATAATTGTTTGTTATCTTAATTTTTGTTTCATTACCTAATGATTCTTTTATTTATTTAATGATTGAATGATTAAACAATCATTAAGTTTCATTAACCTAATGATTGTTTCATTAACCTAATGATTGTTTCATTAACCTAGTTATTGTTTCATTAACCTAATGATTGTTTCATTAACCTAATGATTGTTTCATTGATCGTTTCATTTTCCGTTAAAGATGTGCTAAGGCCAAGCAAAGAAGAGTTGCTTTCACTGCGTGCTTTTATATTGGTTCTGGTGAAGCAAATGATCATTCAGGTATGTCCATGGATAAACATTGTGATTGGTAATGTGCCATAAAGTGTAGGCGCAGGACTTTTGTTTATGTATACATCTATCCTTAGAATAGCATGTGATAAGCTGTTTTTTGTAATCTTGCCAGTGAAAGAGTTTAAAAAAGCTCGATCATATATGACTCGTCTGTTCTGTTGTCCCCTTAAAAAGTCAAATAGCCCTGCATACGAGCTAGAAAATTATATAATGCATATAAGAAACAGAATTTGATGATAATTATGTACAGCTTTTTGGTACTAAGACCTGGCAGTGACTGTTAAGACAGATAAAATGTTTTCGGTGAAGTTTACCAAATACCGTTTCTCGGAAACAAACATTTATATTTTCTCGGGTGTATGAACTTTGTATTGAATTTAAGCCAGTTTGTGTTAATTTTGGAGAGAAGTCAATTTTACATTCAGCGCTACAAAGTTTCATTTGATTTAGGGAGATCTCATCGAGGATCATGAATTGGAAAGTATATTTTGCTATCTCTGCATAGTCAAAGAGGTTTGTGTAACGTCAATATTTCGTAGTTACGTTGACCGATTAATCGTCTCAGTTCTTTAAGCTGCAACAATCTGGGCACTTCTCATCTCGTGAAAAAAAACTACTATTGTTAGAGGTACATCCATTTCAATTGCTTTTCAAGCAAAGGCGATTCTAGTTTTGGTCGTTGAAAACATTTAAAGCGAAGATTAAGTGTGTTTTCGCGTCTGTTTTTTTCTCGCGGCCTTTGATTGCATGTAATAGCTGTCTGAACTTTAAAAGCAAACAGGGATGAATTTAGGGAAGTTGCGAGGAGGGTGTTCACCCTCTACTAGCCTTGGCTACATGGAGTGTCGGAAAGGTACCAATTTTCCTACTAAATACCAATATACCAAACAATTAGCCAAAACAATTGTTATTAATGATTTTTTCAATTTCAAAAATCTCCCAATCATAATAGAAAGCAAACAAGTAGCCACCAAAATCTAATCCGAACTTGACCACCACCCCTCCCCCTCGCGCAAAAAACTATTGTGGATCCTATCCCTGACAGCAATCAACTATATTTCAGGAAGAGAATGTGGTGGACATCTTACAGTTCATCCTTGATCTTATGTGCGAGAAACCAATGGCAATAATTATGGCTCTTGATCGTCTTGAAGGCATTAGGTAAATACGTTTACATGGTTTCAAGCGATGAACGTGAAATTGCGTTTCTCGATTTTACCTAGATTAAGGTATCCTCTCTTTTCCACAGGGTTTTACTACGTTTTTTGTCAGCGGCTGATGAAGCTGTGAGGATATACAGTTTGAAGCTGATTGGTGCTTTCTTGCGTTACTGTCCCATGCAGTAAGTTCTTACAGTATATTTGAACAAATGCGGTTGTGAGATGCGGTAGATTCCCCGTTTAAAGCGTAAAACGGGAAGAGGAAGCGCTTTTGACGTCGAAATAAGTGGAGGTTTTTCATCTTTCTTAGTCTTGGCTAGATAGGGGTGCAGGAGCGGGTGATATTCCCACTAAATACTAATATGCCAAACTATTTGGCAAAAGCGCATTTAATATAAACGACAAGTTTTTTGAAAATAGACATGTTTCGACATCTCATGATGCCATCTTCAGTATGAGTAAAATTATAATTATTTCACTCATACTGAAGATGGCATCATAAGATGTCGAAACGTGTCTATTTTCAAAAAACTTGTCGTTTATATTAAATGCGCATTAGCAATAGTGCTTTTACGAAATTATTTGGCAAAAGCAATTGCAACCCTCGAAGTTTGCCTCGGTACTCGGCAAGCCGAAGGAAATGCCGAGGCAAGTTATGATTTTCATGGTTTCGCCTCGGCAAAAAATACCGAAGTGCTCAATCTACAGCATCTATTTGTTTATGCGGGTTTTAACTTGGTCATCATCTTAGAAGTCAAACAATATTCAGTGAACAAAAACTGCAAGGAAACTTTGCATGTCAATGAATCCAATCTCCCGTCATCATAACTTTTGTCTTATATCGTACATGGGGCAAATGCCAATGAGTGGCAAATAAAATTACGATGGAAATCAAGGTTATTTTAGTGTGTGCTTCGGCCAAAGTGCCGAAGCCTTGCCGAGGTAAACACGAAAATTGATTAAACACGTTGGCGATTTATTGCCCTGGTAAAAATACTCGAGGGTTGCAATTGTGATCAACGTTTAATTTAATTTCGAAAATCTCCCAATCATAATAAAATCTAATCAGAATTAGAGCCCCTCTCCCCCAATTGCCTTTGTGGATCCATCCTTGAACTAGTGTACATCACAAATAACTGGTTGTCAGCTAAATATAAGAATAGCTGCGTGTACATTTTATGAAATATTTTCGTCTTAGAAAGAAGATCAGTATTGTCGAGGAATATGCTATTTTTTCTTACATTGGGGAAAAATTGAAGCAGTTTGAGCTCACGCTTACGTCTTATAACGCACTTTATGAGGTAATGAATTCATCTTGTTTCGCAGCTAGATCGTGATTGCACGTGCATGCATGTGTACAGGGATCGAGGAAGATCGATAATTAGAGGGAGGGGTGATATTTATTTTTTTATGATCTACTTTGTTACATTCTATTGGAATCAATTGTGATAGAGGATCAAAACAATGATCAATCTATGAATATAAGTTGCCCCCCCCCCTTGCGAACCCTGATGTATCAACGTTAGCTCAGTTACATGCTTTAGCGTGATATGATAGTTGGTCATGGACTTGAAAGACATACTTTTTCAGTTTGTTGTAAATTTTCTGTTGAATAGGGATCTGAAATTTCCCACTCATGCCTGGGAATGTATTATTCGGCACGTACTTTTGGTCTTAAGCGAACGTTCGACAATAATTTGAGAGAAAGAATTTGGGGTGTGGGGAATAAGGATATGAGGTGAATGCGGTTGTAGGGGTGTGGCCTATTTGGTTTTCGTTTGGAAATTTGGAGACATTTCCTAAAATATTTTGTAATCGTTGTGTTAATCCAACCTCGCTATTTGATAGACATAGATTTCATCAAGCTGGGGTGTGTGTTGAGTATCGATTATTGGGGTGGGGCATATTCATATGTTTGTATTGTATTGTCGTTTAGTTTCATAACAGTTCTTTTAGAACTATTGGGTTAGTGTTCTGTGCTTAAAACAGCTCTTTTAAGAACTATTAACTTTTACTATTCACCATGGTATTTGCAATCGTCAGAACGATTTTCAGACTTGTCACCACGACAAAGTCTCTATTTTATTAACATATGTGTATTTCAACTCCCCAATCATCAATCTTACGCCCCCCCCCCCTTATTTCAAGGGGCTTTTTTCGAGGCTTTTTTAACCGCTCTCGTGGCTGTAATAGATACATGTTTGTACTAACATAAAAATCCTACTCCTTGCTAAATCTTAGCATATTGTCATATGAGGATAGTTGCCGAAGCAGTGCATTAAAATTCATGTTTATTTATATAACAGTCTTAACCGATGGCGTTAAATTTATGAACGACCTCTTATTTTGGTAGTCAACTATTTGAGGGTTTTTGTGAGAACATTTTCTTGCATCTAGAAGTGGATGTGCTTTAATTAACTTTATTTTCTTTGCACGATGCTAATTTTATGTCAAATGTTGCATCAGGCAGTTTCCAGTTGTTCGTTTGTTTTATTCAGGTTTTGACTGGACGAGTGTACAAGCAAATTCGTTTTGATCGCCATCCAGATCCAGACTCTACATACATGCTTACAAATCCAGGTAACCGCTCGAATCGTTGTTCTTGGGGCTATTTGTGGATGACGAAACAGTGCGTGGGATTTTTTTGTAAATTTCTACGGCGTTTGTTAATGCTCAACAATCCGCTTTCGCTTTTTTAAACCATTTACGTTTTGCGAAGACTTCTTTTCTTTTAATCTTGAGAAAAATTACAGAGAAAGAACCAAGATTCTTGGTCACAGCTGTCCAATTTCTTGCCTTTATCTGCAAACTTTAAACCTTTTTGAAACCCATTCGGAAAACCGTACACTACAACTTTAGTTTTGGGACTGTTTTTATGATTCACCTATTGGAAGGGGATGCTCCCTGAGACATAGCTCTCAATACAGAAAACTTAGGGAGTTTCAAATTTGTATCATGTATAAAATTCATATCCAAATTACGTTTTGGGTTTTCACTATTCGAATCCAAACGTACCGTGCGAGTCTGTATCATACCACAACACTGCTGTTTCGCTCACTACGACCTTGCATGCAACGTTTGAGATTTAGAGAATATGTATGTAGATCGTTCATGTTAGCTCAGTCCTGAGAAGAACTGTTGGTGGTGGTGTCCAATGACATTTTGACATCCTTAGTGGTTGTCATCAAAGCAATACTAACACCAACCATCAACACCACCATCAACGTTCAACCACCAACACTACCATCAACGTTCAACCACCAACACTACCATCAACGTTCAACCACCAACACTACCATCAACGTTCAACCACCAACACTACCATCAACGTTCAACCACCAACACTACCATCAACGTTCAACCACCAACATTACCATCAACGTTCAACCACCAACACCACCATCAACGTTCAACCACCAACACTACCATCAACGTGCAACCACCAACACCACCATCAACGTTCAACCACCAACACCACCATCAACGTTCAACCACCAAAACCACCATCAACGTTCAACCACCAACACCACCATCAACGTTCAACCACCAACACTACCATCAACGTTCAACCACCAACACCACCATCAACGTTCAACCACCAACACCACCATCAACGTTCAAACACCAAAACCACCATCAACGTTCAACCACCAACACTACCATCAACGTTCAACCACCAAAACCACCATCAACGTTCAACCACCAACGTTCAAACACCAACACCACCAACGTCACCATCAATTACGACGACGACGATGAAGACGATGAGGACCAGAGCGACGGTAGTGGTGGCGACTACGGCGAAGGCAACGACAACAGACAACAACATTAACAGTCCATCCCAGGACTCAAGCAACTTGGACGATCATTATCTATTCATACTTGTAACGATAATTTAAGGTCTATGTTACTCTTAGCGCGTGTTATTCGTTACTTTAGGTTTTATTCCTGTCATGATCGAACTTATTCTTGACAAAGACAAAAGACATTGCGGGGAGAGTGCGACGAAAGATGAAGATAATAAACACCACAAGATTAACATTAAAAGGGTTTTTCTGTCGGACCTGATGCTTCTATTAAACCATAACCAAAACAATTGCAGGTAAATGGATGTCAATGGATTTGTTTAGATGTCAAGATCATCAAACTCGCAAACTAACGTTGCTGATGAATTGAAACGTTGAGATTCACAGCGTCATTTGGTTAATTCAACGATTATGTTTTAGCAGTTCTTCAGAATTACCTAGGCTATTGTCGCCATTTATCTTGGGAATTACGTTGTACAAGAAATTACATATTTTCGGGTCTGTTGTTCAATGATAAATGGGGAAAGTGACCGTGAACTCAGATTTCACTTTCTTACGACTTGTTTGTGTTACCCACTTAATTTTCTTACTCTTTCCCAAAATTTTCGACGTTTGTGTTAGTTTGCAAACAATTTAATGAAAACATCTGTTTGTAAAAAATAATCGATTGTCAAAAATGTTTCTGAGCCAAACAAAACGCGCCATTTTTACGAAAGTGACGCTTCCCTTATAATAGTAATAAATAACGAATAGAGTATTTTCACTGGATGCTATTTTTGTGGGAAAAGCTCTATTGTGATAATGATTTTTGTTTTTGCAGTCGCGTATTCAAATTCTCATAAAATATCATATGAAATCACTGCGTTTTCAGTTTTAAATTATGCTACTAAATGTAATTTATTATAATATTAATATTTTTATTATTAATATTCAAAATTATGCTGCATTTAATCTTCCGAATAATATTACTAGAAATGTAGCATTCCTTATCTTATTGCAGGTATTTCCTACAAATTTCTTGTTGGCAAGATTTCCTGCTATCCTTGGCGGTCTTAGAACCGGAATTCTCTACAGGTGAACGCATGCTCTTGATGGCTAAAATGCCGTGGAGTCGGTAATGATAAAAAATAATTTAAACTACTAAAAGTGTTGGTGGTTGTTACCTAGAATATACACTGTTGAACCTGTATTAAGATGCATCGTTATAAGGAGTCTCCCTGCGTTAAGTGTTAATATGGCTATGTTCCAAAAATTTCATAATATAAATAGTATTTATGTGACTTTTATTGAACGGCCACCTCTATTGAGCGGACGTGCTTACCTTTTCTAAGGTTCCAAACTTAATTTTCAATGTCTTGAAACTGTATTAAACGGTAGGGTAAAATAACAACAGCACATAATACAATATATATGATTAAATCTTTTTAGGGAACTTTCCAAAGTCTTTATTTTTGAACAGTTATATGAATGTTTTTCGCCATTTTAAAGCTTTGACATTTTCTACCAGACCTGTATTAAACATTCATCCTTTATTAAGCGGTCACATGGGAATCCCCCAGGTTCTTCGTAATACAGAGTTGACTGAATGCTTGAGGTGTCTCTTTCAACTTTTCTTGTAGTGGACAACGACACAATGACTAACTCAGTTTTTTCCCTCATACGATTACTTCTTCATCACGCTCTAAAGCACGAACCCGAAGGCTGGAGGATATTTGTTGATACATTGGCAATCCTTCATGGACAGGTTGTATTTAATATTTGTTTTTAAGATCACAACGAGATAAAATTGCTCTTTTTTTCAAATCACGAAACAAGTTTGAACTTAGTCAATACAAGCCGTTCATGTTTTAACGTTTTTTCTCATCTCCGTACTTGTTGTATCATATAAACGTGCCCATATCCTATTTATCACTTGGTATTCAAGTATGATCTTGCATATCATCTAAACATGCTAATATCCTTTCTATCCCTAGACATTCAAACCAAATTTTGCGCATCATCTAAGCATGCTGATATCCTTCTTATCCCTAGATATTCAAACATGATCTTGCGTATCATCTAAACATGCTCATATCCTTCTTATCTTACACATTCAAACATCATCTATGCTCATACCTCCCATATATCGCAAAAAGGATCGATTTCTAAAAAAAATATCCATGATGATGCTTTGTAATTAACATAGCAGGAGCAAAACTTGCTTGCTGGCTACGCCACTGTATCAAACACGATATCAATAGACAAGACCGTATGGAGATCGATAAGGGGGGGATAATATTCATACATGCATGTCATAATCCGTAGAAAACAATGTATTTCAAAGAAACTTAAATACGATATGTCCTACATATATGGATATGAGCTCCAGTTATCAGTCTTTGGACGGCCCTGTTAGGTATTCAAAGATGATTCTGCGTGTAATCTAAACATGCTCATATACATCCTTTTTATCACTAGCTGTTCAAAGATGATCTTGCTTATCATCTAGACATGCTCATTTTGCTCTTGTACCTAGATATTTAAACGTGGTCTTGCTGGGAAGTGGACAAATGTCGTACAAAACACTCGTGCTGTTCAACACAAGGGAGCAACGGGTGAAGATGCCACTCCTTTGAAGAAAGACTCTTCAAACTCTGATGTCGATAACCCAAACGAAATAAATGTGTTGCGTTTAGCCACAGGCGATAATCAGGTGACGGGGAAGACTGCTGAATCCGAAAGAAACAAAGATTACCGCAAGAATTTCTTTTATTCCATAATCCAGTCATCGAAAGAGAGCGAGGCTCGTGTTGATGATGTGAACCGTGTCTATCCATTGGCTGGAAAAAATATTGGAGATACGTCATCAAAGAATTCCAATAATGATGTCACAAGTACAACAGATACTGTCCAAGCTGCGAACGTTGTACAGAAAGAAGAAACAAGCGACGGGAGTAAGAGCCAAGCGAAACGAGACGAAACGGCTAATCCAAATGACAATGGCTCCTCTGATAAGTTACCCAATGAAAAAGCTCAACCTGTTGACGAGGAAGCAGCACGTGACGAAACTGGAAGCACCCAGGAAAGCTCTCAGGTAAATAAGTCGAGCACTGTTGAGGAGAAGGTAGAAGATGATGCTTCTACTGTTCTTTCGGACTCGGGCCAAGAGGTTGGGGATAGTGGCAAGGAAGGCGACAAGAAAGGCAATAATCTTCGTAGCCCAGTGACCGAGGTTAAAGCAGAAGAAGCTGTCCACGATGATAGCGAGAACAATCATGTTAAGAAAGAGGAGTCGAGCAAAGAAACGTTGAATTCAGGGGAAAATAACGACGTGACTGTGAAAGATAGATCCAAGGAAAATAACGTTACCACTGTTCCTAATGAAGAGCAAGATGGTGCAGATAGTGAGGCAAACGAACCGGACGATTTATCAGACACTAGTAAAGCACATTCTATCGACATCAGCAAGGCGGTAAGAAATGACGAGAAAAAAAAGGAGGGGAATGGTGACCTGCCAACTGCATCCCCTACCACCCCTAGTAGTCCACATGAAGCCAGGCCTCTTATACCAGAATTTCTGTGGTCACCAATTCATCAACGTCTGTTGGCCGATGTCCTTTTTGCCATCGAGTCTGATCTTCAGGTTTGGCGAAGGTAAGGAGATGTAGAAGGATTTGGTGTTCGGGCAAGTATTTTCATGTAGCAATTATTTATTTAATGTGCTAATGAAACCAAATTTTACCACACATATTAACGTTTGCATTGCGAAGAACATTTAAATTGACTTAATGACTTCTTAAGTAGAAATTATTTTATTTCATGTCTTTCTTGAGATATTCAACTTTATATACTATCCAAAAACATCACGGTGACATCACATTGCATAATTAAGATATTCAAAATAGTAATTTTTGTCGACAATATGTTGTGAAGTATCTAATTTTGACGTATTTATTAAAATGTTGTACATGCGTATCAAATGTTTTTACGATGCAAAAATTAATGGTCTTTGAAATGTTACTATGCAATGTGACGTCACAACGAAGTTTTTGCTTCATGAAGTTAAATTTCTCAAGAAAGAAATGACATGATACAAATCTATTCATGAAGTGATCGAGTCATTTCAAATGTTCAATTCAAGAAAACTGTCTTGTAAATTTCGATTTATACCCTCTTTAAGAATAATGTTTACTGTGTTTGCACAGGCTTATGCAAACCGAGGAGTCCTTTGGAGAATTCGAGAGCTGATCAGTGTTGGCACGAGACCGAAGATCGAGTGTTGCACCTGCTCGAGAGTTCTCACAAACGTCTCCGAGGTTTGCATAAGCCAGTGCAAACACAAAAAACATCTTTTATTTCTTTTATAAATTATCATGCAATTTTAAAACAAACGTTTTGATATTTCCTCTAACATGTATTCATGATTGATTTGCAAATTTTCTTTGATTGGTTGAGCTCAAATCGGTTTGCACAAGCTAATGCAAACACAGCTATATAGACCAATCAGCGCATACGTCAGACAATGCTAATGCTTGACGAATTTTATTTGCCAATTGATTACCTGCGTTATTTTGTAAAGAACTTAGTTGGCAAATAAATATTGTCTTTACGTCCATTTTGAATTTAATGGCTACTGGGTGAAGTGCTGGTGTATTGTAAGGATTGTTGAGGGATATGCAAGACTAATTGCCTGTCTTCCGACTGAGTATATCTTGATGACAATTTTCGTGTACACATCTCACGAAACTATTTTTATATCGTTACACTAGCCACACTCGGAAAACTGTCTCGGACTTCGTCAATGCAAAGGACAACTTTGTGTATATCTCTAATTTGTCGTTCCTTATCTCCGTGCTGTCAGACAGCATGATATTTTGCTGTGGTGATCTTTTGCCGTTGCTTTCCTCTGCCACGTCACCGGATTTCTCCCAAGACGTAATTCAGCCTTGCGGCGGGATGCAATTGGAAACCGCTTTCTCGTTTTTGAATCGCGTCATGAGTCTTGTCGACACAGTCGTTTACACGAGCAATTTTAGCTTCTCTGGCGTTGAAGCGAACAGGAATTTGGCAGGTGGCGGATTTTTGAGACAATGTACTCGATTGGGTAAGTCGAAAAACGTTCATCCTATCGTTGAAGACATGTTCTCTTTACGCGATGTTTTCACAGTGATACTTGACACAAGGTTTCTTAGATACGTTCAAATGTGTTTTAGGGGGATGGTTCTCCAGTTAGGAGTTGATTTCGGTGGCTACTTTTTGTTGTTGCATGTCAGACTTTTTGTTAAATTCTGTCGCCTTTTTGTTTTTATTGTGAGATTAATGAAAGTGTGCCCCATCAAACACAAATCACAATTGCTTTTGCTTGATTGTTTTTATATATTAGTATTTTGTAGGGAAATTGGCACACTTTTTGCACCCCTCTGGCGAAGACTAGTAGGGGTGCGCACCCCTCCACACTCCCACCCAAAATCCATGCCTGTGTATGTATATTAAAATAGCAATGTACATATGCATTTAACATGCCGTTGTCTACAGTACCATTTTCATTACGGCACCAACGAGATAATCGTGTTTTGTTGGGTGTTGCTGTTCGCCTTTAAATCCCAGCAACTTTATAAATTCCGTAATAAAACATTCGTCTCTTTATGGACCAAATAGAAACCAGATATTTAAGCATATTCACTTCAAGGGTTTTGGGGGATTCTTCGTCTGATTGCTTAGATTTTCTCAAAACATCCTTACTTAATCGATATTTTAAATCCATTGCGTACGATTGAACAGTCACAATATCTGATGACTGAAAGCCGATTGCCAATTGTTTCGTTCGAGGTCTGGCAATGAGCATTCTTTTGTTTCATCAACTTTCAGCTCTTTGCTGCGCAGCAAGAAATCGCTTTGTGTGCCGTCGCAAGCAACATCGATACGTGGCCATCGATAAGAAAAAGCTGAATTTTACATCCCTCAAAGACACGGAGGAAGCGATTAGAGCCATCATTGCTTCAACTCAGCCACCTACCGACGAGGTATTATGCAACTTTTTCGGAAGAATAAATTTGGGAACCGTTCTTTTGCTACGAGTTTTGTTCGTTCAGTTGGCTGTCTATGATCACATGATTGAATTCAATTGCTCAAACTGTAAATAAGAAAGAATCAGGAAAACGTTCTGGGAACGACTTCTTTAGTTTCTGAAAATTTTAGAAAAACCCACAGTTTTAGACGAACTGATTTTTTCGCCCAATTTGCGTACATATTTCACGAAGCGGGGGTGTCCAAGCTTAGGGTGTTTTGGGGGCCCTTGTAACACGAGAATGATGAAAATTGAAGAATATTTGGCGTCATATTAAACCGACAATGAACGTAAGTGACTCAATAAAATAGCATGAAAAATGAAATTTTTTCGGAAACACAAGTCTTTTCTCTTAAAATCTAAATCGCACTTTACATGAAATACGACGACGACGGCGTCGACCCAGACCGTCTCGGCCAACTCGTATGTATGTGTTCATGACTTGAAGTATGTATGTGCTCACGACTTTTAGAATTCCGTTCGTAATATGCCTGGTTATTTGACGACAATCACTGATCCCGATAAACTGTTACAAGACATGGATGTTCATCGATTACGAGCGGCCGTGTATCGCGAATTTGAAGACACTCGACAATCGCAATTCTTGGCGATAACCGTCGTATATTTTGTCGCTGTTCTTACTGTCTCTAAATACCGAGACATTCTCGAGGAAGAGAGGAGCAATTCTGCAAGTAATCCAAAGACCAATGGAGAATCGTTGCCCAGTGACGGTATTATGCAACTTCAGCAGCAGTAATTTCTAATAGAAAAATAATTGTTGGTGTTGATGGTGACCGACGTTTCGACAGCAGTAGCGGTAGTCATCTTCAGAGTCAGGATGAATGTGAACAATAAAAATGACTCTGAAAATGACTTCTATTAAGTTGTCGAAAGGTCAGTAAACGTCAACACTGACAGTTCTTCTCCGGACTCCACCAACCTGGATGATCTACATGTACCAACGTGTCATGATACTCCCCGGTTTATATCGTTCACTTCAGAAAAATAATTGTTGCCTGGATTCAGTCCAGTCTTGATTAAATATAACAGAATTCAACATTTTGGGCTTACCTCCTTTTTCAAAAACGTCGCATGATCACAAAATTATCGTCGCTACATCAAAATGAAGTGCAAACAATGCTAAAAAAATTGCCAAATTTTGCACTAATCTACTCTTAGTGAAAATGCATTATCGCTCTCAAATACATTGCCCGCTCACGAGATCATAAAAAAAAAAATTAAGTTGAGTTTATCCAAGATCAAATTTATTGGATGTTAGTCGATTTTTCACGTGAGGGAATTGTTCCAGAGTCGGATCGGGATGTCGTAACGTGTATCTCGTTTAGTATTTATAATTCATTTCGTATTTCACGCATTTCAAAGGTGCAAGTTACTGCGTGCTTATATTTTGCTTACGATGACTTTTTGTGGTACTTTTATATCTATTTCAATAGCGAGGGATGGGTCACACCATTTTATTATGTTTTTATTTGATTTAGGACGGCGCAACACGGCCGTGAGTCTGGGACTTGTTCGTTCTAACCGTAGTACATCTGATATCGCCAAAGGAGACGGCGTTGTTGCTCCCAAGGACGGCGAATTGGAGCACATAGATCTTAATAACATGGACAAAGAACCAAACGACCCAATGTTTACTAGTCGCCTATCTAGCAGGATGAGTCTTACTGAAAAACTTGAACTTACTTTTGGTACATCGGGCTTTTTGCTTCGCGAAATCCTGTTGGATTTTTGCTCGTTCTTGTCCAAGGTGCTAGTTGGCAGTCACAACCAGGAATTGCTTATGGAAGGCTTGTCTAGTCTGAAATCGGAATCTGTCGTCGAACTCGTTATGTTGCTCTGCTCTCAAGAATGGCAGAACTCCTTGCAGAGACACGCCGGCTCTGCTTTCATGGATTTGATCAACGAGGGCCGAATGGTATCGCACGCAACGCGCGAGAGGTTGGTGATGACGACAAGTGAAGCTCTGTTCATTCTTCAAAAGCTAAAAGAAAGTAATTATCAGAAACACGATTACTTTCAAAGTGCATCAGACTTGGCGAGCGACACCTTCGTGCACAAGGGCGCTATTCACGATCATATCACGAGCGCTACTCGTGACAAGGATGGAAGCACAGCAAGAAGACAATTTCAAAAGGTATAATAAGGAAAATTGCATCGTGTTTGTGCAATGATAAAACTCAAGTTCTCTTTTTTGATTGAATGGTAAAACTTTTGCCATGTCAACTCTTGGCTCTCGCGGGTAATTTGAGGGTAAATCCGCTAAAAGTAACTTGTTCTATGTCATCTTCATTCTATTCCTACGTATTTGAAGTCTATTTTCAACTACTTAAACGTAGTTCGCGAGTCTAACGCCCAAAATGTTATCAGTCATTGAGAAACCACTTCTTCAAGTTTTTTTTCAAAATTGCTCTCAAATCATAGTAAACACCTCACAAAAAAGTTCCCACTTAAATAGATTATTATAAATGTTAAATGAATGAATCCCAATCAGACTCTAAAATGCCAATTGCTATTGGCCTGTTTTGATGCAATAATCTGGCCAATCGTCAAACTGCTTAACACGATGACGGTTGCCAACAAATAATGTTGATGAACATCCAGTGAAGCTTATATTACACTACTATGCAATGCTAATTTTGAAATTGGGTATAATTTTGAGTTCAAGGAACGATACGTCCTGATTTGAAGCACGAGTGACCTCATTCTTCACTTGGCAGTTAGCAAATTACTATAAACCTAATTATAATACTGTGTTTGATTATTTGAGACGTATTTATATTTAGAGTTTGTAAAAATATTTATCCGGGGGGAAGGGGGGACTTTCTCGTTGCGAGGTGTTTTTTCCTTTCAAATATCGACTGGTAAATATCTGAGAGCATGACAACAGCTGAAGCGTAGTGAGTGTTGTGCTCCATTTTCATAAATATTTTTTTGGTTTTATGTAGATAATGGACATCATAATCAGCGAACACGGTGCTTGGAAAGAAGAAGGGCAACCTGCTATGAAATACAAACGGTTAGATAATTGGCAGGATGATCTCGGAAGGCGCATGCGTCTTGTTCACAATCCTCATGGCTCATCTCATCCCGAGGCAACGTTGCTCGAGGCATTAGGTCGGTAACATGACAATATTGTCTCTAATAATTTATGTTGTCATTTGACAGTCCGTTTATGAAAGTGGAGTGAATTAGTAACAAGGTCGAATTTCCGGCTGCAATTGCTCAATTTTTGTTCGAAAACTTGCTCGTGTCACCAGTGTGAAGAAACATTTGAGTTTTTTTACCAGATTCGGCTAGATGAGCTTAAAACTCCCCCCCCTGTTTTGGACTTAGCCACTATATGAAGCTGGTGGGAGAGTCTGATCGTCTGACCAAAACTAGTAAATAAATTTGCACGTATAGCCATACATCTTTTTTCTGCTTGCATTTGTCGAACTTCTCTTATCCAGTTTTTGTATCATTGAGTAAGGATTCTAGCTTACAAGACTAACGGCCATGTCAAGTTTGCATGGTGTATTCAGTAGAATAGTCAACCTGCGATCATTAGCTCCACAACTCTGAATTAAAATTCCTTTATTTCCCCAGGAATGAATCCTTCTCCACGGGCATGCGCACTCAATGCCAAATCCTTGAGTGCTTTCGATCTTAAGCATGAAATGCGGTTTCTCTCTGGGATTTTTAAGAGGGCGGTAGATTTAATCCTGGTTCATTTTCATATAATAACTGCAGCATTTGCTTTTCAATTTGGAAAATTTAAATCGAGCAAAGCATTCAGAAATAGAAGCGACAAAATAGAGGAATACAATCTTTGTCAATCAACATGGCTGCTCGATAAACGTAATGTAAATATTTCATGCTGTCGTTTAGAAACATATCACTCGACGTCAAGCGCGGAACAAGCTTTGCCCCCCAAGGTGAATATATCTTCCGAGGAAACACCGAATACTTCCGATGAAGATGATGCTGCAGACACCACTATGATCGACATGGATCGCAAGGACTTCAACCCTCGCGATCAAGTCGTCTTCACGGTAGCATGCAAGAGCATTTCTCCATGCATCGCCGTTGCTGGGACACTTGCCATCACTACGAACGCTGTGTATTTTCACTCGACGAGAATAACTCCGCTAATATGAAGCTGGATCCTAAGGTTAGTGATGTGATTTGGACCGTAGCGAAGTAATTATTTTTGTGCACCTAGCTGCCCTCAGCAGAAACAAGAGCGTTTAGTTGTTCCTAGTGACTATATTGCTGTAGGTAACTTATAGATAGTAATAGTAAACTTTATTTAAGCTCGATAGCTTAAGTAGGTTTTTATAAGCCTCTTCGTGAAGGTCAAGATTACACCGTTGGTATACACCATGAAATGCACCATGGTACACACTATGGAATACACCATGATATACACCATGGTACACACCTTGAAATACACTATATTACATATCATGGAATACACCATGATGTACACCATGGTATACACCAATGTTCCATGGTATACACCATGGAATAAACCATTGTATCGGTGTGTTTAATCTAAATACCACACAAAAGAGAGCTCCTCACTAGATATACTATTATAAGTGCTTTGCATTAAGTGCTGATGTTGCTTATACGCCGACAACCGTGTTGAAAATTTAGAATTCTGATTTTGAGCTTCCTTTGGAAACAATTTTTGTTTTCTGTAATACACAATGAATGTGACTGTTTGTATGCAGTTTACTTAAGAACAATACAAACCAAACATGGGGGTTTGTGAGTATAAAGTTTGCGGGCTCAGCATTTACAACACAAAGTGGCCACTGCAACGAGTTAAAACGGAAGAGTCAATGAGAGAAAACGGACCCGAGTGGATATTGTTTTGGCCCACGAAACGCTCAGCAAGGGTATCAACGATTGCAATTGTTGAATGAATGTTATATTTGACCTGCTTTAGTTGACAGAAGCATTTGTGTAAGGCGATAGTATGATGAAGATTGCACTCTGTTGTATTAAAACGAGATACGAAGCAAGAATTTCTTCAGCTAAGATCGCGCAAACAAGATCACGATGGGATTTAACTGGCTCAGCAAGATCAAGAAGTTGTAACCCTACTTTTTCATAAAGCTTTTTTTTCAATGAACAGTCACGCTTCGACTTTGTGAAAGAAAAACAAAAGCAATTGATTGCACAGGATGGTACTTGTGTTAAGCTGCCTGGTAGGGCCCAAGGTAGCCAAGGTTTTTTTTTACGCTGATGTGACAATAAAAAAAGCGTCATCGTAGTTCTTTTGGACGAAAAGCTATGAAAGTATTTTCAAACATAACATGGTAGCCACAGTCAGTTTTTTGTGCTGCGAAATCTGGCAAAGTTTCAGGATATCTTAAAGCAAATCAAGCAAGATGTCTTTGATGATACATTTCATGATGAGCCCTGCTGTCGATTGCTTTTAAGAGTGGTGCATTCAAGGGACTGGCTTTTGCCAAGTCTCGTCCACCTGAGAAAAACCTCGTAAATGATATTGAGGAAATCATGAATGTGTTCTATCTTGGTGATTTCTTTACCTTAGCTCTTATTTAGAATGGTTATGGCAGTGATGACAGGACTCAATCGGACAGTTTTTTGTGAGGTAATGGAGAAATGTTAATTCTAGTGGAAGCCCATTCTCGGGCAAAGTAATTCCACAGCAAGAGGCTGGAAAGCGAGAGAAAGAGAAAATCTGGTACACAAGTTCAAATTGATTGACAACTATAAAAAACTAGCACAATGTTTTGTGTTGTTGCATGACTGTTGTAAGCAGAGAAGGCCTCACTGAAACGAGGCCAGTTAGATAAATATTCGAAATTGGCAACTTCCACAGGTGACGAGTTCAATATTTTCTGAGCAAATGCAACTTCTGAAGAACTTTGTGAAATTGTGGATGAATCCGAAGATTTATTTACAAAGGAAGAAAGTGAACACTATGTCTAAATGGTGCATTAATAACTTATAGAAATCAAACAACGAAATTCGCAATGGATAGAACTTATCTAAGCTAGCAAACAGGATGTGCTAGAATTTTACCAAAAGGTCTCTGCAGCTGGATGAAGAGTTCGACAAAAATCTGTTGCCAGATTCAAAAAAAGATGATTATCCAATTACCCAAATACGACTTGCTTTAAAAAAACAAAACACAGTTATCGATGTCTGCCATTTTCTATTTCTGTCATTATTGATTATATCTGCCATTTGATGTCTTTATCTGACTATTTTCTATGATGATTTCTGCCATTATCGATGTCTGCCATTATCGATGATTTTATTTCTCATTTTCTGTTTATCGATGATCATGATTTTGATTTCTGTTTGCCATTTATCTTCTATTTCTGATGATGATTTCTATTTCTGCCATTATCGATGATCTGCCATTTTCTATTTCTGCCATTATCGATGTCTGCCATTTTCTATTTCTGCCATTATCGATGTCTGCCATTTTCTATTTCTGCCATTATCGATGTCTGCCATTTTCTATTTCTGCCATTATCGATGACTGCCATTTTCTATTCCTGCCATAATCGATGACTGCCATTATGCGAATCCTCATGAGGGAGTTTGGTGCTTTTGAGGATATCAAAGAATCGCGAGGAATGTGCTTGTTAGGAAGGTGCTTGTTAGGAAGGTGCTTGTTAGGAAGGTGCGTATTGTGAAGCGCTGTAACGGTTGTTCCAGAGTTATACATTCCTTCCACATGGAAAGCCGTTAACACTTTGCCGTATTAGATGATCTGCGTTGGCTATCCTGGCCGATCAGGGATCAAGAGCCGACTTATGTGTAGGGTAAAGCTTATATTTTGATGAAGAAGTCACAAGAGCACTTCGTTTGAATTTGGAAAGAACGATGGACTCGTTACTCATTAGAGTTCCTGAGAACATTCAAATGATATCGGAGTACGAAACGATTACAAAGACAAACAGGTGCATCCAAATTCGCATTAACACGAGTTAAATCCGCGGTCACGGGAATTTTTGATAAAAGACGAACTAATTCGAGAAGAATAAAAGTGAAAATTTTCAAAGATCATCATTATATCGTGATGTAACTGATGTTGTTCACAAATACCAACACTTGATGAGACAACTTTTTACAAGGAGATCACATTTAACACAATGATTTCAAAATAGAAAACAAGGGGACAGGGGGGTAGGGGGGTAGGGCGGGAGGAGTGGCGAGCACTGTGACATTCACACGTTATAAAAAGATAGTTTGACCTGGGTCGAATATATTGCTTGTTTCATCCGCCGACCTGCATAGATTCAAACTTAACTTGTGCTGTGTTGGTAATTTCACAAAACGGTATATGTCGGTATCCAATTACTCCTCTCATCGTGAATGACAAAAACAGTTGATGATACCATAGAAATATGCATCAACCAAAAGGAATTTTAATCACGATGACGAACGTCTAGAAGAAACGTGTTTGAGCAGTAATTTCCTGCCGTGGTTATTTTTAACGTAAACCGTCTAGTCGAACATTCTTTACACAAAGAAATTTATGTATGCAATGAAACGAAACCAAATAGCGCGCATTCCTTCTGTTGCACTTCCAAATTCAAAGTAATCGTAACATTGTTGTATTGCGGTTTAGGCCACCAATGCATTTAAATAATAGTGTCTCATTTTCGTGAGATTAAGTTTCGTAGTACGTTTGTAAGACACGTTTCATTTGCTTATTAATGAGCGCGCGAGTATTGTGAAAGAACGCCTAGTATATTGACTTATATCATCTGCTTTGAAAATCATTTCGCACTTCGTGTGTTGTGAATGCATGTTTGCGTGCCCTATAGCCCTATTTCGGATAGGTTTTGTCTACATGTCATTTTGTAGACCTAGCGATGATCCGGAAGCCAAGGCTTATGCATTTTTCTCTCGTAAAGTTGGCCTGCAAAATGTTTTTTATCTATATTTCCATCGTGATTAGTTCAACTTCAAAAAGAAAATCGATCGAAGACAATTCGATTCGCGCGAATGCTTTTGCAAGTGGAAATCCGGATAAGCGTAGTTCATTAAAAACGGCATGTGCTAAAACTGGACTGTGGACTGGTGACTATTGACTATTTACCACTGACTACTGACTATTGTCTGGAGAATAGTTTTATCATAAACCGCGGGAATAGATCCTTGTTTGTTACGAGTGAACTAGAGGAGTAAAAGTTAACTATTTAATCGCAAAGCGCCAGCTATGCCACTTTTAGCAAACTACTCTATACTGCCTTATAAACTACTCATCTTTCATGTCGAATGAAAGGAAATGATTGATATTCGTTTATCTATTAGCACCTTTGTTTAATCAGTGCAGATTGCATGGCGTTTCACAGGCGTTTTTCTTTTGTAACTTGTTAGGTTTTGTGATGTAGCCAGATGTTGCTTAGTATAGTTTGACATACACTAACAAGTAGAGATAGCACAGGTAACTATACGATTACATTTAATGTTTAACGTCTATTTTACAATGGTTTAACTACTTCTATTCTTACAAGGTATTATACGTAAAGTTAATAGGTTATATTTGTTTCTTTGCGAAATATGGTTGACTTACAATAACGGAAAACTACTAGGAACTGTAAAAAATATTGTCATGATTACACATAAGTATCTCTCAAAAATAATCATTAATTACTTACACTTGAGTTATTTACTAATGACGGATGAATATGAGAGCATATATTAACACCACTTTTACTTGACATTTGATCATTGCATAGCAATATGAAGTTTGCACTGTTTCCAAGCTTTGCGATTTAAATTGTTAACTTTCATCCCCCCCTGGTTCACCCTTAATAAACAAGGATCTACTCTCTCGGTTTATGATAAAACTATTTTACAGTCAATAGTCTCCAGTCCATAGTCCACAGTCCATAGCCAACAGTCCATAGTCCACAGTCCAATCCAGGTTTTTGCACATGGCCAGTTCACACGGATAGTTGTGTAAATTTTCAAGAGCACTTGTACAGCACAATGACAGTATCGCCAAAGCAGTGTTTTAATTTGGTAACAATATTTAAGTAGCACTTAACACTTTTGGATAAAACTCTTCAACACATGAGATATTGTCATTAATAATGAATCTAATTTGTGCTTGGACAGGATCTTCTGTTTTCAGACAGCGATTTGCTTTTTATGACTCCATTGTAAACAACGAGTCTTTCTGCTCAACGTCAATTACTTCCTGTGGTTTTGGAAGTCCAGTTCTTTGTGAAACAGCCGCTTATAAAGGGGTTTGTCTAACGTTCTCGATTAAAAAAGCCTAAGTAAAATTGCTGTTTTGGAAAACTTAGCTTTAACTTTACTAGGTAAAAAGGAGTTTGATTGAAGGTTTATGCTATGTTCAGAGGAATTTTTTCTGTATGTTTACATTCGAATGTACTCTTGGAACTAACAACGGGCCGTAACATGCGAACCTATGCATGTTCTGATCTCTATTTGCAACCCCTTAAATATATCACTGGCGTTGTAATAGTTCATGATCATTCATATGTAATGTGAGTGTTTTGAATTTGAAGTGACTCGATATTGAAAATATTGTAACACAGTAATGCCAAGTAGAAACAATGCCAAAAATACTCGGATACCACTCGACACTTGTATGAAAAAATATCGTTCAAGAGCATTTATTGTTTTAAAAATTTCATTCATACATATTCAAGCATTTCGTAGCTGGGGAAAAGCAACGTTTCAATCGCAGTAATAAAATGAAAATTGTATTGATTTTTTTTTGTTTTCTTACGACGATAAACCATTATCCAAATCAAATTATGGGAATTTGCAATTGACCCTTTCGATTATTCATACATACATTTGTATTCATTTAAGCATGCAAAAATATATTATTGTCATGATTCGAAGTTTGTTTTTGTGCCATAATATTTATAAAGTCAAAATTTAATAATAATAATCCGAGTAAGAACTACGAAGAGAAGGAGATTAAAGAGTTGTACCGTGCATAGTAGTTGCATTAGAGGCTCAAACTGATTGTGAATAAGTGAACTAGTTGGTAATAACGAAATCAAAGCAGTAAATGGCTGTGTCCTTAATTAATGAGGTATGTTGCTGAGATGATTAATTGACGAAAAACGAACTTATGGAAATTGATTGGAAGCCGAGAAAGATTATGACAATGAATAATGAGATACACCCAAGAAACGATATTTCCAGAGTGTGTATGCAGCCAGAAAGAAGGGAGGAAGAGTTTTGATCAGTTGTGAGAGCTGTTTAAGAAAAGAAGAAAAGAAAATCCTAGCAGTAAATGGGCTCTGTTCTTAATCAATGAGTTATGTTGCTGGGATAATTAAATAGACGAAAGAGGACCTTATTGAAATAGATAGGAAGTCGAGAAAGATTATGATAATGAATAATAAATTATACCAAAGAAGCGATGTTTCCAGAATGTGTATGTAGCGAGAAAGAAGGGAGAAAGGGTTTTGATCAGTTCGAGAGCTGTGTAAGAAAAGAAGAAAACCACTTGGTATGGTGTGAGAACCTCGGAAAATTTGGAGATTGAAAAGTGATTAATATTCTGCTACAGTAGACCCTAAAGATTGCCAAGTAACGAAGGTGAACGAGATGTCAGAAGGTTGGAGATAGGAAAGAATGCATGGACAGTATGTAAGAGAAAAGGAAGGTGTCGACTGGGAGAGAGCATGGCCTTGAATGGTAAAAGGACATTAAAAGTGCTGCATGTTGCGTGGCATTTTTAATGTCGTTTTTGATGATCACTTTTACGATCAAAATTTTCAATTTTATTAACTATCACGAATCTGCAAGGTTGTTGCACAGACTATGTTTGCAACATTAAGCTGTACTTTGAATTCAATCAAAAGAAACACTCATTACCCCAAATCATGCTAATGGCATGTTGACGGATATTGTAGCATATTGAAGCGCTGACCAAAAAGAACGTCATGTTATATCGCGTTGTTCTGTCAGAGAGTATACAATAAAGTGTCTATACATAAAAATGAAGAGTTTCTGTGAACTTCACACATCTCTTTCTGTACGGCATACAGTTGAAGCGATGTTTACAAACCCTCAACTTTACTGCAACGTTTATGTTGTGTCAATTTAAATCAGATACGTTACATACTTATGATTACAAACGCCTGCCGTCTTCTGCCTACGAATTTCATTACAATGCTTGCCAAGTTACGTTCCGCTAACATGAAGTCTGCAATTGGTATTTTTTGCATAAAAATGTGCTGACTTGTAAAAATGAAATTGACTCTTGAATTGTTACATGCGTCAGGAAGTATTTTTAGGTAATTGATCAATTACTTGAAACTATCAAATTTCATTTTCCTTTTGTATTGTGTAAGCACGAACGTGGGTTACGCTTGCTGTACTTACGTCATTCGAAAGCACGCGCATTACGTCATTTCAAAGCATATGTGCATTACGTCAGGTATAACCGTTACTGCTATAACTAGAATAGTTTATAAATACCTAATGTGTTCAAGAAAAGTTTTAATTATGCGATAGAGTAAACACCAACTGTCCTTAGGACTTTACCAACCTGAACAATCAAATCGTCCAGTGATTTTACGTTGTGTTAAAATAACATGCAATTGCGTTACAGCGTTAGTCAAAAAAAATATAGCTCCTTAAGAATTGTAAATACATGCCAAAATGTGCTGCAGTAATTTATTTTGACTTACCCTAGAACCCGCCACTGATAACATGCGTTGTAAAATATGCATCTCACAAAATTCATAGCAGAGTGAGACTTCTGTTTGTTTTTTGAGTGCAGCAACTTCTGACCGCTAAAAATGGGATCATTGCTCGTGTAGTAGAACAGTTACTTGAAAATAGCTGTTACTATGATTAAATAATTTTATGTCGCTTTTAAAGGCGCAGGCAAGCGCTCCTCATTTTATCTTATAGAATAATAGAAATATGAATATGTTGAGATTCTAGCACAAGAAGCATTAAATGGTTAAGAACGAGAACGAGAGCGTTCTTCTCACTTTAAAGTGGTATGCTTACTGCTCTGCAATGAAAGACAGACGACGTCAAAGAAAGATTGATAACACCAACACTTCTCGTCTTTTAGACTCGCGTGCACTTAAATATGCAAATTTCACATTCGACGTACAATGGCTGGGTGCAGTGCCCTGGAGGGAGGTTTTGTCAGCTACCATTATAAGAAATGCATGAAATGTTTCACTACTTTACTTTATTACTCTACATTAAAAACATTAAAACAGCTTTGTTATAAAATAATGACGCAACACTCTTTTCACATTTGATGTAGCTATCAAACACATCCTGTACTTTGTGCCTATTTTCAAGGAGCTTTAAGTGTACATGTCGAAGTATAGAACACAAGACTGTCTAAGTAAGTGGTTTATTTACACAACTAACTACATGATTTTTCCAGCTTTTTAGACAAATATTAGCAAACGAGGCTAATAAAGCCTCTTCGTTTTTCTAGAATGTTTACTGGAGATTATGGCAATCCGTTTGTTTTCTCGAAACTTTATGCAAATATCATAAACAAGGATTGCAATTTGCGACAGTCAGTCTTAGTCTTGCTTTGTCTTGCTGTAACTGCATGCTGATAATTGAATTTCCCTCGTACCCTCATTGAATTCAAGCGAGCATGTAAAAATGGGCACTGGGCAGGCTGTTTTAGTTGACAATTTTGCATGTGCTCTGGACCTTTTTCATGTCTACTTGACTGTTAATACTGCAACATGTATCTCAGTTAACCTTTGTTTAAGATGAGCGTTTGAGGCTCGTATACCAAATCTTAAACCATGTGCTTGAAATATTCATTTTTCAAGTTTCGTTCTTATCCATTGTAAGTGAAAAATATTTGGAAGATTCGTGCACGAAATTCTTATATAAATGGTTTTTGTGGCTTTGTAACGTATGAGCTGGTGTATAAATTTAATGGTTGAATTGTACGGTTATATTGGTCTTGTTTTGAATTCTTTGAACATCGTGAGATTTCGTAGAGAACACTGGTCTTTGAGCCAGTTTTATGAGCTTTCAATGTTAACCGAGTGTACTTTAAGTAATGTTTTTCTCCGTGTGAACAAATTTAGAACGTCAATTAACTCATACACTAAGATTTGGAGGAAAGTAAAAATCTTTCGGGATGTAAAGAAATTTTGACCAACGCCATTGCAGTTGCAATTATTTTTGTTGGATCGATTTTTATATGTTCGCCATTTTTATGTATAAGGAAACAGCTAATTCGTCTCCTTTTTACCAGCTGCTTTACTATTTTATACTTATATATCAAATAGTGAAAATATTGCGGTTACATTACTGGCTGTTTTATGTTTACAGTTAAATTTAACAAGGGCACAAGCAATTTTAACGTCCGTGTTGTAAGTCGATTAATCACACTAGTTAAATTTTCAATGATAAACTGTTGTGTGAATTGTTGGGGTCTGCCATGATCTTACCGCAACTGCGTGATATCTAGGAACAACATGCAGTCTTCCCATGCGCGTGTGTATTCGGGCTCAAATTAGCGCATCTTTGCAAAGGTAAAAGTTACGGTCGTTGTATCGCGGACCAAATTTCCAACTAAATTCGACGTACTTCATATTTCGGCTTCTAAACTGTGTTCACGACCGCTTGTAGCACATAGCGTAAATGAATATTGCGTGTCGTTTTTTGTACCATTCAAACGCCGAACCTCGAACTTGTATGTTTTACGTATATATTATATATACACGTTATATATAGTTTGTAGTATGCTATACTTCAAACTACATGTTTGCTTATCTGTCTCAATCATGAACAATGTTACGAGTGCGTAGATTACAAATTATGCATTGAACTGTTTGTGTCTTATTACTTTGCCTTTTGAACTTGCTGTTCAATCTCATCTCTATACTTATAATAGATACGTGCGATTTCTCCCCTGTTTATTTGACTGAATTGGCGTGCGGCCGTCAATTGAGTACGCGTCGTCTCATTCTTATTCAAATATGGTGCCAGCTTAAAAGAGCGCCGAAATGAAAGTAATCCTGATTATTGATGTAAATATTTTTCGAGACCTGAACGTCTTAAGGATATTAAAATAGCAGTCTGTTTGTGACAGAAGGGTTGTGCTCGTTCAACAGGCGAGCTTTTTCATCAATTTTGTGAAATTTTTATACCGTTCGTCTTCAAAAAGTCGCACGGAATGATCATTTACGACACCCTGCAGCTTTCGGTGCGTTTTGGAAAATTCAACCCCCACTGTTTTGCTAAGTGTTTTTTTGTAAACAGTGTAACACTCCTTGCGATATCCTCTTCCGATTTGAATGAAACCTGTGACGAAGCATGGAAAACAAAGTATTTGAACGAAGTCACTAACCCAATACAGGGGGTATACGTTCCACGACCTTGAGCTGTACCCGCCATTTTTTGGAAAGCTTTGATAACATCTTTCGTGGATTTGTGCACGAAGTGAACAGAACAAACGAGTTTTGCGTACAAATGCGATACGATACTATCGCTTTTCTTGGTCTTATTAAAGCATAATACTTCGTTATAATATTACTCCGCCTTGTCGTGCGACGCGCTTGAGATAAAATCAGCAGAATTCATTACGAAGTAATTGATGGTATGGTTTGCACACTAGAATTTTCTCACGCCGTTTTGAAATGACATCGCGTTCTCTAAGCAACGCGTTTGACTCTAAATTTAATAAAATTTCGCGCAAATTAATGCTGATGGTATGAATCATTACGTGTTTTAGATACCACGGATCTTGCCAGCCGAACCGGCCACAGTTTTTGACAAAAGTGGCTTTTAATTCATTGTTTAATGCCTCGTTTAGAATGACCCGCGAACCAAATTAATTAATCTGTCACGGACAGTTTTAATTGTCTCGTTGGACTAACGTTTTACGGCGGTTTCTTTGATTTTTTAGTTCAGAGACTCACCTTAAGGTGAAAGAAATGATGTAAAATCATCTGGAGGTAGGGAAAACCTTGTCGATATAAGTTTGGGTTTGTTTCGATTTAACGTGATCGAGATTTAAAGTGATCGAGACAGATGATTCGTGAGGGTAAAATTCCCTTGGTTATTTTGTCAGCTCTCTAACTTTTTACACGGCCTGTTCTCGTCTGTTGTAGACGACAGCGCTATAATGTAGGGAGCATACTACATCGTTTGGGTACTTTCAAAAATGCGTGTTCGATTATGCGTGTTCAGACGTATCGCAGCCGGATGACGTGCAAGGGAAGTAGCATCTTGTGTACATTCATGTTTATAAAGCGCGCAACATAACTCCAGCCAGAGAGCACGCCGGCATTCTGGTCAACGAGAAAACATTACAAGCTCCCGTTTGTGATCAATTTCACAGCTTTTGATTTAAGTCGGTAGGCGGTCTTTGTTTACCATTCTCGATGTGTTAACTAAACATTGTTGCATACAGCAATGAAGTTTGTCTTCGTGAAACGACCGCTTATTACGAATCGTGTCTACTCGTCGTTTTGCCCATTTCCCAGACGTGTTGCTCGTCTCGCGTAACTCGTCACTCAACAGTGCTGGGTTGTCAAAGTTAACATCGCCACAGTGCATCGGTAATTTCAAATCCATATCGATTATACTGAATTGTTGTTTCTGTCATTCGTTTGCTGAATTCGAAGTTCACACGAGTTAGTTTTGTTGGTGAAGTCGGAGACAAAGATTAATAACGTATGACAAGTTTAATTGGTGCAGGACGCGCTTTAAGCGAACCATTGGCACAGCTCTAGATGTTTGCTCTATATATATGTGCAATAACTCAAAATCGTCATTCAAATACACGACTGCATGCAACATAGAACGCTGACACTGCTGTTTAGTACTGTACCGTTGCGTGACATGTCATTCTTTGTGGAGCTCAACAGGATCATTCTGCAGTACATTCACAGTCGCGTTCAAGACAGAAGAATTGGTATTGCGCGAAGTCTAGAAGGCATCTTTACCGTGATTAGCGATGTTCTTTCCTCGGTAGAGGGCCTTGAGCCGCGATTCATATCGTCATTTAAGAAGGAAAATGGCCGTTACACCGGACTTCGTGTGATCACATCGACGCATTTCGAACTTCAACTCTTCCTCAATCAAATGGGTGTGTTTAATTTCATTGACGACAACTGTCCACCGGGATGTGCGATGCTGAAACTCAGCGATGAACGCAAACGCTCCATGTCTCTGTGGACCGAATTCATCACGGCATCGGGCTATCTTTCCGCGAAAAAGATGCGAGCTAGATTTCATTCGCTTGTCACAGAAGCCGTCGCGAAATGCTCGTTTAAGGAAAAGGTTCGCGTGCAGCGTAGTCTATCATGTACCGTGCTTGTAATTGCCGATAAATTCTTTCTGACACTCATTCCAGCTTTTAAATGCGGTGCGATTTGGCCGCGCAACATTTGCATTTGGCCAACTCACAATCAACTTTGGCCGTCCCAGTCTGAAATCGAACTTGTGAAACGTCGTGGTTTTAATCTACTAGCCGGAGACATGTTCCCCGGGTATGAGATGCAAGCGGCCGAAGGCGACGCATGGGTATTGGATTTTTTTGAAGGAGAAGAGTTGCTTTTGCACGCCAATTGTCGTAAACAATGTTTGGCCGTACTCAAGACGCTGTTCGAAAGGCACTTAGATCTTCCGGACAAGCCTATTCAACCCTCGTTGATGAAAACATTACTTCTCTATGAATGTGAAAAGCATCCGTGCGAAGACGAATGGAGGGAGAACTCGCTAGGGGAACGCATTAACGCCATTCTGCTGCAGTTAATCTCTTGCCTGCAATGTCATCGCTGCCCCCATTTTTTTCTCAAAGGTGTGGATCTCTTTAAGGGAAAGTCTGCCGAGTCGTTGAACGCTGCCGCACATCAGACTTGGAAAATTACTCGCGCAATCACAACCAATCCTTTTTGCACGGAAATTTTATGACAGTTTTTGTATTCGTGCAATTGTACCTGACCTCATCCATTCGCTACCAATCCCCACTCTACTAAAATTATATATAAATTATAAGATTTTGTTGAGATGTTGCTACATGGCCGAACATCATTGAAAACTGAAGAGTTAAAAGTTATTGAGTTCTAACAATTGAAGAAGTAGTTTTTTGTGCGTTGTTCTTTTAGTTTTGTTGGTTATTCAAAGGTTTCTGGAATGCTTCTGAAACTTCCTCTCGTACTAAAGCTTCTCGACATCCGCTTTGGAGGCTGGTTTCAAAATTATCGTTGGTTTGCTCATGAATCTTGTAAATGTATTCAACGTTTTCACTCCATTGTTGTGTGATTTTGACTTGAATGAATATGAAAATCTATCAACAAATTACGGTAGTTCTGTTGTACTGTTTGCATTCTTAACACATTTTCGGTTTGCAAATTCATCATTTTTCAATATATAAAGGCAAAAATGGCGACGTCTTATCATCAAATATTATGACTGACAAAACTTTAAGCCTTTTTTTAAGGATGGAGTAAGTCATCGCTTTTGAAAAATGCGGATGCTTCATAATATATGGCGATTAAGAAAAGGCTATTGCGAACGTCTGTTTCATGAATTTTTATAGCTATATATGCGAAATAATTTCCCCTTTAATTAGTTCAACCGTTTAGTTTGGGCTTGCTAAATATATCTTGAGAAGGGGACCGCCTTTGCGGTTTAATAAAAAAGCGTTTGTGCATGGGAATATTTTCATTTTTAATAAAAATAATGTTGAAATTTTCTTTAGTAAATGCCGATCGTTGCGTTCCGTTTGCATTTCGTATTTGGGAAAACAAACACGGTCGAGGCGGTGTTATATATTTATTAAATTATTTATTCCGTGTACAGGGGAATGTTCATTAAACCATGTGATTTACAAGAATACTGCGCCATTTGTCTAAGTTATTTTCTATTTCAGAACGATTTATTCTTTAATAGATTTTGGTATCGGTAAACTAAACTAATGCCGACTTTATTCAATAGTTTTTTACACAGCGAAGAATTCATCAAGAATGTTTATGTGTTAAGTTCGTTGTAATCGATCTTTTTGTATGAAATTTAATTCACGAAACAACATTTAGGTAGCTGTATAGAACAATTTTACTTGCATTCATGAAGAATTACATATAAACGCTTTTGTGTTGTGTACTTGTTCTCAATACAATGCCAAATCGTGTGTGTAAAGGACAGAAAATGACGGCTTCTGTTGATTTCTAAGCACGCGCGGCTTGTCCAACAAGTAATTGTCTTATCTACCTTTGTCTATAGCGCTTTGCGAGCAATAGCACTGTCCAATAACAAATGAATACTCCTGTTTATCTCCTATGAATTTATGGAATTGATGTTGTTAGAAGACAATGAACTACTCGCCGAATAGAAAACAAACTGCTTTCGTTTTCTATCGTTTGCGATAAAAAAAACCCACTTCAATTTGCAAACGCGTATGTAATAAACAGCTTATGCTGATGCTTTATTTAAAACAAACTGATTGTAGCTCGAGTATGCGAAAATAGCTATAATTTCTTTCATGAGACAATTAGTTTGTCTTTCAGGGTGTTTCATTTCAATTTTAAATGTACTTTGTTTTATTGGCTGTAAAAATGCACGATTCATAAACTCGTGGCTTTTGTTTCAAAATTGTTTTGTCGCTAGAATATTTTGCTAGAGCATTTCCAGATTTTAGCTGTAATACATCCGAAACAGATTAATCATGTCACGAACTAAATTTATTTTATAGAATTATTTCATAGAATTGTATTTTATATAGAAAATAGCTACAGCATTACCAATTTACATTTTATTTTTCAACAAATTGTTCTCAAGGAAGGAGACACAAAATTGGCTAGAATCGAGTACCACTCAATTAACTAATGTAGTTGCTACGCGGCGAAATATGCCAAAAATGCATAAAATGCATTATTTGAATATTTACAGTGCTATACATAGCGGTTACAGCTTTGTCCGTGCATGACTCGTGTCTTTTTAAAATATAAAAAATGTTTATTGATATTTTTCATAAATAGATAGCTACACAATTGTCTCTTGGTTTATTTTTTTGTTTTTCATGATAATTTGTCCTTAGCTGTCCATGTGTTCAATTTTTATTTTTTGAGCGTTTAGGTCAGTGCAGTCATGACAAACATTTCGACGAGAACTTTGACTCTGAGTGACTCTGAAGGTGACTGCTGCTAATGATGACGAAACGTCAGTCAACACAGACACCAATATCAGAACTGCGCTGATTTACATCTATAAACATGTAACAACGCTTCCGAATTCAAAGCATTCACTTTAATTTTATGACACTGAGGTCTTTAGCCTTATGGTGCCTCTGAAATAGTTCGTCTTTGTACGACGCGTCTACTCGCAAATGAAAAGGCTTCAATACCGCGTCCTCTATAACAATTCTAAGTATTGAGAATTGACGTCATCAATTATTGAAAAATGTTTGGTTGATTTTATTTATCTTTGTGCAGTATGATATAACATATATAGCTAAACGTTTCCACATACGCAGTTGTATGTACGCTTGTAAGGATCATAGCTGTATTTTAAACTTAAAAATGCCAAAAAACCAGGCTTATAGTATTTGTGTTACCTCTTGATCTTGCTTTCAGCGTGTTGAGTCTGGCTGTACCAGTATGGCCACACATGCAAGCTTATAAGCTTAAACTCTACCCTTGTTTTATGTAGTTGCAAAGTTCTGTACAGGAGAGAGCGTTTGAGCTCATCCGACCCAAGCAACTATGGACTGTCCATTTAAATAAGCATTTTATGAATGACCAAGTTTCACATGTTTTCGAACTTTATCAATCATCTGATCGATAAACTTTCATGACGCATAAACGACAAAATTATTGTCGTAGCATAAATATCTTATTTTACAATTATAGCAGATTTAGTTTTCAACTGTGTTTATTGTTTCAGTGTTAAAAGTTTCTTTGTATCAACCGTTAAATTTCCACTTTCATGCACCGTTCTATAGGTAACCATGTATGCAGATTACCTTCATGGAAAATGGTCATTCGAGGACATCAAAGCCATACACTCCAGACGTTACCTGCTTCAGAATTGTGGCATCGAGATCTTTCTTTCGTCACGCAGTAAGTACTCTTGAGTATGTATTAGAAAGGATAAATATGGAGGAGAGAGAAGAGCTTTAGTTGGCAGAATTGTGGATTGACTCAAATGCAAAAATAGTGCTGTTGATTTTTAATCTGCGCATTCGTGTTGGCTGTTTCCCATGCAGCAACGATCTTGGGCTTAGCTATTTTTCTTTCGCCTTTTTTTAATGGTTTCTTCATCTTAAATACTGCCTTGAAGAGTGCATGGAAGGGAAGTAAAGTCAAACTTCTATAAAGTGGACACCCTCGGGAACGGACTTGTGTCCGCTTAATGGAGGTGTCCGCTTGATAGAGGTTTCATAGCTAATGACGAATTAGTTTGTTTGTTTTTATTAAAGAATTTTATCTTGCGGCTAAACGCTGAATTACGTAAAATTTACAACTCTAAAAATAAACTAAGAAAAGAGTGAAAAAGTCAATTTTAAAAAAGTATACCTAAGAAAAATTTACAGTTATGATGTTAATTTAATATTAGATGTTAGATTTTTGCTTGAGAGGCATCATGCATGATAAAAGAATTTCTAAATCTGTTCGTTTTTATTTTCGGCAAACAGTATTTTGATTGCTTCTCAAAGGTATATCATTTCGGCTATGGGATAAAATAATGGATTAAATTTGGGACTTTACAAGGTGTCTGCTTAATACAGGTTTGACTGTAATTAAGTTTGTTTTCACAACTGCTTAGTCTTTTTATGATTTCTTCGTGTTATTTTGTTGTTCGTGTCAGAGATTCTTTTCTTGCATGACTTTAAGACTTTACCATTATTCATTATCATCATGTTTTACCATTGAAGTCAATGCAATTGAAGTTCACATGACCGTATCTCTCGTTTAAGTTATATATCCCGATTAGTTTGTTTGTCTATCACATATTGCATTACTAAATATCCGAAAATCGATCGAGTGTTTGAATTGCTTCAGATTCAGTGATGTTTGTTTTCGATGACCACCAAACTGTGAGAAAGGCTGTGCGGGCATTACCTGCGGTTGGGATTGGTCCAAACTATGGTTTATTGCAGACAAGGTGCGTTGCTGTTTTATTTCTTTACGTGAAAAAGTTGCTCCATTTCTTTTTTTTATACCTTTTTTCTTTTTCCAGAGCAATCTCATTGGCAAGTCCCAAGCAGTTATTCCAAAGGTCGAACATGACTCAAAGATGGCAAAAAGGAGAGATTACAAATTTCGAGTACCTTATGTTCATCAATCGAATAGCAGGTTTGTTTTGGTGAAAACGATTTTCTTGATGGAGATAAACGCGTGTTTCCACTGGAGTTGAAACTTTTTTAAATTTTTGTTAAAATTATAACGAATCAATGACAATTGAGACAATAACTATGCACCTTAAATGGTCATGTTTCTAGTGTATCAGAAAGTGCAAAAATCCTTAAAACTTGCAGGAGCTACGCAATAGTTTCTTCTTTTTTATTTTCTTTGTTGATTTGTCCATTATTCGGTTTTTTTATAAAGATTGTACATCTGATCAATTGCGCATTTTCATTTTTTATTCCATTTTTATATTAAAAGAGTTTAACCGTCATTATTCATTCCAAGTGTAGAAGGTACTCCATATCATCTGCTTTTCTTCGCCGGTTTTTCAAACCAATTAACGTCGTTATTTCATACTTATGAATTAATGATTTAGAACCCAATCCCCCATGCGTAAATCCTCTGAGCATTTACGCATGCACGCCCAAAGCTTTTTCATTAAGTACGTGGATGTATTTAAAATTGAGTTTTCCTCGTTTAGGACGAACATACAATGATTTGAATCAGTATCCTGTTTTTCCTTGGATTCTAACAAACTATACCTCCGAAACTTTGAATCTTGATGATCCCAATAACTATAGAGATTTGTCGAAGGTAATTTCTCAAAGCAATTTTTCTTTGGGCAGGCTGCTTTGTGTGGCATTTGCATGTTTTTGTGTGTGAAGCTGTATCAGTAAGAGTATGGATGTATGGATCTTATCCAAGTGCACAGGTGTTTGTTTATGTTTAAATTTCTATCGTAAATGATCGAAGATCAGCTTCGACTTGAATCTTATTCTTTGACGAGCTTCTGCTTTCATTATGTAATTTCCTTGCCGTACATGTAACTATTTCATTTCAACATCAATTGTATATTCAAAAAATTTATGCTTATCACGATCAGGCAAACTTAGAATTATGCGTGTTCGTTTTCCTTTAAGTTACAAATAGTAGTATATTTCCTTCTTGACAAAGTTACATGACTAGTTCTGCAACAAATTTAGTACCCACTTAAAATGAATGAGTTTTACGATTGTGTCAATCACACAATAACGATTAACGTTAAAGTGTTTATAACGCCAAATTTTACAAAATTATTTTTTGATTGCATTGTAAAGGCAATTTAAAATGACTTAACAACTTCTTTGATAATTCTGTGTTATTTTATTTCTTTTTGGAATTATGCAATTTTTCTTAATTGCGCAAACGACATCGTTATGACTTTACACTGCATAGTTGGCATTTGGAAAAACTAGTCCGAAAAACTAGAAAAAACAGTTGTATTTGTTTATATACGACGATGTTGAAAATTGTCGATCTTTTAAAGGTCATTATGCTCTGTGATGTCATAACGATGTCATTTGGATGAACAAAAAAGTTAAACAGCTCTAGAAAAAGTGCAATGATTCAATTCTTTTGAAGAGGTTATTAAAAGTCATTTTATATGTTCAATACAATCAAAAAATTCGTGACAAAATTTTGTGTCATAAGCACTTTAACCAACCTCGTACGATTTATTATTTCTATATCGTAGTGTACTTCATTGTAATTCGAACCAATCATAAACTCTGATCATAAAGATAGATACCGACCTTGGAACAAGGCTATGATCATAACATGCTTTGATTTTCACGTACTGTGATTTTCACGCGTTATGATTATCACGTGCTATGATTATCACGTGCTATGATTATCACGTGCTATGATTATTACATGCTGTAATTTTCACGATAATAGGATGAACCATGCCCTTTTATGTAACTATTTCGTCTATCAAATTTTTTTAGCCAATCGGTGCTTTGAACCCTGAAAGATTGGGGCAATTTCTGGATCGATTTAATTCGTGGGACAAGAGTGAAGATATTCCACCGTTTCACTACGGGACTCATTACTCGACTTGTGGTTTCACCCTGGCATGGCTGATACGTCTGGTGAGATAACGGAAATGATAGTGATTTGTGAAGGGAAATTTGCAACGTGTAATAACGCGCAACACTTGAAGAGAGCATTTTTTCTTCCTACTGCGCAGTTTAGAAATTTGCGATGTTACTTTTGTTTGTTGGACTTGATACTTCTATTCCCGTTACTTTCTCCCCCCCTCAGCCCTCTCCTCCCACCCTCCGTTTTCGCCTTCCTCTAAATACAGCAAACTGAATATTTTCGTTAATTTTTTGCAGGAACCATTTGCAAGTCAGTTTCTGAACATGCAAGGCGGGATGTTTGACCATCCGGGACGTACGTTCTCGTCGATGGCGTATGCATGGTCAAACTGTCAACGAGATACGTCAGACGTTAAGGTATTGTAAGCATTTCGAGGCAAAGGCATTGGTGTGTGCATGTGTGTACATATGTTGGAATGCTCTGTCAGTGAGATGAATTTTATAGGGTTGAAGGTAACTACTTTTTATTTCCACCATCAAACGATAAGCTTTTCTCTTATCTAAAGAACTTCCTTCTTCTAAAGAGTATGGAATCTCTCAGTCGATGCTTTTTCAACATGGTTTGACAAATTGGTGACCGTTTAGCCGGGTCAAACTATATTTTGCTCTACCTTTTATGCTATCGAGCACTTTTTGCAATTCTGAAACAAAAACTATTTCAATATATGCTTTACTGTTTAACGAACGGTTTGATTTTATTCTGTTATTTAGGAGCTGATTCCGGAACTCTTTTATCTTCCTGAAATGTTTGTGAATGCGAATAAAGTATGATTTCTTTGTGCTTTAATTATATGTGGGTATAATTGAATATATGTTGTTGTTGGCATGTCATTGTGTGAATGTATGCAGGTTCGTGTAACTATGTGTTGTTGTATGTGAATAAATGTAAGCATGTGAAAGTTTATGTGAATAAATGGAACTATGTGAAAGTTTATGTGAACACATATAGGTATGTGTTGATGAATGTTGGTACATGTGAAATTGTGCAAATATACATAGGTGCATGTATGTGATTTTGTATTGACATGTGTGAATAAATGTAAGTATGTCAAAGTATTTGTAAAAAACGAAAATGTCTGTAGAAATATCAGCGATGGATCCACGATGGTTTTTCAGCGAGTGTAGTCTACTTTTTAGATTTTGATGACAACTTGTTGCCGTAGCCTGACATACATTTTTTGTTAAATTCTGTCACCTTTTTTGGGGATTTGGGAGATTTTTGGAAGTGTACTCAACTAAACGTTTGTCACGTTAAAATGTTTTCCTTAATTGTTTCGTATGTTAGTCCTTTCTAGGAAAATTAGCACTCCTCTTGCACCCCTCCCCCCTGAAAAATACACGAAGTGTGTTGGTATATGTATGTCAATGAATCTTGGCATGTGTAAATGTTTTACTTATATGTGTGAAAGTATGTCGTTTTGCATTTTGGTTTATTTTGTAAATCTATCTAATATCTGTTGCTTTTCGTTTTTAAGTTTCAATTTGGAGTCAACGACGATGGGAAAGTTATTGACAATGTCGAACTTCCCCTGGGCAAAACACCTGAAGAATTTGTCGTAAAGCACCGTGCAGTATGTTACTTATTGATTTTAGCTTAGGGAAGTTTTTACGGTGTAATCCGAAAACACGAAGAAATGTAGGAATATCGTGAAGAAATTATTCTATCATCGCTTTTTAACCTGTTAGGCTCTCGAGTCGGACATTGTTTCATCAAGTCTTCACAAATGGATTGATCTCATCTTTGGGTTTAAACAAAGAGGTATTTGTTGCAGGGAAACGTTCTTGAATAGAGAAATATTTTAGTCTTTTTCCAACAGGCAATTTCAACTTTTGAGTAAAGTGCGCCAGGAGTATGGTGTTAGATACTTCCTTTGATATGTTGTATATTACATGGATCGCGCATCACTAATTAAATTTGAAGCCAGAAGGCCGCCATATTGAACAGTCCCACTTCACGAGGTTGACATGCAAAATATATCAATATCTGCTATGAAAAATTGCGAGAATCGTCTCTTATGGTGCATTGACAAAACTGCTACTTTATAGCTGTAACATTGAGGTTAAGTGTAGGAAGCAGTTGTACTTTTAGGAAAGGATTTTCAAAATTTTCGTGACACCATTTGAGAGATACTATCGCAAGAGAATGCTTGTAGCTTCACGTTGAAAGATTTTTTAAGGTTTATTACTACAATCCGTTCCAAAATTATTTGCTATCGTTGTTCTTTACTATAGATTACTATTGTGACTGTTCAATATGGCGGCGCATCTAATTATAGCTGTCTACTTCCGGCTTTAAATTTTTGTACTCACCATATTGGAAATGCGCGATCCATGTAATATACATATCAGTGGATATTTTTGATTGTTTTATGCGGAAACAATGTCGCTTGTATAAAATTATACTCGTATGTTTTTGTTGAATGCTTGTTTTCTGTGCTCGATGTTTTTTTGTCAATGAAAATGTTTTATATCTTTGTTAAAATTATCCATTTTATCAAAGCATTTTAAATTAAGAAAATAAAGGATACATTCCAAGATATATAAAGCTCACTTGTCTTTTTTTGTACTTCAGCGATTCTTCGATTATCGCGATCGCGTTTGATAAGCTTCCTTACTTAAAATAACATTTAAGTTTTCTTTTTTTAGGGATCGAAGCTGAACGAGCTGTGAATGTGTTTTACTATTTAACATACGAAGGCAGAGTTGATCTTAATTCGATACAAGATCACGTGATGAGAGAGGTACATCCGGGAGTTAACACCAAGCATTAAAACAGTTTTGTTTTAGACACTTGCTGTTTTGTAAATCAGAATTGTGTCATTGTATATAAAATTATAGAGCAGTACTTAATGCTTTTTCATTTGATGTTGGTTGAAATTTCTCCAACTTCAATTGAAAATGAAGCGTTTTTTATGCTGAGAAAGATTAAAAATCATCTAAATTCGATCGCTTGCATGAAATGCTCGAATGCAGAAAAATTTGAAAGAATGACTGCAAATGAGCTTAAGTTAGTCGTGTAACACTGGTGTGAGAAATGGTGAATAATGAAGGAAACTATATAGGAAAAAATTAGGGAGGTGAAAATATGTCTCCTATGAAAAATTTCTTGGTTTAACATAGGCACAAACTGGATGTAGGAATGTTCAATCTTCCGTAAACTTATTTTATATATAACTGGGGTTTTTTTATTGCGTCCTATAAATAACAGGAATTATGTCTTTAAGGCTGTGGAGCAGCAGATAAAGAACTTTGGTCAGACACCAACCCAGCTACTGACTGAAACACATCCCGCTCGCCAATATCGACAGGTATTTTGCTTAAAGTTCCTCTCGAGTATCTTTGCAATGACTTTACGTCGTCCAGTTAATATATTTTATACGCTTCTTTTGATTCGAAATCTTACGTATCTTAAGTTAGGTTTTCTTGTTTTATCTCGACATGCTATTGTTCCATTTCTTCGTTTCGTTATTAATGCTTTCATCATCATTCCGTCGCGAAAGTCAACAAACACGTGAATTTTATTGCCAATTTTCTTCATTCTAGAAACTAGATGGGTACGACTACTCCAAATGTAAGTACAGAAAGTAGATATACGTACAGGAGACGCGAGAAATGAAGATAATAATGATAAAATTTTTATTGAAACTGATATACCCATTCAGCTACTTAATGCTGCTCTTTCCTTTTGAACAGTTTTCACGTTTCGAAATTTTTGAAAATTATATATGCATGTCATGTAACTATAAATTCAGCAGCACTTATAAAATTACAAACTGCATGTACATCTATGTGAAGTATGTGTTGGCACAAGAGGTTTGAAGTATGTATGAGTGCATGAGGAACGAGTTGGTGTGAGTACTAGAGGCGTGATTAGTTTGGACTACAAAGGTGTGATTGTATTTGAGTACGAAAGACATGAGTATATTTGAGACAAGAGACTTGGGTACCAGAGGTGGACTGGTTATCATCATGTAAAGAGATCAAGTGTGTAAAATATGATTAAAATTATTGCAGGTGCTTATCTTTCTTTCACTATTACTCCCAACGTTCCTGTGACTTGCATTGCGCTAAATATCTCCTTACCAACATCTCCTGGTCTCGTCACTGTAAGTTGTAACCAGTGTTTCTCTGTCAACAAGTGGATATGTCCAGGTATCGTATGCGTTATGCTTTGTTATATTGAAGTTTACACTTCTGCATGGGGCCGGTTGTACAAAGGCCGAAGAACGCCATGCACTGGATAGCAATATTTTTGAAGTCTTTAAAAATCTCTGAAAAGAGAACAATCTGCGATTTGAACGGGACAATCTATGAAATACAATGTTGGTTCTTGAATTACGGAGTTTCATCATCTTGAAGAAAATACAACCACTTTTTTTCACAAGTTTGTAAACGTTACTATTCAATGAATAACGCTATCCATGCATCGTGCAACTGGCCCCTGTTTTGGAGAAATATTGATTTATGTACGCGCATGAAAAACATGAGGCGATTGGCTTATACTCAAAATTTCAAACTGCTGTGAGTTGTTGCTTAAATCTACTCCGACGTTTAGTTTTTGTTTTTTTGTAATGGTAATCCTTGTTTATCCAGTGATATGGAATTCTCAATTTCAAATAAATATTCAATTTCGATTTTGGAGGTTGTAAAATTACACAGTAATTCATAATTAAAATGTTCATACGATTTGTTTCATTTCAGGCTTGCCTCGTGAAACGTCTTTGCAAAATGTTGAAATCGGCACAGATCCTTTAATAGGTAAACACTGCAAGTTGTTCATTACTAAGTGTTCTCGAAGTGCTTTGCTTATTGTTCTTGAAGTGTTTATAAAGCGAAAATCTCCCTATTTATGCTATGTTTTTATTGAAAAGAACTTTTAAGACTTTCTCAAACAGATCCTGTGCATGTCTTCACATTCCTCGAGATATTTAAGTATTTTTAATGTGCGTTTACAAACCAGCGACGTCTCACTGCTTAATGAGTCACTGCGACATTTCAATTATCCTTCGGTTTCCGAGCCAGTTTTTCAAGAAATGCTTGGGCCAAATTTTGTAGACTTCATTCCACAACGAAGAAACTCTGACTTGTAACATGTCAGCAAATACACCTGTAGAAATTCTCGGTATTAGGAAGCAAACTCTCGATGTGTTTTGTGTAAACTTTCTTTTAACTCGATGGGATAAATGCTGGAAAAGGCTTACGTTATTTACATATAGATGGCAAAAGTATACACCCTCGACGTTTGCTGGGCGAACCTTTGGACCAAACCGTCACTCTTACCGCATCGTGCTTTTGTGTAACTGATGATAACCGTTTCATTATTGCTTGTGGTTATTGGGATAAAAGTTTCAAGGTTTTCTCGACAGATTCAGGTAAGCAGCATGGTCAAAGGTGCTTCTATAAAACAATCATGGGACAAGGTTGAGCGCGATATCAAAAATTATCCAGATCGAGCAGTTGCAACGCTCGACCTTCGGTCTCGTGCTTGCACCGATCTGTTCATGAGCTCTTTCAAAGGCCTCCTCGGTTTGTATAAGCCTGTGCTAACACAGTAAACATATCTTATTTCTTAAAGGATAGTGTTTTATGAACTTTAAACGAAATAGTTGTTGATATCGTGTGAAATGACTCAAATGACAAGGGAAGCCAAATTCTCATCTATAAGTAATAGATAAATGTCACGATGAACAGTTACCTGATTTGGGCTGTTCAAAGTTAAACGAGTTGCAAAAAACCACTTTTGCGGAAACTAGATTTACGCAAATTCAAGGACATTTCATTGGTAGAAGTGAACGTATTACGTGTAAACCATTATAAGTTTTGTTACGGTTTTGTTGTTCTGAAGGTATTTTGTACCTGTCAAGTTTCCCCAGGTTACGAACGTCAGGTGTTACAACTCTAACTTAAACATGTCGGGGGGGGGGAATCTAAATTAGAAATCGTCTTATGTCTTTTTGGAAAATTTTGATTTCAGCTAATAATCAAGATTTGTCCGATTACAAAGATTTTACAAAGAAATAGCATTGTTGTTTTCCTTCGTCAATCGCACCTTGAATTGACTTATGATTATCTAGATTTGTATGGTTTTCACCATCGCCTATACTACTCCTCTCTTGTGTTCTCGTCACCAAAACGTTATTTTGATTGTACTGCAATTTTTCAAGGTAAACTTCACCAGTGCGTATTTGGTCACTGGGACGTTGTGACCAGTGTGTCGTACGCGGTGGATATCAATGGAAATAACAATAACGATGCTGTAGTCGTATCTGGTTCACGTGATGCCACATTGCTTGTGTGGTACTGGAATGGAAAACAACAGCGAATTTCATCCAATGGAAAAGCAGGTGTGCAATTGAGGAATGATGTAATTGAGGAAATACGATCTGAGGAACCTTTTTCCTCGATTTAATGACATAGACATTCCTAATAATGGGTTGGTAAGGATCGAAGGAATAAGTGTTTGTTTTTGCAGTGGATTTAGGCGAAATGGTCATTTTTATGTAGAATGCTTAATCGCCATTTCTATCGATTTGTTTGTATTACATGAATCACGTATTTCAAAAAGTTTGAAGGCAGAAAAGACGATAGGCCACCTTATTAAACAGTCCCACTTTACGAAATTGACACAATGTTTTTTTATTGTTGTGGAAAGTTTGTTGGGGCGCACCTGGCGATTGTTAGATTGAACTGTCTTTTTTTAGCTGCACGAAGCTACGTGTTTGAAACATATTGTGTGTTGTTTTACCTATACGCTTGTTTCAGACATTTTTTTAAAACTCTTTCTCAGGTGATACGGCATCAGCACGTGCTATCCTTACTGGTCATGAAACAGCTGTGCTATGTGCTGCAGTTAGCTCGTCTTTGGGATTGGTTGTCAGTGGCTCACAAAGTTAGAAAACGTTTTATATATCGATGGATTATATAATTGTACAATGAAAAAATTCTTTACATTTTCATTTTTCTGAAATGTTTGATGCCAAGGATGTGTTTACTGTATGTGTGGGGGTGCGACAGTGGGGCAACTTTTCCACGAATTTAGCATACCAAGCATTTGAGCAAAAGAACGTGTGGTATGTATTTGGAGCACACTTCATAAAAAATCTTTAAATCATTGTATGTAAAGTAAAAGATGTCACCAAAAAATGTCGGACGTGGCACTGCGACATTACGATGTTTTCGATTTGCAAAGGGATTAGTGAAAATATACTATATGGTTGAAACTGTGCATGGATATTTTACCACAAATTCGTGTAACAGTGTTCTCAAAATGAGACTTGATTTTCATATTAGTGTTAATCCTATAGCGTCTTTACGTATAGTTGAAGAATAAACTTTTTTTGATAAATAATTTTTTGATTTTCTTTCATGTTCTTTACAGATGGATCGTTTTACTTCATACGATAATGGGTGATTTGATCTGTTCCTGGTGGAGCCGGTGTTCTCGTGCAAACACCCTATAGCAGTAAAAATATCCAACGAAGGCTTCATTCTTGCTAACTACGCGGATACGAAAGGAGTACTGGCCCTTTTTTCCATAAATGGAAAGCATCTTAAAAGTATTGCATTAGAAGAGCAGATCTTGGTAGGTGTAGTGACCGTCTCTGTAACTAAAAACTTCGGTCACAGATTCAAAAAAGTCATGTGAGATTTTGTGAGTGATAGGATCAATTGTATCGCTAAGATTGGTATTAAAAACTGCAGCTCGTAATAGGAGCGCGTACCTTTAAAAAGGGTGTTTGCATCTGTAGCTATGTCGGAGAAAAGTCCCATATAAGGAAAGGAATATATGTTAAATTCATGCTTTGTTGAGCATCAGCACTTTGATTTACTATCTAACAAGGCCGCTGTGACATCACATGGGAACATTCTTTAACAAAAATCAGGAGTGAACATGTCATTAACATTTGAATTTTTGTATAGTATTGGGTATACGGTACATATAATGGCAGAGATCTCTGTATTTCGTTCACATAACTAAATATCAAGTATCAATGCTATTCACCAGTGTGCATTTTATATGTGACGAAACATTTTTTCCAGGTTTCCTGCTTTTCACGAAATGGAAATTTCTTTGTTACCGGTGGGTTTGGCAAAACTGTTACCGTGTGGCGAACGTGGGACATGCACGCCTTGCACACGTTCCTACCATGTGATAGCAGCATACGTACTCTTACCTTATCAGATGATTGCAGGTTAGTGAAGTGCGAAATCGGTTATTCCATACTTCATGAACTAAAGCTGTGGATTTAAAAGGAGGAGAGGGTGTCTTTCTCCAGTTGAATGTATTCTTTTACACGGGCACATAAATATAGATATACCTTTATGTTTGTCTTTTCTAATTTCGAGAAAGACACAATAAAATTGGCTTAGAAATTAAAAATTTTAAAATATGAAAAAGTTTTTGTGGTGTATCGTCATTTATGACGCAGATCCAGACACTAGATAATCAGATAAGATTACACCACAGTCCATTTTTTGAAAATAGAACTTTGGTAAAATAACATTTGTGTTCATTTTCATAACTGCTGCACAAATTTCGAGTATTCGGTGTAAACGCTTTTGAAAGAATGTACAAGGCAACTTCAGCCATTCATTCTTCAAGTATCCTAGCAGTTAAGTTTTATTTGATGGTATGGGAGCTCTTGTGTTTTGGGTAATGTATTTTATGCCAGAGTAATAAGCAACACGCAGATCAGGAAACTGTTTTGGCTGTTCAATGATCCTCATGACATCCATTCTTTATCCTATACTGCATGACGTGAATTTTTTGGTTCTGTTACGTGGAGGTCGCTATACTGGCTAGTGACGCAACATAACGCTAAATGGCACTCGTGATGATAAGGTCATACAAAGTTACTTGTTGCCTTTTCTAAATTACATCGTATTACGTGTTCATTGTCTTTTATGCTCATTTTAATATTATGCAGAAAGTAGCCTTAAACTTACTAAACTTCTGTTTACTGAACAGAAACGCTCACTGCAAGGCTTCTTACAAGATGTTTTTTAATTATCTTTTGTCTTATGTAGTATAATATGAAGCATATCCGAAAGAAGAATCATGTTTAACTCAATATTTGAGAAAGAAACAAGAATTTTTTTATTCGAAAAGCAATATTTCGAATTTGTTACAAATTCATCATCAGACTATATTTACAAGCTAATCGATGCTCTACTTATATGTGCGTTACATCATTTCAAGGGAAGTGCGGGCATGTGAGCTGGATGGGAGGGATTAGGTGATTGCGAGGCAGTGAAATCAAATAGCGTCAGTTTGCTTGTAAATATAGTCTGATGATAAATTTGTGACAAATTCGAAATATTACTTTTCAAATAAGAAAATTTCTTGTTTCTTTCTCAAATATTGAGTTAAACATGAGCCATCTATTCGAGTATGCTACATATTATGCTGCTTAAAATTGTCGGCTGTTAATGGCTTTTGTCTTAACTTTCGTTGAATTGTCGGCTGGAAAAAGGGTTAAAGATTAATTGGCGTATATTTTATTGTATGGCATGCTCTTTGACAAAAACTTCCCACTTATGATAAAATGTTTTAGCTCATCCTGCCTTTCGTTTTTTGAAAGGCAGACTAAGCTTGTATGAGCGTACATTTTTTCGTGAGCAGTTGGAGAACATTCTCTTCAATGTATCACCTGCATTGATTTACATGACGACGTGTTTTTTTTTTGGTATAGGTGTGTAGCTATCGGGTTGGCGTCCGGGAACGTGCTAGTGCTGGAAATGGAGTTTAGTCGTTGGTCCATGACATGAATGTTATTTGTACTCGTACAAGATGTTTTTTGTGAAATGAAGTCTTTTCATATTGAAAACGTACAACGTGAGCGCTTTGTGTCTAGCAGCGCATGACTAATTAGTGTAAATGTGTCCTCCTTCTCGTGTTCTTGTACTTTTTTTCTTCAACGCTTCTTTTCACCTGATTTGTCTTTCGTAATGACGTTGATAAATAGGCATATTTATATATTCAAAGCGGTGATGTGGCATGCGCAGTAGTTATGGTTGTACACTGTACATTGATAGTTGTAGGATCTCTAAATGCTTGTTCGCTGTAACTAGTTTTAATGCATTATTTGTAGCGATGTCTTTTTGTTTACTGGTGCTACTCTAGTAGATAGAATTATTTAAGCTTTCAAACATCTCATTAGCAATAAAATTCAAAAATTCATGCAACAGCAGTTTTCTCTGATTCTTCATTTGTTCATCGTGCCCTTTTTAGTTGTACTTTGATATTATTGAGAAGATACATCATCAGATTACGAACATCTCAACCATGAAAGTGATAATAAAATTACCTAGAACTTTTCGGGATAAAAGTGTTTGAACCGTTTTCCTCTTAAGGTGTTTCAACTTTGAAATTCCATGCATCAATGTGTTTGATTTATATAATGAAAAACTTTGTGACACTGAAAATCATTTCACATGTACTGCAGTAGCAAATTACTTGTTTTCACCAAAAGTTTTCTCTACACCTGGTTTGTCTACTCGGAAAATTTAGCTTTGTAGTTGCATACAAACATCTTCCACCGTTTTTGGATATGCTCGTAAACAGAGGTAAAAAAGAACAAATTTTCGACCAGAAATGTCTAAAAATCGACCAACAACTTTCTGGGCAATACTTTCGAATTTCCTAAAAGCTATGTAAATGCGAGGCAAATTAACAGAACGTCTTTCTGTCATAACGTCCTTGGCGAAACGCATTCAGAATGTGTTGAAAAGTCCGTCCGTCCCAGTGTGCCAGTGGTACGTCCCGTTCGGTTCGCGTCCTCGACGTCAAAGCATGGCGTAAAACGTCATTTTTCTTTTGCACCATTTGCACTGTTACTATGTGCGCCATCGCTACGTATTAGTCAGCAGTCAAAACCTACAATATTTATGATAAAGAAACTGATTATGATTTATTAATGATAAAGAAACTTGATATTCTGGGCATGGAGTCATTGACGATCATGGTATGGACGATAACAATTACGATGACAATGAAATAACTGAAATGGACTGTAAAGATCTTGCCACAGAGAGCAAACCCAATCGTCCATTCAAGATTTGTAGCATGTCGCGAGATAACAGAAAAGGCATTGTCTGTTCTTCACTTGAAGAACTCAAATGTTTATCTCGTAGTCGACTGGGATTGAACGAAGATTGTCGTGTTTACTTGGAATGTGATGGTACTGAAGTGGACAGTGAGGAGTACTTTCAGTTTTTGCCTCCGCAAACCTTGTTTTTAGTTGCAAATAGCAACGAACATTGGGAACCTGGTGACAGTAATTCTGGTAAGGTGTATATATTATGTTATTGGCATCAGAAGTGGGACTAGTGGCAGGCATAAGTCTGAAGAATATTATTTTACCACAAATCTAACATTAGCCAGTTGAACACCATCACATTGTAAAGGCAAAACTTTTGACTTTCTTCAATCCAGGAAAGAAATTGGACAATGGACGAATAACAGAAAGTCAAGAAAGCTATAGTGGTACTGATAAAGTGGATGGCCCGGTGCGGTTATCTAGCTCTTTACAACAAAGAATCCTTAAAGACCCTTTATTTTTTGTTTCTATGTCAACAGAAGACCTAGAACTTATTTCAGAATTTGGAATGGAAAATTTACCCAACCAAATGAATATTTCCATGGATCGTGCTCGATTAATCTATGATAATTGTGAGCTGAACTGTCCAGAAGAACTGACATAAAAGAAACACGTGACTTACTGGACCTTTGCCATAAGGCTATCTACAAATTCAGCAAAGACAACAAAGATTATCAACCACAAAATGCAAAGAAGCCTAAAACATCAAATGACTAGCACATTTATTTGGGTTTCATTTGTTATGGGAGAAATAGAAAACAAATTTTTTGTGGGTTGGTTGGAATTTTGAAGCAGGGATGGATGTGGGATGATTTTGTGGGTAGGAGAAAGGGTTCTCTAGTTTGAATTAAATTTTGGTGGCTACTTTGGCAGTGTCACCATGCATTGTTTTGGCTGTTCCATTTCCTTATACAATGTTTGAGAGATATTTTCTGCTTGACTATTTTTTGCCAAATCCATTATAATTTAAGTTTCGATTTTCCTCGATAATTTGTTAGGATATGGATATCCACAAAATATAGTGGAAGCACTTGACTTGAAATTTTAACATTCTAACTTCAAATATGTCGATTAATGTCGAATTATTCAATTAAATTTATATTGAATTTTCGTACGATCTAACGAGTGCACAATGAGTAAACGAAAGCGAGAAGATGATGGGCCAAATACGGAATTTTGTAACGTTTTAAACGGTAGGACTGTGTTTTTATAACTATCATACTTTTGTTCAAGACGGTCTAACATTTAACCATATGTCCAACATGGTGGCCATGAGTCATATCTAGAAATGATATACGTAGCCATAAAGGTGTCAGGTCAGTTAGTTTGCTTGGAATTTTATTATTACTATTGTGATTTTTTAAGAGATTCAAGAAGTTTGTAACTTAGTGATTTAACCTGATTGCAATTGCATGTTATTAGTTACATTTGATAGGTGGCTTTTCCCAGACTGGAAATCTTGTATTGTGCATCCAAAATGTATTGACCAAGCCTTCACCTATTGACTTAGCTTTAACCTATTGACCAAGCCTTCACCCATTGGCTTAGCTTTCATCAATTGACCAAGCCTTCACCTATTGACTAAGCTTTCATCAATTGACCAAGCTTTCACCTGTTGACTAAGCTTTCATCAATTGACCAAGCCTTCTGCCTTCACCTATTGACTGCTTTCACCCATTGACCAAGCTTTCACCTATTGACCAAGCTTTACCTATTGACCAAGCTTTCACCTATTGACCAAGCTTTCACCTATTGACCAAGCTTTCACCTATTGACCAAGCTTTTACCTATTGACCAAGCTTTCTCCTATTCACAATGCCTTCACCTATTGACTAAACTTTCACTTATTGACCAAGCTTTCACCTATTGACCAAGCCTTCAACTATGGAAGCATCCTTCACTTATTGACGCAACCTTTACCTATTGACGCTACCTTCACTTACTAGCGCAATAATAATAACGCTATTGACAAACCTTCACGGGTAGACGCAACCTTCACCTATTGATAAACTTTCACGTGTAGACGCAACCTTCACCTATTGACAAACTTTCACGTGTAGACGCAACCTTCACCTATTGACAAACCTTCACGTGTAGACGCAACCTTCACCTATTGACAAACCTTCACGTGTAGACGCAACCTTCACTTATTGATAAACTTTCACGTGTAGACGCAACCTTCACCTATTGACAAACCTTCACGTGTAGACGCAACCTTTAACTATTGACGCTACCTTCACTTACTAACGCAATAATAATAACGCTATTAACAAACCTTCACGTGTAGACGCAACCTTCACCTATTGATAAACTTTCACGTGTAGACGCAACCTTCACCTATTGACAAACTTTCACGTGTAGACGCAACCTTCACCTATTGACAAACCTTCACGTGTAGACGCAACCTTCACCTATTGACAAACCTTCACGTGTAGACGCAACCTTCACCTATTGATAAACTTTCACGTGTAGACGCAACCTTCACCTATTGACAAACCTTCACGTGTAGACGCAACCTTTAACTATTGACGCTACCTTCACTTACTAACGCAATAATAATAACGCTATTAACAAACCTTCACGTGTAGACGCAACCTTCACCTATTGACAAACCTTCACGTTTAGACGCAACCTTCACCTATTGACAAACCTTCACATGTAGACGCAACCTTCACCTATTGACAAACCTTCACGTGTAGACGCAACCTTCACCTATTGACAAACTTACACGTGTAGACGCAACCTTCAGCAATTGACGAAACCTTTACCTGTTGATTCAACCTTCACCTGTTGATGTATCGCTCACATAACCATTCACCAACTGACGCTGCCTTCACCTATTGACTAAGCTTTCACCCATTGACCAAGCTTTTACCTATAGACCAAGCCTTAACATATAGATGAATACATTGCATATTGACTTGCCTATAGATGCAACCATCACCTATTGACGTATCCTTCACTTATTCCTCTTCAGTCTATGAAAAGTGTAACATGACAAAGATGAGCTCTCCATTTCCTTGAGTATAATTCACATTTTACGTTAAATCACAGAGATGAAGAGCTATAATGAATTGAAATGATAGTTTCAATTAAAATCCAACTCACGGGCTTCAGGAGTACCTGTCTTACATATCTTTTAAATCATTGCATGTGAAAGGAAAAGTTTTCTGTTTTGCACGAATTGTCATTGAAAAGGCCCGTTCACACGATCCAATTTGTTTGATCCGATTGTTTTGCGTGGTTCCGTCTTTTTTTTTGCTTGTTCAGACGGTCCGACTATTTTGTTGATATTTATATTCGTTTAGATATTTATAGTCGTGTGAGCAGACAATTGTGTTCTCCAGTACATTTATCGATATATTTTGCGTATTTTAGTTCTTATTTTTTTCACTTGTCAAGTCTTTTTCACTTGTAATGTTTTGCGCCAAATGAAATTTGGAAAGTATGGAGAGTGAGAGGTCCGGGACTAGTCGGCCTTCTTTGATCTTATCGGATGAAAATAGAGCAAGTACTAGTTCCATCCGATTTTTTAAACTGACGAATCCGACTGTCGGGAGCTCACTTTGTATATGTTCACACGATTCGTTTTTTAGGATCCGACAAATCGGATCGTGTGAACGGCCTTTAAGGAAGAACGAAGCTAAATATGTTATTTTGCGCGTGTTGAATTGTTTACAATATCATTTTAGAACTTGCTGAATATGAAAGAAATGTTAATCGTCAGATTCACAAGTACAATGCCTACAGGTGTGTTACATGTTACCCACCAGCGGGGTAGTGGAAGACTTTTTTATTATTGGGCGAGGTGGGTTATACTTGTATATATCAGTGCCTTTGAGTAATTAGTTTCTATCGAAATCAATTGTCAATTGCAATTATATGTATATCATTATATGCATATCTCCCCTCAATTATTAATCTTTAGTGGCTCCTTATGAATGTTCTCATAACGCTGAGAAATTTATGGTAGTATATTGCATTGAGTTATCCACTCTTTACGGTTTTAAAGCTTTCCTTTACGACAATATAAGATGTGTTTAAACACAGCTGCACAATCGAAAACATGACGGGAAGTGTAGCACCAGCTCTGTGTGAGCTATAATCCTCCATATTGCCATGTGCATGAAGAAACCCACTAAGCGGCCATTGTGGACTTTAGTATCAGAAACAGACGGCTTATCAACTATAGCGGCGTGTTCAACGTGCATGCTGGCAAAATATACCATAGCAGTTAAATTTAAAATAACTGCTTTTGAAGTAGTTAATTTGAGATGTAAATCTATCTAAGGATGAGCTGTTGTAATTTATTTTGCCTCATGCACGTTTTGCCATTACGTAATATATACATGTAGACATTCGTAATGATTTATCAAATATCTTTTGATTGCATCTTCTCTGGACGTTTGATGTATATCAGTTGTTAAATTTAATTCCTGATAAGTTGCATCCAAATCACTGTCTTGTATGTATTATATTTATATATAGACTGCTTTTGTTTCATTATTAAATATCGACCTGTCTTCAAGTACCTGATAAGATTATGTGTTTTAGAAAGGCTGCTGCCGTTTTATTGAAGCATCCTACGAGAATAACTAGCGGAAAAGAAGCTCGGACATTGGTGATTTGCTATCATTAAGAATATTGCTATGGACTGAAGAATTCTTTTGTCGTGATTGATTAATTTTTTGTTGTTGTTGCAAACACAGCCCGGAATTGGTGAAAAGATCGCCAAGAAATTGGACGAGTATATCCAGACTGGAAAACTGGCTAAATTAGAGAAGGTTTTTGTTATGTCTTTCCTACATTAATGTGTTCAAGTAGCTATTTACGTAACAATTAATACGTTAGCAACAATTATAGATCAGAGATGACGACTTGAACCTGTCGATTGGAAATCTTATGAAAGTTTCTGGTGTTGGGTATTTACGTTTTAAATTCTATCATAGCATCCTAATTATAAATTCAAAATATCTTCATAACCAAATTTTAGGACATGATTGTAAATTTCCAAATATATTTTAACAAACCGTAATATGTTTTAGCACTGGTAAATGAAATAAAAAAAAGATTTCGTTGATTTTTATTCATGATTCGACGACTTCTTTCATATATAGACCAGTGGCTGCCAAGAAATTTGTTGACGACGGTATTAAGACCATCGAAGGTGCTTCTGCAACTCGTCATCCGTATTCTACTTTACTTATTTTTTGTGGAGTAAAGCGTATTTGCACTTTGTGTATTGGTTTTATACTTTATTTCCTTCTTCATGCAGATCTCAAGAACATCGAGGATCAACTTAATCATCACCAAAGAATTGGATTAAAGTATGTATTTGACGCTTCGGATTGACAAAACCGCCATATACAGAAAGGTTGGCTGTATCTAATTCGCCTGCCATTTAGTTGCATATGTGAAAGCATTGGATGAGTGTCAAATGTTTTCATTTTACAATAACTAGATAACGTAAAACAAAGACTTGGTTGTTGTTACACACTCAAATGTTGCTCTTGATAGCGTATTTCTAATGGTGAATGAGAATTAAGCAGTTCGTAAAAGAACTTTTAAAATCCAAAATAAAGTTATAGCTATAAAATTAATGACACGATGCATTTCGACAGGCATCTCATCGGGCACCACGTCTGCCTTGATGAAAACCAAAAGTCTACTTGTATGTATAATGAAGACACTGAGTGATGAATGAAGATGATGAAGATTGTTTTCATTATAAATGCAAGCAGATTTTTGGTTTTCGTTCAAATAGATGTGGCACTTGATGAGAGGTCTGTCAAAATGCATCGTGCCATTTAAGTTCATTTGGTTTATTTTTTTCGGTTTTATATTTTTCTTTTAAAGAACAACTGAATTGTCATTCACCATGAGAATTACTCAGCTCGGATAGATATTAAACCAATGACGTCTTGTTGCGAAGAATCAACAACCTCGTAGGCATGCACGAGTCATATTTCCTGATTGTGTCGTGTCTTGATACTAAAATTAAACTTTGATTCGCTTTTCGTTGATGATTGCTGCTCAGGAAATGTATATTTTTGATGACATTCGTTAAGAGCTTGATGGATGAAGAATCAAAGCAGAGGTTAATCCTGCATAAGAAGTAAATATATTAGTATAATTTTATGGTCACCACCTTGGTATACTGTATACCTGGAAACTGTATACCTGTACATGTAGTGACATACAGACATAGATTGATTAGAGTATTTTACTCGTTGATTTCTTTGTTCCGCCGATCTTGTACCTCTCTTTTTATACGAGAGGTGTGTATATGTTAAAAGAAAGGAACGAGTACCTCCAGCCTACATGTAGGTTGGAACTTTGTGTGTGATAATACTAACTCGTTTAGGTCATTGAGTTCTATAAGACCTGGAGGAAATGTCAACCAAATTACTATAACTTATTTGACAACCAAAATCCGCCATTACCGCCATGTTTTGACCACGGGGTCCAGGCCCTTTTCCTCCAGTTCTTATAGAACTCAATGGTTTAGGTATTTCGAAGATTTCGAGGAAAGAATCCCCAGAACAGAGATGTTGCTGCATCAGGTGTGTGATTCTATAGATTGTAAAACTTGTCTCTACAAACAAGCAAACGGTATTTTGAATGTTACATTTACTTTGGTCTCAGAAATTTCTCCATGAGGAAGTGACAAAAGTGGACACTAAATATACCATTGAAATATGCGGAAGCTTTAGAAGAGGCAAGTGCTCAAGCATTAGGCTCGTTATAATTCTGTAAATATTCGTACCACCACCAGTGTGTCGAATCTAAGTAACTCGTTGCCATTATGAATGGTTGAGAAGGTGTTGTGAATGGTCAGCAAATAACATCGTCTAATTTATGACTTTCATGTTTCTTTCCCGGAATAGTAGGAACGAGGTTACCCCATCTTTTCTTTAATGGAAAAGAAGGAATGCAGTTACAATTTATTCCTTTGTATTGATTGCAAAATGCTTTCCAGGCAAACCAAGCAGTGGAGACATCGACGTGTTAATTTGTCATCCGAATTTCACTTCCCAAACCAAGGCGGACACCAAGGTCTTTATAGAAATAATCAAAGTAATTTCAAAATTATGTGTCCACAATTTTCAAGACCATTAAAATCAAACCTGTTGATTTTTTCTTTTGCGAGGGATTATATATTTTTTAAAACACCTAGTTACAACTTCTTTTTCTTTTAGAGTGATTACCTAAAGCAAGTTGTAGATCATTTGAAAGCACGTGCTTATATCACTGACGTCTTGTCTCAAGGGGCTCTCAAGTTTATGGTGTGTCAAAATTATAATATGTGTACAGTTTCGGTTTGCTATCATGCACGAGAGTAGGCACTTTCATAGCAAACATATCATGTATTAGAGTATGTATTAGAGTCTCTGAAGTTATATTCAAACAATGTGCTACAAATTCTCTCTATTATTGCACAACTTAGGGCGTTTGTCTGTTGAATCAAGAGGAAGGTTTACCGGGGCTGCGTCACCGACGATTGGATATAAGGTTTGTGTGAAGATTGCAGTCTATTTCACAGCACTCAAAAGAATGTTGACCTCGTGTCAATATGAGAATCCCAGCGGATTTTTGAATGATGTGCATTTACACTTTTTGATTGTTTAATTATATGTTTAGTGAACTGTCGCGGTTTTTTAGTGTTTTCAATCATGTTGTAAATGGCCAACCTTTGATGTATTTCTTGATAGATTAATACCTGCTGAACAGTTTTACTGTGGCGTGCTCTATTTTACCGGCAGTGATGAGTTCAATCGTGAAATGAGACAGTATGCATTAGACAAAGGGTTCACTTTGAATGAATACAACGTGAGGTATATTCATTTACTTGTGTATGCATCTCGAATTGTTTGTTTTGCGGTCAGTGGTGCTTCATGAGGTAATGGGTATCATATACAAAACGACATCATGTATTGAACTGTTTTCTTACTGGTTCATCTACTCCAGAATTATTAATGACATTTGAACTATCCACAGGGGCGAAACTAGAACGTTAAGTGGGATGAGGGAATATTCATATATTCAGCCTGCTTGACTGATTTGTTTTGTTAGCGATTATAATTTCAAAAGAAATCAGCAGGGCAGAGCTGAATATATGAATATTACCCCCAACTTAACGTTCCAGTTTCGCCCCTGACTATCCATCAAACTCTTATATAATTCACATGTCTGCTGCAATTTGGTCTTCGGTGATGTAAATAATCAGAAAAGAAATAATTTTTACAGTCTACCTTATTCCGTGATTCATTTTGTGATTTTTTCTTTTAGGCCCCTTGGCACCACAGGTAGGCTTCGAGGGCATTTATAAGATATGCCATATTTATTGGTATTGTTTCCCTTCAGTGCGGTGGTTTAATTATTTTCTCTGGTCGCTTGTTGATGACATTTTACTGACATGCGTTAGTCGCTTTTGTCAATATGAACATAATAGCCCAACATAAGACTTTTAAAAAAGCCATAACAATAATAAAATAGAGAAGGATTTATTAATAAATGTTGGGCTATTATGTTCATATTGAAAATTCGCTTTCCGCCTGGCAAATCTCTGGCCACGATTTTAAATAAGTCGCTATTTTTGTTTAGTTTTTCGGTCATCGTTAATTCGACTTATAAATCAATTATTTAAATTGAATTGATGAAGTGTATCAAATTCAAAGTTTAGTACTCGACATCTAAACGACTTTGTTCAATTTGCCCCACCTGACTTTTGATTCACAATTGCGTACAGGTATTCCGGGAGAATCAGTTCCCGTTACTTGCGAACAAGATATCTTTGACGTCATCGGTATGAAATATCGCCTCCCGAATGAGAGAGACCTATAAAGAAAGGAAAGACCATATTTCATTTTTATGGTGTTTATAAAGCCAGTTGATTGTCAAGAAATGTCTAAAAAAACTCATTTTACACAGCCAGTAATATACTCATTACATTAAATTAAGAGCGTCATGTAACAGGTTAATTCGAGGGAAGATTTGCTAGGGTAAGGGTCGAAAGGGTGCTCAAGAGGGGTGCTAATTTCCCTGCAAAATATTAATATACTAAGAAATCAAGAAAAAGGATTGTGATTTGTGTTTTACGAGGCACACTTACAAAAAGATACCTCTCAATACTCTGTTATAAGAGTGACAGAATCTAAGAAAAATTCTGAACAATGCTCTGAACAATTGCCATTCATTGTTGTGACTTACTAGTTACCAGTTTTCTACCCTTGCTCATCCAATATGGCGGATAAAGTGCAAATAATCTGTTTATCTGTAGATTTGGTAATTTTGGTTTGAAATCTTCACTTTTCCGCAATTTTTATCGTAGTAGCTCAGTCAAGGATTGTAGGCAATGAGCCTATAGTGGATTAATTTGTGGTGCAGTAGAAAATGAAGCGAAGATTTAGCGGCTCAAGCACTTTAATTTTGACGAGCCCAATCGATGGAAGTCAAAATAGTGAAAGCGAAAGTGGGCATACCCTTCGTTTGAGCAAGCGTTCCAAGCCAGCAGCACTAAGTGAAGCGCGTAAACTTTCCAAGGAGCTATCAGATAGCCGAACGTCAAAAGAGGCACTGACAATTCTGGTGAGATTTTCGAAACAACTTCCTCTCGACACCTTGGAAGAAAATGAATTTGCTGCGAAAGTTATCGTGGAACGCGTGAGCAAGGAAGAAGATGTCACGAATCGTGTGAAATTGTTTTCAATCTTGGGCACTTTACTAAAGTATCCTCACATGAATTTAAAATATGTTGTGGAGGAAGCTATTCGATGTTTGAGTAAGGAAGGTTAGTTTGAAATATTCCGATACATAATATGGTTCATGTTATTGAGGGGAGGGGGGGGGTTTATTATGATAATGCATTGTGTCTCTCTGTCCTGTGTAAGCAAGACTCGCTAATGAGAATTTCTAAATTGTTTCGTGCAGAATCCCACAACGTTATTGCAGAGATACTGAGTACTCTCGAAATCATTGGAAGATTTCTACCATCACAGGTGAGTGTTGTTGATGTACTTGTGCATGTAAGTTAGTAGTCTTCATTCGTCTATACAAGCAACCTGTTTCCCATTTCAAGGTTGAACTTCATGCAAGAATTCTTCATTTGGCAAGTGAGGTAAGTTGCCTGTTTACTTGCAAAATATTGTAACTAGCAGTGCTGAAGAGATTAACTTCCCAAAATGGCTCAAATGTTGGGGTTAAGCAAAGATATGGGTTGAGCTGTGAAGGCATAACACAATACATGATGACATATGATTTTATGATACCACAGTGTTTGAATTTCATGCAGAGAATGGAAATCTTGTCCCCAAGATTTGTCAACTGACGAGTTTTAGTGGCTCTGAATTGTTACTTGGAACATGAAAAAGTGACAAAATTTAAAGTTTTTGGTTTCGTTTGCACTCCTTTGTCGGCCCGTGGGTTGATAATTTCAGCTTTTGGTCTCAACATCTTTGCAAAAACAGACATACTCTGCTGTCTGGATTCGTGGCCCAGATGACTCTTAAGATAGATCACAATAATAACAATTTATACAGTTCTATACATTTATATATAATTACCTCCATATTAAGACATTCACACTTGAAGTAGAACACACATGCATTCAAGAACTATCTTTATATCTAATAAATCTAATCTATAAAGCAGAAGGGGAAGTTTGCCTCCCCAACACTTTAATGAGTGGTACCCCACCATTCATACACACACACACACTTCTACAGCCTTACAGGTAATAGTACAAATCCCAAATGCTTCCCATTCCATTAAAAATATTTGAAAAACGCTTTACATGTTTTGTAGTGATTGAAAAAAATTCTTATTAAATTTAGTAGTAGAAATATAGCATTTGTTGGCAAAATATATTTTGTGAGGAAATCTTCTTTCACTCTTTAGCATCTTAAAAATTCCCATTACTTGGTCCGATGTCGTTGTTTAAACATTATTGCTACCATGGATAGCTCAGCAAGTCTTCAAGATGACTCTAGGCCTGCCCAGTTAGTAGCATCTTTGCAGACATTCACATCTGATTCAGATCCTCGTGTTCGAACTGAAGCAATCGAAGTCCTTGGTGAGTAAAACAACCATTCTCTGTTGTCTGTTGTTTATCTAACATGTTATTTATCATAATGTAGTTAATTCTACATGGTCGTGGTTTGGATTTAACGCCTGGTGTATGACAGTGCTTGTGAAGCACTAAAAGATGATTATGAAGAAGTCCGAATAAAGGCTGTCAAGCTGATTTGGGTCTTTAGTCAGCTGCATCCCGAGCGGTGAGTCACTAGAGATTTCATTTCCAGAGATTTCTGTAATAACAGGCAGGACAATTGCTTACGGAAAGTCAAACCTACGCAAACCCTTCGTGGAATGAACTAGTGTCCAGTAAATAGAGGCGTCCACGTGATAGAGGATTAATTTTACGAATTAGCTACACCGGTATGCGATTAAATTCAGGATTTGGATCGTCATTCGGAATTCATACTTAGTGTTGCTAAACTTTGTAAACCTATTTGTGTGAAATGCTGTATGTACGGTTCTCTTACGATAGGCCAACTTCATACATTCCGTGACTTTAAGAATTTATCGGTGTTGTGATTCATTAGAAAATATATGCATTCGGGTTTGAGCTTTCGGTTTGTGGCTAAGAATGTCATTCAGGGAGCAAATGGCCTTAGGCAGAAGATCCAATTCAAAAGGCTATTTGCATTCTGGCAATCACGAATAACTTGCAAATGCACAATGCCAGATTTCAACTTGGCAACATGTATGTTCTTTTTATTTTAAACCCCCAAAATACTACTACCTTGTTGACTTCCCTAATAAATATAGATCTCCCACAATTGCGTCACTGTTTTGGCCATTTACTCTATGACGAATCATGCGAGGTCTGCTTAAGTCATATAGCGTTAACGTACATTGACAAGGTCATGATATTAAAACAGGAAGTGTGTGCATTCAATTAATAATCATCTGTCAAAATAGTGAGAAAGTTGCTCGGAATGTGGTGCAATCACCAATTTTTGCACAGTGCTAGCTTATGACATGCTGATCAGTATTCGAAATGGACCCCAGTGTGATCACCCCTAAATAACCTTTCAGGGGGGGTTGCTCTCGTCTGGCAGAATTTGGAAAAAAGTGTTCAACACTTGGTTCAAGCACCAAATTTAGCACAGTGATAGCTAATGACGTGCTGATACTATTTGATGTGCTGATGTCAGTGTAAGCTAACGCACTAACGCCGGTCATCATGCGAAGCCCGGCTTTACGTCACCTTGGTCGTTAAGGATTTATTCATTTTTTCGCTACGCGAGGAATCTCTTTTTAGGATGATCGCATCAGCCACGGGAGACCAAAGACGATGCGTCGACGATGCATTTGTTCGCATATGTCAGATGGTCACTGATCTCTCAATGAAAGTACGAGTTCAAGCTGCTGGACTGCTTGGCTCCTTACATCTTGTGAGCCAGATCTATTTACAGCAAACACTTCACAAGAAGGTTATGTCACATCTCAAAGTAAGTTTTCAGAGGTTTCCAAATGAAATCTTATCAGTGACAATGGGAATTGTTTACTAAACAAGTTCAACATTTGCGAAGTCAGTTCAAGTTACGCGAACACGATTGTTATTTTTACGAAAATTGTTATTTTTCAATATCAAAATCATTTCTTGAATGCGTCCGAAGAGTTTTTACTTTCCTTACCATTTCTGCCTTAATATGAAAAATAACGTTGAAAATTCGTTTATTCTCAAACCTTGAAACTATCCATATATAAAACTGAAAGTATACGAGCAGTCGAAGGAACTGCTCGCCAACAAGAAATAGTTTAATGAGTTAACATTAGAGGTAAGTTACACCTGCAAAAAAGAGATACAAAAGATATACTAATGGTGATCCTTTGCTCGCTTTAATTACATCTTTGCATCGGATAGACAGGCTGTCCTTTAATTTAACAAATCTTCGGTGCCAACGACAGTCATCACTATCAATCATTATTAAACAAAGACTGAGCAGTTCTTTTTGACTGCCCGTGTTTTATCAAAAACTCAATACACTTCTCCGTCTCAAATGCCTTTGATTATTGCATCTTGTCATCGCTTTACTTAATTCTAAGCTTTTTCACTGTAGAGAAAAAAGACAGATCACGAACAGCAGCGAGAGCTGCACGCGTCTGGTTTGAAAGGCAGCGAGAGGTGGGGAACTCGAACTGCAAAAACTGCAACTGCTTCAGCTGAAGTAAATCCGGAAGAGGTGTCTCTGATCGATAGTGGTGCTTGTGGAGCTTTCGTATACGGTCTTGAGGATGAACTATTGGAGGTACTTTATGTTATTTATTTCATGGTCTGAGGTATTGTCTTTTCTCAAAGTTTACTATCAGAAGTATTGTTTATTCCCGATGCTCTCTGTTTAAGGTATTGTGTGTATTCAGAGTTCATCGTGAGATGTATTGTGTATTCCCAAGGTTTACTGTTAGAGGTATTAGACTAGATTAGGCATTTAAAATAGACGACAAATTATTTTTTAATGTGAACATGTTTCGACGAAAGATAACTTAATGTTTGGTCGAAACATGTTTATAGAGTTATTGTGTGTTCCTTGAAGTTCACAGTTAAATGTAGCTATATAATTTGTCTTTGTTTGAAGAATTGTGTATTTTCAATGCTCATAGTTAAAGGTAATATAATTGGTCTCTTATTCTATCATCTTGGTTACAGTATAGTGAATCGCAGACTATATTGTGAGTGAAATATATTATTTTTAAGTATTTCAAACGGGCTTGTTTATTTCAATAAGGTTCGTTCAGCGGCCGTGGATTCACTATGCGAACTTGCCGATCAGCATCCGGAGTTTGCTCGACAATCATTGGATTTCCTTGTCGACATGTTCAACGACGAAATCGAGAGGGTTCGTTTGAATGCCATTCACAGTTTAAGGAAAGTGAGCCGCCATGTTGTCTTGAGGGAAGATCAGCTGGAGACCATTTTGGGCGTCCTTGATGATTCCTCGTGGGAAATTCGCGAGGCAGTCCGTGAACTCCTATCTTTTTGCCATCTTTCGACGCGTGCGTGTCTTCATGACGCAATTTATGCCTTACTGCGTAACCTCACGAAATATCCCCAAGACAAAAAATCAATATGGAGGTACTGATTTTTAGATAGTGAATAAAGAATATGCAGAAGGGCTGTACTCGCTGTTAAACTTTGTTTTACACGTACGTATATCTCATTACGGATGTGATCACCACGTTAGCAGTGAGTTAATTGCATTTTTCGACTATCAGGAATAATGAATGGGCTAACTGCATCAAGTAATCTAATTACGTATACGGCACCGAGTTGCGCAGCGAAGTTGTCCTTATGTTTATTCACAATACTGTAGTTGTTATAATGATTTTCACTCGCACATTAATCGATCAGACTTGTTACGTTTGTCTGCGACAAGATATGCCTTTCACGTTTGATTTAAAATCTTCTCATGATGTTTCTTCAAGTAATTTTTGTTTATACCACCTACCAATACGTCGCCAATGGCGTGTACTCCGACAGTCATAGCGAACTTGCTCATTGGCAAAAAAATAGTTAACTAGGGAAACGTTGGGACAAACTGCCAAAACATTCGGAATAAGTTACACTGCAAAAAATGTATTTTATTATGAATTAGTTGATTGTCCTAGAATAGTTATTGAAAAGTAGTGAATCCTCGTCTTTCTTTAGTGTTACCTCTGCATCGGTTAGGCATGTTATAAGGTTATATGTAGTTATGTTAAAGTTATTTTAAGGCTCTATAAAGTTATTTCAATTAAGCTTTGGCGAGGATGATTATCACTATCAAACATTACTAGGAAAATAGTGACCTCTTTGACTGTCCGTGTAAATTCTATTCAATTATGTTCGCGGGGGAATGACACTATGAAAGCCTTTAATAACCGAATTTCTTGTTGAGATTACTGACTCTTTTGTGCCTGGCATATTTGAACGAAAGTCGTCCGTCAAACTTTTTGAGGGATGTATTTGAGGGAGATGTGTATGGAGGAGTACACATCCCTCCTAGCCTTGATTAGAATGGGTGCAGGGGGGTGCTAATTTTCCTGCAAAATCTTAATGAACGCATTAAATTAGCCAAGCAATTGTGAATAGTGAAGCAAGCTTCCAAAAAATGCATCAAAAACGACTGACATACCACGACAACAAGCAGCCACCGAAATATGATTCATTCCTAAATTTTTTTCATTATTTAAGCTGTTTGAAACATCTGGGTGGACAGCACGAGAATCTCGCCGTGTCACTCGTTCCCGAGCTGCTATCAACACATCCTTTCTTTGCGACGTCCGAACCGGATGTGGATGATCCCGCATACGTGGGGATGGTTGTGATCGTTCTAAATGCTGCCCTCAACAGTCCTACGATAGTACCCATCCTTCCCCTCACACGCCGTCACTACTACTACCTTCGTGACAAATATCCCGAACTCTTACCCGTGATATCGTTGGGCACGAAGACGTCACGTGCGTGCGGGCTGAAGACACGAAGCATAGGTAGAATTTTCTTTCACTAAACGTTATCGTAGTGTCGCAGCCTTAAGACTTGTTGCTGCCATGTTTTTAGGTAGTGCGCCGAATTCAATTGATTTAAATCTATACAACGTCCGATGACATGCGCCTTGCGAGGCTATTGTGAAAATCACCACGTTCAGCAAGTGCAATCAATTAGATTAAAATGGATGATGAAAGCTTCGTGTAAAACAATTTATAGGATATTGAATTTCGTATTTCCAGAATTTCACAGTTTGAATCCGCAATTCTTTTGTGAGGAATTCAGATTTCGGTATTTTCGATCTAAAGTTTTGTTGTAGAGCCTCTTAAATCTTAATCGTGAATGATGTTCACAGCTTGAAAACTTCCCATAGCCTTAGAGGTGCTAAGCCATTAATTGTTTTTTTTGATCAGCGCTGTTGAATTGTTTATGACAAAAGCTTGCATTTATATTGATTCTAGATGTTGAAACTCCCGAGGTCTTTCTATCAAGAAGTTTATCGGCTGCCGTAAAAGCTTCACTTATTGGAGATAAGAAATTAAAGATAACAAGTTTGAAGAGGATCAAGAAAGATCTCGAACATTTTTCTGACGTGAAATCGAGGTGTTCCGCGACGGCGAAATGTGCGTTGATGTACATCAAAAACCAAATCGCCGTTCTCGAGATTCAAACGCAGCCGTTTTGGGATAGTCCTTCCGTGTTATGCTGCAACTGTGGCCTCCTCACTCCCGCTTTGTTGCAGAATCTCATTGTGTTCTCCTACAAAATGGACGCCTTGTTCGTTGGTCTTGACGCCGATCAACGTGAAGCGATCAGGGAGATCAGGCTATTGGCTCACAGTCTTCTCATTCTATACCTGCATAGGAACAGCCCGAAAGCTCTTCAGAGTAACAGTATGGCCGTCAGCGTGTGGGAGCAACTTCTGGCGCGAGTTCGCTCGCAGAGTAAACTGTCACGCTCGGCTGATGGCAATAGAGAGTCTTTAATAAAGTCCTTCAGCTCTTTTCAGGATTTTGTCGAGTCGAATATTACGAAACCTTTGATCATCGTTGACTATCTGCAGTCCCTGGTGCTCGATTTCCAGCCTTCTTCGCTGGTTGTGGAAAACCAACTGCGCGAAGCTAGTGCGATCATCAATGAGCCACAGGCAGGCTCGGATAATCCACTGCGATTCCTAGCGGGACTTACACTTTGTATTGACATTGACGCGGATATTTCCAACGTAACACATACGTCCCAAGTGTATGTGCAGGTAAACTGGGGTTCTTTATTGATATACGGCGATAATGTTTGTAGGTAAATAGGATAATCTATAGGTAAATCATAACAGGTGAATTCGTACAGTTTTGAATGCAAAGGAATAGATTTGAATGCTGACTTTTCATATTCTGGTCAAGTGGATGCGAACCCTAAATATTCCTTCTCTCCTGACGAAAGTGAACTGTGTTTTTTAGACATTAACTTTTGTTACGAGGAGGAAGTATTTTTTCGTTTTGAAATGAATGTATTATGTAAAAGTAGACACTTGAAAAACATCGATTTCATCTTTTCAATTATTTAAATGTATTTGAAGTAGAAAAGGAACTTGTATGGACTGCGGAAAGCTTGTTCAAATGATTATGAAATTACTTTTTTGTCACCAACTAGCAATTTCAAAATCTGTCTTGTTCTGTACTCGTGGATAGCATTGTCAACGTTTTTCATTCATTCATTCAGACAGTACTACAAATACTAGAACGCTTAAAGGTGACACGAAGCCATTTTTTATTGATATTTTACATTGAATCGTGTCAACCTAAGCGAACTTAGATGAAAAGTTAAAAAAAAAGTGTCCAAAAACAAAAATTATAGCTTTTTATTAACTCGAATCTCAGTCAATAGCATGGTTCAATTACCGCTTGAATGCTTGAAGCTTGAATGCAAACAAATTGACGTCACGCCATTGTGCAAGCTCTAAAACTCGTCCCCAACTTCCGAGCCAAATTAAGTTATTTATTGCAGAGTAGTTTTAAGTGATTGTCAGTAAACAAAAAATAAAATGACACATTTTTTTTTAACTAAGAAGATAATCGTCTTCCGATTTTAAAGAAGAATAATTGGCTTTATGTCACCTTTAAGGGCTGTTTCAAACGTCGAACTTTACATGCGCCGAACGCATTAAAGACAAGAAAATGAGATAAAGTTCTTCATTATCTTTTGTTTGAAATACATTCGGCTCGTGCAAAAGTTCGACGTTTGAAACGTTTGAAACGCGCTTTAATCCTCTTGCTTACATTTACATTTTCCAACCATTTCTGAAGAGTTTTCAACCATTTCTTTTTAGATTGTTTTTCCTGATTTATCTGTTCAATTATTCAAACCTAAACCGACCGACTTTCGTCAATTATCGAAAATGAAACACCGTCTTGTGACAAAAGTATTATTTTCTCACTCGTCGTGGTCAGGTAGGTATGAACTAGTCAGTTTCTGCGCATGTCTTGCTCTTACATGTGTAGAAAGGTGCAGGATTTGGAGTGGTCTTAAATGTTTCTTTACTCAATAATTTGAATAAAGTTTGAAATTCGTTCATCATTTGGTATTTCTTGTCAAATTTTGATGATTGTTACAATGATTAAAGCTAATTTCTAATTCCTAAAAACAGTTCCTATGTTTTCATGATTTTTCACCATTTTGTTTCGCGTTCATATTCACACTTATTTTGAAACAGTTATTTTTTGACATGTCAGGCTGCGTCACGAGTACTCACCCTTAACTGCTGATTGGCTCACTGTTTAGACACTGAACCACAGAATAATGATTATACAGAAGGGTCACTCAGGTGTACAACGCGTCCTCATGTCGGCCATTATTCCAGCCAGACGATTAGGATTTCTCACTTGTTTCCAATCATTAAAATTACATCACTTCAATACTTAATAATGAATTCAAGTATATTTTTACTTAAGAAATGACTTCGGATCATTTTAAAGGTTTGGAAACAGTCAAAACCCTAATCCTCTGGCTGGCTGGCGGCCAACATGCTCGAGGACAAAACATCAAAGGCTCCGACATGAGTGATTCTTCTGTATATTCTTATTCTGTGACTATACTTTTAGTGAACTATAGTAAAGTAGTGCTAATTCTAAAGTGCCTTTGGGTTGTTAAGTACCAGGTCGAGAAGTAGATACCACTTTTGAGCACTGCAACATTTTTGAGTATCGATACCAGAAGTAGCATTCAATCTTGAGCAATTCTGACATTCTTTTTTTTTCTTACCATTTCGAAAGGAGTTACCAATTCTTGAGTACTGGGACGTTGTTAAATACCACCTCTAGGTGTAGTATTCATTCTTGGTAATTGGGACGATGCTGAGTACCATATCTAGAAGTACTAATCATGCTTTGGTACCCCGACTCTGTTGAGTACCATATCTAGAAGTGGTAGTCATTGGGCACTCTGAAGATGTTGAGTACCTTCTGTAGGAGAATAAGTCATTGGGTACTCTCACTTTGTTGAGCACCTTCTGTAGGAGAAGTAGTCATTGGTCAGAGTACCCTTGACTAGTCAGTCAAGTAGTACCAGTACTAATTCCACGGCGTATCCGCTAATAGTCTTTAAAGTCGTTTAGACCACAAAACACCGGTTTTTTAGGCAATCACAATCGACATTATGACTTTATTGCCAAAATAATTCCTTTTGTAGATCCTTGTCACGTGGATATCTCGTTGGTTTTAAAATATTCTCAGGACATCAACGAGCAAGAAGTGGTCGACTTCGTGGATTCTGCCATGGCGAAGACTGAGAAAATCGACAAGAAGGTGGTCGTGCAGATCAAGAACTGTGCGGACAATTTACAAGATGGTTATGTCGAACTTTGTGCACCTGTTCAAGTATACGTATTGCCAAAATCCTCTTGTCATTAAACAAAACACTCATGGCGATAACATGAAGTACGACGCACGTAGGTTAGTGGTATGATTTGATGGAAGTGCATTGATATGAAATCAGATCTCATTAAAATCATAATCTTGTGCACTTGAGAGAGATCTGGTGACTAGAACATAGTTCCCAAGCGTGCTCAACCTCCTTGGATATTATCATTGCCTGCGGATTATAAATTGCCTTCACTTACTAGACATGCGATTTCTATTTCACGAGGTTGTGTACCATGCTATAAGTAATATGTTTTTCCGCATTTAATAAAAACGACGACTTTTATAATATGTTTTATTCAGGAAATGGTCGGAATATTTTCGTAATGTTAACTGTACGAAAGTCGTTGATTTTGAAGAGCCCTCGGTTCAAATAACTTTCTAATTGCTCAATTTACCTCACAGTCGAGATTTCGGGAGTCGTGCCATTTTCAAATAAAATGTATGAAAACTTCGTGCAAGTTAACACTGTGGCGTGGCCAGCGCAGCGTGCTCAATGTAAAAAAAACCAGCATCAATTGATATAGAAACGAATAGTTAAAATGTTCTTAAATTTATGTAGCATGGCGAAACCTGCGAGGTAGGCTATACACGCTATTGAAAATTTGTTTGTTCATATTTCTTTGCTTGAAAATTCATCACAAGTTTTTACCGCATTGAGAGTCCTTCATGTTGACATATGATAATTGTTTACATCGGGATTAACTATCCAGTTAGACGTACATAACGAGTTACTTAGACCAAGTACTTGAATGCTTTTTTGTCGTTCATTTATTTTGAAAAGGTATAATTATTCAATTTGTCATTGTCTTTCTTAGCCTAGTTCAAACGTCGAACTTTACATGAACCGAACGCATTTAGAACAAAAAATAACGAGGAAGCTCATCTCATTTTCTTTTGTTTTTTATGCATTCGGTGCATGTAAAGATCAACGTTTGAACCAGACCATACGTTTTGCAAACGGCTAAACTTAACTTCGATTATTATATAGCTAATTAAAGTAAGTTGCGTTGAATCGATTAGATATTTACAAAAATGGTTATAAAAGATTTTTACAAGTATTATTTTTACCAAAACTAATGAAACTTTAGGTTTTGGTTTTGCGTCATTTACGGTCAATATCGATGGAAGATTTCACGGAATTTACAGTTATTCCATTATGATGTTATGTCACGTATATTTTTATGAACAGTTCTACGGATACACAGGCAACATTACCATCATTTTTATTATTCTTGTTACTGTTGCCATACTTAGAAAAGTTGTGCGTCTATTTTGCTCATATATTCAGGATTGTCCATATATGTTCCTCTACCATTTAGAAGTTTTTTGTTAGAAATAAGAGACCTGTATTTGGCATTCGCATTGTCGTTCGCCGTTTTGTACTGACCAATTGCTCTGGGGCTTGCGTACTCATCGCTTTTGTCTTTGTCTATTTCTTGTAGATTCTCCTTCATGTGATAAAGCGGGTTTATTGCGCTCATCTTGTTAACTACAAGAAAGATATTTAGCAAATGTTAACTGTGAATTGTGAATATTTTCTTGGGCCATGTTGTCGTATTTATTTGCTGAACTAATAAGCGTATTATTAGTTTTAACAACGAGTACCTCTGTTCATAGGCTCATAAATGTCTTCATATGAAATAGGTGCAGGCTGCTTATGCTCGTTCTCATCCACTGTTGCATGACCATCTTTTAAATTAGACACAGCCTTCACATAGTGAGGGTCTTTCAATGTTACATAACCATCTTGTGATGTAGGTACAGGTTGCGTATGGATGCTGTCACCCACTGTCACATGACCGTCTTGTGAATTGGATCGGGGCTTATTATAGTTGGCGTCATGCAATTTGGCATAACGGTCATCAAAATTAGGTACAGTCTGCAAATGGTTGCTGTCATGTACTGTCATATGACCGTCTTGTGAATTGAATCTGGGCACATTATAGTCAGAGTCATCCAATGCTGTATTACCGTCTGTTGAAGTAGGGACAGTCTCCGTCTGCTTGCTGTCATGTACTGTCAAATAACTCTTTTGTGAATTGGATCTGGGCACATTATAGTTTGGGTCATCCAATGCTGCATTACCGTCTGTTGAAGTAGGGACAGTCTCTGTCTGCTTGCTGTCATGTACTGTCAAATAACTGTCTTGTGAATTGGATCTGGGCTGAATATTGCTACGGTCATTCGCTTTCTGAGAATTATTACATTTTGAAGTAGGCACAAACTGTCTATTGGTGCCATCAATTCCGCCTTGTGATGGAGTTAAATCATCAATAGTGACAAAAACATTCGCAAGACTATTATAATCATATAGTTTTCACGGTTGTTAAACACAAATCTATTGCTCTTCTCTATTATCGACGTTCCGACGTCCTTCTGTATAGCTGCCTAAAATACGACCTTGTCATTCTGACGTTATTTATCGAAAGACACCATTTTCCAGAACGTGTTAAATGGTCATGTTCGACAAGTTAACTTTTGTTTGGCAACACCGTATAGCTTCAGCGAAAATTACTTCCGTATTTTAAAATTGCTTATCTGATGGTTTAAGGTTGTTTGTATTCGAGTGTTTTGGCCAAAACAGCCCTGAAAAAATTCTGCTTTTAAAATGTAATTGAAACATACCCAGTTACAGATAAAGTAAATGTTGCCTCTGAGTACTGGCTATCACGGAGTAGAAAGGCACTCGGTTGCCCGAATTTTACCAAAATCTTTGTCGCTTCATCGGCTGAAATCTTGCCATGATACCAAGGTGGAACTCCTCGAGCCATGGTAAGAATTTCTTATTTTCAACAGTTTCAACAGAAACTCACACCAAAGGTTACTACATTTGGATGCATAAGATGAATCTCAACCTCTCGATTGAATCCGTGTATAAAATAGCTTCAGTTAGTGGGCACCCACAGTGCACATTGTTCATAGTTATTCGAAGCATTTTCCTTTATATTGTTCAAACTAGTTATAATTAAAGACAAATGAAGACGACATGTATTGTTTAAATCCCAGCATGCACGGTGTGCGATTAACAAAGGCGTTTATAGTTGATTTTTCTTATTACTATGGCGGCGTAAACTTGACAATAAAGTTCAAATATCTCAGTAGCAAAAATGTAAATTTTTTTTTCTCAGATTATGAAATAAGTGTTAACAAAGCTTCCTAGAGGCAGAATATGTCAATCAGATTAAAGTGTTTTTGGCAAACTATGGCCCTGGACACCTTGAACATGATTATTAAAATTCGCTGTATCTATACAAAATTGGAAATTTATGACTCCGTATGATCTTTATAAATTCTGCCAACAATTGCATTAGAATTTAACATGACGGCTCCTATCGAATTTTGGCTTTTTCAAATGTTATCTCCTATACGAAATAACGAAAATTCCTCACCTATGAAATGATGCTTTTTTGTAGCAACGACTCGTATGAAATGACCACTTTTTGAAATAACGACATTTTGGTGGAAAAAAGTAGACACAAAGGCAGACAAAAGGTTGATACAAAGGTGAACACAACGGTTGACAAAAAGTGAAATAAAAGGTGGTCAGAAAGGTAGACACAAAGATAGACAAAAGACAGACAAAAGGTAGAAAGAAAGACAAAAGACTATGTAAACGAATATAAATATCAACAAAACTATCGTACCGCTTGAACAAGTAACCAAAAGTCGGAACTGTGACAATCTTATACCAGTAATTGGATCGATGGAAAAGGCCTTAACAAAACCGATGAAATTTTAGGTTTTGGTTTTGTGTCAATTACGGTTGACTTTGAGAAATATTTTACGCGATTTAAAAAGAGATTGAGTACAGAAAAAACTCCTCATTATAGAAAATATGTAACCATTAAAGAACACTGCAATTCTTTTAAGTGCAACGTCAGTGAAATGCATGAAAGAGTTAGTTTTTACAGTGAAAATTTTTCCTGAAAGAGTTGGTCTAAGTTTAGAATTTCTTGAGTTTACAGTTATTCCATTATGATGTTTATGTCACGCATGATTTTATGAACAGTTCTATACAGGCAACATTACGAACATTTGTGTTATTTTTATTGTTGTTATACCATACTTAGGAAAGCTGTGCGTCTATTTTGTTCATATATTCAGGATTGTCCACTTGTGTTCCTCTACCATTTAGTAGCTTCTTGTTAGAAGTAGGAGACTGATAGATGGCATTCTCATCGTTGTTCGCCGTTTTGTATTGGCCAAGTGCCGTGGGGCTTGCGTACTCATCGCTTTCGTCTTTGTCTTTTCGTCTTTGTCTATATGGGCTGAATATAGTTTGGGTCATCCAATGCTGCATTACCGTCTGTTGAAGTAGGGACAGTCTCCGTCTGCTTGCTGTCATGTACTGTCAAATAACTGTTTTGTGAATTGGATATGGGCTGAATATAGTTTGGGTCATCTAATGCTGCATTGCCGTCTGTTGAAGTAGGGACAGTCTCCGTATGCTTGCTGTCATGTACTGTCAAATAACTGTTTTGTGAATTGGATCTGGGCACATTATAGTTTGGGTCATCCAATGCTGAATTACCGTCTGTTGAAGTAGGGACAGTCTCCGTCTGCTTGCTGTCATGTACTGTCAAATAACTGTCTTGTGAATTGGATCTGGGCTGAATATTGCTACGGTCATTCGTTTTCTGAGAATTATTACATTGTGAAGTAGGCACAAACCGTCTATTAGTGCCATCAATTCCGCCTTGTGATGGAGTTAAATCATCAATAGTGGCGTAAATATGGTCATCTTCGTCCTCTGTGTGATCGTGAGACGAGCAAAACAATTGACGAATGCAATTGAGCATCCCAGTTCTTTTTCTTGGTTCTAAAATAAGATTTAAAATTGACAAGGTTACTGAGAAAATTCTTATTGCATGGTGAGGAACATCAAAGTCCAGAGTCATCATGAATGATTTCTTAAGTAAGTTAGATCATTGACAAAATCCTGTTGAGAATTTTGCGTTTTGCAGCATCTTATAGAAAGTATCATACTTTTTTTTGTTTCCACAGGTACTTCTTCCTTAACATCTCTGTCTGCAAGGAAGAAAAAAAATCGTTTAATATAATGTTTCATTATCGAAATCTTCAAAAATTTCTGTAACCTTTAAAATCACGGGTACTGCGGCAAGTTGTTTTAAATGAGGACCATCAACATGTTGACCTTGCCGCACTCTTTTTCATAAGAGCGAACAAAAATTTCTCTTGGCTCAATGCCCTTTTTTCGATTTCATGCTCAAAATGTTCTTACCATACCATTCTTTCTGGGATATAAACAACCATAATGCACCCATGCAAGATTAGGTATTGGATTAGTTGTAAGATTAATTTTGAATTAAAGCAGCTTGAATTACAGCAGCTTAATCTGATTGATCAGCATATGGCTTTACAAATTAAGAAATCACAGAAAAAATAAGACATACCTGCATCGCATAATGTTATGCGATCACGCCAGTGCTTGTCAGTGGAATCCCATTTCTCAATCACTGTTAACATGGAAACACGACTTGAGTTTTTAGCGAAGAAAGCTCACTGAAATACTGCCATATAAAATGATATTGTACTCAAAACCTACATGGCTTTTCAACTGGAGTAACAAGCTTTAATCGAGATTCGGGTGCTTGTTGTAGCATGCAATCACGTAGTTCGTTACGAGAAGGAAAACTGAGTATATCCCACTGCAAGGGAAAAGAGCAAAATTCATTGAAACAGAAGATCTTACAACATGATAGGCGAATTGCTCGGTTTATATGCCTTCAAACCAGGGGTGGATCTAGGATTTTTCAAACATCAGTCATAAAACGTCGGAGGCGCTCCGCACCTGGGGGGGGGTCTGAGGCATTCTCCCCTGAGAAATTTTGAATTTCAGAGCCTTGAAAATGCCATTTTCAGCGTTTTAGAGCAATACAAAATGTATTTTGTGGGCATCGTTTTTGCGTAAAAACAACACATTTTGCTTACGTTTAAAAAAAAAAAATATGAAGTGAACAATACTTGAATGTTTTGCCAAATATTTAGGCTCATTATCATGCAAAATGTATGGCTCATTAGCATGTCTAGGAACGTAAAATTTATTTTACAATAATGCTATTCAAAAACAGATATAGTCTTTAAAAATTTCTACCAAGTTGTCAGGCATAGACCCCCCTAGAGACCCCAATTCAAACCTCTATGTAATGAGTTAAGTTAGAAATTTGGTACTACAAGTGACAGTTCATAGATATAGAAAAGCTCAGACTTCAAACCATGCAAGTTTATTGTAACCCTTTACCCATCTCCACATCAGTGCCAGCAAATTCACCTTATGAGAAAAAATTCAAAATTTTTTTCTGCCAAAGATTAAGCAAAAATTATTAGAGCGAAAATTTGCAGTTAAGGACAGCTTAATGCCATAAATGTTTTTTAGGCATTTCACTAGACTATTATCTCCTGTAAGTATATGCAAGGTGTGCTATATAGCAATCACTAGTAGCATTGTATTTGCAAATACAATGTAACCAACATGTCTTTAATTATATAATTACATGAATGTCAAAATTGGTTCATGTGTCATGCTTACTGGTTATGATAAATATCTTTTCATATGATCAAAGCTCCTTTAAATGTAAATCTGAAATAATTTAGTTTAGAAATTATAATGATTGTCAGAAAAATTACCTAGTGATCATGAAAAATACTTTGCAGTTTTGCCAAATTTCAAGGTTTATCTGCATACACAGAAAGACATTTTTACTTTATAGTAAATGCTTTTCATACATTAATACCCCTTTGGAATTTATATCAAACAATCTGGTATGAGCTGTAGATTAACACACCTTTACATCTCTACATGAGGTGTTCAGTTAGAAAAGGGGACAATATGTGACATGGGACAAATTTCATGTATGTGAAATACTCAGGTTTAAAGGCTCTCTTCCACTCATCGCAAAATGCTCTCGCTGCGAGCTTGCGAGTCTGTTCGCGCGATCAAAAAAATTTGTTCAATTAATTTAACTATGCTGCAAGTCATGGTAAGCTCGCTGCGAGTAACTCGCAGGCACTCGCAGCGAGCTTGCGAGTACGTTTTGCGACGAATGGAAAAGAGCCTTAATACCATTTCAGTCAAATTGTCAAAATAAAAAGCTTCATGGATCAGAAGACTCAAAATCACAGGTTATAGTAAACAGCTTCTCATGTAATCAATGTTAGTTTTCTCAAATCTTAAACAATATGTAGTATAACTGTCCTATTATTGAATGATCAATGATCATAAACTGAAAAGCCCCAAACATTTGTTTATCATAAAATAAATAATGGTATGGCGCCTTATGGCTACAGATTTTTTGTCCATTGAAATATATTTGCAGGAGTGTAGGATTTCGCTGCCATATAACGGCCATGATTCCCCAAGGACTAAGGAAATCATAGCTAAAAGTCCTTCGTCAACAACAATTTTAAAAGCATCAATCTGCTTACCATACGCCATATTGACATAAATCGCATCACACACTCGCATAAATTGACTTTGATATATTACATTCATGCATACACTTCACTTGTCCTTTACTTACGATTTTGGATGTAAATTTCTGCTGATAAAACTCAAAACAATGTTGGCTTTCTTTTGAACATCAATGACTGAAATTTCGCTCGCGAGATCGTCTTTGCCAAGCATTTACAATTTATCCATAAATTTTTCACCCTCTTGAAAAAATTCACAGTTTGGACAGCAGGATTCATGTCAATATATGAATTTGTAAAAGATTTCCATAAATTCCATCTGATTGTAGATTAGTTTCTATCATGCTTATAAAAATTACTATGCAACGATCAAACATTCAATTCAGACAGTGAGCTTGACTATGTTCAGGGTTGCCAGGTTCCTGCGCATACTCGAGGCCAAACACGGTAGAAAATGAGGTCAAATTTCAACAAAAGAGGCCAAATTTCTAGAACAACCAGAAACGCAGGATTTGTGCCCTTCCCCCCCCCCCTGTAAGCTTGACAAAAACCATCAAATAAGAGTTTGGTCAATCAGGAATCATGAATGAGGCTCGCAATATGAAGTAAATTAAATAATAATGACATGCAAGTATAAAGTTATGACTGAAAATAACTATATACACTGATGCAGTTGACATCTGTTGAATGAAACAGGTAAACAACGTTAGATGAAAACAACCAATACTGGGGTCAATATAAACTTCTGAATGTCACTCTCAAAGTCCTACAAGTCGAGTCAACTATCAATTTGTTTCTTTCGAGCATCGTACATATGTTTGGCCGTAAACAACTCGAGTATTCGCCTGGTTGTCTTGAAGTCCACGCAGCAATTTTCTCCAAACTGAAGCTTTGAGCAAATGCGAATTATGGCTTTCATCGACTCTTGTTTCATTCTGTTGCGCTGTTTAGTCTTGATTGATGCTAACAGGGAAAATGTCCTCTCCACCACAGCATTGCTTAGGGAGCAGTGAGACAGTTCAAAGCATACGTTGCTAACTGCTCAAATGGCTTGTCTCCGAGTGAAGTTTGAAAATCGACGTTGCATGACCAAAATGCAGCCGCTGTGTCTGGAATAGTTCCATCAAAGGTTGAATCTTCTTTCCAGTCACGGTGAACGATCTTCCTGTACTGCTCTTCGATCTCGTTGAGTTTCTCATATCGTAGATGTGAAAGTGGAAGCTGACATAAAGGAGCTCTGGTTGCTTCATCTAATACTTTTCTTGGATGAAGGACGCTTAATCCTTTGAATATGTTTTTTTCTAGCAGGTAGACGCATTTCAACTTGATTTAAAGCTTCCATAAGAAAATCTAAGCATCGTTTTTTCAAATGAAGAACTTTAGCTTGAGCAACAACCTTGTTCTTTTGAGAAGAGACATATTTTGTTGTTTCACACAAGAACTTCCCACCAAAATCTACTTTTTCAATGGCGAGTTGCTTGCCTTGTATGTCAAAACTCTTCCACGTGGAGACTCATGATGTGTATCCAATTCAGTGAACATCTCTTCGGGATCGGCATCGGTAGCTTGGAAGAATGCATTTACTCGTTCGAATTCAGTGACTAGAGGCGACACGAAATGAAAATATAGATAGACAATCGGATCGTTGAGCATGTCCAAAAGGGTACGTGCTTTGTAACGGGCATTCTGTCTACTTGTTGGTTTCGCTACAGCAAAAAAATGAGCTTGGAGCTCATTCCAATTAGCCAAGAGATGGAAGATCAACTTTCCTCTCACCAACCAACGTGTTGCTGAATACTTCTCAAATGGTGGTAATTGGTCGTCATCGGGACTCATTGTTTCATAAAGTAACTTGTATGCTTCGCGTCGTATAGTGCTTTTGGAAAACCACTCTGCAATTTCTGCTAGAAGGAATCCAAGGCTGAATGGAAGCTTTTCAAAAGCATGTTGGACGCATAACGACAACGAATGGCAGATACACGTCACATTGATGCAATTCGGGGCAACAGCTTCAAGCCTTGTCCACTGAGTCATGTTTGCCGATCATGACAGAAATGCAGTCAACCAATGCAAGGTCAATTTCACGAAGGCAATTTCGGATGGCATAAAAAAAGTCATCTGCACAAGCACGAGCAACATTGACCAGATCAACAAAGGCTGTGACGATATTTTTCTCCACACTGCCGTAATACCGAATAATGACACAGAGCTGTTTGACTGTAGAAACATCGGTAGTCTCATCGACGATTAAAGAGAACTTCTTTCCTTTCACATCAGCAATTAATTCTTCTTTCAGCGCAGGACTGACTACATTGATAAGAATTTTTGTGCATTTCGTACGATCTATCTTTATGTTTTCGAGTCTACTTCCCGTTGCATTTCGAGCTATAAACTCCCCGAGATGATCCATGGTTAGAATAGAAGAATGACACGCCATTTTCACAGCAAGCTCAATTTCTGTACGTTTTACTTCGTCGGCGATCGTTGGGTTTCGCACAATTTGAATTGGCCTTACTGACGTTGAAGCTTTCACCCGTTGCACGTGCTTATCACTCTTTTCGTGCTTTGTCGAATTTGGTAGTTTGGGCTTTATTTGAATATGGCAAAGCATACAATACCCATCTTCACTTCCATCTGATGCTTTTGAAAGCTAGATAAATTTGCTCTCCCACGTTTTGGTATATTTTCTTCCAGATTCATATGATGCTTTCCATTTGACTACCATGTTCAAAATATAATGATGCTATGAGCCTATGACCGTAGCAAAGAGCCTGGGAAGTAGTGACAGACTAGAATCATTTTGTTTATCTTTTGTGAAAGAACTGTGAAACTTAGTAGTAATGACATTAAAAATCTGTGTTAAGCAAAAAGAAGCCAAAAAGAAGCCAAATGGCCAAACTTATTTTTTGAGGCCAAGCAAGGAAAAAAGAAGCCAAATTTGAGTTATTTGGCCTCCAAAAGGCCAATCTGGCAACCCTGAGTCTATGTTTGTTCAGTTGGCTATCAGTCGAAATCCGTCAAACCAATCACAATAAAACAAAAATTCAAATGAACCAATTGTAAGATAGCAATTGGACTCCCTTATACGTCCGGCCACCCCTGTTATCAGTCGAGACCATTCCAGACTGTCCACTGATCTGGCCATTGACCAATAAAATAAGCGTTTTTGGCGTTCATAGTCTCCTTTATCCGTCGAACCAGTCAAGCCACCCCGCTTATCAGTCGATTATTCCAGGTAAATTAAAATTCAACTGATCTGGTTACCAACGAGATATTCATTGCATTAATCATTAGTTTTCAATAATAAATAAAGCTGGATTTTTATCACGAAGTAAATGCGATAATAAAGTAAGAATAATTAACGAGTTTTTAATTAATATGAATAGGTAATTATTGAATTTCAAACATCAGTCGCGCGACGGATTTGACATACTCTAGATCCGCCCCTGCTTCAAACTGAGTTGATGATTTACACGTTAAAGTCATGGAGTGCTTCAGCACAATCAATTTCAATTTTATGCGCAACATGAGTGCGTCTTGGTCGCGGTTGGTTTTGTCGAAAATTAAAAAGTACATGATTATAAGCATCTTTTATTGAAATTTCCAACGTATCACGGAGGTATATCTCTCGAGTTTCTTTAGCTTTCAATTTTAAAACTTGTCCTTTACAAGAAAGCTCGAATGAATTATTCTTTGAAAAGCTGCGCTTAGTTTCGATTCCCGCTTATAACGGTATTTTTTATTAATTTTTATACTATTGTCATTTCTCAGCCTGCACACATTACACCCACATTCGAAACAATATTTCTCGAGCATAGCGTCATTTTGATATACTGCAACGAAACCAATTTTGCTTAAAATCGTAGTAGGCTAAATTTGTTCGAACTTTAATAGTTTTAACACTCAATCTTTATTCCTCGAAAACTTTTTCTTTACTTTCTAAAATACCGCAATACTTTAATATCAAATTCTATCATTTCAATTGTAAACGTAGAAGTCGTTCTTTTATAGAGATGGCTGAAAACAGTCGATCTCAAAGGATGAATTTTTAATGTATTCTGCAAAAAAAGGTCTTTTATGTTTTTTAAGGCTATCTACACCTTCATTCATACCTGCGATCTGTTATTGGTCTTCTTTAGTATTCTGTAGTGCTGGATGTTGAATTTGCCATCTCTTTCTTGTCGAGGACTGCAGAGTTAGAAAATAGAACATGCTATTTCTCTCTCAATTTCCTTAACAAATTTAATGCATTGTGATGCTTGAGTATAACTGCGTATGGAAGCATTGCGGATTTTATGATATTCGTTTAATGTGGCACAACAGTAATAATCGGCGACATATTTATACATGTTTGTAAACGTAGATCGTCCAGGTTGGTATAGTCCTGAGAAGGACTGTTTTTCCTTCTGAGAAGGACTCCCGGGTTCAAACCATTTACTTTATTGACATATTTATACATATATATATATATATATATATATATATATATATATATAAAATGAACTAAAATAAAATGGACAATTGTTTGCTGTCGCTACTCGGAGTTTCACGCCGTAGGGCGATCTTCAGGCAACTGACAGATTATATATTATTTGCTGACTATATACATCGACTAAAAGGTGTTAAGTTACATGACGGCATGCACTAAACATATCGGAACGTTTATTTAAAATGTTCTTTTTACGTCCTTTCAGGATAAGTAGCCTTTCTTCAAGGCAAAGACGGCAGGTTCTTTGGTTTTTGTTCGGAGGTCGAAGTTGTTTGATGAAGTCCCATTTAATGTTGTAGTTACGTTTGTTTTCTTTCAGTGTCCACGTGTATTTAGAAAGTTCTGTCTCGTTCCGGTATTTAATGTTCGTAATTGATTTAATGTGGTTTCGATATCGTGTCTTAAAAGCGCATGCAGTAACACCTATGTAAGTTTTGTTCGTTGTTGTCAGTCGTTGTCACGTCGGCTTTGTAAATCACGTTGGGTTTCAGGCAATTGCCATTTGTCGGGCATAGATGTTTCTGTCTGCAGTTACATTTCTTTGGTGGGTTGTTCTTGTTCTGGGTTGTGTCTGTTAAGTCTTTTAAAATAGTCTTGTGTGTCTGGTTATGAAAGTTTTCATGTTTTCGCCGCAGCTGTAGCTTACGCGTATTGTGTGTCGGTTGAATATCTTGGAGAGTATAGTATTTGGTGGGAAATGTTTGTCGATAAGTTGTAGGAAGTCATGGGCGATTAGGCAAGCTCTTAAACAAAGCAACTTCACCACCCAACTCACCTTTAATCCATCAAACATCAATGTAAACACCACGTACAACAGAAAACGTAACGTCACTTGGTTTAACCCACCATACAGCAAAAACGTAAAAACACACATCGCCCATGACTACAACTTATCGACAAACATTTCCCACCAAATACTATACTCCAAGATATTCAACCGACACACAATACGCGTAAGCTACAGCTGCGGCGAAAACATGAAAACTTTCATAACCAGACACAACAAGACTATTTTAAAAGACTTAACCCAGACACAACCCAGAACAAGAACAACCCACCAAAGAAATGTAACTGCAGACAGAAACATCTATGCCCGACAAATGGCAATTGCCTGAAACCCAACGTGATTTACAAAGCCGACGTGACAACGACTGACAACAACGAAACAAAAACTTACATAGGTGTTACTGCATGCGCTTTTAAGACACGATATCGAAACCTACGGTGGCTCACAAGGGCCACCACACAAAATAAAAATATTAATACACACACAAAATAAAAATACACACATAAAATACATTATACACACACAAAATAAAAATACACACGCAAAATACATTATACACACACAAAATAAAAATACACACGCAAAATAAAAATACACACACAAAATAAAAATACACACACAAAATATGATTGCGGGCGCTTGCAGTGTCGGATGGTCTGACTATCATATTATCAGTTTGTAATCAGATATGTGTAATTCACTAATTGTGATTTTAACATGTGGTCGACTTGTCGTCGTATTTAACTGTTTCAACTGCGAAACATTTGAAATTACATTTGGAAAGGAATCGAAGGCAAGCTCTTGCATAATCCTGGCATAATTTGTTTGTGCCAACTGTAGTGCACAATCACTTGACGAAGCTTCTTTTTGTCACAAATGCGGTGTGCGTTTGGGAAGATTAACTTCTTTGCCAAAATGTTCTGAAGCGTCAATGACGAGTAGCGTCTCTTCAAGCAGTTGCCCTTCGAGCTCTGCAAGTCCGTTAACTTCAACTTCAAGTACCCCAAAGCTGTTTATAACTGGTACAGGACAGGCTAGACCAATAATGTCCTTTCAAAGGACAACACATTAACCTTAATTTTAACCAGAATACGGGGAGCAATATCGTAAGCAACTTTGAAATAATTGATCACAGTGAAATCAGTGAATTTTGCCATGTACTCTGGAAGTTGGAACCATTAGAACTTTGAAAACAAAAGCGATCAATTACGAGCAATTCCGAGTAAGCCGACACTGCAAGCGCCCGCAATCATATTTTGTGTGTATTTTTATTTTGTGTGTGTATTTTTATTTTGCGTGTGTATTTTTATTTTGTGTGTGTATAATGTATTTTGCGTGTGTATTTTTATTTTGTGTGTGTAAAATGTATTTTGTGTGTGTATTTTTATTTTGTGTGTGTATAATGTATTTTGTGTGTGTATAATGTATTTTGTGTGTGTATTTTTATTTTGTGTGTGTATTAATATTTTTATTTTGTGTGGTGGCCCTTGTGAGCCACCGTAGAAACCACATTAAATCAATTACGAACATTAAATACCGGAACGAGACAGAACTTTCTAAATACACGTGGACACTGAAAGAAAACAAACGTAACTACAACATTAAATGGGACTTCATCAAACAACTTCGACCTCCGAACAAAAACCAAAGAACCTGCCGTCTTTGCCTTGAAGAAAGGCTACTTATCTTGAAAGGACGTAAAAAGAACATTTTAAATAAACGTTCCGATATATTTAGTGCATGCCGTCATGTAACTTAACACCTTTAGTCGATGTTTATAATCAGCAAATAATATATAATCTGTCATTTTCCTGAAGATCGCCCTACGGCGTGAAACTCCGAGTAGCGACAGCAAACAATTGTCCATTTTATTTTAGTTCATTTTATCTTACGCTCTTCTAATATATAGAATATTGAGCGCTCTTTTATCCAGGAATATTATCCATAATAATATTCCTGATAAAGAGCGTCAATATCAAAGTTATTCATGATTAGCCTGTTTCGTGATTGCTCACTCTTCAGGGATTTAAAGTGAGCAATCACGAAACAGGCTTGTCGGGATGAATCTGTGTTTTGTGATTTTTCTCTACACCACTACACATATTTACGCTCTGCTCTCGGGCATCGAGCACTGTTTTATACGGAAAATCATTAATTATAAACTTCTATATATATATATATATTTATATTAAATAGGCAATGCCCACAGCAAATAATCTTTGCTGTTTTGAGAAATACGTTTTTCGTATAACCGGATCTTATTAGTTTCGCCAACAAATGTAAAAAATTTCAACCATTTTTAACAATGATTTCGTAGAGCTTTCAAGTCTTAAACATTTGACAATATTATTGATTTCCGTATCTCATTAACTCGTTAATCGAAATTCTTTTTTGAGAAAGTTTCTTTACTTTTTCAAAGCTAATATATACAAAAACATTCGCATGACTATTATAATCATATAGTTTTCACGGTTGTTAAACACAAATCTATTGCTCTTCTCTATTATCGACGTTCCGACGTCCTTCTGTATAGCTGCCTAAAATACGACCTTGTCATTCTGACGTTATTTATCGAAAGACACCATTTTCCAGAACGTGTTAAATGGTCATGTTCGACAAGTTAACTTTTGTTTGGCAACACCGTATAGCTTCAGCGAAAATTACTTCCGTATTTTAAAATTGCTTATCTGATGGTTTAAGGTTGTTTGTATTCGAGTGTTTTGGCCAAAACAGCCCTCAAAAATTTCTGCTTTTAAATTATAATTGAAACATACCCAGTTACAGATAAAGTAAATGTTGCCTCTGAGTACTGGCTATCACGGAGTAGAAAGGCACTCGGTTGCCCGAATTTTACCAAAATCTTTGTCGCTTCATCGGCTGAAATCTTGCCATGATACCAAGGTGGAACTCCTCGAGCCATGGTAAGAATTTCTTATTTTCAACAGTTTCAACAGAAACTCACACCAAAGGTTACTACATTTGGATGCATAAGATGAATCTCAACCTCTCGATTGAATCCGTGTATAAAATAGCTTCAGTTAGTGGGCACCCCACAGTGCACATTGTTCATAGTTATTCCAAGCATTTTCCTTTATATTGTTCAAACTAGTTATAATTAAAGACAAATGAAGACGACATGTATTGTTTAAATCCCAGCATGCACGGTGTGCGATTAACAAAGGCGTTTATAGTTGATTTTTTCTTATTACTATGGCGGCATAAACTTGACAATAAAGTTCAAATATCTCAGTAGCAAAAATGTAAATTTTTTTTCTCAGATTATGAAATAAGTGTTAACAAAGCTTCCTAGAGGCAGAATATGTCAATCAGATTAAAGTGTTTTTGGCAAACTATGGCCCTGGACACCTTGAACATGATTATTAAAATTCGCTGTATCGATACAAAATTGGAAATTTATGACTCCGTATGATCTTTATAAATTCTGCCAACAATTGCATTAGAATTTAACATAACGGCTCCTATCGAATTTCGGCTTTTTCAAATGTTATCTCCTATACGAAATAACGAAAATTCCTCACCTATGAAATGATCCTTTTTTGTAGCAACGACTCGTATGAAATGACCACTTTTTGAAATAACGACATTTTGGTGGAAAAAAAAGTAGACACAAAGGCAGACAAAAAGGTTGATACAAAGGTGAACACAACGGTTGACAAAAAAGTGAAATAAAAGGTGGTCAGAAAGGTAGACACAAAGATAGACAAAAAGACAGACAAAAAGGTAGAAAGAAAGACAAAAGACTATGTAAACGAATATAAGTATCAACAAAACTATCGTACCGCTTGAACAAGTAACCAAAAGTCGGAACCGTGACAATCTTATACCAGTAATTGGATCGATGGAAAAGGCCTTAACAAAACCGATGAAACTTTAGGTTTTGGTTTTGTGTCAATTACTGTCGACTTTGAGAAAAATTTTACGCGATTTTACAAGAGATTGAGTACAGAAAAAAGTCCTCATTATAGAAAATATGTAACTGCAATTCTTTTAAGTGCAACGTCAGTGAAATGCATGAAAGAGTTAGTTTTTACAGTGAAAATTTTTCCTGAAAGAGTTGGTCTAAGTTTAGAATTTCTTGAGTTTACAGTTATTCCATTATGATGTTTATGTCACGCATAATTTTATGAACAGTTCTATACAGGCAACATTACAAACATTTGTGTTATTTTTGCTGTTGTTATACCATACTTAGAAAAGTTGTGCATCTATTTTGTTCATATATTCAGGATTGTCCAAATATGTTCCTCTACCATTTAGTAGCCTGTTGTTAGAAGTAGGATGGAGTTAAATCATCAATAGTGGCGTAAATATGGTCATCTTCGTCGTCAGTGTGATCGTGAGACGAGCGAAACAATTGTCGAATGCAATTGAGCATCCCAGTTCTTTTTCTTGGTTCTAAAATAAGATTTGAAGTTGACAAGGCTACTGAGAAAATTCTTATTGCATGGTGAGGAACATCAAAGTCCAGAGTCATCATGAATGATTTCTTAAGTAAGTTAGATCATTGACAAAATCCTGTTGAGAATTTTGCGTTTTGCAGCATCTTATAGAAAGTATCATACTTTTTTTTGTTTCCACAGGTACTTCTTCCTTAACATCTCTGTCTGCAAGGAAGAAAAAAAATCGTTTAATATAATGTTTCATTATCGAAATCTTCAAAAATTTCTGTAACCTTTAAAATCACGGGTACTGCGGCAAGTTGTTTTAAATGAGGACCATCAACATGTTGACCTTGCCGCACTCTTTTTCATAAGAGCGAACAAAAATTTCTCTTGGCTCGATGCTCTTTTTCCGATTTCATGCTCAAAATGTTCTTACCATACCATTCTTTCTGTGATATAAACAACCATAATGCACCCATGCAAGACTAGGTATTGGATTAGTTGTAAGATTAATTTTTGAATTAAAGCAGCTTGAATTACAGCAGCTTAATCTGATTGAACAGCATATGGCTTTACAAATTAAGAAATCACAGAAAAAATAAGACATACCTGCATTGCATAATGTTATGCGATCACGCCAGTGCTTGTCAGTGGAATTCCATTTCTCAATCACTGTTAACATAGAAACATGACTTGAGTTTTTAGCGAAGAAAGCTCACTGAAATACTGCCATATAAAATGATATTGTACTCGAAACCTACATGGCTTTTCAACTGGAGTAACAAGCTTTAATCGAGATTCGGGTGCTTGTTGTAGCATGCAATCACGTAGTTCGTTACGAGAAGGAAAACTGAGTATATCCCACTGCAAGGGAAAAGAGCAAAATTCATTGAAACAGAAGATCTTACAACATGATAGGCGAATTGCTCGGTTTATATGCCTGCAAACTGAGTTGATGATTTACACGTGAAAGTCATGGAGTGCTTCAGCACAATCAATTTCAATTTTATGCGCAACATGAGTGCGTCTTGGTCGCGGTTGGTTTCGTCGAAAATTAAAAGTACATGATTATAAGCATCTTTTATTGAATTTTCCAACGTATCACGGAGCTATATTTGTCGAATTTCTTTAGCTTTCAATCTTAAAACTTGTCCTTTACAAGAAAGCTCGAATGAATTATTCTTTGAAAAGCTGCGCTTAGTTTCGATTCCCGCTTATAACGGTATTTTTTATTACTTTTTATACTATTGTCATTTCCCAGCCTGCACACATTACACCCACATTCGAAACAATATTTCTCGAGCATAGCGTCATTTTGATATACTGCAACGAAACCAATTTTGCTTAAAATCGTAGTAGGCTAAATTTGTTCGAACTTTAATAGTTTTAACACTCAATCTTTATTCCTCGAAAACTTTGTCTTTACTTTCTAAAATACCGCAATACTTTAATATCAAATTCTATCATTTCAATTGTAAACGTAGAAGTCGTTCTTTTATAGAGATGACTGAAAACAGTCGATCTCAAAGGATGAATTTTTAATGTATTCTGCAAAAAAAGGTCTTTTATGTTTTAAGGCTGACTACACCTTCATTCATACCTGCGATCTGTTATTGGTCTTCTTTACTATTCTGTAGTGCTGGATGTTGAATTTGCCATCTCTTTCTTGTCGAGGACTGCAGAGTTAGAAAATAGAACATGCTAATTCTCTCTCAATTTCCTTAACAAATTTAATGCATTGTGATGCTTGAGTATAACTGCGTATGGAAGCATTGCGGATTTTATAATATTCGTTTGATGTGGCACAACAGTAATAATCGGCGACATATTTATACATGTTTGTAAACGTAGATCGTCCAGGTTGGTATAGTCCTGAGAAGGACTGTTTTTCCTTCTGAGAAGGACTCCCGGGTTCAAACCATTTACTTTATTGACATATTTATACATATATATATATATATATATATATTTATATTAAATAGGCAATGCCCACAGCAAATAATCTTTGCTGTTTTGAGAAATACGTTTTTCGTATAACCGGATCTTATTAGTTTCGCCAACAAATGTAAAAAATTTCAACCATTTTTAACAACCAGAATGATTTCGTAGAGCTTTCAAGTCTTAAACATTTGACAATATTATTGATTTCCGTATCTCATTAACTCGTTAATCGAAATTCTTTTTTGAGAAAGTTTCTTTACTTTTTCAAAGCTAATATATACAAAAACATTCGCAAGACTATTATAATCATATAGTTTTCACGGTTGTTAAACACAAATCTATTGCTCTTCTCTATTATCGACGTCCTTCTGTATAGCTGCCTAAAATACGACCTTGTCATTCTGACGTTATTTATCGAAAGACACCATTTTCCAGAACGTGTTAAATGGTCATGTTCGACAAGTTAACTTTTGTTTGGCAACACCGTATAGCTTCAGCGAAAATTACTTCCGTATTTTAAAATTGCTTATCTGATTTTTTAAGGTTGTTTGTATTCGAGTGTTTTGGCCAAAACAGCCCTCAAAAATTTCTGCTTTTAAATTATAATTGAAACATACCCAGTTACAGATAAAGTAAATGTTGCCTCTGAGTACTGGCTATCACGGAGTAGAAAGGCACTCGGTTGCCCGAATTTTACCAAAATTTTTGTCGCTTCATCGGCTGAAATCTTGCCATGATACCAAGGTGGAACTCCTCGTGCCATGGTAAGAATTTCTTATTTTCAACAGTTTCAACAGAAACTCACACCAAAGGTTACTACATTTGGATGCATAAGATGAATCTCAACCTCTCGATTGAATCCGTGTATAAAATAGCTTCAGTTAGTGGGCACCCCACAGTGCACATTGTTCATAGTTATTCGAAGCATTTTCCTTTATATTGTTCAAACTAGTTATAATTAAAGACAAATGAGGACGACATGTATTGCTTAAATCCCAGCATGCACGGTGTGCAATTAACAGAGGCGTTTGGCGTTGATTTTTTCTTATTACTATGGCGACGTAAACTTGACAATAAGATTCAAATATCTCAGTAGCTAAAATGTAAAATTTCTTTTTTCTCAAATTATGAAATAAGTGTCAACAAAGCTTCCTAAAGGCAGAATATGTCAGTCAGATTAAAGTGTTTTTGGCAAACTATGGCCCTGGACACCTTGAACATGATTATTAAAATTCGCTGTATCTATACAAAATTGGAAATTTATGACTCCGTATGATCTTTATAAATTCTGCCAACAATTGCACTTAACAATTTAACATGACGGCTCCCATCGAATTTCGGCTTTTCAAGTGTTATCTCCGATACGAAATAACGAAAATTCCTCTCCTATGAAATGATGCTTTTTTGTAAAAACGACTCATATGAAATGACCACTTTTTGAAATAACGACATTTTGGTGGAAAAAAAAGTAGACACAAAGGCAGACAAAGAAGTTGATACAAAGGTGGACACAACGGTTGACAAAAAAGTGAAATAAATGGTGTTCAGAAAGGTGGACACAAAGATAGACAAAAGACAGACAAAAGGTAGAAAGAAAGACAAAAGACTATGTAAACGAATATAAATATCAACAAAACTATCGTACCGCTTGAACAAGTAACCAAAAGTCGGAACCGGAACAATCTTATACCAGTAATTGGATCGTATGAAAGGGCCTTAACAAAACCGATGAAACTTTAGGTTTTGGTTTTGTGTCAATTATGGTCGACTTTGAAAAAAATTTTACGCGATTTTACAAGAGATTAAGTACAGAAGAAACTCCTCATTATAGAAAATATGTAACCATTAAAGAATACTGCAATTCTTTTAAGTGCAACGTCAGTGAAATGCATGAAAGAGTTAGTTTTTACAGTGAAAATTTTTCCTGAAAGAGTTGGTCTAAGTTTAGAATTTCTTGAGTTTACAGTTATTCCATTATGATGTTTATGTCACGCATGATTTTATGAACAGTTCTATACAGGCAACATTACAAACATTTGTGTTATTTTTGTTGTTGTTATACCATAGTTAGAAAAGTTGTGCGACTATTTTGTTCATATATTCAGGATTGTCCACTTGTGATCCTCTACCATTTAGTAGCTTCTTGTTAGAAGTAGGAGACTGGTAGATGGCATTCTCATCGTCGTTCGCCGTTTTGTATTGGCCAAGTGCCGTGGGGCTTGCGTACTCATCGCTTTTGTCTTTGTCTTTTTCTTGCAGACTCTCCTTCCTGTGATAAAGCTGGTTTCTTGCGCTCATCTTGTTAACTACAAGAAAGATATTTAGCAAGTGTTAACTGTGAATTGTGAATATTTTCTTCCGACAGTCAACACCTTGAACTCAAAACTGTATTTGTTAGTTACGTTCGACGTAGAATACCTTCGTCCGTAGGCTCATAATTGTTTTCAGGCTGCATGGGCGTGCTCTCATCCACTGTTGCATGACCTTCTTTTAAATTGGATCGAGCCTGCACATAGTGAGGATCTTCCAAGATTGCATAGCCGCTGTCTTTTGAAGTAGTTACAGGTTGTATATGGTCACTGCCATCTACTGTCACAAAATCGTCTCGTGAATCGGATGCGGGCTGCGAATACCGAGGATCCTCCAATGTTGCATAACCTTCTGTTGAAGTGGGTAGAGGTTGCAAATGGCTGCTGTCATTTCTTGTTACATGACTGTCATTTGAAAAATGTACAGTCTGCATATTCTTGCTCTCGTTCACTGTTGCATGACCGTCTTTTAAATCAGATGTGGGCTCTATATAGTGAGGGTCTTCCACTGTTGCATAACCATCTCGTGAAGTAGGTACCGCTTGATTATGGATGCTGTCATGCACTGTCACACAACGCTCTCGTAAATTAGATGCGGGCTGAAGGTAGTTGTGGTCATCGACTGTCGTATAGCCTTCATTTGAAGTAGATACAGGCTGCCCATGCTTTCTGTCATGCGCTGTGGCACAATCATCTTGTAAATTGGATACGGGTTGATAATAGTTATGGTCATTCACTGTCTCATAATTACTACATTGTGAAGCAGGTCCAGACTGCTTATCGCTGCCATTAATACCGTCTTGGTGATCAATACTCTCGTAAATATGGTCATCTTTGTCTGCAGTGTGATCGTCAGATGGACTAAACAATTTACTAATGCGTTTGAACATCCCAGTTCTTTTTCGATGCTAAAAGATTTGAAGTGATACGGTTACTGAGAAAATTCTCACTCCTGTAATGTGATGAATATCTGAATAATTTCTATAGAAATTCGACGCTGTATAACAACATTTTGGCCAAAACTAACTAAGTGAAGTTAGATCATTGACAAAATCATGGCGAGAATTTAAGATTTTTGCAGCATCTTGTATCATAATGGAATTTGTTTGGAATTTATCTGTATGTGTAGTTTTGAATGAAAAACCTTCCAAAACGTTTTTGAATTTTTTTCATTTTCGTTTACGTTCTTGTTTCTTGAACAATTAGATAGTTTACGGTCAGTCGTTTCTTGATTTATACATCCATTGCATAATGTTTGCACAAACATCGATAACAATGAAAACATTTAGACAAAACGCGGACAGGTTTTTAGCATAACAAGAAAAATAAACATGAAGACGCTGTTACACGATGTAATTACGTTTCTACACAAGATGCATGTAAGAGTGCAATGTGTCTCATCTCTTGCAATAATTATGAAGCACGGCAATATTTTTATTGTAAGAATTAAGCATTGCATGGAATGGAATCTGCTTCTACTTTCGCTACGACTGCAGAAATGCTGCAACGCATTTTTAAGGTATTGCACGTGTAAAAAATCCTTCCTGGAACTTTTACTGCAATTAAGGTTTTTTTTATTGGACAATAGAAACTCGCCAGTTGCCATTTAGCTTGTATCTAGAAGTACAATAATATCCCTGATTGTACAGCTTGCAATTCTTAGTAAGAATCCTTTGCATGACAAGTTGCTAGCAAGTTGCGAGGAAAGCTGCATGGTCTAACGCCTTTAGGAGTTTTGAATCAGAAAATGACAAACCACAAATTATCTTATTTACATAAAACAAACTCTTTAACAGCTTAAGCAATAAGCACGAAAATAATAATGTTTAAAAAAAGTCTCCTCGTACAGTTTTGGAGAATCCTTTATTTAAGACGAAAAAAAATTGTGTCATAGCCACTTCTACAGTTTTTTTAAGGATTAAATAAGTTTGTGTGTTTTCTTAATCGGACGATAACTCAAGAGAAAGCTGAAAAAATAAAGTATCATACTTTTTTTTGGTTTCGCAGGTTCGTCTTTCTTAACATCTCTGTCTGCAAGGAATAGAAAAATCTTTTAAGGAAATGTTTCATCATCGAAATTTCTCCAACCTTTAAAATCGTGGATACCGCAGCAAGTTAATTTACATGAAAACCATCAACATGTTGACCGAGCTGCTCTCCTTTTTTGTAAGAACCTTCAAAAATCCACGCTCAATGCTCCTTTCCCGATTTCAGGCTCAAATGGTCTTACCAGACAATTCTTCATGTGATATTAACCACCATATTTTACCCATATGACATGTAAGATTAGGTATTGGATTAGTTTTAATATTAGTTTTAAGATTAGTTTTAACATTAGTTTTAACATTAGTTTTTTTAAGATTAGTTTTTGGAGTACTGTTAGAGTGACGGCAGATTCACTCAATCAATAAGAAATGGCTAGTTCAAGAAGAAAATAGTTGGTCAATGGAACCTCACCCACAATCTCCTCTGTCCCCAAAATGTCTTCGCACAGACACTTCAACTCACATGCTATAATTTTTAGAATGCTAGTGTTACAATTGAAACCTAGGATTTATACTATTGCAAAACTGCACTGATCCCATGGACTTAACTACACAAAGAAATATACGAGTACCTGTATCGTATACTGTTATCCGATCACGCCAGTTGTTTTCAGTAGAATCCCATTTCTCAATCACTGTTAACATGGAAACATGACTTGAGTTTTTGGCGATGACATTTCACAAAAATACTGCCGTATAAAGTAGTAAGGTACTCAAAACCTACCTTGCTTTTCAACTGCAGTAACAAGCTTTAATCGAGATTTACTCTCTTTGGGTGCTTGTCGTCGCATGCAATTTTGTAGATCGTCAAGAGATGGAAAACTGAGTACATCCCACTGTAAGGAAAAAGAGAAAAATTTATTGAACCAAAAGATCTTACTGCTTGATATGCGAATCACTCGGTTTATAGCTACGAACTGAGTGATGATTTACATGTGAAAGTCACGGAGTGCTTCAGCACAATCGATTTCAATTTTATGCACAACATGAGTTAGTCGTGGTCGAGGTTGGTTTCGTCGAAAATTTAACAGTTCATGATTCTAAGCATCTTTTATTGAACTTTCCAACTTATCACAGAAGTATATCTCTCGAGTTTCTTTAGCTAATGATAACGTTGAAAATGTGGCATTTTCAAAAATTCTCCTACAAAAAAGTTCGAATGAGTCGTGCTTTGAAAAACTGCGCCTCAGTTTCGATTCCATTGAGGGCTTATGAATTTTCATTACCTGCGCCTCAGTTTCGATTCTATTGAGGGCTCGTACGAATTTGAATTTTCATGCAATTGTCTTTGCTCTGCCTACCACATTCTTCTCTCATTCCACCGTTTGTAGTGAGTGAACGAGTGTACTAATATTTCAACATTATGTCATTGCATGCAGTATAGCGTTTTGATATACTGCATGGAATGACGAAAGTCACGAAAACAATTTTCCATAATGATCGTGTTCTATCATTTTAATGATGAGATGACTATTATACTTCGAACAATTTTGCTTGAATTTACTCGAACTCTAATAGTTTGAAACTCAATCCTCACTCCTCGAAAACTTCGCATTTATGCTCTAAAATACAACTGAATACTTTTAATATCAAGTTCTATAATTTCAATTGCAAAGGTCAAAGTCTTTCGTTTAGAGATCAAAACAAGCGATCTAATTCTTCATTCATACCTGCGATCTGTTATTGGTATTCTTTATTATTCTGTAATGCTGGATGTTGAAATTGCCATCTCTGTCTTGTTGAGGGCTGCAGAGTTAGAAAATAAAACATGCAATTTCTCTCGCAATTTCCATAACAAATTTAATGGTGTTGAGTAGAATTACGTGGAAGCATTGTGGACTTAATATAATTTTAGTTCACTTAGAGGCGCAATTATAATAATCTGTAAAATTTCATATGAACAAAGAAAGCTGTAGCTGCATCTTATAAGACATGCAGTCTGTAAACATTTTACTTTTGTGCAAATGAGTCACTTTTCTGTTAAATATGAAGCACTGTGCATATATATCGCACGTGTTATAAAACATCGAATTAAAAGCATAGTTTTCTCATGCCCATGACAAATAATTTTTGCTGTTTTTAGAAATAAATGTTTTTTTGTGTAACCGGATGTTACGAGTGTCGTACACGAATGTAAAGAACTTTAATTATTTTGAGCAACCAGAAGAACTTCGTAGGGCTTTCACATCTTAAATATTTGAGAATATTATTGATTTCGTATCTCATTTTAATAAAAACACTTAAATTAAAATGCTATTTTCAAAAGGTTTCTTTATTTCTTTACAGCTGATATATGCAAAGACATCGCAAGACTATAATGATTTTGTATTGTTCACGATTATTGAACACAAATTAGTTGCTCTTCTCAACTATCGTACCGACGTCCTTCTGTACATCTGCTTAAAACGAGACGTTTTCATTTACTATTTAGCGGTGTTTATCGAAAAACGCCATTTTCAAGAACATGTCAAAGGGTCATGTTCGAAATGGCAATCTTAGTCAACACTTTATCGCTTCAGCGAAAATTACTTCCGCATTTAAAAATTGCTGTCTGACGGTTATCATGGTTTAAGGTTGTCTATATTGAAATATTTTGGCCAAAACAGTCCTCCAAAGAATATAATTTTTCTACATTAATTAAATGAAACATACCCAGTTACAGATAAAGTAAATGTTGCTTCTGAGTACTGGCTATCACGGAGTAGAAAGGCACTCGGTTGCCCGAATTTTACCAAAATCTTTGTCGCTTCATCGGCTGAAATCTTGCCATGATACCAAGGTGGAACTCCTCGAGCCATGGTAAAAAATTTCTTATTTTCAACGGTTATAACTTATAATGAAAAGAACGTCGAAACTCACGCCATACGTTGCTACATTTGGATGCATAAAATGAATCTCAACCTCTCGATTGAATCCGCGTATAAAATAGCTTCACTTTGGGGCACCCACAGTGCATATTGTTCATAGTTATTTCAAGCATTTTTTTTATATTCTTCAGACTACTAAATATAAAGACAAATGTGCGCGATTTGTATTGTCTATAAAATACAGCATGTACTGTGTTTTGATGAATACAACACTGACCTTTAGAATTGAGTTGTTCTTATCATCAGATAAATCTTCTCAAGCAATTTCACAGTATTCTGATTTAATAACTTCTCAAAACATTTAAAATTGAAACAACCAATTTGCCCTAATTTGAGAATTACAACCGGAGGTGACGTGTGGTGCTTCGTAAACAGTTGTAATTTTAACCTTGAAGTTTTGGCCCTTTCAATATATTGAAAGTACAATTACCATAGCCATGACTTTAAGAGTAAAGTGATGGCTATTGTAATCGCACCTTCTAAGGTTCAAGACAACCTTATATATTTCTACTTCAAAGTTAAAAAATGGGCGAAATATGCCAGGAAACCGTTAGTATTCGTAGTTGAGCTTCTGGCCCAACAGGTTCTGTCTGACCTTCAATGCACGAGGTCCTTGGTTCGTCCCTATGTCGTTGTCAGCACGGGTTGTAGATTGAGGATTGAGTGCAAGATTGAGGTTAGGAGGGGATGTGACAGGGCGTTCGGTTTGCCCTTGTTTCCTGACTATTAAAAATGACTTCCTTCGGGAAGTCATAGAAAAATTTTAGCAAAAAACTTAGTTTTTAGGGCAAAATTTTTGCAAGCCATCTTCTTTTCTTTTTTTCTTTGCGCTTTTTTTCTGAAAATATACTAAGTGTCGCATTCCGTACTCGGCAAACCAACAGTAGAAATGCTGTTTGTACATATTTACTTTGCCAATTACATTTTCTTATTGTTCACAGCTCTCGTTTATTACAAGTCCTATACTCAACACACCAGGCCCTACTACACCCGACTGACCCTCGAAGGATTCGAACCCCACATCATAACCTGAGAAACCTCACTTTACACACTCGACCAGTGAGTGCGTCGGAAACAATTGGAAAATTTAGTCTATTCATGATAATAGATGTTTGAAGTATAATAAAAAAAAATTATTTCGTAAAGTGACAATCAAGAAAACAAACCAAACATTAGTAACATCAACATTGAAACCATTGACATTTTCACAACAACACAAGAGATTCATCGAAAAGCATTTCGTTGTAGAACATAATCATTTAGTGTTAGTCTGGTCACACGACAGCAATACATTAATATAGTTTCTAGCCATGGGATCTATTCTCTCGCGAGACGACGAAGAAAGTATGTCTGCATAATTTTGGTATGTGTACAATATTTCACCAAGGTTAACCTGCACAGATTTTTTTCAGCAGCTGTACAATACGTGTTGAGAATACAATGTATCACTCAAAACATAACGCAGAAAAAAACAGTAAATTTTCGACTTTAATACAAAGCCACTCGTCGGATAGATGTTGACTATTTTGGCGTAGGAATGCCGTGAATGATAGATATGGTCACGCAGTACAGACACAATTGCATTTTTTTCTTTCTTGACAACATATTTTACGGTAGCCTTTATCCCGTAGTATTTAGTTTATATCCACAAGTATTCCTAAGTAACCTTCCTTCATATCCTGCTGTACTCGATGATGCTTACCGGAACACTTATCACCTTAAAAAAGATTGCTAAGGCAACAAGAACAAATACGTTATGTAATTTGCAATTATATGTAACTCTGTAACTTTCCAGTGGATAGAACACAGGGCAGTGAAAATTACATTTCAAAACTTGGCAACCGCTCTTGTTATAATATAATGTATACATATCTCGCTACGTACGAGTTGTCACGGTTCGTATTCAATTACTTCAGTTTTATGTTTCTTGTGACAATCCCTAAAACCAATTTCTTTTTGAAAGCATCCCAATCAATGTTCTCTTGTAATGTCTGTTGATGTCTTTCGATTGGCAAGTATGGTTGAACCTGAATGAAAGGGAATGTCGTATCGTTTAACCAACAATTGTTTCATAAGGTTCAGCACTATATCAAGAATTATCAAACAAGTCATTGACCGAAGCAATTCAAGCAGAGCTTTCGTTCTCACATGAACACAGAATTTATTTAGTGTTTTGGGAAACGTATATTGCGGATTGAAATTACATCGAGACTGATACATCGTATTTGTGTTTCGGTTTCTAGTTAATCACGAACGACAGTATCACAGTAAAGCTATTGCTCAAATTATCGCGTACAGTTTGTACATGAAACAAAATGTTTTGTAACACAGTATTTCAATAGAAGACGAAATCGCTACAACTTATATGAGCAAAGCGTCACAAAGCGATCTGATTGTTTTCAATCAATCCTTTGAAAGACAGGATATGGCTTTTCTGCTGCATGCCAACACCAAACAGTTTTTCTTTTAGGAAAGTTTCTTACGTTCAAGCGAATCCATCGTTTCGTGAAGGCGTTTGCATGCTCCATGAAAAACTTTTTTGAAATCATAACGCATTCTGCACCACGGCTAACCTGCATGAGACATAACAATTTCAATTTATGCTCGATAACTTATAGAACTTTATACTGCATGAAAAAGAAAATGAGGTGATTTACACTGGCGTGGGCAATTGAGAACGATTTAGAAACTTAGACATAAATATGAAAAATTGAGGAGAGCTATATAATGGATAGTAATATTGTACCGTAGTTTACTCCAAAATCAAGTAGGTGGCTCCCACTAGCATTATGCATGCAGGATTCTTTCCTGTAAAGGATTTCCCAAATAAATCATCACTAAATCAGTTTGTCTCCATGCATCACAAGTCTTGTGGGTGACAAGCCCCCCTCCCCCCAAAAAACCCAACTCTGTATCAGATATCATCACGAAAGTGTTTGAGAAAATGCAGTACGCATACAATGTAATTGTTCACACACTTACTAAACAATATACATACAATGTATTTCTTTACACACTTACTACACAATATACATACAATGTATTTCTTTACACACTTACTAAACAATTTGCATGAAAAGTAGTTGTTCACACACTTACTAAACAATTTGCATGAAAAGTAGTTGTTCACACACTTACTAAACAATATACATGTACAATGTATTTCTTTACACACTTACTACAAAATATGGATACAAAGTAGTTGTTTACACACTTACTAAACAATTTGCATGCAATGTAGTTGTTCACACACTTACTAAGCTGACATTCACTGGATCCCCAGAATGCAAAGAATTGTACTCAAAATCCAGTTCAGACAAGCCCTGTGAAGAATAAATATAAGATAACAATACATATGCAAACCCTGCACGTGAACATATGACATAAAATGTTCGAGCTACAAACTAGGTAAGTCAAGCAAAGCTCATCATAATCTCTTATAAAATTATATGCAACTTACGAACACCATCTTTGAATGCAATTGGTCGACTTGAACGAAAGCAGGTTTCTTATTTGAACGACGCTTAAAATCACTGGCAATCTATCGAGAAAATTAGCTGCGTGGATCAAAATATGAAAGTGCGACAATTATAAATAATTTCAAAAGTTGGTGTTGTAAGTGTGACTTACCGATGTTGAAGGTAGAGAAAATGATCGAGTTCTTCCCATCGAGGTGTGATATGATTCACTACTACCTCCAATAGAACGTACTACACGAAAAACACACACATTTCTTTCATTCATTCATTTTATCATCACATTGTCATCGTCATACAGTTGCACGCGCGAAGAATGGCAACACAATACATTCCTTGTTTTTGACTTGACTTAAATTGAATGCTAATTATGAATTTATAGAATCAACTGAAAAACTTCACCACCATCAGTCATATGAAATCACAGTTTTGAGCAGTGGCCTAGCTCGCTTGCAAGCTCGGTCGGGATATGTAAATGTTTTGGTGTTCATTTCTCGTAAAAACAAAATATTTTCAACGAAATTTACATGTAGCCCGACCAAAATAGTTACAGACCACGGCGTTAAAGCTTCATGAAGAACTGCACATTTATATATTAATAAAAATCACCACGAGTAAATTGGAGAGTAGAGCATTCCCTTTTTTCCCTAATTTCCTGAAATACACTGGAGGTCAAAATAACTGATCCCGTGAAAAATCACCACAACAATGCGTACTAGTAAAACGATAAAATCGATTATATGTTGCTCCCCTGTTGCTTTAATCAAAGAGTTATATCTTTGCCATATGCTGATATTGAATTATTTAGATTAATGGTTAGACAGCCTTTAATGTGGTGCACACTTCATTGTTGACAATGGTAGGATGTTAGCCTTAGACCGTTATCTTGAGAATCATTCTCCTGTGATTTTCTCTTTCATCACTTCGTTAACGAAGAAACAGGGATTTGTCACAAAAATGGCCCTGGACCATCTGTCCAGTCTTTGTGCTCGTGAACACCACGTACACACCAATGACTGGGATTCTGATGTGTAGTATAAAGACGTGATTCCCTTCTGGGCGTGCAGCCATCAAGACCTGCCTCTCTAAGATTTATTTTTTAGTAGAACAGATATATTGATACCGTGTTCAATCTGCATCTTAGCTGTTATGTGTGGACTCATATTGACCAGTTCAGTCCAGTTCAGTCCAGGGAGAATAACATTTTCACACTCCCATTCCGTCTCTTTTTCGCAGCATCACGCTGCTGTTGCTGCAAAACTCTCGGGTGCAAATGTCTTGTAGGCTTCAGCTTCCTACAATGCCAAAAACTTTACCAAAATTTTCTTGATTGATTTCTGGCTTTGAGCACATTATTTCCCATCTTCAATTTCGTTCATTAACCACATGATAACTTGTTGACGAGTTTTACATCACTTAGTATGTCCTTCACAAGAATTCAAAAAGTGAACTCTGTCTACAAAATTTTGTGGACATATCTTAAAGCTCAAAAAATTCGCTCAGACGGCTATTGAGAAAAACCCAGGTCCTTATTGGTTAATGCAAAGAGAAAGTAACTTTATCATCAACGAGATCAGTTCTTTTTGACTGCCATCGTACAATTTTTGATGACAATGGCTTAATGAATCAGGCCGTTTGACAAAAAATTCTCGCATTCAAGAAAATCTTTAAGCTTGATTGATATTCCAAAGACATTATGGTAATGGGATGATTTTGTTATTGATTCTATTCCATGCAAAATATTGGCCACGAAACTTTGTCACGGCGTTTCATTCAAAACAAGAGGTAAGCAGTTCTGTTAACATGGTTTTTGAGTCGTACAGATATGATCATGATACTGGATCACGTTTCGGGGGATTTTTTGATATCGTAAGATAGATATTGATAACAGCATTCCACGACAGGTCTCACGATGATAAATAGTCTACGTAAAATATCTGTGTTTGATATTTTTAACATTGAAAAAAATCTTTTCTCAGTTTTTTTCAGAAAATTGGAAAGCGTGAGTGTTCCATTTTATATTAACAAAGAAAATTGTACTTAATATCATTTTACACACTTCATTTATACTATGGTAATATTAGTATTGTGCAGTTTTATATTTGCAATTCGGTGTTCTGAACATTATTATTCAAGAATCCAGAATATAAATTCTGTTCCTTCAACATGTTACCATGGTCATATTGACATTCATGCAGTCATGCGCACGAATTGGGCTTACCTGTTTTGGACATGCGCGATAGCGACGTCGTATTGTTATCCAGCCTTGGCATATACTTTCTGGCATGTTTGGCTGAAATCGATTTATCAATTATTGCTGGTGCGCTTACGTGCATTCTGCGGAGAAAAACATCTTCATGTCGCACAGATGTCGAAAACTTTCCTTCAGGAACTTGAGAATAAAAACGAGGTTTTTACAATAATTTGAGAATAACTAGTAAGTACTTTTCTCATCCCACTTTGTCCCATTTATTTGGATAAAATTGACGACACGTCACAGCTAGTAATTCGCCAGCATCACATCACATATAATAACAAGTTACATGAAACATCACGCACACGAAGCTACAAGCCATACGCAGTGGCGTAGCCAGCCCGCAAGTTTTGGTCATACTATGTAAATTTTAGGTCATTAACATTATTAATTTCTTTAGAAATCTGTTGTTTTCACAGTGAGCGAACACAGAAAAATTAAAATAACAGAACCAAATTTGCGGGCTGGCTACGCCACTGGCCATATGTAACAATACACATCACATTTAAGAACTAGATGAGCCTGACAACACATGAAGTAACACGTAACATTTGATGCACATTACATTGGACAACACGTACAACCGGAAACGCGAATGAAAATTTACCATGGCAAAGAGTAATCCGTCGTTGTCTTTTTTCCAATGTTTTTTGGCGCTGCTCTTTTTTATCTTTCTCCCTCTTGCGCATCTCCTGCCTTCTCTCTAACGTGATTTTAGTGAGCGCTTCCAAACTCGTTAGCTCTCGGACATTTCTTCCTACGGCCTTTCTTGGTTTAACGGATTTCAGCTGAATAAGAACTTCACATACTCCCTGTATTAAAAGAACGTGAAGTAAAAAAAATTTATAAAGAAATTGAAATTATGGAGTACGCAAGTCACGATAATGCTTTTCGTGTAACATAAATGTATTTATTAAAACGGTGCATACTGCATGCAAATAGTTTGTCGCTCGGCAGTTTTTTAAATAAGAAAAAACCGACTGTTATAACCGAACTTATTCATTCTTATGTCGCCAAAACAAAGAACTATGAGCAGAGTTAATGGAAACGTGAACAATACGTTAAACCATGCACGTATAAAATAGAAGTGTCTCTATCGGTACCGATCAGGACAAGTATGACACACTTATACACGACACGTTAACAAAACAAAACGTTGACAAAAGTTGACTATTGAAAACACTGTGCATTACTTCATGTAAGATGACCACAAGGGTCTGTAATGAAACACTACTAAATGACGTCACTAACCATGGGTCCAGAATATCTAAAATCTTAGCATTAAGAAAGGTATTTACCCTCCCAAAAAAATTTCTAGATTTTTGAATAAATATATCTGAATTTCTGAAAGTAGTATAAAATAAAGACTTTGTCGTGATGACAAATTAAAAATTGTTTTAAAAAGGGCAAATACCATGGTGAATGGTCAAGAACTGTTTAAAACAGGAGTAAATGAGTTATTTGAAACGTGGTTTGTGTTCTGTTTTATACGTTCTTTTAAGAACTATTACGCTATTATTTTGACCATTTACCATGATATTATACATGCTTTTTTTAAAACAATTTTTAAATTTCTGAAAAGGTCTTTGGGGGGCACAGAGTAGTACGACTTTGGGGTATGATGTCCCATAATAATGTATACAACCAGATACTAATAGTAAATAATTCACTTCGTAGGATGCACAGATTGTAGTATCATATGCATGCATGCTTTTTATTCATTAGACTTGTTTACGATTCAAAATTTGTTCCAAATATTTAATGGGTGCGTAACTGCGTGTATGTAGCTGTTTGAGGTCAGTTGTTTAATCGTCTAACGCACATACCGATTTTATGATGTACAGCCATGGCGAATTGTTGCTGTTTTGAACGATGACACATCCCCGTCTACAGACGTTCAAAAAAAGCAAAAACTCAAAAGGAGAAAATACTTGAAGGAAAATTTTTAAAGGTAGCTATATTCATTGGAAGGCGAAAATGTACTAGGCATGTATACATAAAAATGAGTTGGCGGTCCTTTATGAGCCATGCAATTTCAAAGAAAAACCTCAAGAAAGATGATAGACAAAATATAATGCATATGGATGCGAGCAAATTCATTTCATGCTTCATACAATTCAGGTGGTGGCAAAACATACTTGAAGTAACAATGCTGTGACTGTTCTGGCTGAGATTCCAGCATGTCGACAGGCCAGTCTTTTAGAAATTCAACCGTCCTAAAGAGAAGAATCCTTCGTTACATAAAATGCATTTTACATTTCTAATTTCTACAGGTTATCTTGTCCATTAACTGGGGAATGCATTGGTTGATTCAAGGAGTGCATTTTGAAGTGAAAACTGCTTAAAGTGCCCCAGCCAGCAAAATTTTTATCAGAGTTATTATAACTAGGTGTGACTAGGTGTAAAACGTATTGATGAAAAATTTTTTCAATTTGGTCAAATCGTTGCCTTTTCATGGACCTTGTTCGTCGTAACATGAAGCTTGGATCCAGCCAAATCTGACGTCATCCAAGGTAGTGGTATATATATTTCGTATTGACGAGTCCCTTGCACGACGTCCCAAAAATAAGTCGTTCCTGACTTTGCAGACGACGGATAAGGTCTAACAAAAGAGCATTTTTGCCAAATTTAAACCACAGTAAAAATTGCACGATTTGACGAAACTAAAAATCTTTTTCACTGATACGATCACACTGAGTACCAATTTGGCAGAAGTATTATAATTTCTGTATGTTGTATGCATTAGGTACTATCCAAAAATCAAAGTATAAACATTGTAAAATGTCATACAAGGGATTTATTATTTTACATAGGTTTTTATACTTGCATGTTAATAGAAATCATAACAAGAGTATCTTATATAAAGCAAATGATGCCATTGATGTCACGAAAAAAAATAATCGGTTAAGCGCGATTCTTTAGAAGCCCACTCGGCTGCTGCAATGTAGGTAGATACATATGTATTATAGTGAATAAACCTGCAGTAAACATTCTCTTTGAAAGTAATTTCTCCATTTTAATGCGAAGTTAAAGCAATGCACTTCCCTCATTCAAGAAAAGTGAGGTGACCCCCCGAATTCTGAAGCCTATATTCATGAGCTTTGCTTCCATTAATAATTAAGTCGTTGTTGATACATCGAATAAGTACTTTTTAATCTCGTGAAGCATGTTATAAGAGTTTCCAACTAGTCAACAGCGACGAAACTGCACGAGCAGTAAGAAAATTACATAACCCCTATACGTGACACTTTCTATGAAATTATGTAATGATTTCTGAGATGATGCTTTCCGTGGATCATGCTCAAAAAGTCAACAAACACTTTCCCCAATGACAAAATCATGTGTACATTCTATATAAATGGTGTCAAAGTAACTAACAAATAGGGTCGGACTGACATAATAGATAACCTGGAAAATGGAAGTGTGAAACACTGGAAATATAACTGGTAAATTACCTCAAAAATGCGATATAGCTTTTTCTGCCAGTTTCAGACATGGCTCCAAAGAATATTTTGGCATAATCCTGTTTGAAAAATACACTTTCCGAGTCCCAGGACAAAAGTTACGACTGATCTTTACTGTACATTCAGTATGATCTAATTTGTATACAAGCATTTCCAGTTCTTTATAACAGGACTTCGCCACATTTCAGAGGTCTTTAATTGATGGTCATGAATATAATATCTTAAATTTTATTTTGATTACCATTGAGAATGCTTAAAACAAGAATGCTTACAATGTTACCTCTTTGCTTATAACAAGAAGTTCAATGGGCGTTTTCGAAGTTACTGTAACTGTTCTTAACGTATCATTCATGATCTCTGCTTCCTGCAGATAGACAAATAATTCAAATGCAATAAGCAGTAAAATACGTTCCGCTAATCTAGGATAAGTAAGTGAATTGCAGTGTAAACAAGCGTGAATTGCCCGAAATGATACATGGCATAAAGCGTTTCGATCTTTCCATGTTAAGTAGGCAAACGATGTAGGTTTGTTTGGTACAGAGTCGTTTTCTCCAAAGGCGTTAGAAGTTGAACAGTAATTCAAATCTGCAACATTTGTTGCAGTCTGATTAATGAATATTTAAGTTGGTCTTTCACACGTTCTCACTGATATCAAGTGTGCTTATAAACAAACAAAAATTACTCACGCCAAATGACATTCCACGTTTCATAACTGATACTGACTCGGAAGCCCGGTCTCCAATGCCGTTGACAGGATGCTTAGATATCGATTTGGCTGCAAAGGAAAACCAGATCATAATATTGTTATTTTTGTTGTGGAAAAAATCAAAGGACGCAGACAGTCACAGAAAAGACATGACGAAACAACTTTTCTCACCAGAACCAGATAAAATAAAGTAAAAATTTTCTGCCCGGTGTCCTTGCTGAATAATGGTTGCATTTTTTGGATAACTAAAGGAAAAGCAACACTGCATGTCCATTTGTACGAGGAAAGAACATCACAGATATTCTTCTAATATTAAATCATAAAAATCATAAAACAACGGAACCGCAATTCATGCTGGGAATTATTCGTCGATTTTGTGTTGACGAAAACAGGACCAAGAGCTTTGCTATCATTACCTAGTGTTGAAACGAAATCAAAAACACCATATATACAATCCCTCTACCACGTTTTCCCTCATTGACACCCAATTCCTGAAATCACGTACGGATCTTCTTCAGAAAGTATTTAAGTGCAGAAACAGAAAAATAGTAAATATTCCCAAGACTAATTATATTCATACGAGAAACCTTTGGTACGTGGCGTTCTGGCACATTGCTTTCTGATGATACAAAGGGTATTCACCAAATGAACAGAGCGTTTGTAAACTTCGAAACACCTGTAAATTGCAAAAAGAAGCACATATTGGGGATAATGTCGCAATTGACAATATTTTCAGCATTTCAGATGGTTCACTTTAAACTTTCAATAGTTTGTAATATAGACGTGTTAGTCGATTACAACAAGAGCTTAACTTTGATGTGCAGACGCTATTCAAGTCTGCCATAAAAGTATATAGAAGTCATAAGTAACGAGCTCCAAAGTTTCACGATACAACATCTTTGTATTATTGGTATTTTTTCAGTTACTTTGTACAATTTCAGGCAGAAAACATATTAGTTATTGTCAACTGGGTTCTTCGATTCTTTTCAAACTTCCCACTTAACACAATCTTGATCTTAATCGTGAAAAGTACGACATGATTTCTCATGAAAAACTAAACACAGATTAAATAAATGGCATTACACTTGCCAAATTCCCATTCTTCTAAAAATATACATAAATATACCGTCTGAACTTGTTCGCGTGTTCTAGTATTCGGATCTTGGCAAAGGATCGCCTTCGTTTCACTGCTTAGTCGTATCTGGCAAACAAAGAAGTTACTTCGTATTGGGAATATGCAGCAATAAAGTTATGTCTTCATCCGCAATATTAATCAGGGTAATGCAACAATGCAAATCAAACACATTGCTAAAATTTTGAAAGGAGACGCTGGGCTTATAAACACCGTTTTTACTTTTTATGGTTAACATTGTCTACCAATGAACTATGCTAGTAGATGTGTGTGTGAACAGACAGCCGTCCTAAATTCTGACTGAATGGTTCTTGACAAGGTAATTGAATGTTCCATTAGCTAGCGTTTAATTCGAATTCTGCAATTCAAGCAGAATTACAATTTCACAAAAACAGTGTTAGACTTAGTCAACAAGGGTGAATCTCGTTCAACGAAGCATGTTTACCTCTCGATTGGCTTTGAACCAAGCTGGATCAAACAATGGTGATTTGGTGCCATCATCTTCAAGGCGAACTTCTTCAGAGACGTTGTTGGCATTCATGTCAAAGGCGTCCTGGAAAAACCGTAAGGAGGCAAAATGGCCTTGCGATTTCGAGGTTAAAGAGAAACTGCAAAATGAGAACGTAGGTTTAGTTTGTTTTTCTCCCGTGACACAATTCACACATAACAAAACGATTTGTCGTCGAGAGTCAACAGTTTTAGTGCACCCTAGTGACAGTTATTGAAGACCAATTTAACTTTAAAAATTTGCTTTAACTTTACAACCGTTTTGTGTGAAACAAATTTTGTTCTCAATTTGAATGCCCATCAATCTTGAAGGCTGCTAAAAATTAAACATGCATTCTAACTTCGAAGTAATATGAATTATGGGCAACTTAATAGACAAATTAATAAATAAAGATTTTTGCTCCAAGCTGTGCAAACAGATACCTAAGAAATGCCTTCACGACTTTCAAAGCAGACATGACCTTCCTAACGACCATCTTGAATGTGGACCTATTCTAAAAAGCAAAGCCATAAAACAAAAATAAAATGCGCGTGCAACAGCGCAAGCGTAACGTGCAAGACACCCATTTTTACCTGTAATTCAGTACAATTGAATCCTCTGCGCCGCTGAGAGCGTTCCTGCCACAATTTGGCAAATTTTGATACTTGTGCACGATCGCGTGAAGGTGTACGTAGACTGTTGCTCATTCCAAACGTGAATGTTTGCTGTCTCTCTGTGGTCGCTTTTCTTGGTGAAAGCGGGGTTATAGTGGCGGGCACCCCTTGAGTAATTGACGATCGCATTTGTGTTGATAGTGTTACATAGAAAGGTGGTGTAGCGACTATATTGAACAAAGTCTTTACTTCAAAAGGTATTCTTGGAGTAAATGGTCTGCGTTTTCTCTTGTGACTTCACGCTATGAGACGTGTTCCTCGATATCGTATTTCAATGGAATGACTTGTTGTTTATGTCTCGAATTACGAGCGTTGAAAAACTAAAACTTCTAAAACATAACCGAAGATGCATTGTACAAAATGCCGTTGACCTTTGACAAATTATAGATGAAAATAAATGTATCTTATTATTTACTACGCTTTGCTTTGTTTTTTACTACAAAAACTGCGTCGTGCAACTAGTAACCGTACAGTTTAGACAAGAACATCAAAAGATACTGTAGGCAAAGAATATGAATGAAACGTTTGTAACTTCAAATTATGTTCCATAATAATCACAAAAGAATGCTTTAATCATGACTTACTGAGCATGGGCGTACGTCCTGGGGGGGGGCACAAGGGGACATAGGCCCCCCAAAGCTTCGGGCATTTGGGCTTAACATCATGTGTCGTTCGGGCAATTAGTAAAAGGCTAAACGACGTAAATTAAATCAAATTATTTGGAAGAGATGATTAAGAAAGGGATTAATTGACATTTTAAATTCCTTGCGCTATATGAAGTTCAAACGTAACTTAATTGAAACACGTGCGAGCTTGGATAAAAATATAATTTAAATGCGACGTTAAACATCCAAAGTTGATATTTATCTTGCTTTTTGATGATTATGCAGCATAAAGACGAAATATTACAGGGTTTTGGGTAGTGAACAGTATCTTTAAGGTACTTAGCATCTGTTAACAAAATTATTATATTCATTTATTTGTTTAAATGTCTTTCCATGGTATAAATCTGCTAAAAGTTTACTGATTTATTTGTATAATTGTTACTGTCTCAGATCACAATATGCAATTATTTGAGAAAATCATTGACATATTTAGGAATCGGATAACCGAAGATCATATTTTTTCTGACTTTCCATTATACACGAGTATGAATGGCCACACAAACCAATCCGACCAAGAAACACAATTGAATATTATATACATACTTTGTTTGATTTTAAGTTAAGCTACTGGACGTTTACCTGTGTTAAAACGGCCGGTATTCTAAGAAGATTGCATATTGCTGTTGCACATTGGAAATACTATTCTTATTATCTACTCTGTGCCGACTGGAAAGTTTGTAAGCTGCGCACCTGAGATCAATAGCGAATTTGCACTACATTTTCGTTAAAAAACGTATTTTTTCAAAATTTTGCGCGCATACGAGCGCTTTTAGCAAAAGTTGCTGTATTTTCGTTAAAGTATCGTATTTTCTCAAAATTCGCGCGTATGCGCGCTCCCAGCAAAAAAATTGCGCACCTGAGATCTCAGGTGGGCAATACCAACTTTCCAGTCTGTTGTGTATCATTACTTCTTTTAAGAACTAAATCTCAAACAAGTCTATCCTTTTTATTTATTTCATTTTCTATGAGGACACAGCATTCGGGTAAAGAAGTGTGGTGCCCTCCCAAACAAATGGAGGCTCGTACGCCTACGATTGAATGTACCTAAAAAAAGGGGTAGAGTAAAGGAGCCATGTTTTGTGCACCAGAGCCCTCTATTGTTAAGACTTAACAACGTCGAAAACAACCACTTTTCAAATTATTTTCTTCTAATACTAAAGGCGCTGGAATCAAGATAACCAAATTCCTCTGGTATTGATAAACTTTACTCCCGCGTCTGGTACTAAATGGAACTACCCACGATCAATTAATACATTTAAAGACTTTATAAGTCCACTTGCTTTCACCAACAATCTCCAGCCGGGTAAGTAACATCCATTGATGTAATTGCAATTCATACAAGGAGGTATTTGTGTTACATAAAAATGTTTCTAATCGCGTTTCCAAAGGTTTTGAGCGCGTGTGCGAAACTTCAATTTACGCGTTTGTGGACAAAAAAACCAACTCTTGTACGCCTACATGACGTGTGAGAATCGATGAAAACCAAGAAATTATAAATTGGGCTACTAAGCAGCCGTGGATTATCCTTAGACAATGGAATCTTTTTGGGTTTGGGTGGTAGCATGCAGAGGCGGACTGACCTATAAAGTCACGGGAAATTCCCTAGCGCGCTCCTCACTTCTACGCTCTTTTACGTCTCTATCCTGGTAAATACATTGAAAGAAGACAGACAGAGGAAAGGTAATATTGCTGCAAATGAAAAAATTCAAAAGCAACTTACACCATATTATAAAACAAGTAATTTGGATCACCCTAATGCTTGGGAACATGAACATGCATGGTGCAGTTCTCAAAAAACGGAGTCTTATTGGTTGTTTTGTTAATCATCTAGTTTTTTATTTTTTCACTGTAGTTTAGTTGGATTCATATTCAATATAGCAGCACACGCACTTTCAAAAGCACCCCCCTTCCCCCACTACAAATAGCCAATGGCTACAGACAGTAGCCTTTTCTAAGTTTTCCAGGTGAGTTAAGAAAAGGTCAGTCCGCCCCAGGTGTTTGGTAGGTGCGAAACCATTTTAACAATTTCTCTTCAACAATGCATGCGAAGAAATTCCTCTATCGACAAGACAGAAAAACTAATAGATCCATTTTAACCTCATGAAGTTTATAAACATAAAAGTATAGTCTATTGACTAATACAAGTTCAAGCAAGAAGCATCAATAAGGCAAGCAGCGTCACATAGTCCGACTACATTTTAAAGTTTCGTCAAATAAAAGCGACGGTTTTGAGTTCAGTTCAAGGTGTACAAATATGTTTAATCAGACATAAGTTTATCGTCAATGTGACCTCCTAATCACATGTGCTTTTGTTATACTTATCATCCGAGTTTCGATCCCAGCTTCTCAAATACTTTAGTCACTTTGGGGTTGCTAGTGTACTTGCTCATGTTACCAGGGTTCGACATGATGTCCTGCATGGCTGCAAGGACTTCAGGATCCTAAAGAATAGAAAATACAGTTCGGAAAATTGCATACTTTCCTTTACCCTTCCAAACAAAAATATTGATGTAGTTGACTTTACTAAGGCTTGGCTTACAGCTCCGAAGTTTCGGGATATGCATCTCTAAATAAAATTGGTGAGATAAAGTCGTCGCAGATATACTGGCCTGCTGGTATCATTTGAACGAAAATCTCAGTCACAGTCAACTGGCAAGGTTTTGAGAAAAAGTTCGCTCATTGGGAATCTTGTTCCCAAAGCCTTTCCCCAAGCCCGCAAAAATTGGAAAGACCTAAAAGACGACTATAGTATGCAGGCCAAAAGTTACTTTTTCGCTGAAGCCGAATTTTATGTAGTGAACATTGCGGCTGTGGCGTAATCAGACTGTAAGTTTGATCGTATTATGTATATACTTCGGTGTCCACACACTGTAAAAACAATGGATTTCTAACAAAACTCTGAAATTTACGCCAAATTTTGACCAAATTTTTAGAATGGCTACGTCTTTGTAAAGCTGCAAGGTCGTGGCCAAAATACTTCTGAAGATATTCAGACCGCAAACTCGACGACAATAAGCTACTGAATTTGAGTAACTGCTAAAAACATTCGCAAATTGGTAAAAAAAAAACAACACAAGCCACATCTCGTCGCAAAACGATTGGGTGTCATCCCGCTTGTTTTTGAGTTCTGATATAGTTAAAACGAATGAAATCGTCTTCTCACCTGCTTTTCTATAAGTAAACACACCGTGAAAAATTTCTTGGTCAAAATCAATGAGCACAAACAAACCTGTAAATATCCCATGATTTCTGGATCATTAAATAAATCCGCCATGTTTGGAGGTATGCCAGCACCAGGTCCACCTGATAGAGTTTGAGAAATAGATTTATTTTGAATTCTTTATTATAGTAATATACTCATTATAATAATATGCGTGTGGTGTACACACCCGGATACGTTTGCTTATGATTGTATTTGCATTTGTGTTTGAATAGATTTGTTCCCAATGGTACACGTTGTTTTTGCTTTGATGAAAACATCGTAAATGCATGTTGTGCCTGTGCACAGACCTTGACGTAACATGCACGAGCAAGGGGCTTGGATTGATTTATTGCATGTAGTAAACCTGGATGAATTTGCACCGCAATATTAAACATTAAGTTAATGTCCTAATCAAGGACAAGTTGGTGTTGGTTAGGATCGATCATACGCCTCATATGTTCGGTCGACTATCAAAGACAGACTGGAGTTAAATTCGCATATCGGGTTCATCATGTATCATATGTGACCGGCTACTAAAGGTTAAGGTTAAATTCTGAAGACTTGGTTTGCTTGCATGAAACAGCACGATTGGAAATTATCTAAAACTATTAGCAGCAGGCAACAGAATATTAGAATATAAACATAAAAAATTTTTATAACCTGGAAAGCCGCCTGGACCACCTGGATATCCACGCGGACCACCTGGAAATCCACCCGGACCACCTGGAAATCCACGCGGACCACCTGGATATCCACGCGGACCACCTGGAAATCCACGCGGACCACCTGGATATCCACGCGGACCACCTGGATATCCACCCGGACCACCTGGATATCCACCCGGACCACCTGGAAAACCACCTCGACCACCAGGAAAACCACCTCGACCACCTGGACTACCAGGTCCTCCGGGAAATGCACCCGGGTAACCACCAGATCCTCCGGGAAATGCACCGGGTAACCACCAGGTCCTCCGGGAAATGCACCCGGGTAACCACCAGCTCCGCCGGAAAATCCACCAGGTCCCCCAGGAAATCCACCAGGCCCCCCGGGACCTCGAGGACCGGCTGCTTTTCGCCTTTCTTCCTCTTCACGTTGCACTCTCTCGTGCTCCTGTTTAAATGGCAAATGATTAGTGATTTTTCGGCACAATACAGAAGGAAATTAAATCATTTACAATCCTTGAGCAGTGCTTTTCGCGGAATTCTAACGGCAAAATTTGTATCAAAATGTGGCTTTTTGTTGCTTAATATCTTCGGGCGGGAGTTTAATTAAAAGTTTCAGCAAGTCTATAAAACTCTTGCACAAAAGGGCCAACGGATAACAATGCCTCTCAAATCGCAGGCACTGAATGTTGCCATTTGCAGTAACTTGAATATTGCTATTTGTGATTTACATTGGTAAAGCAGTGGCAATAGATTTTCCATGCGGGAAACGTAATCTTACAATGAACATTAATGCCCAGCTTATTGCAATAATATGAATTGCCAATGTAAAAATAAAAAATATAATACACGACTCTCAAAACATTTGGGAGTCTGGCCTTTTGACGGGAGGAAAATACGAAACTGCTCCGTTGTTCAGTATCTATAAGCATTGTCACGAAACAGGAAACATTGTATCTCTCCTGTGAATTTTTTCATTCCACCTTCCTCTCATTCTACTTCCAATCTCGAACTATTAGTTCGTGAAAGCTTACTTATTTTGAGCCTTAAACCTTATCTCAACGAAAACACTTGTTCTATTCTTTTCTCACTCTTCTAGCCTCCCTATATGATTTGTTAATCTCCCTTTTACTACTAAACTTATTCATACGTCGTAAATACTGTCGTTTATATTCTTATTTTGTAACTTCATACCATCATTCTGAAGATGCCACGTGTTGCGACGAAGCGTCAATACAATTCTTTCATTTTATTCTTATTTTTACAATGGCAATTCGTATCATTGCAATAAGCTGGGCATTAATATTCTTTATAAGATTACATTGGTTTAAATTGAAGGAGAAAATAAAATGAATAATGCATTTTTCCCGAGTTCGTACAAACTTAAAAAACCAATGAAAATTGATGATTGATCTGATCTTCCAAAATTAATCTTTGTTTACTTTCAAACAAGAAAGACATGTCTTACTCGAGAAGTACCAAAAACAAAGAACAAAATCTTAAATTGATAGGCTAGTTCAAAAACAATCCCCAACCTTTTTTGCAGCCTCCACTCGTTTCCTAAAGAAAGCCAAGAAATGAATATTGACACACAAGATTACTCGGATAAGTTCTATGAAACTCAAAGTTATTTTTAACTTTAATGAACGCCATAACATTTCTACGGGATATGGATTTTTAAACTTACGATAACAATCTTAGGCGAAGGAATAGGTGGTCTGAAATTATGTATTACATGGACATGCTTCGGTTGTCCAAAAATTTACGACGCGAATACTTTCAGGAGCGGATTAATGCTCATTTCACAGAAGGGGGGAAGATTTTCCAAGAAAGGTACATCATTATCCTAGCTAAAGTTGCAAGGGCCTCGTGCTATTTTGGATTTTTAGGCTTACAAACGAGTGATCCTTGCCTAATTAAACTGTTGTTACCTTTTGAAAAAATTTTGTAATGTTTTTTGTTCATGAATGCGCATTTATTAAATCATTTCAATTTTAATGTTTCAATGAAATCGGAAATGGTAATACTAAATTACAAATGGTGGTGGTATGAAATTTATAATTGCCTTCTATAATTGAAATGAGAAGTTCTGCCTTTACTTAGTCTAACTGTACAATTTCATAGCCTATAGAGCATTCTGCGGGGTGCACACACCAGTAACTCCCCAGAAAATCCGCCTCTGAATATTTACAATGCATTATTTATAGAATAAAAGAGAAAAGCATCGCAAGTTTTAAATTACAATGTAAACTATTTTATGTATATCACGCGCCAGGGGTTCTAAACAGCAGTGAACAGCCAGCCCACATATTTGGTCCAGCTATTGTATTTTTTGTACGATTACTCGATGCAAAACTAATCGATTTGTAACGAAATGATTGATGATGATACAAAGAACTTTATTTAAGCACGCTTACAACGTGCTTATTGGTTTTCATAATTCTCGGGAACTCTGTAGGTAATTCTTGGCCATTCACCATGGCGATTGCGCTTTTGAAGGCAACTAAATTGTATTCATGCATTTATCACCTTCTTTCCTTGATTTCTTTCTCTTCCTTCTTTCGTTCTTGCTTTCGCTTGTGCGCCTCAATTTTCAACGCCTAAATGCAAGAACACATATCAAAAATATGTGCGACAGTTTTCGTGGTCATCATACCATCAAACCGCCCTGTATAACATAATTGCAATAGTAGTCAAACTACCGTTGGCACATGAATTGATGTGTTGTACGTGCCAAATAGAGATATGACAAAAACCGTAAAGAAAAACATTTTTGTCGAAGTATTAGGCTTAAAGTGGAGTGACACCTGATTGGCTAATTTGCGTTATGCGAAGTCAAGTGGTAACAACGGAACGAGTTGAGCAAAACTTCCTTACGATTTCCTTGTGTGCGGAAGATTTGTTTTACTTTTGCCATTCACCATGGTATTTGCGATCTTCAAAACGATTTTCAGATTTGTTTTAGTTATAGCGAATAAATCTTTATGACATGAGGTGGACTCCATTTGAAGACATAAATAATAGCTGATTGGCTATACTGCTTCATCTACTTCATAAAGAGTCATACTTTTTTTTACTAAACGACGTGAATAATATTAGGTATGAGATTCTCTGACTGAGAGGTAGAGAAGGTCGTATTCCAACATAAACATCTTATGCATGTAGGGACGAAAATACAACGTTAATTGGGGAGGGGTGGTGGTGAACATTTGCATTTTCACTCGTGCCCAACTGATTTATTTTCAAAATTACAATCGCTTTTAAAACAAATCAGGGGAGCAGGGCTGAATATATGAATATTCACCCCTCCCCCCCCCACACACACACCAATAAGCGTTCTAGTTTCGTTCCTGATCTTCTGTACTCGGCAAACATTTTACTGCTGATAAATTTGCATTTTTTAATGCAAATCATCGGAAAATGCAGAAATTAAAAGAAAATTAAAAGTGCGCACGCTCAACGCTACATACGTTCGGCGATGCAGCCTTCAACCATTCGTTAGCCTGCTCATCAAAGTCAATTTTACACGCCGTGGCTAGATCTTTCTTCGCCTTCTCCCATTCACCCAATAACCTAGGAACGTAATAATTGGAATGTTTGGAAAAGAGAACTGAGCTCACAGTTATATGGAGTATCATATTTGGACTTAATTTCGCAACTTTGTCAAAGCATATTTCACCGTCACAAGACTGTTTTTTCACTATTTTAAAGGATAGTAATAAAGAACCATGGGTAATGATACTAATACATACTTTTCTACAACTTGTACAACATTTTTGAACAAGGTACGTAAAAACGACAACAAAAATACAGTAGATTAAACTACCAATATCAGGGTTGGGCAAATGGCAACCAAGTTATTCGTTATTCGGTATTTTATGGAAAATTTGCATTCTTTGCTTTGAAGAATCTTCGAAAATTCCTCCACAAATTTTGGTTGATTATTTTGTGTTACGCAAAACTTTGTCTTCGATGGAGAATAATAATTGAATTTCGAATTGCTCGAAGTTGGCAAAATTGGTTAATGTCTTCGCCAATGGTGTGACTTCATAACGACTGTTTATTACATTGTATTACATTTCAATTACATTTTGACATGAAAATATTCGTACGCATACCGAGTAAAGTCGCTCTTTGGATAAGACAATTTTACGAATGGCCATTAGCCAATCAAACACTGCGAATTCTTAAATGTAAATACTAAATAATAATTGTATTTACATGTCGTGCAGATAACATAGCCAAGAAATTGCAGCTAAATGCTTGTACTCCAGATTTTCATTACCAATAAACTTACATGTACGCCCTGCCTCTCCATTTGTAAGAATGAGCAGAATCAGGATTTAACTCAACGGCACGGTTGCAATCTCGTATCGCCGCGTTTGGCTTGGACAGTCGAATGTAACAGCTGAAAGATAATTGCCAAATGAAAGACTTTAAAAATAAACATCGAATTCTCGTTGGTAACCACAGCTTTCAGACAATACGGATACGTGCAACAGCCATTGTAAGGCTTTGAACTCTTCTTGAGATAAATGATAATATTTTAACGAAATTTAATTAACATAATGCAAGGTCGCTCGCACAAAACCTTGATAAAACAAACTGCATAGTGAGCTTCCGAGGTTAAGACGGAGATGATTATAATCACTTCACCAACAAAACTTTGCCATAGCCATCGGCCTTACTTGGTCCTTTTGTACATATTGGTTAAACAAATCGTTATTTTTAAAACTTTTTTTGAGAAATAAAAGATGTTTACTGCGTTTGCACAGGTTTGTGCAAACCGAGGAGACCTTTGGGAGAACTCGAGAGCAGATCAGTGCAAGCCCGAGACCGAAGGTCGAGGGTTGCACATGATCGAGACCAATCAGCGCATCCGTTTTATTGTATTATAAACGTCAGTATATAATATTGACAACACATTGACGTTGTTCGTTGATACACTACACTGTTTAAAACAACATTGACCTGCTGGTGTAGGTAACTTGTCGTTCAAAAGCTTTTGCATGCCATATATAATCAAATGCGTATAACAATGCTATAAAACTACACGATGAGACAACGACAAAAATTATGAAATATACATACGGTCAGCGGTCACATATGTACCTCGCTCTCTTAGCATACGTCGGAGCAGAACGTGGATTTTTCAATACAGCTTCCGTAAGAAGTTCGATAGCCTTATCCAGTTCACCTATGTAATGGTAAATAATGACAAAACAATCGCACCTTTTGCACTAAAGTTAGGCTGTAGTTTAACGCTCCTTTTAATGGACACAGACAGCCTTCTTGCAGTGATGATAGGTATTGTGGCAAAGCATGGCGATAAATGTAACACAAAAATAATATGAAAACATGAACAAAGATTTGAAATGAACGGGTGTGAAAATACAAAAAACAGTCGAGCGTCAGACTTAAGATTAGCCATATGACTCATTTTCTTGTTTCCAGTCAAATTTGGCGCCATCTTTCTATTTTATTAGCCTACAGCGTCAGTTTCACTGCCATTGAACCCTATCCACTAAAATACGAACGTTGATTTTTTCAAACGGTGGCCATTCAACATGAAAAAAATGTAACAAAACGTATACCATCGTTCATTGCTCTGATGCCAGCTGAACGCTTCTCGCTCGATTCATCCATGTCTTCCTCAGACACCTGTAGATGCAACATAATGAGCAAAAAGCATTTAAGACCTTTAAGGAATTGTTGTTCAGTAAGATTGACTAGTGACGAATACACAACTGTATATATAACTGCATTAATGGTCCCCAGCAACAATTGGACACAAGCAACATGGGAAAAGCTTAGCCATGTACGAGCCACGAAGGAGAGGACACTACTTATGCACACAGGGTTTTTAGATAACACGGATGAAAAAATAAAAGCTACGCACAGTAATGTAGAACTAAAATACCAGAAGGAGAGCTCTCTTTACGCAGCGAAGAAGGCATGAAATTGTAAAAAAAAAGCGTGACGGCTTTTTTATTGGTCATAGTTGTTCACAACTAAAGTTACTAAACTTGTTACCACTTAATGATTTAAGGTTAGGAAAAGATTTACTGTGCACGCGAAAACAGAGTTATAAATAACCTTCACAATAAAGCAGTAAGAACAAGATTATAACCTTATGTTTAGCACACTACAGCTACTTTAGCTGCAGTCACTACAGCGTCTACAAGACTTAAAAACCTTTATGCTCTCCCTTCAAATAATGTAATCATCCATCAGAATAACTCCCCTCCAAAGATGAAACAAGACAGACATGGCAGCCATTAATGAAGTCTGAAGTTTAACAGAATAATTTCAATTTATTTCAAAAAAAGTTTGTAATTGTTCAGAAAATTTTCCTTAAGGAAAAGATGTACTCTTCTCTACTAAATCTGGAAGAAGGGGGAAGCTGTGCTCAAAACTACCCTTTCACTTTAGTTACATGCTTTGTTACAAATCATAGATACTTGGAAAGGAAAATTGTAATCTTTGAAAATTTTGGACCATACCTCTGCGTTCAAGTCGCCCATTGGCTGTGCTTCATCCGTATCTGGTTCAACAACACCTTCGTTATCAATTTCTATGTATTAAAAAGTTAACTCATCAACATTACATGAAACATTCTAAGGAAGGTCTAAAATCACAAACAATACTGTAAATTACACCTGCATAATGGAAAATGAACAAAATATCCACAATTCAAGTTGGAGAAGCAATTAAATTTTTTCAGCTAGTCAACAATATACAACCAAACTAAACTTTGATGTAATTTATACCTAGGAACTATTGCGATTATGCTGTCCATTTAGAATTCTTAAGCCTTAACTACAGATTTATGTATATGTGAAGCATGTATAAAACATAAATGTTCACTGTTCAACTAACAAGTTCAACTAACCAACATCGCTTTCTGGACTGTCTTCACTTTCGGAATCAATTTCTTCTTTTTCTGTGCTATCATTACTCTCTTTAGACTCCTCTTCTTTAGCCTAGTATAGCAGTATTTGTTCAGCTTCAGAATGATTTTTCTTTTATACAAAAAGTCCAACTTTTCTCAATCATGACCACAAATTAATCAATGCCTAACATTTTCTTGGGTGTGTTTAAGAAATTTGATTATTCTAGCAGAGAATGCACTCAGCACATTTGCACAAACACTTGCTTGGCTAAGAATACTTTGAAAAAACATAAGGCAGTTTAACAAGATTTGAACCACTGGGTTACTCTTTCAATGTACTACAGTTGGCTAAGAGTGCTGCCGGTTTCACCTTTCAAAATACAATGAAAAATGTTGCTATGAAATTCAATTTATTCTTTGATCATGATTTATAAACAACTTTTGTAAGTTGAAAAGCTAATATAATTACTTCTTCCATCTTTTCATCTTTCTTTGACTGTTCTTCTGGCTTTGGTGATGGAGCTGGTGGCAAAGTACCCCAAAGCTTAAATAGAAAATCATTTATCAACAACAAAAAGTTGTTCTAGTAAATATAATATACTATACAGGACATTTATAACAACTATCTTATTTATGTTTAAAATATTGTTTGATGTTTACAAAACATAGCTTATGCTTGTGTCCAACTTTTTAATGAATTTTTGCATTAAAAATCATATTCTTGTTTTGGCATTGGCCACTAGACTATTGGCACGAGGTATTGAGGTGGTAATTTAACTCGTCAAGCCTAAAAGATGGACTAAATATATACTATCCTTCTTTTAATCGTGCAGTTTACCATAATATGGATTACATAAGGACGAACTACTTTCAAAAAAGCCACATGGTGATAACGTCCTCGAAAATGCTTTTCTAAACGAGGTATTTTATGAAGTCACATGATTTTACTACCTTTCTATCCAATCCTTGAAGAACTTTAGGTCAGGATTGTGAATCTCAGAAGGCACCGCTTTCATAAGATTTACAAATTCCTTTAATAAAGCTATCTGATCTTCTTTGAACTTCATTTTATGCAGCAACACGAACAGCAACACATGCAGTTTGCAAAACGTGTAGCAGTATTATGGATGGCTACGTATTATCAAAACAATCAAGATGCGGGGAAAATTTGAAAAGGGCAATAGGCGGAGAGGAGGTCGGGCATTGGGCCGAGCCGAAAAGGCTGAGCATGCAGTATCTCAGCAGTTGTAAGAAATTTTATTCGGTATGCAGTGTATGTCAATTGACCCAATTCTTCTGGAAAAAATAACCATTTATTTCACATATAAAGTAACAAAAGATTCATAACCACCGTCTTTATTACTTACTTGCCGATATGTACCTGAGTGTTTTAAAAAGAAACGAGGCTTTTTGGGGGTTAGCGAGGAGGCTCTTTGCATGTTCGATAATCAATTTTGATTAGACATAGCCATTGGACCTATCACAGTTGTCTGTGACGAGTGCTTTCGAAAAATCAGACGTATGTCGAAGGCAGACCAGGATAGATAAACCAGCCTCGCATTTCAAAGTGTCAAATGAAATCTGTAACGAAATCTACGTACAAATTGCACACGGACAAAAATTGTCAAATGAAATCTGTAATGAAATCTACGTACAAATTGCACACGGACACAGTGTCGTATTAACCAATGGGCCCAATGGGCCGGTGACTCCAAAAATTTTTATTTTGACGATGAGGTTAAATTTAAAGAACACCTGTACAATACGAAAACAAGTGCTGTCTAGATAAATATAATAAGCCATAGAAAAATACAACTGCATTTGCCGGAAAAATATGGACCAAGAATAAAATCCGCTAGCGTAAAACAATGTGGGGTCCCAAACTCTCTAGTGCCCAGGGGCCCAGAAAACCTTAATGCGGACACCCCTCAAAATGAAAGATAAAAAATCCAAATATCATTCAAAACGTTCATTTGGCCTATTGATAAACACCATGCCTGTTTTCATTCAATATAAATACAACAGATATATGAAAATATACACTATTGTTATCACATCTGCGGCATCCGATTTACAATATTATTTGTCATGTTGCCGCAGGTTAAATTAAGTATATAAAAGTTTCTCTCAGGGGTATGTGGCAAATGTCATTTCGATGGCAGTTTTTCGACAAAAGATGCTGGAAAATGTCCAGTTTTACCAGCAAACAATCCACACCACCAGTCGTCGTTCAGCTGTCGCAGAACTTCAATTTCATCTCCAGCCTATGTAAACATATGGATGTGTTAGAGAAAAGATTTTAAAGCTGCATGTTGTCGTTTTTAAACAAAAGCACTTCAAGATCTGCAAGTTACGAAGACCAAGAACAAATTCTGCACATTTACGACATGCTACGACCTATACTTATCAAATGGACAAAGGCATGTTTGTTGCAAACATGTATAATGATGATTACAAAATTCCTGTCTCTTTCTCTTAAATTCGTTATTTCTACTGTGAAATTTGAGTATGATAGATAGGCTGAATACAGCCACTTACTATGCGACAATCGTGATTTGACTATCACCATTAACAAAATGGACTTGCAACAAAAAAACTGTTAAATACGTTTTGTTAAAAGCCACATAGACCCCAACTTCACCAACCTTGAAAGGAAGGTCTTGGTTTGACTCGCCAGCAAAATCATACAAAGCCTTCGCAATGAATGTTTCTGTGGGAAAAAAAGATGTAGTAATTATTAAATGCAGTTACGTTCAGACATGAAACTACCTCCTTAAATTGTTGGAGTAACAGATACTTTGACATGCAACTATCTTAAGTTGTAGGAGTGAGAAATACTTTAACGTGCAACTATCTTAAGTTGTAGAAGTGAGAAATACTTTGATATGCAACTAACTTGGGTTGTTGGAGCAACAAATACTCAGATATGCAACCATCTTAAGTTGTTGGAGCAACAAATATTTCGACATGCAACTACGTATCTTAAGTTGCTAGAGTGAGAAATACTTTGACATGCAACTACCTTGGTTTGTTGGAGTAACACATACTTAGACATGCAACCATCATGAGTTCTTCCAGCAAAAAATAGTCCGATGTGCAACTATCTTAATTTGTTGGAGTGAGAAATACTTTGACATGCAACTACCTTAGGTTATTGGTGCAACAAATACTTTAACGTGCAACTATCTTAAGTTGTTGGAGCAACAAATACTCTGACATGCAACCATCTTAAGTTGTTGGAGCAACAAACACTTTAACGTGCAACTATCTTAAGTTGTTGGAGTGTGAAACACATTGACATGCAACTCTCTTAAGTTGTAGGAGTGAGAAAAACGTGCAACTATCTTAAGTTGTTGGAGTGAGAAATACTTTGACATATAACTACCTTAGGTTATTGGGGCAACAAATACTTTACCGTGCAACTATCTTAAGTTGTAGAAATGAGAAATACTTTGACATGCAACTACCTTGGGTTATTGGTGCAACAAATACTTTAACGTGCAACTATCTTAAGTTGTTGGAGCAACAAATACTCTGACATGCAACCATCTTAAGTTGTTGGAGCAACAAACACTTTAACGTGCAACTATCTTAAGTTGTAGGAGTGTGAAATACTTTGACATGCAACTATCTTAAGTTGTAGGAGTGAAAAATACTTTGACGTGCAACTATCTTAAGTTGTTGGAGTGAGAAATACTTTTACATATAACTACCTTAGGTTATTGGGGCAACAAATACTTTGACATGCAACTATCTTAAGTTGTTGGAGCAACAAATACTCAGACATGCAACCATCTTAAGTTGTTGGAGCAACAAATACTTCGACATGTAACTACGTATCTTAAGTTGCTGGAGCAACAAATACTTTGACATGCAACCATCTTAAGTTGTTGGAGCAACAAATACTTGACATGCAACCATCTTAAGTTGTTGGAGCAACAAATACTTTGACATGCAACTATCTTAAGTTGTTGGAGCAACAAATACTTTGATATGCGACTATCTTAAGTTGTTGGAGCAACAAATACTTTGACATGCAACCATCTTAAGTTGTTGGAGCAACAAATACTTCGACATGTAACTACGTATCTTAAGTTGCTGGAGCAACAAATACTTTGACATGCAACCATCTTAAGTTGTTGGAGCAACAAATACTTGACATGCAACCATCTTAAGTTGTTGGAGCAACACATGCAACTATCTTTAGTTGTTGGAGCAACAAATACTTTGATATGCAACTATCTTAAGTTGTTGGAGCAACAAATACTTTGACATGCAACCATCTTAAGTTGTTGGAGCAACAAATACATTAACGTGCAACTATCTTAAGTTGTAGCAGTGAGAAATACTTTGACATGCAACTACCTTTGTCGGAGCAACAAATACTTTGACATGCAACCAACTTAAGTTGTTGGAGCAACAAATACTTTAACGTGCAACTATCTTAAGCTGTAGCAGTGAGAAATACTTTGACATGCAACTACCTTTGTTGGAGCAACAAATACTTTGAATAGCTACGTACTTTGACAATGCAAATATCTTAAGAAACAAAAACTTAGACATGTAACTACCTTTTGGAGAGTCAGATTCCAATTTAACGAAAGCAGTTGGAAATATACCAGTGACATCATTGATCATTCCTTCACTCCAATTATCGTCAATGGTGCGCAGGACTTTGATCAAATCACCAGCAACAAAATGCAGTTCGCCCGGTGCTTCTCCACTAAAATCGTGTAGTGCCTTGCCCGTTTGAAAATTCTGAACAACAAATAAACATTTCGATCACCTAAACATCAGGGGCCGGTTGCACGAAACCTGGATAGCGGTATCCATTGGATAGAAAAATTTTTAAACTTGTAAAAAAGGTGTTTATATTTTTCACAGTTACGACAAAGGAGTTTCGTAATCTTCGAAACAATATTTAATTCATTGATTGCTCATTTGGTATCTTATATTTTTGCTTTTTAAAAGTTTTTAAAAGGTTTTATAAAAGTTTAAAAATATTTTTATTCAATCGACAACTCCATCCAGGCTTCGTGCAACCAGCCCCTGGTCAATATGAGCATTTCACGTTTCTCATCGGCTTTGACAGCGACAACAAACACAATTATTAGTGCGCGCATGTGCGCATTTCACAGCTAAATAGGAGCACATTGAATGATCAACGAAAGACGTATGTTTCCAGTGTTGAATAGTTCAGATCTTGGGGAATCACTACAGTATAAGGAATATACAGAAGGTCCACTTCAATGTGGAACTTGGTACTTTATATTTAATTAGATTATAGGCTGTAGTTACTCATAGATATTTAATTATTCCGACAGGTCAAAGAAGGCAATTGACTGGCTACCATCACGGTAATCACATGCGTACAAAGATCAGCGTAGCACAAAAGATTCCAATGGAATATATTCCTTATTCAATGTGATAATACGTACTATGATAGTAGTTCTACCACACAGACCGCAATTGAATATAATGATTGAAATCCAAACAGGCATCAACTTTCATCGCTGTTCTTCAATAAACTCAAACAATGTATGCCTTCGAACATTTGTACCGATATCTACTGTATTGCGTTATTAGCAAATATCGAACAAATAGAATATTGAAAATGTATTTAATAGTTTTGCACTTTCTTTACCTCGAGTGATTCAATTTTCAATTGAGAAGCACCATTGCTAGCATTTGATGTGTTTTCTTTCTTCAAATCTTCCACGAAGGCGATGGGAAGCATCCCTTTCCGACCATTGCATTCTCCCATCAACCATTCCGAGTTTAAGTGATCGAGAACTTTGATTCTGTCGCCCACTTTGAAAGATAAATCATCAGGACTCTCCCCGGGATAATCATGGACAGCAGTTACATACGTGACATCTGTGTACAAGTGAGATATGTACAATCAGGTTGATTGTGAAAGCTGCATATAAAAGAGTAACCTTATAAAGTCATTCAATCTCACCATTTTCTTACACACAAGGAAACAAAATAAAAATCAAGACAGACTACAGGAATATCGCAACAAACAACATGCTGCTGCTGAGTTTAGTAGTGAAATTTCTTAACAAACCTTGAACGCTATCGTCGGCAGAAATTTTCACAAAAGACGATGGGAATATTCCACTTTTCCCAGAATGCGTTCCCCGGAACCAATCATCACTAATTCTTTCAATGATCTTGATCGTTGTTCCAGCAACGAAGCTTAGATCATCGGTGTGTTCGCCATTGTAGTCGTGCGTTGCTTCGCACCATTCTTCTGATTTTTCATTTTTTTCTGCGGGAGTCACAGCGTCGCTATTCTCATCGGTGGTCAACGGTAAGTCCTGTCGAACTTCAACGAAGTTGCTCGGGAAAATACCAATCTTCCCGTTCAACCTGCCTCTCAACCAATCAGCATTAACTCTTTCCGTTAAAATGATGGTTTGTCCACACATGAATGTGAGCTCTCCTTCGCCTTGGCCATCGAAATCGTGCAAAGCAACAGCATGTGGTTCTGACGTTTTGACATTTTCCTCCTAAACAAGAATTTGGAAATGAAAAAGTGGAGAAAGGTGATACCTCAATCCTTCACGTTCGCGACAAAATATCCGTCATCAGACAACTCTTTTCACCAAAACATTCTGTATGATTGATCTTATGGACTAGAGGCCGTCATTTAAATAGATTTCGCGAACTAAGGTTTGTTTGATTATGTTAAAAGTTCACCAAAAATTCAAATTCTTTTCCTCGCTTCAAAGTGAAATAGAGTCATTGAACTAAATATATAACTTGAATAACATGCCTAAATTGCACGAGGCCAAATTTTACAAAAAACGATTAGCTTCAAATTTCGGCGGGAAGTAGCATTCAACTTATATTTAGTTTAATGATGTGATTCAACTGCATAAAAGAGCAACGAACGTAACGCCTTCACAGAAAGAATTGCTGTTCACGAAATATCAGCAGTGGTGTAGCAAGCCGGCTTACTTAGTCTTACTAAGCAAAAATTCTGAATTCACTCACAATAAAAACAACGAATGATGATAATGTACTGAAATTTCATAGCCGAACTTAAACTTGTTGGCTCTTGCTACTTCAGTGCATATTAGCTAACACAGGGGTAATAATTAAGTTGCACAAATCAGGCCTTGTAGGTCAGCCAAGTGATGGCCAAAAAGGCTAACAAGATTCTAACTAGAATGCAAACAATTATGTGCATAACAAAACGATAAAAACACACAAACCTGTTTGCTGTCATATCTGGGTTGTTCCTTCAAAGGAACGACGACTTCAACAAAATTGGATGGAAACAATCCTTGGTGCATAACATTCCCCTCCAGGTAACCGAGGAGCCACGCATCGTCAATCTTACTGGTCAGCAGTATCGTATCTCCAGCCTAAGGAATTAAGATTGCCGTGATATAGTATTGATCGAGCACTCAAAAGTAAACCATACCCAGATTTATCAAACTACATAAAGAATGTAAGTTTCACACGTTGTGTCGACACACATGTTCACAAACTATGTAGGTCTAGAAATACATTGATGTCTAGAAGTTCACTTGCGAGGTATTTTCATGAAGCAGAAATGTTATTACAGTATTGCAAAAGTTGGTGGTGGTCAAGAAGTGATCAAATATGATCAATCATACATGAAGTACTCGCACATTCGGCAATAGACTCTACGTACCAATTATTGATCATCAAAAAAGAAGCAAATACATTTCCTAAATTTTCATAATTCTAGATCCAATAATATTGTTCACATCTCTAGCACGAATCTTCACCTTATATTTGTTAGAGGGAAACGCAATCACATACCTTAAACGTGAGATCGTCATTTGTTTCACCAGTGTAATCAAACTTGGCTAGAGCACGAGCAGGACCAGAAGGCTTTACGGTAGAAGATGTTTCTGCGATTCTCTCTGTCTTATCCGCAACATCTGCTGGTACTTTTCTAAAGAAAATAGAAAATTTTTCGAAAATGACATCCAATCAAAAAAACGCAGAAAGTAGATTACTTAAAAAGCACGCCGCGTTTAATGACAAGTGCAAATTCTAACTTTGTGTTTTATGTTCAATGAAAGAGTGACAGCACAGCTACAGTAGCAAGCCACTACGGAAAAAAATTTGAATAAAATGTCGTCACTATAGACGTCGAAATAAAATTACAGAAATACTTGATTCCGTAATAGTCTTCAAGAACATAAATATAAAAATATTTGTGGGACATTACCTTGTCGCATTACTTTTGGTAGACGGAGTTCTACTAGCTGGAGCTTTGGTAGGGGGCCCTTTTCCAGGCGGGGCTTTTGCAGGTGGAGGTCTTGAAGGTTTTGCCTTTGCCAACGGTGGCCTAGAAGGTTTAGATTTCTTTTGCTTCTTCTCGCCGGTTTCACCTGTTTCCCTAGAATGTTTTGGCATCTCGTTTGTTATTTCCGCGCTCGGTGGAAAGCTAGGTCTGGAAGGTGGAGGATCCTCTTCCGAAGCTTTCGCATTTGTAACATTTCCCGAAGAAGATTGTTTTAGCTCAACTGGCTTCTTTGCAGTAATAATTGTCGGTTTTAGTTTAGGTCTTGGTTCAGTTGTCTTGTTAGGAGGTAATTTCTCCTTAGCCGCGATAGTTTCATTTGACTTTTCCTCGTTTTTGACTATTGGCTTCCTGCTCGGAGCACTTGGTTTAGATTGCATATTCGGTAGTGAAACAGGTTGTTTTTTCGAAACTTGACCAGACGAAACACTTACATTCGACTTGGAGGACTTGTCAGTTTTTGGAGTTGATTGAATATTCGATTGTGAAAAAGGTTGTTTTCTCGAAACTTGACCAGAAAAACTGCTGAGATTCGATTTATACGACTTCTCGGGTTTTGAAGTTGATTCACGACTATCTGATAACACATCCGTATAAAAAATAGAGCTCGAATCTTGTTTGGAGCTTTTAGAGCTTTTTGGTCGACTGTTAGTAATTTGCGCCCTTCTCGACGTTTCCGACGGTACTGGAGCCGGTCTCTTTGGTTTCACGAGAATATCAGGAGCAGGAGGTTTACTGGAAAGTTGAGCATTATTGTTCACAGACTTAGTTGAGGCCGGAGTATTCTTGTCAAAAGGCATTCGATTAGGAAAAGCAGCACTCTGATCCATTGGTTGAGCGGAGACAATAGTGATGACAGGACGGTTCCTAAAAAGAAAATTCGATGTTGTTTAGTTGAACTATGATTGGCGATAGTGGTTGAAGGCTATTTGAATGGAAATGACAATCATTCATGCTGTAGCAATCAATATTGTAATTTTTACAATATTAGAAATTCCAAATCCGTTACATTATATTATAATAATTACGTAACTTGTTTTAATAACGTCATTTTTGTTTTATAGGACAAGTTTCGATTTCAATTTTAATTTAATAAAGATAAATCTGAATGGCAGCTGAAAAGGCTGAAATGCAAAGAATTAATTACATGAAAGTATATAGTACATGGTATTACTTAGATATAAAGTTTTTTAAATTATATACGTAACATGTTAAAAAGGGTCAAATATATTCTTTAAAAAGGTTTAATACTACTTCAATGAATCATTATAAGCTATAATACATGAAGGTAATAAGGATACTCTAAATCTACTTGCTTTAGGTTTATACATCGATTCAAACGAGGAGTATCGTTGTAGTTATAACGAAAAATTGGACTCACTTCTTTTGCTCGGGTTTTTTTTGATTGTTGGAAGCACGACCTGCATTATGACCTGATTCTTTAGCAATTGCCTTTGCCACAGTTTGAGCCTTCTTAGGTCTTGGTGGAACCTTCATCTCCGTGTTAGAATTGCGTATTTTCGGTTCTTTTTCTTCAGTAGAGGTATTTGATGCACTCCAAGCAACTTTATCGTGGCTAAATGGAAAACAAATTATGTCGTCATACAATTTTCCACGATGTACACTTTTTCACGCTGTACACTTCGGAAATTTGTGGTTTCATAAGCGATTTTCGAGGAATTGAAACAACCATTCACCCAAAACGACACTTAATTTTGCAAAGAATTTTATACTTTACAAAATGTATGGCAAATAATGCACGATCCAGCAGCCGAATCACCGGTATACACAAAAACTACTACTCATATTATATTCGTTTTTTTCCTGTTTTAGAGGGTTTTTCCGGAAGCTTGCCTTTTACAAAAAAACCTAAACTGTTAGTTGCAGAATTCCAAAGCAAGCAAATCCAGTCTGCCCTGTTGTTGGCAAGTGCTCACCATACATTTACTGTCATCTTGTTGAGTTTTCCACAAGATTTTTCTTGTAAGAAAACTAAACTATAGACGGTGACTCAAGACAGTTGCACTTACCCATTGTATAAATCTTCTTCTGTTTCGCCCAAGTCAATCCTCGGTGGAACTGGTGGTGGAGCAGACCTTAAACTTAAATTGTCATGTATTCCTTCATCACAACAATACAAACAGTGCAATATTAACAAGTATGAAAAAAATCATAGAATGGCACACAATGTGAATGCATTTTTAAACAATAATACATTATGCTACATAGTATTTGGTATCTGAAGTAATAAGTAAGAAATCAAATTACCTAGCCTCTGCCATATCATATTCTAAACGATGTAAGTCATTTCAACAAGACCACAGACCATTAAGAAAGGATTATGTTGAGCCCATCTTTACCTGCACAAACAAAGTAAGTAGAATCATACTAGTACCCATTCTATGCATTAATTTGATTGCCTAGTCTACTCGCTATCAAATTTTTAATGGATAGCAAGTAGAAAGCAATAGACGGTGAACACCAAAAAAACATGGCCTTGCCCTTTCATGTTTTACTAAGGTTTCTGATTGTTTACTTCAGAAGGCAATTCTAGAAAGACTAAAGTTGCCGTTAAGTACAAGGTTATATATAACAGTGAAATAAACAAAAATTCAATTAAAATAACAAAACATGCATTGAGCAAGATTTGTTTGCTTTTTTCAACATACACAATGTCAACAACAACAAATGCATAAACAGCAAATATTATTAAGGAAAACTATAGCAACCCTGTCTTTATGAATAATAGTATGATTCCACAAAAATAATAATAGACAAACTTGCTCTCAATTTTCATGTTGGGATAGTTGATTTGGTGGACTTCGCCTTCATAACCATCAATTCATTGAAAGCAAAAAAGATGAAAGTGCAACATACTTTAAAATAATTAAGACCTCTCATCATTTCTATTGTGTGAAATTGATACTTTGACTTTCTGTTATCAGTTTGCCTTGAGATTTTATCCTTTCCTACAGTACTTGCGTCATTCTAAGACACGAAACCTTAATCCGAACTTTGCTCAGGGTATGGTGATATACCTCAAAAACAGCAGTATCTCATTCAGTAACATTATGAAACGAATATACGTACTGTCAGGCAATATGAACTCAGTTCAACTCCAACGCGGAAATACGTTCGAGCTAATCGCGTTGATAAGTATTTCCGTGAATATATATTTTATTGAATATTTTCAATCATAAAATTCTTTTCAATTACGAAAATAATCTTCCTGATAAGTAACATATGAACAAACAGCCGCTGTGTGAACCACACACAATGACACACGTACAAGTGCAAAGAGTGTTTAAAAAATAATAATTTAATAATCATTAATATCATCGGAAATTTTTAAAAATTCCAAGAAATGGAATTTTACAGCATAAAATATTTCACTCTCTATTCTATCTACCTTTTAAAAGAAGAATTCGACCAAGAAAACAATGACATTCCAACAAATTGACAACTCAACTGGAGTCTGTCGATATCTTATATACAAGCTACACAAAGTATTGCTACGCACTAGGATGATTACTGACCGCGAAACTAACTGTTTGGCGCAAAGAAGCATGGGAAAGGCGGTCAATTTGAAATTATATACACCAACGTTCGGCTAGTTTGTCAGGCTGAGTGCCTTTCAAGTGTTGTTTTGCTCAAATTTAATGCAACGGAGACCCATATCCGTCGTACAATACTGTCATTTTGCGGTAAGTAAACTTAGCTATAGAAAAAACAATAAATTGTGTGCTGTCTTTTGTTCGAAATCTTCGACTGATTGTTGTTCATGTAGTTCATAGTTTTTGAGTTATATATTAAATGCCAAGCGTTCGTTTGTATACAATTACTAAACGTGCTACAAAATATACATTTTTCGCGAATAGCTTGCTTTTACTACATATTTCAATGTGCTATTACAATATAAGACTATTTCAGCAATGTGATAATCGAGTTTATCCACATATGGGTCAAAGATACAAGAGTAGTATATAAAAGGTTATTATTTTTATTAATGTGTGACGTTGAATTCAGGAATTGTCACTAATTATTTTTTAATTTAAACTGTTTTAATCATGGCTTTTTGTGCTACTAAGTTTCATGTATAAAGGGACAAATGTATTGCATGCCCTTTGCATGTACAAGTTCAAGAACATTTGCATGTCACCTTTTGAAGTTACCAGAAAACGAAACAGACAACCGAATTTCATCTTGGTTTGCCCCTGTTTGCAAGATGAAAACTTCTTTTTGAGCTAATGGCCATCACAAGAACAAGCTAAAGTCATCTATTGGTGGTTTTGACTACTTTTTTTTACAGTTAGTTAATTTTGGTGAGGTAGAAGGCTTTGACTGCCATACGAAAACATTGTGTATGTATTATGTTAAAAACAACAATCCACAAGTCATTTTTTGTTTGTTTGCTTTATTAAAAGTGGATAAGCTACTATGTCCCATAAATCTGAAAGACCATAGTTCAACTTTCAATAAAGCCATTAGTTATTAACATTACAACATAAATGTGTTCATAATGCATCAAATGGTCACTGATATAATATTTTATTATATCAGTGAGTGTTTGACCGCAATATGTATAATCCTGATATCGGATCACACATTTTTTCCATAAATGTGTTCATTTGTTAATGTTTCCTCAAGGTGTTGATCACATGTTACCAATTGCATGTATTTCAGAGACTCGATTGTGCTTAATTCACTTTTTATCCCTCTGTAAAACATACTAAAACATACTACGTATGCTGTTATAGTTTTTCACTGCCCTTCTCAGAAATATGATGGCAAATGTGCTATGTCACGTGTGTGTTACTCCCAAAAATGGACGTTTGCTCAGTGAGTCCATTGCATTCCACTGTGTAAACTTTGATGTGGCGAAGTAGTGAAAAATACATGAAATGCTACATCTAAAAATTTTAGGCTCAATTTCAAAGATTTGCCCTTTATCAAAACTAAACACCACACAAAAAGAAAGTACCTCCCCCCCAGATATACTGTTGTAAATTCTAAATGAACGAACCCCTGATAATCAATGCAGCATCTACTAGACTTATGGTAACTGCCTTGTCTCAGAATTTAAAAATATCTAATTTCAAAATTGACATTCAAAAGTGGTGTTACTGTAACCAGTTTCACTTGCTATTTAGCAACAATACTCAAGAATTCAGGTCTGCCCAAATAATCATATGAAAAAAGGGCAATTGCAATTGGCTTTATGATTTATAGGGTCTGGGTGGAATCAATAAAATTTAGCACTTATGACAATTTAACCAGGGATCGATCCGGGATGATTTTGTTAGTGAGGTGCTCTGGGTTTTTACAAGACTTTGTCTCGTTAGTCCAGTTTGGATTTGATTCCAGTGGCTTCTTTGTGGGTGCTATTATGTCAGTCACATGTGAGAGTTTTTGTGGGTTTGACTTGAGACCCACAGAATTGTGTAGTTTAACATTGCTTCAGATCAATAGGTCAGTATATTGATATTTCGTCCAGGCAAGGCCTTGGGTGCTCACCCACTGCACCCCTCCTCTAGATAAATCCATCCCTTATTTACACTAGGGAGAATGGAACTTTCTCTTTCTGTGGTGTTTATCTTTTAGAATTACACTCTCGTGGGACATAGACATGCTGTAATTTTAACTCGATTTTTTTCTAATAAAATCGTCACAAACCATTTTTGGCGTTTACCCTCCTCTATTTATTATTAATACAATTGCAGTGCAGCCCACTATTTCCTTATGATTCGGGCACTCCATAAGCTCAACGCTGTTTCCACAATAGTTATGTTTCATATTTTTCGCAGTTTCTCGCTGAAAGATGTCAGGTAAGGTTATACCGGTCAAGGTTGCGTTGAGAATTCGCCCTTTAATCTCAAAGGAAGTAAGCGAAGGTTGCCGAGAATGCATCGAAGTTGTCCCGAATGAGCCGCAAGTAGTCATCGGCAGCGACAAACATTTACGTTCGATTATGTATTCGGTTTAACCTCTCGACAACAGGAGCTTTACGAGCAAGTTGTTATGCCGTTGATGGATACGTATTTCAATGGATATAATGTGACAGTTCTTGCCTACGGTCAGACTGGCTCTGGGAAAACGTACTCCATGGGAACTTGCGCGACCATAAACACGTCAAACGCGGACGACGAAATGAGCAACGCGGTCATTCCTCGAGTGATCCAGGAGATTTTCACGAGAATCGAAAATCTGAAAGAAAAATCGGACTTTCTGGTCAAGGTTTCTTTTTTAGAGGTCAGTTGCTTTAAGATATGTTGATAACCATTTCCACACGGTTGAAGGTAATGATCGTGATTTTGTGCAAAATAGATTTTCAGGGTGCTACTCGACAGTCACCAAACAAAGTGACACATTACTGGTGTTCTACGTTTTGGTATCTACTGGTGTAGTGTCGATCCGACTTTTTTCTTCCTCTATAAGTTTCACTGCATTGACTTGTAATTACATATTTCTCAAAAGTTAGGGGGTGCCACACACTTAACACCTTCCCCCCGTCCCGTCCGAAACGACATTTTTTCTTCCTCTATAAGTTTCACTGCATTGACTTGTAATTACATTTTTCTCAAAAGTTAGGGGGTGCCACACACCTAACACCTTCCCCCGTCCGTACAAAACGACTTTTTTCTTCCTCTATCAGTTTCGCTACACTGACTTATAATACAAATTTCTTAAAAGATGGGGGATGCCACACACCTAACGCCCCCTAATGTGCCCATCCGCTTATTGGTTGGTTGCAACCATCCCCCTGGGAGTAAGAGAACAATGGAATGCTCGCCATGTTGGATGAAATTTGCATTGTAAATAAGGAAAATCCTTTGTTAAAATCATCCAACCTGGCAACTATGATGTAGCTTGCAACCCAATGACCTAGAACCCAATCTACTAGATCTCTGACTCTGAAAAGTGGCAAAACTGACGATATTTACGACTAATATTTGCTTTTATTGAGTTGATATAGAGTCGCAATGTTGATAGTCTAGATTTGATTCTTAAAATATTTTATAAGATGGGTTTTTTAAACTTTGTTTTAACTTATTTTTCAATTTGAGTTTTGCTTTTTGCCACCTTTCAAGATGGCGTCCTTGCCTCACCTTGACTTGGTAGTTAGATATCTAGAGGACTGGGTTCTAAATCATTGTTGCAACCCAACAATTAAGTCATTGACATAAAACTATATTCCTCTACACGATCCATTAGTGTACTTGCATTTTCATTATTACTTTGAGCGGTACATATTTTATGTTATACAAGTATTCTTACATGGCTACTCGTAGAAGCTCTTGAGAAAGTTTAAATTTGATACTAGTTTTTCGGGAGTATGACAATGGCGATTCTTGAGTTTCTTCGATCGTTTTTCACTCGCCCGTAGATCCCCGTACGTGTCTTGAACATCTGCTTTGTGTTTTTACCATTGTAATATGAAATAGCTCGAGACTGAGTCATGTAACTTTCGTTGAGTATAATTGGGATTAATAAGTTGACAAAATTTGACTCGTAGATTCACAACGAAGATATCAACGATTTACTCAATCCTGGACAACCAGACGAAAAGGGCTTGGCAATTCGTGAAAGCACTTCTGGCGAGATAAAGGTATCTTTTGCATATAGTCAAATAATAATATACTCAATAGGAAACTTTCTTATAAATGATTTTTAAGAGGAGTCGAATCAGCTAAACAAAGTATATTATCTACATTGTTAGAACAAGTATGTAGAACAAGTCTACCATAAGTACAAATACTACTTAGTAAATATCGTCAATAAGGAATAAATAAAAAATTTATTGCGTTTAAAAATAAAAACTTTTGTAATTTCTTTATCACTGTTAAAGAATTCCGATACTCGGTCGCGTGATAGCACGTTCGACGTTCCTTATTTATGAAGAACTTAAGCGAGGCAACCTTAATTTTTTTCTTTCGAAGATTAATTGAATATTTCACCTCCTGTTACAAGTTCCAATCAGTTATGCACACAGCCACTTAAATTTAAAATGGCAGGGAAAATGTTACATGGTTACAGTTGATCATACTGCCTTCTGCCGCTTTATTTCCATCACAGATAGAGCTTTTCTAGAGATTAAGCATTTTCTAAGGAACTAGGAAATTTGATTGTGAGAGCACTGTCTGTAACTATTTAAAACTAGTTCGGGTGAAATTACGCTAGAAGTAATAAGTGGGTCGGGGGATTTTTGGGGGTGTATTATTCAATTAAGTAGAAATTGTACATTAAGACTAAGTAAAGAGAAAACTTCCCCCTTGGAAAATCTGCACCTCTCCTGCCAAATGAGTGTTGACAATTCAACTTATTTTTGATGCATATATAGATCAATGGTTTGAAAGAGATCAAAGTCTCATCCATTAAAGAAATGGCGACATGTCTCGAGCAAGGTTCGGCTTCAAGGGCGACTGGTGCTACAGCAATGAATACACGATCCTCGCGTTCCCATGCTATTTTCACAATAGTGATGGAACAACGTGAGAAGTCAAGCACAAGGTATTTAGTCCTAAAATATCGTGATATTTAATGCCAGAAAGTAGTCTTCAACTGCAGTCTACCAACGGTTTTTCAACAAGGGCAAATTCTTTTCATTAATATATTTGTAATCTTGTTACTATTTTTTATGTAACGGAGCATAGATGGTCGGTCATAGTTCAAAGAAAATGTGTGGTGTGTGATGTTTTGGTATTTTTCGACTTAGAAAAAAAGATAGAAAATTTGCAATCGTTCCGTAATAAACCACGTGGTATTACTTTAATGAAAATACGCAATAGCAACATACTCCGTTCAGAAAACACGTACTCTTTATTGGTATACCAAAGCCATCATCAGAGATTATACATGATATAAATCCTAAATTAAAAAAAATTAAGATCCAAATTAATCCTAAATTATTTCTAAAGTAAAATTAATCCTAAATTAAGTAAATCCTAGGATTTACTTTATTGGTATAGGTGTCGAGAATGTTTAGTCGAAAATTGTACTTGTCCACTGAGAGGGGGGTTACGTAAATGGGGCATTTTGCCCTTCTAATTCCTCGAGCACATCCTTTGTCAAGTCCTGGCGTACGTTTCTTTCTGCCCCGTTAAGATAATAATACATCCCTCAAGTTTCAATCACAAGATCTCGATTATGTTAGAATTTAAAGGCAAATCTATATCCTATCAAAACTGACAAAATATAAATTTTAAAGATACGCAACGATGTTTCTATCCGATGATGAACTGGATTAGAGCAATAGGATTGATTGTGTCGCATGGAGTCAACTTAAAGTTAAGTTTGGCAGGGTTATTTCATTTTAGTGATGTGAAAAAGGCGAAATTCCATCTGGTTGATTTGGCTGGATCTGAAAAAGCGAAAAAAACTCAGGCAACTGGTGAAAGATTTAAAGAGGGTAAGTACGTATTTGATAAAGGTGGGTGGGAACATTGGGGATAATAAACTCTGTGAACTCGTGAAAGATTTAAAGAGGGTAAGTACGTATACTTGCTGAGGTTGGGAACATTGGGGATAAAAAATTGTGTGAACCAGTCAAAGATATAAAAAAAGGGCGAGTACTTGTTAAGGGTGGAATAATCGGTGATGAAAACTCAAGCAGCGGGTGAAAGACTTAAAGAATGTGAGTGCTTGCTGATGGTGCGAACAGGCTATCTGGAAACCTGGAAAACGCACCACCGAATTGTTGTACTTTTTAACTCCAATAAATTTTTTAAATTTTCGCATGTAGGTGTGAACATAAATAAAGGTCTTCTTGCCCTTGGAAACGTGATCAGTGCTTTAGGCGATGAACAGAGGAAAGCGCATGCTCACGTTCCTTACCGTGACTCGAAGCTTACTCGTCTTCTCCAAGGTATAAATCATGCACATGCAATGATTGATCATGCTTTTGAAGTGACCGGTTTAGTTTAACGCTAAGTTTATATGAATTACAGTACACATACAAACGGCCCCATTTCCCGTCCGACTTACACTCGAGTTTTCTCATTTTCATAAAGATTCCCTTGGCGGAAATAGCAACACCGTGATGGTTGCTTGCGTCAGTCCTGCTGATAGTAATTTGGAAGAGACTCACAACACGCTAAAATATGCTGACAGAGCGCGAAAGATCAAGAATAAACCTGTGGTCAATCGTGATCCTAATGCCGCCGAAATATCAAAATTGAGGCAACAGGTGTATTTTGTTATACTGTAGCTCGGCATAGCTAGTAAATCAACGAAAACATAATGCAGCTTCTTAAATCTGATATCCATTTGGTGATCAGAGAGAGTGTTTGGAGGGAAGTGCGAGATACAGTCGTTTGTCGCTTCAGGACATTTTTATCGCTTGTCGACACTCACAAATTGTTCTTGTAAAGTTGATGGAAAGCCGTCTTTCACAACGATGGCCAATGGAAATCTTTGGCTGTATTGTTTTTACTATAGGGTTTTAACCGTGCCGCACACAATGCGCTCAATGCCCCAAAACATTTATTACTTTATTCTTTGTGTATAAGTAGACATCCAGCACAGTCATGAAGATCATGATTGCTCTCGTGCATCCTAAACTTTGTACTTATAAAAGCGAATTTGTTTGAATTGCATAGGTTCAAATGTTGCAGTTGCAGCTACTTGAAGGCCAATTCATTCAACAAACGGACGGAGTTAGGTAAAAACGGGTAAATGTATAATACACGGATGGAGTAAGGTATGCATGGGTAAATGTAGATACACAGGAAGAGTAAGGTGTGCATGTGTAAATGTAGATACACAGGAGGAGTAAGGTGTGCGTAGGTAGATCAAAGCTGACCATGCTATCATGAGCTCGAGTGGAGTTTTTAATATCGTTTTTTAAAGCATGAGCTGTTCTTCCAATGGCCTGTGATTTGTATATTTCATTTCAAAACTGAATTGAACTGCTCTTTGCGAATGACATGGAAATATCTCAAGAGAGCCCGTGAGAAAACTATTGTTATGAAATTCATATCCATCAATGAATTGTTATTTTATAAAAGCACTACTGTAAAATCTTTGGATTATGATGGATGATACTGAACTGAATACTGATTTGAACTGAATTTGCTACGTATGACTTTCATTGAATTATATGCTGTTACTGCATGATTTTGTCTTATGGACAAGTCGATCATTTGCCAATAACACTGGAAGAGATTTATTAGCATTTCCTGTTACAGCTATTTCCATGACTTTTACTTTATGTCGATAGCAAAAAATTGGCACATTCTGAGATGGAGGAATTACTATCCAGGAATAAACAATTGGAGGTAAAAAGTTATGTCCAATCACAAAAATTGACTTTGTTCGATGTTAAGTGTGATGTTTCATCTTTCTCTGTACTATTAAACTTGTTTTTTTGCCATTAATCGTACAGGATAGTGCAGTTTTGAGAACTGGTGGTGTTATTGTTGACTGACGTTTTGGTTGTCTAGTTATTAATTTCCGTAAGGGACTCCGATGATGACTACCGAAAAATCGACCATCAGTCAACACAACCCCAAATGTCCTTTATAGTACTGTAGTATCCTGGACAATCAACACCCGACAAATATTTAACGATACTCCCGGGCTCAAACCTTCACTTTACGACCTTAAACAGTTTTAAAACGAATCCGTTTACTTAAGGCAAACATACTGTATTCATTTCTTGCGAAATAAATTTCTCAAAAATAACGGTCAATTTTCCGAACAGGTCTATTTCATATTTATCATCTTCATTATTCAGACAGAGAATGAACGCCTGACATCAGAGCTGCACAATGCATTCGATCAAACAACGTCGCTCTATGAAAAGATAATGTTGGTACGTTGTGTTATCATTAGAAAAGAAAAATTTTTTTAGTTATGATTTTTCATGTTTGTAAATGTAGATCGTCCAGGTTGGTATAGTCCTGAGAAGGATCAAACCATTTACTTTATTATAATTTTTCATTGCCTCTGTCTGTGTAGAAGGACGACAAATGTACATACCCTTAAGTTATTTAAAAAAGTGGGCATAAGTAGTAATCAAAGAGCTTGCGCAGCTTCTAAAAGCCCTTATACAAATATTTTGAGTTGCTAAGTTTGTTAATACAACAGAGTATTGAGCGACAAGGTTGTCTGAATGCTTTTGTATGGCAACAGTGCCACTTAAAATGTGTTGAAGAAAATTTTTAACAGACCACTGTACAATGTTAAGTCTAGACCACGATTGTTCTCTTGGAACTATAAAGATTATCTTTTCACAAAAAATACTCTTATTAACCAAAAATCTTTTCTTTTCCGTGTTGAAATTGGTTAATTAGTTGATAAATTAGTTACTAACATTAGCGGGAACGATAAGCGATAACGCAACCGACCGATCAGATTCACAGAATTTACGAAGACAACAGGAAAAACGGTTTCTGTAATTGATTTTTTCTAGGTTGAGATGTCAAAAGACAGGTTAAAGCAAAGAGCAATCGAAGTTAAGGAGATAATAAAGTATGTGTCTCGCTAGTTCACGTTCGTTTTCTTTATGTTTAAATTTTTGAACTGGACTCGATTGTGCAAAATGTTCAAAACTATTTCAAAAACATTTACCATTTCTAAAGTATCTATAAATTGTTAATTATTCGTTTTCTTTCACGATTCTTTTTACCGGACAGGTCTCAAGGAATCGATGTTTCGTTTAATATTGATGAAGACAAGGACGAGGAAAATAACGATCTTGTAAAGTGCCTCGAATTAAAAATGGGGAAAATGGAGGTTTGTTTGTCTTGTGCCGCCGGTGAATGCTCAATAAAATTTTCATGTTAATGGTGGGGGGTTTCTGTATTTTGGATCATTTTTTTGCTGACTAATAACGACTAGCAATTTTTGTCCTTTTTCGAAATCATTTTACAGGAGGAAGAAGGTGATATAGCACCATCGGGCTCGGTGGAGGTAAATATTTCCTCAAATCAACATCCCATTCTCGTAATAAATACATCTTATCGTGATTTAGGAAAGAAAATCATTAGATGCAGGCGACGGCGAGCATCCAGAAATTGCAAATAGCTCGTTTGCTGCCCAGCATGCTTTGCGGAAAGCAGAATTATGTAACCAGCTGCAAGAGCTGACCAAAGCATTGGCTATGAAGGAGGAGATTGCTAGCAAATTAGTCGATAATGAACGCATTTCCTCAATGAGAAAACAACATGAGGTGATGTATCATTATCTACTGGAGTAAACATTTAAATGCAACCATATTGGAATATTGCGGTCAATTAGGTTGGAACTTTTGATGCCACTTGGCAATCTCAGTACCTCACTGCATTGGAAAACATGGGGAATAACGGAACTTTTCCATTTTCTTTTGAATGAAAAAAATGCGCAGGAAAATGCAAATACTGTATTTTTCTTTGATATTTACAAGAGGCATTATCCGTCCGCTTTCAACCAATAAGAATAAGAGAAAATATTCCATAAAACGAAAATATAGACAGTTGCTAAGGTGTTTGAGAGAAAGTGTGCACATGTGCGTACACTACTACCAAACACGGTTGTTCTAAACCTGTTGTTTACATATGTAGCTACTCGTACAATACAATCTTAACGAGAACTTATTTAGCAAATACGTACATTCCGCCGGTCCGATCGTTGCTTAAAGCATGCAAGAACATATTACGTATTGACATTGATGTTTTGAAAGTTGAAACAGCTTAGTGCAATGTCGAGGAGTGGAATTTTTATCAGCAAACCAACGGAACGCTGACATAAAACGAATGCATTTCATCTTTTTTTACAAAATTTTGCTTTTGCATGCCCGAGATAATGCCGTCCTTTTTGAAATGTTACAGATGACCGTGAAAGAGCTTGAGCAAACAATTGAGAATCTCGAAAAAGAAAAGGTTGCTTTGAATTCAGCTTTGAATAAACAAAAGAACAGTTCCTCACTAAAGTAAGTGATTTTTAAACGATCAAAATAATCTGTAATCATGGATATCGCCAACGGGGCCAGGAGTAAAAATACTGAGGGTGCAGAAGGGGTGTGCACCCCTCTTAGAGGTGCGTGTGCACACCCCTCCTAGCTTTAGCTAGAGGGGGTGTAGAAGTGGTGCCAATTTTCCTATAAAATATTGATACACAGAACAATTAAGTTATAATTTGGATTTGTGTTCAGTAGAGCACACTTCCAAAAATAACTAACATCGCATGACTAAATCAGCATTGTATCCACCAAAATGTTATCCAAACTAGAGGACACCCCTTCTCAACAAAATCATTCTGGATCCATTCCTCAATAGCATTGTTTAACCCGTCCCTTGTGTTGCCTTAACTACCGCAATAATGATTTTTTCACGATTGATTGATTTACACCTATTGCAGTGTCACAGAATACTGATTATACAGAAGGGTCACTCGGGTGTGCAACGCGTTCTCACGTCGGCCATTATTCCTGTCAGTTGACGAGGGTTCGTCACTTGTTTTCAACCATTAAAGTTACATGACGTCATTTCTAAATGATGAGTTCGAGAATATTTCGACTTAAGAAACGACTTCGGATCATTCTCAAGGTTGGAAACAAGTACAAAACCCTTATCAATTGGTTGAAATAATGGCGTCCGATATACGCAGCACAACATGCGTGAGGACACGAACATCAAAGGCTTCGACACGAGTGACCCTTCTGTATAGTCATTATTCTGTGACAGCGTAATTATATTTGCTTTAAGGGGTTAGGTTCATGGCTACTTTTTTTAGGAAAGACAAAGAAAGACTTCATGTGTTGGAAAAGGAAATATCGCACTACAAGAAAAAACAGGTCATATCATTGTTATGAGATCTATTGTACAGTTAAACCAAGAAGGACACTAGCGTATATATATATTTTTTATCTATGCGTACCTGTCGTTCAAAAACTGCTAGTTATGTATAGACTAAGATTAACAGGCGTCAATTGATTGTAGCCAAAATACATTTGCGATAATTACGTAACTATGTGTATAACTAGTACGTATGTTGCATAAGATTTTTCATTTTCCACATGATATGTTTGGGATTTTTTGATAATAGGTTGAATATCTACAAACGCTAAAAGCAAAACAACACAGTGATCAAACAATCAATAAACTTGACGCGGAAATCAAGGTAGAAATAAGTGTATTTTTTCTACTACAACAACTATTTCTTTATCTTGTGTTTTTGATTGTTAGGTAGGTAATGACTAATCTGCTGAATGTTGGATGGTAAACATTCTTTCGATATTATTCCAAAAACCTTTTCCAAGCGACAATTTGAAGAAAGACATAAGATAATACGTACTCCATAAAACATCATCATTAGCAAGAGACAATATTTGAAAGCAACATTTCGACTTTATTTTAAATTCATTATTAAACGATCTGCTTTCAAATCTTGTCTCTTGCTAATATAACTTGATTTTACAAGATGATGTTCAGTTTTGGAGTTCGTTTTTCTTACAAAAATATTTTTTCCAGTCATTAAAAATTCGTGTACAGTTGTTGCAGAGTTGAGTGTTTTTTAATGGTTTATTGATCCGATTTTGCTGTTAAATAATCTCTTGCTGTATCATGCGACAAGAGAACATACCGCTGAGTTTGTTTGATTTTCTCACTTAGGGAATGAAAAAAATGAAAGTGAAATTGATGAAACAGATGAAGGAGGAGGCAGACAAATTTCGCGTGTGGAAATTAAAAAAAGAAAAGGAAATCAATCAACTTAAACAACAGGTCTGTACCATACATGCCATGTGCCAGAAAAGAGTTCCGCCACCTTACCAATATTCTTTAGAGGAATTACGTCATGTTTCCACCACTGATTCACGCCTTGATAGCCAGAGGACTGAATATTAGAGGACATCATATTTCATAAGATACTGATTGTTATGGTTTGTTCAACACAATGTTTGCTGTCCATTCATAGGGGAGGAAACGTCAGTTTGAGTTTAAGAAGCTGGAATCTGTGCATTTGAAGCAACAAGCCGTGCTGCGGCGCAAAACAGAAGAGGTTTGATAGTTGTCCCCAAATTCTTTTCATTCAAATGTCTTTATCGTCCTTCGGTAAATAGATCTTTCATAATGTCAAATCATCATGAACAAATGAGAAATCGATTAATTGTAGCATAAGCATCATTACTTTCTCTCTTGTTTATTGAATTTCGAGGTAACTGCGTTACTTGCAAGTGACCAGCAAACATCGATCAGGAATGGATCCAGGATTATTTTTTAGGCTGGGGCGCTTCCCTTCACCCACTTTATCCAAGGCTCTAAGGGAATCATACCCTTTTCAATTAATCTCCCCGCGCCCACTAATTCCATCCTTGTTTTCCATATCTTTTGTTAGCACTACGTTGCAACGTTACTTCACAATGTGTGGTGACTTATCGATTCTCTTACAGTACATAGGAATCATACCCTTTTCAATTAATCCCCCTGCGCCCACCAATTCCATCCCTGTTTTCCATATCTTTTGTTAGCACTACGTTACAACGTTACTTCACAATGTGTGGTGACTTATCGATCTTATAACAGTACATAAGCTAACTACGATTTTTTGATTTCTTATCAAATCAACAACTTTGATATTTCTTACAGGCTGCTGCAGCAAATAAAAGATTAAAAGAAGCCCTTTCAAAACAAAAAGAAAGCTTGGAAAAGCGGAATCAGTCCTTGCATTATCAGAACAAACAATCAGAAAATGTTATGGAGAAGATTAAAGTATGGACAACTAATCTTTATTCAAGAAAGTTTACAATAAAGAAATGCATTTGACGTTCTGTCAATGTAAAGTTTGAAGCATACATTAGTCTTTTGGTCAAACAGAAGGGATGGATCCAGCATGATTTTGGGGGTTGCTTTCTAGTTTGGATTTGCTTTCAGTGTTTTCTTTGTAGAGGCGATTGGATTTCGGTGGCTGCTAGCCTTTGCTTTAGGGCGTGCAGGAGCGGTTCCAATTTCCTTTCAAAATATAAAATTGCTACCAAAGCATTTAAACAATAGCAATTGTGACTTGTGTTTAATGGAGTACCTGTCCAAAAAGATTCCCAATCAGGGTGTGAGAGTAGCAGAATTTAACAAAAAGATGTCTGATCTGGCACGGAGACACCTACAAAGTAGCCACCGAAATATTATCAAAGTTAGAGCAGCCATGACATGTTACAGTAATGAAAATTTCGTTTTTAGTTGAAACAGTCAAACCAAGAACGATTTTATATCTGTTCATTTATATTTAAAAGGGCTATATGATTGCAATAAGATTATGATTAAAATGATATTTTTCTTCTAAATTATATGTAGTTTTGGTTATCACATGAGATTGAAGTCATGGTCAGCGCAGGTGAAGCTCGCTCTGCATTGAAAGATGTCATAGAAGATCGAAAGACTTTATCTCAAGAAGTTTCCCTCCTGAAGTCGAAATTACAGGAAAAAATTGACGAACCGTCTTGCAAGGTATGAAGTAATGGTTTGACGTGCTGCCAAATATCCTCAAATTAACAGGTAAAAAATTGTTTTCTGCTGCAAATTAGAGGGTTTCTCTTGGACAAGGCGAACACGCGTCACAGGAAAGCGATGAAATATGCGAAATCCGAAAGCAAATACAGGCTTTGGAAATTGATTTGGAAGTGAGGTGAGAGTCCGCTTGGTGTTTTGAATTTATCGGCAATATAGGGCTGTGCAAACTCCGGTTTTCGCTTCCGGCTATTTTAAAACTCGAATCACTGATTGTGGCTGGTTAATTTTAAAATTCACTGTTCAACAGTTTAAGGTATATTAGTAAAATTTTTGTATGTAAAGTTAAATTTCCGTACTCCTACTTTGAATCATAAATTAGAATGTGCGAACGTAATCTAGCGTCATGTTGTGTCATGCATGAAATGTTTTATATTCATGCAAGTTTTTCAATTTTAGCTGATAGTTATTGTTCGTAGAGACAAAAATGTTTTAATCAGACTTGTTTACCAAAGTTTGACAAACAACTGCTGCCGGAGTTTTGCTGGAGATGGGCCAACTCCGGCTCTCTCTCCGGCAGGCAAAAATAGCCGGAGCTCCAGCCTAACTCCGGCCTCCGGTACTCCGATGCACAGCTTTAGCCATTTATCGGCAATATCTTATTTAACATGATAACATTCTGCACATTTTAGGAGTTCACAGATAACGGAATTACAACAGAAGATTATTGACGCCGAGCAAGGTAGCTAAGTATGAGAATACATTACTCCCTCTGCTTTAATTTATCGCCCGACTATTCTGCGTCACATTGCCCTTCATAGCGTGCCTGTAACTGTTCCAACTGAATGGATTGATTAAACGTGTGTTTTCTGTTGCACAGTGTGTGCTATATTTCCGACTTAACCTCGAATCGACCCACTATTTATGACTTAAGAACTAACGAGTGAAGTCATTACTGCATGGAAGAGATTTGATATCAAACATAGCATAATCACACAGTCGCAGTAAACAAGTTCTTTCTTACATGGCTAGGTTTTTCGAGAAAACAGACCACAAACAGTTAAATTTTTATCAATGCAACCAAACATCATAATAAGTACGTATATAGTGGGCTGCTCTTTTGCCATCGGTGTAAATGCAGCTTCATAACCAACCAATCAAATTGTAAATTGGTTCTTAAAAATATACTTACCATATAGTAAATATAGTTGATAAACGGCTACTCATGCTGATCTCAAGTTGGGCTTTTTTAATTTAATAAACATTCATCTACCAAAGGAAACGCGACGCTATGTTCACGTCTAAATTTAATTTTCTAAATCGCTTATATAATCAAAAATTATCATCTTTTTTCATCAAGTTGCTTTCCTTCTCTCGCCATTATTGTTAGTGGACTTGTATGTGAGTTTTATAAGGAAGGCTTCATTTTACATATTTTGAATTTATCTCTACAAAGGTGACAGAACGAAATATCGATGGAATAACATCCATACGATGGCTGAAGCCAAAGCAGGCCTCAGGTCTTTGTTTAATTGGGTACGTGAACACTTTCACTTTTATGTATTTTAATTGGTTGAAGTGCCTCGATTTCAAAAATGTTTTATTTCATAAAATATCAATGATGTGCGTGCGCTGTGTCGTCAATAAATGTAGAATTTGCGAATGGAGCAACAGTGAATCAATGTTCTAAAACCAATCTACTATAGATACCTGACTCTGCCAAAATTCTATAAATACGAGTGAGGCAAGCCGCCATTTTGAAAAGTGGCAAACTGAAAATTTTAATGCACGACTAAAAACTCCTCCTGCGTTCATACACAGTTGCAGAGTTGATAGTCTAAGTTTGTTTTTTTAAAATATTTCACAGGATTGTTTTTCAAACTTTCTTTAACTTATTTTTGATCAAGCATTTTGCTTTTGGCGACCTTTAAAGATTGCCTCTTCCATGCCTCACATTTACACGGTAGCTAGAGCAGGGGTGGAAAAAGTTTTTTTCTTTCTGGGAACCCCAGCCAAATGCTAAAAATTTTCTTCGAAATTTGATTTTTGAAATCACCAAAATAACAAAAATATGAATTATGTTTAAAAGTTATTAATTATTAACTATTACTTATGACGATTAATAAACCGATTTAAAAGTGTTGTAATGGTTCCTGCCAAGCTCTCAACTCTATAAGATTTCTGGGAACTATGTTCCCAAGTTCCGATACTTTTTCCATCCCTGAGTTAGACATCTAGGGGATTAAGATCTAAATCATGTCAGTGAATGCCATAATGAAATCAACCCAGACGTTTTCAATTTTGTTTGCCTTTCCGCATTTCAAGATACAAAATAATGATATCATCCCGTCGTTGCATAAGTTTACGCGAACGAAAGCGAAGTTTCGCAGATTTTTTTTCATGCAGCTTTTAGTGTAGCTATTTCGATTGATCTCATTCATTATAATGTAGAATATTTCGTCGAAGGAAAGTTTCCAATAAATTTTGCCACTCTTTAGAATAGCTTATGCGTATTCTTATTGAATGAGATGTGTTTATAGGTCATCGAGTCAAAGGTAGCTCAGGGAAAGTTGGTAAAAGAAAACGAAGATTGCAGTAGAATGTCGTTTGAGGCTGGATCGGAAGTTGAGGTATTGCAAGTTATGATTGAAAAATTAATATACGCTCTCAGCACATTTATACATTCGCTGAATTCTACATACTGGCACATGAAACTATGGATTACAGATATCTCTTAAAGATAATAAAATCTGTATCAGTCGCGGTTTTGGTAATTCGGTCGCATTCGAATCCACTATGCACGAAACAGACAAGTTTCCATCCTTGGGTATGCCATGCAGTACGCGGCCTTTATTTCTGTAACTGTGTAATAATATTTCGTAGAGGCTGAAGAGTGAACATGAACAACAGATGTCACTTCTTCGTGCTGTTAAAGAGGAGGAAGTTTTGCGTTCTCAAGAACAGGTGATGTCGAAATGCAGTATCGAATCTAAGGCTCGTGATGTTTTCTTGTGGTGTCACATCAATCACATCGTCACAAATGATATTTTTGACTATGTGTATGAATACCAAGTACATAAAAAATGAATAAATTCCAGGGAATCAAACGCGGCACTAACTAATTTGAGCTATTAACTAATTTGGTAAATGCCATGGGGTCACTTGCGATATTTTAAAATGAGTTAGCAAATATTGAATGAACAACCACAAATTTGGTAGAATACACCACTATTTAATGATGATTTTGATATTCGGTGTTTTTGAATTCAAGAGAAAATAAGTCCTTTTTTAAAGTACGAGTGACCCCCATTCTTTATATTTTAAGTTCCCATAAGTCTACGTAAGTAGTACTGTGGGACTCATTCATTTAATATATAATAATATATCTCAAGGGGGGAGGGGGTGACTTTCTTCTCGTGTAGTGTTCATATACGTAGCATTCCACCAATATATTTTCATGTAGTACTATCTTTTTCTCGAGGTGGCTAAACTTTTGATTCAGCTGCAGGAAGAAAAAGCGGCCAAAGAGGAAAGGGAAAAGGTAATACATACATATACGTAAGTTTGAAAATGCTTGTCAATAGCAATATTTTATAAAAATCATCGCAGTACGTTGAAAAACATAAGCTACACTACGATGTTTTTTTGTTGTTTTCTGTATTGATACCGTACTTTTAATGTTCAGCGTCTGGAAGAGTTCACTCGTGTTTTGTCGCCGGAGATCGAGATGCCAGCTAAAACGTCAAAGGAAAGAACCGTCGCAGCTGCAAAAAAACACAAGGTATGTTTCATAACCCAAATAAAGGAACCTGATTACATATTTTTCGATCATAGCAGTGACATTTTGCATCAGTAAGCTCGGGTTTGCAATTATGACTTTCTTTAAATGCGCATGCATACAAGCTCCAATGATGTATTTTGTGATCGGTGCTCGAAGCTCTACGAAGTCCAGTTGCAGTGAAATGAAAATGAGATAAAAAACAGCGAAACTTTTTTCTCTTACACAGCGGCACAGTCTGATTTAACGTTTTCAAGGGGCATAATGTCAAACGCTGAATGGGACGAGTCTTTGTAATGGGGTCTGGGGCATACTTTTCCGGCAGAATTTTTAAATCTGACTTGTTTGAATAGCAATGGCCTACAACTAAATCTACTTGATTTCTGAAATGATGGAAATTCTATTGTTACGAGTGAGGCCAACCACCATCTTATAGGGTGGCAAAACTGACGATATGTGCGACTTTTTTACGTAAATACATAGTCACAGAGGTGATAATGTAGGTTTGGTTTTCAAAATATTTGACAGGATTCGTTTTTTAAACTTTCGTTCAACTTATTTTTAGTGAGAGTGTCGCTTTTTGCCACCCTTCAAGATGGCGTCCTTGCCTCACCTTGAGACGGCTGTTAGACATCTAGGGGATTGGGTTCTAAGTAATTGTTCGATAGCGAGGTTGCCTAGAGTATTTACTTACATATGCAAAGTTAGCCATTTGACGAGTGCCAGTTTCTCCTCGTTCTACATCTTATTATTTAAAAATCTTACAAAATCAGGTGATTGTTGTGAGTGATACTGAGATGGGGTCAGATCCCATTCATTTTCATCATGGTTGTGCATCAGCGACCCATGGAGATGACGAAGCACCTTTAAAAGAAAATAAGAAACCTGGAAAGAAATCAGGCAAACGATCGTCAGCAAATTTGGTATTTGTTATTACATCTACTATTTTAACTTATTTTTATGTAAAGGAGCCGCCATTTTACTATATATAATTTGTAAAACAATGTGCCTTCCCGTTTGTCATCAGAGTGCAGTGGGGACCCCTTCATATGGGAACGCAATCACCAAAGTCAACTTGGTTTATTTTGTAACATGGCTCTGCGCGCATTTCTACAAATATATGCGCATGCAATATTTACTATATTTTCCTCGAAGACGATATTTAATTCTAAGACAGAAACGTTTCATCTTGATATAATTTTTTGTTAAAAATAACCGAAGTTGTGTTTAAGGAATTATACGGGGAAGAAACAAAAAAAAACTGGTTTGATTTGCTTTGCCTGATTTGACGTAGTTTCCGATAACTTTAACACCCGAACCTGAGACCTCGCGAGAATATTTTTTCCTTACGCACCTCCCAGTCGGTAAATAATATGCATATATATTTATTTATAAACACGAATATGTTGGTAGAAAAAAGTTCAACTAGATGATGTGACGAGTGTTGATGTGCATGTATACCAAGGGAATAAAGTTTTTAAATAGTGCGAAAATAAACATAAACTTGAACCTTTAAGTTTACACATTGCGTTTTATAAACTCGACAAAACGTCAATAAGCGCACATTTTTTAAACATTCTGAATAATGCCCAACATTTTCACATACCCACGTGATCTAATGAAAACCAATCTATCGCATATAACGTTGAGTATCATTTGAGATTGTATATGTGCTCACGAAAATAGACATACGAGAGCTATCATTTCCTGGTTGAGGCAGTAATTTTTTCCCAACTCGCAATGAAAGGTCTGCCTTATTTTCGCCAGGCTAATGTTGAAAACGTGTCCAACTTTCAATCTTCAAACTTGGGGGGGAGGGGAAGCAGCTGCTCTTCTGTCCCCGTACGTTCATTTCATGTTGCCTGTTGTTGTCAATTTGTTATGTATTGAAGTTTGAAACCATGAAAGCCATGTTATACATAGCGCGGATCGAATGAGCTCATTGAACGTTTTATATAGCATTCGTGTTCATGCAAAGGAGACTGTTCCACCAAGAGATGTAAGTGCAGAGGTTCAGAGAAACAGTGCTCAAGCGACGCATGTCGATGCAGCATTTCATGCAAGAATAGAGCGAAGGTTAGAGTTCAAATGTGGAAATTTATGTTTAGAACAAATTACATTTAAAGCTCATTTCGCCATAACTAATTTTTTTTTAGATATCGTCGCCTGCTGTTCTCTCAGAAAAAGGTGAGGTGTTTCACTTGATAAAGTTTGTGTTAGATAACAGGAAAGTCTCTTCTTCAATCTTCTATTTTGTTTCAAAACCGAGTTCCTTTCGTTACCAAGTTCCTGGTTACAATGAGTGTTTGGTTAAGGAGACCACGCAAAATTTCTTGTCCAGCGGTACTCACTAATGTGATATACACAACATACCTAAGGTTTATAGCTACTTAACATCAGTACACAGTTGGTTATTCAGTCGTAGCGGCGCATATTTTCTTGTTCAGTGGTACTCACTAATGTGATATACACAACATAGCAAAGGTCTATAGCTACTTAACATCAGTGCCCAGTTGGTTATTCAGTCGTGGCGGGAAATTACGTCATTGATTTTACTTTTAACGTTATTTATGTTTATTTGACACATGTACTTATCGTGTGTTTTTTGGTTATCTATCAACTTTGTGTGTATGCTTACCTTCTCATATGTTATCAATTCACCTTATTTTGTGCTTTCTCGTGTATCTTCTGCTAAATATCCTTGCAAGTATCGTTCTTTGTATCTTTTTCATGTCTTTTATGCGATCAAGGATGCTCGAACGTTGTTATTTGGAGGGGGGGTGCATTCGTATAGTTGTAGTCGCAGTTCGTAAAAACAATTGGTTTCAAAACAAAGTTGTCAGGCAAAACACAAATATTTGCCAAATGAATACCCCTCTCTCCGATTAAGTCGCTCCGACGTGCCTGGGTGTATCTTTCCAATGTATAATTCCTTTTCATTGTTCTATTTCTTGTTGTCAGACTCGTGGTTACTTATTTTTTCTTGTGTTACGTCCAGTGGCTTATCGTTTCTTCTTTAATTTTTTTTTCATTCCATCATGTTTCGTAGGATCTTTATTTCGCTTTTGTGAGGATTGAAAGTCGAATAATATTCGCAGATATTACATTGAAAACATTTAATATGTTTCAGTTTTCTTATTTTTGAATATAATGAACTGGAAAAAGCGTTTGTTTTTATTTTTAAGCTGTAATAGTACCAGCTGATAATATTCGAACACCTGAGATAAGTGACTCAAGTGGTAAGTCTTCTGCTCCAGGAAGCGCTTCGCCACGAATCGCGAACAGCCCTTCCTGGAAACCTGGACGCCTCTCGAAGCCGATAAGTAACCTTGTAGGGCCCAGACGAAGATCCTCGAAGATTCACTTGCATAAAAAGAAAAAACTTTTGAATACCAGTAAAAGTATGGCGGATATTTTTACACCCAGTAAAGTATACGTACCGCCAATGAAGAGGCTTGGAAAATCATCTTCGCATGTCAAATTGTAAATAGCTCCTTAATTAAATAAAGGTTCCGAGGTTAATATGATATGACCACCGACCGACCTCGGACGTGACGGCTTTGAAAAGTTCGATCATTTAATTTTCTTTAAACAAAGTTTAACTTTCTCCAGATAACGCTATTTATTTTTCAAATTAATCTGTCCACCATACGCTTCGACGCCATTATCTGTTATGGGTTGACGTTGAAAAGTGGATAAGATCTTATATACACTCTTGTAACGGTTTATTTATGACGCCGTGTGTCTCGCCAATGGGCCATGGCAAGAGGCATACATTTGAGAGGGGGGGGGGTGCAAAACCCACAATAGTTGATGAATATGAAAAGTCGGTCCCAATAACCTTTACATACTTCAACCAAATGTTAATTCGTACATGGATAAAACTGGGCAGACATTTCTAAAGCAAAGCAACTTATAAACGTTTAGGCTACTTGCGTATCTGTAAGCAAAAAGGGAACACTCGACACATTAAACGTTGTTTGCATTGTCTGTTTATAATGTTTTGTTCATTTTGACAAAGTTTTAACACCATTGATAATCATCATTTTTAAAAAATTGGCACCAAGCAAAGGGTATTGATCCAGTGTCTCCACTTTACAACTTTCACTTCCTCCTCCCCGCAAAAGGAAGTAACACACTGAATCTATTCAAGTTTATTCATATATAGCATCCGAGTGTAGAATAGGATGCTACACGGTCATTAAATTGTGGAAGTATCCGAATAGAATTTCCCATTATAGACGAACATATTAACAACTATACACGACATGCTTCTTGTATCTGGTGCTCGTTCAAATCAATTATGTAAGATCATAGTTTGATATTTCAAGTGATGAAAGTCATTGTAAGCGACACCCCAACACCCTTAACATTCTTGCAAACAGAAACTATGAAATATAAAGCGGAAATAAATATGTTTACTTGTCAACTATTGCAGAAACTCTAAAGATACGTTTTAGCTGCATTCAGCACTTGACTTCCCTCAATTTTCGAAATTCACTCTATCTTTTTGTAGTTTTTTGAACAATCTTGAGCAGAAATGACCAATGTTTGATGTCGTAATGTCATGTTGCCCATAGTCGCACATATCCTCAGTTTTGCCACCTTTGAAGATTTTGGTTTCGGTTTTTCACATAAAAACTAGTGCCAGTCCTACATTTACTATTAATAAGTTACTCCCATACTACATGGACTAGTTTATGTCCTACTGGGTAAACAAAAGGAGCTGTCATTAAACACTTTTACAGAATATCAAATAAGACTGAATTTGAAGGAATTGTTTGATTCCGGTACATATGAAATGAGTGAAAAATAAATGTTTATCTTCAATAAACAAATTGCGTTTCAGAGACTGAAATCTAAATTATGTTTGGATAGTTTTCAGGCCTCCTGACAGTTCAAATGGCAAGTCTCAGTTGGAGCCAGGTAGCCAGCCCAGATCTGTTGCTCCCGAATATAAAGGTCAAATGTATATCAACGAATAGGACCAAAGGTCATATTAACGAATAGTTTCTTCCAAAAGTATAGGAATTATTCCGCCAGATGAAATTGATAAGTCCTTTGCTTACGCTTTTATTTTTAAGTATTTGAAACACACCTTTTGACAGATTTCAAAATCTTGCGATGTACCAAACTGCAGATTTTGAGCTGGTATGTAAATTTTAACCATTCAATTAATTAAGAATCGACTGTCATTGCAGTCAGAGGAAACCGAAATATTTGTATTGAAAAAGTTTAGGAGTAAAGTCTGTAATTTCCCTTCATCTTCTTTGTGGTTTTAGATTTTGATGACATGGTCAAATGACGATGCAACGTCTACCAGGGCTGTTTCTAAAACGTTATTTGGGTGTGTGAGTGCTTATTCATATATTCAGTTATGCTCGATTGACTTTTTTTGAACGGGCACAACGGAATACATGAATAAACACCACCTCCCAACACGACCATCCTATCGCTACAGTTGAATCATGTCTTGCAATAGAATCACATAAATTAAATGTAAATTCGAACATTAAAACATTAGTTGAACATGTACGTAGTTTGCCTCACTTTGATACGCACCAAAATCATCACGTGAAACTTACAATCATATTGCCATAATATCACGTGTTACTTGTAATCATCTTGCCAAGTTACCACGTGATATTTAAAATTACCTTGCCAAATCGCTACGTGCTTCTTGCAATAATCTTGGCAAAGGAATTTTACGCATTCAAGAACTTGTACACTCCCAAGTCTTTAATTGCGGTCAACGTCTGAACTTGATGACGGAGAAAATTCCGCACGATTTCAGTTGTGACCGTCGCTTGGTGTCGTTCGTGAATTTCGAGCCTTTCAAAACTAAAGTTCACAAATACATGCTCCATGTTCTTGGAAATCGTCGATTTTGAAGTCGGAAAAAAGTAGAAAATTGACATTTTAGTTGCGTGATGGAAGCCAAACAATGTGCTTGGTCACGTGTTTCCGGAACTCTTGTGGAACTCCCATTGAATGCATGGTGGCGGGGGGTCTGTTGAAATAAAATAGGTAAAGCAGTGGAGGTTTTATGGAAGCGAGGGATGGAACTTTCTTTTCAGTGTCTTTTGATCAATTTTGCAACGTTTATTACAAATGGTCTTCGGTGATGGTTTTGCTTTAACAATTTTCAGACTATAGCTTTGAAATCTGGCTTCTGATATCAGATTGACGGTGACTGACGGAAATCCAATATTAATATCTGTATAATCTAATTCTCACTGTGTTAAAGGCAGAAGACAAAAATTACTTCCCAGTCTAGTCGTTGCGGTTTGCGTACAAACAGAATAAAAAATTTCGTAATCGTCTGAATAACTCATATTTACTTGTGTAAACAAACGAAAGCTTCTAGCACTATCTATAGACGAAAGTACCATGATAATTTAATTACAGGGCTGACGTGTTGCGAAATTCCTTCCCTCGCTTAACATTTGGCTCGAAAAGCAAAGTCGAATCAATATACGTATTGTATAAACTGCCTATTTTATAGAATTGAACAATGCGTAGCTATCGAGTTGTCACCTATACTTGCTACTTTCAAGCTAAGTGCAAACAATTTGTTGTATTCTACTCTATTTTAAAGTTTTTTATACATTACTAACTTAATAAGCTTGACTCAATGCACGTCGTACAAAAACTCACTCACAGTGCATCACCGTGCATTTTGGCTCGCCGTTTAGCTTGTGATACTAAAGCGATTAAATTTTTTCGTTTGTGATAATAATGAAACTCGTGTAGAGACAATGGACGTGTATTTTCGTCCAAATTTAGCGTGTATTTTTCGTGCAATCATTCACTCTCTTTTTGACCGATATAAAGGAAGATTTCTCCAGATGAAGATTGAGCTGGGACGTAGTATTTTTACTCGGAAATTCCTACCTTCCCAAGCCCCTATTAATCGGAAATAGCCTCTTGTACAGAATACTTGCAATGCAGAAACTTAATTTCACTAGAAGAATTTGACTTGAGTTATCTCGAGAAAAACATGTGTTAGCTTTAGTTTTCAAAGCTATATATTTGTGGCCATTAAACAAATATCTTGGCTTCCCTTGTCTAAGCATTCGAAGCGAAGGGCAAGACCTATTTTTAAAAACTAGTACTTATGAAGTTAAAAGCACGTTACATTGTTCATGACTTGCAATTCAGAGTCGTCTTATAGGTAGGCACTCGACGACGTAGGCGAAACTTTCATTTGAGATTGGTACAATTCAAAAATTTGGGCGACAAGAATGTTAGGTTGTTCTATAGGTCTACTTACGTCAGGTCAAGCGTTAATCAAATGGAATGCGTCAACCGGGTGGAACTAAGTAAAAATTTTGTGTGATTTCTATGATACGAGTAGCTATTAAAATTCTAGAATATTTCATTTCATCTAGAAGTATATGAATATGGAAGTCGTGGTCAAACTTGTTCAGCAAATGTAATAATTTAACGACCTTCTAGTTTAAACGTTCGTCGAACGGTTTGAACCATGTTTAAATGCAGAGAGGTTGTAGTGCAATATATATTTTATGCTTAGCGCAATTTATATTTTATGCTTAAAATTTACGGATAAAATTTTGTGTGGCCATTTGCGTTTGAGGAATCGATGCATCGAGACCCTTTGTTCGGTAAAATTTGAAATAGGATATTCAAATGATTGAGCACTGTTTGCTCAAAAAAACCCGATCAATGCCAAGTTTGCACAAAAGACGTTTAATGACGTTCGGCCTCCCATGAAAGCTGCATGGGGTTTTGGATAGATCTGGATGAACTTGCTCGCGTTATTGTAGCTTAACGGGACAAAAATTGCACATTTTTGGATTTAAGTGGATGTGGAAATATTAAAATTCCTTTGAGCCGGGGCGGCAAAGTAATTTCTACCGTTTACATAAAATGGATGAGGCGTCATGACGTATGCATGCTTTGAAAGTGTTTACAAAGACTCTCCAAGACTCTCCCTGTTTGAACATTTTCGTGCAATCTCATTGGTCGAGTAATTGAACACTCATGGACCCTTTGTGCCACATTAGGGTGCGAGCCATTTAAACGGCACAAGTCCAAAACAAAGATCACAATATCAGCATATAACGTCGCGAGTGTTACAACGACATACATAAACAGAGAGAGCTACTATAATAACTGATCACTTTATAGCTCTATCTCGTGCTCATCAAAATGGCTCGATTTACTGAACTAATTTTTTTCACTATTATCGCGTTGGCATTGTGCGCAGGGCTGCCGGGAAGATACCACGGGAATAGAAAACAGTCTGGCCAAGCAAAATGTATTGACAGTAAGTGCGGTCTTTAATATATCAGTGTGTACCATGCTATATTCTTTTGAAGCATGTAAAATTTTTAAGTTGGCAAATGGTCGTCAGTATGACAATTGAACATTCTAGTAAAGATTACCTCGTTTTAAGTTGTACTTTTGTGGAACATGAAACGTTTTCAAATAAAATTATTATATTTGCGTGGTCTAAGTACGTCAGTATTTCACTCTCGTGTTAACTTGTTGATATCTTGGTAACATGATACTATTTCATTAAAATATCTAGAATTTTCAAGGTCGCATGCAACGAAATAGTCGAGACTCTTCCTTTAAAAATAAATAACGATACACGAATGAAAATATTGCGTTTACTAAAGTTAAAAGTTGTACTTAGAAATTATCTTCATTAAATGGAACCTGGCCAGATAAGCTACGACACGATTAAAGTTGTACGGTGTGCAATGAAGACTTTAAGCAGCGCACATGACATTATAAGCTAGACTTGTTTCATTTTATCAGTCATATTTATTTTTTATTTGAGAAGAAATTCAGTTTCCTAAAACAATTCCATCGGTAAAATAGGTTTTCATACATTTAATCCGTTGTAGTTTAGTGACATGAGCTGTGGGGAGCTCCGAGCATGTTGACATTGACTAATTAAAAAGCAAACATAAAATCGCGAAACAATTGGTAAAAACGCGAGAGATTTTGACACAGTTGAATTAAGACAGTTGTATTTTTATATGCAGAGAAGATAAAGTTCAGGCAATGGCCTTATGTGTTGCATCTTTGAACACTTTTTCAGCAAGGACCACTGGACCAGTGGACTATTTGCCCCGCAATTCAATCGGAAAAAATTTCAACGTTCAAAGTTTAAACGAACTTAACCGTTGACAATTCAAACCGTTGGTGGTTCGAGGGTATAGTCAGTGGTCGTTATTGAATGACATTTAGCAGTAATGCTAGAAAATGCAAAAAAGGAGTGCGTCCTTAGTCATTACTTATTAGCATCTATGTGAGGACAGGATTACAAACTGTTGTGAGCAATGAATTATCGTAGTGCTTTGGTGTATTTCGCATTGCGTATTTAATGCACCATGCTTCGTAATCATACATGAAGCCTTTGTCGTCTCTGATGGAACTAAGACTGATATCTGTTACAAAAAACATGCATGAAAAGATAGGTTGTCACGTCTGTGCCATTTCTTTTATTGTGTGAAAATATTTCCCGCACGGCTGTACGCCGCCTTTCCATGTACGTAACAAATACAACAAATCAATCATTAACGGAAAATTGGTTCAATGCAAAAAAAAACAGTTATTAAAAACTCTGTTATGACACCGTGGCAGGATTAATGTCCTTTGTCTATTATCGCTATTGTCGATTTAGGAATTAAGTAAGGTCATGCACTTGGGTACCTGCCAGTAGTATCACGAATGAATGAATTAAAAGTAGTCTAAAAGCATATGTTAAATGATACAGTAGAGAGAAAGCCAGGGAAGCCAGATTTTTTCTATATGGTTTGGTCATGTACATACGAGTAATAATGACTAATGGGTATACATAGGTAGAAAATTGCTGAGCTTAGAACCGCCAGATAGCAAGGAGACATAGAGAAAGATCAAAGATAAAGTATGTGGATTAAGGATAGCCTAAAAGAGGACACGAAGTTATGGTTAGTTGGGAATAGAAAATACATTAGACTAAAATAAATTGAGGCAAATATGTGATTTGTGGTTGCGATCCCTGAGAAGAGAAGCCGAAATAGAGATAAGATTTATCGTAGCTAATGCCCTAGAGAAAGAAATCTTTCATTCTTTATAATATCTTGAGCAAGCGGATGACGCGAATTTGATTGAATTGCATGAGATATTTATAAATACATTGCAATTTTCATAAAGATTAATCAAAATGTTTTTGGGAACGTACTACGCACATACATTCATTGTGTGAAAACTGAAAAAGCAAGATGTTTCACATCTGGGAACTATGAAATATAACTTATTTATTTCAAAGCCATCATTTAAGGTACATCCCCTAATTATTAGTGATTATTTATTCAAAAGTCATTTCTCTGGAACACATTCTCATCCCATTTGCCTCATAAATGAAACACACATTTTCATGTATTCATTCCACTTGTCATATATTCTTACTACTGTGTACTTGGTTTCTATAACCAACTACTTTTTCAGTGGAATAATTTCAAAGTTAACCAATTTGTATTTCTCAATCTATGTATTAACCTTTACAAGGCTATCGAACATCGCGTATAAAAAGACAGGTTTCTTGTATGTTTTTTTCTTCTTATTTCATGTTTTCCCTTTTAGGTCTAAACATATCCGATTTCAAGATTATTCCTTTGTACGAAAACGTCACGTTGACTTGTCCGATCAGCTCAGCGCATGTTTCATTTTTAAAAAACTGTGCGAAAATGAAAGATGGCAGCAAGTTCGTTTCGGGCAAATCGTTAACGATTCGCCGCTTCACATGGAGGAATAACGCCTTGTACACATGTCAAGGAACTGATCAAACGGGAAAGCTCGTTGAGTATTCTTGGCTTCTTCACGTAAAATTAAGTAAGTAACATTCATTAACATTTGTTCTTACCAACCTAACCACATGGATGGCGAAATGCAAACACGAGCAATCTGTAGCGCAAGTTTTGGGTTTCTTGGTGGTGACCAGGTCCAAATATAACACACATTTTTCTAAACTAATCACATCATATTTGCATCTTGTCATATCGAGAACACATTTCGATGAGACATGTTGTACTTTTTAATTGTGAAAGACGAAACACTGTTTATAGTTAACGTTTATAGTCAACAGAAATATCAAACAACATGAAATAATAGCGTCTTGTGTTGGTTGGATAATGCAGTATTAATAAAATACTAAAGAACCTCACTCTGAAAGAAGCCTTTCAACCAGTCGCAATGCGCAACAACGCGACACCTTGTCTGCGACGCTACAAAATTTTTGATTGCATGCGATGCGGCAATAAGCAAACGCACCATCAAGCTGCACTTTCGTTTTAGTCGCGATGACGTCAGTTCTACTATGCGCCATATCGGGCTTTATATACCTTCTTACCTTACTCTGTCTCGGGTCACTACTAGCTCCTTCGATATTAATGCTGGATACTTGTAACCTGATTATATTATGACTAAAGGACGATGTATTCCCACATCATCAAAACACGACAAGCATACGTTTTTTACGTAGTATGTGAACTCACGCTCAGGAAATTTGTACTTTGAATTTGTACTTTGACCTCGCCCTCTGCCACCTTGATTCATACACAAGCGCCTGGGGATAAAAGTCGTGCATTTTTTTTACAATCAAACGCAAACAGTTCAAACTTCTTTATCTTTTAGATTTACATAAGCCCTTGACTAAAGAAAGGCCACTGGGAAGTTACATCTTTATATCTTGTTCATACAGCTATGACGTTCTATACCATTCAAATGATCGAAATGGCCCCAAAAATCGAGTGCCTGTAACTCGTGTCAAATCTTTTTTCGGTGGTATTTATGAATTGCGCCAGTTAAAGTTGAAAGATTCTGGGTTTTACTATTGTGGCTCACGTCGAACTTTGAAACTTATGGTTAGAGGTAAGTTTGATGAGCATGGAATCAGTGGCAGATTACTAATTACGTGGCCTGTAGGCTTAGACCAAGTTGGACTTTAAGTCGGATATCTGTTCCTCCACTAAGTTCAGTCTCTTGATGACATCTGCGTTCCCTACGCTCCTTTGCCTTTGCATTTCCCAGCTTGTTTTTGTAACTCATAGTATCAACATTAAGGAATAAATTTAAACTTCAAACTGGGAAAACCCACTAGTTTATAAGTTCTGAGCATCGTGCATTTGAACAGTAGATTGTACGGTTTTTAACAGCATAAATGGTCTAAAGTAAAAAGATTTCACTGGTCCGAAATTGTAAAAACTAAAAACTAGTTATGTCTAGATACAACGGACCTCTCGAAAGCCCGGGCCTGTAGACTTCAGCCTTCTTAGCCAACTGAGTAAACCGCCATTGCATGAAATATTAACTATGAAAACTAGGCTGCCTTGTTATTTGCATTTCTCAATTACTTGAGGTTAAAGTGGAATGGCAACCAATTTTTTTTTTATTACCAACAAATATTTAAGATATTTAATAGAGAATGAATTTTATATGACATCGTAATTCTCTATAGAACTCTCCTTAAAATCACTTTGAATATAAATAAAATTGAAGAAGGGAAGCCATCTTTAATTTAAAAGCAAGCTATTGTGGAAAAATGCATGACGTCACAACAGGGCAATAATTGTTTTAGGAACCTAGAAAAAGTGATTTTTTTGTCGGGTATTTTTTCAGTGCTGCTATTAAAGCAATAAACCGAACAATGCTTGGCTATATGTTGACGTATATATACAAGACTTGTATTTGCAAAGGAACGCTTACCATGTTGTGACGTCATTTTGTTAAAACATGAAGAAATTAGCATAATAAAATCTTTACAAGATGGCGACGAACACGCTATGATTTAAATCAAAAATGAGACGAATCTTTCCACACAAAAGACAGCGATGACAAATTTTGGTGTTTTTTTTCATATTCAGGGGTAATGTACTATAATAATTGTAAAAAAATATATTGCCATTTTCCTTTAATGCTTGATGACATCAAATATACCGAAATTCCTAAACATGCATTAAAAATAGCCAAAGGCCAGTCTCGTCATTTCGATAAAGCTTATCTCTGTTCTTATTCAGACCTTCCTAAAATTACCGGACAGAGCATTGTGATTCCCGGTAATGACGCTCAATTAAACTGCAAGTATGAAGGACCGCAAAGGCTATCCTGGTATCTCCATAACAAACGACTGAAAAGCACAAAGCCGACTGGCAAAAATGTTAAGCAACATCTAAAGCTGAATGTTAAAAATGTCACCGCAGAAGCAAGATATTATAAGTGCGTCGCCGAATTTGATGGAGACTATTTACATGGAACTGCTCATGTCAAAGTTCAAGGCTTTGGTAAGTCATTAAAGTTGTGATTACAGCCAAATTTCTTTCACTGAATTTTGAAACGGCCGTGATAGGTCAATACTTGAGACGGGGGGGCGGACCAATGATCTTTTATGAATGATGTTTTACTTTGTTAGTTTATGTTGAAGTCGATTATTGAAGTCAATTATACTATAGTCCCGAATTTTTGCATGGTTAGTTCTCAAACATCGCGAATGAATTTTTTTTCAAAGTCTTATCCGGGATACCAATAATTTTTTTACCAAATATATTTTTACTGATGGAATTAGAATGTTTACACGTCTCGTCTGGCTCGTTCACACGATCCGATTGGTCGGATCCAATTTTGTCGGATACCAAAAAACAGATCGTATGAGCACATATAAAGTGAGTCTCCGACAGTCTGATTCGTCAATCTCGAAAATCGGATTGAAATAGAACTTGCTCTATTTTCATCCGACAAGATCAAAAGGAAGCTAATTTGCCTCGAACTTTTTACTCTCTATACTTCCAAATTTGATTTGGCGCGAGAAATTAGATTTGAAAAAGACTTGAAAACAAGGAAATACGCAAACATATCGATAAATGTACTTGATAACACAAATGGCTACTCCCACCACTATAAATATCTAAACGAATATACATGTCAACAAAATTATCGGACCGTCTGAACTCTGAACAAGCAACCAAAAGTGAAAACCGAAGCAATCGGATCGTGTGAACGAGTTTTTAAGTATGCTCATTGTAAATAGCATGCTTAAATAAGTGCATATGTTTTCGTATTAAAAACACAGGGTTTTAATTGCTTTGTTGCAAAATATATTCAGAAAACATAATTGGAATCTTTTTTGCAGGAATTATTGACGCTAATTTGCTCTTATTTTAGCTTTTCTACAAAAGCCCGCGAATCTTGATGACTACAACATTCGAAATATGTTTGTGATGTTTAATTGCATGACTAATCAAGGTTCTGATGCCACATATTCACTTTGGAAGAAATCATTATTACTTTTCAACAATAATTACAAAGAGGTGAAAATACCAAGTACAGACGACGGACTTTTTTTTATTTATGCGTTGCAAGACGGTGATCAAGGGATGTACAAATGCAGTGCAACGTATAAAAGTATTACTATTCAATATGAGTTTAAAGGTGGGATTATGTTACCATCCAAAACATAAGCTTTCGTACAGAGGTGAAGGAGATATACTTTGAAATGTAAATATACGCATAACATTTTATCATAAAAATGCAAACGATATAGTCCTACTACATTAACTGAATTCTCAATATATAATTTAGATAATAGAAAATTTCACAATTGTATTGCGATTTAAAAAAAAGCTTCTGAATTGGTTGTACATACTGCTATATGGGAGGGTTAAAATCAGAGTTTTTTTCTGTTTTATTTCTTTTGAAATTTGCCGTCATCACGGTTTGTAACATCTATATGAAAATGCATCTCCACACAACTTTTCTATTCGCCATCGGCAGAATTCATTTGATGTGTTACAAATTATTTCTAAGTTTACTTCGGCATTGAATTGTAATCGCATATGCTAATTGTTCTTAAGAAGTAAAAGATGCGTATTGTGTTTCCACAGGCTTATGCAAACAGGGGAGACCTTTGGGAGAACTCGAGAGCTGATCATTGAAAGCCCGAGACCGAAGGTCGAGCCTCTGCAAATATGAAAAACATCTATTATTTCGTTTCTATAATTTGAAAAAGACAATTTTAAAACAAACGTTTTTATTTTTCCTCTAAAATTTATTCATGGTTGACTTCAAATTCTCTTTGATTGACTTATTTAATTGGTTGAGCTCAGATCTGCTTTGCACAGGTTAGTGCAAACACAGCTATAACCCAATCAGCGCACGCGTTTTATTGTGTTCATTTTATAATATGATTTTCTCCCTTGGACTTAACACGAATCATACAAGAAAGATTGTATGTAATCCAGGCACGCAGGCTGAACAATTATCAAGGGGGATATTCATATATGCATGACATGGCGTATTAGTTGCTTTTCAAATCCATTGTTTTTTTACGGTTTATAAAATGAAAATATGAAAATGCCCCCGCCCTAATTATCGTTTTGGCTACGCTCTGGCTAAATTAAACTAATAGAGTGTTTGCATGTGATGTCAAAGCGGCCATGTTGGCGGAGTACATCGAAGGGCCTACGCTCAACAGAGCATGAAATTAGCATAAATTCTTTTCACCATATGCGATTTTCCTTAACATGGCGACTGATGAAAACACTGTATAAGATACAGGTAAACTTGAATTTAAAAAGCCTAAGATGGCGTTCTGGATGCATTTAAATTTCAGAAAAGATAATTGTGAAAGTTGAATGATATTTCTTGGATATGTACGCTGCAATGTCGCTCCCATGTACAAATGACATGTAAAATTAGGAATAGTTTCCGAATACCTCACCACATACGTAGGCATTTGTCTGCATGACTGACCTAAACCATATCCTTATTCCTAATCCTAACCTATCCTGATTATTGTTGGAAGTTTTTGTGGCGGGGTATTCTATATGTAAGCATCAAATTGTCCCGCGTCCACTGTCAGTCTCCACGCAAAATCCATTTTTTCTGCGAGATTGCGTGAATTTACTGGTAGTCATCCACGTTGGAAGCATGAAGTAATTAGGTAATCTACTGGTCATTGCATGCTAAGCAACTTAATGTATTTATGTAGGATAAGTGGGTAACATGAATGCTCGTAGATTTTAGATGCATATGTTGTGAACGGAAAAGAACATACAAAGACAAATAGACAATTTCAACGTAGCTTTAACGGCTTTGAGTCCAGCCCGTATTCACTCCTACACTGCAAATATCGCGTTCATTCGCTGCAAATATAATGAACGGGATTAATTCTCTACAAACGTAATTAATGAATTTGCTTAGACATGTTGTTAAAGCGTGGTTTTCACACGTGACATACAACATGAGGATATGCAAGTACAAAGGAAAATAATTCAACGAAGCGTCTGACACAATCATCGACAAAAGCAAAGGGCTGAAAGAATAAGCTCAGCACATGACATAAACGTATAAAATGAATGAAACAAAAACAAATTAAAAAAAAACTTTTTTATTTTGTTCCCTCCAGCCTCTGAAGAAGATGTGTTGCTTTGTTTTCTCGCGTGTGCTTATTTCGCTAGTGAAAATTAGACTTAAAAAGCACAGTATTATGAATAAACATTAGGACCACCTCGCTGTGCAACTTGGTTCTGTATATTATTTCTAATTGGCTACTGGCTTCAGTTAGCCATTTCATTGTTCCTATTGGTCAGAAAATGTAATTTATTGGTTCTATTATGGTGTAATCACATGGATAGTTAGATGTGCGTGACACCATTCAAAGTTTGTGCATCCACTGTTTGTTCTTTATACTATGGTGAAAGTTCGGCCTGGAAACGCCAGTGATCATATCCAAACGTTTGGAGCTTGCATGCAGAGCAAGTAGGCAAAATGGCAACTGCAAATGCGGAGAATGGGGTCGGATCTCGTCGTCAAAATCGAAAGAAGAAAAATATAGTACAAGCATCTCAAGAGATGGTGAACGCTTTTGACAAGATAAGCGAGTCGGTGAGAAGGGCTTACAACGTGAACCAGACGCAACAAGAACGTCTAAATCACAAAGTTTGGATGTTGGACAATGAATGTAAAAAATCTCTGAGCTTGTTGGCACTCGAGCAATCAAGATTCATTCGGCGCGTAAGGAAGTCCACAGATACCCTGTTTCAACAAGGAAGATTGATTCACACAAACGGACGCAAGTTATTAAACGATTATGGTGCGAGTAGAACTCGCAATGGTAAACTTCCATCACTTTCAAACAAACAGAGAAGGCACAAGCGTGAATCGGGGGAAAGCTTCAAGATAAATGCCTTATGTAAATCACCCCATACAAAACCTTATTATTCCCAACAAGAAAAAATCAAACAAGCCTCTAAGTCAATTGTTAAGCTGTCTTTGATAAAGCAAGACAATGTTAATGGCCACTTTGTGTCAAAACAATCAACTAATGAAATTTTGTCACTTGATAATGAATTTGAAACATTTGGAAAATGCAACGCCAAAAGCCAACAGAATGAAACGTTTTTGTCAAGACCGTGTAATGGAGGATTGAGGGCGATCGATAAAAACAGTATCAATTCTAATAAGTCGTTTTTGGTGCTCAACAAATCGTCATCCTTCAATGGATTTGTAGACACAAAGATCATGTCGAGAACGCTTGATGAGGACGAAATAGCTACGCGTCAAAAGGTTGCTTCGATAAAGGATCGCAAGAAAAAAGGCGACGAGGATAGACCATCAATTACAGCAGCGAGACATAAGTTTTCTCAGACAAGTTCAAGTTCTACTAGTGATGTCGATTTAAAATTCGATAAGACAACAGAAGTTCTTGCAAAGAATTATTTCCGGTTGCCACCTATAGGAAGGATTTACGACAATGTTGTAGCAGAACCAGAGAGTAAAGTGCGCACGACGACAGGGGAAGTTGACGACTTGCATGACACAAAAGCTACAAATCTATCAAAACAACGAGCTGTAGTAGATGAATTGTGGGAAAATATAGTGCATTGCCGATATCTCCGCATAAGGGAAAAGGACGCTCTCGCATTTCGAAACCTGAATAAGAATTGCGAGTGCAACTGGTGTCCTATGGTTAGAAAACAATTGCGATTGTAATTTTACAGCTCTGTGTATAAATATCTTTTTTTGAGAAGTTGCTATTGATTGATTTGTGAGCTAGTGGATTTGTTCAATAATATCATATACAGAAGTAAAAAACATATATATATATATATATATAAGTTTGAAAATTTGTAATCCAGGCATTGAATACATAATACATAATACATTGAGTCGAAAGCTCAATAAAATCACTCAAAATCCGGAGAAACTTTTATCTTTTATGTATATATATATATATATATATATTGGAAAAGACATGGCATTTGGTAATTATCATTTATCAATTAAGAAATAAACGATGTTTATTGTGTTTGCACGGGCTTATGCAAATCGAGGAGACCTTTGAGATAACTCGAGAGCAGATCAGTGCAAGCCCGAGACCGAAGCTCGAGAAACTTCACTCTGCGCACTCGATCAGTGAGTGCGTTGGAAACAAATAGAGAATTTAGTCCTTTTACGATAATAGATGTTTGAAGTATAATAAAAAAATTATTTCGTAAATTGACAATCAAGAAAACAAACCAAACATTAGTAGCACCAACTTTCAAACCAATGACATTTTCACAACAACACTAGAGATGTATCGAAAAGTATTTCGTTATAGGGCATCATCATTTAAAGTCAGTCTGGACACACGACAGCTATACCTTAATATACTTTCTAGCAACGGGTCCAATTCTCTCGTGAGACGTCGAAGAAAGTATGTCTGCATAATTTTGGTACGTGTACAATATTTCACCAAGGTTAACCTGCACAGATTTGTTTCAGCAGCTGTACAATACGTGTTGAGAATACAATGTATCACTCAAAACAAGACGTAAATAGAAACTGTAAATTTTCGACTTTATTACAAAGCCACTCGTCGGGTAGATGACAGCCATTTGGCGTAGGAATGGCGTAAATATTTGGAGAGATATGGTCAAGTACACCCAGGAATGCATTTCTTTATTCTTGACAACATATTTTACTGTAGCCTTTATCCCCTGTGCTCGGCCATGGCTTCTCGCTGTTAAATATAATATTCAGTCATATTTTTCACTAAATACTGACCAAGAGGAGCAAATTAAATGTTCTTTGAGAAAACTTTGTATAGTCATGACGGTGTTTTGCAAGATCTGGTCGATGTGACAACTTCAACATAAGCAGCATGCCTTTCATATGCTTAAATTTGGTGCGTTACATCCATTGACAAATAGATTTTTTGGTGGACGTCGTTGTAACTCTGCATTGATAGCTTGCAGTGTAAAATGGAGTTTCGTTGCGAATCACTTCAAAATTTGACATAATAGTCCTTTCTTCTGGTGGTCTCTCATAAATATCTGTAAATATTTCGGCTTGCTCTCGCCCAAGTTGTCGTCAGTGTTCGAGTAATGTTAAAAGCGCCAATCAATTTTGTCCTCTCTTCTGGTCTACTACTATTTCTTACTCTCTCTGCTATTGATATTGCTGTTGTTCTTTTCATTCACAAATCTGAATTCAGCACTATTTTTTTTAAACTATGTATCTGATTATTTACGCATAACCTTATGCTTGGTTCACTCGTGTACTGATCATAAGCTTGAACGATAAACCTTTTATTTCTTTTGCCCTGGAGGTTTACAAAAACAAAGAAATTTTTATTTAAATCTTCTTTTGTTCTTCGTTTAGATGATGCTTTAAGCGCGGGCCACACTATCGTTGAAACGCAACAAATTTCGTGATGAGCACCTTGTCTACGAGAAAATATGACGACACGGCCGAATTTGTCGACGACGAGCAAAAACACCGAAATCGTAAACGAGTGACGAGTGATCCGCTGTGATTGGACATGAAGCATCACATGACTTGAGTTGTGTGCTTAAATAAGTGTCCCTCTTGGTCGAACGAGGTACAATTAAGCACAGTATTTCAATGAAATGCTGAACCGTCATTCTTAAGTATTTACAAGGTCTCTCATAGTCTTGACGAAGCTCATGCAACAGACCTCTCGCCTTCTACTTAATGGATGGAATGCACGCAAAACGTTTTTTTGGATATACGTTGTCGTATAATTTCTTCCTTCGTTGATATTCCTCCATGCTTCTTTTGACAAAATCGTCACAGTGTGGCACCATGTGCTCGTCACGAGAGCTCGTTAACGAGCAGATCCTAACGAAATTTGTTGAATTTCAAAGATAGTGTGGCCCACGCTTTGCTCTTTTCTTTATCCTTGAACATATAGCGTATTTCACATGCTTCGTTGATTGCCTTTTTCCCATTTATTGTACAGCTTAATTTCCTCGTGCGAAACAGGTTTAAGTCTTGTTTAGACGAGTAAAATAAGAACGAACGTCGACATTTTTGTTTCTATTGTTCTTGAGGTTTATAACGACAAAGACATTGGGATTTTCTACAAATCTTCTTTTTGTTCTTCTTTTGTTCTTCTCTTAGCTTATGCTTGAACTTTTTCCGTATCTTACGCTTATGTCGTTACTTATGTCACATGCCATTTTGATTTCTCCCTTGATCTTTTTCAGCGTCAAGCTAATATGAAGTGATGTTATTGCTTAAACCGTGTAACATGGGATTTGTAGAAATAAAAGGATGTCCAAAAAGCTGCTGTGCTAAGAATTGGTTACCGTTTTCCGGATATAGACATCTATACAATGTATATGATATTAAAAGAGGGTAGCTATAAATTCTTCGTCACTTTAATGCTTGTTTTTCCTTATGATCTTCACTTTTTCAAGTGTAAGCTTTGAGTGGAAGTTTTCATGCATGGCTATCAAAGCCTATCATTATATTAACAAACACATATTCCGAGAAGAGTAACTTTCTTTATGACACTGCGAATCTGTGATTCAATGAAAAGGAACTTAAAAGTCCAAAACAAGCTTTTCAATGTATCCAAAACCAAAATCTTTTTCCTTGACATAAGTTGAGTGTTTAAAGAAAACACCTAAAAATGTAACAACAGAAAACCAAAATGTCGAAGCGCGTTTACTTGAATCATACCCTATTGGCAAGATGTAAATAAAAATGGCAAATAATAGATCTCTATATATATTTATTAAGCTAAACGAAAATTGTTCACATTTTTTTTCTACCTGTGAATGAACATGAACTAATCCTTCTACAATCTCACGGAGAATGCGCCACATTCTCTTTTGGTCCTTGTATTATCCCTCGTTAATAGCATTCCTTAGAGTACTCTTCTCACAATACTCCATCTGTATATACAAAGTTTGCAGAGTATACTTTGAATATTCTTGCAAATCTCTTGTGGTGATTGCTTCCTCTTCACTTTCGAAATCAGATTCCTTGCCTTAAAAGAAAGACGCAGGCAGTTATTTTTACATATCTTCAGCAACATCATGAACAGTTCCCACTACTATATACCACGTGAACCAACGAGTTTCCAAATTGTATATGCGATCATCGATATTTCGTTTGAACATATCTTCAGTAGACTCCGTATTATTAATGGATTGTTTTTGTATTGGAGCCTCGTTCTCGCTAGAGCTTTTATGGTCGTTAACATGCTTGGAATCATTCGTGTTTTCATTGGTCAACGAATTCTCATCCAAAACTCTCGAGCATACGCTAGGTGCTTGAACTACGTTCAATTTCTCCTCTGTCGCGCTTGATTTTGTTTCACTGTTGGTAGTTTCATTTTCAAGTATTTCTTCTACGTACCTCAATCCACGAATTACAATATCTGTCATAAATATCAGAGCATTGTTTATGCACAAAATATGCAGATACAAAGTTATGGAGAAAAATAAAATCATCTCTAACATTGTCATAGATATTACGAGTGGCGTAACAAAGTGTTGATGAGTTTTTGATATGCATTTGTCAAAACAAGCTTAAGTAACAAAGAGCGTGCCAAAAATTTATGATTGAAAATTTGCTAACGCATATACAAACACTAATTTCAGAGCTTGTTCCGTCGCAAATTAATTGAGAATTAATCTGACCATGCGTAGTCAAATGCACTAACTCTCCAAGTTCATGGTCATGGCAACGACCAACTGTATGTACTAGTACCAATTATGGAGTAAATAGCTCGCTCAGTCACAAATCATCTGCGCATGCGCAGTCTGCTTGAGCATGCACAATCGAGTTGACCAGCTGCCCAAGTTTATGTTCATGGCAACGACCAACTGCTTCTACTAGCATCGATTTTGAATTAAATAGCATGCTTAGTAACAATTTAATAGAGAAGTCATCTGCGCATGCGCTTAAGTATGCGCAGTCCACTTGACTAACTGTTGATAGTCATGGCAACGACTAACTATATGTACTTGCACTACATTTGTGGCAATTAACTCACTTAGTCGCAAATTATCAAAGAAATCATCTGAGCATGCGCAGTGGTGACTTAAATAATACCACAACTTTCGTAAGCCTTTGAATTTATGTATATATATATAAAGCCAATATTAGGTATAATAGATGTCAACTAGCAGTGGAAGCTGGGTGCGATTGGGTATGCAGTGGCTTAGGGGCCCACACTTCGGTGGCGACCGCACTCTCCCTGCGTACCCCGAGCAAAGCCAATCGCAGGTGATCTCGGGGTCTGATGGGCGGAAGCTTGCTATTGCATCTCCCAAGTAGGATAGCGTGGAGGGGCCGAAATCTCCTACCGAAACGTTAACATGCGACGTTCTAGTGCCTTGCGCTTAAGAAGGTATCGGGAAGCATGGACCGAAAACGGGGTTTTTTGCTTTCGAATTTTATCTTTTTGTTTGAACTAATGTTCATAAAATAAACCAAGCAATGTTTCAATTAACTTCTTCTGTGCACTTTTCATTTGCATTTCCCTCACACTCATAATTTAAGACAACATTAAACGTGTTCTATACAATTTTTATTGGTTTATATCTTTCTGATTTAACTCTCTCCTTTACTGTTTTTCATGTATCACAAGCAAACCATCCATGGGCATCATGGCAGACAGGCATCTGGTCCCTTAATAAACATGAGACGCTCTAGTGCTCAATTATCTCGGGGTATCAGGAGGCATGGATCGAAAACGGGATTTTTTGTTTTCAAATTTGTGTGTTTCTTTACAAGAATTCTCCTCATAAAAGAAACTAGAACATCCAAAGATACTGCAAAGGTTCAAACAACTTCTGCCTTTTTGACTTATAATTTAAACCAACTATAAGCATGTTCATACGTTTTTCACTTGTTACCTTTTCTAATGCAACTTTCTCATAACTCTCTCGTGATGAACGAGAGCCTCCTTGTACATTATGAACAAAAGCATCGATGGGCATCATGGAAAAAAAGGGACTATCTACTTTGTTATAATAGTTTCTACAAAGATAACATTTAATAAGCCAAGCAATTTGTATCGTCTAAATTGAACCTCGCTTTGAACTATATTATGTTATAAAATTTCGATTCACTTCGAATCGTAAATTTCTTTTTACCTTACAATATTTTCATGATTTAATCTAGAAAGTAAATTCTCTTCTTGAGTAATTTTGCGATTAAACAGCACACTTTTCGGATTCAAAGGAATTCTTTTGATCGCATAGAGACAACCCTCCAATTTATTACGTACCGAAGCGTATATAAAGCATTTCCAAATCACGTACAAAATTTCCTTCACATGATCAAATTACCGACTATTGAAACGATGTTGTATGTAATAAAAAGTTACCTTGATCTTCTTTTCCCAAGCATTTGCAACACCTCAAATTCATTCCGAACTCTTGAATTTCTCGCAGCGTAGCCGAAAGGAATAGGCATCAAATCAGGATACTCATCTCCATCATCACAGCCATTTTGATTTCTCCCTTGATCTTTTTCAGCGTCAAGGTAATCTGATACGATGTTATTGCTTAAAACCTTTAACATGGGTTTTGGAGAAATAAAAGGATGTCCATAAAGTTGCTGTGCTAAGCATTGGTTGCCTTTCTCCGGTTGTTAAAGATATCGTAAAACCTGGCTGGCCAGTTTCCAAACATTGCAGCATTGTTACAAATGGCAATCCTGTCTAATCAGCACATGACTGAGAGCGCTCATTTTTTCAAAACGGCTGAAAACACTCCTGGAAGTATTCTAACTTTGATAGTTGCAAATTCGCAATCTTTTTGCGATAAGTTATAGTCCTTTTCGTTTCACAACGATTCGTTCTCATCGATCATCAATTTGCTCAATGTGCACCAAACAACTGTAAATAATTTATAAACTAAGACCTTTTGACACTACAAGGCTTGAAGGAGTACAGTAAGTGAGCTCCAATACAAAAGTATCTCGGCTCGCATTACATGCTGTTATTCTTTGATACGCAAAAGTGCAAGATCTTAAAATGGCAGAAAAAGGCTTCCATGTTGCAGACTACGTCGTATTTGGTCTGATGTTGTTGATTTCAGCAGCAATTGGTATTTATCATGGATGTACTGGAGGAAAACAGCGCACGACCAACGAATATTTGCTTGGAAATCGAAGTATGAAGACATTTCCCATAACAATGTCGTTGCTGGCCTCATTTTTCTCCGCCATAACTTTGCTTGGCGTTCCCAGCGAGGTTTTTACATACGGTGTCCAGTATAATGTTTTGATCCTGTCTTTCTTTCTGATCACGGGAACTGCTGCCATCATATTTGCGCCAATTTTCTATGGTTTACACTTGACAAGTGCTCATGAGGTAAACGAGTGTGTAATAATTTTTTTACCATACGCGCATTTAATAAAAACTAACTATTCACCCTCTTCTTTTAAGATCATTGACAATGCAGATGCTAACTTCTCACTCAAAATCAAAGAAGCACTTCACATGAACAAAACTAACCCTAATCCTAACGTTTTTCCTTTTAACACAAAATTCAGTCTGTAAATACACTCATCATTAATTCTAATCAATATTTCATTGAAATATTGATATATAATCTACTCGTAATTGTATAAACAATACAATAACTATGTCATATTACTACTATATATATTTGTCCCACGCATAATATTCTTTATTATACCGAAGATGGCATCATGAGATGTTGAAACATGTTTATTTTAAACAAACTTGTCGTATTTATTAAATGCGCATTATCAATAGTGCTTGTACGCAGTTACGGTAACATTTTTTTCATTTGTTTGCATAGTTAGTGATTGTTCAAAGAGTACTATTTGCTTCACACAAGACCTAAGTTTAACTTGCATGATTACAAGTGAACGAAAGCAAAATGTTTTCATCTTCCTTGAATATTATTCTGTGAAATTTTATAACCAACTGGTGTTATCATAAATATCTACGGATCATATATCATATAACTTCACAAAATCACGTGCAAATTTCCAAAAGGGAAAATCCAAACTTTGGTAAGTTCTGTTGAAAGCATAAAATAACAACTTTACTAAAAATGCACGATACCCGAATTGAAAGAATTTTTGGTATAAACTCGAATTGAAAGAATATAAAAACTTAATGCACTATATTTAACTGTTTCCTCTACACTTTCCTCTATTAAATGATGTTTTTTCCTCATTTTTTTTTCAAGTATCTCGAACTCCGATACAGCTATGGTGTGAGGAAACTTGGTTGTTTTGTGTTCGTCGTTCAATACGTAAGTCAACATGCCCATGCACTTATTAAAAGCAGCTTTTCAATCAATACTTTTCTAGGGAATTTCACGTGGTGCTTAACAACGATTCGACAAAGAAAACAGTGCCTTTCATAAATTTAATATTAAAAAAAATTCCTATTTATTGTTTGCATGCTCTTTATGACAACGATTTGTTGTTTCTTCCCTAAAAAATCTTTATTTTTGTCATCAATAGTTGCTGTACCTCTCTGTCGTGTTATACGCGCCATCGTTGGCTCTCAAAGCAGGTATCTTATTAAGCATGATTTCCATCTGCAACGAAACATCTTCTCTTCTCGGCAAAAATCAAGGACTTAAAAAGCATGAAACATTCTTTATAATAATATATTCATTTGATATGATTAAAAAACAAAGACATTAACACGTTCATTAGTCAAAGGCCAGACTTTACTAACTTCCAAAACTTTACGTGACTCTAAATTCCGAGTGCCATGCATCATATACTTAAATAGATGTTAAGGCTGTGTATGGTTTGACTCCACCCATAAATCATGAATTTTTAACCCACAAAATCATGAGTGGTAAATGACAATCCTGAATGCGTTGAGGGTATTGAACAATTACGAAACGTTTACCCTGTTTGAAGTGCCTGATCGAAACACGCGAGAATTAAGTGAGAGTTGAAAAAGTGAACTTTTCTTAACTCGAACAACATTCCCAAGTGTTTGCCTGGGCCATTTATAAGCACTTGAGAATATTATGTTACTTTTTTCATAAGCACTTTTTATCCCAGTCTTAGGCAAACATTGGCATGTATTCAATTGAGACAATACGCAAACGAAAGCTCAAAAAGCACAACCAAATAATCGAGGTTTCCGAGGAGAACCCTTCAGTGATATAAGTTTGTGAAATATTTTTTTAAGAGATTTGATTTTTAGTGGCAGGTGTACCTCTTGCCACATCGATCATCTCAACTGGAGTCGTTTGTACCTTCTACACCACTTTGGTAAGTTGGAAAACCGTCTCAACTTTCAAGTCTCCCAACCAAGCAATATCCCAAGCTCATTTTCAATAATTGATCGGTTGCACTGCATTCAGGGGGGGTTGAAAGCCGTGGTGTGGACGGACGTTTTTCAAGCCGTTGTTATTGTCATCGGTCTTATAACTGTTTTTATCGTCGGAACAATCAACGTCGGAGGACTTGGCAAAGTTTGGAAGATAAACAAACAAAGAGGAAGATTGAATTTTTTCGAGTAAGGAATAATTCGTAGTGTCAATGCCAAAATGTTCACGCACAAACCAAACGCTCATTTATACATATTCTTTTGTTTGAGGGCTAAAAAATTTTTCCTTAGCTCAATGTTATTATTTTCCATTATGATTTTTGATTCCAGTCAATTCTGCGAAATAAATTACAACAATGTTTCTATTTCACAATCGTAAGAGTAAGACTACAAGCTCATATATTTGAGTTATTGAAAAGCCCAAAGGGCAAGTGTACAGTTTTCAAAAAGAAGGCAGCACTAGCATTTTATGGCCTTACGAAGAAAGTTATGCTGAGAGGAAAGACTCACTGTTTGAAAACTGTTTATAGTTTTGATCCTGACCCAACTGTCCGTAACACATTTTGGACTTTGACAATTGGCGGTGCATTCTCTTTGATGCTTCCATGGACTGTAAGTCAAGCTGCGGTGCAAAGATTTCTCGCTTCAGAGTCCATAAAAACTGCCCAAAGGTAAGTATATTTTCCCTATGAATGGTATACTACATGAGCTTTTAACAAATTAGCTATTCATATGTCTGTGTAAAGGCTTCTTTGTGAACTGGGCAAGAAAAGATTCGTTCGTATCGGTAATAATGAAAGACATTTTGCGGTATCATTTCATTTTATACACTTTTGGAAAAATTTTTCTGTTCTGTCGATGCTTTCTTTTTCAGGAGACACTTTGCACGATAACACATGTTTCTTATTTTAACAATTTTCTATGTTTGAAATAGGAAAGTTAAAATATGATTTCCCAAGATATATATCGATCATGGAATAATTTTAGATCTCTTTGGCTCAGCATTCCTGGTTTAATAGTTGTGGTAACACTCTGCTGTTTTGACGGTCTTGTTATTTTTGCTGTCTATGCAGACTGCGATTTGAAAGAATCTGGCAAAGTTACCAGCAATGATCAGGTATTTTGGATATCATCTATGATATATAATCATAAATGTTAGAGACCAGGCATGGTGAATGGGATCAGGGTCTATATATCCACTTTATCAGATAGTTTCAATCGGGATGGGCTCTTTTTCTGGCCAATGAAATGACGAGTTCGTGTGATGAATGAAAAGACGACTTTTTAAGATGTCGGCATTTGAAATTTCAGTTGTAAATAGAATTACATTATCTGCACAATCATTCATAGATCGTCAGCCCTGCTATAGTGACGGAGTAAAACAACATTTATAATTAGGTGAATTAATGAAACTCTTATTGTCAATAAAGTTGACGCTGACACAAAATCCGATGAAGTATATGCTGAATACATACCACCCATGCGGGCCCTCTTTCCAGCCCGGCACCAAAATAAAAAACCCCATTCCCTCCTTGGACCTTCGAGTGTCTTTTGCAGTTAGTACTTAAAAGGTTCTACTGCAGATAATATATTGCTTGCTTAAAGTAAGAATGCTTTTTTTTATTTCATAACACGCTTCTTTCGCAGTTTACATACAGCAAAGTAAAAGCAGAAGATCACTGCAATTTGAAACAATGTAAAACATTTTCAGTTTTTTCTGAATGACAAAGCAACTGTATTTTTGAATCCGAACGAAGAAGAAGTAAATTCTTAAAAAAAGAACGAAGTATATCGCCACCCATGACACAAGGGTAGAGACTGCATAAAAAACATTTCAGTGAATCATTTTTGATTTTTGCAAGACTGTAGGCTTGCAAAACATTGAGAAAAAGCGATTTGGAGTAATTAATTAGAAGCATCAAACTGTATCAAAGTCCTTCATGCAAAAATAAATCCTCCCTGCGAAAATAAATCCTTCCGGCAAAAATAAATCCTCCGTGCACAAAATAGCTTTTATGAAATTGCAGTTTTTACCATTTCACTGACGAATGGTATTTCTTAACCATCTGTCAAAAGGCTCGCCGCTCGCACTACCATGGCTCTTTTGAGGTCAATCGCCTCCGAGTGTAAAATCCTGGAAATTTATTGTGCTTTTGCTCATTATTTTTATAAGAGAATACTCTAGATTGTATTGATGCTTTTTATAAAGCCCTATATCCAAATGATGCACATTTTTAGTAAACGAAAAAATTGAAACTTGCAGTTGCTTAACCATTTCTTTGATGTCAGGTCCTACCCTATTTCGTGATTGATAAACTTGGCGGGCTAAATGGCGTACCTGGTATCTTCATGGCTTGTCTGTTTAGTGGATCTTTAAGGTAAGCATCAGCATTTACCATTTATTTTGTCATGCCGTCCCATCTATGATGTCCATATTGTACACGAGTAGCTAGATCACTGAGCTCAGTATCGATGACAGGTGTATGGTGTTAAAATCAAGAAGAAGAAGAAGAAGTTTATAGTTGAGTTTTGTCTTAAGTGCTATTGTTTGAGTGCATTGCCTCTGCCGTGTACAACATTAGGGATTTTTTTGGAGGCTTATACGAACTGGACATTTTACATTTTTACATGACTTTTAAAACATTAGGAGGCTTTGTAAAAAAAAGAAGATAATCATGGCACAAATGCGTTTCCAATATAAGACCAATCCTTTAAATATTTTGTTTGCATGTTTTTGTATTGTTGAGACAACCTTTCTTTCTGCAATAATCTATTGCATGTACGATTCATAAGCAATTTAAACTTTTAAAAATGTGAAACATTTTTTTATAGCACGGCATCTTCTGGGCTCAATTCAATGATAACCGTCGTGCTAGAAGATCTTGTAAAAAAGAGATGGACAAATCTCTCGGACTACAATGCTACGAATATTTCCAAAATGCTTGGTAAGATATATTTTACACAACACATTAACTTAATTTTGTTTACCAAAAACTGCTCGCTTAATGTAAACTAGAAACTTTTTATTTCGTGGCACGTAGATCGGAGGCAACAAATTTCTAAATAACCTCATCTTGAAACTTTTTCATGAATAATCTACCAAGTACACGCTTTGGGTGTTGATCAAACCATACAATTCCAAATTAAGTTTTGATAGACATAAGGGGCTTAATAAACCTGGTTTATATCTATTACTGTAGCAGTAGATAGCACAGTAATTAAGTTCTTGAATGAATGATACAATAATACATTACTTGCAAAGGGGTAAGTGACCCCAAATTTTTGAACAAACAAGTCCAGTTGGTAATTTTTTGATTTCCATCTGGGTAGATGGATATCAAAACCTCTAGCAAATTTCTGCTAGTTAAGATGCACAAAAATCAGCCGGTACACCCATTGTATCTTTTCTTTTTTCTTATTAATTTTTCGTTTATCAAGCTCTGACCGTTCTCGTGAAAATCTATACTCATTTTTTTATACAGCAGTCGTATTTGGTGTAGTTATGACATGCGGTGCATTTACTATCCAGTACTTTAGTACTCTTGTTCTACAGGTGGGCTAATTACTCTTTTACACTGTGTATATCCCTGAACATGGTTAATTTACCATATCTTATACTTAGGTTAGGGGCAAAGCTCAGCTTCAGTTTAATTGGCTATTTAAAATACCCCCAATAAAATCACTATATTTTTTTCATTGTCTTAACTCTTAGTGGTGTAGCTAGCCTGCTTATTCCTACCACACTAATTTTTCTTTGTTTTCCAACTGTAAAAGGAATAGATTTCAAAAGAATGAAGGAAATTAGTGAATGATGAAAATGATGAGAAATTAACAAGTTTATAAATATAGATTTTTCAGGTTGTTGCAATCCTGAGCAGGATTATTGGTGTCAGGTACCAGACTCTAAAGATGGCCACCGCCAAAGATACCGAAACCTTAGTCCACATCAACATCAATAACTCCTTCTCCAGACTCTACTAACTTTGACGATCTAAATTTACAAACATGTAGCATTTACAAACATTCACCTCGTTCTGCAATCACATAGCAGAACTAAAACTTGTTAGTTCACTTACTACGTCGCCGCTTTCTTTAGTTTTAAATTATTTTTTTGCGCTATATAGTAGTTTGAATCAACAGTTTTATTTTTTGTTTTTGCTTTATAATTTAGCTTGTTCACAGCATGTTTGGTATCATAAGCGGTCCTCTTCTAGGAATATTTTTGATGGGTGTGCTTTTCCCACGGGCAAATTACAAGGTGAGTACCCACTGATAACTTCAACGTATACAAAGGTACATCAACACTACAAAGGTACATCATCACTACAAAGGTACATCATAACTACAAAGGCACATCATCACTACAAAGGTACATCATCACTACAAAGGTACATCATCACTACAAAGGTACATCATCACTACAAAGGTACATCATCACTACAAAGGTACATCATCACTACAAAGGAACATCATAACTACAAAGGCACATCATCACTACAAAGGTACATCATCACTACAAAGGTACATCATCACTACAAAGGTACATCATCACTACAAAGGTACATCATCACTACAAAGGTACATCATCACTACAAAGGTACATCATCACTACAAAGGTACATCATCACTACAAAAGTTCATCATCACTACAAACGTTCATCATCACTACAAAGGTACATCATCACTACAAAGGTACATCATCACTACAAAGGTACATCATCACTACAAAGGTATATCATCACTACAAAGGAACATCATAACTACAAAGGCACATCATCACTACAAAGGTACATCATCACTACAAAGGTACATCATCACTACAAAGGTACATCATCACTACAAGCGTTCATCATCACTACAAAGGTACATCATCACTACAAAGGTACATCATCACTACAAACGTTCATCATCACTACAAAGGTACATCATCACTACAAAGGTACATCATCACTACAAAAGTTCATCATCACTAAAAGGTACATCATCACTACAAAGGTACATCATCACTACAAAGGAACATCATCACTACAAAGGTATATCATCACTACAAAGGTACATCATCACTACAAAGGTACATCATCACTACAAAGGAACATCATAACTACAAAGGCACATCATCACTACAAAGGTACATCATCACTACAAAGGTACATCATCACTACAAAGGTACATCATCACTACAAAGGTACATCATCACTACAAAGGTACATCATCACTACAAAGGTACATCATCACTACAAACGTTCATCATCACTACAAAGGTACATCATCACTACAAAGGTACATCATCACTACAAAGTTCATCATCACTAAAAGGTACATCATCACTACAAAGGTACATCATCACTACAAAAGTTCATCATCACTAAAAGGTACATCATCACTACAAAGGTACATCATCACTACAAAAGTTCATCATCACTAAAAGGTACATCATCACTACAAAGGTACATCATCACTACAAAAGTTCATCATCACTAAAAGGTACATCATCACTACAAAGGTACATCATCATTACAAATTTACATCAACACGTAAATCAATTATTAAATGACGTTTACTTGGCACATATAACTTCATTAATTTGTCTTCTGTAGGGAGCTTATTTAGGAGCTTTGACTGGGTTTATTTTTACTCTAACTATTGCAACATGCGGAATGATATATCCTCCGGACAAAAAGGCAGGGGACATTTCAATCAAAGGTTGCAAATTCTACAATAGCACTTTGTATCTTAATCAAACAATCGATGGAATTATTTCAAAGCCTTTTGTGCCTCACAGGTAGGTCGAGGAAAGTCTCTAATGGAAAGTTTCACTTAAGAATTTGTAGATTAGTTGTACAATTAGTTGTACAAATCACAATTAGCTTCACTTCGTATCTTAATCAAACAATCGATAGAATTATTTCAAAGCCTTTTGTGCCTCATAGGTAGATCAAGGAAAGTCTTTAATGAATATTTTCACTTTACGTTTGAAGTCAACTGAGCGCATTACCACTAGTCGTCAGTGGCGTCACCTTACAAAAAGGGCGTCGTCAGGGCAGTCATCTTACAAAAAAAGAACAGTCAGATAAATGCAACTAAATTAAAGCCAAGCCACTGCTACAGCTTTTTCCTGTAGTACTGCTATAGGAACTACTATAGATGTTTTGTAAACAACATAAGCATTTCACAGTTTTGCAAACATCGTGTCAGTTTTATCCTTTTATAAATTTTGACTTGCGTCACTCATTAAATGCCAGTATATAGGAAACAAATTAATCTATGGGAAACAGAGCAGTCTAAGAGTATATAAGACCGATCTAAGGATAACGGATCAATATAAGCAAAACAGATCAGTCTAAAAAACAGATTAATCTTAGGATAATAGGTTGATGCCTATTATCCTAAAGAAGACTAATCGGACTTGGGGAAACAGATTAGTCAATAAAACAGATTAGCCTAAAGATAACAGATTATTCTAAGGAAAAAAATTAATCTTAGGATAACTGATCAGTCTCAGGGAACGGAAAGATTAATGCTCATGCACATGCATAAAAGGCAAGTTATGTAATAAAACAAAAAAAATGCGTCAATCTTGCGTGAGCATATAAGCCTGCCGTTAATCAAACTTATTTCTGAAAAAATCAAGAAGAGAAAACAGTTATATATATGTAAGGCCTAAGCTACAACGTTGATTGAGATGGAGGGATGTATACTCCAGTTGTGTCCGACTGATTTCTTTTGAAAGTGAAGTGTTTTTCGGGTACAAACAACTGAATATATGAATATTCACCATCTCCAAATTAACGTTCTAGCAACGGCCCTGTGTACAATTTAAACTGACAGTGGTGTAAACTCAAGTATTGGAAACATATGAAAATATGAATCATGATGGTTACTCGGTTGCATTATCAAATTAACTTGATGATTGTCCCAGAATTTTTATAGCGTTATTTAACAGTGCCATTTCCATGCATATCCACTTAGTGAGCCGTTAGCAAAGTTGGGAAGCTTGTCTTATTTATGGTACTGTGCTACCTCCGTGTTCACTACAATTGTTGTCGGAGTTCTTACCAGTTTGCTTTTTGGTAAGTCAACATCTCTGAAAGCAACTTCTCGACCAGTCTTAATATTTTTACCGACGAAAACAATATGATACTTGTTAAAATGAAATGGCTTATTGTACTGGAGCAGTATGCAAATGTCCGTGTAATATCCTAGATCCGCCCCTGACCGTGTTAGTGTTTTTGTTTTTCTCCCTGCTCTTGACTTGCAACCATTTTCCTGAGATTTATCAAACAATGTTGCTCGCCCACGTCGGTCGGTGCCAACAACAACACTGATAAAATCGTTTTTGGATCAGACCACCAACGCCGCTGAATTGTAAGTCAAGAACAGGAATAACCACGTCTTTCTTCTTCCTCAGTAGTTGCACCATGTGCAAGACATTTCTGCCATTTAAATTTTCCTGTTTTTTTTTGTGATAATAATATACAGCAAATACTCCTTTTCTCCAATGTAGAAAGAAACAACGATCGTCAAAACCGGCCACGTCCCGAGTTGCTTTTCAGTATTCCTCAGTTTTTCAAATCGTTATTTTGTTGCCAGAAAGAAAAATCGAGTTCGGATGAAAATTCGTATTTATCGATTCAACTGCACAATAAAGAAAAGGTAACAACCTCATCCCCTCTGGCGATACTTTCAATTCGTTTTTGTTCATGTTGACAATGCTCTTTGTACCATACACCCATTGAAACAGCCGATATCTAGCGTAAAATTTCAACGTATATTTCTACTAGTGTACAGCCGTCTCGCAAAATTAGTCGTGCTATGATTATGTCTTTGTGTTCATTTATTGTAAAAACAAAAGACTTTTAAATATATGAAAAATGCTGGAGAGGCCCCCTTCACACAATGTCGTATGGCTAGAATATGATAAAGCTCCACGCAAATCAGATTAAAAAACCTAATAAGTTTACCTTTTCGATGAATAAATAGAAATAAAACACAATTAAAAATGTAGAATTGGAACAAGCACGAGCATTGCCTTTGTTGGCGGCTGTCTACATTGTGTTGAAGTAAATGCTTTGAACCCGGGAGTATCGTTACATGTTTGTAGATGTAGATCGTCCAGGTTGGTATAGTCCTGAGAAGGACTATTTTTGTTGTTGTTGACTGTCGAAACGTCAGTGTTAATACGTCATTGTGTTGTTGACAATATATGTTTAACTTTGTATGATGTTGAATATTACCACACCTTACAGTCAAGATGACTTGCAGTCTTGAAAAGAGAATAGCAGAACTAAAATTTATGGGCTGACAACGCCCCTGCCTGTATTTTACAATGAGGACCACAAAAAATATCGAACGATTATCTGACCAGAAATCAGCATCAATAGAAGATTAGAAGATTCTTTAATTTGCAGGGAAGAAGCAAAGACGAAACTGTTCAACTAAAGGAGATCAATCGTTTGGATATGTAAATTGCTTCCGTTGGTTCTCTACAGTTGCATGCCTATGAAGGTGGATATATATGGGAAATTAATATTAAAATTTACCATGTATTTCTGAAGATCTATTTCTTTACTGCATGCACAATATGCTAATTTGACTATGAATTTTATAAAGTTTTAACAAAACTTTCATATCATAGAAATACGATGATTTTTCTATATCTTTAAGACTAATGCCTAGATTGGTATTTTGTTGACAGATTGCAGAATTAAGTTTATAAAAGATCTGAATTCGACCTAAAAATGTCAGGGGCACGCTAATTGGTTTGTGTGTTGACGATGGGATGGGGTGGCGTAAACATTTGTATAAGTATTCAGCTCTGATTCTATTTAAAGTGATTCAATGAAACTTCAGAAATTTTCTCACCAGTGCAATAGGAAATAAGTACCACCAAAGGTTGAAAAACAACCAAAAGTGCAACAGCCATGTCATTAACCATTTTAATGACAGAAAGGGTGCTGTGTCTCAAATGAAAATTCTTGGTTACAGACTGGGCTATGGCTGATCTCATCAAATATATGATGCAGCTAACATCTGAACAAACATACACGAAGTCCAATGGCTCATGAATGAGGAAAGTTGTCAAAACCACGTGCAACCAAATTCACCCCAGAGCTTCTTCGTAAAGCACAACCATTAATTGATAATTTGGCCACGTTTTGAAGAAATATTTTCATTATTTTCACTACTTTTTTGAGGAAGTTTTCAAGATTTCGACGCTTTGTTAAAGAAAACTTTATGTAGTAAAATTGGCATTTCTTTCCAACTCGTCTATTGATTGTCGAATGTTCTCTCAACAGTAGCAGATATTTACGTATTGTTCATCAACGAATATTGGGGATGCGACATTTGAATTGAAGCGTATTACTAAAATACCAAAAAGGCGGTCAATGCTGCCTGCGTGAGTGTGAAGTACACGAGAGTCACTCGCATGACAAAGGCGCCTATGGTTTCAAATTTTGCAGAAACACACAAATCATATGGTTGTTGATCCAAGACTAAAAACTAAAGAGAATAGATTTCAATATCAGTGCCACATGCACACAGCTTCAATTCCAACACGAATGTTGCAAAAATAATCATCTAAAGATATACGGTTTGGATATAAGCATTCCTTAATTTCTCTCATTTTTGATGATTGAAGAATTATATATTGGCCTGCTATAGCATAAGTAAATGTAAGAAACAAAAGAGTTACCATCACCCTACATATATAATGTATTTTGATTGGGAATGCGCCCTTTAGATTGCGTTTTAGATTGTTGTGTTTTATACACAGAAATCAGAGGTAGATCAAGAAGCACATGAAATCTTTTGAGAGTTTTTATTTACTGGCATGAAGATGAAAACAAAACTGTTTATTTTAATAAAATGACATTTTTGACAAAAGCCATATGTTCACACCTTCATCGACAATGGAAAATGACAGAAGACAACACAAAACAAGCTTGCCAGTTTTAACAGCTCACTACAAACTGGAAGTAAATAACTTTTAAAAAGCTATGTGAAACGTTTCAATTTTAACAATTTTAATAAAAGTAGCTAACAGAAATGTTCAACAGTTAAAAATGATGCACGACTACAGCCCCCTTAAACTTTAAGCCACAATAAAAACGGCACACAGCTACAAAAATATCAAAAATTGGAATCACGGTGGGAATCAACACGAGGCTATATCACCACATCGAAACAGAAATAAAAGGAATCAAATTACAGAATGAAGGCCTGTGGAAGATTTGGGTTAAAAAAGAGTATTTTAAAACTAATAGAATAAGTATATTTAAATTTAGCATTTTCGTGAAAGTCGAATTGGATACGCACCGGTATTTTATGTAAACAGTAAAGCTTATGAACTTACATATGCTGGTAGCTAGTTAACGACCCCATTCACAGATTTTCTGATTGCATGAACTACAAACGCAAGGCAACAGATGCAGTAACACACTGCCTGAGACTGGAAAAATGTATTGAAAGAATCAAAGGACTTAAAAAAAGCGCTTGCTATGGTATGCGTTGTGATATATGGCATATGTTGTGATAGGGAAGGTAACTTTCAGCATTTTATATTGTTCTATTTTATGCATAGAAATCAAAGGTGCATTTCAAAAAGAAAAAAAAGCGTAGGAAACGTTGATTTTTTATCGAATGCCATGAAAGCAAAGCTGTTCAATTTCATAGATGACATTTTTGACAAAAGTCATATGTTGATTATGTTCACACCTTTTAGCAACATGACGGAAGCACAATTAGCTTACCAGCTTCATTGCCAAGCAAGTTCAAAGTCATGTCAAACGTATTCATTTTAAAACAATTTTAGATGCCCGAAGCAGACTACTTGAGTCATCAAGTATTACTATACACGCATATGCCGTTGATACTTTCACCCAAAACGCATTTGTAAGATAAAATCTTAAATTTTGCAAGCTGTAAGCTTTAGGTGTGCTGCCTTGCTCGCTCGTTACGGCAGCAAAAAAGTCTCAGCCTAAAAGGTTTATGCATGGCCATTGTTCTGATATAAATTTATAGATAGACTTTCCATGCCCAAATCTGGAATATATTGTCTACATTTTCTTTGGTAATCACTCTAGAAAATGTTACTTTACGACCTCGGCTTTATGTTTTTACCCCAATTATGCAATTTCCATTAACTTCAAAGAGCGATAAGCCAATACTGCACGTAAAAATTTCTTGAAATGAGGCCAGAAACCCTCGGTTTCAAGCAACCAAGAAACGTCATTTCTTAAAGAAACGTGACACGAGTAAGCAGTTACATATATTTTTACTATTTGGTGCGTACGCTACGACATATGCTATTTAATTTAAATATTGGAAGCATGAGAGTTGACATTTATTGGTTAATTGTCTACGACAATACAATCGCGGGCAGGCTAAATTTTTGCATAGAAGAACTGCATATTAATCAGACATTGTAAAGTAAACACCGCGTCCAATATAACAGGTAAGTCAAGCTGGAGCCTTTATCTATCAAAAGATTTCCTGTGCGAGTTGTTGATTTTTTCCTACGCGACGTAATTAGTCACAGAACATGCATGCGCGTGTTTGACAGTACAAAATAGCAACTTAAAGGTAGCAACGCTATAGTCAGCAAGTTGAGTTGGGCCTAAAGATCGTGCATTAACAAAATAGGGTGAAATTATTTGTAATATGATATCTCATTAACGTTACTCTCGATTCAAAGAGATATGTAATACTTGTATACAATCGGATGCTCTAGCTGTTATCAATTCATCTAGAACGTGTGCGTTGTCTGGAGAAGACGCGAAAATAAAGATTGAAACTTTGCGTTGATAAAAAATGCACAGCCTGACGACAGTTGGAGTTGCTTGGTCAATGCTCTCATTTGCAGTTGCAATACTATGCTCTACAGGTTTCTATATGCCTTACTGGCTTAATGGCGAGATTGGCAATGTCACCGTTCATTACGGTGTCTTCCGTCGATGTTACCCCGCCGAAAATCGGTTGAAACATAAACTTTACATAAACTTTACACGGGCTGAATGTGGACGGTATAAACGTTTCAACGATATTCCATCAACCGAATGGCAAGTTACTACGCTCATATTGGGTGCAGCATGTGGTGTACTAGTACTCGTCAGTTTCATATCTCTACTTGCGATGTGTTTTGAAGATATTATCACGAAACGCACAGCCAGAGTCTGTGGGGCATTTCAAGCCTTAGCTGGTAAGTGATTAAAGTGGGACTCGTTTAAACCATTTACGTCTCTATTGCTTTGACGTTTGCAGTGTACTTTTTTATCATTCAAAACTAGTGAAGTTGAACTGGTGAAAACGAGAAGTAAGGTTGTCAGGCAGGGCAATCATACGTTTCCGTACGTAAAATGTTTCTCATTTCTAACTACTAGCAGAGATGTGAAGTTTTATTTGCACTATGCACGTATCGTGGAGCACGTAGCAGGAAATCAGACCGTATATAGATATAATATTTGACTTATCGTAATCGTATGCATAATTACTGCTGTTTGACTTCGTTGGGCTGCAATCACTATAGAAACAATTCTGCTACTGTACTGCAGTATTACTACAACGAATCGTATTGTAATGGATGTTTCATCTCATACGTGACCAAAGTCTTGACCAAAATAGGGCGCAGTTCTTTTGTTTTCATTCTTATTATAAAAGCTTTTTCCCATGGCGGATTTAGACACTTGTATCATAGCACTCGACATTCCCGTTACCTCGTTATCCTGTGTGAATCATAATCCATATTTGGATCCTGTTTGACGATAAAGCGATTTCTCATCGTTTAACCCTTATAATTGGAATCTAGGCCTAGGTCAAAGACTAAATATAGATGATATGTTATGAAGCAAAGTCTTTTTTGCCATATTGCATCAATTGTCCCGAATTTAAAGTACCTTTGAACCTGCCGCTTAATTGGCGCATTTTAATAATAATGATACCAATAACAACACATAACATTTTACAAACAATAATAATTATTGTAATAATACTAACAATGGCAACAATAATTGTTATTTTATTGTTAGGAGTTTGTTGTCGAAAAACTATTTAACTTTAGCCTTGTATGCAATCTTACATCTACGTTATATTGAAAAATCTATTGACTTGAATAACTACCTCATATGAGTTTATGACGTAAGCTAACGAACCACACAAATATTTGAAGAGTTATTCGCTTGTCTTTGAACGCGAAATTTTAGATTTATGTCATTAGATCTTGCGTCCAAAGTAGCTAATTCCCACAAATAAAACATATTTTAAAATGTTTGCCATTCCATTGGCCAATATGTTCATTTCTCCTCATTAAATAAACACGTTCCTAGCTGTGAAGATCGCAGTAGGACTAACAAATGGAGGTAGCTGGCTTTTTCATATTATTGATGTAGTCGCCTCCGAAAGCTGACGACCTCGTTTAGAACCTCAGCTGCTCAACAGGCTAATCCATGAATGGTGCTAGGAGGAAAGAGATCTTTAAAATTAGCACTGTATTGACTCTTTGGACTGTAACATTGCATATCCTTATGGTCAACAACAGGAAACATAACTTGTAATGCTTTTCAACTCTAAAGTCACTGATTTAACAGGCAATTGCTTCTCGAGTTGAAAAATATATTCACATTTGGCAAGCGAGTAAATGAATTGGCTTTCAAAAATCAAAACGTATTTATTGTTTAACTTATAAATACGGCAAACTTTGCCTGAGACATTTGGTGAAAGTTCAACAAGACTTCATGATCTTATGACTGAATAACGAATGAATATGACAATTGACATGAGTTAGTTGTCTGCGGGAAGACAAAAATTCAGTCATCTCAATAATGCAACTTCATGATTTTTCATCACATTTCTCGCCATGCCCGGTAAAGTCACTGAAGTGCATCAATTCCATTTAATCCAACAATTCACAATACTCTTACGATCTCTTGCTGACAGTTGTTATAATCTTATTCTACATGTATGAAAGACTGCGGGCCTGGCTTGTTTGTTTTTATCATTAGAAGATGGCTAAGAAATTAGCACTCATGGCGGTACAACAGCATAAGATAGCATCTTGAAATTAATTTCAAAGCTGTGAAAAAGCGATAAGCTGGTGTTAAGTATCAACAATCTGCAATTTTTCCCAGCCAAGATTGAGAGATTTTTAAGATTGAGCAATTTTAAGTTGTCCTGTGAAACTTTCTCACGAATCTTGCTTGAAGATTATAACATTCATTTGCATCTCCCATGCCGTATGCCTTTCATCGATCCCAAATAGGTATTTCGAAATTTTTTTGATTGGAGGTACAAATGCAACGCATGCAGGAAGCGCGAACAGTTTTGATGGTTTAATTTAGTTTCAACCTCATTTCAGTCTCGATATAACCGATAAACGATCAAGAAAAACAGCTAAACATCCAAAATTTAGATTGCAATTCAATTCGAAAAATCAGTTCTTCAATGGAAAGCGAGACCATTATTATTTAGTTGGGTTTCTTATAAATTCACACAAGGAATGTTGAAATACGAGTAGAAATTATGGCATTCCAAAAAATCCGAGGCGAGAAATTAGTTTTTTTGGGATATAACTATCGTCAATGTACAATATTAGCTAAGCCCACGTTTCTAAACCACATCTGACATCTCAACTTGTATTTTGTAGAAATTTCAAAAAGGTATGCCTACAACATGGGAAATAAGAAACACCAAACACATCACAAACCCAAAGGATTAATAAGAGGCGCAACTTAATACAATAAGCCTCACATTTTCTGAGATCAATCTTCCTGAATTACGTATCAGTTTGCCGTAAGAGCTGAAAGTATATACTTCATGCAGTTCATTTTTTTCATGTAGTAACGACTGTAGCGGAACATGTGTATAGCAGTATAGCATAGTCGATATTTTATACTTTTTCTTACCAAAACACACGGCATTATTTCCGTCAATTCTATCATATGTTAGCCCAATTAAGGATAAGTAATGAGCATGTCACGCGAATGTAGATAAGCCATTGCATAGACGCAACAATATCTCAGCAATGTCGACGATAAGGCAGATTATACGTGTGAACTTGAATGTGGGAGACAGGGAAGAAAGATAACTCCCTTTCGTAGATGTGAGCTTATTTACATCTACTGCGTGACATTGTTTGTGCTGTTCTTGCATACTAGGGATCTGCTGCAGCGCGCAGACACCTTTGTGTTATCGCGACATAGCAGGATACATTCACATATACGGATATAGACGTCAGTGCAAATCTTGTTTTCATGTTAATCAAAGACAAACAATTACATGAAAGGGAAAAAATGAAGTAAATTAAGGTAACCCTGTGGAGCATAGCGCTATTACATATATGATAAAGTGATAAACACCATTTTTGCTTTAAATACATCACTATACATGCTTGATACATAACTATGCATTTCGCCACAAGCTAGTTTTTCATATTAATAACGACTAACGAGCTTCGCTTCATACAAAATAAGTCTGTGTTTAACGTCTCAGATCAAAAATTACTTCTTTGAAGCGACAACGTAGTAGACAAAATGGTCAAAAGGTGATCCACCTGTTTTGCTGTTGCTTGATTGGGCGGGTATTATAGAAAAAGCTTAGCAAACCAATTCATTTTAATTATTTGAATAGCTGTGCGCATTAAAAAGCAGCGTGTTGTCGAATTGGGGCGTTTTTGCATCCTCCTACATCGAGTAAAGCAACAAATAATTCATTCGATTCTTTCATTTCTTTGAGAAAATTTATCTCTTTCTGCAATAAAAATGATGTACTGTCGTTTTACCGCATGACGCAAGACGGCTTTATGATTAATTCTAAGTGGATTAAAAATGAGATCCGATTTAATCCATACTGATTTTCGTCCTTATTTCTGATGTTACACGGGACATCACGATAATGCTAATTACGTCATAATGATTTTTTTCTATTTAGCTCTATTCCTTGTTGGGGCATGTGTGATGTTTCCACTTGGCTGGAATAGCAAAGAAGTGCGTAAAGCGTGCGGCGAAACTTCGAAACGTTTCCAGATAGGTGACTGCACGATCGGTTGGTCTGCGATGGTAATTGCTGGTGGCACACTTGCCGCTTTCCTGTGCTCGTGTCTTTCTATTAAAGCTGGGAAATCTGATAGAATGAAGGCCTCTGCATATGAAGCGAAGTACGATACGATGCAATTGAAAGAAAAAGGATGGCATGTTTAGATGCTTTATAAATCATTTATGAAACTTCATTTAGTAAGATTGAAGTGGCAGAGATTTCACGTGTACAGTTAGGTCGGATAGAACCTTGTCTGAAGTGGTCATGATCCACAGTTCGAAAGTGAAGGTGCTTCGTATTGTGGTCATCAGCTAATTTTGTGAGTGGGTCGAACTCCGTTTTATAAATAAAATATGTTAAGATGGCAACAACTTTTACTGTAGTTTGTCGTACTTAAAAGACAATACATTAAAAATATATTAAAAATAAAAAAGTTTATTGAAATTGCGATAGAAAATACGATGCATTTACACGAGGTTTTCACGGTCTTGTTTATTTTATGCCAACCTCAAAGTTCGTCCCAGCGAAGAGTAGAGGCAAGACTGATCGAAAGCTCGCCAGGAATGGGTCTTCTTTTGAAACCCCATATCCGATTTTCAAAAAGAACTAAAAAATAAAAAATACATGTTTCATTTTACTGTGAAAATGGTGAAATACTCAGCTCACGGCAATTTTACTGTGAAAATGGTGAAATACTCAGCTCACGGCAACTGTAAAGTAGCTGAAGTTGGGATTTAGGATTAGAGATCGGATTCGGGTTCCATAGTAAAAGATGTTGGATGTTTGGGAATCAACGTGACAAAAAAGTTCCCTAGCTGTTGCACGATCAACTAATTTCATCTGCGGTGCAATAAAGTCTGAATTTGGTAACTACATGTACAATCAGGTTGTGTGGTTCAATGTACATTGAAGTACAACACGCTATAAAAATCATAAATCCGGCTGTGTTCATTACATTTGCCTGATTCATGACTCGGGAAAGACGTTTATGCATACATAGGGAAAACATTGGAATTATATCTTATCGTTTGAACCTTAGGCCAGGGATCATGTAGCATATTTTCCACTGAGGGAAAGGGCATCGACCGTTGAAGCCGGAGAGGTTGATTGTAGGCGATCCGTGGACAAATTTTACAAATTCAAAATGGAGGCATAATTATAGGAGGGAGACATACTGCAAAGACCGAGAACATCGCTCTAGAAGATGCACATTTTAGAAAAACAGACTCCTACTGGCGATTTTACTGGCATTGTAATTCATGTCAATGTTTTTTTATCATCACTTCACGAGCTTTCATTTTGGCATTGTAAAAACTTGACATACGGAGCTCAACATGATATCACTAATATCTTTGTATGCAACAAATAACCTGGCTTGAGTATTTTATGTTAAAGTGAATGGATTCAATATAATTTTTCTCGTTCATTTGCTCATATAAGACAGAGATAAACTCCCAGTCTTTTACAGTGACTCAAGCTAACTATACATTCAACCAGGGGTGGAAAAAGTTTTTTTTCTGGGAACCACAGCCAAATGCTAAAAATTAATGTTCTGGCTACGATCCTGGTTTTGAAAACTAAACAAAACCTAAACAAACAATCTCTCTGATGCCTTGATTTAACTAAATGTTTCGACCAATATGACAACAGGAAGGTAAGTCAGAAGATTGCACATAACTTCAACACGAGCTAAAATGGCCGCAAGTTTCCTCGATTGAGAAGAAACTGTCTAACGTTAGTCTCCTTTTACTGAAACTTACAGGGAAGTCAACAGTTGATTGAAGTGAAAAACCTGAAGATGATTGTTTTTTTTAACTAAAACAGTTGATTTAAATTGTTAAAGATTATATTCTTCTGTTGACTGAAAATTTTTGTTTTGAAAGCAGACTTTATGGTGAGACTTCATCCTCCCGGTAACAGGTTTGCATTGAATAACGATTGAATTATTTTTCACCTGGATTTAGCGTAAACTTACTGCTTTCTCCAGCTTTTAGCTTGGTAGACATTTTCTTGCAAATCTCATCACAAGGAGGATTTGGAGTGAGAACAATAGAACTTTGACCCTTTATCTGCAGTTCAGAAAAAATGTTTGCCGTATAAAGTATAGTTGTGTAGAAGTTTGGAGCAAAGTGTACGATTCACTGTTAGTTATATAGATATATATACAATATTATGTTATAAAAAATACAAAGAGCATAAAAAAGACCGAGTGCCTAACCTGTGTCAACCATGTTGCACTCGAGGAAAATTCAATCTTAAAAAAGGAGGATTTTCATTGGTTAAACGCCAACCAAACATGAATGACAGCTACCTCTGTATTATTGACAATCAAAATTTCTTCATCCATTAAAAATTAAAGTAAAACAAAAAATTGCAAAAACGATGCATCGATCAAAGTGAAATTTCACCTTAAGGTAAAAAAAAGATGTGAAAGAAAAATGACGACATACTGAGATCACTGTCTCGTCTTCACACTCGGGGTTCAACAGCTATAGCTTGACCCAGGTGTGGAGAGGTTTGCACCCCCCTGGCCTTAGCTAGACGGAGTTCAGAAGGGGTGCTGATTTGCCTATAAAATACTAATTTACCAACCAACTTGATCCTTTACTTCCAAAGAGCCACTCTCCTGAAAAATCATCCTGGATCCATCGCAGGATCCACGTTTTTGAGAAGAAAGCAAAAAAATATACATACCTCTTCCCATTTCATGGTCGACTTCTTGCTGTCACTATCGGATACAAAGATCCAATTTTCTGGGGAAGCTTCAGCCATCGGAGGTAAGAAATACGGGCGTTGATAAAACTTTCGTAATTTTTTGGCCAGGGACGGTTTGCAGTTTTCCCTAAAATATTTTATTCCCACTTTTAATTTTTCCAGATGTGCAAAAGTAAGCAATCAAATATGCAGAGGAACCTTTTCTTAACGACATTTCTCGGAGACAGATACCTTCCCTAAACGGACATCAAGTCGTGGTCCCAAGAGTGTCCGCTAACGGGAGGTTCGTCTTTTTTGAAAAATAAAATATTTAATTTTGACTAAACGAACAAAACAAATTTGAAAGCATTGATACAACAACTTTAGGATCTTCCATAAAATAATTTTGCATATTTTGCGCACAGACGTTCATCTAGTAATGTTCGAGAGCCATTACTGAGAGATTTTGTCGCCTTTGCCAGAGTAAAAATGCTTATAAGTCAGGACAGCATCAAGCAAAGAAGAAAGTTGCTCTCCGCATTTACCAATATCCTTGCCATTGACGAAGTTCTTTATTCTTGGCCATTGAAAGTAATTGAAGCGGCGATTCTATATCCTGCGAGAATGCGTCAAACGAGCAAAACGCTTTTGAAACGTCCAAATCTTTTTCATCGAGATAAGTCTATATAAATTAAATTTCGATCATTGTTAACTACAATTTATCCAGAGTAAATAAGCGGCCAAGTACTCCTCCCTCCCTATACGCAACACAGAATTGCTAGTAGCGAAGCCAGCCTATTTTTTACTCCTTATAAAAAGAAAAAACACTTTGGAGTAAATTATTAATAATAATTAATAATAACGCTGAAAAAAATGCATTACAGGAGTAAAAGGTCGGCTGGCCTCATCACTTATGTTTGCATGTTGCAAATTAAAGGCCAGGGGAGATTTTGTAACATTACAGTACATAAAAAATACGTAAGATGTCAAAGAAATGAGAAAAACATTCATGTTACACTACGCAAGGTAATGCATGTCAATTAGCTGCGGTTATCAATATACGCATGGGCGGTGGGGGCTGGCAGAAATTTTGTGTAGGGCTCAGTGGACACAAAGGTGTTTAGTTAAAAACTTTACAATGTTATCAAGTTTTCAAACTTTAAACATAAAAATTGAAACCATTTTCATCTTCATCTTTATCTAAAAGATGAAAAGATATTTCCTCCACTTCGCTATTTTATTGTAATAAAATGACGTTTTTTTACAGGAAAACGTGTATTAGAAAGAGGCATGTATCAGGGAAATGCGTGAATTATGAATTATAAATATGTTAAGGAGAGTTGTGCATTGAAGAGAGGTTACTTAACAAAGAGTCTATTATAGAAAGGCATACCTAAAAGAGAAGCGTATATTAGAGAGAGGCGTGCATTAGAAAGAAGCGTGTATTAGTGTGAGATGCGCGTTCTAAGACGAGGGATGTGTTGAAGGGTAGCATGTATAAGAGAAAGGCGTGCATTAGAGAGTAGCATAAATTAAAGAGAAGAGTGTATTAAAGAGAGAGTGTTGGGCATAAAAGACGATAGACGAAAAAAAGTTGCGCAGTATGATGTTGGATATAAACTCAAAAGTCATATCAAAAGAAGAACAACTGTAATAAATAAGGTATTAAAACAAACGTGTACAGGAGGGAGGCCGAGGCATGAATTACAAAGAGACATGAATTTCTTAAAGCCAGAGCTTATTGGTTTCATTTTCAAAGCATCTCTTTTGTGCATAGACTGTTTTGAATGGGTCGTTATCCAAGGTAAGTTTGAAATAACAACACACTTTGTTCGAAAGGGAGCATGCTAGTAAGCGACTTTTAAAAACATGTTATTACAAGCCTGCCACATAGCATTTGAATCATTAAGTTCATTGATTGAATTCTAGTCTTATGGGCAAAAATATCCTAACATAATAAGGCCAAATTGATTGTTTAAATTAATGCACTTTACTGTTGAGTGACGACTATATGGGAAACAAAGGATAAAACAGTCTAGTTGAAAAATTGGTAAAAAATAAGTCAATCAATGTGGATGACGAACAAGTAACGCGAGTTCGTTCATTAACAAGTTGTTTTCATGCCATAGACACCCGTAATATCAAACAAAAGACGAAAATTATTGATTTGGATTGGTAAGAATATGATTGACCTCCATATCTCCAACAATATAATGCACAAGGCCTTTACCATCCATCCTACCAACGAGCCCCAATCGAACTTGTCAACGCTAAAGTCAGGAAGTCAATAACTGCGTTGTGCGTAGTTGAGCTTAATTATTTAGTAAATGATTATATATGCTTGTACTGGTATTCACAAGAAACGTGACTTCCCAGATATTGGGAAACATATCATGGCGACACTGACCTGTTCCAAAGCGTCAAGATCGATCTTCGCGACATGCGCCGGCCAGTGTTCCGTCGTGTCTATGACGATCACAGGTATTGCATTGTAAAGATATTTATTGGCTATAGCATCCTGGCTCACGTTGCGTACACGAGTGCCTTTGACTTTCACGCAAATCTCACACTCTTCCTCGGTAAGCGTTTCCTCGACGTAATATGGATTCTCAATGAAACAATCATTTTGGAATTCCTTTGTCCAATCCCAGTAAGGCAACAGCTGCAAGTTGAAACAGAAAAGTAATTTGAATTTCCATACAGCATTTCTTGAAACCAGTACAGTGAGAATCAGAGCATATTATTCAAACTCTATATGACATTAGTTTTATATTGTGCACGCATCTTTTATAAGTTTAAAATTCATTTCACTGATTTGTTCTGTATAGAATCATCTGTTTTTTTATGTAATAAATTACAGCACCCACTTTTGCATATATTTACATTTCTAAGCACCGTAGAGGCAAGTCCATTGGTAAAATTAGATTCAAAATAAATTGTGCCGTTTTGGAGGTATTTTTAATTGAAAATTGAGGAGCTATAATTTATTTTGACGAACGCTTGTCTGTTTTTTGACATCTTTGAAGCAAGCATAAATGGATTTAGGGCCAAATAAACAAAGATTGAACTTTAGGTCACACAAAACCTAAGTATCATATATATCGTGGCAAGACAAAAATAAAATTTGGGAATCGGATTTAATAGTGGATGACAACATGTTGGGAAGCCTTTGTTGGAATAATATATCCTCAAAATCCCATCTTTACTTTTTTTGATGCATATCCAGGGGGTAACTTAGTTCTTAAGATTGAGGGTGTGAAAAGTTAATTTCCTTGACATAATTTAAATTTTCTTTGACCTCAAATCGACTTTTTATGTCTACCGCTAAGGATGCCGAAACGTCAAACAACACCAATACAAACAGTCCTTCTCGGGACTCCACTAACCTCGACGTTCTACAAATACAAACGTGTGACGACTCTGTAGGCGTCTAAAACCATTCACTTTAGTGTGACTCGTTGTATGACAACACAGTGTTTGCGCACGACGACAAAAATGTGTTTGCTCAGCCCGCAGTTGCCAAAATAGATAGCAAAGTTCAAACCACCGTTTGATAGACACCTCACAAAAAGAAAGTTCCTCTGCTAGATAACTTGTTATAAGTGCGACTGCACATGAATGAATACCAACCTGCTATTGCCCATTTTTCATACGATAATCTGGGCAATCTTCATACCATTTTACACCAAGACGATTACCATTTTACCAAAGAATGTTGCCGAATAAAGAGCAAACTGAGCACAACACATTGTAATGCTAATATTGAAATTTTGAATGCTAGGATTCAATCATTTGGAGCTTGAAACACTATGTTTCAGGGAGAACTTTCTTCTCGAGTGGTGGTTTATTAATATGAGAGCTTTTCCTCATAAAAATGCGCAATGCCATTATTTCTCAACCTTGGGTGGTTTAAACGACACATGGTCACTCGTTATTTGTTTTATCAATTTAATTACCATCCATGCCTATTGAATACAAAATATTCGAGATTCGATATTCAAATTTCAAAACGGGAAGCTCACGATAGGTTGCAACTGGCATGCCTTGTGTAGTTGTGTTCATAAACGCTATGACGCAGCTCAGAGATACGTTCGCATTATTTTAAACTTATCTCCACATTTATAGACCGAAACTTTTCATATTTGTCAAGGAATCTATGGAAACGGTAAAACGCTCTACAAACTAATGCTGCATGCCACGTAGCAAACGCAACTAATCCGGCACACGCAAAAAAATTTTATTGGATTTTCACAAAAAATCTTTGATGAATTAGTGCCAACACGGATTACGATCCTAATAAGTTGTAAGTTTCTGAAATGTAGTAATATACCGTGGTCTCTTGTGAATAAATACAAGACGTAACTGACAAATAATTCTGCAACAGACCAACGCATGATAACTGCTATAGATGCACAAAAAATGTATGGTTTTCTTTCGAACATCTGCCGCTATCAGCTATCCGGCCAGGTTGAATTTCAATAAGTCATGTTTCTACTACCGAGTGCGAGTTTAACATGCACTTAATTACTCGTTGAGGTTGATATACACAGTCACATACCTTCATACTCGAGAGCCTTCCAAATATACAAATATATCGATAAGTTGGATCGAACCAGAATATAAATGCAATAAAAGCAACTAATGCAGAGATGTACAAGACTCGCCTCCACCATCTTTTCCGACTTTCCTTGTGCCTTTCTTCTAGCAATGGTTCGGCGCAAAGTTCGATTTCCTTGCTGTTTAGACCCATTTTAAGACAGCATTCCTGAAGAAGTCGGATTTCTTTGTCCAATAATTGTAGTTTGTCGACGAACGGCAACGATTTCTCGTCATTGTTGGCTTTATCACTGATCAATTCGATGTTTTCACGAAGACTTGCGTTTGCCATATTGTACAACGGCTGACAACGATTTATCGGTGAATCATCAATTTGAGTAATTGAATATTCATTGCGGTTTTGTTAAGGTCATGGGTGAATATTGATTCATGCAAAAGAGATTCATGGTGTTTTGAGTGCTCTGCCTCTAGAAATTCACCTCCTCAACCTCTGTACGCTCGAGGAGGTTAAACATCACCAAGAGAGGCGAGTGAAAGCTTCGTTTTCATTTTTCATGACGTATTAGCAGCTGAAAGTACACGAAAAGCATCAGCAATAATGCCACCATCGATGCACAGGTGAAATCTGTGTCAATTCTACATTGCTATTCCAAAATAAAGGAATAAGATATTGTAAATATTTCGACCAAGACTCGGCCCACCACTAGAGCACTCACCAGTCACCAGCGGTGACGTATAATCATAAAACTGAACCATGTTGACGCCGACAGTAAAGAATTGCACAAAGTCAGCAAATTCAATACAAAAGGACTCGCTCAAAGGACCCAAAAGGCAATCGCAGTATCGCACTATGAGTTTATTGTCACTTGACAAATGTTCAGTTTTATATAGTGGTGTTTATCCATTGTGTCCACGGACCCATATGCACATGCGCTGTCCACGCGTCAAAGACCACGTTAAACCGTGTTTCCATTTTTGTTTTGTTGAACTTTGTGAATGTTAAATTTCCAATTTGATAAACATGGCTGCTGGAGATTTTTTTTTCACTCCTTGGGTTTTGCTGATTATAACGAGGGAATGCCACGATAAGTTCTTTTTTGATTTTGATTTTTTCGATGGTAAGTAGTTTTCATGTCATCCTGAAACTTATTTTCCCCATTTTATATTGTCGATGGTGTAAAATCTTGCTCCAGCTGTCTGCATCTGTTCTTTTAAGTTTAAAATCAATCAAAGAAAGGGTCAAAAACAATCATTTTTAATGACTTAATGATAATTCCATGCTTGTGAATAATCCAAGTCTTTGGCCGTATTCTTTCTACAGCAATTGCCGTCCGGTGCAATATATTCACAAAATGCTTCACATGAGACTTATTTTAATGAAAGAAACTGAAAGTGCTCCACCGATAGTGTACGTTTTGTTGAGAAACTTGAAAACAAAAACAGAACCTTACATCTTTTTGATGCACATATATGTTGCTTCAAAGGAAAAAACAAAATTTGGCAATTAATTCATTTGTGTCAATGTTCTTTAGAAGAACATTGGCCACCAACCCCTTTAATATCAACCTTTAACTTCTCCTTACCATTAAATAGTTCCATGCCTAAAGCTTGTTATTAGCAAAGGACTTGGATATGGAGTGGTTGTTGGCTCTGCAATGGGTATGGTATTTTTGATGTTATGGTCATGGAACATTTTCAACTCATAGTATCTTGCACTAAGTTGCTTCAAATGTTTTTCTACAGTCAAATTACCCCAGATAGTTAAGGTGATCAATGCAAAGAGCACTCGAGGTTTGAATGTGCTGTCCATCTATGCAGAACTGTTAGCTTTCACCTTAAACCTTTCCTACAATTTGGCAAAAGGTTTTCCTTTCAGGTATTAAAAAGTGATTAATTTGTGTAGTTATCTATATTGTCTGTTTCATAGAAGCTTTATCACTATGAACAAACAGTAGTATTGAGTTTATACGTAGAACTTACGATTCCTGATTGCTAGAATCAGTTAAAGTCTTCATCATTTTGTTTGCATCTGTATTGCCATGCTCAGGAACTTGAATATTTTCACATGGAGTTTTAGTTAAAAACTGAATCGTAATGTAATTAATGTTCATTTAGTACATAATTATTCTGTAAAGACAAACAGAGAGTAAACATAGTGATATGCTGAAACTTTTAGCTGTTTTTTTATCAATCATTACTGCGTGCAATACTCTATGAAAGTTCCTTGGCAGAATGAAGCTGATCAGTGACAAGCTTATTTGTAGATGTAGATCATCCAGGTTAGCCTGTTCCCGAGAAGACTGTTGATGTGGTCTGGCATTTCGACAACCTTCCCTTTAGTCATCTTCAGAGTCAAGTCAAGAGTAAACATAACGTAAAGTAAACAAATGCTGTGAAACTGACGTTTACTCCTTATTTGTGTCAGTACACGTTAAGTTGTTGAAATGTCAGTCAACTTCAACATCAACAGTCCTTCTCAGGACTCTACTAACCAGGACAACATACCTCTACAACCATTTAAAGATACTCCCAGGTTCAACCCATTCACTTTATAAGTGTATCATGGCATTGTGAAATCCATGCAGCTTTTCTGTCTAATGCTTTATCGAGTTCCGTTGATTAATAATAAACCATAGAAGGGATACTTAACAAGACTTTTTGATGTGATGAACTTGCTCTAACTTTATCTTATAGCACGTGGGGAGAAACGTCATTCATGAGTGTTCAAACAGTTATTATCATCATTTTGATATACTACTACAATGCAAACATATACGGAATGGTTTTGTTTCCCTTGGTTTACTCGTTATTTGTGTACGTTTTGAATTGTGGACTGGTACCTTTGGACGTTCACACTAAATTGCAAGTTGCAGTTTTGCCCATTACGTCATTTAGTAAGGTATGAGAACACTCGTTTCCGTTTCCTTCATCGGAAACACGTTGGGATTCACCCATAAAGTTCGAGGCCTCATTTATTGGTCAAGATTGCCTGGGATACATAACTCAAATTCCAATGTCAAAACGCTTAAGGGTAAATCTTGTTGGCCCAACACTGAAACAAAATTAGTCTCCACGTCTTGGGCCCCTACAAGCGTTTTTCGTAATTTGTATTTCAATTGTTTGATTGCCGATAATATTTCACTTGAAGTAAATGCTTATTTCAAGACAAGTCTGTAACGCTGATGTTAAAGTGCCCTACAAATGTATAAAATAGCATTTACAAAATCCCAGTTTTTTTAAACCCATCGGGAAGGGTATTTCTGGACCCTCCCCCACATGACTCACGCTTCAGAGGCCCTTTTGAGGTTAATTAATTGTGTCTCAGAGTTAAAACCTTAGAACATCCATTGCCCGTAATCATAACGACACTCAGACTCGGTGTTTTCACTTCAGTTAAGTTATTTTGAAAATCTTTCAGTGTCTTCAAATCTACGAGAACCTGCGTAATGGCCATACAGGACAGCTATCAGGCCTTATGATCTTTTTGATGTTCGCGGGTTGTCTCGCGCGCGTTTTCACCACGTACCACGAGACTGGCGACATGGTTCTCCTTTCAAGTTTTCTTCTCTCGCTTTTACTTAACGGAATCCTGCTTTTCCAAATTATTTACTACGGAAGCAAGCAGTCTGACGCAAAAAGAAAGAAAATCGAATGATTCAAAAGGGATGAAATTAACTTTGGAAAGCAACATATTAGAATATTTTGAAAGACTAATTTTCATGAATGCATTACACACAATGTAAAGTGATATTTGAAAATACAGAATTGTGATTTTTGCCTCACCGTAAAACGTGTAGGGTGATGTTCAACATGCTTTTAAAGGTGTTGGAATGGTTTCTTAATCGTAGAACTGGATACATAACTGAAAGACTATCCTAGATATACGTGCCTATGCTCTAATGAATCCGAATTTTACATTGAGACACCCATGTGGATTATCATTGTCGCGATGAACACTCTTTTACCGTGCATAAAAAAATTGGGACTACTTGAACTCCTAGTTTCTGATTTCGGTGGGAAGAAGCCTCCAGTTATATTTAAACCTTTGGGTATGCGCAAACTTCCATTTAGCGCTATCGTGAGATTTGAGAAAACAAGATCGACGGACCACCAAATATTTAATATAAAACGAATAAATACCCGAAACTTGGTATTTTACTGTAGCTGATTGAATCTTTTTGATCTAAGATAAATACTGTAAAACAGCCTGCCTGGTAAATCTCCAAACGTTGATTGAGTGCTAAACATTTGTGTTGTTGATCATTTTTGAGTTTGATAATTTTTGCGAAGGGCCAAATATGTAATTTATGAGCAAAATCATCCTCGTTGCAAAGGGAGGCAAGCCTTTGCCGTTGATGTAAATGACGACTTTGCAAGACATGATCTTATTTCAAAACAGATCAAAAGCAAAGTTGGTTGGGAAGATTTGATAAAACAGTAACAAAGGAATTTGAACTTAACTAAAATGTACAGTCGTAATTGCGTAACGGAAAACATTTTAAGTAATAACAGTATTTAACTGTAGCTAACTTCTCCAAAAACAACTATTAATTTAATACTTATATTGTCATTATTTCACATAAATATTTTTACAGATAAAATACTTCTTTTTTTTACCTTTCTCGCTCAGTTCATTTTAAGTATCCATTCGACAATTTCTAGGAGCAGGTCGAAATTGTAATACCTGACAAAAAGACAATTACAGATTATTATGCAAGAAGCATCAGGCTTACGGTTTTCACAACCAAAACCGAAACAAATTTGTCAGCGGTTCGCGCATGCCACATTGAACGCAGCCAAATACTTTCACGCCCCAGTGCTGAATCGCTGAAACGTCAATAAGTTTGAACACCATAGTTTAAGAATAAACCCAGTATTTTGAGAGCCTCTATTATTTGTAAATTTTAGACAGATTCCTGGCGAATAACTTATTTGGTATTTTGAACAAGCGGCGTTTCCAACTTAAAAGCAGACAGGCCAGATTTAATTCTTTTTGTGTCTTCCATTCTAATTGAATCACAATCAAGCAACCCAATGCTGTATACTTGAAGACAAATCTTTGTGAATTTAGCGCTCAGACTTGTTAAAGCTAGATAAGTATTTGTTTTGAAAACTTTCAAAGTTGAAAAGAAAATTAATGTGCCTGCGTAGAAACTAATGTTCATAACAGTGAACTGTAATATTAACTGGAACGCCAACTCCAATATTATGAGGCCATTTTGAAGCCAGCTATGATGTCTTTTTATCTGCGTTTTTAGGCATATTGCCTAATCTCGTGAGGTAAAACTTATCATGGCCATTTGTGCTATTGTATTTTACGTATATCGTTTATTTTTTAAAATAATATCATGGAACTTCTAAAAACGCATAAAAAGAAGCATCAGTATTGGCTTCAAAGATGGCGGCGCAGTTAACGTTCCAGTTAATATTACAGTTCACTGGTTCATGTAGCACAAACACTCGCATTGTAACACACCTTGCAATATTTTCGAAAGTTTTCATTTTCTCGTGAAAAGCTTCCCTCTGAATCATGTTTACGTAGTCTCCGGCACAGCGACAATACGAAGCCATGTGAGTTTCTTTCACCTACAGTCCATGGCAAAAAGAATCGATGAGTGGACAGGCGCCCAAGGATAGTGCAAAGTTGTAAATTATTGTATGTAAAAATAGATCTGAATCTGTATGCATTAGGTTTGCAAAAATTAACATTTGTTTACGCGAAAAAGGTACTTACGCCATTGCATTTTGAGCAAGAAACGTCTTGTAAAACAAACGCCATCGACTTTTCTTGAGCGTGTTTAATCAACTTTTGCTCGATTTCCAACATGTCGTACTCACTACGACAGTATGGACACTGTAATGCAATGCTGAATAAAAGAACGAAAATGCAACCTTCTATTAGATCAGTGATTACTAAAAATACTGCATTGCATTCTCTATATAGAGCAACTTTACTCATTCCAAAAGGGTTAACTTAACTATCAAAGAAGCGACCTTGAAGGTGTTCCAAAACAAACCGTTAGTTTAAAGAACATGACGTCGGGTGTAAACGCTTTATTGCAAATTTAAGTGATATTAAGAAGGGTGGGTTTTATCACACGGGTATTTATGTCAATACTACCAGCAACCTTTTGTCATTTAAGACTACGTTCACACGATACCGCTACGAAACTCTACCGGTATCGTGTGAACGGGTTCTCATACTGTTATGTTTCGTTGCAAATTTATCCTATCCAGCATCATTTAAAGACTTCAATAATGAGAAAAATAGTCAAGTGAAACCCACACACAAGATGCAGTCAACGCTTAATATATGCGAAGGAAACATCCTCCTCACGTGAAATTCATATAGGCTGAGATGAAAGAGAGTGAAATCTCTAAATGAATCACTTCTCCGTGATTGCTTCTAGTTTTTCAGGTACAAAATCAACATCCTCGAAAATTTATCAAATTTAAAAATTTACAATAAAACGCGGTTTGAAAGCAAAAAAAGGTTAAACATAACATAAACTTTCGCTCAGGTGCCGGTTGCGCGAAATCGAGATAACGTTATCCATTGGATAGCAAAAATCTTCAAAGTTGTAAAAAAGGTTTGTATTTTTTTACAATAAAGAAATTTCGTTATCTTTAAAACAATATTTTATTTCAGTGATTGTTTAGTTCGAGTCTTATCCTCTTTTTAAAAGGTTTTATAAAAGTTTAAAAAAACTTGCTATCCAATGGATAACGCTATCCAGACTTCGTGCAACCGGCCCCTGAAATGTAAATTTACCGGTTGTTTCCCTCGGGCATCACGATATTGCAGTCACGACAAAGATTTATGTCCCGACATCCATTGCAATAGCCACAAATCACCTGGGATGGAGCAAAAAAATTTCACGAATGACGTAGAGACTAATTTGGAAATCTACAACACACTTAGTTATGCGGTAAAACATATTTTGAGTTCAGCGACATTTGTGAGAAAATTTGCCAAGAAACTAAGACAGATATCTGCTAAATCTTCGGCAAACGAATGATTTGCATCTTTAACTGGGTTTGTTCATCTGTGAATTTGCCATTTTATACATGTCATTTAAGACAAAAATACCTCAGGAAGAACGAACGATAAACAAGGATCGATGAACGATGCCTCGATGGAAAATTCACCAACTCCAATTAACTTCAATAAATCACGTCTAAGAATTAAAAAAAAGAAAAAGCTTCAACATCGTCGATGAAGAAGAAGAACACAAAAAAAGTCGAAAACACGCGTGCAGCTTAGACATTGCAACAATGATCGATAGTCGATAAAAATATACCAATTTTCTCTACATATTCACGCATGCAACAATCTTACATATACACTGACATCATAAATACACTCACCGAAGTTTATTTACTTGGTTTTGTGTATTTGAATCTAAAGACAAGGCCTGAAAGAAATCTAACAGTTAAAACATCAACACAATGCATTCCTCTCGTGCAGCATGGCGTTTTAACTCCACTGTAACGTACCTTACAAACGTACTTCACAAACTCCAACGCGGGGTTATTGAGAGAAAGATGCGAGCCAGGTAGGAGTGGGAACTCGGCACTAGGATCACGTCGAGCATGCGTATTGCCTGACAATATCTGTTGGATTTTTTGGGTAATGCTTTGACGAAAGAGGAATAATAAACGTGAGGAAAATTTTGCAAAGTTTTAAAAAAACTTTCCTGACTTTGCTGCAGAATGAGATGGACTCTGGTCAAATACCGCAAAAACACGTACACACACAAATTCAAAATATCAGGTAAAGCGTTACACTTACGTGAAAAGCTGTTGTGCTAGACTGCCTTCGATTCGATGTTGAGTAAAGGAAACCAAACTTGGAGTGGTTGACGAATCCGACATCTTCTGAACGATTTCAAAAGCAAAGATATGTATCAAAATGATGACCCATATAATTCCAAGACAAGGAGGGGAAGTAAACATCTATAATGCTTATTAAGTAAGTGAAACCTATGTCAATTCAACTAAAAGCATCTTCAAAAAATTCCCTTTACGTAGGTATGTTTTATAGGCATTCTTTGCGAATGACAGTTACAAAATAGATATTAGACGAATCCCAGGGTGAAGGAGAAAGCCATAGAACAAAGATATAACTTGAAGGCTGCTTACGGATAAACATGCCCGGTGCCCGAATGCAGGTTACCCGGAGGTGAAGTCTCGCATTTTGCTTACTGTCGTTATGAACTTTCTTTGCATGGGTTGTGTGCGTGGAATGATTGGGACTAGTTAAACCGCTGGCTTGAAATACTGGCGGGTGGTAGCCATCATGTTATATTCAGTTCAATGGGAGAAGGCTTGTGTATGCGGTGTTGATTAGCTTAATAGCAGTGGGTAAATAATCATTTTCCATGAACTGTTCCATCAATATTACATTTCTTGTGGCTTGAACAAAAGTTAAGCGGTGTTCTATAATGAAATCGGGTTCTTGCCCGCTAAAAACGGGTTGATAGATGATAATACTCATGTAGACCGACATAGATTACCTATTTATTTTGTCACATAAGCCGTGCAAAAGTTTAAGTTTACTCAAATTCATTCACAGTTTGCAATCCTGTCATTAAGGGCCTTATTCTTGCTTGTACAGTATCCTAGACATTGATAATCCCTTCCACGAAGGGCTAAGGCATTACTATTAATTTGTTTTACCTAAGACTGAGATATGATTTCTGTTACGAAGGGCTTTAATGCCACTTTTATAGTACCTGAGATTGGGATGATCCGCCACGTTTTCTAATCGGAGTTGATCCAGGTTGTATGAGCTCTTTTTCTGCCAAGAGATGTTTGTATATAGCGTGGATATGTCCAGCTATGGCAATCTAAATTCAACAAAACACATATGTAAAGAAACCTGATATCGCGAGACGCGATTGGCTGCTGTAGCACGCGAATGACATACGTCACACTTATGTCGAAGAAAACCGAAACTTTACCTGAAAAAAATTTTGGCAAGAAGCCGATGTAGGCAAGTACTTGCAAATGTTCCAGTTCATTTCAACTTGAGGCTAGAATCATAAGACGTTCATCGTGACGATATTGTTTACTCGTTCATAAGAAAATTTAACCGAAGCAAATGATAGACGTTTTTCACCGGGCCACAAACTTTAGGTGTTGGATTGTTTGAGGTGAAGTACAATAACGTCAATTAGGTAAAAAAACAACAACACACATTTCGAGCATCGTTTACGAAAATCTGACAAAAGGACTTTTAAACGGAATGTTGGTCATGGTAAAGTTTCCTCAGGTTAACATGTTTCCTCAAGTTATTTAGCGCGGGGCATGTTGTGTTACTTTTTACCGATTGCAGATAATCAATTCGTTAGAAATCAAACGAAAATTTGGGAACATGTAGGTTTATGATTTATGTAATCTCTCACCTCGCCACGTTTTCCTTCATTACCCGTCTCTTCGACATCCGTGTCGCTATTCTCATCTTCATTTTCATCGTCAGGCATTTTACCCCGGATGCCGCCGTAATTGGCCTGAACGCAATATAAACATTTTTTTTGAACGCATTTCTCGATCACAGAGACATGACTTCATACAACATTATTTTATATCCATACGTCTATCTATATGTGAAGATTTTTACACGGATGGCCAGGTTGTAGTAGATACATACAAGTCGGCTTCCTTTGATATTGTCGGATCCGACTGCGGGAGGCTCACTTTACATGTGTTCACACGATCCGTTTTTTCGGATCCGACAAATCGGATCGTGTGAAGGGCATTAAAAGTGACGGATCCGGGATAATTTTGTCGAGGTGTGAACTCTAGTTTGAATCAAATTTTCGTGTCTACCTGGTGTTTATTGCATGCGTGGGAAAAACCACAAAAAAATGTTGCAAAATTCTACATTAATTTCGGCTAATATTTTACCTGATCCATCCACAACAAATATTCCCAGCAGCCCGTAAGGGAAATATCGAGACTGTTGAACAGATCCTTTGACTGGATACTTTTTAGAATGAAGCTGATGTAACTAAACGCATCGGTTACACTAAATTTGAAAAAAATATGTGTTTTCAAATTTGTTCGAAGGAAAATACTCGAGATATAAAGGTCAAAATAAAAATCATGGTAGAATAAAATAAGGTGGCATAAATCGTCAGGGTTTCCGTGATGGCATTTAAATTCAAATGCACTGGATACCAGTAGAAAAAAAGAACTTACTCGACAAACTCGCGGGATAACTGTTCAGAGTGAGGAAGTTTTATCTCAAATCATTTTCACACTTTCGCGCAGTAAACACAGTGCTACTGACATAAGTCACCACCTACGCCTTATAATCTACGCCAGTCTCAAGGCAATTTACGCCTGATAATTCTATAGCATATTCAACATGTCTTCATATAATTACATGTCAATCTATAATTCTTCTAAAATAGCCTCTTGAAGGAGCCAAAACAGAGATGACTTGAGATATTGAAATTTCACTAAATTAATCTCCTCGTGTTCATCGTATCGACCATTCTAAATTACTAAAATTTCTATCGCCAACAAAGTCACCCGTAAATCACAATAAAATCGCCAACCTTCGTTTCTTTGTGCAGATGATGATCTTGTTAAAGTTGGAAAAACTACAGTCGCGCCAAGTCTCTTGAACTCTGCAACAAGCTGCAACAAAACGAAACCATAAAAACTTAACTTGGATTGAAGAAACCCAAGGGACAGAACAGATGTCTTTGCTTTTCAGAAAAGTTTACAAAATATACAAACTTGCAAGAACAGTTTCTTCATCATTCCTTGCACCAAACGAAAAAGTGCTGGATCGTGCAATAACGACGAAGGACTCTGAAGCCATCTGGAAAAGGAAAAAGTGTCACGAAATGCAAAACCAGTGTTCGCAGGGATACTAAATATTTCAGGTGTAAGAGAGTGTAGCGAATAAACCATGAAAAGTACACAATCAACGTTGATAAATCTGTGGGTGTAAGAGGATTGAGAGGATAAACCATGAAAAGTACAAAATCAACTGTAATACATCTGTGGATGTAAGAGGATTGAGAGGATAAACCATGAAAAGTACATGATCAACTGTGATAAATCTGTGGATGTAAGAGGATTGAGAAGATAAACCATGAACATTACATGTATACTCAATCGTACACAAACAACTGTAAAAATACTTCTCAATTGTACCTACCTGTAAAAATGCACCAGTTGAAGATCTGCATATGGATTTTGGTAGGAAGATACTTCATGTAACCAGCTGTGAATTAACGATTTCAAAACTCTACGGAAACAAAGATAAGCATTTCGTTACGAATGCAGTATGTCGTATGTGGTAACTCAGAAGTATACTAATTTGATATTGAAAAGTGAAAAACGGTTTTGAAACCTAAAAGCACGTTTTCATTGTAATTGTTGGGAAAGAGTTTGTGACAGGTCTTTGAATTATATGCTTCATGCTATTTCAATATTCTAAAATCAAACAATAAATAGTCAAATGTTCGACGACGCCAAATTGTCAAGGATTCGTTAATTTACATGGCGACGAAAAATACTCTGGCTGTACGTTTTTAATTGAAGTATTTTGTAGCAATTTTTTTCTGTTTTTTGTACGTTTGCATGAAATGCAAAGAGAATGTTTAACACGATGTTCTTTTTCGTGGTTAACACGAGTTTTAAAAAAGGTCACGCGGTCTTAAAGTACAAGCCAAATTATCATAATGTAATTTTGATCCGTACGCAGTAGACTAAAACCTTGCTATACCTGAAAGCGCTAGCACAAAGTGCAGACTCATCATATGCAGTCAAAGAAGCAGAAACACCACCTGCATTGCTCACCATTTCCTCCAAAGAAACCTACAGTTGAAAAATTATATCTTTGGACCATCATTCAAGAAAGAGACCTCATCAAGCCGCAAGGCGTCTTGGTTGGACTCGTTGCCAAATGACAATGTATTGTATTTTGAAATTGTCGAAAGTCAACTTTTTTACTTCTCCAAAGTTGTACAACAATACCTGGGCAACGTTTTCAAAACTAATCACGGAGCTGGCTCCACCTTCGTAGTCATTGATGTGTGAAGACTGAAAAACAGAAAAAAGAATCCTTTCAACGATACGTATTGCTTGAAAATACTTAAAATCAGATGGATGAGTAAAACTTGTACCAATAGGTGCATCGATTGCCACGTTGGAAGAAAATGCCATATAGTGAAAAGAATTTATGTTAATTTCATGCTCTGTTTCGGCACTCAATCTGATGTCCTCCAAAATGGCCGCTTTGACGTCACATGCAAACACTCAATTATTCATTGCGACTCATATGAGCGAACTTCGCTTTATAAGACCCGTTACCTGCAGAACAGCATTGACCGCGAGACCATCAAGCGATAACTCAATGCAAACAGTAGGATAAGCACCAGAGCAGTTTAATTCTACTGTGCTATCTTCATTGAATTGCGTTCCAGGTCTAAATAAATGAAAGCACACGAATGAAGCTATGAACATTCTGCTCAAGCTTTATCCAACTTTCAAGCACCAAACCATTCTAAAATTTGAATGCAAAGCAAAGAAGACATTTCTTTGCATTTTCTACTACGGTCATATGAAAAGAAGCGTAAACTTCAGTCATTTATTTTGCACATTGATTGAAGTAATGTGAACTTCAGAACACGGCTATCAGATGTCGTTAATGACACAAATCTGTTTTCTTCATACATGTAGGAAACATTAAATACCGCATGTTTGCATGTACGCATGGCTTTCTAAAATAATGCCAATGACACTGCACGAATTTTTCAACTCAAATTATCACTCATTTCTTTAGAAATTGAATTTCACTTGTATAAACAAAACATTATTAGCATAGTAGGAACAAAAAAGAGCTGACTTCACCATTGATCGTGACTTTGGTAGCTTTCTAGTTTTGATAAGATGTACCTATTTTCATCATCTTCCTTCCCTCCCAAGTCGGGTCTGTCACCGGGTGAAAGCCACAATACGTGATTGTTCTTTTCAAGATTGCGCGCATAAAACACATCACAAGCAAACGCAGCTGCATCAGCGGTAATATTGCCAAGCGGTATATGGCAGAAGCGCGCATGTTCCAACTGGGCCTGAAAGAGAAGCAAGACAATCATTCAGCATAAATTACAAATTCATAAAAGCATTTAGCTAAAAACAGTTGCCGTTCTTTGAATACTAGAATGCAATTTATATGTTTACAAAATGAAACGAAAACTTTTTTAAGATTACTCCAATACAGCAATCTTTTTTCAAAACGTATTTTAAACACTTTCTTCTTCTTTAGAAAGTATTCGACATCTCCGCTTGCAGACTGTGCGAGAAATATCACGTTTGTAACACAAGAATCCCAATTCCTTCAACCATGACAGAAGGAAGTAGGAGTAGTCAGTAGTAGATCAAAAAGATAAAACACTAGCCGTAAATAAAACGAACCTGTAGCCAAGTATCGCTGTAAAGATAATGTTGTATAATTCTCTTGGCAATATGACGTTGCCAGTCCAAAACATTGAATGGTGCCTCGCTAGGGTTAAAATAAACAAAGTAAGACAAAACTAAAACGTGGATAGTTGCAGTAGACGAACAAGGTAGGAATCGTAATCAAAATATAAATACTGAAGTCCAGCATATTATGCGTAAAACAGCCATAAACACGAAATGTTAGCTACCTACAACAATTTTTAATTCACATATATTTTTATATGTTCGGCATTAATGATTATATTTAAATTAAAACGTGTATGTCAATACTAGTGTCATGACCAGCCTTGGTAGTTGGAAAGGAGGGGGGCTGGGGAGAGAACGATTTAAAAAAAAACAAATAAGATAGGAAAGGTTATGTATAATAAACAACAGCTGTTTACGCCACAAAACAATACTTAACGAGTGACTTGGAAAAATTGATAAAAATGAACATCTTTATACAGGTAAAATCACGACGAGAAAATAAACATCTTTAAATATTGTTTATATTTTTTATATTGTCTAAAGGTCGTAGAAAATCTAGTTGTAAGGAAAAACACATATATGCATGTCATAGTGCATGGAAAAAAACAGAATGGGACACACTGCATGCAACGCGAGTCATATCAGTAAAACGGTAAATAAAGCACAAAATATTTTTTTGAACTCACTTCTCGTTAGTAGGAATGGTAACAACAGGAAATTCGTTCAAAATTGGAAGATTTGATTGAAGGCTATCCTTACCTAAAAGTATTTTGATATTTCAATAGAATAAATTAAGTATAGGTTCTGTTCAGGGTCTCTACAGATGAGCAATTTTTTTGACAAATTTTTGTGTGGAAAATTTTTCTTTGACAAAAGCATTTGTTTAAAAGTTGGCATGCAGGTCAGCTATTGAGCAAATGGATTTGTCGTGCAGAATAATTTGCCACGTGACCAATTTTGTTTATCTGAACATGCTACAAATATGATAAGGCAAATCAACCTGGTGTATCATGGGCAAACAAATATTTGTCATAGAAAATTCGCTCGTCTCTAAGTGGTTTAGATAAAAGGTAAAAAACAGCAGTAAAAATTTTAGTTTCCATAACACGATTAAAAATGACACGATGAAGCAAAAAAGAATCGGATGGATAGAAAAATGAAGGTAATCTTACCCCACGATGACTGAAGAAGAATCATGGTAGGTCCTTTCTTTTCCTCTTTATAAGTTGATAAAGTACGTTGAATAGCCCGAAGTGCCTAAAGGAGGCGAAGTAAAATTACTCAAAACAAGAAACTACGCATGTATCCCTAGAGTGATGGTAAAGAAGCTGCTTGACATATTCGAGAAAAGGCAGATGCACATTTAATGAACAAGAACGTTTTTTCATGGCTATTTCAATGGACATTTATGTCACCAACTCATGACGCCATCCTTCAGTGATGATATTATGACAGCATGTACAAAATGTAAATAAATTATAATACAGTGGCCGGTTGCACGAAGCCTGGATAGCATTAGATAGCTAGTCTTTTACGACTTTTATAAAACCTTTTAGAAAGCAAAAGATATAAGATTCGAACTGAGCAATCACTGAAATAAAATATTGTTTTGACGATTACGACATTTCTTTGTCGTAAGACAAATACAAACACCTTTTTTACAAATTTGATAATTTGTGCTGTCCAATGGACAACGCTATCCAGGCTTCGTGCAACCGACCCCAGTGAAAAAATGTCGTGAATCACTGTTTTGATTCGTGAATCAAATGACATAAATCAATTTAAAGTTTGTAACACACGCAATATTTATATACATGTTATTTATTTCAAAAGAAAGCGATTCGAAAGCAATTGTGTCCCTGCCACAAATTCAAACCCGAGTTAGTTTATGTCGTGTGAATAGGGCTATAGTTGAAGGTAGACGAGGAATTCACAAAAATTGGTAGAGATCTTTAGAACACACACAAGAAATAGGAAAAATTGTTTAAGTATTATCTCAATTGATGCGCCATAGATAAAAAGTAAATGCTCCCTTACATGCTTACTGTCCGTGTCAACACGAACTTCGAATTGCAAATTGGCGGGTGTGAGTGCGGGTTTCTCTTCACCTTCTTCAGCTGACCTTTTGATTCTAGTGGCACGAAGGTTGGAATAAATTTATTGAATAAAGATCCCCAAATTACTTTAACTGTTCTCACATGAACAGCGATTGATCGCATATATTCGAAGCTTATACGACGTAGTCATGATCGATAGCAAACCTTGCGTTCCTTTCGACTTGATACAAAGAGTCAAGATTTGGCATGCGGTTATGCCGAACTGTGTCAACGATAAAGATGAAGACCTGTCAACGGTTAAAAAACAGTTTAATGTACATGCAAACTAAAAATGAACCATGTGGGAGGCATGTTCTTCTTATCTTGATAGTATAATGTTGATTGCGTGATAACAAAAGAAAAAAAACCTTTTGTGTCGGATTGATGAATATTCCGTACACAGCTCTATTGCGCCTAAAATTAAAAAACCATATATGATGCACACAAAGTAAACCTTTTAAGTGTACTTGATGAAAAATACTTATTGTCTTAAATAACACCTCCAAAAACTCTTTTTCAAATATCAAAAATTTTTTTACATCATTACTTCTTGGACTATTGAAACAAGTAATACAGAGAGCATCAATGGGTCAGTCGTTTCTTATGACTGTATGTGTTTTTTTTTGTAAGCGACCAAATCAATTTGCAGGTAGTTCTGCACATTCTAAACTCGTATAGTGCGAACTAGCAGCGAAATGATTCTTTATTCTTTTTCATTCGAACTCAATTACGAATTGTGGTGCGTAAATATTGCAAAATGTAATGGGAGGAATTTAAATTTTATATATTTCCTTGTGCGCAAATGATAAAGAGTTGCAGTAAGTTTCAAGAACTAGGAAGTAGCGAAGCTACCTAGGATCCTAACATCTGACATTCATGCCATTTTCTACATTCGTTACACACTTATGTCCTCAATGTTTTGTACTCTAAAGGGATGGATCTATAGGTTAAGTTTGTAGGGGGTGGGGGTGGGGGGTGGGGAGATGTGCTCCAGGTTTGTATTTAAAAATTACAACTTCGATACTCGTAAATTTGAAAATGCTGATCATAAGCAGCTCAATCTCAAAAACGTCACAACTTCAAAAAATATTCGTAAAAACAATAACGTTGAAAAGAAAGTCCTAAGACAAGAAACTACACAGCACATTAAACCATTCCGTATCGAAGGCACTTTCACCTCAATCTGGATTTTCATGTACTCATAATTGCCATTTTTTCATTTCATCAATTGGTACTCGATAACATAAAAACATACCCTTGACAATGATAAATATATATGTGTTTCACGCTTCCTTCGACGAGGTACTTGTGGTCAGCGTTCGTTTTAAAGTCCAGTTGATCCAAGTTAAAATTATCGATATCCTTTACAGGAAAAAGGAAAGGAAACGTCGATTAATCGAGATTAATGATTAATTGAGATGGTAAATAGCAACACTACATCTTGCATAAAACTATATATTTTCTTATTTCAATATTTTTACGAATAGAAAATACTCACCATTCCAGAAAACAATCGGGAAAATATCTTATTAACAGAACACACGCAACCCAACGAAACGATGGCTCGAAATAAGAGTGGAACCTGAAAATGCATTTTGTTTCATACAAAATTTTTGCTTCAACTTTCGCACTGAAGAATCGTAGCTACTATATAGTGTTCTATTGCAAATGCTTGAATTTCATTGGTTACTCTACTCAGTTAAATAGAAATACGCTGCTATTTCTGTTAAATAGAAATAAGTTTGAAATCTCGCGATCAAGCAGAAACATGTTTTCGATGAACAAAGTCAATATTAGATGAATGTTTTTGATGAATAAAGTCAATGTTAGAAACCAACGACGCCAGTCTGGAGTGTACTAGCCCTACCATCGCAAGCAACGACAGCACACTGAAATAATATCAGCCACAACCAATCCCTCAAGGTCCTATCTTTTCACTTCTACTTCATAATATCAGCCACAACCAATCCCTCAAGGTCCTATCTTTTCACTTGTACTTCTATTCCCTCACGATCTCTACCTTTATGTTTTGGCTAATTTAATCTTTGTAGTAAATCTCATTCCTACATTAACACTTTTGATTTTTCCTGTTATTCCTCACTGCAATAACACTTTTGATTTTTCCTGTTGCTTTAAGCCTGAGGTTCGCACTGGTTGCAAGACAAGCGTCCCTGACAACCAAGTAGCTAAAATTCTTTGTTTATATTTGCGTTATACATTTCAGATATCGGGAAATGTATAGTGCACATATGGAAAGTGAGTTATTGACTGCCATACAATATTATGGATTGACTGAATGATATTTACTTAATGTTCACACTTATTGTGTGTAAATCTTGTAGCGTAAAATTGCCGATTTTTATTATTTTTTAGACAAGTAGAACCCAGGCTTCTATACACTGCTGCTTATTTCACTATTACCATGCAGAAACGAATAGAAACAGAAGGCAGTATAGAAACAGAAAAATTCAAGAATTTTCCTCTACATTACATTCACCTGAGACTCATATATTCCTTCAATGTCTGGAGATGATAAATCAGTAGAAAGTTCACTGAAATGAAATATTATCGAATTAAATAAAAGAAAATATTGAGGTCAAAGTCGGAAAATGCGCTTTTAAAAGTTCAAAAATTACTCTTAGATAGACGTAAATCTGGATAACAATACCAATCACAAATGTAACCTACGTTAATCAGATTAAAAACTGGGTTAAATTTACCAGATCCAAGTCCATATATTTAGCAAATGTAAATGTTAGAGGTGATTTAACATAACGAACTTATTCTCTACCTTGCATGCTCTCTGTACAACGTCTCAGCAACTGAATATTCATACAGATAACCAAGGGTTGAGAACGAGGTAATGTTCGGCTAACACGACGCCACGCTAAAATAACACAAAATGGCATTAACTATAGCGACATAACATCGCAGAAATGATGGGAGTGGGGGTTGGTAAGTGTTTTAAAGATAGTCACGTGCTTTAATAACGCAATCCAAAAGTGATGACTTAAAAAATGTTTACTTATTACATAACCTTAGAACATAAAGGCCGAAAAATAAGTTAAGAAACAAATCAGCGTATAAATATGAACCAATGTAGTTTCATATAAACAAAGAAAAAATCTGAGAAGTGATATAAATTATAATCCAAAAAATACAATTCATCTACACATACCGGAGCTCGTTCCGTCCTTAGCCTTTATGCAATTCACGAAAATACTCTTGGAATGTTCAATTTGATAGCATGAAGACCGAACCAATCAACGCCCAAAGTTTGAACAATCCAGGCGTTTCTGTTTCAGCAACCTAAAACAAAGCACAGATCCACATCCCATGCATACAACTCGAGTTGACCCTCTTTCTCACTATATGACCACACATTTCCCGACCCAATATACTGTATGCATACTTGTATCAACTGCCAATGTTCATCTAATATTGTCTTCGTCTTTCTCTGAAGGAATGTTGACAAGCCAGTGGACCTTTTTGATCGCAAATTTTTGACGTCGTAACCCAAGTTAAGAGCTTGCGATTTCAAACGTTTCTTTTCCATCCTCTGCTTTCGTTGATAATCCCATTTTTGTTTTTGAAATGCTACCCAAACGGCTCGCTCCTCCTACAGAGACAAGACGTTCTTTGTACACGCATAAAAACATACGCAACAAAAAAAGCTTTCCGAAGAAAGCAAAAATTTCATCGCGCGTAATAGATGAACTTCATAATTATCAAACTGATTTCTTTTCAATTTCCAATTCACGTACTTTCCATGAAAAGTATTATTTCATCTTTAATCTAACATTTAAAAAACGTCTTTAATCGAACATACATCCATAAATTGACGAAACTCTAAACGTTATAAAATGGGATATGCAATGAAAACGGAATTATTGAAAATGATCACCGTTTAATGCTTACATGTTTACGTATAAAATTGGTCTAAAAGGTGTAAATTTTATTTACCCCAGGTTTAGGTCTAAATTGATCTAAATGTTATTTGCCCCAGACTATTACACATGCATTTCAACGAGTCATGTGTTCATTTCATAAGTTATGGTAAAGATAATCACACGCAACATATTGAAATATTAAGCAACAAATTGCTCACCATCCAAAGTACGCACTGTTTTACACATCAACTGTTCAATCCGAAGTAAAACAAAAGCTAAACAGCTCCGCGACGTAGTTTACGCAAATTGCTTAATTAACCAAACTATAGACTGTTCCACGTATCAACTATTCATTCCGCAGTAAACCGGTTGTTACCTTGGTCGAGCCAAAGGGAGGAGCGGGGCCAAGAACTTCCATCCATGGTTTGGAGAGGTCAACGTGGGACATGTTCGAGGCATCGAGAGAAGAGCTTTTTCTCTTTGTGACCAGAGGACGAAATGAAAGCGAAGAACTTTTCGATTTTGTGATATCTTCGATGTCTTCAACGCCCTCCGAATATTCATTACTATTTGAAACACTATTCTACAGGAGAGTAATAAAATGGCTTCAACATTCTAAAGAGGTACATAGACTCCCGTAACGAGCGACTAAATTAGAGACTTTGTCACCCTGCTTCATATTATACACTAAATCATCTAGAATTGAACGAGGATCCACGTAAAACATCGATCATAAATTCTCACCTCAAACATGGATCATTGAGGATGGAATTGAAACTCATACACGTTTTGCTCATAAGTTTTCATCTCAAATTAGGATCATCGAGGATCGCATGGGGACTTTGTATGTTGCTTATAAATTCTCACCTCTTCGACAGCAGGTTTAGCAACGACAGAAAACATTTGCGTGATTCTTTGTTGCTTGAAAACATCATTTTTTTCCAACAGACGTTTGTGCAACCAATCGGGATGGCGACATCGTGGCACAGGATTGGATACCTGTTTTTGAAAGCGTTAAATATACGGTATAGTGTTGGTGTACAACAAATGCATAAATAACGAGGAAGTAAACAGATAGGTAAAAAGATGGATAGTGTATCAACTCAAACGGGCAGGGTCGCTAAGGCGAGTGTTCCGTTTGAAAAATGAGAGTTTGAATCTATCTCTACGATCAGGGTTAAAAAACTGACGATATTTATGATTAATATCTGCTTTTCCTGACATGATATACAGTTGTATAGAAGTAGTCCAGTTTTAATTTTTAAATGTTTGATAAGTTGTGCTTTTAAACCTTCTTTTAGCTTTTTTTATTTTGAGTTTTGCTATATGCCACCTTTCAAAATGGCGTCCTTGCCTCACCTTGACACGGTGGTGAGACATCTAGAGGATTGGGTTCTAAATCATTGTGCACATGTCATACATAAATGAAAAACTTACGCCTTGTAATGCAGCAGGAATGGTGATAATCTTTTGAATAGCGCTGTTCAATCTTTCGACATAATAGTCCCAGTCCAAAATATTCCGAATATCGTAGTTAGCCAACCCCGGACATTTTAACCACCTACGAAGATAGTGCCTCTTGACACCATCCTCGGTTTGGAAAATGGCCAAAGGTATGGCACGTTCAGTAACGGGCGAACCTTCTGGTTTCCTTGCGATGATAAACTTGCAGCTCAAGCCTTTATCCTTCACCATTTGATCGCCAAGAAATTCTGCCAATCTCTTGGCCGTGCTGATGGATGTCGATTTCTGCGACCCATACTCTTCAAGCGTGCGGGACATGCTTCTGTTTTCGCTAATAAGATCACAGAGTTCGCTATCTGGCATATTTGAGGCCTAAATGAAGAGGAAAGCAGAGTTTGTAGGTCGATCAATGCATCCTTTATTAGCATGAAATATCCTCTTCATCAATTCACAATCGGATTCGTTTATACACGGCATAAATGACAGACAAAGATTTCCTTTTTAACGTATTTTAAGTAAATTTTTAAATTTTCTAAGTTTTGTTCATCTTCTCATTTGATAAATTGCTGAAAGATTATGCAAAATCAACAAGACCACATAGACTACAGTTAAAACTAACATATTTCATATACACTTTTCAGACATATTTTTTCTTCACTTAAAATTTTCTGAATTCGTAACATCAATGAAACCAACGAACTGAGCTGAGATAGACAGAGCACGCTGTTTGGTCAATTTTCAGTATGGACAAAGTCATCTGGCCCTATCATATATTCATAAACAAATGACCCAACGCTTCAAGACGAAGATATAAAAGCTGAACAAAACAACAAACAGCTTGTATGTTCTTGGTCACAAAAAAATAATCAAAAACTGAAAAATCTAAAAATAGTGATCAAAAAGGCATACAATAATTTTCCCAATGACCGCGTTTTTTGATTATGTACGGGTAAGTTAAACCAAAAGTACAGACCACTGGTAAAGATCATGTAGTCAGTCAATAAGTCGTTAAAATAACCAGGGTGATCATGGTTTCGAAAATATTGCTAAATTGAGGTTGAACAATTTGTGAACGATCAGCGTGAGGAACGAAGCAAATACTGCACATGAAAACAAAGGAAAACTTCAAATTCAACTCAGGAGTTATGGAGAAGTACCTGCGAATAAAGAACGTCAAGCCAATAGTTCGCAACTTTGCCAACTGCATGATAAACTTCCTCGAGGGACGATCCTTGCAAGAACGCTTCGAATACAGACGACTGAAAGTTCTTAATGAGCTGCAGTTCACCACGACGTTTCACTTCGAAACCTTTCAACTCGGCTAATGAACCATCTTCGTTGAAGACGGCGTACCTAAACACATCTAGTTTGTAGAATCAAAGTGAACGTTTACATAAACTTCAAAAAGTGTGTGCTTCAAATCTACAAGAACGGCCATCAAAAGTACGACAAATATATAGACAGTTTGATTTTGAGCGAGATCTACCCTGGGATAAAGTACGCAAATGTGACTAATAGCATTAGCAATATATGCGAAGCTATTCTAGAAAAAAAACTTTCGTTTTCTACTGTATCTATTCCTATTTAGGCAGCAAGCACTAGGCAGATAATTATATTATTCAAAAAGAAGCTTAATTTCTTCTTTCTCTCCAGTCTCAACGAGGCAAAGGAGAAATGTTACCTCTTTTTCAGTTTCTTGCCTTCTTCTTTTGCTGCAGGCAATATCATAGCTTTGTAAGGGCCGTCAACCTGTAAACAGAAACATCTCTTTCATATTACACTTCGATTAAATAGCAGTTCTACAATACAATGCACTACAAGTCAACATGTACATCAGCCAATCCCTAGGTGTACTACAGGTCTGTACATAAAATCCAATTTCATACCAAATGACGTACTACGTAGCCTGCTCGCAGCCTGGATTTTCTTACTTAGTGCTACGAATCAACAAATACCAACCAAATCAATATTATTTAATTTACTACAAGTTAACCCATGACGGCTCCTTTACCATACAGTGCACAAAAAAAATCAAAACTAATGGCCCATTTTACGATGCAATCGACAATGTCTTCGAGTCAAACATGTATATATCAGCCAATTCAAACTAAATAATATACTACTAGTCTACGCATAGAAACCAATTGCATCATGTAATGTACAAGTCATCTACAAATGAATCAACACATATGAACCAACTGTATATTAATATAATGTATTACTATGAAAACGCACAATAGCCAATTCTACAATATAATGGGGTAAGAGTAAAGTCAGTTAACGGATATCATCCGAAAAAACCCACAGCAGCAATAATCTGATTGAGCATGAACACCTTGTGCAGAGGTGTTGCCAGTTGTAATTAATGAAACCAATTAAAACCACTTGCGTACCTCAAAAAAGATCGAATTTTCACTTCTGATAGTATACCGTATGTCGTCTTTATCAACGAGTTCCTGGTATTGATCATTGGTGAAATAATTCTACAGAAAGAAAATACGCGCACTACTTGTAGTGAATAGAATATTAACCTTAGGGAAGATGAGATGAAGGATGTGTAGTAGTAAATATTTGATATCCCAAACTGCACTATTTCAATACACGTAAAGCTGGGTTTCCACGTAGTCATGTCACAAACTATAGTAAAAAACACTAAAAAAAGTTAACTAGGCTGCGGTTTCTAAGAAATATTTGGAAATGAAAACACCTTATCATTTCGGATTTTTTTTGACGAAAATCTCCAACATTTTAAGGCAAAACTATACAACGATGTTATTTATTCCAAAGAATGTCGAACCCTAACACCAACCTTGACCATGATGTTCAACATCGCACCAGGAAATGAAATCGTCACTTTACTTTTCTTCGGATGTGTACTTTTCACCTTAAAACAACATGATCGAGAAAAATAAAACACCATCAATTTATCCTCCTTCAAGAAATAGAAACTTCACCCCGTGATACATCTTTTGCGGGAATTTTCACAAACAACCTTTATCAATATTTTTTAAACTTTTTCATAGTGCATCATAATTATGGTTCGATCTTTCATTTGCAACCATACATGGCTCATGATTTTGTACATACCAAAAAATTTTCAGGAAAACTTGCGGGAAGAATACACCAAATTCCATCAGTGTCAAGCTCTAAAGGACGTCTACAAAAATAGCATGGAGCCGAAAACAATACACCTTCGATCAGAAACTCGCTTATCTTGTTGTTGTACAAAACGGTATCATTTATATTCATTACCCAATTTGCTCAACAATCTCTCTAGCTCTTGTTATGATGTCGGCGCCAGTACAACAGACAATCCCGGCCATTTCCATTGAATACCAACGAGCACTATAAAACGTACTTCAAGTCTTGTTATCTTTTCAACGACTGTACAAGAAGTGCAGGCTCAACAGGACAGCGTTGTTACTAACCCTATCACATTTGTTATGATAAACTATTCTAAAGTACATACCCTTTCCTCATGACGTAACCATAGAAGGAATTTAAAATGCACTTATGCGCGAGTTGCAACGAATCGTACAAGACTTCTTTACTTTTGCAACTATACAAGAAAAAGATTCAAAAACCACGATTGAAAATGGAGCCTTATATAACTAGTTTATACATCAAACATCGGACAGGGAAGGAATGCTTTTGTGAAAGGTTATGAGATGACTTTCTAGTTATCTTCTTTCGATCCTTTATTTCTACCTGTAAACAGTATTCAATTTACACCTTCCAGAAGCATAACGACACATACGTATTTCACTTTTTTAAAACACGACTGTCGGTTATGTAAAAGTTACTACTCTAATAGTCATTTTAAAGAATTCTACGTTTGTCAGCACACGCTTCCAGTTTATTTTATTGAATTGTTTTGTATTGTGTTGAAAATGGTATATTGCACTGTATTATTCGCATGGAACATTTTAAAATGTATTGTAGCAACTGAATACTTGGCAAGTATTGTATTTTGTTCTCAAAGTAAGTCAAACACAATTTTTTCCTCATCAATCACGGTTCACAAATATCCAAGCAAAGATCTTCAACTACACAATGAAAATGATACACAAAATGTATAGCAAGTAACAGCACATCTTCAAACAAGAACAAAAAACAAAACCTTTTTATGTCCTGGGCATCGCCTTTTTCCATCGCCGAAGCTAGCTTCTTTTTCCATATCTAACAACAAAAAGTACAAGAATAGAACTTCTACATAAACCAGTAATAACATTATGAAATAACCCCAATGACTTATTAGAAAATGTCTTTATGACAGAGTATCTAAGCTGAACACTTCAACAGAGAGCGTAGTATAATCAAGTAGACAAATGAGTAATTTCCAAAAAAGGACCTTTAGTTGTCCTTTAAATTCGTATCTTCTGTCACGAAAGGCGCGAACGGTGTCGACGTAGAAGGAATTTTCTCTTTGACAAATCGTGGTTTCTATCTCCGCGAGTCGGGTCACTTTGGTTTTTTTATACGCTTTATGACAATATTCTACAAAACAAGCATCTATAATCAGCGTTTAACCTATAAGAATGGACGTCTTTTGTATTCATGACTATCATTAGAGCTTTGGCTTGTATTAAAAGTCTTCTCTTGGCAATAGTGAGACTTTGTAACCGGTAAAGATCGCCATTATTTGATAAATTTATCAAATTTTCTCAGGACGTATATTTTACAGGATATATATAGGTATAAAAAATATCTTTGTCTTCTCACACAAGAAGATACGATACCTGAAAGACGTTTCTTTTCCATTTGTGCTCGTTCAGCAATGGGCAGCGAATGAAATGTTCGCGGTGGATCACCCGGTTCCAGCCCAGGAATCTTTTCAACCTCGAGCTGCTGTTTTATTGTTTGGTATTCGTTTCGACTTGCAGGTACTAAATAACGATCATCATAACATTGCTTTCCGGGCCATCCAACTAACTGTCTCAACCAGTAATTTAGAACCCAATCCTCTAGATGTCTAACTACCGTGTCAAGATGAGGCAAGGACGCCATCTTGAAAGATGGCAAAAAGCAAAACTCAAAATGAAAAATATATTAAACAAAAGTTTAAAAAACCAATCTCATTAAACATTTTGAACACTAAACCTTATCGACTCAGGAAAAGCAGATAAACGTCGTAAATATCGTGAGTTTTAACATCTTTCAAGATGGCAGCTTGCATCACTAGTAACTATAGAATTTCGGCGGAGGCAGGTACGTAATAGACTGGGTTCTACATCATTGGTATCACGTGCAAAGTAGATAAAATTTCACGAGTTCACAATCTTAGTAATAACGTTATGTAAATATGAACGAAAGTTGAAAGTGCTCAACATACAATATTCTCCTCTCCACATCCACTTCATTGGACGTTGGCATTTGCTACCAGATTTGTTGAAGTCGCATCTAGCACACGTGGTCTCATCCACAATGGCGGACGGCTTTAAGAGAAAAAAAGCATATCAATACAAACTAAATCCACGATTTCCTGGCTCAGGATGGAATTTAGTCAATTCTTCTTCTTCGGGTCCTAGATATACACGTTCAGTGTCCACGGCAGATGTAATGGTTTCCTCTTGCCCTTTCCATTCAAGTCTCCCTTATAATATACACGATGCATGCGCAATTGCACATTTTCAAAACAAAAATAAAGGTTACACTGACGGAGCCCCCCCCTCCCCACGAATACACTGGGTTTGTTCTTCCTTCTCTGGCAAACGACTAAATGAGGTTTGACGTACACGAGCGATATCATCCCAAAGAAAAATCATTAACTTTTATTGAAGACCTCAAGAGACGTTAGTGAGCGAAATTGAAAACACAAAAACTATTATGCATATTATTACGTTAACTGTAACATATTTCTTCATCTTTACTCGTTTTTCGAACACACGGAAATTGATGTAAGGCGAATCAAAGAAAATGTCAAATACACTTTTCGAATGTTTGATTGCTTCAGTTAGTAAAAAAGTATTAGCAGTTGCAAACGCTTTTCGCCAGGAAATACAAGTACACGTACAATACAAATACAATTATACGTATAATACAAAATATAAGTACAATACAATACAATACAATAAAAATACAATTACAACTTATACAAGTACAATACAAAATACAAGTACAAATACAACGTACAATACAAGTACAATACAAATACAATTACAACTTATACAAGTACAATACAAAATACAAGTACAATACAAAATACAAGTACAAATACAACGTACGTATACAAGTGCAATACAAAATACACTAAATATAACGTTCAATATCGAATAAGCAACAAACGGCGACCAACCTGTAAACGGTTCGTCAAAATGATATTAGGGTACATAGCACCAACGTCAAGATGATAAATCATTGGATTTTCAAGCCTGTTCGGCGTATCCCGTAAAGAAGCAAGTTTCTCTTTGATTTCTTCGCATACCTGGACGTATGAACAATCACGAAAAACCGTTGTTGTTGGAAATAATAGCTGAAGACAATCAAAGGCAAAAGCAAACCTCTTCGAAATTTGTAACCGTTTCCATGGGAATTCCCTCTTCTTCGACGATAGCATGTCGCATTGTGCTTTCCACATCGTCCATAAGTTGTTGACAAGCGGATGATACCTGCATAGATTCAAAAGATGCAAGGATTAACACAAAAACTACTAGTTCATATTTCGTCACAAAAATGTCGATTTTTTACAAAACAAATTGCATATAAGTCAATAAATTTGGCATATTCATGATACTAACACCTCGCTCTGATTGTTATAATTGACATAAAGGACCTACCATACGAAATCGGCATGGAATATCGCTACGAAAGACGCCGGACTCCAGAGCTTCGACGTGACCACCGACGTACGTTTCAGAGTCAAGAAGGTGACCATCCTTTGTAAGTTTGTTATAAACCTGCACAAAAAAATTTGAAGAGAAAAAATCAGAATCGCGCCTTCGCATGAGTCCTAATATCGGTCTATCAGGCCAAAAACGATTCTGTTTAAAGCAGAGGAAAGATTTACTTCTGTAAACGAGCATTGCTGGTGATGAAAATAACACAAGTTTATCAGATACCAATAATCAATATATGAAGTACACATTGGGAAACATTATTTTCGATATTAAGCTAGAATGTACATACTCATCAACATTCGTAAGTGCACAACATGGCGGGGCATACAATGAAATAAGTGCATCTCTATTCATCAAAAGATTACGTTTAAAGACACAAACAATGTCTCCAATCGCCCAAGTCAACCGTCAATAAGACACTGATCTTACATTTTCCGTGCACATGTGAACAATTGTTTAAAGGAAGAAGAAAAAAATAGATCGCTTGTTATTACTTGCTCTTGCTTGTTGGGGAAAATAACGTTTGCATGGAAGGCCTGAACCATCAACAGTGCCTCGCACAGCGTACCGGAGCCCTTGCGTAATACCTAAACAGAGGAAACAAAACACGGGTTGCGCCATGCAAGAATTATACGTGACGATAGTTACGTGATTCGTAGAATAACAAACTACTAAATCCTGATCTTACTTCATCGGGTTCCATGGGAATAATAGTGCAGAGAGCAAAGATGAAAGGATGAACATATTTCATATAAAGATAATAAGTCGCAACGGCGTCAGAAACTGAATAATTTGCCATTTCCTGTAATGCGTAAGTCAAAAGCAACGATTTAGAGCCCAATCCTCTAGGTGTCTAACTACCAAGTCAAGGTGAGGCAAGGATGTTATCTTGAAAAGTGGTAAAAAGCACAACTCAAAATGAAAAATAAGCTAAAAGGTTTAAAAACCCAATCCTGTCAAACATTTTAAAAACTAAAGCTGGACTATCAACTTTGCAACTGTATATCAGTTTAGGAAAAGCAGATGATAATCATAAATATCGCCAGTCTTGCCACATTTCACGATAGCAGCTTGCCTCACTTGTAACAATAGAATTTTGGTAGAGTCAGATACGTAGTATAGATTGGTTTTTAGGTCATTGGTCAAAAGTATTCCGTCCGCCGTTATTCTAGTTTCGACCTTCTAGAGACCTAGAACCATGAAGTCGTTTAAAGGAAGGCATTTAGAAAAAACGTGTTCCAGACACCTGAAGTGTCGATCAACTTTCAACGTACAGAAAATTTGAATTATGACGAATAATCATGATCACCTGTGGCTGCTCACTGGCCATTCGACACATATCTTCAGGATCCAGTTCAATTGGGTTGTACCTTAATTTTGCCTAGAGTAAAAATATTCATTTATTCTGTACGAGTTTTGTAAAGCATGCACACAAGATGGAATCAAATGCAGAAAAATAAAATAAGTGAATAGTGTAGAATGCACAGGTGTCCATGCAATCTTTACCTTCGTTACAGCTTTCAAATTCTGACTGCCGACTGGCAAATAACTGTCCCGTTGGACCCATCTTAAGATGAAATGTACAAACGAAACGCTTAAATATTAATGAAATGATACATGCCTACGTACTTTCATATATAGTACGGACATTTGTGTGTTGTAACGATAAATTGGTTTGTGGCAAGATTAATGAATGATTGAAAATGAACGTAAGATTTAACTCTCAGAGTGAGGGGAGGCCCCATCTTTTACTTCTAGAAAGCAAATTCAGATAAATTATCATTCATTTTATTAGAAAATTAATTCAATTCTTGTTTTCGCAGTAATTGAACACAAAAATATATGCATCGTAGGGGCAACGGACTGGTTTCGCTATTGGTGAGGGGGATTCGTAACAAAAGTTAAGAAAACCTAACCAGGAATAATTAAGAAAATAAAACCGTCTTCTATCCCTCTCGAAAGAATTTTATCCAATGGGACAGCCATTCTTTCGCAATAAGCGACGTAAACAGTGAGCGATAATATAGGTTGAACAAAAAAGACAGGTTCATCACATGCACCAATCGCCATCGGGTTTTTACCAGCATGGAAAGCATGCATTATCAAAATTGGAATTTTACAATTTGAAATCAAACAAATTTACTTTTTTGAAAATTACTAATTGGACATCACATGTTAGTGTCCTATACAACCTAAATTACTTGCCATAACGAGCACACTAATTAAATAAAGATGTTCGTTATCAACCAGTAGCTTGCTACAGAATATTATATGGTCATGCGCAGTTTTATTGGAGACAAAGAAACCATACCTGAAGCAGTCCATGTGAATAGCTGCACGAGATTTGTACTCCTTTTGAGAATCGGGAGCGAAACCTAACCATATTTAAAAAATAATTTTATGCGTGTATCTGGGGCTGACTTGTGCGTACGGTGTACGCATTAAACTCTAATTACCTATTTCATCTGCCATATTAAGACCATGATGCAAAGCTCGAGCTTCAATAAATGGCCTTAAATTTAAGACAAGATTCAAGAAAACGTACACACGAACGCATCATTGGTTTCTTGTGTACTTTGAAAGAACAATCATGTTGAAGAAAAACACTACATTCAAAGGTTGCAGAAGATGAACAAAAAGCATGTCAAAAAACACTCTAGCATACACTCATGACCAGCAAGTTCCTTGCTTCTAGAGACGCAAGGTTAAGGCAAGCAAATAGAAAAATAGATTAAGATTTGACACGGAAACCATACAGAAGTATCTTACCAATCAAAGTAGTCTCCGTTATAAGTAACGAATATAGTAGGCTTCACATCTTGTATATGCTCAAAAAAACGATGTAGTAGACTTATCTGTCAATAAAACAGTTCACAGCATTTAAAAATCGACGAACACACAACATAAAAGAGAAACCATCAAATACAATGCATATTGATGTACAACTAGACAAAAAGAATTTGCCACAATAGTCAAGGAGGGAAAATATGCTGAAGTAACTTTGAGCTTGGTACCAATTGCTAATGTTATTGCAAGAGAGCGCATATACAGTATATAAGTGCTTACGTACTTCATCTGGCTCGTTGAGAACAGTGATTAGCCCTTCGTAGTCCGGTTTTGGTGAATATTCAAAGTCTTCGATGTCTTCCGAAATGATTTCGATTAGTGATCAAATAACCCTAAAACATCGAGTTGATAACACTGTCAATAAAGAAATGTTTCATAACGTGAGTAAAATCACACTTACATAATTTCTAAGTCTTTCACAAACACGCAAATTCAAAAGCATATGCTATATCAATACTTCGTGAGTTACTTCTTTAAGTCAATCCCCATAGAGACTTGGATTACCTCACAATTTCTATAGCTTTGAACCTGTGCGTAAGGTAAAATATTACGAACCTGTCCATCTATCATGTACGATATCATCATGATGCTGTCCACACTTGAGTCGGGAAACTTCAGGGGAAGTTTGGTGGTTTCAATATCGAATGCTAGCACAACAGGATCCTGCAAACAAAAGATTACACCAATTGTACACGAGGCAATGATTTCTATATCTAGATCTACGTATTACCACAGTATAGAAACAACCAATAGTCTTACTCCACTGTGCAACTTGGTGCTGCATATTTAATTAGATTACTGGCTGCGGCTAGCCATCTCTGGCACTCCTATTGGTCAGAAAATGCAATTTACTGGCCTCAACTATGCTGATGACATGCGTAATAAGATATGCGCTAGACAAAAAATTTCTATACAGTGTGACTACTGTTTGTTTCTATACTGTGGTGTTACTTAACATGCTAAATCATAACGTTTTACAACTCCAGTTATATATAATATAGTTCGTTCTAACTTGGTTATCTCAGCTTGTGCTACTATGGTCATTTCACTGACAGCCATTATAATCTTTTCACAGCATGCGTACGAGGCGTGCGAGTTCTATACCATATTTTTAAAAGTACATACCGGTCTGTCAAGAAGGTCGTCTTGACGTTCCATTTCAGGATACAAGCCCCCACGTACTTTGATTACATACCAATGGCCCTATTTGACGCGAAAACAATGAAAACTCTCGACCGGAAAAAAAAATATTTGTTTGTAAAGACGTGGAAGTAGTAAGTAGAAAATAACGAAAAAAAGAGTCTTTGTCAAATTAGTTGACGAGACGTTGACTATATATTGCGACAAGAATTAATATATTTCAACATTTCAAATGGAAATTTTGGCGAGAAGCAATAAAACTTTACATCCGTAGAGATTTGCATGTAGAAGTAAAAGAAACATTACCACGTGAATCCTTAAGTCGATCGCAACGCGAACATGATACGGTACATCGTACTCCCTTGAAAATAAAAATAGGTACGTTGGGCGGCCGTAGCTCAAAATGTATTTAAATAACGGAATCTTCTATGTCTATTTGTGAGTGCATTATTTCCTCACTTAAAATTTAAACAATAAAATTGAAACATCAAAAACGTTCAGGTTAAATCATTGTGCAATCCTACAACTTACCAACACTTAATTGAAAAAAAAACATGGACGTACAAATGGAAAGCAGTTGTTGATTTTATTTAACTTTAGCAAGCGAAATATCAGTTGCCGAAAGCGAGTTTAGACGTCTTACATCAATCATAATTCTTAAAATCCGTCTTTGTACTATTCCCGTCACAATGCAATTATCAATACTAATTATTGGCATTGTATGTATGAGCTTGATTAAACCACCATTTTCATCTAAATTCGTTAATTTTACACTTGATGCTGTAACTACATAAGACAGACTAACGAAAATTTTTTGATTGTAGCCCGAAGAAAAAGTCGTGATGTACTCTCAACTCAAAGTCCGCCGTTGAAATCGGCGAATTTGCCTTCCCTTATCAAAGGAAGCACGTTGTCTCTTGTACTAGTCAATCAATAAGTGACGGATACATATATTGTTGTTTTCTTGAACCATAAAAGAGGTTATCGCCGTTACCATTAACCATTCATATCTTATATTTACCTGATGTCAATAATGTTTTCCATCTGATCTATAGCTCGATTCACAGACCGAATGTCTTCGTCATCCACATTTGAAAGTAGTAAGTTGTAGGTGGCGGTTGAACTGATACGTTCCTTATTCTTACGAACGGCGGACATTATAGCTCTGAAATGTACGAAGTCATGACGTCAAGATGTGGAGAGAAGTAAAAACAAAGAATGTTCCAGCAAATCAAGGATAAAGTAAGATATTGCTTTGTATAGTTAACTTAGAAAAGAATTTAGAAAAGATACACTTATTTTTTCCAAAATGGTAGTCAAATGCTTTCTATAAACATGCACGACTTGGCTTCAATAATTGGATTGGAATTATGTATCTTGGAGTTGTACTGACAAGGACGTTGCTAGCCCATGAAAATGCTAGATGTCGTCAAATTATTATGTTAAGAAAAGTACACCAACGGTACATACAAATACCTCTTGACTTTAATAAGATCATTGACGTTCATAAAAGACAATTTTATGTAGCTCCTTCTAAGTCCAACAAGATGATTTGGCTACAAAAAGATTTGAGAACAATGACTTAGCTACGATAGATTCACGACGCTTGCATCCGAACGTCACCACTGGGTAGGGGATACTTTATGTTAAGACTTTAGGAGTAAGAGTAGGACAAGCAACATGCGAGGAGACGAGAGAGCATGGAACAATTGTAACGTGAGGGTAAGTTAGCGAACATGTGGCAAGAAAGAAGAGTTTTGTTTTCTACTGTTTTTTCGGTTGTTTTTGATTTGGCTGTTTAACGAAAATTTTGCGAGCAATTCAGCACATGAAATTCCAAACAGTTGCCAATGTATGAAACAACATCATATCAAAAGTTAACCATGAAAGCAGTGATTTGGTAAGAAAATGAAAATGAGCGCTGAAGGGATGCTAAGGTTATTACTGAGCTAAGTAGCATCAAGAACTCAAGCATACAGATGGTAAATGTTCAAGTTGCTACAAAAATACCACTAAATATCGTTTTCCACTTCTTATCGCCATAGAGCAACTAGTTTACTTACCAATTCTAAATCCTCTTTAGGAACTGTTTCGATGGTGGATATAAGTCCTGTGAATTTCTTGTTTAGAAACGTAGCAACCTCGCGATCGGTATCCTGTAAAAACAAAACCCAGCAAAGCAATGATGTTTTGAGCATCATAAACAACGATACACAAAGAGATCAATAAGTATTTATGTTGTAATCGTAATTTACGTAATTACACGTATATAGCTATCTTGCCTTTTTTGCCAAAATGTAGAAATATGGCTTGAATGGGTAAGGAACCTAGAAAAAGCGAACCAATATAAGTAACGATCTGTGATCTGCAAATGACAATAGTCGAGCATTTGCGTACTTATAAAATTGCTGAAATAGTAAAGTTCAATTCTCTAGTAGGAAGAGTACCTATAGAAATTGGTAAACGCAAATCTTTCCAATAAAGGTTGGAGTGAATGCAAGAAAATCGATACAAAAAATTTTTGCTGGCCGGTCTCTAAGCTACATCAAGATCGAAAAGATCGAAATTGCGATCAACTAGTATAAAATGATGAAGTGAACAAGATCTTTGCGTGGCTTCTGCGATTCAATAGAGGTTGAATCAATGTCAAAAAACAATTTGCGAGCAACGGCGATATTCAAATCCGTTCACTCTTTGGAAAACGTGGCATAAACAATATATATTTGAAAACGGATACTTAAAGACAAAGTTCAGATAGTTGACAGACAGCTTTTACGGCACGTTGGCACGATCTTGTGCCCAGAAGCATACGTCATACAGCCAAGCCAAACAACTGATTTAAGGATGTATAAAGTGTGACAAAGAAATCAAAGAAACACTCTTTTACTTTTTCATTTTCGAAAGGACTAATTTACATAGGAATGATTGAAGGAATGATTTTGCGATGGATAAATATGTTCACGGAAAAATATTGAAATAATGACCATGTTTCACATACCCTGAATTTCTCCCCGTCATCCTGAATAAAATACAAATCAACAGCACTTATCAGTTTATTGTTATCGTCCAATATCTCAACCTAAAATAAGTGATAAGAAAATTCTATGTAGAGGAATTTATTTCATTTTTATTACCTCAATGCGAACAAAAAGAAAACAAAATTAAAACTAAATATACCATTTCTGAGCTCAATTAATGGTATTTTGGGGAAGGCATATATAAGAGATAAGGCATTTATTAGAGAGGCATCTAATACAAACTTATGCTTCAAGGGGGGGGGGGTTATAAAATAGACAGTGAGCATTTTTTGGGTCATTTACAGTGGAACAAAAAGTGGGCAAAACAGCACATGTCGATCACTGAAATGTATGACAAAATTTAACTCATGATTTAACAAATAATATTGCAAATAACAATGCATATGTAAAAGAACAAATGCAGTTTCAAAGAATCTTCAGACAGAAAATTAGAAAACATACATGTCATATGTTTGAAAGAGATTATCACAGTTATCAAACACAATATGTATTCTGATGCACTTACAGGATGCATGTTAATAAGCCAGCCTAAACGATCAACTGGCTCTTTGTAGCGATCAAATCCGTATTTTGAATCCAGAAAATCATTTGACTGGAGTCGAAGCAAGCGAGTTTCAACTGAATTTGAATCATCTTGCCTACAAAGTACAATTTCACCAAGAAAGATGAAGAAATATCTGCCATTACTAGTGTAGAAATAAAATGTAACTGCCTTGGCTCAAGAGATTTAAATATATAAATCTTGGGTTTATGATCATGCAATCTATTCAAGGACAGAGTCATGTATTGAAGTAACATGATTATGTATTTTAAACTGGATCATGATCATTGAACCGCTGATTTTGTCCTTCCCTCTGTTCTTTAAATGTAAAGTAAATTTGTAAGTTGTGAAGATCATACTTCATCATTCTAAAGCAAGGGGCATTTCTATCAATGAAAGGAGCATTGCTTATACGTTGTCATAATTTGTGACAGTGTCTGCTCACTCCACAGCTGTATTTAAATATTAAATAAAATAACCAATGCATACTTGCTATGACGGTAACCAGTCACATTGGAAACCTCTCTATCACCTCTTTTAAGAAACCTTTTTCTAAAATTTGGCATTGTCTATAGCAGATCGTCACAATTCCTTTACAAAGTACATATCTTCTTGCGTACCACCATAACCCATGTTTTTATTTTCTTTGAGTTTCGCGAATTTGGCGCGAAAAAATTTCCTTTGCAGCTTCCACGCTTAAACAAGTGAAAGGAAAAAATGAAAACAATAACAAACACAATGAACAAACATCAATGCTAGAAAAAAATTTAAAAAAAAATATTAAAAATAACACAAATCATTAGTTTCGGGGACCAAAAAAGGTGCTGGCTATTGAATCAACTTCTTAGAACGGTATTTCTTAAAGTCTGTCGACTGTTCAAGTTTATCATGTTAAGTTAAATTACAAAACAAATTATAAAAAATTTCAAATGCCGAAGTGTTTAAACGGAAGCACTAAGCCTCCTCTTTGTAAAAGATAATTAATAATCATGTGGTAATAACAATTTTTTACGATATGCTTGACCTTTGTTCGAGGGCAGTTATTATTTCCATTTTTTAAAAGCTATAGTTTCATTTGTTTATTGATCATTATGACGAAATCGATACCATTTTGTCTAGTCAAGTTGTAGTTGGCTCTACATGAAAAGTTAAACAGAATTCCTGTGGCATTTTCTTCATATAAAAAAACTCTGACAATAAATCAACCAAAAGAATGAGCTCTCTACTACGATTTCACGTGGCGGATTACATCGTGTTCGGGCTTACATTGATATTGTCTATGGCCACAGGCATTTATCACGCGGTGGTGTCAAAACCAGCGACGACTAAAGAGTATTTGCTGGCAAATAGAAAAATGATGAGTTTACCAGTTGCATTGTCCCTGCTGGCCTCTTTCATGTCTGGCATTACAATACTGGGAGTACCCTCAGAGATATACACGTTTGGCACCCAATATTGGCTGGTAGTCACCTCTTACGTCATTTTATTTCCAGCAGTTGCTTTGATCTTTGTACCAACATTCTATGAGCTTGGCCTAACAAGTTCTTATGAGGTAAACTTGTGCTTGAATTATTTCATGATAACACACTGTGTGGTAGCAAGGAGGGGTATTGAGAGAATAGTCCACCCCCAAATTTTTAAAATTGATACATTTGAAACACACATTGTCATAGCAAGGAAGAGTATTGAAAGGACTGTCCACCCCAACAATTTTAAAATTGATATATTTGGAAAATTGGTTAGGTCATTTGGAATAGTACAGTGTTGATAGTTTTAAAGAAATTCAGTTGTTAAAATGAAGAGTCCATTGGAATTAAATTGTCCAAAATTCCATGTGAAATCAGGGATTACAAACATAGTGTTGTTAAACAGTGAAATAGACTTTACCATTTTCCGTCTAGCAAACAGTGTAACACTGCTTTAATTGTTTATAATTTTTTGTGATTTGGAAGTTTCTCAGGTGAACAAGTACAACCTATCTAAAGTTCTGAAAATACATTGAAGCATTTTTCTAAGGCTTATAAACAAGGAGTTCTTAATTTGACCAAAACATGGTTTGCTTTGTACTTAAGGCATATGAGCACCCAATCCTGAATTTTAGAGAACCTTGTCCAGCTTTTACATAGAATTTATATGTGTTAAAACTTCTCTTGACAAGAGTTTTTAATGCTTTTGACCAAGTGGAACCATGTTTTATAGGCTGGTCAAAGCAATGTTTCTCAATTCTTATTTACATTTAATGATTTTTACCTTATACAGTTTTTGTAACTTTTTGATGCAGTCAAGATATTTGACTATTTTCACTAATATAACTCATCTTACACATGTCCCATCTTATCTATATTGTATTCCAAAATATTATTTGTTTGTCCCTATTTTCAAAGTTTGTTTAGCTTACGTGACATTTGGAAAAGTGTTTATTAGTTATTTCTTACAGATATGAAATATATATTTTGTCAAGAACTAATGTAAAATACACAAAATTCATGGATAGACAATCGTTTCATGAACGTTTTTAAAATTTCCCGTGTTCTATAAATTTGCATTTTTGTTTCGTCAAATGCTTCAAATTTTAAAAAAGCAAATGGTTTTTTGTCCACCTTTACGACGTTCAGTGACACGTGACTCGTCACGGGGACAATAACTTACGTAGGATTTCGGCAACATATATCGTGAACGAAAGCGTGTAATACTTTTTAACTTTTATAAAACTTTTTTACAAAGTTGGCATGAAAGGCTTCACAAGTGAAAATAATGCGATACGATGAAACCTTTCATTCCCAAACTTCGACGACAAGAAGAAATAGAAAGAGATTCGCGTTCTTTTTCACCGTCTAAAACATTGATTTTGAACGGTCTGATATTGTCTGCATCATTTTCGTCGCATCATTTTAAGGCATTTGAATTCTGAATGACCCTCGAAGCAAGTGGCTACGCAATGCGAACTTTACCATTATGGACTTACCAAACTTTATTCTTTCATCTAAACATCGACAATGAACAAGTGCACATATCTCTTTCTCAGGCTTAGCATAATGAGTACCATAAAGGTTCAGCTTTGTGCATTTCTACCTCGGCTGTCACACAGCCAGGAACTATGGTTTTCTTCCGTTGTTTATGATGAAATATCTCCAGTTCCAGAAATGTCAGATATTTGAAGATGCTTTATTCATCCAAACAGCAGTCCAACAAATTATTTTAACTAAACACCGCTTCTGAATGGAATGTCCATTAGAAAGAGACTATTTTATTAGGACAAGGCATTTTTGCTATTTTTACATATGTAAATTATGCATTACCTTTTCGAGCGCAACGTGTGATTAAAACCCGTAGTGATTTGGAGGAAAATGGGTTGATTTGGTTTTCTTTAATCTATAATCATTCATTTTAACAAATCTCGCGGTTCTTTGTATTTTTTCAGTACTTGGAGAGGAGATTTTCGTTTGGTGTAAGACTGATTGGGACAACGTTCTTTATATTTTATACGGTACGTGTTCATTTGTTTGCCATGTGGCTCATTTGGCACTTTTTTGCCAGTCTTGTAAGTTTTCCTTTCATAGTTTTGCGTACTCACGAAAATTTTCTCATCCTTCATAGTTATTTTATATGGCCATCGTCACATATGGTCCGTCCTTGGCACTCGAGTCAGGTACATGCTTCAGCAAGCCTAATTGTGATAATTTTTTGGCATCATTTCGAAAATACGATTTCTTTAAAAATGAAGCGGATTGACACAAGGAATTTTCAATGTGCTCTCCGTTATCATTCCTGTTGCAACCTCAATTGGGCAATCATTATGCTTATTTTTCATTGCAAAAAGCGTAAATTTGTTACTTTTACATCATAAAATTTATTTTTTGCGCATAGAATGCACGCAAAAATTTTAACATATTCTTGCTTTCAGTGATTAAATCCATGCTGGCTGCATTATTTGTGGAAAGAATGCGAAAATCAAAAATCATTTTGTCATTTGTACATATTAATCTCGTCTGTATTGTTTTAGTAACTGGTCTTCCGGTATGGGTGTCTATTTTATCCATTGGAATCGTGTGTACATTCTATACAACCATTGTAAGTATCAATGCATGGACAAAAATAAGAGCAACGCTAACATGTTGTTCAAAATACTTATGTTTTTCAGCGAGATAAAAGATTGTTTAGTTAAATCTTTATTAACTATACATATACGGTATACCAGGGCTCAAAATAACGGCTGGTCAGCGGACGATAACAGGGAATTTTGAAATTTGCTCCATTTATCTTCCACAAAATTAGCAATCCTCAATTTTGCAATATTGAACGTCATTTTTTGCACAGGAAAACTATGTTTGCTCATGTACGACTTATGTGTTGAATGAACTTTGATCGAAGGCGATGGCTCGTGCATCAACAACTAAATTTTTATTCGTGTGTTGCTGCTGGCTAATTTTGACGTATGATGTGAATGCCATCTGAGCAATTTTGCGCAAAAGCACCATAATCACTTGTGACGTCAGTAGAAAACATATTCTTGCTTTCGTGCGTGAAGGTTAGATCCATTTTCTAGCTGTTGCTGCATTATTTGTGGAAAGAATGGGAAAATCAAAAGGCTTCACGTGCCGTCTCTGATTTCGACTGATTGCTACAACACGCGCAAGCGAAAAGATATGATGATGATGATATGTGAAAATTATGTATATTAGTGACTGACGAAAAACTGACTTTGACCGAGCTAAAATGAAGGCCATCGGTCATTTTATCCATTGGAATCGTGTGTACATTCTATACAACCATTGTAAGTATCAATGCATGGACAAAAATAAGAGCAACGCTAACATGTTGTTCAAAATACTTATGTTTTTCAGCGAGATAAAAGATTGTTTATTTAAATCTTTATTAACGATACATATACGGTATACCAGGGCTCAAAATAACGGTTGGTCAGCGGACGATAACAGGCAAACCATTTACTTTGTTGTGGAACGTGTCCTTAAAATTTTTTGACGAAATTACTCGCAGGAACTATTTTTGCATCTCGCAGGAAATTTTTCTTTAATGTAGAGTACATTTAGTGTACAGTTGTTTCAATCTGTATTCTGTAAAGTAAACAATACCATGTACGAGTTCACAGGCACCCTCTGACTTCGTTGTGTGAAGACTTGTTTTCAACAGTTATTCATGCATAATTTCTGCACGAAATATGTATTTTTCAAGTTTTCTGTCATGAAGTAAAATACTCTATCCTCGCCTGTTGCTCCAAATCCATTTTTCTTTTCTAGGGAGGCATCAGGGCAGTAATTTGGAACGATGTGTTTCAAGCTATCGTAATGCTTGCAGGTCTGGTGGGGGTCGCGGTTGTTGGCACAATGAAAGTTGGCAGTGTATCGCGTGTTTGGTCAGTGCTCCGAGAAAACAATCGAACTAGTGTGAGGTAATGCTATGGAAATAAAATTCTTTGTATTTTTGTATCTCTTACGTATTTTTTCCCTTTCAAAATAGCTTTAGCTTTGATCCTACTGAACGAACAACGTTTTGGGCAATGTTCATTGGTGGCGCGTTTGCAATTCTTCCTTTATGGTCGGTCAATCAAACTGCAGTTCAAAGATTTTTATCTTCTAAATCTCTGAAAGATGCTCAAAGGTTATTGCATGCTAACACTGCTAGTTGGCTATTGCGCCTTTTTTTTGTTCGGGTTTTTACCAATGGTTTTTACCCTGATCATCTTGACTTTGAAGTTTAGCTGCCATCATACGTAGCTGTACTATGAGTCTTGTGCACTTGAATTTTTTCTTAGATCAGTGTGGATATCTTTGCCGATGAGTTTCTTTGCTGTATCTTTATGCTCAATATGTGGGACTGTGATATTTGCATACTATGCCGGATGTGACCCTAAACTGAGAAAGGCGATTACAAGTTCAGATCAGGTTGTGCTTTGTGTTTGTGGATGAGTATTTTGTGGATAATTCGGGCGGGGGTGTATCTTGTTCTCTGCCGGAAAAGCAAATTCTGTTTGCCGGAGTGTGGTTTCATGGCTTCACTGCCGTATACAGTGTATTTTCAACCATCAAGCAGTTCTTGCTATAGTTATTTATACTTAATTAAGTAATGCTTCCTATTGTTTAGATTCTACCGTATTTTGTTTTGGATGTGCTTGGACATTTGCACGGTCTCCCCGGAATCTTTGTTGCCTGCTTATTCTGTGGTACTCTCAGGTAAGTGGCATGAATTCTCGAGTTTTTCCATTCCATGTTGGTAGTTATTCTCTCAAGTCTTCTCCATCTGTATGTATGCATTAATATTTACTCCCGGGAGTTAATGCTTTGTCAACATTGACATTTTCAGGGAATTTTTATTTCGTTAAAAATATTTTTGATGTAGAGTTTAATGCTTCGTGTAATGTCTCAACCGTATTTTGAAATTTGTTTAGACAAAGCTCTTTTCTATTTCCACTTCGTAATAATTATGAATGTATTTCGTCTATGACTATTGATACGTATGTCTTTTTTTTAAAGTACCCTGTCTTCTGGTTTGAATTCATTGGCAGCAGTTGCTTTGGAAGATTTTGTGAAACCATTCGTTCGATTGCTCGGTGTTGGCATTTCAGAAGAAAAATTGACGTTATTGTCGAAGCTTGTTGGTATGACCTTAAAATGTTGTTGACAAGAAATCTTAGCACGCAGTTTTTGCAACGCAGTTAATTGCATTGCAAAGACCATGTCGAATGTCATTTAAAAAGTTACCTGACAACTTCTTCGGTTGAATTGTCTTAGTTTACGAATCTCTAGAGGTATTTAACTTGAGATGTTTGTTATGCAAATATTAAAGTCTACAGAGTTTACAGGATTATTTTAAGTTTGACTAACCAAATGTGAAATAACATAATTACTGAACTGTCGTTGTTTGTTCTTCATTTCTTGTCGTTGATGGACCAGACTTGGTATGGTACAAGTAGATGTATAGCAGCACAAACAAGCTAATATGCCTTCCTTTTTGTATGCCCCAACATAGCATTATCGTGATATCCCTTCTTTAATCGTCATGCTTGCAATATCGAATCATAATTATAATTTACATGGAATCATAATTATAATTTACAAATATTTCGTACATTCTTATTCGTTTATAATAGCCGCAACTCTTGGCTTGGTTACGATTGGCCTGTCGTTTTTAGCTGGCTCATTTGGAACAATACTACAGGTATCTAACCGTGCGCTCGAGTTGTATATGAGCTAGTAATAAGAGAGCCGATATGTTTTAATAGTAAATACATACGCATTAATACAATTGCTCGTTACTTCTATTCTGTGTGCATGGTTGTAATTACTAAAATGCATTTTGCTGTTTGATAAAATTTATCATATGTACATGTTACTTTAAAACAGTCGTTTTACCAAATTTCTGGTGTCGCTGGAGGTCCCGTTGTTGCAATTTATACAATGGGCATGTTTACAAAGTTTGCCAACAGTAAGGTAATGATCTCTTTTTTGTAACAGATAGAGCTAGGAATTTTTTGAAATGTTAGAAATTTCTGAAATGATACAGTTGGTGGAATTGAATTGAAATCTTAATCAAATCTGCGTCATCGCTATTGTGCACTGTTCTTGGAGAGTTTTACTTCTCCCTTGAAACCAAGTTTTGGGAGTAGTTAATCCTCCAGCATGAAAAAATATCACAAACTTGTACTTGGTATTTATTGTTTATTGTGATACGGCAAAGAGATTTCTCTTTCAAAGGGAGCATATTTTGGTGTTGCAAGTGGCCTTGCTTTCGGATTGTTTGTGTCTATTGGCGCCAAGATACATAAACCGCCGATTTCTGTTCCCAAAGTCTCGTTGGATCAATGTTCTGGTGGAAACTTTACATTGCAGGGGGCCAATGCTACAAGGTATACAAGTGAGGCTAGGTATGAAGTTGCTTTGTACCGTATGATTGCGCCGTCGGGCTAAAAAAAACAAAGGCCTTTTCTTATTTTACTTTAAGGTAAAAGAAAACTTGAACAAAAACCGTATAACGAAACTCAGAAAGCTCATTCTTTATGTTGTTATGCTTCTGACGTTTTGAGAATATCTTTTTTTATAATAGCTGATGCGAAGAATTAAGAAAAGCTTTACGTGATTAGACTAGTTCTACAATGGCTTTTATCAAGAAAGAAGTTAATTACTGTTTTTGAAACAAACGTCTAGTGTTAACTCGATGTTCAGATCTTATTTCTATTTCTTTATTTTTCTAGTCCCAAAGTTTATGATGGTTTAGATATCTACAAAATGTCTTCATTTTGGTACAGTTTCTACTGCTTTTTTATCACCTTCTTGGTTGGACTGCTGGTTAGCTATATTTTAAAAGGTGAATACGTCAACATCGATACCCCTCGCAAATATTGTTGTACATCAATGACCTAGAACCCAATCTACTAGTTATCTGATTTCGCCAGAATTCCATAGTTACGAGTGAGGCAAGCCGCCATCTTGAAAGGTGGCAATACGGACGATGTTTACGATTAATATCTGCTTTTCCTAAATTGATATACAGTTGCAAAGTTGATAGTCCAGGTTTAATTTTAAAATGGATGATAGGATTGGTTTTTGAATCTTCTTTTAGCTTATTTTTCATTTTAGTTTTGCTATTTGCCCCCTTTCCAAATGGCGTCCTTGCCTCACCTTGACACGGTAGTTAGATATCTAGAGGATTGGGTTCTAAATAATTGTTATACATTTTATAACTTTACGATAAAGATGTTTTTTTTCACCCATTGCATGCTGAAGACTGCGGCCCTTGCTGATGCTTAGCAGATCACTAATGTATGCACAAAGGATAAATACAGGCTCCCTGTTTAACAATGTAATTGCTTTGCAATTGCAATGCTTTTCATGAAAACGTACGATAACGGTTAATTTTTAACAAGTCCGGGAATCTCGGCTATTAAGAAGCGAGAAGAATACGTAAACGAAGGTTAAGCTGACTTTTTGCTCATACAAAACGGCAATGGTGATAAAACAAAACAAGAAAAGCAGTTCTTGACAAAATCTTTGATGAACTATGTCAGCGAAACGCGTGATAAAAATAGCCGAATGTAATAATTACTTTGTTCCGTCTGTATACATATTTTCAGTGGTTATATTTCAATAATTTATTTTAAACTTGTAGTTTGTTGCCACAAAAAGCCCATTTTTTCTGCTTAGATGAAGGTGAGACCGTTAATCCAAATCTGTTGTTCAAATGGAGGCGTTTGTGTCCTTCTTCAAAATGTTCGTCAATTCACACGAAAGAAGAAAATAGTGAAAAGATTGCTCTTCACAATCAAGTACAGTGAATCCTTGTTACTTTTGATTGAATAGACTAATGAACATTAGTGTGCATTGCACGTGGGGTGAATCAATGTGTATCATCGAGGGATACCCCCCTCTCTATTCTTCTATTTTGCGCTATTTGTTTGGGATCGTCCCCATATGCCTTTATAATGACATTGTGAGAAGCTAGGCTGAACAATAATGATTTGTTTTATTTTCGCCCGTTGCCAACTGAAATAGAATTTATTCTTGCTCATGCTTGTGCTCAGTTCGAAGAGCCACGTTGCAGTGTCGAATTCTATTCTTTACGTGCGACATAAACATGATGACCAATGAAAGAAATAAAAGAAATTCCATTGAATTTTCGTTTTTGTTCGTCGTCGCGATAATGTTGAAACGCGTTGTTGGTACATGCAGACAGAGATAATATAGTTTTAACAAGCTCTTGAAGAAGTTGTACTGCCACAGAAATGTCTGCGTCAGTATGTGTAACTTTAGCATGCCGTAAATCGAACGATACAGCAATTTTTCAGGGCTCAGAGGCTGCGTGATTTATTTGGCTGCCAAAGTAAATCATAGCAAATATATACAACAATTTAGAAATTGAAAATACTTACGTGATAATGCTATTGGCTATATACTGCCAAAGAATCTGAAGAATATTCAAGAATGAACTGTCAACGTGTTTTGCCCAACCTTGGACCAGAACTATGCCATCATCTCTCAAGACAAATAATTGAAAGCTAAACGTACATGGACAAGATTTAATCTGTCCATCCCTAAATCCGACACTTTTCTAAGATATCCAATCCCCATGCTCTAACATCACATTTTCTTACGTCATTATGTCTCGTGGATCCTATAGCTTTATTGTATCATTTGTATGGCGTTTTTATTTGCATTAAACTTTCCTTTAGGATTGTGGAAAAGAAAAGAGCGTTGAAAAAGATAAGACCAAGCACGATTCTTTCGTGTTAGTGAACTCCATTTCCGAAATGTCAACTAGTTTATAGATGTAGAAGTTTGGCAAACATTGTGATACACTTTGCCATATACGACATTTTTATACCTGACGGTAAAATGGGCTTACACAATTAATGTAATTGGTTTTTCAAAACATTGATTTCTACGATGTATTTTGGGTTTGTGATGATGAATAAAACAGCTTACTCCAAGAGCACGATTACTGTCATGATAGCCGTTTTTGCCCTTCTAGTCTAGAAGTTCCGCAGCTAAGAAAAAAAAAGATGTTTACTGTGTTTCCACAAGTTTATGCAAACCGAAGAGACCTTTGGCACCGTGCTGCTGCGCTTTATCCTAATTCAAATACATAAATGAATTTAGTGCTTCAGATTTACTTCATACTGCAGAAGCCTTTTAAGCAAAATTGATTTCACTCTAGGAGAAAACTGATTTTTCTTCGAATGTTTGTACAATTTGTGGCAGAAATTTTGGCGAGAAACAAGTCATGTTGATTTTAAAATGCAAATCAAGGACATTTTTAATATTTGTTATCAAATTAGCTTCGCTTTGGCAGATAACATCGACCTCAGTCGAATAATAGTCGATATCATGCACGACCTCATCCAATAATTGTTATTGGTGTTATCGATATCTCTCGATACCTGGCTATTAGCGAAATTAATTGATACCAAAGTGGTATCGAAATATTTTCATTTACTCAATGAATTTTCCGTTTAGTAATTAGTATTTAGTAATTACTAATTAGTTTTTAATTAGTATTGTATATTAATATGTTTTTAATTAGCTGGGTGCGATATAGTATGCAGTGGCTTCGGGGCCCAGTACGCGACCAGTGAACTATAATAACAACTGCGTACTCCGAGCAAAGCCTATCGCAGGTGATCTCGGGGTCTGATGGGCAGAAGCTTGCTACGTATTGGCATCCCCAAGTAGGATAGCGTGGAGGAGCCGAAATCTCCTACCGAAACGTTAACATGCGGCGTTCTAGTGCCTTACGCTTAAGAGGGTATCGGGAAGCATGGACCGAAAACGGGGTTTTTTGCTTTCGAATTTTATCTTTTTACATGAGTTCTTCTCATAAATTAACCAAGCAATGTTTCAATTGACTTCTTCTGACACTGTGCCTTTTTCCGTCACTTATAATTTAAGACAAATATCACATACGGTTGGCACAAAAATACGAGGGGAAGGTCTCCCCCTGTCTGAATTTCGATCACTTGAGAAGGTATCTACGAAGAAACGCAAAGCCGAATTGGATATTAATTTTTTAAGAGATTGTCAGTCGTTTGAAGTTTTTCCCAAATTTATTTGTTTTCCCCTTCCAAGATGTCAAACCAAGATGTCCACGCCATACGCAAACTATTGCTTCGCTCTTCTATAATCAAACGATCAAAAGAGAAGCGGAAGCTGGAGAATGATCTAAAAAAGAAATCATCGGAACTTAAAACTATACTAAATCAAGTCGACTGCTACATCCTACAAAAGGCTCTAACAAAAAATGTTAACAAAAAGATCAACAATTTACTGTGCAACAACCGAAAGAAACTGAGAAACCTTCTTCTCCATAAAACCTCCGAAACTCAACGATACTGAAATCCTCGCAACATTTGAACGTATCCACTACTCTATCCGGAACAAACTCAAAAATCAAGAAGATTACACCCACGTAAAGAACTCATTCACATCGCGCAAAGTTATATCTCCTCATATACTCTTTTACCATCTAAACTCAGAAAATATCACATTTAAAAAAACATAAGAAATAATAAAAACATTGTCCTATTGAAACCAGAAAAAGGCTACGGAAAAGTTATCATCATGGACAGAGAATTATACAAAGCCCATCATCAGAGATTAATACATAAATCCTAAGGATTTATATTAAGAATTTATATTATGAGAATTATACAGTAAATCATGTCTTAAAATAATAAACAATCTATCTAAGATCAAATTACTTGATAATGACCCAACACTCGCTAGAGAAGCTAGACTACAGCGCTTTCAAAGGAAACTCAAGAAACAAGGTTCCATCGATAATTTTCCCTCGGGCTCACAACCAGCAAGGTTTTACGGCCTTCACAAACTCCACAAACACATTGACACCAACAAATCATCTCCTCTTGGACCCATAGTCTCGTCCATTAATTCTTACAACTACAACCTCTCTAAATATCTCTGTTCAATACTCAATCCTCTAGTTTCCATCGACTAAATAGATATAAATATAACTGTAAATAAATATCATAATCATTCATTGTACTGAAGATGGCATAAGCATGCTGAAACATGTTTATTTTGTAGTTCACTTAAAATGCCTGATAAACTTTTTACATTTTAATGTTTTGTGAATAAAAAACTAAGGGATGTTAATGTATAATATATGGTTTGTTATGTAAATATGTTTGGTCTTTTGTACATGAACTTTTGTATATGTTTTGTCTATGTTTTTGTATATGTTTTGTATATGTTTTGTATATCTTTTGTATATGTTTTTTTATATATGTTTTGTCTTTTGTACATGTCTTTTGTATTTTTGTCTTTTTGTCTTTTTTTTCTTATGTCTTTTGTCTTTTGTCTTTTGTCTTTTGTATTTGTTGACTGTTGTCGATTACAGTTTCATGGCCTATACGTGAACCTTGACTTGACAAATTAGTTTTTGCAATCTTGTAGAAAATATTTTCGGTTCCCACAGTGCATGCGTATCCAATGTACAAACGATTCATGCTATTTGTTGCTGTTGTTACCAGAAGCTACTGTGTACTATCTATTTTTTGTCTCACAACAAAAATATTTTTCCTCTATTCAATATTTTGCAACACTTACAGTCGAAGACAAGGGGAGAAATTGTCACGTGGTAGGGCTTGTTTGATAACCTCTCTCGAAATCGGTTCCCACAGTGCATGCGTATCCAATGTACAAGTATGATGTTTTCTTTGTCTCAATGGAACCATTACAAATGAACTAACTACAAACTCACAAAGTTGTCGTGTGAAACTCTGACTCACAATCACACACGTAGCCAGCCTGCAAATTTGTTCATCCTATGTGAATTTTTCATCATTAACATTATTCATTTCTTTAGAAATTGATTGCTTTTACAGTGAAAAATTTACCTAGCATGAACAAACGCTCGGGCTTGCTACGCCATTGATTACACCCGAGAAGCAATTGCATTACCGTTCACCTGATCATTCACTATGACCACAAACAAATAGCAATTCTAACTCAAACGAAGACTTTTAGTTTGCATTTGCGTCAGCTACACCATAAATGGCAGCAAGTTTTCTAGTTACGGGTAACTAGGTTGTGCTTTCTGCGAGGTCTAGATTTTCAATTACCCTTCTCTCATGGTTTTTGTTCGGAGAACCTTTTTATTTTGCTCTTTGAAAAAGTCATGTTAACTACGTCACCATATCTTATCACTGTCACATAATCTAGACTATGGTAACTTATTCTAAAGTAAATAGTTTGAACCCAGAGTATCGTTACATTTTAGATAGACTGTGGTGAGGTAGACTGGGCGATCAACATCTACAAATATGTAATTTATTTTATTATTCAAATACTCAAATTGTCAGGATGACAGCATCATGCTTATACATAATCATCATCAAAAATTCTAAAATTATTGATATTCCGATAAAAGTATGAAATTTGGTAAAGAAATAGCTGAATAGTTCCGCCGTATGCCAACGCGAAATATCGATTTGTGATGAGAAAGGAGACGCACAAACTTACCATGACATGGAAACGAGGCAGAAAAGTCAAATTTGCATTAACCTTTATACATGTTTATAAATAATTTTAAGGAGAAAACATAAACTTTCATTTGCCTTATTGAAATGGCTACATTATCAGCAGGTAAATAATCTATTTAGGTAGAGTGGACGATTTAAAGAACATTCGCAGCTTATCGTGTGACACGAAACTTTGATCTTCCTCGACTTTTTGGCCTCAAAGTTGGCTTTTTTCGTGTTTGACAGTGAGGTTTAATTTAATAGTAAAATGCACAATGTGATTGTTCATTAAATTTTCATTTCATTTATGGCTCACATTGATGTTGTCCGGTGATTCCGACAGTTGGGATAGACAACTTTGAATTGCTTTTGAGATAGACAACTTTGGATTGCTTTTATAATTCCTTTATTGTAATGATATTCTTTCATGATGGTTCACCATGATCGAACATCCATAAACTACGCGTTTATGCGTCATCTCAATTACTAAAATTCAGAGTTTAATAAAAATAATACTAAAGTTTAATAAAAATAATTTCCTCGACTTTGCCGCAAATAAAGGGTGATATAAGCACTATCCTTTTGTTCTTTCAAATAATATTTTATGTGTTTATCCCATAGACTTTGAACCCAGAACCCAGTTTCTCATCTATTAAGGCAGCGCCGACTACGAGTCACGAGATAGCGAAACAATTTGACGCCCTGAGTCCCTGACAGTTGATATTCATTTTGATATCCTTTTAAATTTGCGTTCAAAAGGTATGTTTCAAAGAATACATCTATTTACGCTAGTTAAATATAAGAATATAAGAGAAATTCTTTAATGTCTATAGTATATTTGCTAGATAAAGGAATTTTTATTGTGAAGTGGCTATTCTTAATGAAGCAAAACGGCGATAGCTATTTGCTATTCGTACTCCAATTCTACTTTTTTACTTTTTTTTACTTGAGTTGATCCAGTCGAAATCAGCCAATAGTTGTTCGCGTACGCTCGCACAAGAAATTTACCTACGATCAAGCAAAATGTTAATTCATATATTGATATTATTGCTACGTGTCGCGTATCTATACATGTGTCCAGCTGTTCTAAATTAACAAAGAAACCAAAGAAAGAATCATACGTATCGTTTATTTCTGTAAACACGACAATGAAAAGGAAAGGTTTAACGTTCACGGTTGCGTTTACACACATTGGCGCCCTCGGCATTTACTTTGAGCGGAATCCCAATGTATTGCCTTAGGAACTTGCAAACGCAATTAGAAATAAAGTGTATGTATTACAATGAGTATGCTATTGTAAATTATTTACATCTGGTGATAATGGGGCCTGGGTCATTTAGACGACACCGTATGCAGATTTTTTACAAATGCCAACTCTTAAGTTTGAGAAAGAATCAGAGACAAGAGTATACATATATGTTAACTTGGTACTTGAATTCTTTTTATGTTTATTCCCATTGTTTAAGGCATTGATAAACCTGCTACTTTATTTGCTTACTCTGTTTGCACAGGCTTATGCGAACAGAGGAGACCTTTGGAAGAACTTCAGAGCCAACCATTGTAAAACTGAGATCAAAGGTCGATCGTTTGCACCCAATCGAGAGTTCTTACAAACGTCTACGAGGTTTCCATAATTACCTTTCATTATTTGTATGATTAAATTCTCTAATTGCGTTTACTCTCCTTGCATCTAAAGTGTCTCAAGAAAGTTCAGAGTCTGAGGCAGTTTTATAGCAATCATCTGTAATTATTCGGCGAAAAATAATACAAGGGCAATGGTAATACAAGTTTGACTTATATCATATGCGCAATACTCCAATTCCTTATGTAGTTTTTTTGGCCACATTTTCAATGTGTTTTACCGGGTGATGCATTCGTCCACCACTACACCTAATGTCTTGGTTGACGAAACACGTTAACAGCCTCAGGCCCCATCGATAAAGTTGGATCAACCCTATCTTGGAACAATTTTTTTCTTCTTCCAATTAACATGTACTCAGTTTTTTGACATTTACAGTCATCTTATTAGCTAAAAGCCATATATGGATTTTATTTAATTCAGTTTCGAATTTTTCTTGAATCTCGTTTGACCTAAACTGTAAAGCCACTAACTGTGAAATTTGCATCATCAGCAAATAGTGTTGGTAGGGAGGAACTTAGACAATTCGGTAAATCATTTACGTAAAGTAAGAAAAGAAGAGGACAAGATTTGGCCCCTGCGGTACACCTTTACTTATATTTTTACTATTTAAAATAGACATTCCCACTTTACATACTTGTCTTCTGTTACTTAGATATGAGATTAACCTGCTGAGAGCATCATTTTTCATGCCACAATAAAAAAGCTTCAATTTTTTTTATCAAGATTTTGTGAACTACAGTAAAAAAATCTTTTGGAAATCGTAAAGAAAATTACGCCATTTATTAAGACTTTGTCCGTGTTAAACAACCATTTATTTGTTGTTCTCAACAAGAAGGAACTAGTTTAGTTACCTTTCCATTCAATTTTTCCAATTTATTTGTATGTTCGTTATTATACACAACAGGATATTCAGGTGCACTCACCGAGATCAAATCATGTCTTGATATGCTGACCGTTTGAGAAAAATTATATTCTAAATATCTAAACTATCGGCTATCGGATGATCATAATAAAAATTATCGTCAATGATTTAGGAATGATTTTTTTGTTTGCAATTTGAATCTTCAAAGTTTTGGATATCAACCAATGAACATTGCTGAATTGACCTGCATGTGGCTTTTTTCAACTGGTTTGACTGTAAAAAGGAAAATAGATGTGGATATTCGTCTCATGTAACTGACCTACAAAACAATTTAATTTAGCTCAAGAAGATGCGAATACGAACGATAAACAAAACATCAACATTACTTAAGCACTTTTACCAGTTTAGTTTGGCAAACGAAGGATGGAGACCTGGCATAAATGATGTTGACTGCCTATTAGAACATGAGAAAGCCACGGTATATATTTTGGAGTTAAAAAACAAACCTGTTGGAATAATCTGCATCACAAAATATGGCTCAAACCTTATACATTTTGGCAATTTCTTCATCCATAAAGACTATCGAAACCTAGGCCACGGCAAACGTTTCTTACAAGATGTATGGGAACGCCTTGATGAAAATCCAGAAATTGAAAATAAGGTGTGGTACGCGGTACCTGAGATGGCTGAGTTCTACAGGAAGACACTTGGTGGTGTTGATCAATGGACGGTTGGTCTTTATGATCTTAATGTGACAAGAAGTTTAGAAAAACTTCAAAGTTATTCAAGCCATTTTCAATTGAATCAAATCAATGAAAATAATATACACGACGTGATAGCTTACGACAACAAAGTGTTTGGATACCCACGAGAAGAATTTTTGAGAATGTGGTTAAGTACACCTGGTACGCATGCTCGAGCAGCTTTCAACAAGGATGGGCAGATTTTAGGCTACGTTGTTGTAAGATTGACTTTCTTCCCTGAAGAAGGTTACAAAGTTGGTCCACTTTATTGCGAAGACATCGAAGTAGGAAAATCACTGATAAAAAGTGTTTTCGAAGATATCAACGATCACGGTTTTTCACATTCTAATTCAATCGTCGTAGAAAGCCCAACGGGACGGAATCCAAAGGCGAAAGAGTTAATGGAATTCCTCGAAAGTAAATACAATGGGGCTGTGTATTACCAGACAACAAACGGTCTTCCTAATTCCTGTTTTAATCATTGGTTTGGTATATTTTCTCTTGCGTATGGATAGAATCTAATCAACATTCTATAATATGAGCATTTATATACATGAAAATTCTGATGGAAGATCAAGTTGTGGAGTAATAGTTTTTTCAATATTTGGATGTATAATGAAATGTAGTTTTGGCATTTAGTTTCATTGTAGTTTTAGCATTTAGTTTTATTGTAGTTTTAGCATTTAGTTTCATTGTAGTTTTAGCATCTAGTTTAATTGTAGTTTTAGCATTTAGTTTAATTGAAGTTTTAGTTTCAATTTCGCATGAAGCTACTAAATTTCTTGTCGAAACTATTTATGTCAACTATACGGGAAACATAGCTCACGTCAAATTTAGCTCAGCTATTTGCCTTCAAGCAGCGTTGCCAGCTGCAGTTGTCTAAAAATTCTCAGTAAACTCCCGAAATAATCCGAGATTATTTTAAATCTCCTGGTTTCATCGCTCTCTCTATACAGTTGCAACAAAGATGTAGTATAGATCAGTAGAGATAGCCTCAGCTGCCTTAACGTATGCGTCAGAACCCAGCAATCTAGTTCTACTGCATGTATGTTTGTTTGTAACAGCTGAATATGATCAAGGGGAGCACATCGTGTATAGCGTTAGTCAACAGGTACAATTACAAACATCCGGCTGACGGTTGACTTTTTTTCTATCTGCGCTTATTTCATCTTATCCTCATCGGAAGGTTGCCTTGAGAAATAAATAAAAGAAAAACGCATAAATAAAAGAAATACGTTGAAAAATGAAGCAGCTATAAATTGCTTTTATGGAAGACCCATTACAACTTGCACAACAGCATCTGTGACGTATTTAAGGCGATTTTATGTAGAATAAATTAACTATTGAATTATACACGCCACGCCAAGTTTGGGTGTGTGTTTTGACAAGTGTAATTTATTGTTTGAATTAAAATGTTCATGTATTTAAATTCATATCAAACTATCCAAACATTGATCAATTTAACACAAAAAGTGGGTCTTAGTGTAAAAAGTGATAAAACTAAAAGACTTCACACTTCCATAGACATGCAACAAAGGTATAATTATTTTTGATAGGATTGTCGCACATATATAATGCATTAATTATACAACGTCGGCAAGGTATACATGACATAAAACACTGTTGAAAATTAAACTACTGTTGATATTTGATAATGAATCATTTTCAAAAGTAGTTTGTCATTAATGATTAATAAAATAATATATCGTAAGGAAGTAAATGGTTTGAACCCGGGAGTATCGTTATATGTTTGTAAATGATGATCGTCCAGGTTAATAAAGTCCTGAGAAGGACTGTTTTTGTTGTTGTTGACTGACGTTTCGACAACCTTAACGGTAGTCATCTTCAGAGTCAAATGAGAGTAAACGTCAGGTTAGCCGCATTTGTTATCTGGTTCTTACGTCATTGTATTGTGTGTACAGGAAATGTGTATTGTCATTGTGGATTAGTGTGAAGTGAAATATTTTATTTTTAGTTGTGATGTGTGATTTAGGTATGACGTATTTAGTTGTAATGTGTGGGTGTCAATTGTGTATTGTCATTGTGAATTAGTTTGAAGTGTTGTGTTTTTAGTTGATCGTTTGTTTGTATTGTGAATAAGTCGTTTGGAAGGTGCCGGTAATTGCTGTGATCTGTTCAGGGGGGTTTGTTCCAAGTTGGTATACCAACTTTCTAATGTAAGCCGTTGTCTATAGTCAGTACTGTAAGTGATGCATTTTGCCGAATCCCAGTCAATGTTGTGCTTTGTGATTCGGTGATGTTCGGCAATGTGATTAGTTTTGTCTTGTTTCTTAGTAGCTCGTTTGTGCTCAGTAAGTCTTATGTTTAAGTTCCTGCCAGTTTCCCCGATATAGGAGGCGTGGCAGTCGGAGCAGTTTATTTTGTAAACTGCACCTTGTCGTACGTTGGGTTGTTCTTTGTCCTTTATGTTCGTTAGTACTTGTCGTAACGTTGTGATTGGTTTATGTGCGACACGTATGTTGTATGGTCGTAAGATACGCGAGATAGTCTCAGACGTACCTTTGATGTAAGGTATCGTTGCTGTTGCCACTGAGTTGTTTAACCTGGACGATCATCATTTACAAACATATAACGATACTCCCGGGTTCAAACCATTTACTTTATTACGATCATTTGGACGACAGAGCGAACAACTTGCTAACGACTACATACGTTTTGCAAGCAACGTCAGACGCATATGCCAACAACTCTGGTTCAACCACCGCTGCAAGGATTTTAGTCTCGTTCCGGCAGGACTTAGAATTAAGTCCCCGTTGAACACACAAGAGGCTATTCAGATCGTCAAATCCGCCAGCAGACGACTGATACGAGCACGGATTAACGACTGTCACAGACGAATCAACTATTACATCAAACAACAAGAACAAAGACTGAACAAACTGAAGGAACTCATACCAACGACAGTAAGTGATACTTTATTTTCTACGATACAAAGTATTGCAGAGAAACGAGCAAACAAGACAGAGACACAACACCAAATCAAACAACAACAAAAACTTGAACGTTTAAAACAAACTAAAACACGTACAAGACAAAAACATGACGATAACTGGGTGAGGAATATTTCTTCCCGCTCATTAGACGAAACTGAAACACGACTACTATCTTACGGACTTAAACATTCCATAACACCTAGACAAATCCCGACTGAGACGATAGTATCAAGTGTCGAGGCTGTCCTAGCATATCAAAGAGACTTGTCAGAGACAACCAAAGACGAGATCAGAAGCAGGATAGCCTCCACTTTACAATCGTCCTCTATACGTGACAACAACTTGACAAAAGACGAGCAACAAGCACTCAAACGACTAAAACACGACAACAACATCGTCATTTTACCAGCAGACAAAGGACGCGTGACTTTGGTCATGGACAGGAATGATTACTTTAACAAAATGGACACCCTTGTTAACGACAGACAAACGTACGAACAACTCAAACGAGACCCAACACCATCACTAGTACGCAAACTTAACAGCAAGATCTTCTCTATGAGAAAATCTAACATTATATCTGAACGTATTTACTATCGACTCAGATGTTCAGTACCACGACCACCCAGACTATACGGACTACCTAAACTTCACAAACCACAAATACCCATGCGACCAATTGTATCATTCTGTGGTTCGCCTACTTACGAACTTTCAAAGTACTTGACTAACATACTGCAACCACTTACAAACAAATCAAAACACAAGCTACAATCCACTGAAACTTTCATTAAAAAACTGAGCACTATACAAATACCGGACAACTATATACTAGTGTCTTTTGATGTGAAATCACTGTTCACCAGTATTCCACTTAATCTGGCACTTACTTGTACAAAAACCCTCATTACAAACACCACGGACCTGCTGCCATTACCGACAGAAGACATTATGGAGTTACTGGAGCTCTGCCTCACCTCGACTTACTTCCAATACAAAGGAACACACTACAAACAATTACATGGGACGGCAATGGGCTCGCCCGTTTCTGTTGTAGTTTCTGAAATTGTAATGCAATCTATAGAGGAACGGGCGCTCACGACTTACAAACATGCACTACCTTCCTTTTTGGTTTCGCTACGTAGATGACACAATCACAGCACTACATGCAGACGACATTAATGACTTTCATACTCACATCAACAAACAGAACAGCCACATACAATTTACCAAAGATGTCGAAAAAAACGGAACTCTTCCTTTTCTCGACTGTTTGGTAAAACAGGACAATCAAAAACTACGAACAACAGTTTATCGCAAGCCAACACATACTGACCGACTACTAGACCAATCATCTTACAACCCTACATCACACAAAGCCACCACAATCAGAACATTAACAAGACGTGCACAAATCATATGTGATTCACCGGACGCTCTACAAAAAGAAAACAACTATCTCAAACGTGTTTTTGACAAAAACAACTATAACTCTGACTTTATCAAACGCAACACTTACAAACCCAACGAAACGAACAACTCAGTGGCAACAGCAACGATACCTTACATCAAAGGTACGTCTGAGACTATCTCGCGTATCTTACGACCATACAACATACGTGTCGCACATAAACCAATCACAACGTTACGACAAGTACTAACGAACATAAAGGACAAAGAACAACCCAACGAACGACAAGGTGCAGTTTACAAAATAAACTGCTCCGACTGCCACGCCTCCTATATCGGGGAAACTGGCAGGAACTTAAACATAAGACTTACTGAGCACAAACGAGCTACTAAGAAACAAGACAAAACTAATCACATTGCCGAACATCACCGAATCACAAAGCACAACATTGACTGGGATTCGCAAAATGCATCACTTACAGTACTGACTATAGACAACGGCTTACATTAGAAAGTTGGTATACCAACTTGGAACAAACCCCCCTGAACAGATCACAGCAATTACCGGCACCTTCCAAACGACTTATTCACAATACAAACAAACGATCAACTAAAAACACTACACTTCAAACTAATTCACAATGACAATACACAATTGACACCCACACATTACAACTAAATACGTCATACCTAAATCACACATCACAACTAAAAATAAAATATTCACGTCACACTAATCCACAATGACAATACACATTTCCTGTACACACAATACAATGACGTAAGAACCAGATAACAAATGCGGCTATATCATGGCAGGATAACATCTAGCAGTAGCACTTACTCTTAATTATATATATATATATATATGTTATGCTAAATATTAATTGTTTGGAAAATCAAAATAAAACAAGAATTTCACTTACAGTATCAATATTTGAAATGGGAACTCTTGTTGCCACGAAAGGAGAGAGGAACTTCAGTTTATCCAGCAACCAGCTACTTCGCTTCGTAAGATTTTTGCGAGCGCTACCACTTGGAGGAGGTTTTTTGACTCGTGTGTAAGCATTTCTCAATGCTTTTATTTTAGCCTTGACCCAATCAACTTAGTAAGAAATTGACGTGTGAGTTCAAATGCGACTATTAATTATATTTTCCAGCAAATAAATCTCTGCTCAACAGCTTGGACTGAATAAAAGAACTAAAAGATTGGAGAATGACTATATAACAAACACTTATAAAGTCGATATTTATTATTAACAAATAACAACCTGTTTGCCCAAGATTTTCTGCAATCTCTTGCAGAGCCTTATCTCTTGCGTCTCGATTTTTAAATTCCGACGATCTTACATCGTAAAGACATGGATATTCAGGCCAAATATCAACAAGCTGGTCCTCTAATATAACGTCCGCCACATGTTCCGAGGTTTGGTCTGCCATTTTTTCTTAATCTCGCGCGTGCGCATTCTTGTCATTTACAGCGCACTTGCTGCTTGCATTGAGTTCTATAAGACCTGGAGGGGAAACGTCAACCAAATTACTATAAATTACTAGGAGTTACTATCGCAAGGGAAGTGCTGCCCCTCCACCAAGTAAGGTAAAACAGTTTGGAAACTACTATTGCGTGTTTTCCATCATTTATCATCTGCCATAAACAATACAATAATGAATGGTAAAAATAAAAATTTAGCAAGAAACCGCAACAACTGGTATACTTTGTCATTGCATAAAGTCAAGCTAATTGTGTCATCTTTTATTTTCAAATTGTCATATAAATCAATTTATAGAAGTAGATGCAAGAAGTAACACTGTATGTATGTATAATTATGCTAATTTCAAAATGGGATAATTGGATGAACAGTTTTCAAAGCTCATTTTACAAAAATTTGCATATTGTCATTTAGAACTCGCCAATAACAATTAAATCATGTTAACCGAGCTTAAATTTGATTTTGTAAAATATGATTCTGTAAAAAGCCACATGGTTGATGTAAACATTGTGGACATTTGAACAGATTTTAACCTTGAAAAGTTTTTTGACTTTGAAAAGACATATGGTTCCTATTGAAAATGTGTCATATTTGTCAAAAGCTTAAAGTTTTGTTTGCTTAAATATTTTAAGACAATTCACAATTCTGATTTTGTTCTTTAGGTTGAAATAAAACACGGCATGATTTCTTGTTTGATTTGTGTCATTTTCTTTTAGACTGCTTTTGTGAAGCTCATTCATTTATTAATTGTAACCTGAGAGATAATTGTAACCTGAGTCTAGCGCAAATCAATTTTTGCAATACAACCAATACAATATGATGCATGGTTTACTCGCCATGTTTAATCATGATCGTGACTAAAACACCACACAGTACATACAAGTACATCAGTACATCGAGTAACACGATACATCGAGTAACATCTGAGTACATACAGTAACATACAAGTACATGAGAAACATACAAGTACATACAAGTAACATACAGTGACATACGACTATTTTCTTGTCAACAAATGAGAAACAACACAATTTCTTCAATACATTGATATTTGCGTTTATTTTTCCTTGTATTTGTGTGGACTTTGGGGCAACCATTTGATGGATTTAAATGCTGAAAAGGTATTTTACTTTCATACTACATTCATTTGTATGTTTTAGTTGAATTTGTTATAGATATTTTGTCGATGCGATTTGCCAGTATTTGAGCGCTTTTTAAAGCACTTTCACCTAGGAAATACATATTTATGAAAGCGATTATACATTCATTTTGACTCTGAAGATGACTACCGCTAAGGTTGTCGAAACGTCAGTCAACAACAACAAAAACAGTCCGTCTCAGGACTATACGTAACAGTGCAACTCTCATTTAATTCAAATATATATAATGTAAATTTATTTCATGTAGCACGTTTTGAAAGCATTATTTATACGTTGTTTATTTAATCGCTTTCATAAATATGTATTTCCTAGGTGAAAGTGTTTCAAAAAGCGCTCAAATACTGGCAAATCGCATCGACAAAATATCTATAACAAATTCAACTAAAACATACAAATGAATGTAGTATAAAAGTAAAATACCTTTCCAGCATTTAAATCCATCAAATGGTTGCCCCAAAGTCCACACAAATACAAGGAAAAATAAACGCAAATATCAATGTATTGAAGAAATTGTGTTGTTTCTCATTTGTTGACCAGAAAATAGTCGTATGTCACTCGTATGTTACTCGTAAGTACTTGTATGTTACTATGTATACTCGTATGTCACTCGTATGTACTCGTATGTTACTCGTATGTACTCGTGTGGTGTTTTAGTCACGATCGTTTAATCATAGCATTCCAATTTCTATCCAATCGGCATGCACAAACGACGCGCAGTTCATCTTATATGGAGGTGAGTGCTTCAATGCTCAATCGATTCTCGTTAGTCATACGTTTTCATCATAAAATTAAAAGATAAATTCCTTGCCATTTTGAATGAAAACATTTTTTTGATTCTTTTAAATGTCTTGATTGTTTTGATTCTTTTGAGTTTTTAAAATGCTTTTTGATTAAAAGTATGATACGTTGTTTACTCAACCGAACAATCGTCCGCATGTTTACAAACGTAGAAACGGACAATATTATAAAACTGTAGTTTTGTTTCCATTATTTCCTTTATAACATTTTGATAGAACCTTTTTTCCGATGATTCTGTGCGACTGCGATAAAATGATGTATAGTTATCGCAAAGAGCAAACGTTTCATCATATTCATAATTCATATTTCATGGTTGAACTCGCACCATGCGTTTAAATTATTTTTGACGTTTTGTTAAATCCACACCGATATTTCAAGTAATAGTAAAAGCTCTAACGAAAATAAATACATGCTTACACTATATTTTGCTCACCGTCTGACCATAGAGCGCAAGATAAAAAATGTGAACCGAGCTGGCTAAATACGGCACGGTGAATCGATTTCATGTGTTTTTCGCCAAACGAGATATGTGTAATTGATGTCGGTAATCACTCGATTTTGGTATCTACTGTATAACGTTGTTTAGGCCGCATATCTATTCGGATTCCAGACATTTAAAATCAAAGAGAAACTGACAGGAGTTCCGAAAGGTTCTACCTTATTGTAATTGTTCTTCCCCCCTCATTCCGTAAAAATCCCCCCCGGAAATGTTAACAGACAGAACGACGCAAATCGAGATTTTACCTCTATATAGGTCGAGTAGAGGAATGGGCCGAGACATGTCAAGATTAGTGTGCTGCCACCATTGAGCTCTATAAGTTGTTATTTGTTAATAATAAATATCGACTTTATAAGTGTTTGTTATATAGTCATTCTCCAATCTTTTAGTTCTTTTATTCAGTCCAAGCTGTTGAGCAGAGATTTATTTGCTGGAAAATATAATTAATAGTCGCATTTGAACTCACACGTCAATTTCTTACTAAGTTGATTGGGTCAAGGCTAAAATAAAAGCATCCGTCTACCAAACAAGTTTGCAACAAGGTTTAAAGATAAAATTTCTAAAAGTTTTTGTGTTTGGCATTGATATTTTGTATAATCGCTATTGTGGTTGTCAAATCCGGGTGGGCGAAAAAAATTCATTTTATGAGCCCGCGTCTTTCCGCTGACTTTGACAACCAAAATCCGCCATGTTTTTGACCACGCGGCCGCGCGCTGATAATTTATAGTAATTTTGTTTACGTTTCCCCTCCAGGTCTTATAGAACTCAATGGCTGCCACGCTGATGCGTGGCAGCAATTAGCCAGTGAACTCCATATATATATATATCTGGAATGATAACGACAATACATTTTATAGATAAAAAGTTGAAGCCAAAGTCCTAGTCTCTTGCGCGGTTTGTACGTCAGTTCCAGTCCTTGAAAGTCGAATATTCACGCGGTTTGTACGTCAGTATCATTCCCCTGAGTGCCAAACATACGCGGCCAATATAAATTTGAATACAAATTGCGAAAGCAGAAACATATAAACAACATCACTACAAACAACACACCAGGCTAACTCCTCGCAAAAGGCTATTTTTTACAGCTGAAACTTTACTACAGTGAGCTCGTTGTAACTTACAACTTGTAACGAGGAAAAGCCTACTGAAAATTACACTGTATGCTAAAAAGACAATACAATAAGAAAATATGACGAGAAAATATTCAAGCAAAAATTTTTCTTACATCGGAAGGTAAATTTTCAAACGGTGTCAGACAGTGTTTGTCTTTTTTGACATTTCAGTGGATTTAAAGATCTGTTTTTCCGAATAAAAAAGAAACTTGAATATCCAGTTTCATAAAAAATATTGAGTCTATAACTCGCATTTTTACTTTTTACAGAGCGATTGTATTTTTCATCGATTTTGATAGTGCTTGAAACTTGAAATACTAAATGGTTGTCATCTCGATATCAACAATTGAATATCCTTAAAGACTTTGATATGTTTTAAAGGAAAACCGCAGCGTAAGAGCAGATCGACTAAGTTCACCTCATCTTGCTTCTCGATTTATCACTTTGATTCACTTTCCGTGAACCTTTTCATTCCAAAAATTTCGTTATTTTTACGCTCTGATCAAGATCCGAACTCTACCATTACTAAGGTACAAATGATTTAAAAAATTAAAAGGAACACGCGAGAGACTCGAGCCTGACGTGTGATGACGAATAATGACGACAAATATTTTTTTGGCTTCAATTTTTGGCTTCGGTTATCATTCCAGTTATTCAAATGTCGAGTTCACTGCAATTAGCGCGCGGCCGCGTGGTCAAAAACATGGCGGATTTTGGTTGTCAAAGTCAGCGGAAAGACGCGGGCTCATAAAATGAAATTTTTTTCGCCCACCCGGATTTGACAACCACAATAGCGATTATATAAAATATCAATGCCAAACACAAAAACTTTTAGAAATTTTATCTTTAAAACATGCTGCAAACTTGTTTGGTATACGGATGCTGAAGTAATGCCAGAAAAGGAAACATTTCATGATACCGGTAAGCAACGTAAGATGGTTTACCATTTAAAGTGTTCAGTGTTTTGTTTTAAGTCAATACTTGAAGTGTGATGGTATATATTTTGTGAATGTTTTTACTTCTAACTTATAATTTAAGTTATGTATATCCAGTTTATTTGTTATTTACTTAATCGCTTGCTGGACGAGGCAAAGCAACCAGTTCTTATCGAGATATGCATATCTTAAAACTCCTTGTTTCAACTGAGTTGAAATGGAGGACTTTTTCATGATATTTTTCTGAAAATATGAAGCAAATATTAAGGACAGAGCTGTATTGAAATCAAATGCAGTGCAGGATTAATTAATGAGCTCTTTGGTACATGTCGTACAATAAAAATTACCTGTATTAAACAGCTAGCCTGGACAATTTGACAGATTATGGACAATCATGATGATGGTGTGTAATGGTTTGCTTTATGCTAAAAGTTTTATGAATGCCATCTGGTGTTTCTGTAAATGAATTGTTTGTTACACAGTGTAATAAACAGGTTAGTACATCAAAATCAAGATAAAAACTACTTTGTTCAATAATGTGCCAAATTTTGCTCCTACCTTGAAATATTTGCTCAAGCAAAGCTTATCATGACATGCATGAAACATTAAATACAGTACTGCATCATCTGACAAAGTCCATATGTTTTCAATTCCAGGTGATTAAAATTCACATAAGATGCATTGGTTGCAATGAAGTTGAATGTGGAAGAAGCAAAAATTAATGACAAAGAACTTTTTATGTCTTTTGAAGAATTACGATATCATTTAAAAGAATAAGAGTAGCAATCTAGTAAAAGAAGCCACATCGGCCTTCAACATGAGACTTTTCCAATTATGTATAGTTATTTTGTACAAAATACTATTTTAGATAAACTTGATTTTTAAGTCATTTACTGATATTTTTACCAAAAGACAAAAAGAAAAATTCCAAGGCATAATGTAAAATTCAAAAATTTGTCAAGTTGTTTGAACCTAGAAAAAATTAGTATAGGTAACTGTAATTTGTAAGGACACAAGAGAAAAGTAGTGCAAGAAGGTTAGCATTTTTGAGAGTTAATAAGTTCTTGACATACATTACACAAGGCCATAATATTATAAATAATGTCTGTATAATAACAATTATACAACATGCTAAATATCTTCACCTACATTATAATTATTTAAACAGGTTTGCCTTCATGCAGCAATAAGAAAAGTGTTATGTCAGAGAAACCAATGCACTTTAATTTAAAAATCGTATTTTCAATGGGAAATTAATGTAGTTCTGTTCAATAGTAGATCCATGGTTGTCAATGACAATCCAGTTACTAATATCTTGGCTCAAAACAGAACCAGCAACATGATTATAGAATTTCTGAATTTCGTTCTTTTGCTCTCCTAGTTCGAGATATTTTCTTCATAAGTTCTCAGTAGATTTATCAGAATATCATAATACCTTATAAGACACCCAGAATCAATCCTACCAAAAAAAACTCAAAAAAAATACATACCTACTTATAATATATTTCCAGTCGACTTAAGTCGTAGGGTAAGCTAACTTTTCTAACTCCTTTTTGGACATTTTAACTAATATTTACCCATCTATTCAAGAAAGACAGTTGCACGAAGCTGTTAAAAAATAGTCAAAAACACAAGTATTGCGCATGGGATTATGCATTAAAGCTTAACAACACATTGACTGTGTAAAGAATGCCGTTTGATATTTATTTCTAACATAGCTAAAGCATTACTTGACAAAACATACGTTATTTTACAGTAGATTTACCTCATTTAAATGTGTGTGTCTATTTCACAAAAACCTGAAGCATTATTTTCAATATTTTATGCTTACGGTATCGTGGTTGTTTTCGCTGGTTGTCATTGATATAAGCAGTAATACAGTTCCGGATTCGGGAGGGAGCGAATGTTAAAAATTTTTCTCAAAGTGGAAGTTTTGACAACCAAAATCCGCCATTACCGCCATGTTTTTGACCACGGGGTCCAGGCCCCTTTGCCCCTCCAGGTCTTATAGAGCTCAATGGCTGCTTGCCTCTCCGCACACTAGAATTTTTTGTCACTCGTGACAAAAAATATCAAACGCGTTTGATATTTGACTCATCTGTCACGAATGACAAATGTTGTTCAAAACTTCCGCGCACACTAGGAACTTTTGTCGATCACACTTGTCACGAATAACAAGTACGCGCGGCAAGTTCACCAGTGTGCGGCGGGCTTAAGAACCAGATAACAAATACGGCTAACCTGACGTTTACTCCTCATTTGACTCTGAAGATGACTACCGCTAAGGTTGTCGAAACGTCAGTCAACAACAACAAAAACAGTCCTTCTCAGGACTTTATTAACCTGGACGATCATCATTTACAAACATATAAAATAATATATCCTCAGCAACGTTTAAAAATATTTAATTTGTAATACATGTTTTTTCTGTGAAAAGCAGCCCGACGAAAACACTCTGCTGCCTTTTGATCACAACGACAAACTGCTTTGCCACATCGCGAGTTTTCGAGACCTGAAGAATAATTAGCTGTATGGTTACAAGTTACAGCACTTTTTTTCAACTCTTATAGCTACATCAGTGCTGTAGAACTAAATTTATCAGATGGGGGCTCTCTTGACGTTTTCGTCAATAGTGCTCTTTTAAAATTACCCATTTCAAAGGTAGACGGGGGCACCTCCCCAAGCGTCCCCCCACTTCTTCAGCACTGACCTACATCTAGCTACTAATATGCTTTAAATTGAAAATTTTACTTTCACCCAAAGTTTTGAGACACTCAAGACGAAATTGAATAGATGCGTTAAAAAATCCTTCGGGGATTAATAAGTTAGAGTCTTATGGAGTTATCTGTAGGCAAGTGGTACAGGTAGTCAAATTGTCGTTGCCTATCAATGTTCCATAATGATGATTATCATCCACGTCTATTGATCAACGTAATAGTTGTAGCATGTCTAACCGACGCAAAGCTTTAACTTAAGCAAGAAAAAAATCCACAAATTTTTGAATACAATTCAACTTTGATAATTTCCCATTCTTTCAAAGGCCTAAAGAATGCCGATAACACCGTCGGTTTTCACTTCTAGGACGCGAAAGCGAAAAAAAATAGTGTCTGTGTGTAATTGTGAGAAATTATGATTGACTTCCTGCGTCTAAAGACCATAACTAAGCATTTTTACTTATGCCATATAATTAAAGACATACCTTACTAAAGTCACATCAACATGCATGTCACATGCTCGTTCCCAGAACGTTTTCTTTTGATTTGTGAGAAATGACCATTGGGAACGGGGTTGATACCTATCACTCAATTTTAGCCATCCAGTCAATTTTATTTAACTATAACAATACTTACTACAACCAGTGCAGCCAATACGAGAGTAGTTTGTAATAAACCATTCATAATATTGACAATCTCCCCTTCGGATGGCATCCTCATAACATTGATCATGATGGTAGCAACATCTCAGAGAATGTCACGAAACTTACTCACTAAGCAAAACAAATAACCTTATGTCTGAATAATCATGTAATGAACATTGACCGCCCCAACCAGTACAACTTCTGTTCAACAAAATGAAGGTTTTGGCCAGTTATATACCTGTCAGTTTCGTCGACAATTTTACCACGTCCACCTATACCACACCAGCAACCATAAAATGTGTAGCTGAAGGGATGACGTTTTGTAATACATCTAAGCATCAGACCAAACTTATAAATTCCCAGCATTCTTTTCTCTGCAATGAAATAAAAGATAACTCTGTGAACATAAAAAGATTCGAGTTATACGAATCTATTACCATTTGTCGAAACTTCGAAAATTTCTATAAAGAAGCCAGAACAGTAATTTATACACAAATGCGATTTATCATAAAAAATAGTCGATAAAGAAGTTACCTCGATGTGTACGCTGATTGGAGTTCACCACAACGATCATCGACATCAATAGAACGCCCAATGCCTTCATGGTTGGATGCATTGATTTAACTGATTGATGCCAGAAAATATCACCTTATCAAAGATGAAAGACGAATGCCTTTGGTCTTCTCATCCGCCAACTGCCAATTATCAAATAAATCATAGGGAAGATGTACATGACTTTAGTATGATGTGTAAAGGTGGAGTTCCGTTTTAGCTTTCAAATGAACAAGGAAGAAAATGTTTCTCCTATTTTTAGAATGCGCCATATTTTCGTTGGAAGAAGAGGGCTCCCCAAAATTTCGTATGAAATCACGGTTACTTTTTATCAAATGTTGAGCGATATAGAAAGAAATTTGAATGACCTTGTTCATTTAAGAAGAAGAGGGGAGTCGCGTGTTTTAATGGAAATGGTCAACTAAATGTGCTATCTAGCTCGCACATTATTGTAGATAATTCCCCTAAGCAAAACCCACAAACATTTGTTCGATTTTATCTTTATTTGATACGGCTTTTCGAAAATATAAAGTCGGCGATCGCGATGCAGGCTGACTCTATTTTGGCCCTAAATATGTTTTGTCCACAGTCCACGCCATCAATACATGTGGGCAATAATGCACTGTCGAACTTATAGCAAACTAAGCATGAATCTGTTATCCATTTCAGCAAGCCTCAGAATATCAGCGTGATACAAATGAAAGGAGATCATGTTTCTGCTGTTTCAATTCAACATCCTCATCAAAGCGACAACCACGCCTTGTTGATGTAATCATTGTAATGTCAGGCGATTTTAAGCCTTCCTCAAACATGATTCCTTAAAAAGTTCTTTTTTGTGCGCGGTTGGGTTCTTTCTATTTATCGTAGTATCCATCGAAACAAAGGAATACTGTAATCTGTGCAGAGCGAACTTAATATGATGGTGATGCTGTGACAACGATGCATGCCTGTTTAATAGGATATGTTTAATTTGATTGGCGGGTAGTATATGCTTAAAACGATTATTGCCACAGAAACGATTCATGCTATTTGTTGCTGTTGTTACCAGAAGCTACTGTGTACTATCTATTTTTTGTCTCACAACAAAAATATTTTTCCTCTATTCAATATTTTGCAACACTTACTGTCGAAGACAAGGGGAGAAATTGTCACGCGGTAGGGCTTGTTTGATAACCTCTCTCGAAATCGGTTCCCACAGTGCATGCGTATCCAATGTACAAATATGATGTTTTCTTTGTCTCAATGGAACCATTACAAATGAACTACAAACTTACAAAGTTGTCGTGTGAAACTCTGACTCACAATCACACACGTAGCCAGCCTGCAAATTTGTTCATCCTATGTGAATTTTTCATCATTAACATTATTCATTTCTTTAGAAATCGATTGCTTTTACAGTGAAAACATTTACCTAGCATGAACAAACGCTCGGGCTTGCTACGCCATTGATTACACCCGAGAACCAATTGCATTACCGTTCTCACCTGATCATTCACTATGACCACAAACAAATAGCAATTCTAACTCAAACGAGGACTTTTAGTTTGCATTTGCGTCAGCTACACCATAAATGGCAGCAAGTTTTCTAGTTACGGGTAACTAGGTTGTGCTTTCTGCGAGTTGTAGATTTTCAATTACCCTTCTCACATGGTCTTTGTTCGGAGAACGTTTTTATTTTGCTCTTTGAAAAAGTCATGTTAACTACGTCACCATATCTTATCACTGTCACATAATCTAGACTATGGTAACTTATTCTAAAGTAAATGGTTTGAACCCGAGAGTATCGTTACATGATAGATAGACTGTGGTGAGGTAGACTGGGCGATCAACATCTACAAATATGTAATTTATTTTATTATTCAAACACTCAAATTGTCAGGATGATAGCATCATGCTGATTTATAATCATCATCAAAAATTCTAAAAATATTGATATTCCGATAAAAGTATGAAATTTGGCAAAGAAATAGCTGAATAAGTTCCGCCGTATGCCAACACGAAATATCGATTTGTGATGAGAAAGGAGACGCACAAACTTACCATGACATGGAAACGAGGCAGAAAAGTCAAATTCGCATTAACCTTTATACATGTTTATAAATAATTTTAAGGAGAAAACATAAACTTTCATTTGCCTTATTGAAATGGCTACATTATCAGCAGGTAAATAATCTATTTAGGTAGAGTGGACGATTTAAAGAACATTCGCAGCTTATCGTGTGACACGAAACTTTGATCTTCCTCGACTTTTTGGCCTCAAAGTTGGCTTTTTTCGTGTTTGACCGTGAGGTTTAATTTAATAATAAAGTGCACAATGTGATTGTTCATTAAATTTTCATTTCATTTATGGCTCACATTGATGTTGTCCGGTGATCAGGGGCCGCGGAAGTATCTCAAAAGGGGCACTGACCGAAAAGGGCATGTGAGTTTGCAGCTTACTGTTTTAGTATATTACAGATATGCATTGTTTCATGAATCATGATTAAGTTTCAAAGTCTGCAAAATATTGGTAGACATTCTTAGAATGCTATGCGTATTCTCTACTGCTCGGCGTGCGTGCTAACAAATTGAACTAAGATGACTACATGAACAATTTTATTAAGTAATGCGATCTCATTAAAATTTCCCAAAAAATCTAACCCTACGTTCGTTTTTCAGAACAAAGTCCTTAGCTATTAAACGTAAGTCCAGTTCGTCAGTTTTGGCCTTGTTTACATGCATAACAATAAGATTATTGTAGCGTGCTGCCGTCATTGTGCTCCTGGGATGAGTCTTGACAAGCCGCTGGCATGAAAAAGATCGTTCTCCAGAGGCTGCGCTCATTGGAGCAAGAAGGTAAATCTGCAAGAGTCGGACAACATTAGACATTGCCATGACAATCTGCGATGATTTATTTTCTTCGGTTGAGAATATTGATGTTATGGTGTCAATTGATGTCACCTTCTTTACTTCTGAAAGTCGCTGCGAGATCATTCCTTCAAGAAGCTTTAACTCCGCCTTCAGCTGGTCAAAGTCGAAGTCATTTTCGTAAAGGTGTTCAACTTCATCATTCAACTCAAACTTACGCCCGTTTGCTGCATTAATGAGCGCGGTTTCAATGTTCATCAATACAGAATATGCTTTTTGATCGAAGCGCTCCTGTAGTGAAGCCAAGCACGCATCAATTGCCTCAACATACTGGGCACGGTGGGCGTTGCTCGCCATCTCCGTGTTAAAGTCGCCACGGAACTTTCTTCGGTCTTGGTTGTGTTGGATCGCCTGCAAAGTTGATAGCCTTGCTTGAAGCAACTACTTGGTCGTAAAACAAAGAGAAGTTGTCTCGTTGACGCTGCAAGTTTGTCTTCAAGGCATTTATGCAAGTAACAGTTGACAAACGAAGACAACCTCAATCGACAAACGCGATTTTTGATCCATCTGGGTAATCAAATTCAAAAACTAAGCTATAGCTGATTTCGCATGATGCCGACAGACTTTGTTCTACTCTCGGGGCTACTTGCATCTAAGAAAAACTTCTTCAGTCCAATTTTACCTAAAACAAGGGCATTTCTATACCATGAAAAAGGGCACTTCCATTCCAGAAAAAGGGCACATTTTTCCCTGTTGCAAAAAGTGGGGGGGCACTTGCCCCCAATGCCCCCCCGGTTCCGCGGCCTCTGCCGATGATTCCGACAGTCGGGATAGACAGCTTTGAATTGCTTTTGAGATAGACAACTTTGGATTGCTTTTATAATTCCTTTATTGTAATGATATTCTTTCATGATGGTTCACCATGATCGAACATCCATAAACTACGCGTTTATGCGTCATCTCAATTACTAAAATTTTTTTAGTAGTTTAATAAAGAGTTTAATAAAAATAATACTAAAGTTTAATAAAAATACTTTCCTCGACTTTGCCGCAAATAAAGGGTGATATAAGCACTATCCTTTTGTTCTTTCAAATAATATTTTATGTGTTTATCCCATAGACTTTGAACCCAGAACCCAGTTTCTCATCTATTAAGGCAGCGCCGACTACGAGTCACGAGGAACCGTATCAACTTGACACGCTGAGTCCTGACAGTTGATATTCATTTTGATATCTTTTTAAATTTGCGTTCAAAAGGTATGTTTCAAAGAATACATCTATTTACGCTAGTTAAGTATAAGAATATAAGAGAAATTCTTTAATGTCTATAGTATATTTGCTAGATGAAGGAATTTTTATTGTGAAGTGGCTATTCTTAATGGAGCAAAAAGCCGATAGCTATTTGCTATTCGTACTCCAATTCTACTTTTTTACTTTTTTTTACTTGAGTTAATCCAGTCGAAATAGCCAATAGTTGTTTGCGTATGCTCGCACAAGAAATTTACCTGCGATCAAGCAAAATTTTAATTCATATATTGATATTATTGCTACGTGTCGCGTACGTACATATGTCCACTACTGTGAAATTGTCACCACAATTAACACAACGTGCATCACAACATTCATCACCACATTCATCTAAAATTTATCATTCAAAATGATAATTTTTCCATAATTTTGTAATAGCACAATTCAAATGATGCATTTAACGTAATGTTATCATACCGGCATTAACATAATGTTAACGTAAGGACATTCTAAAACGTAACTCATACCCCTTGCATTTCATAAACCAAGTAATAAAAACATATAACAACGACACTAACCCCAACACAACTAACAATGAACAAGACCACACACAAGCCAAACCCCAAATCCATTACTTCAAGCTACCTTACATTGGCCACTACTCACAAATCACAAAACGAAAACTACACAACTTGGTCAGACGTTACTGCACAAACTTAGACATAAAACTAGTATTCTCTTCTTTTAAAATCAAAAACTTCTTCTGCTTCAAAGACCCCATCCCTTTCCTCTTAAAATCCAATGTGATTTACTAATTCTCTTATGTTGGATGTAATTCTCACTAAATTGGCAAAACCGGCCGCCACCACTCCACACGGATTAAAGAGCATACCACTTCCGATAAAAACTCTCACATATTCAAACACCTCCTCTCATCACCTCACTGCAAATCTAAATACTCACTATCCTGCTTTCGTATATTAGACAGTGCCCACACTCCTTCTTTAAAACTAAAAGAAGCACTGTACATAAAAAAAACTCAAGCCTAATCTTAACAAATAAATTCAGCATGTCAATACTATCTTTAACTTGTGAATATTTAACACCTTTAATCACTACATAATTGTAAATAACTTCCGCTTCATCCCTTTTGTCTATACACATGTCTTGTATCATATTTCTTTATATATTAACTCCATTTAAATATTCATTCATTATACCGCACTGAAGATGGCATAAGTTTGCCGAAACATGTCTGCAATAAAAAATTTAAAAAAACTTCTCGTTTACGTTAAATGCATCAAAATGATAAATTGAAAAATCGTCTTTAAAACACATTTTCCATCAAATACAAAAGTAAAAAACATTTCTTAACTGTTTATGACTATTTTACTGTCCTTAAACATCACATGTTTGTAAATGTAGATCGTCCTGAGAAGGACGGTTTTTGTTGTTGTTGACTGACGTTTTGACAACCTTAGCGTTACTCATCTTCACAGTCTTAAAAACATCACAAAACATCACAAAACTGATGTTGTCCTTAAACATCACAAAAATGTATAAAAATCAAGAAATTGAAGAAAACACTAAGCTTTATGTTACAGTGTACTTTTCCTTTCTTTTATTTAGTGTATAATTTAAAAACTACACCGTAGAATTTTTTAAACTTGGCTAGAATATAGATAATTATATTGTCTAAAATATATCCAAAATCTAGAGAGTGCACAAAAGTATAAATGTAGAAAATCATCTACAATGTCGGATGACACGAATGCACGTAATATAATCTTATATAATTAACTTCCTATATCCATGTATTTTGCAAACAAAGGCCTATAAATAAAAAACTACACGGTAGAATTTTTTTAAACTAGGCCTTATTGTAGATGTTTTTATTGTCTATAACATATCCAAAATCTGGAGAGTGCACAAAAAAATAAAAGGAATAAAATTCCTTGAGAATGTACTCAAGCTCTATAGCTAAAAAACTACACGGTAGAATTTTTTAAACTCAAGTATATTATAGAATTTTATATTGTCTAAAATATATCCAAAATTTAGAAAGTGCACAAAAATATAAATGGTAGAAAAACATCGACAAAGTTTGATGACTCAAATGCGCGTAATATACTGTAATCTTGCATAATTAAGTTAAGAATCCGGTTCTTTAACAAACAAAGCCCTATAAATAAAAAGCTACACGGTAGAATTTTTTTAAACTTTTGCATATTACACATATTTATATTGTCTAAAATATGTCCAAAATCGAGAGAGTGAACAAAAAATTAGTAATATAATTTACTTTTTAAAAAATTGTTTAAAAGTAGTAAACTCTGTGTGGTTGTTAATACCAAATAATTATGCAGTGACGTAACAGTGCTGGTTATCTTTCTTGAAAGTTTGTTCTAGTTGCTCATTGCTTTTAATTTTTTCAAAATTTCGTGAATCTAGTGAAATAAATGACATATTTTTGGACTAGTTATGACCAAATAGTACTTTATTCCAGGAACTTTACGTCACTATATAATTAGATATGTGCATTATTATTTTGTATTTTTTCAGACTTAATAGATAATTTGTTTACTTTATTATCTTATAATTACAAGTCGGGTATTATTTACCACAGTATGTTTTTCAATCGCAATTTTTTACGTTGTTAACACAATCAGAATATCGATTAACTATTTCAATTTTTCTGAAAATGTTCCTCTTGCATTCTGAACTTATATGAAGTTACTTTATTTCGACGATTGATAGAGAATTGAACGTGATTTTGGGCAGATTTTAGTTACTACGCTCTTGCCCGTTTCTGCTTTCTTAACACGTCACTTGTAGCTAAATAGAAATGCAGTTATTCATAGATTATATTACGCGCATTCCTGTCACCTAATTTTGTCGATGAATTTCTACTATTTATTTTTTTGCGCACTCTCCAGTTTTCGGATATATTTTAGACAAAATAAAGCTCTAATTTTTTTATCAAGATTTTGTGATCTACAGTAACAAAAGCCTTTGGTCAACCTAAGAAAATTACGCCATTATTAAGCCTTTGTCCACGTGAAATAACCAGTCCATACGGATAGTAATAATCAAAATCATCAGGAAATCAGATAATTATAATAAAAATTATCGGCTATTGGATAATTATGATCATAGTTATCGGCTGTCGGATAAATGCTACTTCTACTGCTTCCGCGAGCGATGCACTTTCAAAGCTCCATTGGAAACCTCTAGAAAGGCGGAGAGCCGAGCATCGTGCTATTTTCATGTTTAAGGTAGTTAATAACCTTTTTATGCAAACTTTTCACTGCTGTTTTAACAGTAACTATCACAACTATAATACACGATCAATGCGAAATATCCGCAAATCATTCGCACACAGAAGAGGGGGGCACTGGATAACAATAAATTTTGCAGCTGACGTTTGGAATGCCTTACCCTTTTCCATAAGAAATGTGCCCACCGTAAGCCAATTTAAGCGTGGTATCAAGAAAGCACTATTTTAATTAGTTTCGTTTTTAGCATGTTAATTTTCAAATGATGTAGTTTTATCTTCATATTTTTCGATTTGTATTCTTTTTCTTTTTATTCTTAAGTAGTTATATTATATTTAGTTACTTTTAGAGGACCCCTCTGTAAACCACTTTTTAGTGTTGTTGCCATCCTCAATAAAGATTAGCTATTATTATTAAATGTAATCAAAATTGTGTGATAAATGTAATCAAAATTATCGGCTATCTGCTCTCCGATAATTATAATCAAAATCATCGACTATGATTTAGATATGTTTTTTTAGTTTGTAATTTGAATCTTTAAAGTGTTTGATATTAACCAATGAACATTGCTAAATTGACCTATATGTTGCTTTTTTTAAGAACACAACAACTGCTTTGACTGTAAAGTGGACCTCCAAAATTTTTTTTTTTAATTGAACTCAAGGAGATGCGAATACGAACAATAAACAAAACATCAACGTTACTTAAGCACTTTTACCAGTTTAGTTTGGCAAATGAAGGAAGGAGACCTGGTGTAAATGATGTTGACTGCCTATTAGAACATGAGAAAGCCACGATATATGTTTTGGAGTTACAAAACAAACCTGTTGGAAAAATCTCCATCATAGAATATGGCTCAAACCTTGTATATTTAGGCTCTTTTTTCATCCATAAAGACTATCGATACCTGGGCCACGGCAAACGTTTCTTACAAGCTGTATGGGAACGTCTTGATGAAAATCCAGAAATTAAAAATAAGGCGTGGTACACGCTACCTGTTATGGCTGAGTTTTATAAGACATTTGGTGGTGTTGATCAATGGACGGTTGGTCTTTACGATCTTAATGTGACAAGAAGTTTAGAAAAACTTCAAAGTTATTCAAGCCATTTTCAGTTGAATCAAATCAATGAAAATAATATACACGACGTGTTAGCTTACGACAACAAAGTGTTTGGATACCCACGAGAAAAGTTTTTAAGAATGTGGTTAAGTACACCTGGTACGCATGCTCGAGCAGCTTTCAACAAGGATGGGCAGATTTTAGGCTACGTTGTTGTAAGATTGACTTTCTTCCCTGAAGAAGGTTACAAAGTTGGTCCACTTTATTGCGAAGACATCGAAGTAGGAAAATCGCTGATAAAAAGTGTTTTCGAAGATATCAACGATCACGGTTTTTCACATTCTAATTCAATCGTCGTAGAAAGCCCAACGGAACGGAATCCAAAGGCGAAAGAGTTAATGGAATTCCTCGATGGTGAATACAATGGGGCTGTGTATTACCAGACAACGAACGGTCTTCCTAATTCCTGTTTTGATCATTGGTTTGGTTTACTTTCTTTTGCGTATGGATAGAATTTAATCAACATTCTATAATATGAGCATTTATATACATGAAAATTCTAATAGAATTGTTGTGGAGTAATAGTTTTTTCAATATTTGGATGTATAATGAAATGTAGTTTTGGCATTTAGTTTCATTGTAGTTTTAGCATTTAGTTTTATTGTAGTTTCAGCATTTAGTTTCATTGTAGTTTTAGCATCTAGTTTAATTGTAGTTTTAGCATTTAGTTTAATTGAAGTTTTAGTTTCAACTTCGCATGAAGCTACTACATTTCTTGTCGAAACTATTTATGTCAACTATACGGGAAATATAGCTCACGTCAAATGTAGCTACAGCTATTTGCCTTCAAGCAGCGTTGCCAGCTGCAGTTGTCTAAAAATTCTCAGGAAACTCCCGAAATAATCCGAGATTATTTTAAATCTCCCGGTTTCATCGCTCTCTATATACAGTTGCAACAAATATGTAGTATAGATCAGTAGAGATAGCCTCAGCTGCCTTAACGCATGCGTCAGAACCCAGCAATCTAGTTCTACTGCATGTATGTTTGTTTGTAACAGCTGAATATGGTCAAAGGAGCACATCGTGTATAGCGTTAGTCAACAGGTACAATTACAAACAGCCGGCTGACGGTTGACTTTTTTTCTATCTGCGCTTATTTCATCTTATCCTCATCGGAAGGTTGTCTTGAGAAATAAATAAAAGAAAAACGCATAAATAAAAGAAATACGCTAAAAAATGAAGCAGCTATAAATTGCTTTTATGGAAGACTCCATTACAACTTGCACTACAGCATGTGTAACGTATTTAAGCCGATTTGATGTAGAATAAATTAACTATTGAATTATACACGCCAAGTTTGGGTGTGTGTTTTGACAAGTGTAATTTATTGTTTGAATTAAAATGTTCATGTATTTAAATTCATATCAAACTATCCAAACATTGATCAATTTAACACAAAAAGTGGGTCTTAGTGTAAAAAGTGATAAAACTAAAAGACTTTACGCTTCCATAAACATGCAACAAAGGTATAATTATTTTTAATAGGATTGTCGCACATATATAATGCATTAATTATACAACGTCGGCAAGGTATACATGACATAAAACACTGTTGAAAATTAAACTACTGTTGATATTTGATAATGAATCATTTTCAAAAGTAGTTTGTCATTAATGATTAATAAAATAATATATCCTCAGCAACGTTTAAAAATATTTAATTTGTAATACATGTTTTTTCTGTGAAAAGCTGCCCGACGAAAACATTCTGCTGCCTTTTGATCACAACGACAAACTGCTTTGCCACATCGCGAGTTTTCCAGACCTGAAGAATAATTAGCTGTATGGTTACAAGTTATAGCAGTTTTTTTCAACTCTTATAGCTACATCTAGCTACTAATATGCTTTAAATTGAAAAAATTTCACTTTCACCCAAAGTTTTTTAGAAACCTAGAAACTACATGCATATGCAAGAAGTCGGTATTTTATTTCGTTTTAACCATCTTTTCCTGTTGTGCTAACACATGCACAAAAGTCTTGGGTGATTGACGGACACTCAAGACGAAATTGAATAGATGCGTTAAAAAATCCTTCGGAGATTGATAAGTTGGAGTCATATCGAGTTATCTGTCGGCAGGTGGTACAGGTAGTCAAATTGTCGTTGCCTATGAATGTTGCATAATGATGATTATCATCCACGTCGATTGATCAACTTAATAGATGTAGCATGCTTAACCGACGCAAAGCTTTAACTTAAGCAAGAAAAAAATCCACAAATTTTTGAATACAATTCAACTTTGATGCTTTCCCAGTCTTTCAAAGGTCTAAAGAATGCCGATAACACCGTCGGTATTCACTTCTGGGACGCGAAAGCAAAAAAAAATAGTGTCTGCGTGTAACTGTGAGAAATTATGATCGACTTCCTTCGTCTATAAAGACCATAACTAAGTATTTTTACCAATGTCATATAATTAAAGACATACCGTACTAAAGTCACATCAACATTCATGTCATATGCTCGTTCCCAGAACGGTTTCTTTTGATTTGTGAGAAATGACCATTGGGAACGGGGTTTATTCCTATCACTCAATTTTAGCCATCCAGTCAATTTTATTTAACAATAACAATACTTACTACAACCAGTGCAGCCAATGCGAGAGTAGTTTGTAATAAACCATTCATAATATTGACAATCTCCCCTTCGGATGGCATCCTCATAACATTGATCATGATGGTAGCAACATCTAAGAGAATGTCACGAAACTTACTCACTAAGCCAAACAAATAACCTTATGTCTGAATAATCATGTAATAAACATTGACCCCCCAAACCAGTACAACTTCTGTTCAACAAAATGAAGGTTTTGGCCAGTTATATACCTGTCAGTTTCGTCGACAATTTTACCACCTCCACCTATACCACACCAGCAACCATAAAATGTGTAGCTGAAGGGATGACGTTTTGTAGCACATCTGACCATCAAACCAAACTTGAAAATTCCCAGCATTCTTTTCTCTGCAATGAAATGAAAGATAACTCTGTGAACATATAAAGTTTCGAGTTGTTATATGAATCTATTACCATTTGTCGAAACTTTGAAAATTTTTATAAAGAAGCCAGAACAGTAATTCATACACAAATGCGATTTATCATAAAAAATAGTCGATAAAGAAGTTACCTCGATGTGTACGCTGATTGGAGTTCACCTCAACGATCATCGAAATCAATAGAACGCCCAATGCCTTCCTGGTTGGATGCATTGATTTAACTGATTAATGCCAGAAAATATCACCTTATCAAAGATGAAAGACGAATGGCTTTGGTCTTCTCATCCGCCAACTGCGAAATATCAAATAAATCATAGGGAAGATGTACATGACTTTAGTATGATGTGTAAAGGTGGAGTTCCGTTTTAGCTTTCAAATGAACAAGGAAGAAAATGTTTCTCCTATTTTTAGAATGCGCCATATTTTTGTTGGAAGAAGGGGGCTCCCCAAAATTTCATATGAAATCGCGGTTACTTTTTATCAAATGTTGAGCGATATAAAAGAAATTTGAATGACGTTGTTGATTTGAGAAGAAGAGGGGAGTCTTGCGTTTTAATGGAAATGGTCAACTAAATGTGCTATCTAGCTCGTACATTATCGTAGATAATTCCCCTATGTAAAACCGTAAACATCCGTTCGATTTTATCTTTATTTGATACGGCTTTTTGAAGTCGGCGACCGCGATGCAGGCTGACTCTATTTTGCCCCTAAATATGTTTTGTCCACAGTCCACGCCATCAATACATGTGGGCAATAATACACTGTCGAACTTATAGCAAACTAAGCATGAATCTGTTATCCATTTCAGCAAGTCTCAGAATATCAGCGTGATACAAATGAAAGGAGATCATGTTTCTGCTTCTGTTTCAATTCAACATCCTCATCAAAGCGACAACCACGCCTTGTTGATGTTATCATTGTAATGTTAGGCGATCTTAAACCTTCCTCAAACATGATTCCTTAAAAAGTTCTTTTTTGTGCGTGGTTGGGTTCTTTCTTTTAATCGTAGTATCCATCGAAACAAAGGAATACTGTAATCTGTACAGAGCGAACTTAATATGATGGTGATGCTGTGACAACGATGCCTGTTTAATAGGATATGTTTAATTTGATAGGCAGGTAGTATATGCTTAAAACGATTATTGCCACAGAAACGATTCATGCTATTTGTTGCTGTTGTTACCAGAAGCTACTGTGTACTATCGATTTTTTGTCTCATAAAAATATTTTTCTTCCATTCCATATTTTGCAACACTGACTGTCGAAGACAACGGGAAAAACTGTCACGCGGTAGGGCTTGTTTGATAATCTCTCTCGAAATTTAAAATTAGTTAAATAACTAACTGTGGTATCAGGCACGTACTGCTTGTTAAATTTTGTAAAAATTGAACTGCGACATCAACGCCATCCCTTATTTTTAACCAGAAGTCTATTTGCCTTTGTAGATCTCCGTCGTTCTGATTAACAGACCAAGGCTGCTGGGAACAAAGTATATTTAATGCGTTTTCAATTTTAGTATTTATTGACTTATTTCTAAACGACTATAAGCATATAGAATGTGAGGGGTATCGCATAAGGTAGAAATAACTTTTTGCATGAGCGTCCATACTTGTCCTTGCTACCTGCTAGAGCCCACATCTCGATTTCTTGAAAAAATGTGGAAAAAATAATTGTATTTTTAAACATTCAGTTCATTTTCTTTTCTGCTTGCCGCATTTTATACAAGATAATATGATGAATTTTTCAAGCATCAAAATATAACCAGAGTTTTTATGCTCCAGCATTCTAAACCACGACCAAACCAAATCCAGTTCCTTCCCTGACTTTGCATTCCATATGACATGTGGTAACGTTGGGTGTTACTCTAAGCAAGCCTTTATGCAGTTCATTTTCTACCATAAAGATATATATCATAAGTAGTCCATATAGTGAAGGATTAGGTAATAGAGTAAAGGATACCACGGTCAATTCTACCATATCGTTTTTGCTTCGAGGAATATAGATAGAGGAAGCTTAAGATCTTTGCAATTTAAGCTTAATATACTTCTAAAAAGATGCTGTCATGAGAAGCCAAATGGTAAAAGGCTTTTTCCAAGCCAAAACATTATTATTTTGGGAGTTAAAATGATTTGCCGTCGCCTCTTTCATCCACGTAACACACGCATTTATAGTATTTTCAACTTTAAGGTTGAAAATGTTGGAGGTGTTGGTGCGCTGTAACCACTCAGGAACTCCTGCTTTGCGGTCTCTTCCAAATGAAGCGACGTAAAAAATGTGCTCGTGCAATGCATTTTCTTGGTCGCCATTTGTGCATTCAGATGCACCCAGTCGTATTTTAAAAAATTAAGCTTTGCAAAGATTTCGGTAATCTAGAGCTGTGCTGCTGTATAAATCCCTTTTAACTTTTGTGCAACGGTGGAAAATTTGTTTTTATATTGTTCCCTGCATTAGTGTCATACATGAATTTTGCGTTTATCAATTTTGAAATTTGACGCTCTTGGGCATCCTCCCTGTTATTGCATCATTCTGAATTTGCCATCCCTTGCAGTTGCAGTAGAATCTACTGAGTACATGATCAATATCAGAATAAGGCTGGAATAAGGCGAATGCCTGGTTTGCGGGCTGTATTTTTACAATCTTTTCCATTTTTCATTTGCAACGTTGGCATTCGTTTGCATACATCACCTCGACTTCCGGTAACATCGCAGATTACGCTACTCGGAGAGAAAAACGAAACAAAATGTCCAATGGGTCCAACGTAACGAGTAAGTGTAGTGTTTTCTTTATACCTAGAATTCTTACACGTCTAAATTTCTATACTTTTGTGACGTTTACTCTTAAATTAGTCACAACTATGGTCTCGAAATCTCATGTCTATCCCACCGCGAACGCCAAAGAAGTTGGTAACGACGAGAGCTATACTAGCTTTTACACAGGTCTTGGACTTGCTATAAGTTCCAGTTTGTTTATCGGCAGCAGTTTTATCATAAAGAAGAAGGGTCTTCTGCGTGTTTCACAAACGTCTGGGGTGAGAGCCGGTATGTATAAAGTCCCGTGAATGGCGAATGTCAAAACACACCGTCCAAAAGCACAATGTGTCTTTATGTTTACTTTTAAGTTCTAATATTAGTCAATACAGTTAAAACTTATATTTTTAAAGGGCAATACATGAAATTACATTGAAGTGTATGATGTTGAAGACCTTTTTGTTTATGTGATGCGAGAAATGAGATAAAAAATTAAATTTTTTCGCGCACTGTAGGATTTTTATGTCCTTGACTATTTTATTCAATACAAATATTTTAATTGACCTTGAATATCCCTTGATTGATCATATTGGGTAGACGTAGAAAAATGACTTTTGAATTGTGTTTTTATCGAACAGAACCTTTGTAATGACAATGTACTTTCTAAGATAGTTTATGAATATCTCTTTTCATTCTCAATGTTAAAATTTTTGCTTGTCTGTTTAACCATTGAATTACACAACTAGTGCCTAGTGGCATCATATTGCATAATGGTTGCCACAAAGTTTCTGTTCTTCAGTTTCATGGCAACATTTGGTTGGAATTATCATATGGCATTTTATATCATTAACGCTTCACAATTAAAAAAACTGTGACTGAAGTAAAATTTCAACAAATATACCCGATAATTCAAGTTCTCATTATGCAATGTGATGTCAATGGTTGTGTCAATTGGATATGAAAAGCAGAATAATTGGAAAATAAAAAGAGATATGCATAAACTGTACAATGAAAATATATTTTAAATTGCAAATTTTCATTATTGATATCATTAAAACTATTCTTGATTTAGTCTAGTTGATAAATATTGACTATATAACTTTCACTGTACCCATTCGTCTGTATATGACTTTATATGTGTGTGCTATCTACATCATAAGCATGTAATTTAATAAATGCATGTGTGAAGGGTGTAGAAAATAAATAAAGTAATGACGTGTAGAAATAACAAGAAATAATGAAACATATGCCAAAAATTAGTTTGAACCTTTTTCAGGAAGTGGTGGATTTGCTTATCTAAAAGAATGGCTATGGTGGACTGGCTTGATGCTGAGTAAGTATTTACGTTCTTTTGAAGCTTGCAATTGTTTATCCAAGGTGTTGGTATTATAGAAGTACAGCCAGCCCTCTGAAGTAGGAAAAGGGTAAATGAAAGTGAAAGGCTCTGCTTTGAATCATGAAATTTTTTTGTATTTTATTGTAGTGGTGCTGGGTGAAATAGCCAATTTTACAGCCTATGCATTTGCCCCAGCAGTTCTTGTGACACCTCTTGGTGCCCTAAGTGTTCTAGTCAGGTAAGAATGAGATTTTTTGAAAAATCACCTCAGATCAGGACTGTCGGAATGCAATTTTGTAAAAATTTTAAGGTGCTGACCTCCCTAGGAAGTTCAACAAAGTTTTAATGTGTAGAGACAATGTAGGACTTTGCTAACTTTACTTGGCAATTTTTGTATTAACTACTTTTTGTAATTACATCAGATAGTTTGATAACTGACTGTTAGAAGGGACAAAGACTCTACTAAAATAAAATAATCAAGAGAATCAGTTTATGCCTGATTTTCATGAAGTCCACATAGGAAGAAATTGTAAAGATGCTTGCATGTCATGGAAACAAACAGGGCATTTGACAATTGATGATAACTGGCATCAACTCTTTTAAGAGGAAGATTTTGCACATATTTGAACATGATTCATCTGTGTGTAATAGACACAAATACTGCGGACAGTGTACTGCCTTCACTTGAACATTGATAAGGTACTCTGCAATTTCCTTTAAAGGTTGTAGGAGGTCATACTCCCTTTTTTGGATTGTTTTCGGTGTGTTGCTGTTTACATTCTTGGGTAAACAATCCAAAAAAAGACAGTTGAAAGATTGCTCATAACATATGTTTACTGCACGCGTTTTATATGGTTGCTTTGTACCCTCAACACTAAAACATTCAACCGAAATCGACCCCTCTCCCTCATTTTCCCATAATCCCCATGTGAAAAACGTTATTTAACCAGTTTGTGTAAATTCGATTTTCAGCGCTATATTAGCATCGTACTTTCTTCGTGAAGACTTGAACATCCACGGGAAGATTGGCTGTTTTCTATGTCTTCTCGGATCGGTTGTTCTTGTTATTCACGCTCCTCAGGAAGAAGCGATAGATACAGTTGAGGAACTTGGTGCCAAATTGACAGATGCTGGTAAGGGTTTTCTGTGTGATAAGTAGCTTCTTGCTGGCTCATTAAATTCGTGCGTACCTTGTTCAGTTGATAACACCAAAATTCTGCCGAAACATTCATTAATAATATTATGTGTACGAAGGATATGAATACTATTAACCTCCAAGTGTTATCTTAGCTATGTCTTTTATATCGTGTAACCCTTATGTAAGACGTGTGCATTTCTCATGAACCTGTATTAAAATGCTACAACCGTCTGCATAAATAGTTATGACGGTTTTTGCTGCTCGTGAGTGTTGTACTATTTTTAAGCTAGTTCCTTTTTGTATTTTAGCTTTTGTTTCCTACGCGTGCATTGTCCTTTTGGCTAGCGTGGTGCTGGTATTTCACTATGGACCGCGATACGGAAAGGAGAATGTACTTGTCTACATTGCCATATGTTCATTGGTTGGATCGCTCTCCGTCATGGGTTGTAAGGGTCTCGGTATTGTGCTGAAACAGATGTTCCAGGGTGAGAACGAGCTGAGGAATCCCGTCGCATGGATGCTTTTGTTCGCTGTGGCCGGATGCATAGTGACTCAGATGAACTACCTTAACAAGGCTTTGGATATTTTTAACACTGCATTAGTAACGCCGATTTATTACGTGATGTTCACGACATTGACCATTATAGCGTCTGCTATTTTGTTTAAAGAGTGGTCGAATCGCGAGGCGAAGGACGTTCTAGGTGCTCTAGCTGGTCTACTCATCATTATAGTCGGTGTGTTTCTTCTGCACGCCTTTAAGGACGTGAAGTTCTCGATTCTAGATTTACCCGGTCTGTCGAAGACTACAAGATCAAGCGCCAGACCGCTTATTGATGGTGCCGAACAAGTACTTATGAAAAATATGGTCGAAGGCGACGAATCTGAGGAGGACAGTGAGGTGGAGATTAAGGTTGTTGGGAACTCTTCGGAAAGCTCCATTGGTAATCATCGATAGGATAGCCTACTATTTATTGTTAATACAAATAATTTTATATTGTACGAAAAGTTAACTTATGTAGATTTTGTATCTCCTCATTCCTTACAAATTTTTGAGACAGAGAACATATACAAGCTGGTATTGTTTACAATGAAGTATCTTACTCTTGGTATTCAGCGAGTGATTATAATCATGCCAAGCTTTGTTGTTGTACATAGACTGCGATGTTTTGTACATATACAATGTTAAATGAATAGGTTCATGTCGGAGAATTTGATTTTCCAAAACAGTTAAACTTTTTAATTCCAGAATGTTTCTTCGTCAATTTTCTTATGAGGATCGAGATGGGAGGAAGGGAGCAGGGATTGCTATTAAAATGTTATGATATTGAGATATATCCAAATGATGGACCCCTTCCTGAATGAAATTCTTGAGTGGCAGCTTTTTATTCACTTTCCTAAATCACCATAACTGAAGACCTTTCATTATCCTCTTAGATATCTCATAGATAAAAACCACGCTATGTGTCAAGATCTTTGAAGAATGCCACCTTTCCGGTGGATCGTTTCTGGCAAACAATCACACTGAATTTATGCAATTAAAAAACTTTCGAAATGCTGTCCCTTTTATCTCAATCTTGGGATATGATGAGCCGACACGACTTAATGTTTGTGGGTTTTTGGGTTTTCGCATGATTTAATTTTTATCATATTTTCATTCAATTTGATGTTGCTGGGTGTTTTTGGTGTCTACAAACCTTTCCAGGACTGGCAAAAGTTTGCCTATAGCAAAAATTTCCTTTGACAAAGATGTTAGAGAAATAAGAAGAAGGCGAGGATGGGGGAGGGAGTGAATGATGGTGTTGAAGAGATGAGTTGTCAAGATTTTTTTAGAGAGGATACTTCATGTAATTCTATCAGTCGAAGACTTACGGTTCACATCAAGTCCGGCGTGATATGATTTTTCTTGATTCGTGATCGATTCTCTAGTTTATTGCTTTTTATATTCGATGATAATATATTCGATATGAAGTGTGATGTTGATGATGAAAGTGACGGATGTTCCGATGCATCCGAAACTCCAGAAAGTGAGTGTAATGGTTCTTACTTTAGTAGTTACGAAAATCTGGATGTTCATCGTCTTATGCTTAAAGATCGACCTCGAACTGAATCGTATAGACAAGCTATATTTGAAAATGCGAAGCTGTTCCGCGACAAACTTGTGATGGACGTTGGCTGTGGAACTGGTATATTATCACTGTTTGCTGCAGAAGTCGGGGCAGCCAAAGTGTATGCTATTGAGGCAAGTCGTACTGCCCTAATTGCCAGAAATGTAGTTAGGCAAAATAATTTGCAACATATTATTGAAGTATTCAGTTGCCCAGTAGAGGATTTTATGCTACCAAATTCCCAAAAAGTTGACGTGATTATTTCAGAATGGATGGGTTTTTATCTCTTGCACGAGTCAATGCTAGACTCTGTCATTCTGGCTCGAAATAAGTTTCTTAAAGAAACTGGGACAATATTTCCCTGCACCGCGAGCATTTATGCATGTCCATCTAGTCTCAGTGATTTCTATGATGAAGAGGTAAATTTCTGGGACAGTGTATATGGGTATGACTTTTCTTCCGTGAAGATGGAGGTACTTCAAAACAAGCGGCAATCACCTCAAATTATCACTGTAAACAGTACAGATTTAGTTTCTAATCCATGCTTGATAAAACAATTTGATTTGATGAAAGTCACCTTGGAAAGTCTAAAAGAATTTGAGTGCAGATTCTTTGTTGCTTCTCTGAAGGACAGCATTTGTCGTGGTATTATATTATGGTTTGACTGTGAATTTTTCTCATCCACCGCATGTGAAGGCAACATAGTATTGTCGACTTCTCCACAAAGCCAGCAAACCCATTGGAAGCAAACAGCCATACTATTGCCAACAGAGATAAGCCTTGAAAATGGTGATGTCATAGGGTTTTCTGTTCGGATGTGTCAGAGTCTTTCAAATTACCGTCATTATAACATTCAGGTGGAACTCCTTTCGGATGATGAAGAACATCCTGTTCCTTGCGATTGCGGCTTGGTCAAATGTAAATTGATCAAAGCTTTTGTGAATGAGCAAGAACACCTGGTAGATGACTATGAAGTTATTGAGATTTGAGATAACATAGGATTCTCTTACTGTCCATATTGATACTCTTCTTCAGGGAAAATTTTTTTCCTCACAGACTATATTGAGTTCAAGACCCAAAATTGTTTGCTCATAATGATATTGGGAATATGGATGAGTAAAGTTACATGATTATTTCATGAGAGTGAAAGATGTCTTTGATTTTTCAATTGACAACATGAAAATTCTGCTACTTCATGAACATAAATGCAAGTGTTGTTTTGGTGGCACTTCATTATCAAAGCTTGTTCTTTATGCAATTTCAATTTCAAAATGAGTAGCAAAACTATTTTTAAATTTTGCTGTTTTATGATTTTGCTAAATTGCATAATGACCACCCATTCTGACTGTAAACAAACGTCATATATTATACATGAAATTATATAAGTGTATATTCATACTTCACAATTGCTCAGAAGCATACCCCACCTAGTCCACCTTAGGAAAAATGCAACCTTTATCTGGTATGCACAATGCACTTATGGTTTATTTTTTCCAACCTCCCCCTCCCCCTCACAGCTGCTGAATTTGTCGCGCAATTCATGGAAACTTTCCTTTCTTAGTAGTTTTACCAATTGGGCACAAACAGTTTAATTATTTAATGGAAAAACAGAGTCTTCCTTGAATGAACATAAATGGTGTTGCATGTCTGTCACGATCCATGCAACTGGACTGCAGCGATTGCGCTAGTGCACTTCTTTTCATTCACCAATTTTCTTTCTTATTCTACTCAATGTTTCACTAATAAAACATCTGTACCGCTCTGCACTACGTAGACGTATGTGAACTCGTTAGGATCTATCAATGCTGAAATACAGGATGGTGCGTTACCTCCAACTGGACTATTTTCCACTTAAGTCATTGGAGAACCTGAACTGATAATTCAGCAAGAAACGATACGGTATTCAGCTGATGAACATTCGCTCACAAATTTATGATTGAGTTGTACGAATCGTTAAAGATAATGACGAGACGAATGAAGTAGGAAAGGTTTTCTCGACGAAGATATTCTTTCGAAATTGTATGTTGTCATGAATACTTCTATGTGAATATTTCGGTCTTCACTCCATGAAAACTAACAGATTTCAAAGAAAATAAAGACATAACTAGTAACTAGTGCTAAACATTTGAAATTGACATAGCATGAGAAAACGTGAAGGCTGGCTTCATGGTATTAATGATGACCAGAGCTGTTATTTATTTATTCCATTTCTGTTATTGGCTTATGTTCAACCAACAATATGATTTTAATAATCTTACTCACTCCAGTCAGGATTCAAGTTTAGTTATAGCATCCTAGCATTGGTGGGTCAATAGATTCAATGCCGGTAGTAAAGATGATATATAATATTGATGAAGTAATCAAAGACATTCCAGGTAGCTTTATCGAGAGACTTCTTCAGATGTTCGCTGATGATTTTAGTAGCAATGATCGCAATGAACTCAAAACAATTATGAATCCCAAAATAACTAACCTAAAAGGTTCGATTTTTAATAGTGAATTTTTTAGTCGTTTTCAAGATGGGAAAGATGAAAACGTTCGAGAAAAAATTAAAATACACAAATAATGAATACGTTGAACGCAGGCATTTATTTAAGTGTAGCTCATTCTTTTTTCATGTTTGTTATGTTTTTTCATTTGAAGACTTCAAGTGGCCTCTTCCATCCACAAAAAAAGAAAAGCAACAAAGGAACTTTCTTGCGACTCTTCGAACTCCCTCCTCTTTTTGTTGTTGGAATTTCTCGAGATGCATCGTGTCATAATGGTCTCAATCTCATGGTCAAAGACTTTGCTAAACAGGAGTAATACGAAGCCACCATTTTATTGGCAATCTCTCGTCTCTGCTGTGGCTTCATTGTTACGTCTTGTGGATTTGATGAATTTCTTCAAATTACGCCCAAGATGAGTCAATTCCCTATTCAATATCGCTTGCATGAAGAAAATGCTGCTAACACTCAGATTATAAATGAATATAAATTTTTTTTGGCACGCTTGCAACTTGCAACGTCATCTGCAGCTCCTTTTCGCGAAGAAATTGCTTTTCTCATATGCTCAACGACTTACTCTATGAAGATATTTCAAGAACCCCTTTTAAAATGGAGGGGAAACGAAAGCACGAGAACATATTTTATACGTAGGACGTTGAATTTTACTCTATCATAAACTTGTTCATGAAAAAGGTGTGTGGTGAGTGGGGGAGGAGAGAGGTCTATGTTCTTTGGATTCCAAAGCTCCACGGTACCTGTATTTTAGGATTGAGATTTTAGGATTGAGGCAGAGGTGTTTTGCCAAAATGACTCCCTGTTAGACATTATACCAATCAACTACTTGCTGCTTCATAGAACTTTCACAAAGGGGCTCATCCCACCTCCAATACACCCCTTAATTGAGGTAGTGAAAAATACAACAGCCCATTCCTTGATTGGGTATTATTAAAGTAAATGGGTATTGGGTATTATTCTTGGAAATTCGTTTATACAATTTTCGGCTATTACTTATTTGCATTTGCCTAACACCGGATAGTCTTGAGTCTGCTGGATTAACTCATTGGTTGATAATTTATTTACATATACGGTTAATTTTATTATCTAACGAAATAGAGTTTACTGAACGAAACATGGTTCTTCATTATTACCGCTGTACAAGATACAGTCGTTTCCATCGAGCTTGTTGTCATTGTCATTCCCATTTCCCAGGTGATCCCTAACAAATTCTTCCATTTCCTGCAGGTCCCAAATGGAGATACTTTGATATTCTCTTTTCGTGCTACTTTGCTTTTCAATAACAACAGCATCAATACAACCCTGTTAAAAATGAACGAATATATTCGTGTAAAGAACATCGGCCAAGGCTCTTTTGGCAAAGCATTGCTTGTAAAGTCGAAGAAAGATGGGATGACATACGTTATCAAGGAAATCAACGTTTCAAAGGTTTGTATTGAGTTCAAGCCGTAAGCTGTCGCACTTATAGTTTATAAATAGAAGCCTTTGTCTGTTTGTTTAATAGATGGATCCGAAAGAACGAGAAGCGTCTCGTAGGGAGGTATCCATTAAAATCATAAAAATATAGAAAGTAGACTATGAAGGTAGAAAGTAGACTATGAGTATGTGAGTATTCTCCATCTCCTAGTTGACTGTTCAACTGGTGTATCGAAGGAAGAGGAGATTTTTTCACGTAATTTGTTATGTGAATTTCAATGCGTATCTGAAAACTTTACTAAAGCCATTTGTAAATGAATGAAGTCAAAAAAGTTGTGCAATACTTTCTACAACATGATATTTTTTTCTGGGCTAGAAATATCTTGCATGGCTTGCACAGAGCAAACAAGCTGAATGTGTAAATTAATTGTTCAGATCAAGGTGTTGAAAATGCTAGTGCATGTTGGCAAACAACGTTTACATTTGCATGCAATATAATGCCAGTATTGAAACTTTAACTTATGAGGCTTGAGTGATGATTGCTTGATTCAATTGGCGTTGCCCATTTGGCCTAGATGTGTACAATGCACCAACTATCTCTGCTTCCCTATTTTTTCTCATCATGCAGATGAAAGTGCTATCTGAAATGAAGCATCCAAATATTGTCTCCTACATGGATTCCTTTGAAGGCAAGCTATATGTATAATATAGGGATTATTTTTTATTGTTATATGTTTATATTATTTATGGTTGCTGTCAAGTCATGAAACCCAGCATAAAACTGTTTTACCAACAATTTGTACCGTAATAACTGCATTTGTTTATCTTCCATGCTTTCATCATGGCTATAGCAATGCAGGCAAGGAGGCTAAAGGGAGGCGGGGGAGGCAGTTTCCACCAAATATCATATTTTTTTAATTGTTGTTATCATTTGTACATTTAAAAATCATAGTAACCATGGCATTCAGTGGGAAGGTCAGTCCCTTTGGCATTTTTGATGTTGCAGGCAGGTTGACTTAAGTCAGGTTTGAGTGGAGTGCTTACTACTGATCTAATTTTGCCACTTGTGGAACCCTACATAAAAGCACTTTGTCGCTGATAAGTAAATACATCATGTAGGGTGTTTTTTTAAGGGTTTTGGCTCCTCCCCCCCCCCAAAAAAAATAGTAAATTAACTGAATAACACCACTGTTATTTGTATTGTTTATCAGAATTTCTGTGGATTTGTCCCAGAACCTGTCAGTGCTATGTCCTGATTTTACAAAGAAAAAGTGGAAAAAACATATTCAAAATTTAATGCTATATTTAATTAAGCTTTACAGCTTTTGCTCTTTCCAAACTTAGACAGATAAAAATTGTACTATTTAATTATTCTTTCCATCTTTATACACCAGAGAACGGAAACCTGTACATTGTGATGGACTACTGTGAAGGAGGTAGCTAAGTTCCACAAGCCTTTTTTGTTCGTCTGTATCATGACGTCATTACGCCTTATGATAATTACCTGTAATTGGTTATCAACTACGCGTGATTATAGGTGATTTGTACAAAAAGATAAACAGTCAACGTGGTGTGTACTTTACGGAGGATCAGGTATAACTTTGGAAATTGGAATTTATTCGGCAGTTGCTATATGTTTGACTCGTTCGAATGGCTCGTTGCATTGTTGATTTTATATGAAAGAAACTGATGCTGTCGTCCATTTTTGCAATCGTTGATATAATCATGACGTTTATAATTTATGCGAAGACTGTTGTGGCAAGTCTGATGATTGATCCCATAAATAGGATAAAATGATAATGAAAATGTCTGTCCTCTGCAGGGTGTAATAAACACTATAACCCTATTGAATCATTCGATGTTTACAATATGCGTGGTTCAGAAGTAATTGACCCCCAAGTAAATGCAATTGAAAGGATTTGAATGCAAAGATTTGCAATATGCAGTTGACGCAATTCAGTGGCGGCGGAACATTGATAATTGGGGGGAGGGGCATATTCATATATTCATTTGTTATAATCCGTAAGCACAATTGATTTCTATAGAAAATAATGAAGTTAAAACACGCATATAATACCCCCAATTATCGATGTTCCTCCGCCCATTCCACAATTCGTATGTTCTATAGGACGTGCGTGATTTAGCTCATTAAATACGTACTCGTTGTTGAGTTTGTAGTAAAGGTATTCGTCATTGAAATGATTATTTGCTACTACGTAAGAATATGTACCTATTGCAGTGCACCGGAGGTGGAGGTCCGCTTCCGGTGTTGAGGTGAAAGCAAAAACTTCGGCAGTGAGATTTTCGTATGTGTTCAACTAAATAAACGTTCAAACTCCAACAAAAAATACAGCAAAATACGAATTTATTGTTGATGAAAAAGTAAGAACGTCCACGGAAATAGAGTACAGTGATTCTGAGACGAGCAGTGGAGACAGGGCACTGTCTTTCATCGAAGTATCTTCTTTGTCATGTGCGTTCTGCATACATCATTGATGACGTAGCTATAAGCGAGTTTTTTTATCTCTGGCAGGGACTATACGTAGTTACTGAGAAACAGCAAGCTCCACTATCAAATTTCATGAATTTTCGGATTTTTGAACATTCTACGGGTCTGAAGTTTGTTTTAACAGGATCCCGAGATTTTTAGCAGAAGCCAGTCGTTTTTTAGCTTGAGTTGTTTTTAGCCGGAGCTTGAGCTGGAGGCGAAATTCCCCGTAGTTTGCTCAGCATTAATCCAAGGAGTGCAAAAAGTTGCATGAACAATGGTATACTAATTACAAGGGCTTCATTGCAAATCACAGGATTGCAGTTTTTCATGCTTCGACTTTCACTTTACTTTCTCTTTAGCAATGCCGTTTAAGTACCCCTGATTCAAATTGCCTTAATTTTACCTTTTTAAGCCAATATTCATTGTTTGGTCATTAATGCAAGGTATTTTGTTTGTTTAGGTCCTTGATTGGTTCGTCCAAATTGCTTTAGCTATAAAGCATGTTCACGATCGCAAGATTTTACACCGAGATATAAAAACACAGGTACCTAGCTACAGGCTTATAAGAATAGCAAACTTTATCAGTTTTAATAACACGTTGTCACTCAGATAATAATGTGGAAGATCCTAAAATCCTATTGTCCATATCTACTCAATCCTTTAAAGTGTTTATGACACCAAATTTTACCATATAGCGGTTTTTGATTGCATTGTGAAGACAATTTAAAATGACTTGATAACTTCTTTGATAGAATTGTGTTATTTTATCTCTTTTTGGAGATAGGTAACTTCCTTCAATATGCTAATGACATCGTTATGACATCACATAGCATATGGTGTTCGCTCACATTAGATTTCTTAAGAAATAAATAATGCTAATGATCTGAAATTTATATTGCTTGAACAATGACACTCAGAGATTTGGAAAGCTATTTTATCATTTGCATTTTATAGTATACATATATGTACACCATATATACACCAAATGATCCTTGCGTTTTGATGAATGTTATTGTTATGCTTGATTTATTGTGCCGGATGATATACGCAATTATTGATGACATAGAGTTAAAATTTTCACGGCCTTGATATAGTGAAGAAGAAGAAGATACTTTAATGTGTTGCAATCTTTCTGTACATTTAGAACATATTTCTCACCCGCAGTGGGACAATCAAACTAGGAGATTTTGGAATTGCTCGTGTATTGCGCAAGTTAGTGATTTTGATGAACGACTATGACGTGAAAATTCAATGAATTGCGAAACATTGTAGTGGAAACATACATAGGCCATTTAATAAACTCTATTTTGATTCCCTTGTCTATCTTTAAACAAATACCTGATGCAGATCAGTTTATTGGCATATCGGATCAACACTACTTAAAAAAATTTATAAGCATTGGATTACTGTTTCAGCGTTTTAACTTACTTATAGTGCCAATAGTGTCCCTATGCATCTATTAAGTCTTATAATTTTTCTTTTAGCACGATGGAGCTTGCTCGAACATGTATTGGGACGCCTTACTATTTATCACCAGAAATTTGCGAGAATAGACCATACAACAATAAAAGGTTTGCATGGTGTTGTTGAGCATTATATATTCGCTTATAATTGCAGTATTGAGATTAGGGCATTTACGCTTTGTTAGTGCAATGACATTGTGAGAAGAAACGGTTATTTTCTTTCTTAAGTTTCCTTGATTTTTGACAGCGATCTTTGGTCTCTTGGCTGCGTGCTTTACGAAATGTTAACGTTGAAACATGCTGTAAGTTAATATGGGTTGAAAATTATTTTGGTAAAAATGCAAATCCAACGTTCTTACTAACAGTTCACATTTATTAATTTTTCGTCGAATTTGAACCTAACCATACTTCTTGGTGTTTGTCTCAACTGCCCGAGTAAAAAATACTGTATGTTCTGTTATAAATATAGTTCGAAGCTGGCAATATGAAAAATCTTGCTCTTAAAATTATCAAGTAAGTTTAAACTGTAGTTTTAACTGGAATTCTAACTCAGTCAACCGCATGGACCAAACCGTCTGCTACTTGGGGCATGCGTATAAGACTTATGATGTGTTTTGGGTTTTTTTGTTTGTTGAAATAGCTGTGTCAGCAGGCATCGATTGTAGTTTTATTGTTTTCTATTATTTATAATAAAATCGATTTCATAAGAACTTTTACAACACTTGAAAACTTCCGAATTAGCTTTCAATAAGATAGCGAGAAAGTTAGCACTCCACTTCAGCACTTTATATTTAACAGGGTTGTTTCGGTAATATTTCAGAGGCTCCTATCCACCTGTGCCGCCAAGATACAGTGCTGAAGTGAGAATGTTGGTTTCAAGACTTTTCAAGCGCAATCCACGGTAAATGTTGAAGATTTTATTGTAATAAATGTCCCAATTATCTATATAGTCAGCAGTGAAATTGGTGCATCGTGCATGCGCATATCAATTGTGATGCTCCACAATTTAAACCTGTTGTGTTTTAACAGTCGAGAACGTTTTGTGAAATCACTAACACATGGTGCTGAAGTGAAAATGTTGGTTCCTACTTATATATAATACAACTTATGTATAAAAACAAAATACAACTTACATATAAAAACAAAATACAACTTATGTATAAAAACAAAATACAACTTATATATAAAAACAAAATACAACTTATGTATAAAAACAAAATACAACTTACATATAAAAACAAAATACAACTTATGTATAAAAACAAAATACCACTTATATATAAAAACAAACTACAACTTATGTATAAGAACAAAATACAACTTTTATATAAAAGCAAAAGTCATGAAAAAATGCAAATAGAGGTAACTCGTTGTTAACTCACCGGCAACTTGTTGATACGACAGTTTGGTGTGATCACTGTGCAAGAACTTTTTTGTGCAATCACTATGATGTAGTAAACATAACTTATATACGAAAATGCAGTCACAAAAGTATGTAGTTGAACGTAACTCGTCGGTAACTTGTTGATATTACATTATGCGGTATTTACTATGCACGGATTTTCATATTTTTTACAGGGGTGGTGCTAAAAATTTTTGGGTGGGGTGAGCTGTTAAGGAATTGACGTAAAACAATGTAAGGGTCTAGAATTAGGGTGGACAATTAGTGCAGTCATCAAAGGTTGTGTAGAAAGTAGAAGTTTTGCCCTGAAAAACTCAGTTGAACATTACTACTAATATGTTTTGCTGAAAATTGTGTGTGTGTGTGGGGGGGGGGGAATTAAAATGTTTTTCACAGGGGTGAACAATTTAGTTAGTGGGTGAAATCTCGTGTTTAGGTGGTAGGGGTGGAACCCCCTGCATCCCTCTTCTCCCCTCTCCACCCACTAGTAAATCCATCCATGATATTTACAATGCAAGAACTTTGTTGTGCAATCACTAACATGGAATAAACATAGAGTAATGGAGTAAACACAACACAGTATAAAAAAGAATACATGTACAACATGCAACTATAGGTAACTCGTTAATAACTAATCCGTAATTTGTTAGTCTGATATTTAGCTGTATTTAAAATTTCAAAAATGTTTTGTTAAATTTCTAGGCATTTGCTGTATTCAACAACTGTTTCCCCTTCAACTGCTATGTGTCCACTGCTTGCAAGAGATAGATGCATGTTACTTTCATCAGCAGTAATATACTCAGCTTTAATAATACTTTTTATTATTCATTATTTGTTGTCAGTGACAGACCGTCGATCAACACCCTTTTAAGACACGAGCTCTTACGAAATAGGATTGACAAATTTCTTAGCGAAGAGGTAAGATGAACTGTGAATTAGCGTCGCTACTTTACCTTGTACTGTATCATGTCTCAGTCCACGAGTCTTAAGTTGCTGTTTGCTTTTTAATTCGCCATTTCATGTGTAGAATAGGAAACTCAGACGAGCAAAGCTTTGTAGATGCGTGCTTATACCAAGACACATTAAGAAGATTTATGTGATTCATATGCATAGCATGGAACACCAACTTATCAATATCAGCATTTTTCCAATGTTATCAACACGTTATGTAAAATGGATGTATCAATGTTTGCATGTTTTATTCTATTAACATTAGATGGTTGCTCACGAGTTTAGTCATACAGTATTGCACAAGAAGCCATTTCATGTTCCTGTCCAAAAACTCGCTCCAGGAAGACCAATCAAACCTGCTCCGGGTACGTATGTGCAGTTCGTGTTCACGAAGGAAGGTCTGGTACCCACATTTATCTGATATATTGGATGGTACAGGGTTTGGTAAAGTATATTTAAAGCATGATTTTTGCCACCACCATTTTTCACAAATGTTATAAAACAATGAACGAAGAAAAATATAATGCTGCACATATAAAGAAAGTAGGGGTGATATTAATCTATACTTTGCGCCAAAGATCTCCGTCATATGTTTTCAGACAGCTTTCTCAAATTGCTTTGTAACTCAGCCTGCTTCTCACACGGATAGAAAGTTGCATTAAAAATTGCTTGTGTTGATTAGGCTATACAAGCAATCTTGTTGATCTTCTTAGTTCCCAAAAAGATCAGCAAACCGGCTGCAAAATATGGTGTTTCTGTTGCAAAAAAGGCTGCTGTCAGGTATATTCCCGTTTCTCATTTTTAATAGCATGATCAAAATATGTTAAAAATACCAGCGAGGATGATGTATACTTTTAATCGATAACGTGCTTTGTTTCGTAAGTGCTTATCAGCCTGTTGTACAGTAGATTTACTCCGTCAATGCCTTGTGTAAACTGGTGATTAACTGGTGAAAAATGTCAGCTGGTTCTGTTTTAGTAATATTGATTTATACAGTCTTTATAGACTGTCATTCGTCTGAGCTATTTAGGACGAAGCTGACTTTTATGATATGAGGAGTGTCAAAACATTGGACAAGTTTTGATTTTTCTGTGTTAAATTTTTGTTCAATTGTTGCTTTAGGAAACCTTCAAATGATGCGAGCAACATCAGAAAACCTGTGAAACCTTGGGAACACGACGCTGTTAGGACTTTTTTTCATCTCCATTCGTGCAAATATTCCAAGTTGAAATACTGTTTGTGTTCTAGGCAAAAGCCAAAGAGCTTGATGCAAGAGAGAAAAGAAGACTTCAGTTGCAAAAAGAACAGGTACTTCTTGTTATTATAAACTTGCTGTCGTATAAAACCGTAATTTTGTTTTTTATCCCACATATCTCCTATTTTCTTGAAAGGGGGTATGCTCTTCTGGGAAGGTGCATAGAATCAAAGTTGACCACAACTCTGACCTTTATTCTTCTTCCTTTAAAATCATACGGAAGCCATTTTTAGATCCTGTTACGTGAGGGGTATAATAATTGTGCCTCAATTTTATTGATCGTCAAAGTAACGCACGCTTACTGCAGTATAGCTATGTATATCTGCCGCATTTTTTCAGGAAGATGCATATAACAAAATGATGAACGACATCCAAAGGCAAAGATGGCAAAAACAACAAGTCAGTATTTTCTTTTTCACGTTTCGTGTTTCGTCTTGCCTTTATAGAGAGGTCTGGCTTGCGCTTGCATACGTCTCAGCAAGTTTATTGATATATTGCGTATGTTGCAGATTGAGAAAATCAATAAGGCAAGACAGCAAAATTGGCTGAAGTCTGGGAATATTCTTAGTCCTGAGGCAAGTATGGGAGGCTTTAACTGTTAACCATCGTATGGTTGTAAAACGTAAACTGGGAAATGTCAACAAAATTTGAAAAAGCAAACTTTGTCAACTCTGCAGATTTAGTCTCGCTATGCAAATTGGGAATTTTTATTGCTAGCTATGTTCTTCAGAAATTGATTATTTAAGATAGTAGCAATAAACGTGCCGAAATCAAATCATGAAAATAAGTATTAGTCCCCTACATAAAGTTACCATAAAAATGTTAAAAAATAAAATTTTACAATTTTCCACTTTTTGTTTTGTTTTGATGGCTATACTTTAAGCTACGAGTTAGACGCTAACATTCATCATCAAAAAATTCTTCTTTCCTCGGTTAGTGAGGAAACTGCATGGCGTAATCGTATTGAGAAATCCATGATCTTTTTGCTGCTTTATGTTGTATTTTTATTGCAAACACAAGTTTTGATCAGTGCTTGAGTTTTTTGTCATTCCTCATGCATGGTTTTATAGTTAACAGAAAAGTTTCGGGTAGCATGATTTTTATATGCAATGTCAAACTTGTACAACATCTTTTTATTCATTATCCCGTCCACTACTGTTTAGCTATTTCTTTAAATTATTAATTATATGCCATGTAGAAAAAACAGAGGGCGGCTATGAAGAAATATCAAAATGCCGAAAAAGAAAATCAGCCGAATTCAGGTGGTGACAATGCAGATCCTCAGTCTATATCCACACCTGCATGGCAGGCTGTGAAACAAGGAAGAGAGAATCGGTAATTTTTGTCTTAGTATGAATATATTTCCTCAAAAACTTTACCAAAATGTCAGCGTACCCCCCTGCTCGCTCTGCTGGGTGGTTTTCGAGTCTTTAGAAATTTTATCTAAAGTCGTACATCTACGACATCAACCAAACAACTATATTAAATCTCTATTCACAAATAGAAGAGATTCAAAAACTGCCTTCTTAATTAGCTTGCAAAACGCACCACTATCCTTGGGATCTAGTTCTATGGATTTTTGCATGAGCCGTTTGTCGAATGTTGTAATGCAGTGTTTGTAAACATATTGTTGTTCGTCTTCGTTGGGATTGAAGCCACTTGTCATTTGTTTTTTGTTTCTTTACAATACGTACATCACGATTTCACTCATCTTGATTTCACACATGTTAATTTCACATATTTTTATTTCACACATTTTCATTTCATACATTTTGATTTCACACATTTTCATTTCATACAGTTTGATTTCACACATGTTGATTTCATACATTTTCATTTCACGCATTTCTGCTATCTTTCACGTCATCTTTGGATCCTTAAACTTTATTAGTAGTAGTAGCAACTTTATTAAAGGATTAAAAATGATCTAAAACTAAATACATTACACATTGGCGATATTTATTCTTAAAAGTACCGATATTTGTACATGACTCGAGGATGGTTCCATCGTACGTCAAAAGATATTTCAAATCGATTGAACCTTATTATTTTGTTAACTATAATAGCGCTCATGCTGTCGCGGCTGCAAATAGGGCGAAAGAGCTGGAGGAATTCTGGCAACGAAAGCTCGAAGCCGCTGCAAACAAAAACAGAAATCTCAAACCCAATCCTGGATTTTTTGCTGTATGTTCACGAGTTCTTGATATTGATTTATAAAACATGACATTATTAATAAAAGTATAATACTGCGATATCTGCTGCTGTAAAAACTCGTGATTTTTATACATACGTATATCTAGAATGTGGCTCCTTCTCCTGCCGAAGCTCCTCGTGTGCATGGTAAACCTAGTTTTTGATTGCAATTGAAAATTACATAGAGTACGTAGTTCGTTTATCATCTTGATAATCCAGGTATCGTCGAAAAAGGGGCTGTCCATGGCAACGATAGAAATCGCGAGGAACAGGTGTGGCTTTGAACAGTTTCAATTGATGACATTTCTTTCCCCTCGTTTATCTATACGTCAATATTTGCTCACACATGTTTGCGTGTATTTACGTAGAAGACAACAAAACGCGATAACTTTTCATGATAATGTGATTTTCTGTTGACAGAACTACTTAGCAAAGTTAGACGCCATAAGAAAACAGAATTATCATGACAGAATTGAATTGCAGCAACGTATGGCCAAGCTCCGTGCTCCAGTTGCAAAAGTATGCGTGATAATAAACAATTATTGGATGAGATTGAGCATGATATCAAGAATTATTCAGACCGAAGTCAATGCTATCTGCCGAAGCGAACATTGACCGAGGTCTGAGTAATTCTTGATATCATGCGAAAGCCGAGTTCAATAATTGTTTATTATTCATTTTAACTAACTGAAATATTAAAACGTATCAATATAACAAAACACATCAATATATTTTCAATCCTTCGCAAGGTAGTTGACAAATCAAAAGCGACATTGTTTACACAGAAAATAATAATGTCGTTTATTTGTATTTCGCTCTTCGATTACTTAGATGGTCAGGGAGAAAGGTTATGGTTAGGGTTCTTAGATCTCACATCATTTCATTACAAAATGTCTGTTGAAGAAGTTTAATCTCTTTTTTCTCAGTGTTGTTTGATATTTCGTAGCCATTGCCCAGTGACGATGTATCCGGTGATCCGAGAATAGATCCTGATGCAAGGAAAAAGAAAATTGCTGCTTTGAAGGTATATATCTGTTCGGAAACTGCTAAAATACAAGGCAAATTGGATGCCCATCTATCGGCTGCATTACATTCTATATTCACACGACATAAACTTGTGTGCCTTCATCAGGGGCTTTAAATTGGTTTGAAGTTGCCAGATAAGGGCAAGCAATGAGATGGTTGTGCTGAGAGACTTGAGTTTTTTCTGGAATTGTTTTCACGCAGTAGAAAAGAAGCTGGTGTTAGAACATAAATTAGCTGGCAGAATTTACATGGTTTCAAAGACACAACAGCCCCGACACACACAGACACATGCAGGTCATTCATATAATTGCATAAGAATTTCATTTCCCACACTCTGAAACGATAGAAATTTTTAAGTGCCCAAGCGACGAGGCCACTTGACGTCACATGAAAACACATTATTGGCTGTTCAGATGTAGCACACTACAAACATCGCAATGAAGCCATCAATTTAAGACAAGCGAGTTGAAATTTGGGGCAACATATTCATTTATATGCTCTCGGTTGTGTTCTAAATGGCTGCTTCTTTTTGTTTAATACTTATAGGCTCAGGCTGAGAAAAGGTTCGCCGTGTTGAAGGAGAAACATAATGCTCAAAGACTAGCTGCTGTTGATAGATATGATCGTGAGAGGAAAGCTCAGGCCAAGATCAGCGAGGTTAGCAAAATATGCGCATTAAATAATGTCAGTTGAACAATGTATGATGTTTGCGCAAACTGATTTGCCCCGGGAATAGAATGGTTGTGGCACGGAGGTAAGATATTGGTTGGTGCGATGTTCAATGATAGATATTCGCTATAGATGTACAGTCGATAGCGATGTATATTCAATGAAAATCTATGTATTGAAGGGAAGTGCTTTTGCACGAGGAATTGCGAGCTCGCATTTGCTAACAAAGAAACACAAGACATGCAATTCAAGAATTAGCACGGTTCATATCAAACAATTTCTTTCTCAAACAATGTCTTGTTCTTTCCCTATATGAAAAACAAAAGTTGTGTTTTCCGCGAGTCACTTTCATCCTTACTAATTGTGTTATTTTTTAAGGAAAAGGAGACGAAGCAGGTTTATCAAAGGTACTATACATATGATGTAATTCTTGTGATCACTTCCCTCTTTTCCCATTCGAGTTTCATTTTGGCATACAAACTGTGTTGTTATTGTCCATATGCAAATTTCAATATGTAGTTTTTTCATTGTAGACCGACTTCTGAATTGAAGAGAAAGCCCGAAGGTAACCTTTGCATTTTTATTATCATCGTTCTTTTTTTCCACGGGTCTTATTGTCTTTTTTTGTTCGTTGTGGTATATTTATTTCGCCAGTTTACTTTATTTTGTTAAAATCTTCTGACCGGGTTTAAAATTCTGTGTTTATTGTGGAAAATCTATGAAATCTGTCATGGTTACACCTCTCCTTCATGTATCCTCTTCGCCGATATATGTTGAGCTCACATGCTCCATGTTAAGATCTTGATTTACTATCTAGTGAAAACGTGCGATATTGATATACAACATTTGTCGTTTTTACTTATTTTGAAAGAGGCTCAAGCCGTTGGTGGAGTTGGCCTTGAAACAGCTTTGAAACATATAGGAGCAAAACGATTGAGTAGATCTCATTCCGAGGTGAGTTATCGCAATAAAGTTGCAATGCATGTTTATGGACAATTCAGTCGATTTGGAGGCGTATACTTATAAATACCATTATATGCATGTTTTCTGTTGCAATAAATTGGAAAATCATACAAGATTGCGACATTCTGATCGTGTAAATACAAGTCAAACAATCGGAAAGTGAACTGACTGGTTTCCAGTCTCTACCCGCGGTGTAAACTAACTTATAGGTTATTTGCTACAGCTCTAGTTGTTCCATCAAATTTGACTTTTTGTTTCTTTGTCTATCAACGCTTATGCACAGGGTGATCTAGCAAGTGCGTTGAAAAAACACAATGATGCCAAAAGCGACAGCGACAAAATGCATCGTAAGCAATGGGAGGTGAAACCATTTGAATCATTGATGCTTCCACTTGAAGTCACGGGATCCGCAATGGAAGGTACTGAATATTTACTGAAAGTTAAGTAAGTATTGAAAGAGAAATTTTGTTTTTGATAATTGTTCAAATAATTGATTTATTGATAATTGATTTTCGCTTGCTAAATCACCTACTCATGTTTTTGTTAAGTTGCGAAGCATAAAATTATGGCACTAGGAAAAGCCGGATAAAATTTTAAACCGAAAAATGCGCAATTTCCCTTTTCGAATATTACGACTGGTCTGATAACGACTGCATAAATTGTTGCTACATAAAGCACTTGTGTAGTGGATTTCTCCATGTCTTAAGTTTTTTTTTCTTTCACTCGTGCAAAAGCCACAACAGTGAACGACGTCATTGTAAAGCCAACGAGCCAAGTGAAAGGAGAAATCAGTCCCAGGTCACAATGGAATCACGATGGTAAAACACAGCTTGTCTCGGCTTTGGAAAAGGTGGCTATTCAAGTGGAAACTTTGGAGATGCCTAAAAGCAAGACTGGAAGTAGTGGAACTAATGAAAAGATGACTGAAGATACAGCAAAACTTGAGAGAAAGATTCCGGTATGTTGTTTAATCGAAGTTGTATTTTTTCCGTCGAGTTTGCTTGTGTGACGTTAATAAATCGTTTTCTTTTTGGTTTCAAAGGTCGCCTGGGTTGCTGGTGGTTCGGGCAAACAAAATATGGGCGTCACGAAGACATTGTCGAAAGATTCCACGGAATCAAAGGATTCTATGACCGAAACAAATCTTGGGGTAACTATCGTCAAGAATCATGAGAATCCGACCAAAGAAACAAGGTGTGTGGCGATGGTTAATGTAAAGCAACACAGTTCAATATGTAGTAAACGGTCAAGTCAAGGAATCATGGGAAATATTTCTCATAGTTGAAGTAATAGTTGCAGTTTTTGAAGCAAATATTTTAATGTTTCAAAACTCTTTGAAATTTCAGGATGGTTTCTTTAAACAAACCTGTTTAAAATATTCACGAGGTCAATGATAGGCAGGAAGTTCATTCATGTCCCTCGCAAGCGATAGTGGATCCGGGATTAAGCAAAATAAAATGCAGCCGCTGATTTGAAATTGAAAATATCTTTTTAGAAATGACATAGGCCATGAATTTACGTAATCGATGAACTGTTTTATTTTATTTTGCCTTAAAACTGTACCCACCACTGTTATTAAGCATGTTTGAACAAATCTAACACTCAATGAAAATTCAAATCAAATCATCCTACGAGGAGTGCGCATGTTTTGTGAACACGTGAATGCAGATGAGAAAACAGGTGATATGATTGGTTGTTTTCTCATCTGCATTGCAAGACGTTATAAGTGGCTGTTCCTCGCCATTCCCGATATTGAATATCGTCACACGGATGCATTATTTTCAGTGTTCCACCAATGAACGAGAGTCGTCCTTTGCCGCCTGCTCCAGTGCCGAAAACCGAGACATTATCAGAGGAGGATGTTCAAAATAGAAACACGAAGAAATACAATGAAAAAACGGATGATGGATCACTTGAGGAAAAACTTGGAGCTCCCATGAAGGCCTGGGAAGAGCAAAGTTTGAGTAAGTACTTGTCCATGTGAAAGGTTGCAGTCGATAAAAACATCCGTCCCTTTCATCATGCCATACTTAAACTTTTTTGAAGCGGTCGAAAGAATATATACACATGTAATCAAAAGAAGCTTGGGGAAAATGCTCCATCTTCCTGCCAAACTTTTGTCATGGCGCTCTTGTATTGTGTTTATACCATTTTATGTGATTTCGAAATTTCATCTTATTTGTTGCAAGAACCATTACTAGTTAACTGAATAAACTACGATTTAATATTGTGGCTGGTTGTGGTTGTGGTTGTGGATGTTCTATTGATTAACATCCAACTCTCACTAACATTTATTGTTAGCATAACTTTGGGTGGTAATATGGTCAGAGAAACATTTTTGCTAAATCAATAATTCGTTCATTAACTTGGAAAGCTGAGTTGGGTCTTAAAGTTGAATCGACAGAGTTGAAGATTTCACAAATCTTCTACAAGATTTATCAATATCCTTTAAGAATATTGTAAAATGTTTGTACAGGTATGGCAAAAAAAGATCTTCCTGAAGCGAGAAGTTCGTACGAGAACTTTCTTCTGTTATTACGAAATAACTCCACGTCTCCGAAAGAAGAAAAGGCGAAACTTCTGCTTGACAAAGTTGATGTTGTCGATGAAGATAAGAACAAAGACGACATGACTGTGGAGGACGTTGAAGAAGAACCGTAAGGGACAGTTAAACTTCCGAGTTTCTTTCAATATTCCACTCCACTGTAATGATGCTCCGTAATCTTTTTCCATGAAATTTGTGAAGACTACTGTGTTCAGGCTATCCATAGCGTTCCTCTCCCTGTTCTTGTTTCTGGTTTATGTATATTTTATACAATGATTTATCCCTTTAATTTTTTTAACCAATCTATAATATATGTGTCTTCGTTGAATTACTTCAGAAACATTTCATTCTAAAATTGTTAAGAAAGTTTATTTTTCTGTAAATTTAGGTCACTTTACCAAACAGCGGAAATGAGTTACCCATCTTTAATTGCATTGACAACTGGAAAATACGACGCAGATGTTAAGGTATGCCGAATTGTGATCGAAGAAGCTCATTTTTAGATTATATATTTTAACATTTTCTGTAGAGTTTGCGAACTTGCTCGATGCCCGATATCCGTCTGCTGTTCCAAACCAACGTCAATGAAGATGAAGGTAAAGCTTACGAAAATGACGAAGAAGTTGAATCAATAGAGGAAAAACAAGAAGAGGAAAAGGCCATTGGCTATTGTGCTGTTGACGATGATCCTGAAGAGGAAGTTGACATAATAGTAGAAAGGTAAGTGTTGTTGATTGTAGCGTGTGAATTTTAAAAGATTTTTGTAATTCTTATACCGTGAAGTGCTGGAAGTAGATATGTTGAGTTGAATTCGACTTTGATTACCGTTTTAAAATCTTGGAGCTTCCGCAAATCAAAATTTCAGTTGGAAAAGTCAAGTAAGGGTACGTCTTACTGGTTGATTAGCTACTTTGAAAACGTTGGATGCGAGCGTTTTCCCTGGTGGTGTAGTGTGCGTGGTGAAGTTTCAAAAAGACATTCATTGAGCCCTCTGAGTAAGACTGCAGGATACAACTTTGCGGAAAGTTTCCTTTCGTATAAATATTCACTACAATGACCTACATTTTTTTCTTTTTATTTAAGCCTGTAGGATAACGAGACGTTCACAACCACGTTTATTTCTGTAATTTAAGAACGAAAAAGTTTGAAGCATATACGTGTAAATACTGATTCCCAAAAAATGTTGTAGGTTTTTTGAAACACAAAAAATGAGAACATTTATCACTTAAATATCTTTGCCAACAAAAACTTTAACTTTATTGTAGCTATGACTGATTTCTAACGTATTGATAAAAAAAAATTAATTTGGTCGAATCGTCCTCTTGTCGTGGCAGCTTTAAGTTGCCTTTCAATGGACCTTGTCCGTTGTAACATGAAGTCTGGGTCTAGCCAAATTCTGACGTCATCCAAGGTAGTTGGTTTTAAATATATTTTGTATTGAAGAGTCCTTTATATGACGTCACAAAAGTAAGTCATTCCAGACTTCCGACGACGGACAAGGTCTATAAAAAAAGAGCATTTTTGCCTACTTTAGGCCGCCATAAAACGTCACGATTTGACTGAACTTGAAATTTTTGTTTCCGAAAAGTTAGAGATCACACTTGAAAAATAATATCGCAATTAAAACGTTTCGCCGACAGGAGCGCCTAAAGGACTGAAACTTCTTGAAACAGCGTGTTTTGTTTTGTTTTGTTGAGACCGAATTTCCTTGATGTTGCACGTGAAAAACTGAAATTTCTTTCAACAAATAACGTCAAAGTTTTTATCAAATTTAAAGTCAATCAATCACAGTAAATTCTTGAATTTGTCTAGAAAGCGTAATTGTAATATTCTTAAAAAAATTTTTAATGACGTCTGAAATTTCGAAATACGAAAGCATCCATTCTATCAGTGACCAGTCAATGAATTGACCGTTATATGAAAGGTTGCTTGTCCGCCAAATCATTAAATGAGAATGGCGTTTGTATATGTACAAAAAAACGTAAAACTTAGAGCATCTGTAGCTATATCATGAATATTCTTATCTTATTTGCATTTTTTGTATTCTTTAAGCTTTTTATTGTCATATCGATTTATCAATATTGTTGCCAATGAAGTGACAGGCGGGAATATTGATAAATCGATATAACAATAGAACGCTTAAAGAATTCAGAAAGTATCAACGCCTCGAGCTCAAACTTGGTAAAGCTAAATTGGACTTATTTGCATTTGTTTTAAACAGCGATGAAGAGAGTAAAGACTATTTTAGCATGTTGGAATCTATGGAAGATGTTTTGGTTACCGAAGGTGTGTTTCATCTATTTTCATCCGAATTGCTCATTTGAAAAATAATCTCTTCTCCGATCCCTTTCTCTTAAACGTCGTTTGATTACGCTTACACCAAGTAGAGCAAACGTGACTAATCTTGCTTTGTACAGCCCGTTCACCGTCGCCAATCAAGATGGTACGTAACACTCATGACTCCACTGGAACTGACGGTACGGTATTTTATCTTTGCTAAGATTGCATCATGTTTTTCTTCAACTTAATTAATTTTCTTAAAAAACCTCGAACCGTGTCTATTCCATCTGAGTCATAAGAGGTCTCCTTGCGGACACTAACTGTTCATACTGGGAAGCTGCTCAAGCAATCGTAGTCGGTGTTTGAAACAGTATTGGTTTGCCTACATTGATTGCGTCAAAGATAAATCAAATTAACTTGCCCAGTCACTGAGATTTTTTTTCTCCACTTAAAATTTCTGTAGGTGAAGAGTCTGACTCAAACGATGAAAGTCCTTCTTCGACTCCTTTACCGTTAAATGAAGATTGGGACTCCGGTTAGTTGTGAATGTACACCGTCAAACACTGGTTTTGGGGCAATAATAGTTTTAAGATTGACTGCAATATTGAATAGACAAATTTACATAGCGATGCTTTTACTACTAATGAAATACAGCCCATGCACAACACGTCTCTGGGAAAGCATTTTGCAAAAGAACTTGTCTAGTCAGTGCCTGGTCAGCTAACCAATCAAAACACTTGAAGAGCACTATTTATCATAAAAATTATACCAATGCATGAATAGGAGACATGTATGTCATTAAAACCACTATGATATTGTGTTGTGCAGGGGAAAGTGGCGACGAAGATGGAGTGGATGAGAACCACCAAAAAGTGGATGAGGACAGTGTGTTTGGACGTTTGGAAGAATCGAGGCAAACAATGGAGGATCAATTGGGTTTTTCTCGTTTTATGAAGGTTTATAAATACATTCAGGTACATAAGTGAATTTTTGGAATTTGTTTTGTCGGAAATTTTTTGTCATTTACTCCACCAAACATTCTATTTGTAAACTATAGATTTTTAATTTTAATTTTCTGTGTTTTCCTTATTGATTACTTGATTTTCGTCTTTTTCAATAGAGTATACAAGAGAACGACGATGATGTTAATATAGGTGTTGGTCCTGCGCCCGAAATTGCTGATCTATTGGGTGAAGAATACGAACACCTTTATCCGAAAATACTTTACTTGGTTATGGCGGATTTCGCTTACTGCGAAGGTACGTTGTTAATGATTAACAATTGGCAACAATTGCTTCATCATAATCCGTGTACCATCTTGACAAAAATTGAACATGTTCAGGGTTAGGATATACGTGAAATTTGTCGAACAACTATGGTTCGAAAACACCTTGATAATTTTGAATCAGTAACTACAGCTACGATGCTCAAGTTTTGACGCAAAGGACAATATAACATGTTGTAAATTCTATTTTGTAGACATGGAAACGCATTGTCAATGTGGACAAAATATTTTGTATACTAACTTAAACACAACATGTGAAACGCATTCATATTTTAGTAAAACACAAGGAAATAGACACTCCCTGTAAAGTAAACATTATTTTATATAAACGTTTCGACTTGTGTTACATGTCATCATCAGTAGAAAAAGCTAACTTTTCAAAAGCATTGAAAAGTTAGCATTTTCTACTGATGATGACATCTAACATTTGTCGAAACGTTTAGATGAAATATTGTTTACTTTATACGGAGTGTCTATTGTCTTGTGTTTGACTAAAATACCCTTTGCCAGTCGTAATTTTTGGCATTCATATTTGTTGTATATGTTGTATATGACGTAGCTAAGAAATGGTGAAGACAGTATTGTGATTGGTCTGTTTTCATTTTAGACAATGATTGATAGAGCAAGTTCCCTTTGCAGAATGTCAGATATTCCTGCTGGCCTCATATCCTTTTGGGAATGTTTTTGATCTTTCGTATTTTTCTGCACATGCATCATTGGCAATTTCACCAAAAACTTTTCTTGTCTTGTAATAAAATACATTATCCATAATATATACGTATATAGCTATAAATTATGAAAAGCTCAAACTATTCTCTATCGTGTTTGTATTTAAAATACATCGATGACCAGATGAACATGGTTCTGACTGTATATCTCATGTCGACATGTTTCCAATGATAAAAAACACCGATGGTACTTCATGATTCACATATAAACGTAAAAAATAACGGTCGATGTAAGTTGTGTTTAAAAAATGAAACTGAGAAAATGCACAACCAAGTGAATGTTCAATTGAAACCGGTAATATCTTTACATGTTTGTAGATGTAGTTAGTGGAGTCCTAAGAGTGACTGTTAGTGTTGGTGTGGACTGACGTTTCGACAACCTTATTGGCTGTCGACTTCATAACTTCGCTAACCTGGGCGATTTACATCTTAAACTATGTTTTGCAAAGGACTTTGATAACGATTCTCTTTGAATAATTTTAGTGTTTTCAACATGAATTGCCTAAACTGAAATAAATGTGCTAATGATAACAATAACTACCTCATTATATCGCTAAAGATTACAATTCAAAGTACGCCGCCTGTTGATGTCGTAAACAACTCGCAATTGCAATTATAAAAAGGTTGCAGTTAGATGATGCTTGAAAACCAGTAACTTTAAATCAATTATCCTATATCGTCCGAGGGATATGGAGAAGGATAAACTGGACCGAGGGAATAAGGTCTCATTGTCTAAAGGTAAGTTTATCGTTTCATGTTTGATTTGAAGATTGGATGCAACGATTGCACGCGACGCATGAGGATTTAGGAATTGGTCTCTTAGTTTCAAATTTACGTGTAGTTGTTCTTTGTAAAAATACGCTTTGTAAAAATATGCTTTCCGTCACGAGTTATTTACATGTTTGCTGTTCTGACGTGATTGAGGAATTCATGAATGGTTTGTTTCTTTTCTTGCAGTGACTGGGTCAAAATCTGCCCGACGACATAGATCTTCCCCCTCTGCTACTGATGTAAGATCTGCGTCCACAAAGATTTCAAAATGGACGGTCGTTTCGCAGCATCTAAAGGTAGCTGTACAGCAAAATACGTGGATCATGATATAGTAGCTATATTGTTTAGATTCTTATCCCCTTATATGCACAATCTTAAGTATATTGGACAATGGTATCATCGCAAAATCAAGTCAAACTCGTTAAATAAAAGTTATCTTTGCTAGAGTTAAAAAATTAATGAAACTAATCGAAATGTTACACATTCAATGATTGCAATGCAATGCGTAAATCATCTAGAATAATTTATGTGAAGCAAATCCATGAGCAAAACTTTAACCCGCGAGTCTGTTCCGGCTCTTGACCAAATTGATGTTTTGTTGAGCATCGGCCAAATCCCTTTAATTATTTAATTTTTCAATACCTTTTTACTTTGTCTTTCACCCCCTTCCATCGTTTCAACATTTATCATTTTTACAATTTTAAGATTTCCCCCCTAAAACTACTATTTTGCACACTGGTGTGTTCTGTATTTATTGCAAAGGCAATCGACCAATCAAAAAACGACTCAAAAAGTTTTTAATATTTATGACGTTCATAATGCCAGTTTGACTGTTTTGAAAACTATATTAATGCTTTTCTCTTATTCTCAAAAGTACCAAAAATGACTTAGGTTTAGAAGTTAGCTAAGAACGGGACGATATATAGCTAATTTTGAGCATGCTGCTATTGTCCTGCATGTACATCGACCATTCATGAAAAAGCAGCTCTTGATTTGAACGTCATTTACTCTTCACATTATCATCAAGCATCTTCCCGCTTATGCAATCCGAGAAAGGGTGCAAGATATGTTTTTTCCGAAACTGCAGAACTTCAAAACTGAAAAAGAAGGTCAAAAACGTTAAAGTAGCTGCACTGCTGTTTACACAACTGCTCTTTCGTTCAATGGTCGTCACGGGAAGAATGATATGGTTGACAAATTTGTTTCTAATCTGAAATAGACCGTCAGCTTGAGCAAGCGAAAAAGAGGCACATCCAAAGAGATGATCAAGGCAAATGATTTCGAGCTACTATGTGACAAAAATGGGCAAAGGTTATCTCGTTTCTCCAGTTACAGAGACGTTTATCGTTTCTCTGCAGTTAATCGAAAAGATGCAAAGGTGGGTTATTTTATTGTATTTGTGATAGACTGACAGTTCTCACTCTGATAGTTTCTCATTTACGTAATGGCCACGAAACCATATCACGTGCCATTCCACAAAACATTCATATAAGCAGGTGCTTATACGGACCATGAAAACCTGTGTTTTTTCCCTTGCATGATCATAACTTCTCATCTCATTCCGCGTACATGCTTGGAGGTGAGTGCGTGCTTTCCGTCTGAAAAACAAATTGTTGAATATAGTTTTTAAGATGGTATTATTTGTATCATAGAGATTTAAAATAATTGTTTAACAAAGAATGCTGATCATACATGTTTGTTTTTTTTCAGATGAATCCAATGCAGACGTTCAAGCGCATAGCTCACCTTGTTTGCTTATTGGTGCGTGTCAAACTCCTGTATCAAAGGTATTTGAAGTATTGGAAAATTTTATTTTCGATTGATGATTATTTTTTTCTAGGATATCCGTATGTACACAAATTTAAAGTATGTAACATTGCATGTATTTGCATTTCCCTGCCTCGATCTAGATGTAAACTTTTTCGTTTACAATGAGTTGAAGCTCTTTGCGGTTTTCAAACTGCACTTGAGAAATAATTCGTTTAAATTAAATAAAAAATAAAATGAAATCAAATCACGAGAAACCCTAAAAGAGATTATAAATGAATGATATTACCGTAACTATTTGTACGTTTCTTTCAACAAGTGTTTGATTTTGGGAAAACAAAATTTCATTATATTGGTGGTTTGCAATCGTTCTCGTAGGACTCCTCGAACAAAGAGTTTTTCGCCATCTTGGTTGAAATTTGAATTGTAAACGAGAAAAATCCTTTGTTGAATTCAACCAACACAATCGCTGTGACGTAGTAAGAAACCAATCTATAGGGATAGGCACAACTCTAGAAAGCTGATTTGTGATTTGTTTTGTTGTCTCCCAAGAAAGCAATTGTTAACGCCTGATCAGCTGACAAACACTTTTGAACTTGTACAATCTCACTTTTCTAACATACTTGTGTGATTATTAACGTACCTGAGTTGATTCACTCAATCTGCACTTGTAGCTGAAACAGCTCTTATTGCAGAAATACTTGTGATTTATCTGAAATATAATATAAATTGGAGCTTTTCTTATCTACATCATTCAGATTTTGTTGCAAAGGTTCAGCCCTTGGCGTTTCAATTGAAGAGATGATCGAGGATAAGATCGACAACGCAAAAGTCGAATCACTTTTTGATCCACTCGATTTCAAAGCTTTGAAGGAGGTATTTAATATTGCTGCTAAATTGCTTGTGGCGTGCAGTTTTAGTAATAAATTTCAGTTTTTTGATATAAAATATTTTGGGGGAGCAGGTTTCATAGAAAAAAATAAAAGGAATTTTTGTTTGTTCTCTTCGAAAGTATTGCATTTTTCATGAGCTCACATCTAATCGTGACCATGCACTTGTTTGATTTGCTTGTTTTACACGATAAAAACCTGCTCAATATATAGTAATATAACTAAGTATGGAATATTTATAAATCTATGTACACAGGGCTTTAAACCAATACACGTTGCAAGCCAAAAAAATTAATACATTAATGCAGATGTTCAGCATGGAAACATTACATTACGTGAAGTATTCTTATGGTAACGATTATGTTGCTCACATGACACCTCGATTTTTTTAGACACCATTAGGACAGGAGGCGGTCCACTTGCTTTCTCTTAATCCAACAAGTCGTACAGCCGATCAGATTCACACGGTGAGCTGAAAACGTAAATTGAACATGTGTTACATAATCATCAATATGTGAATGTGACAAACTCGAAATAGCATATATTTTGTAAAGTATTGAGTTGTAAAAACGTGTGTATGTCAAAATCAGATGAAAGAGTGCCATGATGTGAGCCGTGGTGTGCGGCTGAGCAAATATATTTTTAAAAACAGGCAATGATGGCCGTTAAAGTGAGTGTTCCAGCGTTTAACGAATACCCCTTGAAGATGCAAAGACAGTTGATATCAGTCTGTTGGTATGAAAGGTGAAACGTATATTATAAATTTATTCGTACCATCATGCTGACATCGTACTTGGTTATAATAGAGAAAGTTTTGGTGTCAATCACTTTAGTTCAATTAAACATATTGGCCGCATTCGTGTTTCATCGTCGCAGCACTTATTCAAAGAATATTTTTTCACACCATACCTCTTAGCTTAATCTTGTTCTTTACTACATTCGCTTATATGAACTGAGAGACTAAATTTTCTTCACGGAAGTTTTATATCAATATCCATAGATTTGAAAGTGGACGCACCATTATTCGTGAAGGACACCAAGCTGAATGTTTCTACTTTATTTTATCAGGAAAAGGTACATCATTGGTTATCAGTGGATATTTTCACCTAAATTCTGCCACAGCATGTTACTACAAACAATAGTTTTCCGCCTTTTCTCGTTGTTTTTGAACAAAAATGAAATTTATACATTGCTAATGTATTACTTTCCAACACACCTACAAAGCAATGTAATTATTTTATGGCCATTTTTATAGAAAAATAGTTTTTACTTTAAAAAGTTTGGTTGTCTCTAGTCCTCTATCGTTTTCAGAAATACTATATCGTTTGAATTTAATGCTTTTAATATATGTTTTGTTTTCATAACCACAGAATATGCAAATACACAGAAGGGTCACTCGTGTTGCAACCTCCGATTGTTTTTTCCTCGCGCATGTTGTGCAGCGCATATCGGCCGCTCTTCCATTGTTACAGCAAGTTGGTTAGGGTTTTCACTTGTTCCAACCACTAAAACGACCCAAAGTTATTTCTTAAGTCGAAATATTCTCGCATTCAGTACTCAGAAAGGACGTCATGTTATTTTAGTGGCTGGAAGCAAGTGACAAACTCTCATCAACTTGCTCGAACAATGGCGGACGTGAGGACACGTGCACACCTGAATGATCCTTCTGGTTACATATAAGAACAATTAAAACAAGCAAAAATTACGGTATTAAACCAACACCGTCCTTGGCACTTTTCGAAGGGTTTTGTACCTTGCTCGTTGTGTGGTAATTTCTGTTATTTGGAAAGTTTGTCTAAAATTTTTCAGTGTTGGTCTACAAGACGTTCGACTTGAAACCAGGTGGCAAAGAGAAAATGAAGAGAGTAGCTCGCCTTGAAAAAGGAAGAAGTTTTGGGGTAAAGGACATTTATTCATTTGAAAAGTATATACAAGTTGTTTATTGATTTGCTTTTAATACACGGGTAATTCCATTTTTTTCTGATTCTGTTGGTAGCCATCGTTTGCTCGCAATTTCTAACATGTCTTGTTTTTGTAGGAGTATTTATAGATGTACAGTTATTTTGTGTCTTCGTTTCATCGATATTTCTGTGATTTATTTTCACGATGTAACATTTTCTTCTGTCCTTTTTTAAATCCTGTTATAATGCTTTGCACATTGGGGGTACGCTATACTGTTGAAGCCAGCCAAAGCGGCCGTTTCTTGAGTGACAACATCAACTAAAAACACAAAAACATATATATTCAATTGGTGGGTTGCAACCATCCCCCTGTGAGTAAGAGAACAAATGAATGCTCGCCATGTTGGATGAAGTTCGCATTATAAAAAAGGAAAATCCTTTGTTAAAATCCTCCAACATGGCGACTATGACGTAGCTTTCAACCCAAGAATACGCCAGTCTCAGAAAGAAAATAAAAGGCGCAATTTACAAGTCGTCATTTTCATTTAATTCAGGAATTAGCTCTGTTGCATCATCGACGTAGAAACGCGACGATTCTCTGTAAGGATGAAGTATCCTTGTTAGCCGTTGGAAGGAAGGTTTGTGATTTTAAACAAGCTTTATTAAACTATCTGTATACAAAGTATATTCACCAAATGCGTTTTGACAAATCAATCGTGCATGCATTGCTGTTGAGTGAGGATTATCATTAAGGTAATTTTCTTGTAAATGCTCATAAATATTGTAAGTTGCCTGGACCTATGTTTACCCTGTTCACACAACATGGTTTTGGTTTATATAAACTTTCATGAATCTAATAATACTTACTAATTAATGCTACATGTTCTCTTGTTGATACGATATGCTTATTCTTTTGTCATAATGATTACCCTGTATTGTTTTGATTATGGTAATTATAAGAATACCTTGCCAACCTTTCACGAAAAACTGCTCAAATACTATCTGCGATCTTTATAGAACAAAACTGTAAGCGTATACATCATGATGGGGAATTGCAATCTGGCAATGTTTCATGCCAAGTTTAGTTTTTAAAAATCTGTATATTTTCTGCCATACACTGACAAGATAAAATTTTCAATTCAATTTTCGTGGATTTTTCTGTCTGTCTTATTTTTCACTTTCTTGCCGCTTTTAGGATTTTTGTGAAATATTTATGAGTGGTGAAAAGGGAAAGGAACCAGAGCATATTTCCTATCTCAAGTGTGTCTTTTTTTACCTTTTTTCGCATTTTTTACAAATGCATGCCTCATCCAAAGATGACAGCATGCATTTGAATATTCGTGTATTCAGATCGTTTGTCATTGACGATCGACTTCAACTTCTACCTGCAGATCCATACCATACTTGAAGGATCTTCCACTCGAAAACCTCGTTGAAGAAAAAGATGCTTGCCTCTTTCACTATTTCAGGTTTCAACCGAAAAAACTCGACAGCGTTCTTTCAAATAACCTGTGTTAGATTCACCAATAGTTTCTTGAATTGTGAACAGATTTCCAAAACAAATCTTTCGGGAATATTTTTGTTGCTTTTGTATTATTGTAAACAAGCAATGATACTGATAGAGAATGGCAGAGTTGAGGGGATTTAATTTTACCTATTATAGCATTGTAATATCTGCAACTGCATTGCGAAATCTGTTATACCAGTGCTAATGTCTGCAACAATTTTTTTGTCTCATTCTGTATAATTAATTTCCTGCTATTCTTGTGCAATATGTTGAGTGAATTCTCGTTCATTTACAGAAAAAAACCAACTAGACAGCTTTTCATCGAACAAAAATAATCTATGAATATAAACAGTCTTAGCAAAACTTCCTGGTAACGTTTTTTCGTTGTCCAAACGATCTTTTACCTATATTTTTAGAAGAGGAAAGGTTATGGTAAACAATAGTGAGAGCGATAGGATCTACATAGCCAAAACGGCAAGTTTGTTTGTTTTTTCAATCAAGTACGGTTAAAAATGCATCCAAAAGATAGTGAAATTCAACATTATACTACACAATTTGTGCAACTAAGTTTCGCTCTTGTATTTATTCTTCATATGAATGTGATTGTGAGTCGTATCACAATATATGACAGAAATAATAAAATAAAGAAAGTCTGGGTAGCAAATTTGAAAAAAGTGCAATTGCCATGGTGACTGGCCTGGAACCAAAGAAAAACCAAGAAACGCGAAAGAAAACCAAGAGTTCTGGAAAGAACTGTTTTAGCATGAGAGCACTAACTCGAAAGTTTAAAAAAGAACTGTTTTAAAGATTGTTGTCAACGTATGCTAACTGTTAGGAACGAATAAACTTGTACAACTTATATAAATACAAGTCGATTCAACTGATTGAACTCCACTAGATCTTATACTTCTAAAACTGCTGGTGATTTGATCGATGGGCACGAACATATGCAAACTCTGACAATAGTTGTCCTCTTAACCAAAGCTCTAGACTTTGTCTTCGAAGAAAATAATTTGAGCTTCTTCATCGGGGTTGTGACAGATTTCTTCTGTTTTAAGGGTTCATTTCGAGTCTTGACCAGGATATTGAAACGAAAACTTGACAATCGACGTTCTGTGAATCATATTCCGATGTCAGCGACCCAAAATTTTCCTCTAATTTCGATGAATGAGGTGAAAAGAATGCGAACTATTAGTCGAGGTATCAACTAGCACTTCTCATAAATTTCACATTTATTGCGAAGCACAGGTACGAGTTAAGAATGTAGCGTCGTAGAATAAGTTTTGATGTTTTTTCTCGTTTCGTTGATAAAGTAAAACGACGAAAGAGTTGCTGAAATGAAGTAATATACAAGTTATTGTTTCATGTCCCGTTTAGAATATCGATCTAGAAGAATTGCAGCACTTCCACCTTTGTCTGGTGAAACAACATCGTTTGATAACTGTCGCAGTAGTGACAAACGTCGTACACAATTGTCAACCTTGGCTAGCGCGGTGAGCTTATATATATGCAATCAAACCAATATAGCTGATAAGCATACTGTACGTAGCTGCGTATTTGCTACACGGAACATACGTGCATAGTGCGTAAGCCTAGATTATGATCACGTGTACTCTTCAGTGTAATAACCAGGACAAGTAGACAATTTTAAGTAAAGCAAAACAAAACAAATTCCGAAAACGGACATCTCGTTTTCTTGATATTAAAGATAATACAAGAGTTTTAAAACAAAAGATGGTGTAATATTTCGTCTTTATTCCAAAGACATCTTCAGACTAATGAGTCTATGTTCAATTTTGGTGGATGTTTTGTGCATGTTGCCATTTTGTGTTAATTTGTGTTGCTTTCATACCATGAAGAAGAGATCTTTTAGAACTGTGCTTCATTAAAGACAAATTAAAATTTCACGCTTTTGCCTTGGTATATATTAATATTTTATACTGAAATCGACACCCTTTCTGCTCCCATTTTCCCCAGTAAATCCATTACTCCCATAATGGAGGATAGACCGACTCATTTTAGAGCATCTGCTTCCTTGTGAGCATGGGTTTAAAGTCTCTTATTTTTTTCAAAGGTTCCGAATAAAAGCAAGTACGTCGTCGTTCAAATTGAAGTATTGAAACCAAAAGATCAATTTGTAAGTGAAGATTATTGCCCAGACTCAGATGTAACTGTATATTGACTGTAGTTCATCGTCAGTCATAGCAGTTTTTATTAATTTTGTAAAGATTCTGACGAAAGATCAACATTGCAACGGGAGCTTTTGTCGTTCATTTTATGCGTGGTTACTTATAATGAAGGCTGTGTACGAAGTGAGAAAAATTATAAAGTTGTGTGACCACAATGCATACGACAAAGCACTCCAACCAATGCAATGAGGTCAAAGAAAGATATCTTCAAGACAAGTTCATTTTTAATTAGAACAATTAATGAACAATAAGTAATATTGTTCATTAACAATTGTTGGAGCACAGTTCGAAACAGCCAAATTACCATGTAGACTGGACTGAAACTATAACGCAAATTGGGGGAGGTGGAAGCGGTGTATCTGTGAATATTTACATACATCACCCCCCCACCCCCCTCCCACCTAATAGGTGTTCTATTTTTGGCCCTGCATGCAGTTGATATAAAAGTTAGTGTCCATTCAGTGAAAATTGTCGACTTTTTCAAATCAAATTCTTTTCAATCTTATACTGCCACACTTTTAGCGAAAGTTCCAAATTGCTGCACATAACGTGGTTGCAAAAAGTCGATCGCGCGACAAAAGGCGTATGAGGGAGTGTGTTTTGGACTTTTGGTCGTTGAAAAGATCATATTGAAAGTTTCATAAAATATTGACGATTCAATTTCTTTTGATGTACAGAGTGTATCGAGAAAGGAAACCTTGAGAATTTTACGTTGTAATAATGAAAATGTCTCATAACTATGTTAAATCAAATGGGGGGAAAATACAAGGTGTGTCAAAAAGAGAAGACCTTACGAGATTTGACAATTGTTAAAATTTCAATGCATGTTCACTATGCCAGTCGCACGGGTGCATTGTTGTGCAGATTTTGCTGTTAGAATTTTTTATCTCAGGGCCAGAAAAGCTTGCGTGCTTGAAAATAGAATATGTAATTTATATGGTTTCTAATGATGACTCATACATTGTCTTGGAAGAATGATTGGGCATAAAAATCATACTAAATAGGTTGGTTTCGAAAGTTCTTTTTTCACACACGTTGTATTGGTGGTTTGCATGTTACGTCACGGCATACATTACTCAGTATACAGAGGGTGTCCCAAAAACCGGAAACGGCACAAATAATTATGTATGTATTTAAATAAAACGTCCGTAAGATAATTTAGTCAGCAATAGGTGGTGTGCTCCCATTCCCCTGAGAGTGAGACTGTGAGAGGACAATGGATTTAATAATTAAGAAATAAAAGATGTTTACTGTGTTTGAACAGGCTTATACAAACGTAGGAGACCTTTGGGAGAACTCGAGAGCAGATCGAGTGCAAGCCCTAGACCGAAGGTAGAGGGTTGCACATGCTCGAGAGTTCTCATAAACGTCTCCGAGGTTTGCATAAGCCAGTGCAAACACGAAAAACATCTTTTATTTCTTTTATAAATTAACAATGATGCGAAACAGACAAATTTAAAGTAAACGTATTAATTTTTCCTCAAAAATGTATTAATGATCGATTTGAAAATTCTCTTTGACTGATTGATTGTTATGATTGATTTGATTGGTTGAGCTCGAATGTTGTTTGCACAGGCTAATGCAAACACAGCTCTAGACCAATCAGCGCACGCGTTTCATTTTGTTTATCTTATAACATGATATATTGTTTGCTAGGGGTTATCCTCGGTCCTCTTCGATTCCAAATCTGCTCGATGTCATTTGGTTTGTATATTAATGTAGCTTGCATAGTAGACCACGTGGACTACATGGTTAGTTGCTTTCTCTACGCTTACAGCGTGCGAGATGATTGCATGTTTGAAATGGACAATCGTATTGTAGAATATAAACCTCATACTGGGGTAACTTGTTCTCGTTTTGATACTTTTAAGGTGAGCAATGGTGGAGAATGTATTCTGATATCAAAGGAATGGATAATTTCTCATGCAAGTGAAACAACGTTGAATAAAATGAGAAGACAGGTAAATGTTTGGATTGATGTTGTCAGATGTGTGAGCATTACGGTGTTTTCTTCAATGGCCAATGTCAGTTGAAAAACACATACAGAATATGGCGAGAAATTTATGCTGATTTTATGGACTGTTCAACATCGGTATTTTGATGATGAAATCTTCCAACCTGGCTACATGGCAACAAGTCCCATTGAAGGCACTCTACAGTGTGTATAAAAAAATAACCTTTCGTAATCCCACGGTTGCATAGAGTGTTGTCAGCTACGTGCATGTATATTTAATATCTTTGTTGCAAGCACGAAAACTTTTCTGCTCTTGAAAATTTGACGTAAATTTGAACTGCAAAACATGCACAGAGATGCACCAGCAGGATTAACATACTGATCATGCATTAAAATTTCGAGGAAAATCCCATATGTGAAAAGAATTCATGTTAATTTCATGCTCTGTTGAGCATCGGCTGTCGTCACTTTGACCTAGTCCTCCAACATGGCTGCTTTGACGTCATCATATGCAGAAACGCTGTAGGTTGATAATTTCTTTAAGGCCTGTTTTTATACACACTCTATAAAGGAGAAAAAAATATTCACGAAAGTCTACGTGATCTCACGTTACTCATTGCCTGTTAAATTGCTTATTTACTGTTACTTTAAGTTGATAAAAACACTTTAGGTTGATATAAATACTTTAAGTTGATATAACAAGCTTAACTTTCTATGTCTTCGTTCATTAAAATTTAGCTAGTGCAATCAATGTATTGTGGAATGTATAATTTATGTCTGTCTATGATTTAGATTCCTCAATATCATACCCAAGAGTCAATCCAACAGCGACTCGTGGATCAAGCTAACTGGAAATTCTATAAAAGCCAAACTTTAAATGATATTTTACAAACATAAAACCTTTAAAAGAGAGAATTAATGTATTTCAATGGTTGTCATCATTTTTAAAGCATTTTTTCAGATTTGTTTTTATTGCTTAAGAATAATTATACCTGTGCTCTATCTACTCCTCGTTATATTTAAGGAAAATTACTTAAAATAACTTAAAATTAAATACTCAGAAGTTCTGTTTGGCCATTGTCGTCGTTGAGTTTAAATCCGTGCTTATGTGCTGAGTTTTAAAAGTTTGGTTAAAAAGTGGGACACACACACATGCTCTAACAAGAGAGAAAATCGTTATATTTGTTACAGTGTCACTGTTTGGTTATTCTTACATCAAAAGTTGATCTTGTTTCCTACATGCTTGCGGGCTCTACTTCTTTGGAGGTAAATTCAAATTATACGCATGCGTTAGCGAACGGCGTTCAGCTGATTTTGCCGTCGATAAGATAAACACACAAGAATATGTTGTTGATTTTGTAAAATCCGTTGTAAAACACCACTATGGCACTCTAAGGTATGCATAGAATACAATTAACTTAACTGTACTGGATGTAAAATGGCCGATCGTAAGTTCACAAATTTGAGAAAACGCTTGGATCAACTCGGGTACAGGCAAGCATTGGGCATCGAATCGGTGCCTCTCGTGGAAAAATTATTCACAGATCTTGTGCACACAACGGAAAGTTTGAAAAATTCCAAAATCCAGTTGAGTAAACGCGATAAAGAACGGACCGTGTTCGAGGAAAACGCAGAGCCTTACAAAAGCGATAACGCGAAACTCGTTCGTGAAAATAACGAGCTGCACGTTCAGTTGATACGAGCCAACGAGGACAGTGAACAAACAATCAAAGAACTCAAAAACTCACTCAGGAAGTTAGAGCATGAAAATGCTGATCTCAAGTTTTTAAACACGCAGTATGTACACAAAGTTAAGGCCCTAGAGAAAGATTCCGGCGAGAAAACCATCAGGATCAGCGAGTTGCAAGAAAAGAACCTTCATGCTGTTGTGGAAACGCCTGGTGGTAGGAAGAAGCAGATACCTACAAGAAGACAACGTATGGACATAAAAAACACTTTGTTCAACAGTAAGGGGTCATCCAAGAGCACTGTTGTTGGTTCACCTGATCCTTATGTTGCGGATCTATTGAAAGTCGCCGATGGTCGACTGGAAGAAATGGATGTTAAAATAAAGGAACTGGAAAATGAAAGAGAAGCAATGGATAGAAGAAATAAAACACTTAGGAAGCAGGTATCTTCTTTTTTGTTTTCACTTGGGTTAGATTTGTAAGCCGGAATTTGTTTTTTAAGTTGGTATTCATGTGTTACGCACTTTCTCAAATCCTGTTACATGTGTTATCTGTGTTACAGGAGTTCAAATCCATATGATATCATATGATGTAGAAATTGGGTGGGCTTTTGCAATTTTGAGGTCCTATATTCTTATATGCATGTTATAATCCATGGTTCAAACAATGAATTTCACAGGAACTAAATATAGCAGAATCATGCAATGAAATGACAAGGGATTATTTATTAAGACGAATTTTGCACTGTGTTTTGATATTATTATTTACTGTTTTAGGTGGAACATAGGGACAAAGAAATTGTTAGACTTGGGCGTTTGCTTGAGGGTGGTCGTCCCATTCATGCCGTGATGAAAGATAGGAAACAAGACAGCAGTGAAAAAATTGTGGCACATCTAAATGTTCAGGTAAATGCATCCCTTGAAAGAAAAAAAATTAAGCATTTTACAATTAGGTGAGCTTCAATCTAGAAGGACATTGCTTTTAAAGCAAATTTTGACATTGTGATAACATAGTTAATATATTTGCATATCACAAAGTTATTGGATATTCAAGATTTTTGTTATAAGTGGAATATCAAAGCAATAGGAAAGTTTTTATGTGTTTCATTTTTTTTTGGGATATTTTGGCTAACCTGATCAACATTTCGTGAACTTTTCACATTAAATTTAATTAGAAAAGAATGAACTTTCTCTTAAACATATTAAAAGAAGGTTTATGAACTAAGAATTATATCTTAAAGCTCTAACACGTAACTAATCTGTTGAACACATCAACATGTTGCTTGGTTCAAGGATGGAACTAGGATGATAAAGTAGAGGGTGTGTTTTTGTTTTTGTAAGATGGTTTCAATCTAGTTTGAACTTGATTTTGGTCCCTCATTTGTGTGGATTTTTATGTGAATCTAGCCAAGACTAGAGGAGGGGAGGGTGCACACCAAACTGCACCCCATCCCCAAAATCATCTACGGCTTGGTTGACCACAAACTCTCTTTTAGCTACTGTCAAGAACATTTTCAGGTGCTTCTATAAGGAAAGAACAGTTTTATGTACTACATTGCTTTTAGAAAAGCTCATATAACTGAAATTCGATTTCTTCTGTGCTCAATATCCAGTGTTGTGTAGCTATCTAATACTCGGCTTCATCTTGAAAAAGATGTTGTGTTGTTTTATGTAGTGTACTTAACATAAATTTTGGTCTACCTGTTTTTGTGTACAATAAACTTGTGAATCTAAACTTCTAGCTGCGTGACAAACTCAAAGACAGTGATTTAAGACTGCTATTTGATACCAAGAAAACTGTTTAAAGATGAGATGAAGCAAAACGACTTCTTAATCATACTTTTATCAGGTTGACTATCTCCAACAAGCTAACAAAGAGTTGGAGCAGAAAATTAAGGAGTTCTCGTACTCGAAGGACGATTTAAGATCACGTGTTAAAGACCTCGGCGATGAAAACGAAATGCTTCAACTGAGAATCAAGAAACTGGAAAAGAAAAAGCATGCTGCTGAAGAACAGAGAGATAAGGTCGCCGCCATTGCTGTGCAGGATGCTGATGATTCGAAGGTACTGCTTCTGTTATATTTTTTGTTTTACATGTTAATTTTGGTGCATGAAAATCGAAGAGTACTCTATGGAATAAACTTTCACGCAAGTCAAACTCAATGTTGGCAACTGAATGAAAAGGTTTTTTTAGTTTTGCTCATGTTATTTTAATTACTTTATACTGTTCTTCATCGTACCAATTTAAGAATGAATTGAGAGAAGTTACCATGGAACTTGAAAGTTTGAAAAGAGAGATTGCTGAGCTAAAAAAGGTTTGTAAATGAATTGCTATGTTTCCGTATGGTTAAGTGTCCGTTTAAAGATGCTGAAACGAATTATTTGGTGTCATGTATATTTTATCTACAGGAAAGACAGCGTTACATGGAAGAGTCCGAAAAACTTCAAGAAGCTTTGTCTGCTATTGGTGAGGAGAAAGACAATCTGGAGAGAACGCTGGAGGATTGTGAGGAAGAAAAAATACGTTTATCCGAACGCAATGCCAAACTGGCTGATTCAGGTACTTCACTCGCATACGTTCGACGTTTGTTGTTCCATTTTCATGACTCGATTTGCAAACGCTGTGAACTTATCGTGAATGAATTCAAAGAGATGGTTTCGTTCATCAATCATGGATCGTGCGCAAGGCCTGAACGAAAAGCAATTTAAAATTGCTTTGTTGAATTGCATATTAGAAAATGTTCATCATTGCACATTTCAGTTTTATATTTGTGGTCAGAATTGATACATATCTTAGTGTTTTCTGCAAACACTATGATTACATGATGTTTCAGTACGAGGCTGTAGACAGCCTCGTTCGGCTGCTTATTGACAAAGTAATTCAGTGAATAGCAAATCAGATTATTTTCCGTTATGTTATTTCAACGTGTTCTCGGCCTTTTGCCTTTAACTTCAAATTGGTTAAAAATCGTGTAATTTCAAAGAAGAATTGTGTGTTTGCCCCAGCATACGGTACGTTATCTTTTCAGAACGTGAACTTTTAGTTAGTATGGAAAAATTGCAATCCAGATCGTCACCGAGCAGGAAGGCTAAGGTAAGATTAAAGATTGTACACGACTAACCGATAGTCGTTAGTTCGTTTATAACCAAGTTCCGGCCTTTGAAATTGTTGAGAAGGAATTATTTCTCATGTGTCTCATGTTTTAAATTTTTCTACCTACTGCGTCACTATTCAACGAACTCTGGTTAAAAAATGCTCATAATATTTTTCATGAAATTTGTACTCCCAGCAATTTTTTTTCGATATCTAAGATTGTAAATTTGGCTTACACGTTGAATTAAGAGTCCTGCTGAGACAATGTGACGATGTCAAAATTGTATCTCTTTTCTCTATAGTCTCCTACAAAACACGAAAGCGTCGTAAAATCCTTGGAGAAGGAGCTTGACTATTACAAGCAAGAATGCTCATCGCTACAGGAATTAGTGAAGAAGAAGCTTGTAGATTCCAGTGTGGGTACGCCGAAAAAGAAAGGAAAGGTACCGATGTTGTTTAATGGCAATATTGCAAGGAGTGTAATGTAATGTTGTCCGTGTGAACGTAATTTTCTGATTTGTTGAAGTTTCAAAAAATGGAGCTCAGGAAAACGTGTATTTTGCATGCTATAGCTACATTCACCGTGCATACTTTACATTTAGCGTGCATGCTGCACATGCAACGTGCATGTTATTCACCATGCATGTTACTCATTCCCATACATGTTACACATTCACCCATACATGATACACATTGACCATGCATGTTATACATTCACCCTGCATGTTATATATTCACCATGCATGTTACACTTTGACCATGCATGTTATACATTCACCCTGCATTTTATATATTCACCATGCATGTTACACATTGACCATGCATGTTATGCATTCACCCTGCATGTTATATATTCACCATGCATGTTACACATTGACCATGCATGTTATACATTTACCCTGCATGTTACACATTCACTATACATGTTATACATTCACCGTGCATACTTTACATTTAGCGTGCATGCTGCACATGCAACGTGCATGTTATTCACCATGCATGTTACTCATTCCCATACATGTTACACATTCACCATACATGATACACATTGACCATGCATGTTATACATTCACCCTGCATGTTATATATTCACCATGCATGTTACACATTGACCATGTATGTTATACATTCACCCTGCATGTTATATATTCACCATGCATGTTACACATTGACCATGCATGTTATACATTCACCCTGCATTTTATATATTCACCATGCATGTTACACATTGACCATGCATGTTATGCATTCACCCTGCATGTTATATATTCACCATGCATGTTACACATTGACCATGCATGTTATACATTTACCCTGCATGTTACACATTCACTATACATGTTATACATTCACCATGCATCTTATGCATTCACCATACATGTTACACATTCACCATGCATGTTGTACATTCACCCTGCAATTTATACATTCACCATGTTAGCTATACATTCACCATGTACGATACAAGTCATATATTCACCATGCATGTTATACATTTAACATGCATGTTATACATTTACGATGCATGTTATACATTAACCATGCATGGTTGAAATCAATTAATCGTTTTCTAGCTTTTGATTGAGAAAATTTAGTTTTTCTATATACAGACCGATGCAAAATGGCAGGGCATGCTTAGAATCATGGAAGAGGAGCGAGATTTTTACAAGACTGAGTATGAGGCATTACGCAAGAAAAAAGCGTCAGGAAAGTCACCAACTGGTAAAGAAAAGGTACAGAAATATTTATCTAAGTCATTTGTTTTCTTGATGCGTGAAAATCAATCGAAAAGGAGAACTCAAGCTGCATTATGTTATTGCCCTCGGTATATGTAGTTTCTCAGAGATCAATGGTGCATTTTCATGTCGACATTTTTCAATACTTGAGCAATAAGACGAACACGGTTTCTCGTGGTGTTGTAGATTTCAGGCGTTATCACCATAGTAATACAACAAAACATCTGTGTATCAGAACCTTAGATTTTTCACGCTTTGCTGGTTCGAAAATGATAGTTGCTTATTGGAAAGCAATTTGAACCTAACATGTTCTTAAAATCAAGCTCTTATGTACGAACTTTTGTTGTATTCATTAATAGTACAATATCCATATCGTCTTGTAGCCGTTTGATATTGTAAGAGCGTCGCGCGACCGATTTGTATCACCAAAGTCGTCTTCCTTCTTGTCTGAATCACGTTTCGACGATTTCATCTTTCAAGATTATATAACATTTAGCAATATCGTCTCCTATCCTGATGATATCCGTTATATTCACAAATATTAACGTGCCTGCCTTTTTTCAAATGCTCAAAGATGAATTGCAAGTAATTTTATAAGACTGTTCGTAAAGTGGTTTATCATGTTATGCTTTTGACGGATATAGTCATCATCAAACAGTGCAAACGAAGTGGCTCGATTGAAAAGGGAAAAGAACGATCTACAGGCATTATTAGAGAAGTTTGAAAGACATCTTGCCGATGTATGTGCTGCTTTTTTGTTTATTGTCAATGTTAAATGTACATAATTTTATGTTTTCGCTTTGCTTTGGGGGAGTGTATATTTGTGGATACTCCGGGTTAGTTACGTACTCCATGGGTGGTAATGTAAAGAAGATATTTTTTCGAAGTTTCATGTAGCAGATAGATCTACCTCCTGTATTTTGTCAAGTTATTGTTTGAATTTATGACTTTGTACAGATCCAGGAAAATGTCAAAAACGTTGTCAATGATCGCGATAGTGTACAGTTACTTTATGAACAGGTATAGTTTACATCCGTGAGAGTAACAAGTTAACGAGATGTACGAGAAGGAATTTCTCTGAGTGTAGCCCTTTGCAATCAAACTACGATAGTGTTCAATTACTTTATGAACAGGTACAGTTTACATCCGTGTAAAGGTGCGTGTAGAGGTGTGAGTTCAAATCTCGTCCAAGTCACATGTTTTTCATGTGCATATAAAAACCGTGTTAGAGATGACTTGTTCACTAGTTGTACGAGATAAAGCTCTTGAGAATGCGGCCTTTTTCAATCAAACTAAGGCCTGTTTCTAACGTCGCATTTTACATTCGCCGAATGCATTAAAGACAAAAGAAAATGAGATAAAATTCCTTATTATCTTTTGTTTTGAATGCATTCGACTCATGTAAAATGCGACGTTTGAAACGGGTCTAAATCGCGATGACATTTTTCGAACGTTGTGATGGCTTTGACCGTTTTACATTTATAGTTTGATGTGGGAATTTTCATAGCCAGCCAATTAAAGGTTTTTACTGCATGGGAGCTTACACGTGAACTTACACGTGAACACCACTAGTAATGCTTGCTGGAGAACTTACGCACTACTTTTTACGAGTTTACATGCATGCAGGAGTTCTTAATTGATGCTCACATGTATGATTCAAACGTCGAACGTATAATGTACGTAGTCGCCAATCGTATCATATTTGCAGATTACGTGGATTGTTTTTCTTAGGCAACGGAAGAAATTCAGAGATTGCGGCGTCAAGTGACTCGATCCAGATCTTCTTCTCCTTCACGAACCGTATCAACAATCCTTTCACGCGTTGAGGCAGAACGAGATGAAGCTATAGCTGATCTTAGGAGAGCTGCAAACGAAGTCGAGTCATTGCAAGAACAATTGAAGGTATATGCAGTGAAATGTGATTAATTTGCATAAAGACATGTCGATTCAGTCACGCAGTCATTTGGATTCATTCTCACACACATATGGTCAAGTTTGCACAGTCATTTGGATTCATTTACACACAAACTCATGGTCAGGTTGCACAGTCATTTGGAAACTTTCGCACACACATATGGTCAGGTTGCACAGTCATTTGGATTCATTCACACACACACATGGTCAGGTTGCACAGTCATTTGGAAACATTCAAACACACGTATGGTCAAGTTTGTGCAGTCATTTGGATTCATTCTCACACACATATGGTCAGGTTGCACAGCCATTTGGATCCTTTCACACATGTATGGTCAAGTTTGTGCAGTCATTTGGATTCATTCTCACACACATATGGTCAGGTTGCACAGCCATTTGGATCCATTCACACACATATGGTCAAGTTTGTACAGTCATTTGGATTCATTCTCACACACATATGGTCAGGTTGCACAGCCATTTGGATCCATTCACGCACATATGGTCAAGTTTGCACAGTCAGTTCGATTCATTCTCACTCACATATGGTTGAGTTTGCACAGTCATTTTCACATATATAAGTAGTAAGTTGCGCATTCACTTGGATTTATTCTTATACATATGATCTCCGTGAGTTTTTCTTGCATTAATAAAAGAACTTCCTATATTTGCGTTTTATGATTTCCTACATTGCGTTTTCTTTTAGTTCTACGCTTTAATAACATTTCAATATGCTGTTGATTTTCAGATACTTCACTTTATTATCTTAAGAAAATTTTATTGGCTTAGGTCAGAACTGATAGTGCCGTGTCAGAACGAAGACGACATCAACAAGACATCGCAGGCTTGGAAAACGTTCTCGAAAAGGTTCTACTGACGACCATGTTTCGCCATGGCATTTAATGTAATCTCTTTTGAGTTTTTGAGTCTTCTCAAAACTCTAGATGAAATTTTAATGTTCGACATTGGTCTAGAATTTTGCATTATCATTCATAGGATTTTGAGTTTTTCCTATGTATCAATTTATTATGTATATGTGAAAATGTTTAGCGGAGAAGAAATATTGGCAATACGTTCTTCAGGAGACATTTATTTTCATAAATACACATATCCAGTTTTTATTGAAGTCAGTTAACTTATTGGCAAAGGCTTGTTATTTATGGGTGTTTTTTCCTCGTGAGATGTATGGAAATGCATCAAGTGCTGTTTTCTTAGGTTATGTCAAGTAACACGGCTTTTTAGTCAAGCTTTTTGTCGTGAAATTTGTGCCTTAGGAAACTTTACGTATTTATTTTTCCCAAAAAGTTTGTTTTTCCTCGTCTTTGATGCGTAGGTAGAAAAGGACAAGCGAGATGCGGAAAGCAAAATCGTCTCCTTGAAAGGCAAAGTGTCAGAGCTGGACGAACAGCTTCGGCAAACATCGTCAAAGTTCGTATCATGCCGTGATACAACACTCGAGAAAGAGGCCGAGGTGAACAAGATGAAGTTGATTGCAGAACAAGCTGAAAAGTCTGTTGAAGATTGCCAACGACAGTTAACAAAAAAGAACAACGAACTTCGCGAAAATGATGAACGATTAGATGATTTAGAGCAAAAACTTGGTAATGATATTTAGAGAAACCATCGTACTTGAAAGCGATGGTCTTTTTCTTGCTCCGTTATTGTTCTCTTCATGGTGCAACTGTCTTCTCTTGACCTGAATATAATTTAATTAATTGAAAGCGAAAGTGCTTGGACCATAACGAAACAATATGAATTGATTTATTTGGATAATATGCCAACATAAGATGAACTTATAAACAAGAACATTTGGCGATAATTTAAAAGTTGTGCATCAATGTTGTTCGCTCTCAAAGTTTTTAAACAATAATTCCAAAATTTCAGAAAAAACGAAAGTTTTATGCTGTTTATATATACGCAGGTCGAACAATATGTTCAACTATCATTTCATTTGTGCATCTAGATGACGTAGAAAAGGTGAACTCTGCTTTACGTCAAGATGTTGCTAAGCTTCGTGGTACAATCAAATCTCTCGACATTGAAAAAGATAACCTGCAACAACAGGTGGACGAGAAAACGGAGCGACTGATGGCCTTGGATGCTAGACGCATCAAACAGGTTAAAAAGAAAACTGCATTACATACGCTAATTCAACGTGCTGCGACAAATAAGCAGTGCTTGCCGTCCTCCGTCAATTTTTTTTAAAAAAGAAGTTGATCATTGTAGCAAAACTGTTTGTATACATGTGTAATTGAATGAAGTCATTTATTTTCAACTCATTCGTTTTATTTTGCTGTCATTTTTGATGTGTTTAGGAAAAAACTGAAACTGAACTTCATCTAACTATTGATGACCTAGAAGCGAAATTGCAGTAAGTTTGTCTTCTCTACAAAAGCTTTGAGAAAAGTTGCAAGCTACGACGAGCGAAATGTGTTGAAAATAACTTGGTTTGTTATAACTTATATTACTTCTATAGGCATGCTCTCGCAGATGGCAATCAGAAGTTGAGAGAGATAAAATCTTTGAAACGTGATTTAGACAAGAAGGAAGACGACTTGGGTGAAACAACTCGATTGCGCGACGCTGTTACAAGGGAGAACAGAAGAGTACAGGATGATCTTCTCACAATGACTGCTGAAAATCAAGTAAGTAGTTTGAATTAGATTTGGATTGAATGCCCACTCAAAAGCAAAGTTGACAAAACAACTTCATGGAATTTCTCGAAGTTCTCGCCTTTTCGGTTTTTGACCTTCGTGAATATATTTGCTGTGTATAATTGCCATTTATTCGTCTGCACACGCTTGTTGTGACTTCATCTCAAGTATTTTCTTTGTATTCACAACCTATTTCCCTCATCCCTGTGGGAAATGACTGCGCTGCATTTTCCCATTATTTTATATGCCTATGCCAATCAATGGATTGCATGCTGTACAAATACAACTGCCATCTCTTGGTGTGTGCTATATATGCTTGCTAATAAAGTAAGATTACTCTATTTTTCTTTGTACAATCATTTTAACTTAAGAGTTTTTCTAATGTTCCAAGAGATACACCAGCATTTTTCAATACTGTGATACACAGTATCCGAGTTGGAATGTACTTATATTCCGTATTTTATTTATTAAAGCTTCTTTTGAGTTGCGCTCTTTCAAAAGTGTTTGTTTGCAAATTGATGTATAGTAATAGTAAATGTCTTTGTGTGGCAACATCAAATATTGTTGCAAATAAAGATTTTTTAAACGGTAAATTATAGTTCTAACAGTTTTAACCGAGTCTTTACACATGAACATGTAGATGAACTGTTGAAAGTTTCACTGGTTTTCAAATTGCCATTGTACTGTCTTCTTCAACACGCATGTCCGAGTAAAGGAATTCGCCTCCCAATCGTCCACGATATTCAACTATGTATGACTAAAGCATTTCTTTTTTTAGTCGCTATTTTTTTCGTATGACCTCTTCAAATATTGAGCTTCGAGTAAATTTTGAAAATTGGTGCACGACTCGTAATAAGGGGTGGGGTGGTGGATCTCTTTAGATTTTCAGAGCTTCTGATGCTGTAGTCGTCCAATCGTGTAAATTCTCAATAAGATCAACGTCCTACATTGACATGTCTTTTGCATGTACCTTGGCATTTTCTTTATCTTGAGGTATTTTGAGAGCATATTTGTAGCGAGCTGAACTTTGTGGGGTTTCTTTTCCAGGCAGTGCATCAAGAATTAGAGCAATCGTTGCAGGAGCAAGAGACTCTTAAAATGCAGATTGGAGATTACATGGCTCAAGTAGCAAGATTTGAAGGTTTATTGGCACAAAAGGTGAAATTTCTTTCCATGCACTGATATCTACTTTTGCTCTAAAAAAAGCTTTGATTGATCTGTCAGTATTTATTGTTCGCAGATGTTATAAAAACATCATCTTCAGGAATTAGCGAAACGCAAAACAAGGATAAGTTAAATACAAAGTCCTTTGTACATACATACTCCATGACGTGGAACTGAAATATCCAGCTGCATTTATTGACAATTCTAGACTTGAACAACGGTTACAAAAAATAAATGAAGAAATGTTTTGCAAATAACAACTTCTTAATCTTTTGTGTTGCTGACAAAGTTACTTTGTAGCTATTTAACTTATCTTCGTTTTTAGTCTCATTTCCTCCTGAGTATGATCGGTGGCGGATCCATTATTCGTCAATTAAATTATAGCTGCCCAAATTTGAATTCAAAGTACTTTCAGAAAAATGCTATTGGTTTTGAATTTCTAAAGTATATAATTTAACCAATGAACTTGTGTCTAAGGGCTTAGAAATGTAATTATATTCCAAAATGTGCTACTATAATTTATTTTGTCTTACCCTAGATGTGTCTCTGGGTAATGGGTATGATGTCATTTTTTACTTTAAATAATGGGAAATGTAGCTGGTTTTATTGAGCAGACGTAACTTCGTATAAAACAGTTCAATGAGGAACCTTGTTGTTCAGCATGCATTGTATCCACTACATATTATCAAAGTAATGATGTCTGTCTGTGTGATTTATTTACACGTGCAACACTGCGTGTTGTGGGATTTATTTACGCTTGCAACACTGCGTGTTGTGGGATTTATTTACGCGTGCAACACTTGCGTGGAACATAAAACTCTTCAGTTGACAGCGTGTTAACGTTTGTATACATACGATTGCAGGATTTAGAAAAAGAGGAATTACTTGAGCAGTTTCGTGCTTTGAGTAGCGAGGCAGAAAAGCTTGTGACGGATGCTCGCGTTTCGGAAGTGCAAGTGAACAATTATAAGACGGAGTTATCACAAAAGTTGCACGAAGATTTAGAGTTAAAAGAGCGTTTGAGAGGCGTACAAGTTGAGTTGGAACAGGTTTGTATTGTTCGAGATGTTTTTCGGGGATACATAATCAGTTTCCACAAAGATTCGTGCTTCATTCTTGTAGAGGATTGTGAACGAAAAATCCTACGAAATACAGATTTCGAACCTTACAAAATCTTTGCAAGTTATGGAGGAGCAATTGCGTCAAGCCGATGAAGAGAAGGTACTATAGCAACTCGAAAATATATTTTACATATATGGTACAATTGTACGAAACATATTTTGTGTGGTATGTTCCTACCATGCTACTAAATACGTACAATACGTCATTAATTCATGGTTGTCACCCGGATTTTATCGAAATGAATAAGTCTTTCAACATACCGGGATTTATATGTGTTAAGTCTTATGCTGCAACGGGCAATTTCAACCATTAAACTGTATACGTGTGTGGATAAGATGGTAAGCAAGTTACATATATTGCTTCAAAAAGTATAGCTACTTTTTTACTTAATATTGAAATATTTGCCGATTCTAACTGTAAATGGCTTATCGAGTTATGCTGCTATCACACTCTACTTTCCATCCATCATCATGACCACTGTTTCTGTGTATAGGAAGGCTTGCTTGCCGATTTAGCCGCAGTTCGTGAGTTGTGTGTTAAACTTGATCAGATGAGAGATTCATTATCCAAACAACTTACCTCAAAATCCATGGACAAGGAAGAGGTGATTGAAAATGTCGCTAGATTGTGGACTATTTGTAAATGAAGTAAAATGCTAACTTTTCTAAATGCACATTTAATATAAACGACAAGTTTTTTGAAAATAGACATGTTTCGACATCTCATGATGCCATCTTCAGTATGAGTAAAATAATAGGTGATACAAGGTTTATATAAAAGTATAACTTTTATAACTTTTATAACTTTTATATAAACCTTGTATCACCTATTATTTCACTCATACTGAAGATGGCATCATGAGATGTCGAAACATGTCTATTTTCAAAAAACTTTCGTTTATATTAAATGTGCATTGGCAATAGTGCTTTTACGAAATTATGGAAACATTATTTTCTAAATGCAATGGCAGCGTGAAAAAATACATCATTCTACATTAAATTGGTGAATGTCAAAGCCCAGCGAAATTCGCTCGTAGTTTCAATTGCATACTGCAAAAGTGCGGTGCACAGTTGATTTATCTTCTCTGTATTATGATTTAGCTGCAACATATGGTCAGTGATGCTCAAGAAGAAATTGATGCACTTAAAACGCAGGTGTGTACAACGTAATTCTTTAATGATTTCATTGCTGTTTTATGTATGTATATATCGATATAAAAAGCATGGCGGCTTTTTATGATGTTCTGTACATGAATCCAAAAAAGGAGGGCTTTGAACATTTGCCTCTAATCATTTGACGTATTTTATCGTATTTTATAAAAACGAAAGGTGAGATAAATCGTCTGTCATGTTATCTCTGTTGAAAAGAAGGAAAGTTTGATCCTGATGCTCATTGGAGACTGTAGCTCATAGATATAATAAAACCAGATTGGTGACGAGTGTGACGTAATATAAGACTTATTAAGACGGCAGCGTGACATTCATGATAAATCCAAGATGGCGCGAGAACCGGGCAAAAAACTTGGGGCTACTATTAGGCAATTGTTGTTTTTCGCAGTTTACTTCGTTTCAGTGTTTTCAAACTCCTCCAATCAAGTTTTATTGGAAACAAAGCGTTATTAATAATGTTTTGAAGTCACATTGGACAATTATTATTGAAATACGGGCTACAAATAACGCTTGCGAAGTGTTTATGTAAATTGGTCGTTTGGTTGTCTCGAGGCGTTTGTCCACCAAAATAAACGAAGAAGTAAATTGCGAAAACATCAATTGCCCTAGAGTAACTCTATGTTTTTTGCCCGGTTCCCACGCCATCTTGGATTTATCACGGATGTCACGCAATATGGTGGCTCGTCAGCAATCTTGACCTACTATATCTATGCTCGTATCTATGATGTAGATGCATTCGCCATTTTCTTCGTAATTGTGGGTTTTAATCATCTATATTCAGTTAGAACGAAGTCTGATCGCTAATCGCTAATCCAAACCCGATATTAAAGCCTGATTTTTTTATTTTCTTTTACATGCACGAGAAGAGAGATTTTTTGATTTCCTGCAATCTGATTGGCTGCAGCAGCGGCAGCTTTTTACGATATCTTGACCGTGGTCCAAAAGTGATATTTTTTGCGATGTATTCGTTTATTCGTTTAAAAAGGGAAATTTAAATTTTTAAACTTGATTTAAAAGCGATGTAAAAGAATTGTTGAATGTATTTAGACGGTAGTCGTCATAGCGAGAATGAATTTTACTATTCAATTTTAGGCTCAACACAAGCTGCATCAGCCATGCAGATTTGCAAATTTCTTCGTGATAAAATAAAAAAAAACAACAAATATGTTGTTTACGGTTTACGTCGGTCCATACTTTAAAGTATTTTCACTCGACTTTCGACCTCGGGCCGCTTTTGAGACCTCGACATCGTGAAAGTCTTATTTTGTACGGACCTACCAGCCGGTAAATAACATATATGTATCTTAAGTTTGTATTGAAAGACATGCTACTTTCCTTCCTAGAACTGAAAGTTTTCTTTTAGGTTTTTCATGAGAAATCTAACGTAAGAAGTCTCGAGGAAGTACTTTCTGCGACAAGAAATAAGGTGATTATGTTGTAATGTTGTCATCACTGTTGTATTTGCTCTGCGCTCTGCTTTACTTTAAGCCTTTTAATTTTCGTATTCCGTTAGCAATTTCTTATTTGTAACATGCTTTTTTCCATGAATACCTTGATCATATGTCTTTTTTTCAGGAATACGTTGATCATATGTCTTTTTTTCAGGAATACCTTGATCATATGTCTTTTTTTCAGGAATACCTTGATCATATGTCTTTTTTTCAGAAATACCTTGATCATATGTCTTTTTTTCAGGAATACCTTGATCATATGTCTTTTTTCCATGAATACCTTGATCATATGTCATTTTTCTAAGAATACCTTGATCATATGTCTTTTTTTCAGGAATACCTTGGTCATATGTCTTTTTTTCAGGAATACCTTGATCATATGTCTTTTTTCCAGGAATACCTTGATCATATGTCTTTTTTTCAGGAATACCTTGTTCATATGTCTTTTTCCAGGAATACCTTGATCATATGTCTTTTTTCCAGGAATACCTTGATCATATGTCTTTTTTTCAGGAATACCTTGACCATATGTCTTTTTTCCAGGAATACCTTGACCATATGTCTTTTTTCAGGAATACCTTGACCATATGTCTCTTGAGGAAAAGCTTGACGAAGTTGATAGACTCAAGTCCAGGCTGTCGACCTCTGATAACGAGAAGTATGAAACACCGTAGGCTTTGAAATTACGAGCTTACTATCCGTACTGGCGTAAACAGCCCGCAAAATTAGTCCTGCATGCTATGCAAATTTTCTTTGTCCACTCGCTGAAAAAATAATAGATTTGAAAATAAATGCGAATGGTAATGAAATAATGCTCTGATATTTACGACCTGGAAATCATACATAAGAAATCGTCTGCATAAAAAAATCACTTGATGGAAAAGTCGGTAGTAATCCCGTGTTCTGCAAGTACTTACTACAAGCACGTAAAATTGATTTTGAGCATATGTTTTCTATTTCCATTACACTTGTATGTACAGTCAAATACAAGTGATGTGTCATTGAACCAATGCCTTTATTTACCAATCCCCTTGTGTTGTCCGCGCAACGCGGAGGTATAAAATGGTCACGCAATTTTTACTCGACGTTTTTTTAAGTGTGAAAAATTGTCACGGCCACCAGTCGAAGAAGACTAGAAGTAAAATATCTAAGAACGCATTTCTACGAAATCAGCACTCCTTGCGTGAAAATATTTTCTGATCAAAACAATATCGCTCTACGCAGCGTGTCAAATGCTTGCCACAGTAACTATAATGGAGGATTTAAAACATTGTTGGAGTCACGTGATGTTAGTAACTGGAAAAGTTCCTCGGAATTCGTCAATGTTTATATTACCTCAGGGACTTGTATGTTTCTGTATCTTTTACCACTTTCATGCTGATAGAATGAATGATGTTTTCATCGACAGCGAATGTGTTTTATGTAAAAATACACTATATTTTACGATTCAAACATCATTTCGTAAAAACTTAAATGATGCTCTTAGATATTCCCATGGTGCTCGCGGTAATTACTAGCGAACAGCAACTTTGCATTTTGCATTGGCGTCACTAGTGATACATAATAGAAAACTTTTTTACCTCAAAACTCGTATAGAATTCTCTGGCAAATGGCTAAAACAGCTACATGTGTTATTTTCACAGATTTCTACAGAAGCAAGAACTGGAAAGCCTGCGAAGCACCTCAGAGAGACTTTCAAATGAAGTCGGTGAATTAAGAAAACAACTCATCTCCGAGAAATACGAAAAGTTAGTCTTCCTTGAAGCCGATGTCATTGAAAGTTAAAGCAGTTTCACTTCCATTATTGCGTAAATGATCCGCCGAGTTGTGCGCATTTGCTAATAGCCTTCGTTAAGATTTCAACGTTAAATGTAAACATTATTATTGTTTTTCTAGAGAGCGAGTTGCTCGAAGGAAATCTGCTCCAGTGAAATCAAGGGAAAAAGGTATGTTATTGCAGTATCACTAACCATCTTTGACCAGTCCCCCCCTTACATGTTTTCATTTGCTTCACGTTTTGCACCATTAACCAGTTTATTATTTGATAAAGTCTTCAACAGTTTGTTGAAGTAAATATTTACTCATTTCTCTCGGGTAGCTGTCAATTGAGCCTTTCTATTGTGCAGTTTTTCTTTCGGTACGTACTGTGTTTTCGTTTTCGTTAATTTGCATTTGTGCCAATTGACGTTTACAAATGATCAAACATGATTTATCAATGGAATTTCTTCTAAAGCAAAATAAAGTTGCCGGAGTTGTTCTTCATAATTGGACAAAAAACGTGTCTGCCAAAGGAATAAATGCTTTTGTCAAAGTTAAGCTTTTGCAAAGGAATAAATGCTTTTGTCAAAGTTAATCAAAGCTAAGCTTGTGAAAGCATAGCTTTTGCCAAAGGAATAATTTCGACGTTTTGTCAAGGCTAAGAGATGCATGTCAGAGTGTATGATAAAGATTCCGTGTGTTTGCGTGAATGGAATTTAATGTTGATAACATATATTACCTTTGTCATCTTCAAATCAAACAACAACGCGTACTCTTCAAACGAGCGATATTTTACGTATGTACGGGTTCCAAAGTGCCAACATAATTCATATTTTAACTAGTCACAACGAAACTTTGTCCAATCTTGTGTTCATTAGCTGTGCATTCCGACAATAATGAACTATTGATGAAATATGAAAGTCTGTTGACTTCACCTGACCGCTCGTCATGCATGTACACTGGAACATCATATCTTGATGACGCATGCGCGCTTGAAATCACTTCTTTTAATTTCACGTACACACATATACAAACATTGATTTTCGTGATCAAAACTAGTTTCTCATTTTTAGCCATTGGTAAAAGTTCAAAGGATCGACCAAGTCTTTCCAAAACATTACCTCGTGATAGGTCGTCTCCATTATCATTTCAAAGTCACCATCTAGAGTCTGTAATATCGCCCATACATCGCGACGATGAAGGACTGTAGATGTTACATACGTCTTAAAAACAACAACTTTGTGATATCATTTGCTGTTGTTACAAGTCTATCATCGTACAGCTCTCGTGGCCTCAACTATTGGAGTAAGAAGATCGATAATTTGGAGGAGAGTGGGGTCCTCATATTCGTATATTCATGATATGCGGTGTTAAGTTCTTTTGAAATCAATTGTTATCGAAAGATTATGACGTGCATATACGAATATGTCCCCCCTCCCATATTATCGAGTTTGTTACGCCATTAGCCTCAGCGACGTCTTAGACATTGAAATTGCTCATGTGACATGCGACTAAACGTTTTGCTTGTGGAAGATAGGGCGAATTCTTTCCGGTGGAAGAAATCCATGTTTTAAAAAAAGCATGTTCAGCATCTTGTTATAGGACATTATCTTCATGTCGTACAACACAACTTTGATTTTGTGCATTGAAGAACATTGCATATACTTTAGAATTCATTTTAATCTGCTATAGGTCTTATTTGACTTGTCATTTGTAACCAGGTTTTATTAGTTGAAGGTGAACGCTTAAAACTGTTGTCACAAGACATGAATACTTGAGCTAATGTAGCGAAGTTATACTATACGTCTATGTTTTACAGATATTGTTGACCAACAATGTTTATAAAATAAAAACAATTAAACGCGTGCGCTGATTGGTCTGTAGCTGTGTTTTCTCATTATCCTATGCAAACAAATCTGAGCTCAACAAATTAAATAAATCGATCAGTCAAATAGAATTTGCAAATCAATCAGGAATACCTGTTTGACGGAAGTTTAGAACATAGCTGTGTTTGCATTAGCCTGTGCAAACAAATCTAAGCTCGATTAATTAAATCAATCGATCAATCAATCAAAGAGAATTTGCAAATCAATCATGAAAACGTGTTGGTGGAAAATTTAAAATGTTTGTTTCAAATTTGTCTGTTTTGCATTATTGTTGTTTTATGAAAGAAATTAACGATGTTTTTCGTGTTTGAACTGGCTTATACAAACCTCGGCGACGTTTGTGAGAACTCTCGAACAGGTGCAACCCTCGACCTTTGGTCTTGGTCTTGCATTAATCTACTCTTGAGTTCTCCCAAAGTTCTCCTCGATTTGGAAAGGCCCGTGCAAACACAGTAAACATGTTTTATTTCTTAACTGTAAAACATAGGACAACAACAAAACATAATGAAGCAAACGCCTTTCACCACTCGTACGTTATTAGTTACATTCAAAAAAAAACAAAATAAAAGTTCTATTTTGCAACATTGCATATCGTAAGTGTGAAAAGTATTGCTGTTAAGATGGACTGACTAGCTATATTTTTTTCTAAGGTAGATGCTTCGATGCTTCATGTTGCTAAGCAAACTACACATGTCATAGCATACAAAAATTTTAATTCAAGTTAATGGAACGATCGTCAATAGATCATAAGGCTGATTCTGAATCAGAGGAATCAATACTCACTGCATCCCAGTCCTTCACATATGGCAATTGTAAATCCCGTTCATTTTTGCTGAGATCAAACTCGTATGCTGGTTTCACGTTACCCCGATCTTCTAAATTCTCTTTTCTTTCATCTCGTTTTCCACGTCGTCGTGATTTTGAGGCTTCTTCTTGTTCAATTGGTCGTTTCTTTTGCTCACGTTTTCTGACTCTTCGACGTTTCGTTTTTCCATCATCAACTTCATCCGACTGTGAGCCGCTTTTACGGTCGTTCTTTCGTCGGTTTCCTTTCGGTTTCTCTTCGGTTTTTCTCGTCATCCATTCTGGTAAATACTCTTGTAATGATGTAGTGACGCTTCTTGATTCAACTTTCTTGGGAGGTTTGGCTTTACGTTTTGATGCTGTCATAAAAAAGCACTTGAATGGTGAATAGCAAAACAAAGAAAGATTATGTGGAAAATTTGCGAAGTCATGGTTGCTGTTGTTTGTTTTTACTGACGCAATAGAAAAGAGCTGCTATCGCGTTTCAAGCATCCCTCGTTTTGATTCAGAACTTACTCTCGATAGCTTGAGAAAAATACCAATTCACACCATGTGGTGGGGATATCCCACTTATTTAATCATGCTACACAAAGATTTCTGTTAGCACTCGCTGCATAAAGGATGGCATTCTGAAATTTGCATAGCAGCTCATAACAATGTATTTCATTAACTAATTTTAGCGTGTGCGAAAAGTGCACGTTAGCACAAATTGTGCTTTTAGGTAAAAATAGGTATAGATGGTAATAATCCTTTAAAATCACTAGTTATTCCACGCCCTTGTAGCATTCCGTGTTAGTTAGTGGCCTGAAGAACTCCTATGTTATTACATAAAATGGTGACTTCAACTCACATGTGGCCGAAAAACTCTGAGCGTCGATTGCGACATGGCGATGCTGTAAAATTTTCCCTTGAAATAAAAGAAATCTGCTCTTAGTGCGACAGTTTAGTTAAATGGAATAAAAACATCAGGATATTTGGAGCTATATATATATATATATAACCGTACATCCTGTGTCCCAAGTGCAGGAGTTACCATTTTAATATGGTGATAGCCGGGAGGGCACATTGTTATACACTTTGTATATATATATATATATATATACACCCTTACGGACCTTCGTAACCTATATAAAGTAAATGGTTTGAACCCGGGAGTATCGTTACATGTTTGTAAATGTCGATCGTCCAGGTTGGTATAGTCCTGAGAAGGACTGTTTTTGTTGTTGTTCACTGACGTTTCGACAACCTTAGCGGTAGTCATCTTTAGCGTCAAATGACTCTTCAAATGACTCTTCAGATGACTCTGAAGATGACTACCGCTAAGGTTGTCGAAACGTCAGTCAACAACAACAAAAACAGTCCTTCTCTGGACTATACCAACCTGGACGATCGACATTTACAAACATGTAACCTATATAATCGCTTACACATTTTTCTGGACCTGCAGATTTTTGGTATGCTTAATTACCAAAGAAAGATGTTAGATACCAAAGCTTACATGATCAACAATCAAAATAGAAGTATGTGAATGGTAAGTATGAAATTCATATAAAGCAATTTTCTATTTATCCTTTCTCGTCATACATAACCAGCGAAAGGACATCGAAAGAAATTTTCCGCCCTCGTATGTTCAACAAAACTGCTTTGAATATAGCAAATAAACGAAAAACCAATGAATTTCCTAATTTGTGAAAGAGCTGCACGCAAACGTTTTGTGCTCAACTCAACAAAAAATGCATCATTTCTATCCATCATGTTTAGCTATTTCCTTTAGGAAAAACATCAAGCTATTACTGAATTACATAGACATTACTGTAATACTAAGAATATACCTTATGATCTAACAAAGAATGCTCATATACCTGTAGACGATCGACGATTTAGCAACATTTTTATGGCTTGAAGATCATCGAACATTTTGTCGGCCACACGGCACGTATTTCTGAGGTCTACCATGAGCGCATCAAAATCGGAAGTTTTGTCCTTTCCATATATTTTACCGAAACGGTCGTTTAATACTTGATGGGCTTCCATCACGGCCTCGCCAATCTCATTTTGCTGTTCGCGCACGTCTTCATTCTTCTCGATGCTCGTAATTTGCTGAATTCTATGGACCTCGGGACTGCAGTGTTGTTTCATGTAATCCCTGTGTTTTTGTTTTTGTTTTCTTGTCAGGTATCTTTCAGACTCGATGATGTTCATCGCCCTTTGCATGATAGAGTTTGCTACTGCATTGCTGTATACTCGGCTAAATGTTTCGGACAGAAGGGCTATCAATAAATTTAGCGTGACGATGGTCATTGAAGTCACATACATTACAAGAAGTATGTAGGCTATACTTTTGTCGGCAGTTTCCAGACCCTGACGATTGAAATTGTCCCCGATAGCGATCTGAAAAACGCTATAAATCAAATCTGCTGTTTGGTCGTAACCGCGGACGGGGTGCGGAGACGATGCGCCGAAATTTATCCAAAATGAAGCGGTAAATGGAACCATGATTATAATGTACAAAAAAGCCCAATTCACAAAGTCGCCCATCGTTTCCGATAGAATAAGCACCAGTGTGCCGATGCCTCGAATTGGTCGCGTAAATTTGAGCAAACGAAGCCAAACGAATAGATTCATGATGCTCAATACACGCGTATAAACATATCGCGAGGCGCTTGTGTTGATTCTCAAAAACAGAAAATGCGTGATGATGTTTATGACGATGAGAAATAGAACCATCCAATCCAAATAGAACCAAGCGTCGTTAGCATTAAATAGAGTAAGGTTGCGGACTCTTGTCATCTCGTTTTTAACAAATCTCTCTTCTTGAGGCCATCTTGGATGACAGTGATCAAGATCATACTGCAACTTCGTTATTTTCCAATCAATCCATCTTTTTTGTAATTTTCGCGCTTTATACGTTTCTGAAAGTTACAATAAACGGTAAAAAATGATAAATGTCGATTGTTGTATCAAACATAAAGAACACGCAGCGCAATATTTAAATTTACAGATTACGATACAGAAATGATGTATCATTTAATTTTTTGACAAAACTAATGTGGCCTTATAAATTATTGGGTAACTTGAAGTTGAACAAAAACATTATAATCAACATAAGAGGCAGAAGGTGGTTAAGTTTGGGAGGGGAAGGTTAAGTTTGAATGCTGAAGGAGCCACAAGAATGAGGATACCGTCAGAGGCTTCCCATGAAAAGGTTTGAAATGTACCGTCTTAATACTTGCAATGTAAATAAAGCTATTGGAAAATGCCAACTGTATAGTATAGCTATGCTCCGGGCACCCAAAAAACTTTTAACCTTTTCTTTTTGAGCTTTCATTCTCAATCAGAATGTTTAAGCAACAAGAAAAATAACTTTAACTTTATGTTTATATTTACACTAAAGGCCTAAATGTGTTTTTCCTTTATTATCGTGGTCAGTCGTTATGAAGCAATAGAGCATTCTCAAATAATCACAAAAATGGGTAGACGTTTGGTTTGGTTTTTTAGGGGACTTGCTCCCCCTATTTCGCGGTTTTGCAAAGCTTCCCCCCTCCCTGCCTTTGCCCCTATGATGATGATCAGGTCATTATAGTCAAGACGAGGCTGTGTTAGTAGCTGATTAACGATTGCTTACTATAAATTTGCATTCCGATATCGTAAACAGTCATAAGGATTATCATTACACCAAGAGTTATCCTCCATACTTTTGCTGTTATGTCTTTGTAAAGATTATCACTATTTTCTGGTGTACCAATGGCAACTGCTGTCCATGCGATGCCAAAAATTGTATGAAAAATCAGTTGGTACATGTTTGAGAACCGACCATACTGATCCCATTTGATTTGTATAAGCCTTTGCATGACGGGATGCGTAACAACTTCATAGTTAAGTGTAGCAACAGCTGTTTCCAGAGCTGTTCTTGTTGATTTTGTTTCAACTTTCTCCTTCGATGATTCCAGATGCTGGAGATGGTAGAATTCCTCCATTGTTAAAACGTTCGTTGAATGTAGTTGATCGAGTGCTTCAACTGCCAGGTTTGGCAGATGATCAATAAGTTCACATAAAGGCGAGTTCCCTGTTACGTCAAGTAAGCAACATGCTGCTCCTTCGGTAATAAGAATTTTGGCCGTTTTACTTTGACACCATTCTGCAGCCACCTGTAACACATAATTGCGAGAATTTTTCACGGTACAAGTCTCATTGAAAGATTCTGTTTTAGGTAGAGTGTACGTTTTATCGAAATCTGCATTGAAGTGTTTTTTCTTTGAAGCATAGTGGATTGTAGGGCTTGTTAGAGATAAGAAATTTTCAAGGAGATGCTATGCAAGAATATTTTGATGGAGTCCACTCAAAAAAAGCAAAATTATTATAACAAAGTAAAGTTGAAATTATGCAAACATATATCAAAACTGCTTTTGGCCTGGAAAGAAAAACTGACTTGTAACAGAAAGTAAACAAAAAGATATAAGACATAAATGTAGACAAGACATAAATGTAAACAAAAAGGTAGGCATAAAGGTAGACAAAAAGGTACAGACAATAAGATGGACACAAAGGTGGATTTAAATTAGATAAAAAGGTGGATAAAATGGTTTAGATATAGACACAAAGGTACACACGCACAAAGATAAAAAGGTAGAAAAAAAATAGATGAAAAAGTTGATAAATATACAAGAGCGACAAAACGTCAAACAAAAAATTAGAGACAAAGGTGGACACAAAGAAAGACAAAATGATAAATATAAAGGTAGACAAAAAGTAACCACAAAGGTGGAAACAAAGCTGGACACCAATGTAGACAAAAAAAGCTTGGTGGTTAGATCTCGTGAGGATTTTTAAAAAAATGATATTGAGCAGGGGACGCGATCCGTCCAAGAGTACTATCTTTGTTACTTCTTTTACAAACATCTATTTCTATTTCCCTTCTACCAGTTTTGTTGCCTTGACATGCAAATAGTTTTCACGGACAAAGAAGAACCCAAACGAATTGCATCACTGACTGAGTAAATCTTCATCCCACAATTTTTCAAATTTGTCCATGTTCTTAGTGCTATGAGACTGTCATGGCAAGTTAACATATAATGCTTGTCTAGTGCAGTTGGATTGACTCTCATGTACATTCCAATTAGTACTTGCTATTTGACAAATCATCAAACACAAGCGTCTTCTTATTTATCTCAAATGACAGCATTTTACCTGCAACGGAGTTCGCTGTTTTGCATCAGTCGTATCGATATTTGCCTGAAAACTCAACAGCATTTTCAATGCACGAGTAGCGCCGTTTTTTGCCGCATAATGTATGGGAGCCTGAAGCTCACCGTACGTTCTCACATCAATGTCCGCGTTATTGTCGAGTAGAAACTCGGTCATTTCCACAAAATCTACAGCCGCAGAGACGTGCAAGGCACTCCGTCCGTATGAATCTTGCTTGTTGATATCACAACCTTAAAATAAATCGATCAATTTTGTATCGGGTTCAAAGCTTGCAAAAGAGCGTTAGGTCTATTAATTAAAGGTAAATTTACTTCGTTACTTTATACTTAAATGAAAAAAATTGTATTTACTTGTAACGAAGTACAAAATTAGCCAAATATTTACTATTTAACTACGTTCCTTTTATTTAACGGAAAAGAAAAAAAAATGGAAAAGTTGTTTGCAGAAAGCTAACTGTAACTTCTGGAGTATTTTGGCACATTTAGATCTTTCAAAAGCTCGATAATTTAATAAAAAATAGATTCGTAACATGTCCTGAGTCCTGACCTATGATTTCTTCCACAAGAGCTCGTAGCTACTGCAAACTATTTTCCAGTTATTTTGACAGTTTGCCTTCAACACGTTTTGAATACTTGCGCTATCAGGTGATATTTTTTGAACTCATTAATAGCTTACATGTAAAATATTTCCAAAAACTCATTATTACGTATAGCTATATTAAGTCCAGAATGAATTTTTGACTACCCATATTGCATATGTTTTCGTAAATCAACCATATTATATTGTGTTATTATATGCCAAGCGTCACTTTGCCGGTCCATTATTTTCCCGTAATCGACCACGGTCCAAAACGCGTAATTTTACAGTCAAATGTAAACAAACTTCGTAATACAAATAGCAAAACGCAAAATAAACGAAACAAAAAACCATTTACGAATGTGATTCGAAGGAAAAATACTTGGAAACAGTTTAACTATCCAGACGATACAATTTGAAACGATTTATTTTTTATGGACGAAAACTAGAAAAGTGAAAGCCAACCAGTAAAGAACAGCAAGGACGAGAAAGAAAACAAGCTTCATTTCAGGTCAAATAATGCCATATAATAATCCTTTTAATAACCTCGCTCTCTCGATCTTTACTGAGAAATATCGGATCTCTGTCTTTTTGTACAAACCTCGCCCTACGGGCTCGGTCTGTACAAAAACACCTTGGTCCGTTATTTCTCCGTAAAGACCTCCCGTTCGGTCATTAAGGGCTTTATAATACCACATTTCCACCTATCTACTATTATTATTGATTTACGAGAATTTTGGATATTCGATGACAAAAAAGAGTGCTGGTTTTTTTTTGAAATTCGACCTGTGTTTTTTTTTGTTTTGGCAGTGCTTTTACAGTTCTTAAGCAAAAATTTTTCCTTTACTTACGTAAGTTTATAGATCATGTTTTTACGTATACTTAGATAAAAGTTTTCAAGCAATACTTTTACCTTTTACTCGAGTAAAATTTTCATGCGATAGTTTAACTTCCATTTAACTGTAAATCGAAGAGTTACTTTTTACCTTTACTTAAGTACAAAATATTTGTATTTTACGGAACACTGATTGATTGGTAAGGTTTACTTATGAATACATCAACTAAACAAACCTGTGCGTAAAGTTCATAATAGATGATGGTTGATTTGCCAAATGAAAAATCTTATTGACTGTCAGCTTATGCGTTTTGTGACGTTATGCGTTTGAAGCTTGAAGCTCAGTTGGAAAATGCGGAGCGTTGTTTAAGTTAAAAAAACATTGGATCGACCTGTGGAGGATAGCTCATATTGCTGAATGTTTTAAAGCCTTACGAAACGGTAAAACAAACACGATAGCATTAATTGCATGGTTATTATGCACGACTTAAATTTTCAGTAATGTCTTGATAATTTTGGTCGATAGCAGAAATTTTATAACAATGCTATTTTTTCTTGCTGGCTATGTGAGATATAGAGTTGAAAGAGAAAAACCCGTCATCTTTTTTTTTGTATAAATCACACGATCTTACCCAAATCGATGAGGAACTCAGCAATGTCTGTATTCCAGGAGCGAGCAACCTCATGGAAAATTGTCTGTCCATTCACGTCTGCAATGTTGATGTTCGCTCCTCCTTCAACAAGGGAACGTATGAATTCGTAGTTGAATTCATCCTTTGCATTGTTAGAGTTAGAAATTGTTGCGATATACTGTAGAAGTGCCCTATTTCGATCTAAAATACTGCTGTTTTCTTCAGCCAGAGCTGTTTCGCTCAGTTGGTTTTCCACAACTGCCTGTTGGGGTTCATCAACTCTTGACGTACCTTAAATTGAATTGTAAAATTACTCATATACAAACTTTATCATTCAAAACTTTAAAATGAAGTTCGCCTCGTTAGTTCTCTAAGCTTGATGAAACTTCTGCTTGTAAAATCCTGTTTAGCTGTTTAATTTTGACACTGAAACCCAACGGTGCTATATTGTTTACAAGCGAACAGATTACTTCTAGTTTGCGAATTAAAATCTATTATACGTGAACAAAAATTTCATTTCAATGTTATTCAGTGACTCATCATGAGTGTGTTTGTGACAATGTTGCTTTGGCATTGTGAGATATTAAAGGGAAATCATGATTGCCTATATAATAATATGAAATTATTCTGACAAATTTCTCACCCAGAATGTCGCTGAATTGCAATTCTTGAAATGCCATGACGCGTTTAGGGCTGTTTCGATTAGGATTCAAGTCATTTGTCCTCTTCATGATGTTTCTAGTTGTCAGGGCTGTATTCTGTCTTTTGTTGTTGATTTTTTGCTCGTTGTTGATTATAATTGAGTCCGATTGCGTGCTGAATCATAGACAGCACATCACGCACAAAAACATTTCATACAATGGAATACAAATTCCCACAGCACGTCAAACTGTGAAATATGTCTTTGTCAAACCATCGTAAAATTAATAACATCGGATTGATCATCGCGTTTCCACGTTAAAATTGGTTTTCTAAACGAGAAGATTATGAATATGGTAACTATATAGACTTAACGTCTTCTCTTGAGCTCCTGAAATAAAACCGTTTATTCGCAACACGAAAGCATTGCATGCATTGGCCATTCAAATTTCACATGCATGGTGATGTACTCGTGCATTTCTTAATACTGTAAAACGTAGGTGCAATTTTCGGTATGAATGATCTGTATCGCACGGATCACATTTGAAACAAGATGTACTTTTTTGATTCACACGAGGAGGAGATTAATATTTAAGTATTCAAAATTTTCTTACTTTGGAAAACTGTTTTTGACCAATTCGTGTTTATTCATGACCCATGGACAAATGTTTTGCAGTTTTAAAGTTGAGCCGTGGAAAATATGAATTTCCAATGTGTGAAATGTTTTTTTATGCAAGAAATTATTGAAGAACCAGACCCGACTCGTTCCACATAATTTAACTTTCAAGTATGATTTTTGCCATTACATTTGTTATAAGTAGGCTCAGTTGTGACTTGAAATCATTCAGCTATAAGAATGCAAAACATTCAATTCAAAATCTTTGATATATTATCCAACATCCCTTCATTTCTTAGTCTTATGGTCGATAGGACAACCATACCTATATTTCATTTGTAGTCACATAGCTATACACCTATAAATAATGTCGTACATTTTTGGCAGAAAACTGCTTGAAACTGGCTCTAGGAATATACAGTTTTGGCATTCAATATAAATTCTAAAGGAATATGAAATATATGCGTCAGTATCATAAAATTTCATCCAACGTTTTGTGTTATGAAAACTATGACGATGATGACACATTGCTTCGATTAATGCACATCTCATACGTGATGAGGTTTTTGAGCCTAAAAGTCAGTTAATCAATGAACACTGTTGATTAAACAATAATGTTCAATTAATGAAGCACAACCTTTATAGTATAGCTAGTACCTTTTATGCCTTTACATTGCCTTTAGATAAGAAATCATTTTCAAATAAATGCATTTACTTCCTTTGTTTACCACGCTCTGTCTGTTTCAAATTAGTCTCAAACAAATTTGAATGAACAGCACTTTCTATAGAAGGACATTAAGGAATTTTCATATTCTCAAATGCTTCTTTATGTTTTGCAAACAAATGCAGCGCCAGTATACTGCAAATGGATGACGCTATACACACCGTCATCAGAAGAGAGAGCTGAGTTTGTGGTGTGGTTGAACGGCGACTTAAAGTTTTTTTGAGTGACCTACAGCTCTTAAAGATTTTCTGGTAAGCTCACAGATATTTTGTTAGAGAATGAGGAAAGCAGATCTCCTTTCTACTGTTTTGAGCGAGGTCAAACTGTCGTTCTATGTACTTAAGAATTATTTTATATTTTGAATTGTAAGTGTATTCATGAGAAGGAACATTGGTGTTGGAATTGAATGAGATTTACACATCCTTGGCGGTAATGATTTTCAGAGTCAAGGATATCGAAGCGTCTGCCTGACTGCACTAACCTGAACGATGTGGAAAAACAAACGTGTAACGCACCTCCCGAGCTCAAGCCATTCGCTTTAGAACTATAACGAACATTTCGGGGTTGTCCCTTAAAAATATCAATGCAGTTATTCGGAATAAGGTATAATTTCCTGTCAAAACCTGTTTGTGCATTAAATTACATTGATGAAAAGCGATTCTTCCTTTTTTGTTTCTTCCCAAACTTGAACGATTCTACCCATGTTACACGATGAAATATTATCATTGCTAGTAAAACCACAATTTTTACAAAATTTTCTAGAGATCTGGTACCAAGGTGGAATGATGTCAATGAAAAATAATGTGCCAGCTTAACGATTTCATAAAAATAAATACAAACACAAAGCAAGAACGACGTAATGTTGCGTTTGAAATAGTTTAGTTGGTTGCGCAGAGTTTCTGTGCACGGGACGCCCTAGTTTGTTTAGCAACCTTGGAATATCATCTGTGTACAATCGCCCGGCGTTGTTTGTGATTAAACTTTTTACATGTTCTTCAGATTCTTCAAGTTGAACTTCATTAAGACTCATCTTATAAATGGTCCACGCACCGTAACTAAACTGGGTTCCATAGTTGTTCTTGAACATGTCGTAGGTCTTGTTGGAGTATCTAGGATTATTATACATCTCGTAGCTCATATCAAGACTTGATGCACCAATAGCTTTGGCTAAAGTAGGATTCTCCAGTGTAAATTTACCCAATTCAAGGGGGGGAACATTTTTAGCACAATCTTTGAAACCTTCTAGCTCTTCCAAATCTGCTTTCATTAACGACGCGAACATTACATCATCCCAATAGTCTTTTCGATGTAGAAAGCAAGTGTTCAAGCTGGGCAGTTGCTTGCGTGCGTGATATATTTTAAATGGATCAAATGAGCTAAGGACAACCTGTTTCTCTATTCCCATTTCCTGAACCATTTTTGCTACCTTGATACCAGTCCTTTTGCTGTGTGTTAAATTGTATGGTGGCATTGACGGTTTCATTTCTAAAATCATTAACAAACCCGAATCCTTCATCATCTTCAGCAACTCTTTCAGCAGCGGAATCTTTTCAACTTTCGAGAAAGTGTAGACTTGATCGCCTAAGCCAAAAGGTCACTTTTATGTTTATAAAAACATTCGTCCCAATAATAAGAGCGATGTAGAATTTCATTAAGAGAGCGGTGCAAAATTTTTAATTGACGTTATACTATGACATTTTCATCAACAAGGAAGCTATAGATATATTGACGCCTCTCTACAGCTCTTGCGGAGTTGTAAAATAAATTAATTGTCCTTGACTATTGTAAAATTATACAGACCAATAGCTAACAGATTTATATGTGGGAAATTAATACGTTTGCATACCATATCTAAGTTCCTTCTTAATACTAAGTTTCTCGATTTCGTCATAATTCATTTCCATGATGTTATGGTTCACTCCGGTCAACTTCTAAATAATAAACAAATTGCCTAGCGCTCATTTTTCATACATCTCCGTGGTCTTCGCTACAACTAGCAAAATACGCAATCTAATCTTTCATTAACAGCAAAGAGCAAACAATGGGAGTAACTCACTTCGGTTTTCACATCGTGAAACAGAACCAAGTTATTATCCTTCGTTAAGAAAATATCCGTCTCAAATCCGTCAACATTCAAGTCAAGTAAGCTTTTGTAGCCTTCGAGCGTGTTCTCTTGAAATATCTTTGGGTTTCCACGGTGGCCAATCACAAGCGGTTGCGTCTTCGTGAAAAATACATTATCTCTGCTCATTAGGGTAACTTTCTTCTTCGTTGCTTCACAAGAAACCTCCGGATTTGTGGAATGAACAAGAAGGACTTGAGCGAGAAGAATCGCATGGAAAACACTTTTCATTGTGGAAGCAGTAACCTATAGCAAATATATCGTTATCAGAAACTTCAAAAGCAAATAATAACCACAGACAACTTAGAATATACTGTTTAAAATTTTCAGTGAAATACTAGAGCATGTTGGTTCGTGTTTTATCACGTGTTGTTACCATGATTCAAATTAGTTGAGTTAGTTACGTGTGATCTGCATGAAAAATACGAGACGACCCTACATTTTCCTTCTGGTTTGTCTGCAAACACTCCAGTGATATTAATAATCTATAATAATGAATACACAAAAAGATCCAAAGTATATATTTCATTTGTCTTGTTTTAAACTAAGGACGCGTTAAAATCAACAGATCGTATTTGATGTGATGAATGAGAAGTCTACCATATCTTTTAAGTCTGGTTCACATATAGTTGTAATTGTAAAAATTGTCTTAAAAAGAGCAAATACCATGGTGAATGGTCAAATACTAACAAAATAGTTTTTAAAAGAACTGTTTAGCCCAGAACACTAAGCCAACAATTCTAAAAGAACTTTTTCTTAAAGCATAAAAGACAGTATGGATTTCGGCAGACTACTCATCACGTGTCAACGTCTGCTGCTAAATTGGAGCTTCAGAATCATGCGATGTTTATAATACCGCCAAAAGTAAACGTCACCTCCAAATTGAGACCTGTTTTAAGTCTCATCTCTCAATCTAGAGATGACGTTCACTTTTGGTAGTATAATAAACATCGCATGATTTTTTTGTAAACATAAAAACGCACTAATTTTCTTTCTAAATGGTGAAGATAAAATTATTATACCTTTTTGAAATGTCGCTAATGTCACTTTTTTGAAATGTCGTTCATGTCATTTTTGAAATCTCATTCATGTCGTGTTTTTGATATGTCGTTCATGTTCTCTTTTTGAAATATCGTTCATGTCGTCTTTTTGATATAACGTCATGTTTTTTTTAAATAAACATTCACGTCGTCTCTTTGTAATATCGTTCATGTCGTCTTCATTAAATTTCAATATTCTGCGATAAAGGTGTCGTCGTTGGTCGTATAATTACCGTCAACGACCCACAAAAACCGACAATTAACGAAGGTAGACATAAAGGTACACATAAAAGTAGATATATAAAGGTAAGCATAAAGGTACACATAAAGATAGACATAAAGGTAGACAAAAAGGTAAACATAAAGTTAGACAAAAACTCGTCAAAAAGTTAAACAAAAAGGTAAACACATAGGTAGATATAAAGGTAGACATAAAGGTAGACATAAAGTCTCATGTCTCATGTCTTATGTGTTAAGCCTGGTTCACACGAGTGAATTAAGCACAAGCTATAACAATAAATGAAACAATAGCAATGAATGAAGCATGTGAAATACGCTTTGACAAAAATTTCGTGAGGAGTTGCTCGTTAACAATCTATCGTGACGAGCACATGGTGCCACACTGTGACAATTTTGTCAAAAAAAGCATGGAGGAATATCAACGTATGAAGAAATTATACGACTACGTATATCCAAAAGAAAGTTTTGGGTGCATCCCATCCATTAAATAGAAGACGAGAGGTCTGTTGCAGGAACTTCGTCAAGACTATGAGAAACCTTGTCATAGGCGTACGGGCACATATTTTTAGGGGGAGCTGGACTAAATTTGCCCGAATTATATGACGTCATATGACGTATGACGTCATAGATATTCTTATGTTGTCTCTGGCCATCTCAATTAATAAGCTAAAATCATTACAATTTGCTAAGAGGATGCTACGAAAGTAACTACATTTTATTTGATATTTGAAATTTTGTCATATATAACACTAGACGCAGAAGAAATTTAGTTAGTTAAATGTGCGACGATCTAAGACTAAAAGAAATAAGATTTACGATTACGTCGCTGTCCAAAAATGTTAATTATCTTTTCCATGTCGTTCTTTAAAGTACTATTTGCATAGGCTCTTTCCACATTGATTAGGGCAATGCTGTTTAACCGTTTTTGACCAATTGTACTTCGAAGATAGGTTTTTTAAGCGACGAAGAGCGCTAAAAGATCTTTCTGCTGAGCAGGATGTTGCCGGGATCGCGGCCAGAATCGAAAATACTTTGTAAGCCACAGGCAGGACTTCATGAACACCATTTTCGAACATTCTCTTAACAATTTTGGCAGCGTTTTCTCTCTCAGCACAAGGGAAATCAACGTCAATATTCTCAAAGACATTTTTCTCGCTACTAAGAAGCTCACTGTCGATACCATAGAAGTGTGATACCAACTCAACATTCGCCGTGGTTGGAGACCTGTTGAACACAATATCTGCAAGTGCCAATAGGACCTCTTGATCACTACCTTCAAATCTTGATTTCATCTCCGCCACAATCTTGTCAATGCTTAGGTAGTAGCATGTGATACGATAGTAATCTTTTTCTGTTCGATTTTCCACTTCTGCATTTACTTCAGCCATTTCACCGACGAGAGCTTGGAGCCGCCGTGACGGCTGTTGGAATCTTGGTACTTTTGCATCTTTGAAATTGAATTCTGTACCTTCAATTTGCTCCTTAATTTTGTGTGCTATGATTTCAGCCCGTGACCATAACAGTTCGAAATTTTCGAGGGAACGACATCCAATTAATGTCTTAATCACGCCATCAACACTCTTCTTTGCTGTGGCGACATCCATTTGCTTTCCTTGTAGGTACCTGCTCAAACCATCGGTGTTAGATAAAATAACCTTTAATACCATCAAACCAAAAACGAACCGAAAGTCGCAAATCGAGTTAAGTAGCGAATTGCTGTCATTGTAGGTCTTCGGATCGCGATCTTTTGAGAGTGTAAGGAGAACCTCGATGATCTTAGGTAATTGGTTTACTACTGCTTTTACAGCTGCCCAACGACAAGACCATCTAGTAGCACTCTGCGATTTAATAGTCAGTGTAATATCTTCGTCCTCATCTTCGACCTTGATGTCATTGAAGATGGAGTGGCGTTTGGGACTTCCTTCCAAGAAATTATGGAGACTCTGGATCACACCTAAAGCTTTCTGAAGTGGCTCAATTGTAGTCATCGTATCTTGTAGCGCCAAGTTAAGCCGATGCCCATGGCAGTGAACATAGATGCTAAGAGGTGAGCACTCCTTCATGCGTGCAGCAAGTCCTTTGCGAGGGCCACTCATATTTGCAGCGCCATCAAAGCATTCTGCGACAATGTTTTCCAATGTCAACTCTAGCCTGCCAATGGCTGTCTTTAACAGCTCATACAATACTTCTCCTTCCGTAGATTTGGTTGAATAGAAACCAGTGAATGTCTCTTTGGTTTCGCCATTGAAAACATATCTGAGGAAAAGAGATAATTGCTCTGTTCGACTGATGTCTGCCGTTTCATCGACAACTATTCCGTAGTAGTCGCTACTTCTTGCTTCTTCTGCTATCCTCTCAAGCATGACACTTGCTACTATTTCCAGTAGTTCATTTTGAATAGCAGGGGATGTCCACTGAGCATGTGTCTGCAGCTGGCTTTGAAGTTTAGATTTCAGCCAAGGAAATCGTTGCATCTTATGCAAAGTAACTCGAGAAAGTTTCCTCTATTTATATCAGATATCTCCCATATATCACCCCGAATCTCTTCATGACCTCTAATTGCAACATTTTGTTGTGCAGTGTACATCAAAGATTGTATGATTACTTTTAAGTATTGTCTGTTAATAGCAACCTGGTCCTGGTGTGCACTATTCAGCTGTTGTAGTACGGAGGTTTTCTTTCTTTCCATTGCTTTAAACTGGAGCCATCTTGTCATGGATCTGACGTGGTTCTCACTCTTGCCATGTTTTGCCAGCTTTGACGACTTCTTCCAATTTGTAAGCACAAATGAAGTATTCTTCCCAAATTCTTTACAGGCAAAACAAACGCATGCATCTTTATCCACTTCGTAACTAATCCATGGATATTTCTTGTACCATTCAGGCTGAAATCGTCGCACAAATGTTTCACTGCCGAATTTTCGTGCAGGATATTCACCTAATATAGGCTGTTTTGGGGCGTGCAAGGTGGAAATCTCTTCTTCATTCATACTGTTAAGGGAAACCTTTCTAGTCTGTTCATTTAGAACAGATGCTGTTGAATCTAAATCTTGTATTGCTGTTGTGTCTAGAGTGTTAGACGTCGTCGTTGATTCTGGTGTTGCAACGCGTTGTATATTTTGATTTAAGTTAAATTCTTCGATGAACAGTGCGTCACTGGAAGTAAGATTTTCATTATCCGTGACCGTATTCAATTCTTTATTTTCTCTGAACTGCGTCAGTGGATTTAATTCATCAACATCAATAAACGTTCTCATTGGTTCCGTTTGGTCTTCGCTTATGGGCTCCTTCAAATTAATCTCAGGTAGATTTTCCTCAAAAGACCCAGTGGCTGCTAAATCTTTACTAGCACTCGATTCTGTTTCCTGTAAGGTTAGGTTATCATCCTTGGTTGTCATGTTACTTTTTACAAAGAAACCACTGATCTTTGACTGCGATAAATCCGATGAATCCATCACTCGATGACACTTAACTTTTCATTATTGTGAACTCGTCGAAAGTGGACCTCCTTATAATCACTGTCAATTTCCTTGCTGCATTCCTCGCACCAAACGCGATGTCGATACGGTCGTTTACGAGACGCCATATGTACGCTTTATTAGAGCTTGGCTACTAAATGTTTTCCCCTTGTGGATAATAGTTTCCTTGAACAACAATCATAGAGTGAATGGCACTAATCTAATCAATGGAATGGACAGTGCCTCTCCATACGAAGCCTAATTTTCATGCAAAATTAAAATCACTTTTGGGGATCGCAGCGATTGTTAATCTATATATTAATGTATAACGGATAGCGTGTGGGGAGACGATTTTTCGCAATTTCAAGACATTTCAAGACTTTTACTGACCTCAGCCCTTTTTTATAAATGGAGAACGTTATGTGGATAAATTTAATACCAAAAGCTTTGCTCTGATTGAAAATATCGGCGTTCGTGTTCGTTTAAAAGTTGTAAACACCGAATATATTCGTCGCAATATCGCTAGTAAATAGACCGATTTCTCGTGACGTAATTTGTTTATATTATAATGGGGCGGATGTAAAATTCTCCTATT